ACTTTCCAGGGTTACACCACTACATAAAGATAGAGTCATGGGTCAGAATTGAGACTGCCACAGAATGATCAATCTTTCCAAAGGATAATCTCAGGGTACACAATCTTGTAAACACTAGCGATAAGCCCCGATAAACGCAGCGCAAACAATAAACTAGACTCGCTCAAAAAAGACACGTAAAAATCGTAAATGGTTAAAAACGTTAGATCATCTGACTCATCCAAAGACCATGTGAAAATTATGTGCTCCGTCAGGAACCTGGGAAAGCAGTGATAGACGCCATTTTTCGGATTAAAATGTGGAATTAGGGAGGAGTAAACCAATATTGCCATCTACACACTTTGAAGATGCCTGGATTCAAGTGACGAATTCTTTCTTGAATGTGGAAGTACATGTTCACCGATATCGCGCCGCAAAGACCCAAATAATATCTTAAAAAAATAGATCAGCTTTTCACATTTTTTGTGATATAGTAGATTTCACCATCAACGATAAGATTGATCAATCCTCTGAGCGTGCACTGTACATGCTCAGCAAGCAAGATCAGCCAATTTTCAAGCTGACTGTTCCTAAATCAGTTCGGTTTGCGGCTGATGCAGAGAGAGCTGGGTATTAGTGGTTTGTCTTTTGAATCTTCCAATTTTGTTACATTAATTTTGCCCTCTGCTTTGTATAATTTTCGACTGATTTGCCAAGTGGGTGTTTATTTGTTCATCTCGTTTATTGTCTGCTTCTATTCGGTGGTCTAAAGTTGAACATCCTGCCCCATGATTCTGGACGACTACTTTTGATCTGCCACCTTTAACTTATTATTCCACTGCTTACTGGAAATGGTTTTTCAAAACGGGAATATTCATAGCAAAGAAACAGAGCTTGTAGTTTTTGACCCATCACTAGGACAAACGTGCCCGGTATAATGAGATCCTTTCTTGGAAACTACCACTGGGTATCCGACTAATGGAAAAGCCACCGAGAACTGTGGATATTGTTGATTTTCTGTTGGCGCTGAAGTTTTAGGACAGTTCTATGTCAGGTACTCGGAAAGAAGGAGAAAGGCTGGGGGTTTTCAGATTCTACATTGTATTCAAGTTTACACCATGATTGACATTTAGTAGTTCTTCAGAGTAAACAAGTTCTCAGCTGTTGGCAGAACGATCAAGATGTCAAGTAAAAAAGGCAGATCTAAATAGAGGCACAAATCTCAACTGAAGATATTGATTAGCAGATGAAACGGTGAACACATAATCCCCTCCCATTCTCTGCGTTCTTAATTCCGGTCGCCGTGGCGTGACTTACCGTAGCATGACATGACGAGAAGATCAACCTAAATGCAAATTCCAATATTGGGGGAAATTTATGGGATATGACAAGACACTGAAGGAGTCACACGTTTTCACTATCCAATCACATAGGGATCCAGAAGATCTTTTTGGTTTTGCCAAGTTATATTATGGCCATGATTTTATCTCCTCATTACAATCCTTATAATCCGGAAATTAACAATTAACACACCCCTCCGCTTTTGGATTATGGCCATGATTTTATCTCCTCATAAACAATTCTTATAATCCCGACATTAACAATTAACACATCCCCCAGCTTTTATTTTCTCCAACCCCCCGCCCCCCCTCGGACCAACACTTCCCCGCAAATTTCGGACGCACCCCCTTTCCTGGGGATAGGTTAAATGAAATCATTCTGTCTTAACTAGTATAGGAAACATTCTTGCGATAAATAAAGTCGAATTTGAAAGGGTGCGCCAAAAAGATACGTTGTAAGAAGTGATAGGTTTGGATGGGATATTCCACGAGTATATTATCAGAATTCTTGGTGGAAGCCTTCCAGAGGTGTAAACGAGTGCCCCCATTATAAACCCCCATTTTTGTGGGGAAGGGGCTGCATTTGAGGCACGGGTGCATGGTACAGACCAAAAGTGGAAGACTAGCCCCAAATAATATGCCGGCAGAATACGCAGCTCCAAAAATTACTGAAGTTAGTAACGTACCCGGATTTACAAATTAGACACCCCATGAATTGCTTTCGAGCAGATAGAAACCTATTTCAATACCCTTGTGTGGGTATATAAACGATTCGTGTAGTCCAGTATTGTGGGAGTTGTTGCATTTGGCGTCACAGATTCTCAATGACTTCTGAACAGGGAGAAAAAAAAGCAGAAATCGACCATGTCGAAGACAGCGAAGCCAACTTCAACAATTCTGGAATAGCAAATGCGTTCAGAGAGGAAGGTATCGCAGAGCTTCAATTGGAAGATGTTCTTCCAAAGCTTGAGAAACCTTGGTACAAATACTCTTATTTGCTGAAGCTGAACTTTTTGTTGGTATTTTCAATGATGAGTTCCACAAACACAGGTTTTGATGGCTCTATGTTGAATGGTCTTCAATCTATACCTAGCTGGTCACCTTATTTTGGTGGTCTTTCTGGATGGAGACTTGGAATAATTTCCTGTGCGGGTGGTTTTGGAGGTATCGTGGGATCCCTCGTAGGCAACTATCTGGCAGATAAAATTGGAAGGCGTTATCCTACAGTGATTGGATGTATTTTTGTTATTATAGGTGTTATTGTGCAAGCCTCGGCCCAAAACTATGCTGCTTTCTTCATTGGAAGATTCATCATGGGATTTGGCATGGTTCTTTGCAACGTTGTCGGTCCTCTTGCAATTTCAGAGCTTGCGTATCCAACTCACCGGCCTATATTGACGTCCTGTTTCAATATCCTGTTTTATGCTGGGTCAACTCTGGCATCCTTGGCAACCTTGGGGTGCTACCACATTCCAGGTTTGTCAAACTGGAGCTGGAGAGGTCCTTCACTTTTGCAATGTTTCTTCCCCATCCTGCAATTGATGATGTTCTGGTGGGTTCCTGAATCCCCAAGATTCCTTATCAGCAAAGGAAGATTTGAAGAAGCAAGAGATGTTCTGGGTGAGTTCCACGCTGGTGGGGATCGCAATGCTCGACTAGTTGAGTTCGAGATGGCCCAAATCACAATTGCTTTGGACAACGAAAGAGCACTGCAGAGTGTTTCTTTTAAAGAGTTCTTTGCAACCCGTCAAAACTTGCACAGATTGTTTGTTATTTCGTTCCTCGCCTGTATGCAACAGCTTTCAGGAAACGCTCTAGTTTCTTACTACCTGGTGCTAGTCTTGGAATCCATTGGTATCACTTCGGCTAATCAGCAACTGACTATCAACGTCGGTCTCAACGTTTATAACTTGGGTGTTGCTATTCTTATTCTGTTTTTGATCGAGAGGTTCAGAAGAAGACAGATGTTTATGGCCTGTACCATTGGAATGCTGTTGACATATGTCATCTGGACGGTTTTGTCTGCGATCAATCAGAAGCGTAACTTCGAAGATAAAAGTCTTGGGAAAGGTGTACTTGCTATGATTTTCCTCTATTTTTTTGCCTACGATCTCGGTCTATTGGGATTGCCATATCTCTATTACACCGAGGTACTCCCATACTTTTTGCGTTCAAAGGGCATGTTCATCGTTCAGTGTTGGCAACAACTTATTGGTGTCTTCAACGGATTGGTCAACTCAATTGCCATGGATGCTATTGAGTGGAAGTACTATATTGTCTACTGCTGTATTATTGGTGTTGAGGTATTTGTTGTGTACCTGTTCTTTCCTGAAACTAAGGGATACACGTTGGAGACTGCCGCAGAAGCTTTTGGTGATACTGTTGTTACTGAGAAAGACCATCCAAAGGCTGTTAGAGCATCTGATGATGCGGATGATGCCTCTGAGGTTTCAGCATAGAATATACAGCCGAATACTTTTGATAAGTCTATTTTTTTGAAAAGGTTGGTAAACCAGGGTAACAGAAACTTTTGAATTTCGGAGTATTTTGAAAATTCACCGAAATCGTCCAATTTGGTAATCCATATTTTTAAGTTTTTTATATTAACAAGTTAAACCGAGGCCTCCGCAAGCCAATATTTAAACTTATCAAATTACCCAAACAAACGGATACTGGAATCCGTTATCGCCGGGAATCCGTTATCGGTTACGAAGCCCCGTAATCTATCTGTTATCGTTGGGCGGGGAAAGGAGTACTCGCATATCTCAGCAGTTTGCAGGTGCAGACGAGAGAGTTTGAAGAAGCCAATTCACAGACTCGAATATATTTCTGAAGATGATAATTTCCCAGAAAAGGTCCAGAGCCGCTTGCGAGAAGTGCAAGATTTCCAAAAAAAAATGTGATGAAGTCAAACCAGCCTGTACTCGGTGCCAAAAAAAGGGAATCAATTGCTCATATCGGATCAAGCTCCAGTTTCGTGAGGATCTCGAGTCCAAAGGACATTCGTTTGGGAGAGAGGGAGTCTGGAAAAAGAACAAACAGGCTCCCAAGCCTCTTCAGGTTTCAAGGTCATATGACCAATTGTTGAAAAATGCGTTCTTCACCCCTATAGACTTCCCTGAAAAATTACACTATGTTTTCCACTCCAAGGTGCAAGTTCGAGTCTCATCTCCATTGCAGAGCTCAATTATACCTGTTGATGTTACCAATGAGCTGATCCACCTAGATAACTACGACACTGCAGTATCTCTCTCTACGGAGTGCATGATCGACTATTTGGGTGCGATGCTTACTCCCTTTTCGACTCAACTCTTGATGGGTGTACCCGTCAAGAAGTCGATAGATATCAGCATGTTACTACAGTTCAGTCAGACAAACCCGAACATTTTCTATCTTCTTTTGGCCATGGGGGCATGCCAGCTTTCGAAAAAATCTAGGAATATTGATAAAGCTCAACAATGGATGGCATGGAGTGCCAAATTTCGAGAGCGGGGTGAAGAACAGCTTGCTGATTTCATAAGGTCTCCAGATACTGCAAAATCCACTTTGAGTATTTTGCTGTGTTTGATGCTAATGATTATTCTTGAGATAGGAGACAATAACTCCAAGTGGACAAAGTATTTGAGACTTTCGAGAGGTATCTTGAATAAGCGAAATCTTAAAATTGCAGAGACCGAATTTGAAAACTGTGTGCTAACTTTCATTATCGAGTTCTTGATATACCAGGAATCCATGGGTCGTACTGCCTGCCAAGATATAAGCCTATTTGTCGAGTACACAGATTTGCTCGGTCTCGGAAGTAATGAAGGTAAAGCGATTGTTCCATGGATGGGCTGTTCCACAGCACTGGTGAGCGTCATTTCCGATATCACTGATCTGTCATTTGAGAGGAACAAGTCTAGCGGTTCTTCAGGAAAAATGTTTCCGAGACTGTGTACACTGTTGGAAAAGAGCCTAAATGACATGGAGCTTGATCTGAGGCCTTATCGGATGCAGAATCAAGACGCTCCAGAGTCATTGATTGAGATGCTTTCTAGAGAAACGGTCCCCAAAGGAATAGCTTCCAAAGAAGAGTTGTGCTTCCTCATGACATGCGAAGTGAAGAGAATGGCTGCAACAGTGTTTCTCAAATGCTCTTTGTTAAACAGTGAACCTCAACACACTTCAATATCGAATCTCATAAAACTGACTTTCGACTACATGAAAATAATAGTGATAGACCATGGAAAGTTGTGGGGATCTCTTCTATTATGGCCTATATTCATCTGTGCCGTTGAAATATCCCCTCTTTCTGAACATTGTGAAAAACAGAGGCGGCTCTGTTTGGATTTGCTAGACAAGCTCGAGTGGAGGACTTGGGGAAGTGTAGAAAGCACGAAGCAAATAATTATGGACGTTTGGACTAAACGTGATTCCCTCGTTCATGCTGAAGATTCAAGACCTAGAGTGATTGGCGAAGAGTCTTTGAATGACTGGGAAATGTTTGTTGCGGATACCAGTTTTCAAATTTCGTTAGCATAAACAGGATTGCAATATAACGAACTCCACCATCGAAACTGACTGTGGCTCACCGCCGTATAACTCCACAACTACCTAAGTCGGAAACCTTGACCATTTGATGCAAGAATTAAAACGATAGAATTTTAGTAGCGCTTTGCGCACTTTAATGCTTTGAGCGAAAGTAAACGGCCTCAACTGATCAATTGTCCCGACGGGTTTCTTGTTCCGTGCGTGAGCGGCTCGACCTTCCCCAACTATCCGGACTCAGTGCCTTTTCCAGAAGCAGGACGATGGGTATCCGATACCGCACTACTCAGAACATAAGAATATCCAAAATCACGTCTCACTCCTGAATACTTGTTTTACACATCAATACTCATGGCATAGAATAATACAGTCATGTCGACAACTCCTATAACCAAAGATAGTGCTATACTTATCGTTGGAGCTGGTACGTTTGGGCTTTCCACTGCCCTTGATCTGGCCAGAAGAGGCTTCTCCAACGTTACCTGCTTCGACAAATACGAGTGTCCTTCACCAATTGCCGCTGGAAATGACTCCAATAAGATGGTAGAGTACGAGTACTATGCACCAGAAGAGACTCCACACCCAGGCGATAGGATGAGGCTAGAATCACTGGAGCTATGGAAAACGGACCCCATCTTCAACCCTCACTACCATCCAGTTGGATTTATCTATGCTGCAAGCTCCAAGGCCACTCTTGATGAAAAAACCGAGAGAGTTCAGCATTTGTTGAAGCATGAGTATAGAGATTACGAGTATCTTGACACGCCTGAAAAATTCAAAAAGCACATTCCTGTGCTCACTGGTGACCTACCCGGTTGGAGAGGTTACTTTTTGAACCAGGACGATGGATGGCTTGAGGCTAGAAATGCTTTTGTGTCCACATTCCGCGAGTGCAAAAGACTTGGAGTAAAATTCACATTTGGAGCTGATGGCGATATTGGTGGTTTGCTCGAAGAAGAAGGAAACGCCCTTGGTATTGTTACTAAGAATGGGAAGCAGTTCAGAGGGGATAGAATTGTCATCACCGCAGGCGCGAACGCTATTTCTGTTCTCGATTTCAAAGATCAAATTCAAGCCAAATGTTTTACTTTGGCACACATTAAAGTTACTGAGGAAGAAGCCGAGAAATTCAAGGGGTTACCTGTGATGTTCAATTTTGAGAAAGGATTCTTTTTCGAGGCTGATGAAAACCTCGAGATCAAAATTTGCAACGAGTTCCCAGGTTACACAAACCTCGACTCAGAGGGCCGTTCCGTTCCTTTTTTCACAGAAGAAATTCCAGTTGAAGCGGAGGAAGGTGTTCGTCAGTATCTTAGGGAGACAATCCCCGAATTTGCTGATAGAGAATTTGTCAAAACCAGAAGTTGCTGGTGTACAGACTCTCCTAACAGAGAGCTTATCTTATCGGAGCATCCAGACTATAGCAATGTGATTCTCGGAACAGGGGACTCTGGAAAATCTTTCATGTTAATGCCTGTTATTGGCAAATACATAAGCAGGCTAGTTGAAGCGGGTACCGCTGGACTTACCGAAAAAGATGCTCAGTTCTGGAAATGGCGCCCAGAAACCGCCGGGGATAGAGATGACCAACAGGCCCGATACGGTGGGTCTGGAGTCGTGACGGATATCAAGACGATCGCTGATTGGGTATCCGCCAGCAATCCAAAACCCCACACTATTTTTTAAACAAAATTATGTTTATACAAAAAATTTACTCAGGTATTGCCTGGCTTGTATTTCCTCGGCGGTGTGCCCAATCGGATTAGATTCCTAAAATGGAAATCTAGTGTCTTATCAGTCCTCCGCATCATCAGGCCTTATCGCGCGTTTGCGGAACGACCTTCCCCGTCCTTTATGAGCGCTATCTCCTCACCTTCCACCAACCCTATAAGTTCATGAGAACGCGCCAAATGATCACTCGGTTTCAATTCAATTGCTAACCACAAGCCTTTGAGAGATGGAGAAACACTCGTATATTGACGGAATTCCAGGGACCGAGCTCCTGGTGGATGTTAAAGGAGTATCCACAGATGAGCATGCAGGAAATTCCGAGATCATCTTGATCCCACAACCAACCGAATGTTCCGGTGATCCTCTGAGATGGCCAAAAAGAAAGAAGTACTACCAATTGTTCCTGGTTGCTTTATACGCCTGTGCCTTTTCTTTCGGAGAAAATACCTTGGGTGCTGCGTGGACAACTGTTTCAGAGGAGACTGGCGTCTCGCTCACTAACATGAATGGTGGATCTGCACTCAACTACCTTTTGCTAGGATTCGTGAACATTTTTTGGATTCCAGCTGCAATGAAGATTGGTCGTCGTCCTGTTTTCATACTGACCACTGTTTTCTGCTTGTGTGCAGGCGTTTGGCTTGGAGAGTTCACAGGCGTTGCTCAATGGATGTTGGCTCAGGTGCTCAATGGATTTGGCACGAGTGCTTACCAAGCAGTGATCCAGCTTGCTGTTTTTGACATGTTCTTTGTTCACGAGCGTGGAACCATGATTGCTGTTTATCTTTTTGGCCAGCAACTCGGTTCGGTCATCGGGCTGATCTCGGGTGGAAGCATTGCTGATGGTCCAGGCTGGCGCTGGTCCCAATACATCGTCGCGATGATTGATGGTGCGGTGCTTCTTTTACTCATATTCACTTTTGAGGAGACTATGCTACCAAGATTCCTGTTCAATAGGAATGCTTCTGGTCTTTCTTCAGAAGCCGATGACGATGGCCTTGCTGAATCTGAAGAGAAAACAAAAATAATAAGCGAGGTCAGGGAAGAGGGTTCCACTGTCGACACGATGATTTCCAGGTTCCCAAGAAGATCATATATCCAAATGCTGAAACCTTGGGTATATTATCCCGAGGATAGAACCACTTACTGGCAGTATTTCCGCCGCCCGTTCTTTCTCTTTTTCTTCCCTAACGTTGTCATCTCCGGCTTCATCTTTGCATTTGGTTGCACGGCAGGCATTGTTTCATTCAACACTATCTCTGAAATATTGACTGATGCTCCTTATGACATGTCCACCACAGGCGCTGGTCTCGTCTGCTTTGGAGCGTTCGTGGGAAACATTATCGGCTACTTAACTGGTACTCTTTCAGACTACGTCGTGATATACTTCTCCAGAAGAAACAACGGTATCAAGGAACCAGAGTTTAGACTCTATACTCTCGCATTGTCATTCTGCTATGCAGCATTTGGTTACATGATGTATGGCTGGGGTGCACAAGAACAGGGTAGTTGGGCTCTAGTCGCCGTGGGACTTGGTGCAATGATTGCCCACCAGGTATCGGCGTGTGGAATTGCAACGTCGTATGCAATGGAGTCATTTAGAGGAATCGCAGGTGAGCTGGTGGTGGTTCTGGCTATGTGCTCTTCCTGTATTAATTTTGCGATTTCCTACTCTGTGCAACCTTTCATAAACAGAACCGGATACGGCTGGGCATTCTTCTTCTTCGGAATGTGCGTCCTTGGTAGCATGGCCATGGCGATTCCAACCATCATCTGGGGCAAGTCTTGGAGACAAAAGTGTGCTCCAAGGTACTATAAGTTTGTTGCCGAGAACTGCAATTGAGCTTTAATTCAAATTTTCTTATGAAAAATTATCTTGGTTTGATTGTTCTTTATAACGCAGTAGCATTATGCTTGAATAAGTTTCGTGAGAATTTCCATACTAAGAACCGCAGACTTGTACGTAGACGACGTTGTGGCTCAACACATCCATGCATCAAACTCATCTCTCGACTTGTCTCTCGGATCTTTTCGCCGTGGTCATAGTTTAGGGTAATTAACTCCACCACAATTTTCTGTTCATTGCAAAAATACCATGCGGGAATGCTCATCACAAGATGTTTATTATTTAAAGACGAGGGGATTTTTGAGCAAAACGGGATGTTCTTCGCGCCTGGACAATTGCACCTGCAGCTTGAGCACGCAATACTAAAACAGCAAAAAAAAGCAATTCACAGGTATTTATTAAGATGCATACGAGATTTGTTCACCCGATATCCTACACCAAATTTTTTTTTTAGTGTGGCTTTCAATGTAGATTAAATACCAAGTATATAAAGAGCCGCTCTTATTTTTTTTCGAACTCGAACAGCCATTGTTGGCAAGTGCGAACACCTTGATTAATAATGTCAACCAGTGAGACCCAGTCCAAAGAATCTGCGGAAGTGCTTCATGGAAACGTCTCTCCAGAGGAGTTTGCAGAGAAGCCTCTGGATGAACAGCTTACAGAATCAAAGCACTACTATCCTAACGGAAAACCCTACTGGTTTAGATCCACCTTTTTCCAGGCTACCATTGTTGGTATCTGTGCTCTGCTGGCCCCAGGTATCTACAATGCCATGCAATCTACCGGTGCTGCTGGTAATTTCACACCTTACCTGGTGATGAGGGCCAATTCCATTTTGAACTCTCTCATGTTCGTTGTGTGTTTCCTCGGTTCTACCGTTGCCTCTAAAATTGGTTTGAAGTGGACCTTCGCTTTCGGAACGACTGGTTACGCTATCTATGCCGCTTCTATCTACGTCAACAACAGATATGGAACTGAGTGGTTTGTCTACCTCGGTGCCGCATGCTGTGGTCTGTCTGCTGGTATTTTCTGGGCTGCCGAGGGTGCCATTATGATTGGTTATCCAGAGGAGGAGAAGAGAGGTAGATACCTCGCCTACTGGTTGGCCTATAGAAACAGTGGTTCCATTATCGGTGGGGCTATTAACCTGGGTTTCAACTCCAAGGGTAAGACCGTGGGAAAGCTCAACTGGAAGACTTATATTGTGTTTGTTGCTTTGCAGTCGTTGGCACCATTTGTCGCCCTTTTTGTCTCTCCTCCTCATAAGGTTCAGAGGATCGACCGCAAAAAACTTGTAATGGAGAGAAAGATTCCTGTCCTCCAGGAGCTGAAAGAAGTTACTCAGTTGATGTTCACTCGTGATATCTTGTTGGTTCTTCCGTTGTTCTTTTACGCTACTTATGATCTTTCCTACATTAGTTCATATTTGACCCTTTACTTCACTACCAGAGCGCGTGCTTTGGCCTCCTTGGTTGCAGCTTTACTCCAGATTCTGGGAAATTTGTTCTTCGGAACTTTCTTGGACTGGAAGAGATTCTCAATCAACCAAAAGGCCAAGTACGGCTTTATTTTCATGATGGTCATGCATGGTGCTTCTTGGATCTACGGAACCGTGGTCCAGCACGACTACACCACAAACCCACCAAAGTTGGACTGGTCCGATGGAGCCAGCTTCGGAAGAGGTTGGACTGTGTATCTGTGGTGGCAACTCAACTTTTCCTTGATCTACAACTACTGTTACTGGATGGTCGGTTACATGTCCAAGAGAGAAAGTGATCACGTTAGACACACCTCTATTCTCAGAGGTATAGAGGCCGCCGGTGGAGCCGTTGCATCTGGTATCAGTTCAACAACTGCTCCTTTGATTGCTTCTCTGGGAATTAACTTCGGACTTTGGGCGCTTTGTATTCCATTTGCCTGGTTTGTGGTAAGAGACATTGGAAAACCTAAGGTCAAGTCTTCCGACGAAGAGTTAATTGAAGAGTAGTTAGTGTTAGATATAAATGTTGTTGTTTTTGAAAACATCCAGTTAATTAATCAATTTTGAATGAGAATAAACTTGAGGAGAGTAAATTTATCAGATTTCCATCTATGCAATATCTAGAGAGGGGATGTCCGCGTCGTTGGCGCCGAGAACCTCTATTATTAGCGCCCTCGCGGACAGAACTTCTTCTTTAGTGGCTCCGTTTCTGTAAGCACCATTCAAATGCCATTTTGCTTGTAGAGGAAGATCGAAAGCAATTAAAGCAGCCACCATGGTCAGAGACGTTTCCGCGGGGTTCAATATATCGTAGAATCCCAGAACAGGTCCAAAGATCAACGTCAAAGCAGAGTACGGATAGTCAGGATGAACATTCTTCAACAGACCAACCACCTCATCAGTGGTATCCCCGTAAGTTCTTTTGAATACGTCGTAGCCATTAGTTTCCAAATCCTCCAATGGTTTTTTGTGGTCTCTGTAGGCTGTGTCTTCGAAGAGCTCAGCATCTAACCCCTTTCTCAATTCAAGCATCGCGTTGATCATCACTGGATTTCCATATAGAACACCGTTTTTATAAAGAGCTTCCCTTATTCTCCTGAGTATACGTCTCTTCTCATCTACCGACAGGCTTGGATCCCTGTATAGAACATACTTGGAAAGCGCTACCAAGTCTGCATACTTGCGTTTCACAGTGTACACGAGGGCCACCAACATGTACCACGGGTTTTCTACCAAAGCGGATTCATCGGACTTCGTGATGAGAGCCTCCAAGGAACGGAAATGTTCCGTTTGCTTATCTTCTGCCATAGCTGAGTATGAAGATTGAAAGAGTGAAGTGTGAACCAAATCCATCTCCGCCATCAACCGCGTCGTTATATGAAAATTATGATTGAGCCGCATCTGCGACTCATAAGAAGAAAATATACTCATCGTATGCAGGTATGGCGAATTCTGCACGCATGCATGGGTGTCCTTAATAGCCACAGCTCGAGGAATTCAAATTATCTGAATATAATATAACGGTGGGTTTCGGTTTGAGTTTCTCAGAGAAATTAGTGGGTTTTTTCTACAGATTTTTCATAATAGCAAATACAATGACGAGTATAGCTATTTCCGCCGATGATTTCGGATTGTTACAAGGCAAGGTGGCCTTGGTGACTGGCGGAGGAAACGGAATTGGAAGTGCCTTGGTGGAACTTTTGGCTAGCAAGGGCTCCAAGGTAGTTTTCGTTGATCTCGAGGAAAAACAGTCAAGTGCCTTGGCTCAGAGGCTCTCGGTGAAGTATGGCAAAGGCTCCGTCAATTTCATCAGAGCTAATGTTCTGGACTGGCAATCGCTACGTGCATCATTTGAGTACGCGTTCGAATTATTTGGAACTATAGATTTGGTGATTCCAGTGGCTGGAATACTTGAAACCAGAGACTTCTTGGAAATGGAGCTGGACCCAGTGACGGGTCTTCTTCAAGAGCCAAGTTATCTTTCTTTCGACATCAATATCAAGGGAGTGATGAACACGGTGAAACTGGCTCTGCATTATTTCTCCAAATCACCCAAGAAGGATGTGAAGAGGAGACTCACACTTGTGGATTCGACTTCCGGTTATTTCGGTGGGTTGGGTCAACTATCCTACAAAGCTTCCAAACATGGAGTAACAGGCGTTTTGAGAACGCTTGTCAACTACACAGAACAATATGGGTTCGTCATCAACGCCATTGCCCCATCGTACACAGAAACCTACATGATGGGTCCTTTGAAGGAAACATGGGCACAACAAGGAGGCCCAAAAAATACACCAGAGCAAGTGGCTGCCGCAATTGCGCAGATAAGTGTGGATCCCCAGGCGCAAGGCCAATGTTGGTTAATCGTTAACGGTAAGCTCACCGAAATTGAAAAAAAGATACAGTCTCTTGCACCAGTTTGGTGCGGAGAAGAGAACTTGGCTCAGCTAGGAAAAGGCAAGCAAATATTGGATTTTATTGGAAATTATCCCCTTCCAAAAAAGAGAGAGGTTTTCAACGACCACGAAAACGATGCAAAATTGTGATGACGCCAGGATATGACCATCAATGTACCATACCAAAGTTCTTTCAGACAAAATCGAAGCGCGTTTAATGATAAATCTATAAAACTGAAAATTTGTCGGAGCAAGAGGAAGAATGCTCTACAAGACAAATCTGAACTCGGTATTCTTTCCGTCTGTCATGTCCTTCATACCGTTCAAGATGGCCTCCATTCTCTCGTCTTCACTGATGGACTCCAAAGAAGACTTACCATGCAACTTGTCTCTTCTCTTGTTTTCCCAAATCAAATAAAATCTGAAGAGCACAGCAACGACAAAACAAGCACAGAAACAACCCAAGTTGGTGGCCAGGGCCTTGGTGTACTTAGGAGCATCTGCATTAGTGAAGCAGAATGGGCCAATAATGTTACCAACAGCAAAGAAGATAAGTAAAACCATGGACATGGTTGCACGCTTAGTGTGACCGGCCCAGTTACTTCCAATCATCGACAAAGCAAATGGCCAAGTTACAGCATAGGAGTTGATCATCCAGTATGCGAAAACTCTTCCCCATTTGGCTCCGTGGGATTCAGTAGCATAGACGGCCGAGAGACCAGCAATGGCAAGAAGAAGAGGAGCAGACATTCCAATGGTTCTCAAATTGTTGTACTTCATTGCGAAAACGGAGTAGATTAACATTTGGCCAGAAGAGAAGAATGAGGAACCAACAGAAACGGCAATGGATGTTAATCTGTTGTGAACAATGTCTGAAAGAACGAGGGTTCCAAAGTTGGTAAGACCACCGTTAGGAATCATGGAGAAGATGATGAAGCAGACCATGAACCAAGTCTTTGGATCAACGAAACACTCGATCATCTGATCCCACTTCCACTCGGTATTCTTGACACCCATCATGTTTCCGGACACACGTTTAACAGCAATAGCCTTTTCCCTCTCGTTCAAGAAGCGGGCTTTCATTGGGGTGTCAGGAACGAAGATGTACCATCCCGCTGCTACAAGCAAGGAAACCAGACCAAGGACGAGATAGACCAGTCTCCACTCGTTGAGCTTGGAGTGGGTGGCATGACCAAGACCATACGAAACAAACGAGAAGATGACATAGAAAATACCCTGCATGGAACCCCAGTACATAGTTCTGGTGACCTGCTCCTTTCTCGTGTAAAACAGGGAAGTGAACAGAACAAAACCACCAGAAACAGGGGCTTCAAATACACCAAGTAAAAATCTGCACACGAGTATACCAGCATAGTTGGTACAGGCCATATGACACAGCATGATTATAGACCACAGAAACGTAGCAGCGCAGATAACCTTACCCACTGGGTAACGTTGCAGAAGATAAGAGGCTGGATATTGGGCACCCAGGTAACCGAAGTAAAAAATAGAAGAGACCCAAGAATAGTCAGTACCTTTAAGACCGAGATCTGCTTTGAAAGTGAACAACACGGCCCAACCCAGGGCAGCTTTGTCAACATAGTTGATACCGTACAGAGTACAGATAATCCAAAGGATGTGATAGTCGATTTTTCTCGCAACAGCCAGGGATTCGGCCTCAGTGAACTCCTCCTTCAAGGAATCTTTGAAGACTTCAAAGGCTTCGTCTTGAATTTGGTTTTCAGTCTCTTCATCGATCGTGTAGAACTTGGTCTCGACCTTTGGGGCCGACTTGCCGTCCATCATGGAGTCTGAACCCAAAGTACTGCTCATTTTTTCTTTCTTTTTCTCAGACCGTTTCGATGTGTTCTTGAGAACTAAGCCAAGCGAACTGTGGCGGATCCGAAGACTACTTTATTTATTTCGAGTGCAAGGGTCTGGTCGTGATAAGATTTTGGGCTACTTTTCTTATCGTCCCATGATCGGGAGTAAATTTCCGAAGATCCGGGTTTCAGAGGTGCGTAAGATTTGCTCGTGTTGACTTCCCTCTCTGGGACCAAGACGAAATTTAGATGGTTCAAGAGATGGTTCGACAACAGTTTAACCTGATTACTCTCCGATCAAGAAAGTCAAAGATGAGTGATTTAGCGATTCCACCTTTGAACAAGAAAGAATGTCTGGATTTCCTGTCCGGGTTCATCCAGATCCACTCGCAGTCTCGCACTGCAGGTGAGATAGAAGCCATAGAGTACATGACCAAGGCCATGACAGAAATCGGCCTGGAAAGTGAGTCCATTGGGTTCAAGGACAAGCAAGATGGAATGGCGAGATGTAATTCTGTTGGTATTTGGAAGGGTACAGGCAAAGATACGGGAGCCAAGAAGTTGCTGTTCAATGGCCATGTGGATACCAACCCAGTGACAGAAGGATGGACGGTTGATCCGTACGAGGGCAAAGTGGATGACGATTTCATCTACGGAATCGGTGTGTCGAACATGAAGTCGGGATGCTGTGCCTACTATATGGCGGTGAAGACCCTGAAAGAAGCGGGATACCAGATATCTGATGATGTGACACTCACCTACGTGGTTGGCGAACTTCAAGGTGGAGCAGGAACTGTTGCACTTCTCGAGCAAAAAGTTATCACCAAAGAGACGGCTGACTATTTCATCAACTGCGAGCCCACAGATGTTTTTGCTTTGGTAATGCATGCTGGCTCTGCCATTTTTAATGTGAATGTCATAGGTGATACCAGACACATGTCCAAGCGTGAAGAGGCTACTGACGCAATCATGGCTTCGATGGATGCTATCAACAGGTTCACAGACCTGAAGTTTTCAGACGCTAAATCCGAGGTCCATCGGAGTGTTAACAGATGTCATGTAGGAACCATCAGAGGCGGCCTGGGAAGAAATTACGAGACTTGGAGACCTCCTCAGGTTGCTGATTTCGTTACCTTCACTGGAGCTGCTAGATATGCCCCAGGGCAAAACGAAGATATCGTTCTTCAAGACCTGGAAAAAGAGCTCATCAAGACAAAAGAGGTTTATCCAAAAATGAAATACGAGCTCTGTTTGGAAAAGCACGATTTCATGCCTCCCTTTGAAGTTTCTCCAGATGCAGACATTGTCAAGTACCTAAACATGGGCTACAGAGAGATTAGAGGAGTAGACCAGCCTACAGGTGCTCTGAAACCTCCCTGCTTTTACGGAAGTGATGCCGGACATCTTTATGAGAAGCTAGGGATGGAAGGCATTGTTTGTGGCCCTGGTGGAAAGTTCAATACCATGCCTGATGAAAGGGTCGACATTCCCGACTACCTTGATTGTATCCGGATTTTCATGAGGGTCATCCTCACGGTGTGTGGGGGCTACAAGCCTTGAAGCTGTCTCCTTTTGTAACAATATAAAAGTAATTACTACCCTTGGATATATATGCACTGATGAACTGTTTTTTTATTGTTTTTTTGATCGGAAAAACTATTAGCCAAAAAAATTGTCGCCTGTACCCATTGTACATAAAAGTTTTATTTCTCCTCCGGATAAGACAGACGTCATGCCCCAAATAAAAATGATTGCAACGATGCAATAATGTCTACTTCCAAATCAGCTTGCCAGCAGAAAACTGTAATTTCCAATACCGATATCACAACTACCCCAGTAACGATTTGATCAAATCTACAACTCTTTTTAAAAGTCAATAATCGACATGACTGGCATGACCCACTGGGAGGACTTCAGAGACGGGAAGCTAAAACGCCGCGATGAGTTGATAGCTGAATTCAAGGCTCCAGAAGCCTTGGTACCAACACCAGAACAGATGAACGATGTGACCGAGTATATCGAGACCATGAAAATCCTAACAGAGGACGAAATTGAAATAACCAACTCCACAATCGAGCAAATCCAATCGACTATTTTGGAGAAGCGTTGGACGGCTACCCAGACGATAAGAGCCTTCATCCACAGAGCTACTCTAGCTCAACAGTTGACGAATTGTCTTACAGAAATTCGTTTTGAAGAGGCCTTGAAAGAGGCAGAGGCCCAGGACTCGTATTTCTCACAAACCGGGAAACTTGTGGGTCCTTTTCACGGTATTGCAGTATCACTGAAAGATAACATAAAAGTTGAAGGTCTGGCTACATCCATGGGATTCGTTGCCCTTGCTGAAAAAATCGAGCAAGAAGATGCTGCCCTTGTCAAACTGCTTAAATCACTCGGTGGCTGCATTATTTGCAAAACAAATACCTCCGCAGGTATGATGTACTCAGAAACTACTAACAAGCTCTGGGGCAGGACTTACAACCCATCTGCCAGACAATATCTCAACTGCGGTGGCTCATCTGGCGGAGAAGCAGTTTTAGCTGCGATGAAAGGATCTTGTGTTGGCTTCGGGTCTGACATCGGAGGTTCAGTAAGACATCCAGCAGCCCTATGTGGTGTTTATAGCCTGAAACCTTCTTTTGGAAGAATACCTTCCTTTGGAACAGCTTCTGGCCAACCCGGCCAAGAGAGTATTAAGTCGATTTACGGACCGTTATCGTACTGGCTGGAGAACGTGGAGTATTCTTTTAAGGCAATTGTGGATTCTGAGCCTTATAAAAGTATTGATGCTAATTGTATTCCACTGAAATTTAGGAAACAAATTTTGGACAACTCTCCGCTGACGGTTGGGTTCCTAGACACAGATGGAACCTCTACGGCCACTCCGCCTGTTTTGCGCGGGCTCGAAATTGTACGCAAAGCATTGGAATCTTCTAATCATCAAACTGTTGATTGGCCAGACATTTATCTGACGGAGATCAAAAATGCCATCTATCCTTTCTACGATGCAAATGGTTACAAGTCCATCAAGGCATTGATCGAGGCCTCCGGAGAACCTGTGGACCCTTTACTATCAAAATGGTTTCCAACCGCAAGAGATATGCCGGTCTCGGAGCTCTGGAGTCTGCAAGTTAAAAGGTCCGAGTTGTGTCAGAAATATCTCAAGCTGTGGAACACATTTTCGGATAAACCACTAGATGCCCTCATAGTCCCAGTATCGCCATTCCCTGGGTGTCCATTGGACGGAGTTGTCACATTGCCGTTTACTGCAATTTGGAATGGTCTAGACTATTGCGGTTCAACTATTCCTGTGACAAGATGTGACACAAAGCAAGATGTTCCTCTGGACAAAACGAATTTTATTTCTAAAGTGGACGAACATGTCCACGAGACGTACAAGCACAGACTAAACGAGTTCCAGGGGGGTGTTGTGTCGCTTCAGGTAATTTGTGGAAAACTACAAGAAGAGAAGTGTCTTGCAATTACAAACTACCTAAAGCAGTTGCTCAAATAAAATAGCATATCTATAGAGAAAAAAATAAAAGGCGACTTTTTGTTGGCCTGATATCTTCCGTAGTGCACCTTCCATAGATAACGGTCGCACCCAGTTACCCGATGCGGTAACTATATGGAAAGGCCTGCCTTGATATCGAAACTTCAACATCCTTGTTTTATTTTGCTACTGTATCACTCATTGCTACAATGGTATCCTACTGTTTGACGATTCCAAGACCTGTTTTGGGAATTGTACACGAATATGCCGTAAGGCTGACTGCTTTTGAGTTCAAAAACTCGGGGAATCAATCAGACAAAGTCGTGGTGTTTATCGGTGGTCTGACAGATGGCCTGATGAATGTTCCCTACCTACCCAATCTGGCTGAATGCTTGGACGGGATTGGCTGGACATTGGTTCAGATCAACTTTAGCTCATCGTACCAAGGTTGGGGTACCGGGTCTTTGATGCGAGATGCAGACGAAATCAGTCAGCTGGTTGCCTACTTGAGGGGAGAAAAGGGCGGGTCGCGGAAGAAGGTGGTTTTGTTCGGTCATTCTACCGGTTGTCAAGATATCGTTCAGTACATCTCCAAATTGAAACCTACAGACCCTTTGAAGCAAATCGACGGAGGTATTATCCAAGCGTCAATCTCAGACCGTGAAGCTATATACATGGAGCTGGAAAGCCAGGGCAAAGGTTGGGCAGAACTGGAAGAGCTGAACCAGTTTGCTCAATCTTATGTAGACGAGGGTCGTTCTCTCGACGTTTTGCCAAAAAGATACTCTGATCTTTTCCTGGGTGCCCCTTTGAACGCTTATCGCTGGCTGTCATTGGCCAAGAAACTTGGAGATGATGATTTCTTTTCCTGCGATTTGACACCAGAAGATAACCAGGCCACATTCGGTAAAATTGACCGCAAATTGTGCGTGCTTTACTCTGAGGCAGACGAGTATGTTCCATCTTTTGTTGATCGTCATAAAATTTTTGAACAATGGAGATCGGTGACACCACCAGAGTACTGGTCCGAGTTCTCGGGGTTCATTCCTGGAGCATTGCACAATATCGGGCCTGGATCTGCCCCAGGCGGAGTCGAGTGGGCACTTGATAGGACCGTCAAATTTTTGGAGCAAGTTTAAAGTCGACGCAACAATAAAGTGATAAAATTCCCTTTATGAATAAGACGGTATATACATGAAATAATTGTGAACTATCCATAGATAAGCTAACACCAGCAATTAGTATGGTAGTGTGCATTCAATAGATGGGCACTGTGCCAATGCGGAAATGCCTACCACAGCCCCATTGAAATCACACACGCCTAAACGAACACCTCACAGCAACATTACCATATCGACCTAATGCCAACAGAATGGGAAAGGCTGCATCGAAGTTATCCAATGAGGATCTAAACGAGCTGAAGAAATCCACGAAATTCCAGACCAAAGAGCTGAAACAGTGGTACAAAGGGTTCAAGCGAGACTGTCCTTCTGGGAAACTCACCAGAGAAGAGTTTATCCGCATACACAAGCAATTTTTTCCCTTTGGAGACCCCACAGACTTCAGCAATTACGCATTTGATGCCTTTGACAAGGACAAAAGCGATGCCATTGATTTCAAAGAGTTTATCATCGCATTGTCCATAGCCTCTAGAGGCACCAAGGAAGAGAAGCTGCGATGGACGTTCAACATGTATGATCTGGACAGGGATGGAATAATATCATACGACGAGATGCTTTTGATAGTAAAGGCAATTTACAAGATGATTGGTCCAATGGTGGAGTTGTCGGACGACGAAGCCAGTCCGGATTTACGGGTCCAAAAGATTTTTAGGCTGATGCAGAAACAACCCGACGAAAAGATTAGCCTGGATGAGTTTACAGCTGGTTCGAAGACAGATCCCAACATTGTGATGTCTCTGGAGCTTTACAGTGGCTTGGTGTGACACGAAATAATGACCTTCTTTTGCTACTGAAGCTCACATCCCAACGACTGCATACCAGGTGCTAAGATGATAAGCTGGATAAGAAGAAGAGAATTGAGCAACGAGATTGAAAGCTATATCCAAAAACAAATCACGTGAAATTTTCTTCTGAAAGCCTGGACAGACTATATGTCTGAGGATTGATCAAGCGATCTGTTCAATCGATAAGCACCAGACGTACGATCAAAACCTTACAGATAAGAGCAAAACTATTTATTTCTCTTAACGTATATAAAGCTCCCTTCAAAACCTCTCTGCAGTCCAAATTGCACCTTTACATGTTAACTTTATCGTCTCCGTAAGTAACCAGTATGGTCTTGCTCCATGAGCATCATGCTCCACAGCCGTCTCCAAATGCTCTAATTCCTGATCTCTGAAAACCTTGACAGTTGCTTTCAAATCCTCCAATTCAGTGGACTGGACTCCCTCTTTTTCCACCTCACCGGCCTCGTTCACCAGGTCCACGGGGAACTGGTTGGCCAATACCCTCAACTGGTCGTTGTAATGTCCACCAATCACTGTCTCAACAGCCTCAGTACATGCCATTGCAGCCTCCTTTCCCAGCAATCCAGTAGCCACTCCCAAAGCAGTGGCCCCGACCTTCCACAGAGGAGTCAGCAAAGATGGCCTCACTCTCGTTCTCACTTGCAAATTGTTGAACGTGTTATGATGATGTATTTCCTGTTCCCACATATGCTTCATGATTGGTTTCAGATCAGGTCTTGTGTGTGAAAGAACCAAATATTGACCTTGGTAAATGTAATTTGCTCCAAGTTCTCCGGCTTGGTCAACCCGTATACTTCTATCCAGAAACGCCCTCTGGGCCTCCGATAATTGAGAATATTTTGTCTGCAAAGAAATGCCAGACGATGTGAAATTGCGCCTAAAAACTTTGAATGGTCTCATCATGCTAAATTTCAACGTGTTCGAGATATTTTTCAAGCGCAAAAGGGGTCAAAAAGATTTCGAGGAATGCTAACTTGGGGAAACGAATAGGCGTTTTCGGCATCACCTGCCAAATTATGTATGGCCCGATTACTTAAGGCGTCTATTCGAGCAAGCGCAATCTTCTTTGATGTGTTATTGTTAGATTGGAGACTAACTCCAAACATCTTTTTGATTGAGATAAAAAGAACTCAAAGAGCTCAACGCCGATTGTTTCTTGTTGGTAAGACAATACTTCGCGGTGAAAGCCAATAGTGGTGAGAAATTCACGTCTGTCTTCCTACCCCACAGACGAAGATAGGACTATTGAAAGTGAGATCCATGCTCGTTTCCCTCCGATTCTACGACATACTCGCTTTTATCACTTTATTGCTTCTCAGTAGGGCCACAGGAAGCCTTCAGGAATTTGACTCCTCGAAAAATCAACTGGTGTTGGGAAATGCTCAGGACTCATCTGCATCAGGGATAAGCGAGAGACTGCATCAACAGTTCAGAACCTATGCGGACCTTGTTGACATTTCCTATTGTATCACATCTCTGACCTCCATCAAAAAACCATTCAAGTGCAATGTTGGTTGTGACAAGTTTCCCAACACCACCGTCGTTTATCAATGGACAACCGATAGCGACGCCATTCTGGACCATTCTATGCTCGTCTCGGGCTACATCGCCGTGGACAACTTGACCCGGTCCATCTACGTTTCCCTACGCGGCACCAAATCTTTTACGGACACTTTATCGGACATTGAGATCACACAAATGACATTTGCTAATCCTGGCAATCATCTATCAAAATGCGTCAATTGCAAAGTGCATGCGGGTTTCTATATGACGTACAGGAACACTGTTGGACGCATCGATCCTGTGTTATCCGATCTTATCAAACTCTACCCGGCTTATCAAGTGCTATTCCTCGGGCATTCACTAGGTGGTGCAGTTGCCATGCTTCTCCCAATCCATCTCATCGAGACTCAAGGCTTTAAAAACTTCCGTGTGGTTACATACGGCCAGCCAATCGTGGGTAACGAGGCCTTTGCCGATTGGTATGAAAAATCGCTAGATGCAAATGGACTCTTGGACAGCCGGCTATTCTACCGGATCACCAATATTGGCGACCAGATCCCGACTTTGCCAAGATCCCAGATTTCCACACCAATCATCTACGAACAGGTTTCTGGTGAGATATTCTTATCGCAAATCGAGACTGATATCCCAAAGGAGGCCGTCTGGGTCTGCAATGGCAGGTCCGATAGACACTGTTTGAAGAACTCATATTTCAGTGCCGATGCTCATTTGATTTACTACAAGAAAATAGGAACTTGCATTCCCAACATTAATAACGACTAATGACTCTAACGAAAAAAAAAACGAATCTTTGCGACTTGATCCGTAAATTTCAAGCGGATCTTCTGCTATAGTGCGCCAACCACAAATGCTAAAGATACTCCGATGGGGAGATCTCTAACAAGACTCGAGATAAGTGCGATATCTTGACTTGTATTCTTCCCAATTTCAACGCGAAAATGACCAAACAAACTGTGGTAACCGAGGTAAGTCAGCCAATTGAGTTTTATGATTAGCTCGGATTGAGCTAACAGTCTTCAGAAATTCCTGTCCTTTGATGGGTCCAGACTCTCTGAGGGAGTCACATACAACCCCTCCAATCACACTCTGCTCTGGTTGGACGTCATTGCAGGCGAGATTCATAGAGTATTTTTGCCTAGCGAATCGCTAGAGTCATACGGATCTGAGGATTTGATCAAGGTTGCTGAGACACACGAAATCATCAAGACCGGATCGCCAGTTGGTGTGATTGGCCTTACCAGTGATGATGATGTTCTCATTGCTGGTTGCAAAGAGGGTGCTGGATTCGCGAGTTTCAAGACCAAGACTTTTGAGTACAAGTATTTGTTTGAGACAGATCCAGAGGTCGTGAAGAATATGAGATCCAACGACGGCTCCGTTGACAAGGACGGGAACTTCTGGGTCGGTACCATGAATGACTTCTCTTTTGGATCTGTGACTCCTACCGGAAAACTCTACAAAATCTCTGCAAAGGACGACAGCGTCACCACGATGATTTCTGAGGCCACTATTCCCAACGGTTTGGGTTGGTTTAACGGAAAGATGTACTGGACTGATAGTTTGACTTTCACCATTTGGAAGTTTGACTATGATTTCACCACCGGCAAATTGAGCAACCGCGAGCCTCATATCAAGATCAAAGAGATACTTCCTGGCTACGATTCGCCTGAGCCTGATGGGTTTTGCATGACGGAAACTGGAGATATTTTCACTGCCGTTTGGTCAACTTCCAGAGTTCTGCATTTTAACCCTGCTGGAGAGCTGGTTGAGGAGTTTGTTTTCCCAGCAGCAAGAATCTCGTGTGTTACATTTGGCGGTAAGGACTTTGACGAGCTGTTTGTCACGAGTGCAGATTTGCATCTGGATGAACCAGAACTTGTGGGAAGTGTGGCTGGTGATTTAGGAGGAAGCATCTTCAGAGTCAAGCTACCAGGTGTAAAGGGACAGAAGAAGAACATTTGGAAAGGAAAAATTTGAATTATTGATCGTCATCTGCTGAGCATAAAAGACGTGGCCAAATGTATCACCAGTCGATAGAGTACGGTTTCAAAGACAATAGAACAGTTTCTCAACTTGCAGACAGTATTCATGCAGTAATTTCAGATAGAAGCTCTCTTTATAGACATTAATTATGGGCGTATTTATTAGCAAACACCATGTCGCTCATTGCGAACAGCAACTCTTCATCTTCATCATCGTGATGGCCGTATTTCTTCGAAGACGAATGAAGCTCGTCCCCATCATCATCTTCATCGTCATCATCTGCAATGGCATGTTCGTTGAACTGTGAATGAACCACCAATTTGTGGTCTTTGAAGCCAGATGGTGTAGCAGAACTAGTTCCGGTACTTGCAATTTGCTTGTCGATTCCGTACAATCTTCTGGGCTCGTGGGGAACGTGAGTGGGAACAGATGAAGAAAGCCCACGGAAATCCTGGACATTCGGAGGGAGGTTTCCAACCCTACTGTTGCGTCTGCTGCTGCTGATTGCAGACTTGACTTTTTGAACCATTGCCTCGTGTGATGGGATAGGAGTGGATGATATGTCGGTTCCGTTGTCATCTTTGTGCATTTGCGCATATGCCAATGTTGACAGTGGTGCGACAGACGCAGAACCAGGACCCGGCTTCAACGAGCCAAATTGTAACGCTCCGTGGCTTGAAGTAGATCTGAATGGACTGTGGTGAGATTCATAAGGCTCACCAGGCTCCACGCTTTCAGATATGAGATCTGCAGTGGTTCCCTCCTTCAGGGGAGTACTGGAGATATCATGGTGGGAATGTCCCATTGGCAAGGAAGCGGAGAATTCACTGGCCCCCTGTCTGTATGCAGAAGATGAACTGTCGCTCCTGCTTTCAACGACAGAAGAGTAACTTCCCTTTCTGAAAGGATTGTTATATTGGATCAGCGAGGCCGAAAGATTGTCGCCAAACATGTTGTGATGGTCTCTTAAGCTCTGGAAGCGATTCAAAGGATCAGCGGATGAGTTCGAATTTTGAGGCGATAGTGATGCAAATCTCAAATCGGGTTTGCTGTCTAGCATCTTCACAAAGTCCCCGATCTCATCATCAACATACAGTCCGCTCCCAGGTTCCATGTCCGAGAAAACAGTGGAAAATGCCGACGAATCACTCCCTGAACGCTTTGTTTTCTTCAACATAGGATTTGATATCAAGTTAGGTCCTGTGTTTCCTTCAAGACTATTATTCCGCGATGTTGTAGATCCCCTGTGTAACTTCGAGCCGAAAGATGACAAAAACTTGGGTGTACCACTGCTTCCAGAAGAAACTAGAACGTGTTCTGGGATCCCGGCCGGCAAGCTGTTAGGATAAGACCCCAAAGATGACGAAACAACGGACTTGGGTAATGAAACTCCTGTCAGCATGGATGCGCTGTCGTTAGTACCAAATGAGTTTCTCTGTGACCGAAGCAGGGCAGCCAGAGAAGCAGAAGAGTTGGACTTGGACCCCCCAGTGACAGGTATAGGTTTTGTACCCGTCGAGTTTTTGCGCTCAGAGGTTTGTCTCGAGGAAGGTGGAGGTGACGCAGCCATTGAACCCACCTTGAAAGGTTGAACACTCGTATTTGACATAGTCCTGGCAGTTCTTCGGGCTGGTGAAAAGTCTCGGGAAGGGGAGGAAGATTGGTTCAAAACTGATGTTATCCTTAATGAATTCGCCCGTTTAGGGTTATCAACGGGTGAGGTTGCAGGCTGTTGCGGTATGTGTTGAGTTTGGGATTCCATGCTGATGAAATGAGAAGACAGCAGCGTCTCGTTGTCATTTAGCAAAAAGTTACAGTTCTTCCTGTATGATAAAGAACACCTCAAAGCACCAACAGGGGTAAGTATGGGATCAAACTTCTTTCCCTTTAAATGATCATCAGTCTCGCTCTTCAGAATCTTCTTGCTAAGTCCGATTCTGCCCTTCGACGTAATGGATCTCGAACCATCCAAGACTCTGGAAGACACTTTCAAAGGCGAATTTCCGCTCATTCTATCCTTCATCAGGTTCTCGTGCAATTTGAAAGCCGGGAGTAGCTTGAGGAACGTGAACAACACTCTGAATTGTACTATCACCCTCTTGTAAATGAGAGGCAATTCCACGTTCTCAGAGTCAAAACTGGTGAGATCAAACTCCAAAAGCCACCTCTCCAGCACAATCTCGCTCTTCTTGCCACTTTTGCTAACGTTAACAGCGTTTCTATGTCCTTTCAGTATCAGAGTCTGGTCGCTAGTAAGATCCCTTAGATCCAGATACACCTCTATGATAAGAGGCTGGAACGAGAATATGTCCTTGCCTTTCCACAGTTTCAAGTCCTCCTTCGGGATATCTGAATCTTCGAGAGAAATGTTGAACCATTTGCTCGCCTTTGCCGAATGCGTCGAGTTGGTGCCAGATGAACGCGATTGCACTATCATGTGTGCGGCCTTTGCGAAGAAGTTCTGAACTATCTGGGTCAATTTCTCAGACTGTCTCGAAGCAGCAGACTTCGTTTGCCGTTTCAAAGCTTCCTGGTAGGAACTCATAATGTGTATCAACTGTGTTGTGAGTTCGCAGGCAATGTTGTGATCGTGTATTCATAGATGTGGGCTTGATGTGTATGTGGAGTGGGGAAGATAGGACAAACCCCTAGTGGTTTTTTTTCAAACCAGAAATAAACGACTCGCCAGTACTTACTTTCCTGTTACTCTCGCGATTACACTCGTAGCGTACTGTATGACAAAAATTCTTACTATACAACAGCTTCAACTGTAATAATACAAGACTAAGGTGTAATGAGGAGAGAGCCGGAGCCCCTACTCATCCGTGGTCACGTGCCTCAAAACAACCCCAGGCATTCAAAGCCGCTTCGCAGCCTTCCAAATCTCACCAGATATCTTACTTCGGTTTCAAAAATATTTTGCAGCTGGACCAGCTCGCTTGTGATAAGCATTTCCTCTTCTTTGCCCATGACATCTTCTCTGGTGGTTTTGTCTAGCAAAATGCGGTTTTCGTCCTTTAATTTTTCAATTCTGTCCAGACAATCCGCCAGACTGTAGGTGAGACTTTTCAAGATTAGACTAGATGCTGCCTCTGGTCTGTGTCTAAATGCAAATGTGGATCTCATTGCGGACCTGTCCTGCGTTTTGGGAATTTCCTGGATTTCCACCAGTTGAAAAGTGGCCATTTTCTGGAGAAGACTGCGGACTGCGTTTTCCTTCATCAGCACAGTGGAAGCCAGTAGCTTTTCTTCAATCAGCCTTTTTTCCGAAATACAGCTCAACAAACGCAGAGCATCATTGCCGAAGATGGTCTTGATATACTGCCGGTAGGTCCAGTCTTTCAGAACAGTCGTTAGTTTCGTGAAGGGAACATAGTACCATCCCTCTGTGGTGCCATGCAAGAACGGAACGGAAGTATCCATCACCAATAGTCTCAAGTGTTCATTAATGAGACCTCTTAGTTTCTGGTCTGGGTCCACAGACATCGAGTCAGTCCCCACCATTAGCACGTCATCCAGTTGCTCCAATTTGACCCTTTTGGGAGCCCTTTCCAGATCGCCATCAAGACCTCTTTTGGTTCCGGAAACACTAGGATCCACTATCGACCCAAGTAAATCGTCTGTTCTCAGGTCAAATCTTTCTGAATCGCCAACCAATTTTAGGAACCTCAAAATGTCAGACGCATTGAAGGTTGCTGACTTCTTAGCGTCTGCCAACTCAAGCTGTTCTCCAAGCGATTCTAAATCAGCTGGATCAAGACCTGCGGTGACCGCAGCACCTGGCGCAGAAGAGGCAATCGAGGCCATGAACTTTGTGAGCTCCAGCTCATCGTTTATTATGTCCTTGGAGTCTCTCTCGATTCTGTCCAAAATAAGAGAGTAGATCCTAGATGTCACCTCTCCAAACCTCTGTCTGCAAAACGACACCAGCTGAACATCCCTCTGTCTCTGCAAAAATCGGTTTAAGTTGAACGTCAACGGCACATCTGGATTTATCATGCCGTTTACTCGGAGATCCTTCGTAAGACCTGATTTTTCTAGGATCACGGACGCATACTTCGCTCTGGTCATCTCCTTGATCTCGGCCAGTTTCTTCGACTGACTTATAGTTTTGGAAGCTCCCTTTTCGATAGTGTACAACCTTGATTGGTCTCTAAAGATTTGCATCAAAATGTCGTACCGATTCTGGAAATGAAGAGGATCTATGGGCACCAGCCATTTGCCCTCCACCAGTAGATTGAAACACTTATTGATCTCCTCCTCCTCATCAGACGAAGACAAAAAGTCTTGAAGGGTCAAATGACCTGAACAAAGCACTGTTTGAATGATTGTGACCATCAAGGCGTTATCGGGATATATCTGCTGCAAACACGATATGATCTCACCTGCATACAGCAGCTTCAAGGCACCATCCTCATGAAAATGGTACGCTTTGGGCGCCTTTTGTTTCTTCCAGTCCGAAATCGAGTGGACCACAATGTTCATCTGGAGTAACGAAACAAGCGCCTGTTTAATTTTCACAGCTGGAAGTGTTGTGTGATGGTGTAGCTGTTGTACCGTCAACGCACCGTGTGAAAGGATCGAGGACACCACCAGCGCAGCCTGCTCACCCAGATTCTGCTTGATGGCATGTGTATATAAATAGGACTCCGGCGATTGGGTATTACTCGCCATCACAATCCCAGAAAACGGGTTCGAGCGACCGGACGTCATGACGGCTGCACATAAACTGGAACGTCTTGTCACTTCCCAACCGCTCTCAAAAAAATTTTGAGGCCTAGGACTATCTGTTGAAGGTCGTGTGCCGCACCAGCTCTCAGGGGTCGTGTACCGATATCGCCTTTTTCGCACCGAACACCATGCCACCAAGGCACATCCACCGTTCTCCCACCCAGAGGATATTTCAAGAATAAAACAGAGGTATCTCTTCAATGTCTCTAAAAGCAGCCCCAAGTTCTCCCATATTATTCGTAGCAGGCCCGTGTAGGGAGTGCGCTCACCGTGCTCTGGCCAATCACAGCTCATCTGATTGGGGTGTGTCACTACCACTGTTCTCAGGCCAAAAAAGCCAAAGTACAACATGAAAAGGTCTTCCACCGGTACGCCAAGTTACAACTAGTTGCTCCAGATCGAATAATCTCACGATGCTTTCTAAAGTCTCATCAAGATCTTTTAGTTCTTCTGCTTTGGCACGTGCCTCTGCTCCAATTAAGATCACCTCGGCCCCATTGGCCGTCTCGCCAGCGGTGTCGTCGTTGAAGGTGATTGTCAATGGTGCCGGTTCCAAGTCTGGCCCAGCCGGCTTGGCCCATTTGACCTCAACCTTCAGCTTTTTGGACACCCAATCCAAGTCTGCACTTCGTCTCAAGAGAGAGTCGGAATTTCTGGGAGGCGCATACAAGTCCTACGTGACCAGGGATGCCATTGTCCTTGATGCCACCTTCTTGAAGGAAGACTTGCCATACTTTGTCACTGCATTGGGCTCTGTCTTGACCGAGAGCACCTACAAGCCTCACGAGCTTTCTGAGATCGTTTTGCCAGCCGTGAAAGCCACCTACAACGCTGCTGTCTCGTCCGCTTCGTTCATTGCTTTGGAAGAGTTGCATGCTCTGTCCTTCAGAAAGGGCCTCGGATCTCCACTGTACTTTGACGGTACCAAGTCTTACTCCGTCGAGGACATTTCTGCATTCGCCAAGTCTGCCTTCACTGCCGATGCTGTTGAGATCGTTTCCTCCAACGTTACGGAGTCTGACTTGCAGTCCTTCATTGCCGATTCTGCTTTCTCCTCTTTGCCAGCCTCTGGTCTAGCCAGCTCTGCAAAGCCAGCCACCTTCGTTGGTGCCGAATCCAGAATAAGAAGCGCTGGACCCACCGCTGCCGCCATCGGTTTGCCTATTGAAGATGCTTCCACCTATGCTTTGTTATCCGCATACCTGACCTCCGAGATCGAATCAACCCTCAGCACTCAGATTTCCACATCCATCAAGACATACAAAGATGCCTCTTTGTTCTACTTTGTCGCTGAGTCCTCCAGCTCTGCTGAGGTTGCTGCTGCCATCAAGAAGGCTGCCGCTGCTCTCAAGTCTGCCAAGGGTCTGGCCAAGTTTGCCAAGTTGGCCCAGTTCCAAACTGGCCTCACCGGTGGAAAGGACACCGTTTCCGTGTCGAAGTTCAACTACGTTGCCGTTGGAGACATCGATGCCTTGCCATTTGCTGATGAACTGTAGTTGAGCACTACAAGAAAGAAAAGACGTATGTTATTAAAACTCAGCCTGAATAAGAACAGTTAGATCCGGATGAGACTATCACTCATATGAAGATGAATGTAGAAAAGTAGGTTTCAAAGTAGCCTTGACCATAGTGTAGTGCTGATATTTCAAGCCGAGCCATAGGACTGAGCCATTGCTGACCCTTATACCTTTGGCAGTCTAGCCCTTACACGTTTGGCAGACCCTTCGAGCTTTTCTAGCCTCAAGTCTTTTGATAACATCTCACTTACACTCGCAACTTCAGCTTACGAGGGACCATGTCATTCCAACCCATAAATCCCAAGCCGTTTTTGAACTCGCTCGTCGACAAGAAGGTTGTCGTGAAGCTGAAGTTCAACAAAATTGAGTACCATGGGAAGCTCATCTCGGTGGATAACTACATGAACCTGCTTCTGGACGAGGATACGTTAGAATACGATCTCAGTGCAAAGGGAAAGACACAGGGGGAGATCTTGGCAACTGGGGGTACTCCATTGAAGCACGAGATCTTCATTCGTTGCAATAATGTCCTATGGATTGGTGAAGACGTTGCCGAGGCGGTGACAGCCGAGGCTGTTGACGACGAAAGCATGAAAGAGTAATGATAGAAGTAATTTGAAAAATACCTGTATACTATTGGTTGGAAACGAGTTAAAATAAACAAATAAAGGCAATTCGTAGAATTCGTAATTTAGGCAGATCTTATCAATTTTTCAAAGAATGTTATCAGCATTTATTTCAGATTTATGTCAGATTTGGGATTTCCCAGATTTTCCAGTTTTTCATCTAGAATCCGATTTGCCTTCTCATGCCATTGAAGGTGCCTGTCGAGGTCGTACTGTTTTTTAAATTTGCGCTTGCAATTTGCCGAGAAAGAGCACTCTAAATGTCTCTCATCCACGTTGGAAAGGACCAAGTCGAGCGCACTGGTCCGTTGGAGAGCTTTGGAGAGTGCTCCTCTTGCAACAGGTGGTGAGGCTGGAGTATCAAGTGCCGCATCCACAGGCGTGTTCAGTGGGGGAAAGACCAGACCAGCAACCGAAACTGAGTTCTCAGTCCAACCAGTAAGATTAGCTGGAATATCGTCTGAAGAGTGTTCGTTGCGATAATGATCTATAAGGTAGTCCTTCTTGGCAAACGCAATCTCATCACACACCCCACACTGCCATAGTTTAACCACCTTGCTATCATCGTGAATTTTCATATGGTTCTGCAAGCCAGATTCTCCTACACATTTTCTGCCACATAAAGGACACTCCAATTTCGGATGGTCCGTCTTGATGTGCAGCTGTAATGCAGACCACGTCTTGAAGGATTGTGAGCAGGTTGGAAAGTCGCATCGCAGTCTCTCCGGATTCGAGTGTGCCTTTTCCATATGATCCTGTAGTCTTCCATGCCTGTTAAATACCTTCCCACAATCAGCACAAGAAAATCTGTCCACCAAATGAACAGAGTTCACATGGCCTTTTAGAGTCTGGTGCTTGAAGAAGCTCTCGTTGCACCCTTCAAATGTGCATTTGAAGGACTTGGTATGTATCTTCTCATGTCTTCGTAAGTGCTGGGGACTATTCACTCCTTTCCCGCAATACTGGCAATGGAACGGCTTATCGTTCTCGTCTATGTGTTTCAGCAAGTGGCGTTGCAAATGGTCTTTCCGCAAGAACCCTTCATCGCATGTAAAACATACAAACGGTCTTTCGTTGGAATGCGAGCGTAAATGTTGTTCCAAAAGAGATGGTCGATTATAGGCTTTTCCACAGACCTCGCAGATGAATTTCTTGACTCTCTGAGACGAAGTTGACCGAGATCTCGTGCCACTGGCGGTGCCACTGGCACTGGTCTCTGGCCTACCTCTGCTAGGCGACTGAAAAATCTCATGCGGCGAGTCTGGTGGGGACGGCTCCGCCCCACTGAGTGCCGGATCTATGAAATCAAACTCCATAACATGTAAGTAGGTGAATTTGAGCCGAGAATATCGCCATAAGTGAAAAGTTTTCCATTACTTGGAATGTAACACATAAGTGGTGAGAGACCATTTCTATGCGTTATCCGAGTAAACATGGAGAGGGAGTTACCCTACCTGGAAAACGACGAAATTTGAAACTTTTCGTAGGTGTCTCTCCTTAACAAGACACCCTTGCAAGACACTGATTACGCACATATCCCAGACAAAAACTATCAAATGTCTGACTACGGTGACGACGACGGAGCTTTTAATGAAGGTGCTGAGAACTATGCCGACTTCGATGTGGAGCATTTCAGCGAGGAAGAGGCCTTCAGCGATGACGGACAGACCCACGAGTACCCAGACGAAGAGACCGCTGCGGACGGAAGAAAAATAATCAACGGAGGAACGGGTCCTTCTGAGGGTAACGGAAAGCACAAGAAAGCAGTAAAGAATGCTGCCATCTCCAAGGAAGACAGAACCACCACGCCATACATGACCAAGTACGAGCGTGCCAGAATACTCGGAACAAGAGCCCTTCAGATTTCGATGAACGCTCCTGTTCTGGTGGATATAGAGGGTGAGACTGATCCGCTCCAAATTGCATTGAAAGAGTTGGCACAGAGGAAGATTCCGTTGGTGATCAGAAGGTACTTGCCAGATGGAAGTTACGAGGACTGGGGATGTGACGAGCTTATCGTCGACCAATAAGGTGAGAGTCGCAGCGTGACATCAGTTTTTGGCAAATGCGCACTTAATAGGTTTCGTTGGAAGAGAGACAGAAAACAAGATGTGACGTCTGTTTCATTGGCCAAGACCAAAGTGAAATGCCCATTACCTGGACTCCACATGATCATTTTAGAGCAAAAAGTTGTATATTAAAGCTCCACAGGAGCCATCGTCAGTAAAGAAAATCGACATTCATTAGGGGTTACGTAGAAATTGGTCATCTGCTAGTTAAGATTGGAAAGATACTGATCCACCATGAACTTGTCCTTGCCTGTTATCCCGTTGCTCTTCGAAAATTCCTTCAGCACTTTGGATATATCTTTATCAGTCATGTCCTTTTCTGGAAATCCATTTCTCACCTTGGCCTCATTCAAAGCTGTTCTCAGTTCACCCAGATCGCATGTGCCATCTTTGCTGAACACTTCAAATGCTTCTTTGAGGTCTGCGGAATCGGGAAGCTTCTCCAAATGACTCGACATCAACGTCAGAAAACTCGAGAAGTTGAATCCTTTTTGAGTAGATCCTCCGGCCTCCTTTATCATCGCCGTGATTTCACCATCGTCTGGAGTTTCTCTCAGATTCACCAGTGTAGACTTCAGGTCTGCCACAGAAACTTTACCATCCAGGTCTTGATCAATGTGATCAAAAGTGGCCCTCAGACCATTCACTTGCTCTTGTGATAATTTTGAGGCTGACATCACGCGAAATCGAGCTGTATATATTGAATGCGTAGAAACTCAAACAAATTAAAGACTAACCTCTATATGGTAAACAATACCCCAATCGGGAGATTTGAGTTACACACACACTACATAAGCACGATCTCAAAAAGACAAGACAAGACAAAATTCTGGGGAATCTTTCTTTCATTGCTCAGCTCGACCAATTTGCTCTTGACAGTACGACTTTACACGATGTCAGCGACAAAGTCGTTTCTCAAATCGGCAAGGCTTGCCATAAGCAGCAACGATCCTGACCAAGCCGTATACCTATGTGACTCTGTGATCGATGACCAAGACCCGGAGAATTTCATGGCGCACTTGCTGAAAGGAAAGGCGTTACAGATACTGGGCAAAAACGAAAAGGCCCTTGCAGCCTACCAAAAGTCTCATGAGATCGAACCAGAGAACATAACACCTTTGAAAGGTATCCTGTCGATAGTTCGTGAAAAAGAAGATTACGAGCTTTTCTTCGACGTTCTGACGAAAATGGTGACACTTGACGCCTCCCAGATGAACTTGCAGCACATTTCTCAGGAAGCTCGAAAGTATCGTTCTAAATTTGCGAGAAAAATCAGCACCTTGGAGGAGACTTATCTGAGACACATGTTACCAGGTGATAAGCTGGGGGATGCAATTGGAGAGCTTACGCAGCCTTTGGTGGATACCTTGAAGAGTCTGGTCAAGATAGTTGCTTCTAGAGAGCTGGACTCCAGGACTGCAGATTTACGAAAGGCCAGAATGAAAATCCCGGCCAATCCCAGTGTTGTTGACCTCGAAAAACTTGATCTGGCAGCTTGGAAACATTACGAGACTTCCGATTTGGCAAATTTATACGAAAGGCTGATAAGCGTCCTGGACGATAAAAGAAGAGAAGACGTTGAACAGGATCTGTTCAACTACAAGTTCGAGATGCTCAAGGTGGCACCTCCTAACAAGAAGAAAGAGATCCGTCAACAAGTCTTCGACATGGCATCGGGATTGGTAACTGTCAAGCGAAAACTTCCTCTGGCCTACAAAGTGTATTTTGACTGGTCAGACTACCAAGCGGTTGGTGATATTGACTTTCTGGAAGTGATGGACCTGGTAAGCATGACCACCACTGGCTGGCCTGGTGTTCTTTTTGCGTTCGTTCAATCCGAGCGCTCGCCCTTTCCTCTGGAAAGAGTGAACAGATACTTTGAGGAACACACAAAGAATACAAAAAAACATAAACGAAAGAATGCCAAGAAGAGCAAAGCAAAGGAGTCTGGAGGAGCAGATTCAGAACTCTCTGTGGAGGATATAGCGCCGTTTATGGCCAGGGCAAAATCTGGAGATAGCATCATTGCTTTGCGAATCGCCATTGGCTATTATATTGAGCAGAAGGAGTACGAGCTTGCTCTCGATAGCACTCATGCTGCCATGAAATTGTTGTCAGAGTCCAGACGATCTACGGGACTGGATCTTTCACATTCCAGAACTGATATTCTCCTATCTCTTGCAACAATCTACACATACCACGAGTCTCCCAAAAACTTCGGAAAAGCGCTTCAAATATTTGACTCAGTTCTGAAACAAGACTCTGAGAACTCGCGTGCGAAGATAGGAAAAGCTTTGGTCATTCTTGAACGTGGCCAATATACCGAAGCATTTGCCTTGCTCGAAGAAGTGATAGTTCATTTCCCTAATAACTTGCAAGCTTTGATGGCCAAGAGTTGGGCACAGGTTAAACTCGGGGACTACTCTGAGGGAAGAAAAGGCCTTACTTTCATAATGACAAAAACTCAGGAAGCAGGAACCACAGATGTGGATCTGAAAGCCACTGTCTTGTACAGGCTGGGTGAGTCTTACTTAATGGAGGTGTCATCCAACCAGGATGCTGATCCTGCAACTGTTTCAGAATATATCAAGCTGGCCAAATCTCATCTCATCTCATCTTTGAAGCAATCAAGCACATTCTCCTCTCCTTACACATCTCTTGGAAGACTATATCTCGAATTCCTGAATGATGAGAATAGGGCTATCAGATGCTATTATAAGGCGTTTGAACTGGATGCAGGAGAAACCGAGGCAGCAAAGAAAATAGTCTCCATCTTTAGTGAAAAAATGGAATGGGACATGGTGAAAATCGTATGCGAGAGAGTCCTTTCCTCCGAGAGGACCAGGCACCTTTTACCAACGGACGAAGACCCCTCATGGCCATATAGGGCTCTTGGATGTTCTTGCTTAGAAAACCAGGATGACGTGGGTGCGATCGAGCATTTTCAGAATGGCCTTAGACTTGCTCCTGCAGATGTATCTTCCTGGATTGGTCTAGGTGAGGCTTATTTTGCCAGAGGAAGAATTGAGGCTTCGGCAAAGGTTTTCGGCAAAGCTCTGGAGTTGGATCCTGAATCATGGCAATCAAGCTATATGCTGGCAATTGTACAATCGGCTGTCGGTGAATTTGACTCAAGCATTGAGCATCTTGAGAGCTTCCTGGGCAAGCACCCTGATAATATGGCTGCATTGATTGGTTACATCCAAATTTTGATATCGAAATCTCAACTTGACATATCCGGAGGGTTTACAGGAAGAGCCATATCTTCTAACGTCAGTGCTGTGAAGCTTCTGCATTCTGCTTTCAAGGTAGACCCTTCATCCCAGAGACTTTGGGGACTGGTTGGAGATTGTATCAGAATATTCACCCAATTGCAATCACACCTTGTGGAAGCCCCACTGCGCGAGATATACAATATCATCAGAGATGATAGTTCTCTGGACAATGATTCACCAAGTGACCTGTGCCTTATCAACTACCTTCAGTCGCAGTCTTCTAGCTCTGTTGAATTTACAGTTGCGCTATCTATATATGCAGCGAGAAGGGCTCTTTCATATTTGAGTCCAAACTCACCAAAGCTTTTGAGATCGTCTCTTTTCTTCAACATGGGTCTTGCATACTCTGATGCGTTTTACATATTGGAGGACGACACTCCTATATTTCTAGGGACAGACTCCCTCACTGATCGTTCCATCAAGGCTTTGAATAAGGCGATAAACAATGAACCAAATAACGCTGATTACTGGACTGCTCTCGGAAACATCTCGTTAACGAAGAATGCAAGGGTTGTCCAACACTGCTTCATCAAAGCAGCCACACTTTCACCCAGAGATCCTTCGATTTGGACAAACTTAGCTTTGCTCTCGTTATTCTATGGCGATTTGTCATTCGCCAAAGAGGCTTTCGCTAGGGCTCAAAGTATTGCTCCTGAAAATGGAACCTCGTGGACTGGAAACGCACTTCTAGCTGAAGTCTCGGGAAATACAGAACTTTCCAAGAAGTTATACACTCATGCTATGGTACTTTCCAACGGCCGGACTCCTCTGTCTATGCTGTTGTACGGTCTTTCAGTCGCCAAAGGGGTTGTTTCAGCTGATTCGAAAAACTCAGTTTTGGTCCAAGAAATTAACTTTGCCAGTTTTGCCATGATATCATATCTGAAGTACTACCCTCAAGACAGACTGGCACTGTCTATCACGACCATGATACTGGAGCGTGTCAAAGACTATGAACGTGGTATAGACCTGGGAAAGCAGTTGTGCGAGGTACTGGAAATTGAGTACACAAAGAGTGAAAATGACACCACTCTTGAGAATTTTGCTGAAGCGAAGGCCCTTTTAGCACGGTTGTATCTGGGTGCCGGAAACTACGAGCTTGCCATTGAGGAGGCAGAGGCATCACTGGGAGTTGCCGAGGCTGCTCAAGTGGAACTTCCAAAAGTTGTACTGACTGCTCATTCGGTATTGGGTCTGTCGTTATTCTTCACCAGCAGGTTTGTGGAATCATTGGAGCAATTCAGACTCTGCTTAAACTTATCCAAGGACTCTTCTCAAATCGTGGTGTTGATTTCTCAGATTTTGTGCGCTCTGGATGAAGAGGAAACCAAGCAGGCAGCCATGGACGAGCTTTTTCAAAATATTGAGAATAATGGAACATCGTTACTCGTGATAATGACCCTTGCTGCTATCTCGGTGATCGAAAACTATGAAGACTATATGGTGGCCATTAAGGAAGAGCTGGAAACTCTTCCTCTGCAACTGCTAATCGACGATAAAGGCAGACATGTCCCCATGCTGGTCTCTGAGATCAACAAGAGGTTTAATCAGCATGAAAACCATTTACAGAAATTTGCCTTTTTCTTTCCAAGTGACGTCACCGTGTGGACAAATTTGGATGCCTCCATGGCATCAAGTACTGCTTCCGGAAGCATTTCACTGGGTTCGGCTGAACTTTCCAAGGTTTTGATCAAGACTGGTTATCTGAGGCAGATCCAGCGTGGTATATTTTTGAATCCTCAGAGCAGTACCGGGTATAAGGCATTGAGAGGTTGCATTTGACCTTTTCAAGATTCAACATGATTAGCATAATTTAGTTTTAGAATTTGTACTATAGCATATGAGCACTTCCTGCATATAGAAAGTTCGAGTGTAACGAGTGGCGTTGTTCTTCAAATTGTATCATAATATATATAATCTCTTACTTAAACCCTTCATCTTCCCATTGGTCGCAGAAGAGGTCCAACAAACACGAAGCACTCCAGGCCTGGGTTGGAGACGAGTCTGCACAATAGGCACCATTTTCGTTGGTCAGTTCAGTCAATCCTGCCCAAACAGTGGACTGGATCATGTCACGATGGGCAATCATTCTTTTTGACAACAGTTGGTGAAGATAGTCCGCAGCTTTGCCATTTGGTGTTGAACACTCAGGATGCTGAGCATAGTAGAATATCTTGAAGGCTCTCAAATAGAAGCCCAGAATCCAGCACCATTCAGGACCTTGGTGATAATTTCTGCCTTTCGAGGTTGCAAAATCCTCGCTGTCTTCGGAATTGTTGTAGAAAGGCCTATAGTTCAGATCCGAAGGATCCAGAGTTTTAAGCCCTATAGGACCCCTCATAATGGTATCAGCCTTTTGGATGCTCTTGAAGGCCTTTTCCGGATCGAATAGTTCTGGAGCAACAACCATTGCAATAGGGAAGTTACCCCGAAGTTGATAATCCTCATACGGCTTGCCAGATTTGTAGAGATCTTTGTAGATTCCTCTTCTGTTCACAATATCAGGGTTAACATCATAGTCCTGGTCCTCACCAGGATCTTCCGGAATGTAGTAGCAGCGTTCAAAGTTTTCTTGAAGAAGGGCCTCCCAGTCCTTCAAAGATATTTTGGTTCCGTCCTGCTTCTCAACGTCAGTATATTTGAACTTCTTCTCGTCTTGAAGAGCATTCACAAAACGCAAGGCGCTCTTCAAAAGACCATTGATTTCTATAGCCGCACCATCTCTGGGTGTTCCCGGGATACCTTTATTTCCTGCTTTTGTGCTTTCACCCATTTTGTCCATCCAGGTACCACAGTTGAATTGATTCCCACCATGTACCAAACCTGTTGTCCAATCCACATGTACATTCACGTTGAAGCCTTCATCGCGCATTTGAGAATCAAGATTGGGCCCTGCGTTTGCTTCACGGTAGCTGATTCCTTTCGCATGTCTCGCAAGAATCTCGTAAATTATTTCCTCCAAAGTCGACTCCTGACTGAAAGCACGGGGATCATTTTGGGGGAAGTAGGTATCGTCAAAAGGCAAGAACCTCCTCTTGACGGTCTCATTCAGGATGGAGTCACCATCAGGCGCAAAATTCGCGTACTCCTGGATAGACTGCAAAAAGAACCATGCGGCATCTCTTGCGTTATATCTTGGATCCTTTCCCGACCCCAAAAGATTAGGAATCAAACCATGCTTCAGGGTCATCGCAAAGTTCAAAATGTGTGACTTTGCTTCGTCGAATCTACCTGTAGCTATCAGAAGCCCACGCAGTGCCAAAAATACGTCTCTACCCCAACATCTCATGAAGTCATAGCTAAAATGTGGAAGACCAGCAGCCAGAGAAGGCACAATCTCAAAAGTATTCAGGGAAGCTGTCCTCATAGAACCAACCATCTGTACTGAACACATCGCCAAACTCTGTACAAATGCCGTACTTTCCTGTAATTTCTGTGTCATCAGACTCAGTGCTGTAAACCTCAAAGCTTCATAGGCAATACCTATCACAAGAAGGAAGTACCGTGGCAGAAGGAAAAATGGTACTTGCTTTATACGCTGTAGTCTGGAACGCAGCCAGTCCTGAAACATTTTGACTCCCTCTGATCCCGAATATTTGTCGAGCCTATTCACGACATAGTCACAGGCCCAACTTCCACTTCTCAAGTGCTCAACTAGCGGATGGGCAAGGTCGTTGCCCTTGATAGCATCCTTTGAAGCAGAGATCCAACCCTGGAGTCCGGCATATACCAAATGGCCATAGTTGGGCACATTGTATACTCCATCGGTACCAGCACTTGCATCTCTCTCTTCGGATTCACACTTGTACAGGATCGCATTCAGATCTATCAGCGATAGCTTTTCTGCAGCCGCAATAGCACCACTCCTAACGAACTTGTCGAGTTCGTCATCACATCCAGCGATCTCTGTATTCAAAATAGCAATCGATCCTTGAGGAAAGTACTCCGAGATACGGATTACAGTTTCATTCTTCTCTTCGTCAAACTCCGCTTCCGGATTTTGAATCGCAGTCAGCTCCACGGGAACAGGGAGAATGCGCTCATCTGCGGAAGAGCCTGATGGAGCGTCTCCTGTCCTGGACAAAGTGTAAGAAAACGCAGGTGTAGCTTTGATTCCACTAAGATAGATCGGAGCCAGTACCTGGTTACCATCAGCAACAAACTTGGTTCTGGCGACCAGAAAGTATCCCTTTCCAGTTTTGCTGTTCAATCTATGCAGGATGATGTACTGGCCCTCATGGTGAATGTGAACTTCACTCTGGTCAACGTCATTCTTGGTCTGCTCAGCAAGCTCAGTTCTTATACCATTGAGGATCTTTTTGGCAGAGCTTATACCCATATCGTCTTCATAATTGTAAAGCCTTTTCTCGTGGACCACGTCCAGCAGATGCGGATAGCATTCATCGTAGCCAAACACAGTACCAGTAGCACAAGAACACAGGGCAACCAGGGCCGCATTCGGAAGGGTGTCCTCGACAGTGCGTTTATCATTCGGCATCTCATTATCATGAGTACAGTCCATGAATAGAGCATGCGGAGGTTGGGATACCATCATCTCTGGTACAGGCAGTTCGGAGACATTGTTGATATTCTCCTCAGAGCGTTTCGAAAACTCAGACCGATCAGCTGTTATAGCGAGTTCATCCAAGGGCAACCATTGAAGAGAACCAATGGGTTTACCACCATGCATGTGAACCAACCTAGAGAGCTCACCAACTGAGTAAGCTTGCATTGCTTCCCTTATGATTGAAGAAATTCCTAGTCTTTCCATAAACAAAACGTCTATGTTTTCATCTCCCGTGAATAGTTCGGCAACAACGTAGAGATTCGGATTGGTTTTCCTAGCAATGTCAAGTAATGCTTCCCCCACATGCAGAGGAGTAGAATGACAGTTGTCAATTCTGAACCCATCAAATATAGACGCAGACAATTGAGTGTATTTAGTCATTCGTTCCCAGAGAGCTGGTGAATCCTCTGGAGACTTTCCATAGCGAAGTTTAACACAGTCGCCCCAAATGATCACTTCTCTTCTCAGATAAGCCTTGGATTGACTGGAAGCAAAATCCACCAGAGGATTACCTCCCCAAATCCAACCGTTGTTAGCCAGAGCCCATTCTTTACCAGAGGCATCTTCAAACCTGGTGAAATATGGCTCCGTCAGAGGACTGTATTCGGTCACAGGTCCCAATTTGGGGCCATTGTCTTCAAGCCGAAGATACTTGATCCTGTTGTAGACCTGCTCAAGAATTTCACTGTTATCCTCGTCATAAGCTTTGTATAGTGGCAAGTTTATCTCATCCAGAATCTTATGAGCATGACTCTTTGCCTCAGAGAAATCTGCGTCTTCACCGGCCAAAGTGCGAAGAACACTTGCAAACTTGTAGATGTCGAGCTTATTGGCATTCCTGGAACTTAGTTCAAATCCTTGTGGACGTGCCAGTTGAACCACAAACTTGGAAAGACTCTTGAGATTGTTCTTTACATCTTCCGGAATCTTGGTAGGAGTGATTGCCAAGTTTGACCAAGCTTTCTCGAGTTCTTCCAGGTGTTGCTGAACGTTCAAGACATAGTACTGCCAAAGCTTTAGGTCACCCAAAACATGAATCTTGATACCATCCATGATCTTCAGCAAGTCAGAAGTAGAGCGTATATCCGTGGGATACCCATGCCATTTCATGTACTTACTGAAATGAAGCAGCGACTTATCAAGAACAATTGCTGCTTCCAGATGAGGGGCAGTCTCTTGATTGTATCCTGCCTCGGGATTCTCACGCAGCCAATCAGAGTTGTTGGCAGTATGGTTCCACACCATATCTGTCATTGACAAAATGCCATGTTCCTTCTGCAGCTTTTGAGTCATAGCCCGAACCTCATCAACCCCTCCTTTGAAAACATCCGCATCGAAAGATAGCTGATCGTAGATAGAATATGGAGAATTGGATTCACCTCTAACCTGTAAAGGAGTAAAGTGAATCATGTTATAGCCTTTGCTCTTCACATGAGCAAACAATGGCTCCCAGTCTTTTTCCAAGTCTTTCCCAACCCATTTGGAAACGACAGACTGCAATGTAATGGCATTCAAAGGCAAGAACTCGCCGTTGATAGACAAGCTTGGCGGAACCACAAAATGCGTTTTTCTGGTAGTAGTGAGCTTCTGAGACTCCTCCTCATTCTCTATTGAGTGATAGGCCACGTAATAACAATAGGATCCGGCTGTATATATAGGCAGGTCTATTGTTGAGTCCTTGTGGGCAGAGCAATCGATGGAATGGCTGTAGAATTTCGATCTTGAAAACCCAGAGGTTGAATCTGGAGGCATATCTGTCCAGATATGCCCTTTGTTTGTGATCTTTGATCCGGCTGCAATAAAAAGTCTTAGAGTGAATATGGGATCCCCCTTCTTCCAATCCTTAGGTGGCGGACTAGCCGGAAGACCGAGAACACCGTTGGAGTTGTTCACCAATGGCTCGCCGTTGTCGCTGAGTCTCAGCAACACGATCTTAGACATTTTTGGGTTTAAGTCTTATCTTTGAGGAGAAGAAGAAAGTGCGGAGGCGGCCTCACCGGTCATTGTTCTTGACAGCTGCGAAGTACCGTGCGCTATCAGTGACACATTAGGGTATGGCAGCGATTGAGCCGCACGCTTATTGAGTGAATAGTATGAATAGTATGGATAGTATGAATTGATCGCTTCCAACCAATAGGAACCAAGGGATATTTATGGACTTCAGAACTGAATTTGAATTTAGAGAGCTTGCTTTCTACATTATTATGAATTTTCAGATTTCATACACATCCTTCAACAGCAATCGCCATAGTATTTCAGAAGGCCGCTTCACTAATCGTCAATGGAATATACATACACAATTTTTTCTCCTATTTTCAAGCAAATTCCATCATTTGCAAGCCATTCAATAAAAACCTCTCTTTCGCTTACTATTCGTCCCTCCGATAAGAATACCTCGTGGTAATTTCTCAAAATATCGCGAATACCAATACACTTCGCCGGTAGCAAGGATGCATATTCGGTGATGTAGCCAGTAACTTGTGGATTAGACGCCCCATCAAGTTCTTTCAAGGCCTCCAGAAGATCGCCTTCATTACTTGAGTCAGTAGAAAGGACCCCACTCCGAATGCTTCTCCAATAGTACTGCACAAACAGATAAGCGAAATTCGATACTCGCAAGGGAACATCAACTTCGCTCACCAGATTCGGATAATGAGTTTTGGGAGAAGTGATGTCCCAGATAACGATACTGTAGCTCGAAAAGTCAATTCCAGCAAGCAACTTTCCGTCTGGTGAGAATTTTTGTCCAACCAAAATTTCACTCAGATGTGGTTCTGCATCCATTTGGGAAGAGGTTATCTTTCTGTCTTGATTCCAGTTCAATGTGTAACACACCCGTCCAGACTTTCCATCCTCGTAAACAACAGCAGCATATTCTTGGATTGTTCCATGGGAAATACTCTTTAGATCGAGGGAAACACATGTCTTGTGCCCCCTAGCCGCAGTATCATGTACTAGTCGTCTGGAGGAAGCCGAGTCTGGATACTCAGCAACTGCGCAGATTCTGGAGAACTTAGACGTGATGATTCCTTTGCATAAATCAAGGGCATCATGTAACTGTAGAGACACATCACCTACGCGATGGTGATGATAATGATGATGACTTGTTTTAGATGGAGTTGGCTCCAGCTGAAGAAGTGCATTCAGTATCAGGAATATTCTGTTGGGCGAGAACACGAATGAGTCATCAGGGCTTTCCAAAAGGATAAAATTCAGGATCTCGATAACTTCAGCTTTCAATGATAGGTCCTCGATTTGATTCAGTCCAGAAGTAGGATTCGACAACAAAAACCCTGCAATGATGACAACAAAGTCAGGATCTGTATGGCACAATGCGTCAATTATCTTCGTACACTCATCGAAAACCAACATATCGTCCACTTGGACAGATCCTGAGATTAGTCGAACGTTGTGGTTCAACCTTATCTTCAAAATCAAACGAACGAAGTAGACTGGATCTAGAATGTGTCTGGAGCTCAGAAGCTCAAAACTCTGCGAGAGCAGCTTGAGCATCAACACTTTGACTCTAGCATTACTGGAGTGCAAGCAATTGAAGACGCTAGTGATAACATCAACCACATAATTATGGTCAGACAAATGCGTAGTTTCATGAGAGAGCAGGGTTCCGAGAATTATCGTCGCGTACAAAGTACTCATTTCCTCCGTGTCAGACGGATAATTCTCTGAAGCTAGCTTAAGCTTTGGTCTCCATGTTCGAACAATTTCGTCCACAGTCCAGCTGACCTTAGGAAACAGTTCATACAACAAGTGCAAGCACCTGGTCAGCTCTTCTTTTCGGCAGATAAGACAGCATCGGCACATGTCCCTGAGAAAGAAGGTTGTATTGTAAGTAGCAGTGGCATAATCCTGAAATTTGGAAGCGGCTGTATCGTTGTCGTAGTCGTGAAGAAGAGAGAACACGGCAGACTCAGTCGAGGCAAAACCATGCTTCGTGTCAAAAGAGAGGAAACTATCTGCTGTCATGCTTGGACTCTCCAAAGCAGAATCTTCCATTGCATTGTACTGCGGTGTAGAGCAATAGTCTTTCACTGTAAAAACAGATTTTGTTTCAGTCGAAAACATGGAAAGCTCAAATTCCATGGGTATGTGCTCCACCCTATCCCTGTGATACAGAATTGGTGCGAATGATGCCAAATCAATGATGGCCCGGGTTCCACTGGCATAATCAACAGATATGCATGTGTAGCCTTTCAAAACATGGACAGACAGTATCGTGTCCCATGGTTTTCGCGGGATCAAAAAAGCTTTGAAACCTGGCAGAGGGGCTTCAATAGCTTCAGCAAATAGCAGCAATGCCAAATTACCTTTGGAATCCCGTGCCCATATTATATTAGGCAACAGACCAACAGGGATGCTAAAGTAAGAAATTCCAACTACACTTGACTCCAACAACGGATATCTCATGAGCCCAAACCCTTCTGAGGAAGCAAAAGCCAATTCCCCAGAGTCATTTCCGGTGACAACAAGACTCGAGGATATCGTAGTGGAGCATGTCAGAGAAGTAAGGCAATGCTGATTATCAAGACTCTTCTGCGCAACAGAATTTCCCGTCATACCCCATTCAAATAGGGGAATTATCACCCTTTCATCCCAAGCTAGAGTATCGTCGTCTGGATCAATCTTCCTCGACCACCATTGGGTATCATCACTGAAAATTCCCATAAGATAACCTTCCACAAAAAAACATTTCTGCAAACAACGATTGTTGCTTTCGACCAGTCTGACGTTACCGTCACAAACAACCATGACAGCCATATTCGCGGTGGTGATTGCAATTTTATAGGAATCCCCGTCGACCGACACAGCTGCATCCACAAATCTCGATGAAATGGGTGAAGATATCTGGTGTACGATTTTGGAATCAAACATTCCGTATATTACCCATCCGTACTCCTGGCACACAACCCACCGAGCCTTCCCCAGACCAATAACGGCGACTATTTTGCCATAGGCAGACTCCCCAAACCCATTTCCCTGAACAGGCATTGTGAACTTGTAATCAATATCAAAGACCAAACCGGAATTTACGGTATATTTTGCAACTTCATATGACCCATCATCGAATATCACGTAGAGATAGTGTCGATAATACACAATCAGACCTGCCAGCTTATAATCAAAGGATATCATTCGAGAGGGAGAGATGTCACAAACATCTCGACACATCACACAAACCTCATTGAATGCATTAGAAAGCACAATTGAGCTGGATCCGAGTATCTTGAAGAAAAGAGGAGATCCGACAATTTCAAACGGCACTGCGCTCTCAAATAACAGTTCACCAGTCGCGATATCAAACGACAAAAGCCTCTGGCTCTTGGTGATACAAACAACCATATCTATGTTACCCTCAGAGTTGATCGCGATGTTGGTGATATCTTCCACTGCACTTGATATCGTCCGTAACACTCTCCAAGTGGATCCGGCCCTTTGAAACCCCAGAACGTATAGGCAATTACCCAAGCATACGACAGCACCACCACCATAACCCACAATACCAGCACAATATCTTTGAGCTATCGAATTTTCAAGAGCTTGAGAGATACCTTTTTGCTCGTGCTCGGAGACTCTCAATTCACTACAACACAACACCTTGAGATCCTTGTTATCATCAAACGGACGGTAATGAGTGGACCCAAGTGCGTCGTCCAGTAACTCATCATTTCCAAAGATATACTTATCCGAAACAAATGCCTTAACCAGAACCTGGCTTAATAATGGAATGCTCATATCATCTTAAAGACCTGTTTCAAAACAACATAGTTGATTGCGGCTCAGGCTTACCCCAAAACGATAAGACGAGCACGTTATGCCATGAGAGCGTTACCCGGCTTCAAGCTACAGATGCCTCGCGTCTTAAAAGTATGGGGTGGTCTTATGTGGTTACGCTGTCTTTCTTTCGGTTTACCGAGCCATTTCCGACTAGATGTTTTTGAAATGAGCAGTGGTTTGTTCAATGGTGTGATTATTGGACCATTTTTACAAGCGGCACTTAAATATGCCAAATTCGTGGGACCGGGTATTATGGTTTCCGTGGCCTACATGGACCCCGGAAATTACTCCACATCAGTAGCAGCTGGTTCTAGTTACGAATACAAATTGCTGGTGGCAGTTTTTGTGTCAAACCTGTTTGCAGTTCTGTTGCAATGCCTGTGTATAAAGGTTGGTTCGGTAACAGGGCTGGATCTGGCGCAAAATTGTCGGTTGCATTTGCCTCGGTGGTTGAATCTCACAGTCTACGTCTTCACCGAAATCGCCATTGTGGCCACCGATTTGGCCGAAGTTGTGGGAAGCGCGATTGCGTTGAACATTTTGTTTGGGATTCCGCTGGAGCTTGGAATTGTGCTTACTGTGGTGGAGGTTCTGATTGTTCTGGTAGCATACAAGTCAGACGGAACCACCAGGCAGCTGAGATATTTTGAGCTATTTGTATCAGCCTTGGTCTTTGCAACTTGTGTTTGTTTTGCAATACTTCTCCAAAAGGTTGAAATTGCGGACGTTGGCGCTGTTTTCAAGGGGTTTGCGCCTTTGTCGTCTGACATTCTCGAGAAAAAGGCTATCTACCTGTCCTTGGGGATTCTGGGAGCTACAGTTATGCCCCATAGTTTGTATTTGGGATCAGCACTTGTTCAGCCGAGATTACGAGATTATGACATTAAACATGGAAATTATGAACCATTTGAAGGTGAACAGAACGGGGGTCCATCACGGATGATTACATACAGACCTTCATTGAACGCTCTGGACTACTGCTTAAAGATGTCATATTGGGAACTGATTGCATCGCTCTTCTTTATTGCACTATTTGTGAACAGCTCCATCTTGATCGTTGCTGGAGCATCTTTGTACGGAAAACCTGATGCCGCTGACGCGGATCTTCTTACCATCTACGACATGCTAACTGGTTATGTTTCGCCCACCGCAGGGTTGTTGTTTGCTCTTGCAATGCTCTTCTCCGGACAGAGTGCAGGAATAATTTGCACCATGTCTGGACAAATTGTAAGCGAAGGGTTTATCCATTGGAAGGTCAAGCCTTGGGTGAGAAGAATCATAACCAGACTGATTTGCATTATTCCCTGTTTGGGAATGGTGTTATTTGTTGGACGAAAGGGAATTGCACAGATCCTGAATGGATCCCAAGTGTTGTTATCTCTTATACTTCCCATTGTGTCTGCTCCATTGATTTACTTCAGTTGCAGTCACGAGATAATGAGAGTTAGGGTGAACAAAGTGCCGATCGAAAACCGTGAGACTGAACATGACTCAATAGACGAACAAACGAACCTGCTTCCTCAATCAAAGACCTACAGTGGTGCCGAGTATCTGGATTATACCAACGGGGTTATTCTCTCGGCGCTATCATTGCTAACCTGGGGTAGTATCAGTTGCTTGAACTTTTACCTAATTATACAGTTCATGAGGGGTGAGGACATTGACTTCTGAATCAAGCGTGACATAGACTAATAAACTGTTATACATATCATACCTCAACAACCTCTGACTTTGTCAAATCTTCCTCCAAGAAGAAGGAGGTTGCAACAGGCTTTTTGCGAACGCCCATAATCTTTCCCGTTGGAGGAATCTTGGGCCTCAAGTTTCTCTGTTTCTGAGGCAACTCATCGTCTTCCATCAGCTCAACTTCCGCATTATTGGACGGTATGACTTCGGGCTGATCGTTTCGTCTGAGAACTTTGAGCAGGTTCTGTTCTGATCTTTCTATGACCTTCACCAATAATGGCTGCAGCAGACCAATCTGCTTCTTGACAGACTCCTTTGTCAACTTCGGGTATGTGACATCTTCTAGGTCCTCATACTTGATCTTGTGGGCCTGCTGGTCTGGGTTCAATGAACTCTGCAATCTCGAGTGTAAAAGATGCAGTGGGATGGTAGATGTAAGTAATCCGAATTCTTTGTCCAGACCCAACTCTTTGAAACCAAAGAAATCCTCTCCAATTTCATTCGAGAAATCTCCTGTGAGAAACTGGTCCGAAGACTCATTGAAGGTCTTTTCAGTAAACTCCTGTAGACCGGGTCTTAGAAGATCCTTCAAGAATGAAGAAAGTCTTTCTTTCAACTCGATCAACTTAGTATGCTGCTTCTGCACGTTCTCTCTATAGTACGTATACAGAGCATCTGGTTTTTCAATCCCATTCTCCAATAGCGACACGAGGAGCCCCTGCTTCAACGTCATGGGCTTGGTATGACCCTTGATCGGAAGCTTGTTGATTGAGTTGGACTCCATGTGCATCTTCAAAGACTTTACCAGGCTGGCGAAATAGTCAACTGCGAGCTGGGTCATGATGTCTGCTGCAAACTCGTTTGTAGACTCGAACCCATTAGCCATCACCACCTTGCATACGTTCCTCTTCAAAGCTGTATAACATACCTCTCCATTCATATAATCATGAGTTCCAAGCTTTTCGACAGGATCCAAATCGATATCCTCCAATCTGTCCACATCAGGTGGCTGCATCTGAGTGTGATGGAGGAACTGTTGAGTTTGCATCTGGCGAATCAACGAGATCTTGAAACATATTTTCCTCACGTCCTGCATGAGGTCGATGTTCTGAAGCAGGATATTTTTGGTGGTCCCTGACTGATTTGAGGTAAAACGCGAAGGAGGAAGAGAGTTGAAGTCTTGGCCTGTCCTCATCAGCTTCTCGATGGCTTCGTTATCTAAGGCTTCCAGGTCTGCCTCAGAGAGGCCCTTAAATGGTATCGAAGGAACACCACCACCAATGTCATACTCTATGAGATAAGGCTCGTCATTGTCGTCCAGATACTGGTTGCGATGCAACACGAGGTTGTTCTCATCACCCAAATAGTTGCTGAAGTTACTCATCTGTTGAGCGTCTCGTAGAATGGCCTCTTCGTTTGGTTGCAACTTGCTTCCCTTGAACAATGCAGATCTCCTGCTGCATAGCTTGAACCTGGAATTAGCAGTGAGAGTTCTCCAAGTTTGCATCTCCAAATCGTCCTCCTCTATACCCTGGTTGTCGTCATCATCGTCGCCTCTTCCCTCTTGATCATCTTCGTCTTCGTCATCATCTTCGTTGTCATTAGTGGTAATGTTCTCCACAGTAACATCAGGCTTTTCGGCCTCTGTTTCCACAGCAGGTGTTTCATCGTTTTCTACCTTTACGCTGGGATCTGGGGTGTCCACATTGCTCGTTGTGGCTGTGACGTCAGGGTTCTCATCCACATCCATATCATCACCGTCATCGTCATCTTCAATCAAGGGTGGGTGTTCATGGCCCTGTCGTCTTCCCTTCTTAGGGGCTTTTGAGCCCGCTACCCTTGTCGTTTTGGGAGAGCTTACGGCTGTCGTCGACGGAGTGTCTTCTGCGTGCTCCAACATCTCCTCCTTCTCAACATCCGAACGGTCTCTAACTGTGATATCTGGTATAAGTGGAATCAACGCCAGAGCTTTTTTCTGCATTGCAAGAGCATCAACTCTCAAAAAATGATTGGGATCCGAGTTATAGGTCAGACAATTCTTCCATATCAACATGACGTCATCCACGAACTCTGACTTCGTTTTGTACTGAAAAGTCTTAAGCTTCTTCATCACTGTGTTAAGATCCATGGGCTTCTTGATGATTTGGTAGTAGTTTGGGGCATCTCTTTTAGAAACTTTGTTCAAGAACGCAGTGGAGTGCTCGGTATACCCACGTAGCTCCAAAATCACTTTCTCGCAGGCTTCGTAGAGCTCTTCTTGGCCTATGTGGTTATAACTGGCCCATTTGGACCTGTTCTTTCTCACATCCATAATCAGGTTGCGAAGCTCAATGTCGGTGATGTTCAGGTTATCTCTGTTGTCCTCAATCTTGCTCAGCAAATTCTTTAGCGAAAGATTGGCTGCACCACCAAAGTTGATGAGCTTATTCACATTGTTACCCTTCTGGGACCCATCACCATCCTCCAAATCATCACCTCTGGCTAGCTGCTTGTCACTTCTTTCGAGCTTTCTTCTCTTTATAAGATTCGTCTGATCAGATTCGAACCCGTGGTAGATTTTATTGAAACTCTTAATCAGCTTTGTCTCGTTTTGTCTTTCCAAATTTGACTCAATAACAGATGATGTGCCCAAAAGAGGATGCACCATTTTGCCTATAGCCTCGTCCACGCTACTGGCAGGATCAATGGGGGTGGGCAGGTTCGGCTTGGACGTGAGTAGCGATATCGGTATGACTAATTCAATCTTGTCGTCTTCCAGTTTCGTGATGACTCCATCCTCATCTTCTGTGCTGTTGCCATATTTTGTGGTAGTTTCACCAACAACAGCCTTATCTTTTCCAGAGTCTTCCTCTTCCTCTTCGTCATCATAATCATCTTCCTCATCACGAGGTGCACTGGGCTCCACACCATCGGCTTTTGATTCTGTCGCTTCCGTATCGCTCTCATCCATAAGAGAGTATGTGTCTTGAAGATCTGTGTCATTTCCTCCGTTGTAAAGATGATCCACAGCCTTCTCCCATAACAAATAGCGTACTGTGGAGGCCAGATGAAGGACAGACTTCTTTCCAGGCTTAAGATACAACTCCGTATCTATCGAGACATTTTGTGAGAACTCCGCCCCTTTTCCATTCTCAGACTTTTCAGCATTACCTGAGTTAGCTGTTTCTGGCGTTTCGTCCTGGTTACTCTGTTCTGGCGTTGATGATTCTGGAGCTTCATCGCCTTTGACCTCTTCAGCAGGCTGAGTGTCTTCTTTGGAAGAAGTCTCAGCCGTTTGTAAAAAACTAAGACTCAGTGTGCCATCAACAAAAGATTTCCATACTGCTTCACGTTTGGAAACATCCAAATGTAATATCAAGCTCAATAGGTTGAACTGCTGGTTGGTGAGGTAACAGTTGAAAAAGCCGTTCTCAAAAAGCCTAAGGGTCAGCTTCAACAGGCCTTTCTCATCACCAGATATAAATAGGTGGAGGCTCTTATCCATGGTGAAGCAGTACACTCGAGCACAAGAACAGATCTTAACCGAAATATAATGGATGAATTGGAGAGGTAAAGCCTCTGAACTTTGTCTTTACCAGCATTGTTTCCATAGACAGGGCACCTTTTAAGTGCACCAACCAAATGTCCCCTTTCGGTATGGACATGGAAATGAACTGATTATATGTCCTTGTGGAACGGGTGATTTATGGTAGGTATAAAAAGTGGAAAGGCCACCTACTCGCAGAATACCATATTTTCTTATAAAACAATGTCCAAATCTAACAACTTAAAGAAAAAATACAGAAATTCAACCTCCAGTCAGCGGTACTCAATGTGAGATTCTGGTCCTCTACCTTCGCTGAAGTTCCCGCAACTCAAAATATACTTTACAATTAACTTGTTGTCGCTCAACTGTACCCCAACAAGGTTTTTCCAAAAGCCACAAGGTTCTCAGATACATCACCTCTTAGCTGGTAATCAAGGTGAGGGATGAAGTTGTTCGCCAAGGTGGAGCACTCGTCGTTATCTGAAGAAGAACTGTTACCAATTAAAAGCCTCAGTTTGGAGCTCACTGTCTCCAGCGAGCGTTTGGAAGTTTCGCTGATCTCAGACTCAGCGCTAGTCAGTTCAGCAAACAACTTGAACAGAGCCACAAACGCAAAAATGTTCAACTCACCAACAGCTACGCTGGAACATTGAGCCTTCAAGTGATTCAATAGAATGTCAACCTGTTTCCATTCATTCTCGACGCGATAATGCAAACACAGGCAACAGGTGAGCAGAATGAGATTGCTCTTGGAGGCCAAATCGGAACGAAACACGCGCGTGGGCTCAACACTCTTCGATATCCGCAAAACTGTAGCATCCTTGATGCTGTCCAGCGATACAGTCTTGGGTGTACGATCCTCACCAGTAGCAGCGACTTCTGTGGTATCCTTTTCAGCCATTACCTCGACATTCTGTCCCTCTTCACCTTCCCCATCCTCCTCGTCTTCCTCATCCTCCTCATCTTCGACCTCTTCCCCCTCGTTAATTGCCTCCCCATTCGTACTCTCAAAGGCATTTCCGACGCTAGACATGCTCTGATCATACCCGTAATAGTCCAGTTTACGAGAGACCTCATCAGTTACAAGCTGGAAAATGGAATTCAGATGACTGGTTTCCGAAATATCCAGCAGATAGTGAAGGGTCTTGCTTGTTTGGATCAGATCCAAGCACGATGCAGGAATTATGGAGTCGACCTTGCTGATGATAGCTTCAAGGTTGTTGCTCACTTCCTCATTAGCCTCAGTCTTTTTCGCCAAAGCACCGAGGTAATCTGTGGCAACTTGTTTGAGGACAATTTCAGTCTTGATGAATATGGCAAAATTCACTAGATTCAATTCAGAGTCCCTGAAGCTTGAGATAAACCTCTGCGATATTGCAGAATTTTGCGGATTGAACTTCTCCAAATTCAGCACCAACAAGATGTCCTTAAAGAGAGCATTATCTTCCAAAGCGCCCACATCCAAGTCAAGGAGTGTAGCCACACTTTTCACGATCCGGTCCTTCTCAGGGTCTGTGCTGGACTTGTAGTTCTTCACATCCTTCAGAAGGTTCAAAACAGAGGAGTCAATGCTCTTTGTATCTCCAAAGACTCTGGAGAGTCGCCCGAGTTTTGTGAAGATAAGTCTCTGCAGAATCAATCTGGAGCACTGGAAGATGATAGAATCTGGCGATTTGTACTTGGAAAGAAAGGCGGAGTCTAAGCTCAAAGTTCTCAAATAGAGTGAGACTAGAACTCTCCAGTTCACGAGAAAATTTCCGTCGTTCTGCGACGCATTCATGATCGTGGAGGAAAACCAGGAGCTGATATCGCCATTGAGCTCATCCAGCTTCTTGATCTTGGACTGAATAGTCAGATTGACAAATCCCATCCTGACTGCATAGTACTTGGATAACTCTAACAAGACAGAGGAAAATATCGTCGTTCCGGAGTTGTCAACAGTTTTAAGTCCTTTCTTTCTAGGTGCCAACAGAAACCTGAAAAACGGCCACATGATGGTGTACACTCCACCGAAGAACAAACACCATGTTACAACGTGGACAAAAGGCCCAAATAATGGCGACTTCACTAGTGGAAAGAACTGGGCTATAGGTAAGGCACTCATCCCCTTATAGTCAAACCCATCCTGTCCATCACCACCATTGAACAGCTGCGTTCCAACTAGGGCTGTCATTCCACCCACTAGGACCTTATTTCCAAACGACATGGGCACTGCTTGATGACCTGGTGGAGGAGAAAAGTTCTGGGTCCTTGGAAGGTTGTTGTACTGCGGATTTGTGATAGAATTTTGAGCAACAAATACTGGCTGTGACTGCTGGGAATGTTGCTGCTGCTGGAGAATCGTTCTCAAGTGAACGATCTCGTTCATCAGCATCCCATTCTTCTGCTCCAGGTGCCTGATGTATTCCGTCGCTTTCGTCAGAATACTGGCCTTGTTGAGCTTCGAAGCAGGAGTCAGGCCCTCCAACTCGTCTAGCTTGGAATCGTCAGTGACTGCACGCAAAGAAGGAACAGAGTCTCGCAGTGCGATGATTTTGTCGTTGATGTTGGTTCTATACTTCTTCTCAATCAAGTTATGGGACATCCTGTCTTTTCTAGGCTTACTAATCTTGGAGTCCGGATAAGAAGCACTTGTTTTTTTGAGCTCAGGTCTGGAGCCAGTGGCGCTTGATGTCACGTTGGTCAAGTCGTCAGTGTCATCAAAGGAGTAGAAAGAGTTGTTCTCCTGCTTGATGACATTCTCCGATAATCCGACCCCCAGAATAGCCTGCTCATTCCTGCCATTGTTAGGTCCCCCTATAAAGTTGTCTTGCGGGTAATCATCAACACGCAAGGCTGGGTTATCCCGTAGGTCAAATAGATTCTCCTGAGGTGACAATGAAGGAGCGAAGTTCTGGGAATTGGCGGACTTCTCTGAACCATCGTTAAACAACGACTCATAGTTATCTCCACCTGATGATTCCGAATAGTATACGTCTTGATTCGAAAGCGGAGATTCCGAGAAGGAGGATATTGAGTCGATGTTGCCAGCGCTTCCACTCAGAGACCTCAACAAGAAGTCTGCATCCTCAAAAGCATAATTGAAACCAGTTGCGGTCATGATTAAGATCAGCTGGCCAAACCGATGTTTTAGTTTTAGTGTATCTCAAGAATCTCAAAAGGCCAGTGATAGATATAGGCTGCTAAAAACTTTCTTGTCCCTTGTCTATCAGAGATGCATGAGAATGGCTCCAGAATGAAGCAGTCGTGCAGCTGACCCAACGAGGCACGTGACCCGCTCGTGCGTTTAACTGGCTATTTAAGCTTTATCGAGGATGCTTAAAGTATGTAAAGTTTCATGAGGGGTATGCATTTGTATTATATTCATTTAAATTCCAAAGTTTCCGTTCAGTAACGCATTGCGGGCCTTTACTTTATTGGCAGCACCACCGTGGCCGTGTAGTCTATTCACTCTTTCAGCTGGAGGCATGTGGTTGATGGTTTTGTCACTGGTAGTTGGTGGTCCTTTCATCTGTTGTCTGACATTAGGCATTCCAGCTTGTGGGTTTGGCGACAAAGAACCCATCATCGGGCTGCTGGAACCAGGTCTTGCATACTGAGCCGGTGGGACGCCATAGTGAGGCGGAGTACCTGACATCCGAGGAGAATGCGACTGAGGAGGCCTGTGGCCTGCAGGTGGAGGGTAATACATAGGTCTTTGTTGTGGAGGGTATTGTTGTGGGTATTGTTGTGGGTAAGGTTGTGGGTAAGGCTGTGGGTACTGTTGAGGGCCAGCGTAGAGGTTCTGCTGAGGGTAACCCTGAGGCACTTGCTGTGCCGGATAGCCTTGTGGAACAGGCTGTGGAGGATAGCCTTGAGCATAACCTTGAGGATAACCCTGACCATACTGCTGAGGGTCGTAAAAGCCAGGATGCACCGGCTGAGGTCCTTGAGCATAGTACTGTGGGTGGCCTGGGACAGTCTGCTTAACCGGTGGCCTTGACCTCGACACGGGCTGCTGTTGTTGACCTTGGCCAATCTGAGGTGATTGTGAGCGAGGTTCGCTGGTACGCGATCTCGTATCACGAGGATCAAGAGAATAAGCCGAGCCCGAAGATTTTGATGACACCTGCGATCTCACCTGACTTAAACCTTCAAGCGGTCCCGGTGACAGAAGTGTTCTGCCCTGACGGTGTGCGACGTTTGGATCCGTATAATTCTCTTCTTTATACTCAGCCCCGACATCTTCTTCAGCAAAGCCTGGCTCAATCTCCATAGTTTTGGGATCAATACGTGATACATATATAGGCTCATTAGAGCGTTGGGACGACTGTTCTTGACGAGGCTCCCGAGGCAGCTCCGGTTGTTCGCGTGTATGGTCCTTCTGCAGTTCCTTGTTGACGGACGCATTTGAATGCTTGATCTCGGGAGAAACTGGCAGCAACTGAACCGGTTCATCCTTTTGCTGATATCTGTCATCTTCAGGCTCCTCTTGCTCGCTATTTTGACTGTTTTCATTTTCAAGTATCACATTCCTCATCTGTTCTTCAAGATCGTCCAAATCCTCTATCAGCTTGCTCATTCTACCGCCATTTGCAGCCCCCCTTCCTGGGGAAGTCAGCTCCACTGCCGTATGATAAGATGATCTTGACGGAGAAGCTTCAGTCAACCCTGAGAATTCTGACCTTCTCAAAGGAGAAACAGACGGAGAAACCTGAACCTTCGGAGAAGCCGCAACTCTTGGAGATTCCTGAGGAGCCTCGAATTGAATACCACTAAGAGAAGGTCCATTGTATCTGCCAGGCCTTTCAGGAGTGATTTTTCTTATCCGTGGCTTTTCAGAAATGTTATCCTTTGGCGGAACTGCAGGTTTCTCTTCATCAACTGCAGGCTGTGCTTGATTTGGAGATTGCGAAACGGGCAACTGGTTTGGATACTGCCTCACAGGTGATCTTCCGGCTGGATACTGAGAAGTAGGCTGCTGCTGGTTCTGCACATATCCGTACTGCGGGGCGTTTTCGTAATATACTTGAGGACCAGGTGGGGCATACATTCCACCCTGAGGGCCCATATATCCATAGTTAGGGGCTTGCTGATAAGTCATTTGCACTGGAGCTGGCCCATCCCTTACAGGCGATCTTCGCTGTTGCTGTGGAGCATCTTGCTGGTATTGCGGTTGCTTTGCATGAGCGGGCGAAACTGGCAAAGGCTCAACAGCAGATTTTTCAGCCAGTTTTTGTGGACCTGGACGTCTAATTCTCCTCTCAGGGGATGCAGACCCACTTTCGTATGCACGAACATCGGCACTCTTTGGAGGAGATGCTTGCTGTTGAGGGGGTGATTCTATAGCCAAATTGTCAACTTCAACAGTCGTTTGCTCAGGAGTAGGAGGAAGCTGGTCCTTGAACATTCTATGAGGTGCCACAGGAAGAGCTTCTTTCTTGAAATCCTTATCAGGAAGAGGTGGAGGCCCATTGGAGTTAATCTTGGTATCCTTGACTGGGGCCAAGGTGGCTCTGGTTGCCTTCTTCTGTTCAGCCTCCTTGATTTCACGATTGATTTTCTTGAGTTTCTCCTGCTTGATCTCTAGCTCGATATCGTAGCCGTCCTTGCCGATGACCTGTTCCTCGGTTATGACCCACTTCTTCAATCCTTCTGCAATCTCAACCTCCAAAACATATGTCTTTCCAAACGTCTTCTTCTTGATACTCGTTTCTTCGACACCTAGAGAGCATAACCATGTCCAGATAAAGTAGTCATCAATAAACGTCCTACTGACATCTGCAGTGAAGTAGTCGCCTGTCTTTGGTTCTGCCCTCTCATCGGCAGGGTCTTTGCACCAGCCAGGAACGAGTTCAGCCATCACATTGTTCGGAGAGTTCTCAAATTCGTCATCGGCCAGGCACATATTGTCCAGTAATCTGCGGCCCTCGGTAGAAAGCTTCGACATCAACGACTGGGGGTCCTTGAAAAGTCTCTTCAACAGGAGATAGTCCTCTCTGCTATAAAACAACTTCGGATCCTCAAACGAAAGAGTCTTCGATATCCTCGCAATCATCTCGGCAGGTGAGCGGGAAGGATGGTTAACCTTCAAAGTAATCATTGGCACCTCCTGGAGATGTTTGGGGGTCGCCGTGGTCGATTCTGGGGGATAGTCATTACTGGCGAGCAGACTCTGCAAGCCCTTCGGCAACTGATTGGGTGAGGACCTGGACTCGGGACTCATGGAGTTGAGAAATGACAAGAAGATGTGGAACATGGCATCAGCAGCAGGAACCCATTCAGACATTCCTCTCTCAAAACTGGGGAGACCATCTTTAGGAGTTCTTACTGGATGAAACGCCCATAGTCCGCACACTTTACTTATCTTCCGTGCACTCAACATGTTCTCCTTGGCATGGCCGGCAAATGATATCAACAAGTCCATGAAATCGTATACAATCGAGGCATGTGCACCACTCGATAGACAGGAAGGCATGATCTCCAGAAAAGAATTCTTGGGAAAGCCTTGTTCCTCTTCTTTGGTAGCAAATTGAGCATAGGCTTTCCAGCCAATGATGCAGTTCCCAGGCAAGCGGCACCATAAAAATTTGAGCGCGCTCATCAGCGTATGAACATCAGTAGCTCGGATCACAGAATCATGATGGGCCTTAGCCACGGGCCTTCCATCATGAAACACGTCGTCCAAAAATCTCTTCAATTTCACGTCAAACTGCTGAGGGCGGAAAGGAAGAATTAGAAGGGCAGTCCGGGTTCCTAAATTTTGTTAGTTTGAAAAAATCCACCGAAAAACAAGAAACATCAGCCAAACGTACCGGCTGCTTTGATCTGGTGGGTGATGGAATGGATCAGGTCCTTGATCTCTTTTCTTTCGAAGGTCACATCTGAATAAGTGCCCAAATTACCCGTCTTGACTTCAGTCTGATTCTTATGGGCCTCTTTGTACTTTTCGTAGTCTTCAGGCGCGTAAGCAGAGCAGTAAACAAACGCATCCAATTGATCTGTCTCTCCACCCAGCGACTGTCTCACTTCAGATCGGGGCAGAGTCGGTAGCGAACTATCCGACCGACGAGGCATGTGAGAATAGATTGAATAAAATTAGCTGATCCTCTAACGAGAACGCATCAACACGGTACACAATAAATCTTGAAGAAGAGTGGGATCCTCACTACACGTAACATGTGGTGAAAAAAAAAGAGGCTGCGCCAATTCGCGTCTGCACTCGCGTTTTGGCCAGGCACCTCACAGCCTCGGATCTCGGTTTGGACCGAGGTCGTGGGACTGGGCGGAATTTCATAATTCCTGTCCACAAAAGCCCTCGAGCGTATACAGATGGCATATAAATAGCAGGGGCCTATCACTCAAGAAGCATGTATTGATATTGGTTACCATGGTTATCACTCAGAAGTCTAAGTTGAGCCATCATTGAGCAGGAACTCTAATGAAATTTCATGTTCTAGCCAAGTGTTAGTGATGGCACATATATGGAGGAAATGTAAGGCCGCATTATATAAGGGTGCATATTCAATAGGTACAATACCCATGACTGAGGCTTAGTTTGGATCTTGTTCCGGGGATATTTGTTTCGCTAATGCGGTACCTTTTTATCTGAAATGAAATCAAAAAAAAAAGCTAAACAAACAAAATACGCTAACAGACCACAGATCTACAATGGCTTGAGCTTGACCAGAGGCTGCTGGCCATGCATGCTATTATGCAGGCACGCACCACCGGCCAATTTGATCAATACCCAACAGGAACACCTTTCTTTCGCCAGAAATCACTTACCGCATGCCAAACACCATCGCCAGCATTTCTAATACCATTCATAGCGGTTCTGTGAGTCTCAAATATAACTTCGTGACCGCGAAGTTCCAGTTCTTCCTTAACACTCTCCTCAGCTGGGATCTCCAGGGCAACCTCGTTTGGAAGAAGTTGATGATGAATTCTCGGGAAAGCAATTGTCTCGAGCATTGTAAGATTGTAGTGATATGTTCTAATTATTGCTTGGAGAACGGCTGGAGTAATGTGGGATCCTCCAGCTGCACCAATCACCAGGTCTGGCTTACCTGTCAGTCTGTCGACCACCACCGTTGGTGAGCACGACGACAACGGACGTTTGTATGGCTCAATAAAATTGAAAATCGATGGTTCGAGTCCAAATGCATTGGGAGCAGTTGGAAGGGAGAAGTCGTCCATTTCGTCGTTCAAAATTATTCCTGTTGTAGGATCACAAACTTTGGATCCAAACAGAAGGTTGACAGTGGTGGTCATTCCAACCGCATTGCCAAACTTGTCTACCACACTGAAATGAGACGTTCCATGAGGATCATTCATCTGGTAAGCAGGATGGTAATCTCTCCATGACTTTAAAGTGTGATTGTCATCAATCTTTTGCTGTGTCTGTCTGGCCCATTCAGCGCTGCTGAATTTTGCATATCTATTATGGTGCTCAGCTATCTCCGTCTCATTTTCACAATACGGGGAAACATCACCAAGGTTGCTTCTCACAGTCCCCATCCATTTCATAGTCTCCACGAGTCTCTGCGTCTCATTAACCCCATAGTCAGACTGGGACTGGTCTTCATAATGGTTCATGATTTGGAGTCCAGCCATGAGCGATAATCCGGAGGATGCTCCATTGGATGTGAATACCCGATATTGGTCCCTGTTGAACGTTTCAATCTCCAAAGCTGGTTCCACTCTTGCTTGATATTTAGCAAAGTCGTCAGCCTCTAGAATTCCACCGCTCTGTCGGACTGTTGTCACCATACCCTCGACAAGAGGACCTTCTGAGTCGTAGAAGATATCAGAACTGCCGTTTCTTGCTATAGCTTCCAAAGTCTTGCTGTACGCCTCACGCTTGACATGGTCACCCTGGGTTACCAATCTTCCCTTTTCGTTAAAAGCCCAGGCCCAGTTTCTGGGGTGTTTGAGGATATAGTCTCTCTCGTTCCAAAGGGAAAACTCCAGAATGGGGTCCGCAATCCAACCCTCACGGGCGAGATCTGCAACTGGCATCACCAAGTCAGCCCATTCTAAATTTCCAGAGCCATGCCGGCTATAAAGTTCGAATAGTCCTTTCAACTCTCCCGGGGTGGCTACAGCCAAACCACCGACTTTGGCGTCGTCTTCGCGTCCTTTAAACATGTCCCTATGGGCCTTTGCCGGTGCCATCTCACGAGCATCAATGCTGATCGCTCCTGGTGTACCAAACTTTTTTGACGTTATGAAGCATCCTCCTCCAATACCAGACGACATTGAATTGATGGTTCCAATGCAAAGGGCCACTGTTACAGCAGCATCAGCTGCGAATCCACCGCGTTTTAGGATGTCAACCCCCATTTGTGAACACACCTTGACATCCGATGCAACGGTTCCGTTTTCCGCAATAACCAATTGTTCTAATGATGGGCTCCATGTGGGGCTACCGAGATCAGGTATGCGATACTCGGGAGGGTGCTTTTTGAACGAACGGCCATGTCCATAGCAGACAAGAGACAGAATTCCAAGTGTGAGCAATGCTGCTGGTATCCATTTCTTGGCATTGGAACGCTTGGCTCGCAACCTTGGAAAAGACCGCAGAAGCAACGGCGAACTCTCAGAGCTGAGCGTCATGAACAGTATTAAGTTCTTGTTATTCTAGAAGCAACTTAATGTCAATACCTGGCTAAGGCTCTGGGAGCAGACCGATGGTGCGATAAGGTAGTGTGAACCCCCATTTGTTATCGCAGGGCCCGATGCGGCAACTATGCAGCTGGAGCCAAGAAATCGTTATCTGGTTACAAATGGTGCACACTATAGCTAAAGATTTTCTAAAAGGGTATCGGTATTTTGTTCAGTTTACATGACTCATCGCTTCAACTCAAACAAAAAATTAGAATCTTTTCAATGAGAGAAATCCTCATTTCTCGTTCTGGTTCTGGCCTCCTCAATAATGCTATTCCAATCACTTCTCAGGATCACCACAAACTCCACCACGGTCAAAGCAACAACTCCTGCACTCATGGCAATCCACAGTCCAAGTACCTCCATCTTAAGAACGAATGCGAGAATGTAAGCCAATGGCAACGCAAAGAAATAGTAAGAACCGATGTTGAGAATTGAGCCAATACGTTGTTCTCCCTGTGCTCTGAGTATTCCTGCCATGGTTATGTTGACGGAGTCATAAGTTTGATTGATGAATAGCAATCTAAGTACAGTCGTGGTGACTTTGATGACTTCTTCGTCCTCCGTGAAAATTCGGATGATGGGCTTTTCTAGAATCAGAAGCACAACAGTGCTAAAGGAACCCACCACCAAGGAACCAAGCATCGCAAGATTCGTGGATCGAATACTGCTTGTTTTTGCACCAGCACCAATCAACTGCGCAATATGGGTCGTTATAGCACATGAGAGTGCAAAAGGGATTTGAAATACCAGAGAACCCACAGATGTACAAATAGACTGAGAAGCAAGTGCTACTGTTCCGAAGTAAGCAGATGCCAAAGTCATCACCTCGAAAGCCAGATATTCTGCTTCAGTCTGGATCACACCTGGAACAGCTAGTTTCAGCATTGGCCCAAAATCAGTGAAAAGAGCAGAGTATGAAAACCCACCCCAACACTTGTATCCGTCAATGACAAAAATATATGCCAGCAGAAGAAGAGCCATTAGCCAATAAGTAAGAGAAACAACGATTGGAGCACCAATGAAGCCCCAACCTGCTGGGAGAACCAAATAGTATGTCAGACTCAAACTAAATGGGGTTACGAACAATAACACATAGGTCGGGGCATCAAAGATCTTCTGGGCCTGCAAATATCTTTTTCCAGTCTCAAACAACATTAATCCCGGCGTTCCCCACGAGACAACTCTCAAGTAATCCTGGGCTAATTTCGAGAGCAGCGGATCAGGCTGCAAGCTGTTTAAAATGGGCTCTGCCCAATACCACACACCATAAAAGGGAAGCAACGCAATGAAAATTTGCATCGAGCATTTCTGCCATACCTCGCCAACTCGCAAATATTGTTGAGCTCCATAAGCCTGAGAGGCAAAAGTGTCCATAACAGTTACCATTCCTTGTATCACGCCAGTTCCTGTGATGTTATAGGTCATAATAGCCAGAGAAGCACCAGCCAGTTCAGTTGCACCTACATGGCCCAGAATGAACATTGGAGCGATCGACAGAAAGTACTGAAGAAAAAATGCTAACATGAGAGGAAGGGCGCCCTTTCCAACCATCTTGGCCTCCTCTAGAGGGGTGAGTTTTTCTAGTTCGTTCTCAACATTGGACTCATTATCACCACTAGCTGATGCTGTGCCGCTCTTCCGCAAATGTACCGGTTCGGTGGTATACTCTGCGATATGTACACCTTCATCAGCAAGCAACGGAGCGTGTTCCATTGTTCAAAATGTCAAAAAGAAACTCTAAAAGGAACTGAACAAAACTCCAGTAGTTGCAGGCATATATAGAGCTTTTGAAAAAGACTTTTGGATAGTGAAAATATCTCGATGTGAGCTGGGCGCATGCGCATCCAATGAGGCTTTCCGCATTGGGTAAAGGTAGCCGAGGCCGAGTGCAATGGAGTAATCGGCAAGATACGGTCCACATTTGGAGATAAAATAGAATTTCATCAAAAATGGGTTGTAATAGGCATTTTATTTGTCCTTTCGGTAATCAAATTGAACTAGGGGACCTTTTCCAACTGGTTGCTGAGCATTTACCGGTGTTTTCTCTGAAAGTCTTGGTCCCCACGTTCCAGGTGCGGCTCCAGCCAGTAATGGCTCTCCAGTAGCGTTCAAACGACGAACGGCACTCCAAATCATCTGAACGAGGCTCGCAACTACTATTATTCAATTTTCACTATATTTTTTGCCCTAAACTCAGTAAGCTTTCTCTTAACGTCTCGGCCTTCTTGCAATTTTTCAACCCCAGATTTAGCCTTTCCACTCTAGTTGAAATACTAGGTCGATGAGCTGAAAATCGAAGCGGTCTATACCTCTTCAATGCACCATTCAGGTTGACATTGGTAGCTTATAAACCAGTTTTCCACGTGTTTTCACAATGTCTGAACATGAATCAACAAAAAATCACGACCTTCAGTCAGTGTTCATAAAGACTGAGAAAGCCCGCACTGGAAGAGAAAACCAAGTGTACAGCCCAGAGGGGGCAAGGATAGTGGCTGGGTGTATTGCTCTGAGCGAGGATAAGCACAAAGTGATTATGATCACATCCTCAAAGCACACAAACAGATGGATTCTTCCAAAAGGAGGCGTTGAAAAGGACGAGATTACGGATTATTCCAAGGCTGCCGAGCGTGAAACTTGGGAGGAGGCTGGTGTGTTGGGAGTTGTCACGCGGGAACTAATGGTAGTTCACGACTTCAGATTTAAGGGTAAAAAGAAGGGATTGAACGTCGACACGATAATTGATGGTGAGAGTATTCCGAAGTCTGAGTTTCACTTTTATGAGATGACAGTTGAAGAACTTGCGACGAGTTGGCCAGAGGGCAATAATAGAAGTCGAAGATGGTGCACTTATTCGGAGGCCAAACACGAGCTAATCAAGGCCAGAAGATTGGAATTGCTGGATGCTTTGAATGATTCCAATATTATCAAGGATGTTCCTGTAATTGAGGCTGGAATCGAGGGTCATCAGATTGACGCACATGAGGCTGCTGATGAGTACTGAACCAATCGCTATACAGACAAATTCTATTCCCCACGAGAACTATTTTCTACAAATCCAAATCACATCATAGTATCTTGGTGGTTTTATTCATTCATCTACCAAAAAGACCAGACATCATGTTCTGCAGCGGATTCACGGCTTTCGCAACAACGCTGACTCCGAAGTAGATCTCGCCTATAGCGTTCACTTTTTTCTCCAGAGATTCGTCGAATAACGATCTGTACCTTCCAAACAGAATTTTGAAGTTGTCAGCATTTTCTGGACCGGCCCTTTGGGCAAATTGTACCAGCAATTGGAGAAAGTTTAGCATCTTGAAATTACTTTCTTCAAAAATAAACGTCTTCATTCCTCCACTCTCAACAAGTTCACCCCTGGAGGAGTACTCTTCAATCAACACGGCAAGCGATTTCGTTGCGAACTTGAAATTCTCCATCAGAAGGTAAGGAACAACTAGTCTGGGGGCTATGACAGGCACCAGTTCTGGTCCACCGTTGCGCAAAACCTGCAGATTCAGTTCAAGAAGCAGCTTCAAAGCTTCTTCATTCTGTGATGCCAATAAGCACTGTTCTGCCAGATTCATGTTCTCTTTCAACTCACTGTAGAACAACTTTTCACCAAGAACATAATTCAACTGTGAATCTCCCAATGCAGACCCTGTAGACTCGGCAGCCCATCTGGAAATCTCCTTGGTCAAACTGGGCAAGTTCGCGTCTGTATCTGGTATCAGGTTCAAGATTTCCACCACCTGTGGCAATTGGTCTTTTTTGACTTGGTCTTCTGATGGCGATTCTTTCTCGAATATCTCCAACAGATACAACAACAGATCCGCACTCTCGTCGTATTTTTGAGCCTCAATCAGCATTTTACAACTCTGGAACAGCAATTCTGTTGCATCTGCAAACTTTTTTCCAGCGACGTACCTGTTCACGTAGGTCCTCACACTCTGTTGCGCTTCATAGTGGGCACCGGCATCAACTCTGAAGGCAATGTTAGATAAAATCTAAATTGAACAACAACCAATGTATACATACTTTGCTTTGCACCTCTGCAAGTATAGCGCAAGTTTCTTATCATGTTGGGCACTCATATCTTCTTGCTACTATGGTCGATATGCATTTGAAGAGAGCTGTTCAGATCTCTTGAGATACTTTCCAAACCTTTTGTCGTGGGAGTCTCAGATTAGATATTAGGATAGTCACGACCTTAACTATTTACCCCAGATTTGAAATTTGAGCCAAAAGGAATTGGTTTTCAGTTCACAGTATTAATACATCAGACCCAATGTTGTCTTTATATTTGTCAGGAGTTTTTCTGTATTCCCCGAAACCTTTGTCCATCCCATACCATCACTACATGTTTTGATATTAAGCTTGTTTTGCCGTTCGTCGGCCACACAAACCACAAGCGGGAAACGTTTACGGGCAGGACTTCCAGAAGGCATCAAAAACGAGGTCTCCTCTTGAAATTTGCGTTTTTCGCAGTTCTCTTTCTCAAAATTGTTCATCCAGAAAGAGAGGTGGATCTTAGAGGTGCTGTCCATAAAAAGGAGTCTTAGGTTTGTTATCTCTGCTGAGTCCATGTCCTCATTGCAAAAGACTAGTGCCGCGTCGAATCGTTGCAACTCAATTGAAATGATATTTTGTCGTGCAGCAGTTATGACTCTCGCAATTAGTGATCCAATTGTTTGAGCCATTCGAGATCGTTTGTTGGTGAGAGCTTGCAGCATTCGAATCTGACTGTTCTGGAAGTATCTCTGATACACATCGACATTGAGAGTGTTGATAGGAAGAAGAGACAATAGAGAGGCATGAACTGAATTGCCTAAGATTGTCTTCTTTGAGATCACCGAGAGATATCTTATCTGCAATGGCTTTTGCTGCAAGTCATTCTCCCCGAAATCTTTCCAGTATCCTTTTGCCGTCTTTGTGTCCAGAACGAGCACCAATCTCTTTAGAGACGTCGGAATCGACGAAATGACTTTTGCCAGATCGGAGACTGAGGTCACTTCAATTGTTAGAGTAACCAACCCAGTCATAAGACTCAACGGTGGGACGCTCGGAGCGAAACTGGGAACACTGAACGGATTATATACCTTTCTGGCCAACTTTTCGTTTTCTTTTCTACAATACAGCATTGCCTGTATTGTTTCCACGACAGATGTTTGATTCTCCAAGAATGCCATGGTGGTATTGCACCTTCTCTGGGCTTCTTTGGTACCGTCATACTTAAGTCGGAGAGGCGTCATGGAATAAAAACCAATAATACATTTGCTGTATATTGAGCGGCAAGTGAGCAACATTGATAGACGATCTTTTGGCTCCAAAACGTACATGATTCTCGTCAGCAGTTCTGTTGGTAGTGACGCTATTCCATCTCTCTCTTCCTCTGTAACACTCGCTGTATGCAGACTCTTAAACCTCAGCACGTCAGCACTTCTACTAAACCTCCATAGATAATGGTACGCCAAAATGTCCCAAACGCTTTCCACCATGTGTATCTCACTTTGAGAATTTTCGAAGCTTCTGCACTTAAAGCCTAAACGCTGTCATTGCCTGCTTTGCGTGCGGCTCATGTTTATCTCATCTGCCATAGTCTATCGTGTCACTGAGCACCCAGCGTTAACTTAAGTCGGGCCCTTGTGATTGTCTTGTTTCTTTAGTTCAAATTTGGTCGATTTGATTCTTTTTGCTTTTCAAGGACAATGGTGATAGAAGTTTCACAGGAGATGATCTCGGTAGGCTCCACACCCAGTGAGCCTGTTAGTGAATCGATTCAGGTGATCAATGAGTTTAAAGAGTTCAACACCTCATTGATCAAGTACATGCGTGATAGCTATCTCTCACCGGCCAGTCCTGACAACGGATTGACCTACCACATTGTCTCCGTGTTTGGATCGCAATCCACTGGAAAATCCACTCTTCTGAACAACTTGTTTGGAACAAAGTTCGATGTCATGGACGAGGTATCTCGTCAGCAGACCACCAAGGGCATTTGGCTGGCACATGCCACACACGTTGCCTCAGCCGTTGAAGGCGGTAGCTCCTCTAATTCGACAAACATTTATGTGATGGATGTGGAAGGAACGGACGGAAGAGAGAGGGGCGAGGACCAAGACTTTGAGAGGAAATCCGCGCTGTTTGCCCTCTCCACATCAGAGGTCCTGCTTATCAATATTTGGGAATACCAGGTTGGTCTTTACCAGGGTGCTAATCTGGGTCTGTTGAGAACGGTATTCGAAGTCAATCTGGCCCTTTTCTCACAAGAAAGAACAAAATCATTGATTCTGTTTGTTATCAGAGATCACGTGGGAAACACTCCTCTGGAGAATCTTGCTGGCACTCTTACTGCTGATCTGGAAAAGATTTGGGACCAGCTTAGTAAACCTGCAGGTGCAGAGACTTTGAAGCTGAATGACTTTTTTGATTTGAAATTCGCAGCTTTGTCGCACAAAGTCTTGCAGCCAGAAGCCTTCCGGGAGGATGTAGCCAAACTTGGCGACAGGTTTACAGGTTCCGAGCTCTTTAAGCCCGAATATCATAGGGGTGTTCCTATTGATGGTTGGACTGTTTACTCAGAACAGATATGGGAACAAATTGAGACGAATAAAGATTTGGATCTGCCAACTCAAAGAATAGCCGCTGCCCGCCAGCGCTGTGATGAGATATCGTCCGAGTGTTATGCCTCGTTTCTAGCAGAGTTCAAGAGCATCGACCCTGTGGTGCTATCGGGAAAAGACCTTTCAGAAAAACTCAAGGCGATTAGGTCAACTGCTTTATCCTCTTACAACGTTAGTGCAGTGAGGTACCCAAATGTCGCATATCTAGAGAGACAGGCCTCACTGAAAGAGAAATTGGATCAGAACATCAAGGACATTTTGTCCTCCGAAATCCGGGGAGCATCCAAACTAGTATCTCAGAAATTTACCAATGACATTGAAGCAGCAAAGAAGTCAAGATCGTCCGAGCCATATGCTGATGTGGTACAATCACTCTTGCAAAGCGCTCTCTCAGAGTTTGAAACTGCTGCCGGTGTCTACTCAATTGTCGATGATGAGGATGTTCATATCGTGAGTTACAGCTCCGAGCTGACAGAACTAACTGCTGACCTTGGTAAGGCCGCTAGTGAGGCAGTTTTCAGACAGAGACAACAGGAGATTCTTAGTCGCACTTCAAAGAGTTTTCAGGCCAAGATGAAGAAGACCATATCGTCTCTTATCAGATCTCCTACCTCAAGTACCTGGGACTTGGTGATTGAGGCATTCGAAGACACCGCAAAATCCCTGTTAGCGCCCTACAGAACTGAAAGTGGTTACGACTTTGGTCTGGGGACCTCTGAAGAAACTACCAGCGGGCTCTATATGCAGATTCGCAAGCAATTCTGGATCAAATTTAGAGATTTGCTGCACATTCTTGTCACCGAAGACTCTGTTTCATGGATTTTGAGAAACAAGTTTGAGGATCTTTTCAGATTTGACAAAGAAGGAGTTCCAAGAATATGGCGCAATGCATCTCAGGTGGATGAAGAGTTCAAGAAAGCTAGAACAATTACTTTCTCTCTTCTTCCAGTGCTGGCAGACGCGGTATTATCAGATGGAACTGAGATCCACCCTGACGTGGATATCGCTCACGATGTAGAGGTCACCAACTCCGAAGAGAACCCTCACATCATATCACATTTGCTGGGCTCTGAGGAACAACAGAATGTGATGGACAGACTCAAAAAAGAGATCAATGCGATCTATGTGGAGACCAAAAGAGCCACCATCCAAAGTGCAGCCCACATCCCGTTCTACATCTACGTCGTCATCTTGGTTCTCGGATGGAACGAGTTCATGGCCGTTTTGCGCAACCCTCTTCTGTGCACTCTGATCATCTTGTCTGGTGGAGGGTTCTACGTGTGCTATCAGTTGCAGATGCTTGGACCAATTCTCAGTGTTGCTACTGCTATGTTCGAAGAGACCAAGGTGGTGATCAAGGCTAAGCTCAAGGAGCTGCTGCTGGAGCCAGAAGCGGCAGCTGTGCCTGCTCCGGAGATCATTGAGCTAGATGATTTGAGTGAACTGAAAAAGGACTAAACGAAAATGACCACAATGAATACTGCCAAACATGTGAATATGTTGATGTTTCAAATTAATACATAATGAGGATATTATGGAAGTTGTGATTGTAATCCCATGCCAAAATTTCATGCCAAAATCCAGGACGAAATGGTTTGGTAGCTTGTGTACACCATCAAAACAACTCCAAAAACTGCCACAGTACCAGAAAAGTACCAAGTCCTTGCAGAGAGATCATTCGCTTTCATATAAAGCAATGGTGGATATATGTAGATCAGTGGAACACATGTAAAGCTTCCAATGAGCGATACGAACTTGTCCAGATCATTGGAGCCAGTGTAACTTATCAAACACATGAGCATCACCACCATCAATCTGACGAGATTCTTAGTCCATTTGATTGCTGTGTCAGACTTACCAGAAAGGATTCCTTCCTGATTAATTAGATTAGAACCTGTTGGTAGTAGAAGCTTTTGTGGACTGCTGGTTGGATAGAGACCATTGCTGAAAGACGAAGCCTCAGACTCCCTTCGAATTTTTTTCTGCCATGTTTGTCTATGCTGAGAAAAAAAATAGTTCTCAATGATCTTAATGGCCGGGAAAAGTTGCAAAGGAGTCGAGAGTAGAATGGCAGCAGCGTAGAGGAACTGGACCACTTCTGTAGCCACACCCGGTTTGAAATTAAGCAAAATGACCGTTTTTACATCATCACCGTAACTCATATACGAAACAGTCGCAATTGATGTGAAAACAACTGTGACCACCACCATGACGAAAAAAAGCACTTTTTCAAAGTCCTGGGGACGTGCCATGGACTCTTTCACTGGTATAAGTAAGCCGATACCTTCGAACGCAAAGACAGCTGTGCCCACGAATAATGTCCAAGTTTCCGATTTGAACATCGAAATCTTGTTTGAAATGCCCTCTGCAGCCAGATGAAAAGAAGAGCAGTAGACAATATAAACCAGGCCAGCAAGAATAAACACATCTGCAATTAGAGCAGTTGCACTCAGCTTGGAGATCTGTCTGGTGAGACTCAACGGAACGAATATCACCAATTGCACCACAATAAAAAATTCAATAGTGAACCCTTGCTCTCCTTCGTGTTTGAACAGTGTATTTGCCAAAGATTGAAGATTTTCAGCGACAAATACTGTGTAAGCACTGGAGAAGCCCAGCTGCGACATCACCAGGGATGCCAGGATCGCCAGCTTGACGGCAGGTCCAAACAATTTCTCACCAAGTTCACCATACCCACGAACTCCAGTTGATGTAGTACATCCTACCAGTATGACAAAACAATAGTAAGAAACAAATGAAAAGATGAGCAACATCACATTGCAGAAGAGCAAGCCTCCATTGGAAAAGGACTTTGGCAGAAACACCACACCGGTTCCAATGAACGCTTTCAACAGCAAAAGAGTTGCTTTATGATTCGACACTTTCTTGCTGTTGGAGGTCTCGGTCTTTTGAGTGCGAGCTTTCGATCTCTTTTTGCGCAATTTGGCATTTGCAGAGAGCAATAGCTGTTGCTGTTGCAACTGCAGAGTGCCATTGGTGGAGCCAAAAGAACCGTAATTTGGAGTTCTTGACAAAGAAAAACGCGGTCTTCTCTCGCTAGAACCCGATACTTGCTCCTCGTCAACTGCAACGGCAATTTCCGAGTCATCGTCTTCGCCGTCTTCGGTTTCGACTTCGCTAGAGTTGGTCTCAGCATCACTGTCTTCTCCATTTTCTCTCAAATCTTCCCCGGCAAAATGGCCATACACTGCTAGAAACTCGATGAAGTTACGTGCAAGAAACCCTTCGGGTTTTTTGGTTTGGTTTAACCGTCTGTTGTAAGCTCTAGTACCGTCCTGTTCGGGATGTGCCTCCACATCCAACTGCGGTGCTTTGTGCAGCAAAAAACTCCGTCTAAACCCTCCAGGTACTTGCATATCAGTCACTGACATCCCTTCATCCCTGGCATCATCTGATGATAATTGTCCAACACTTGTGGACCGTTTCAGTGGACTCTGGTGTTCGCCTTCCTGACGTTCATGTCCAGCATACCAGTTGTAGATACCTCTAGTCATATCGCCTCCCTGCAGTCTGAGAGAGTCAAAATTTCTGTCAGTACCTACAGAATTGGCTGCACTTGGTGATTCGCCAACTAAATGCCTACCCACAGCCCTCACAACTTCAGGTTCTGGGTTCTCCACATCCATCACGGACGACTGGACTGAGACAGGGACACTCGGTGGTCTCACCTCTTGCGGGGCCGATACCGGCTGTGGATAGCGCGGAGTGGTAGATATGATGCTTGACAACATGCTCTGTCTTCTAGATTGGGGTCCGGAACTTTTTGCAGCCAAAGAGCTAGGTATGGCAAGATTGGCACCGTCGGCTCCAGGCGCAAACCCTCCAGCGATGGTTATCGGATTCGACGCAAGGACATCACTCGTAACACCGTCATCTCTTCTCAAATACGCAGACCGGGTTCCCACCGATCGTTTCAACATATGTTTGGCCGAGAAATCGCCATTCTGGAACGACTCCGAGACGTCGCCTGGAGCCGGGGTCCGTTCAGAGCCCAAACTTCCAATGTTCTTGGCAGTACTCATTGCTAATCGATATTAAAATGTTCCACGGCTACTTAACCAGCCCTCAAAAACAGTATCCCTATCAAAAACGCCAAATATTTCAACCGCAAGTGTATATCCGCCGAACCTCGCCTGTCACCACCACGCTTCAATGCGTCAAAAAGCCAAACTTTTCACCCGCGATGAGATGGCCATACAAACCCGCGGCTGGCACCAAGCCTCCGTTTTTGTGTTCAAAACGACGCCATCGGCCAGAAACGTGTTTTACGCAAGATTTGAGGCCAGGACGCCATCCACGGTGATCACTGTTAATAATGCTCAACAACATTTAGATTAAAACAACGGTCTTTGGGTATAAAGCAATATGCCTTCCAGTAAGTGAAATTTAGCGGAATTTTTGTACAGATTTGTCCAGTTTTGCTCGACGGGTTTATATTTGTATTTTATTTATCCGTTTCGATACTAATAGCCGGGTTTAGAGGATCTCTCCATCTCGTCTCTGTTGATGGACGAGGCCCCTCAAGAATGTGGGGCTGGGCCAACAGAACAAGAGGCGCAACGCCAGATAAATCAGTCTGGGGTTCAGCCAGTTAGTCAGTCGATATCGCCGCAATCGGCGCAATTTGGCTCGATATTGAATCCTTATTCCGGTACCGGCGCCGTTGTTGCTGGAGCCCCTGCCGTTTCGCTTCAGCCGCAGGCCTCTCCTGCTACGACGCCACATACTCCCTCTGCCACGCCCACCAGGGTGACTCTGGCTTCAATGATCAACCCGGAGGAGCCGGTGGATGATCGGACGAGGGCTTTGTCGCCGACCCCGGGCGCCGCGGCTGGAATTCCACCACCTGTCGTTGCTCCCAAGACTCAGAAGAGACAGCCAGCCGACCCCAACAAGCCCAAAAAACCCAGGAAGAGGAAGGCAGACGCAGAGCCCAAGGATCAGCTGCCTGCGGTGGCAAATACCATCATAGTGGACGGAAAACCGATCGCCATGAAGCCGGCTGAAGGGTCAAAGCCAGCTGCAGAAACCGCACCTGCCAAGAAAAGAGCCAAAAAGGAGCCTTCTGCTGCTGCTTCGAAAGCCAAAAAGGAAAAAAAGGATTCCTCGGTGTCTGCAGATGCCTCAGCAATCCCTACAGCCTCGATTTCAGCGCCCACCGTGCCTCCCAAACCACTGGTGCAGGCCGCACCAGCGTCCATCTTGGACATTGGAGATACAAATGCTTCGGATTCCAAGCAGACAGATCCTCCCATAATTGCCTTGCATATTCCTCTGCATTCTCCGGGCGTTCCACCGGGAAAATCTCAGAACATTCTGAATGTGATGCGGCTGTGTGAAGACAAGTATGGCTGGAAAAGGATGCATCCAAATGCAAAATTCGCACTGGAAGAGCAAGAAGACGAAGATCTGGACGAAGATGATGATGGTGATGACATGGAAGTTGATGAGGACGAAAATGGACAAAACGTCCAAAACAACGCAGCAAACGATACTGCTGCCCAGGCCACCAACCAGACCCCAGACGATCAGCCGGCACCAAAGCCCACCAGAGGCGGCAAGGGAAAGAGCAAAGTTGGAAAATACGATTTAAATGATCCTTTCATTGATGATGCTGAGTTGGCGTGGGAAGAACAGAGGGCAGCAACGAAGGACGGGTTCTTCGTTTATTACGGGCCGTTGATCGAAGAGGGTCAATATGCTCGCATTGAAAGAGCAGATGGAACAGTCAAACGCTCGCGGCCCGGTGCCGGTGGTCGTGCCGCCAAGGCGGTTGCAGCCAACTCGCGCTCCAAGGAAAATGCTCCTAAGAAAGCCCGTGGAAAAGCAGCCGCTTCAACAGCTAAGAAGCCCGCCGCAGTGGCTATTGCACCCAAGAACCCTGAGCCCAGTTCACAGACCCCCGAGCCTTCTGCCGTTGTTTCAGGCTCTATTCCCGTTTCTGATGCTGTTTCAGCAGAACCTGCGCCGTTGATTGCTCCTCTTGGTGACTTTTCACCTGCAATCACTAATGCTCCAGAGACCAAGCCCATGGCTAGCTGAATTTTACGTACTAACCGGTTGCCTTCTACTAGTTCGAATATCATCTATCGGCCTTTACTACCAAGCTGTACATTTAGACATTTCGATTAAAGCTTTCGTTATGTTTTCTTCGTGGCCCCGTTGATGTTGTCTATGGCCAACGTAAGTAGATCAATGTTGAACCCTTTGGAGATTCTCTCTTGGTTGGCCTCCTCCGATACTGAATTGTTATATTCCGCAACTTTAGCCGAGATCTTTTCCATAATTGCAACAAACCGATCATTGGGAAACTTTTCACGAAGAAATACGAGTAGATTGAGATACGACAACAGTGTCTGGACAGTCTGTACAGCGACAAGCACGTCAATATCTTTTTGATCCGTTGGGAGATCCTCCGTAGCGGTAGTCACCAATGCTTCAAGCTGGTCCTGACGATCAGCATTCAGACTGATGTAGGTATAAGACTCTCTCGGTGGAAGGGCAGGCGCCGTCGATTTGGACTCAAGAGAAGCAGCCTTCACTTTTTGAGTCAGACTGTCCACACTAACCGGTTTTGTTCTCAGCAGCAAGTCCTTCAAAAGCGAGATAAACGTGGGTTTCACTTGCTCGTACGGACAGGTCTCAAGCGAATTGTGGAGGTAATTCCAAGCAGTCTGCTCTGAGACCAGGGTCAACACCTTCGCAATCAGGGTCAGAATCATTTTGGCCTTCGACCGGAAGACCGAGGAGGTGCTCTCCGTGGTCAGCACCTGCAAGAAAGTGTTGATGAGGATCGGTTCCAACGCTCTCAAGTCCGCCTCGGCATCTCCATCCCACTCGTAAATAGCTCTCCAGCAAAGATGCAACAAAGCATCCTGAAAAGCAATTTTAGTACTACCTCTAATCACACCGGGAATTGCAAACCGTATGTACATCTTGATTGCGTCAGATGGGGAAATCGAGAGCTTTGCATCGGGATAAGAGTGCACCAGACTGTGAGTAAACATCAAGAAGACTCCAATAAAAGATGGATCAAATGAGTCTGGCTGTTTTCGCAGCCCTGTCTTGTTGTAGTTGTCAATGACGAGCGAGAATAGTGCGTCATTCTGTGCATCGAGTGAGGTGGTGTAATCGAGTGATTTGAACAACAGCCTGGTAGCATCCAGCTCCTTCAAAAACATTTTTTCAAGATCAAAATCAAGAGATAAGGCCAACATCACGAGTCTGTCAACAATCTCCAGAGAATCTTCCCTGATCGAGTAATCCAGTGATTGCATTTCGCCCAAGGCATCGTTAACAGTGGCCAGTGGCTTGGAGCCTTGTATCTTCTGAAAGTACGTCAAGGTCCACTCAGTAGGATACAAACTCACTGTCTGCTCTACCGCAACAGACAAGAAGAACCGCAACATCTTACGCTGAAGGTATTCCTCAGTTTCGCGCACTTTCACAAGTGCAAGTCTCTCTTCTTCGTCGTCTTGGGGCTCTGCCGGGGCTGGAGGAGGCAGGTAGTCTCTGATAAACGTATAGACTCGTCTGGCAAAAAACACCTGCCCCGCGTACAACTCGGCAGTGTCAAAGAAATTAATAAATGCGGATATCGCCATGCCCAGGAATCTTGAAGGATAATTGGTCTCGATGCGCCGCAACGAAGCAGTCATTAACTCCACCAGAAGGTGGTATTTCATCTTATATGCCCTGACAGGCATGGCCAATACAAATTCTCTTGTCTCATCGTCATAGTCGGCAAGCTCTTCGGCCGTAGGAACAGGATCTCTGTACAAAACCGCAAGCATCTCGCAACACCGAAGAAACACCTCTTTCGGATTTCCATTCTTGGCAAGTAGACCAAACACACTTATAACAAGCATTATTCCTTCGGATTCTATCAACCGATTCGTTAACCACCTCGAATTGGCGAACTCTAACAACATAGCCGGAAGATCCCAGCCAATCTCGTACGTGATCTGGGGGTACTTCACCAAGACCTCGTTGAGTGTTTGAAGCAAAGCAGTTTTCTCTTCTTCATCGTAACGTTCATCCGGATCAGCACCAAGATGAATATCCAGAAGTGTAGCATAAGACAGCCAGTCTTGAGTCTCAACTGCATCCACAGCTGCTTGCCGCAACACGTCGCAGACTTGAAGACCAGTCAGAGTGGCGGACGAATCGTCTACGTCGCTGGAAGTATCGTCCTCAAATTCAGGGATACCTGCATCGTCCGAAACTCCAATTTGGTCGTCGTGCAAAGACATTGAGTTTGAAGTATTTGCTTTAATCAACCAATTGGTTTGGATACGTTTTAGAAGCCAACGTCGCGGCTCTCCAGAACTTTCTGACATGGGACCAAGAGCTGCCATTCGATATCGGGCGAGCGATATGACAGGATTAGTCCGTGCACGAATTGCTATCAGTTGGAGTGTTTGGGGAAGAAACAAGCTGAGCTTCTGAGGAAGAGAATCACATCTTTTGACTTGATATTTTGAAACAATGGACTTGCCGGTTTCAGACTATGACGATGAGTCATCGTCGTCTTCTGAGTCCACTGGGAAGCTACAGGATCTGCGACTGGAAGAGCCAATGCCAGACCAAGATCTTGGGTCTGAGAGAGATTATGAAGATAGCATCAAAGAGCAGGAGGTCAAGACTAAGGTGACCATGGCTGCGTCAATGGTTCTTTCGAAACTACCCTCCAAAACAAACGATTTGGTGGCAAATTTGTCAAAACCAAAGAAAGATAAAGGTAAGTTACTGATATGCACTGTCTAAGCCCAAGCCCAAGCCCATACTAAACTATCAGTTACAATACGATTTCAGCCAATTGGCTCGGTTCCCCATATATCGCCAAAAGTATTCAAAATCTCATCATCGCAACCGTTCTCAACTCTTATTCGCTTCCTAGAGAAGCGGATACGGCAAAGGCAAACAGAAGATGCCAAAGTCAATGCCCTTACTGGAGGAACGCTGTTCTGCTATATCCACAATTCGATAGCGCCTTCCCCGGATGAAATGATAGGCAATTTATTCACGGTGAGTTGAGTTAAAATCAGAGCTTTTCGTTTAGCTTTCAGTTAACTAACCCCACAGAACTTCAATGTCAACAACGAACTCATGGTGTCTTACTGCAATACGGTGGCTTTTGGCTAATACTGAAGAGATATATGTTTCAGAAATAAAATACGGCAACCACTGTCTCGGTCCGTTGAGAAATATAAAAAAAAAAAGAACACCGTGGTGCCTGATGGCATACCTCATGATATCATTCCTTGGAATCCCAGAACCAGCCCTTGGAAGGGGTATCCGCTATTGCAGCAGAATCAGCTGCTTTGGAAGGGCCTAGTGACTTAGTAAACTCGGAGATGTTCTCCTTGCCTGCAGCATCAACAACCGTCTTCTTTTCCGAAACCTTCGAGGTTCCGTCTGCGAACCATTGCTGTGTTGTGGAAACTTTTTCAGTGGACCCATCAGGAAGTGAGCGAAACGAATACGAAGATGATGATCCAGTCACGTCACCGCGTGGAGAATTGGCCTCTGGGTCTTTGGCCCACAGTCCGCTACTCTTGGAGTTGTCGCTGGCCAAAACTCCGTCCCACTTCTTCTTCTCCTGCTCTTGATATTGGGCCCATTCGCGCTTCTTGCGATTCCAACGCTCCCGTCTTTGCTCCTTCATGTTCTCCTTCATGGCGCCTTTCCAGTCGAGATAATCGGTCACCTGTGGGAAGAACTTTCCCTCCTTCAAGCCTTGCTCAACATCTTCTTTGGTTAAAATGCCTTTGGCGTCTGCAGGAATTATTCCACGTGGAAACAAACATCTCCAGTATCCTCTCTCGTCCCACCCGGACAGTCCTTGCTTTTCAAGGCAACTGCGATACAACTCTGGCGAGGGGGTTGGATAAGCCCACATGCCGTATTCGTTCGACTTCTGGAATCCTCCGCGACGACGACGGCCCCAGAAGAAAGGCGACTTGTCTATAATTGGCTCTGAGTCGTCGAAAAGCCTTTCAAACGCACCTAAGTGAGAAGATATAAACTTATCGAGATCAGTAGTGACACTAGCAGTGGTGTTTTGCTCTAGGGAACCCGCATTGGAGCTCGGTTTTTCCCACAGACTGCCCACGTCGTTAGCCTGATTTCTAGCCTTGTCCCAGAGCTCCATTGACCGGTAAGCGAGATCAGACGCCAAAGTGTTGGTCGAACTCACCAGTTCCTTGAAGGAGTCTTCCGCCTTCTTCAGCGTCTTCTCAAATTCCTGCTGATTCTCGTCGATTTCAGAGTCTTTCGCCGGTTTGTTGTTTCCCGATCCAAAAACCATCTCAATTGATAAAAGAAGCTTGTTTGAAAAACAGCTGGGAAAAGAAGAAAGTTAAAGGATGATTTGCCTCTCCAGGTTTGGCATTAAAGACGCCACTCTAGTCACGTGATTTGGATTATTCTAGGCAAAGCCTACTTACATGGTATATCAATTCTACTCCAAAATTGTGGTATTCTCGTCAAAAAAAAACAAATATTCTAAGCACTATGTAGATTCACCCTAAAAGTCGTAGTCGTCACTTGCATCCTCGCGGAAGAACCACCCAAATAACACAATGCTGGTGTAAATGATGAGTCCTCCCACCTCGCACAGGAAGAAACTCCACAATGGGATCAGTGCCACGTGGTAGAACACAAGCGGCAGAGCAAGTCCACTCAGTACCATAAAGCCAGTTGTGTATTGCGCAAACTCGGCGACCGAGTTTGTTTGCGGCGAATCCGACATGAAGTCTGCCTCATATTGCGACTTGAAGGACGATGCGAGCGCATTCGGTATTGGAGCAATCAGAAATATCAGAACTGTATGGCTGCATTAGTATCCAAATCAATATATCATAATGAAGACCTGGCTATAATTTAATCTCTGCAGAACAGCATTCAAAGTGAAAACACATACTGTCGAATAGTGGCAGCCAGTTGTCAAACAGGGCGCATGAAAGTACCGTGAAAAGAAATCCAGTGGCCAACAAGATCGACAAAGATATAATCTTTGTGAGAGGATTGGCTTTCATCGCGAATGCAAATTGGTTGTGGAATTGAAGTCCAGTTTCAAACACTGAGACGGCAGAAGATCAGATACGTGGTGTATATATTTGTGTACTTATCAATTATTTGCCGCACACATTTTTGTGCCTGGCTACGCTTTGAGCTACCCTCAATAGCCCACAAAAGGGGATCTCTACAACGGCCCGATTACTGGTATTACATTTTTGATTTCAGTGAATTCAGCTACTCTATTAGGGAGGATAATAGTCAATCTTAGACCCCAAAACCGTGCATCTTAAACGCTGGAAGTTATTCGGAATGTTCCCCTCAATTTTTCACCACACCCTCTCCACCATCAATACCTACACGCTACTTGCTCGTTCAGATCCGATGTTGTATATTTTTATGTACACAATAACACAAAAGACAAAGGCTCAATATGTACAGCAGACAAAAAGACGATTACCCTCTCTGGAGGTTGATGAATGGCAAAAACCTAACAGCTCTAATTCTTTGGCTCCTCGGAAGATGAAGAGTTGTCCTGGGCAGCCTGGTCCTTGTAGAACTTCTCGAACAGGGACAAAGAGGCCTTCTGCAACTCCTCGGTCTTCTCCTTGATCAGAGCAGCGTCGACAGCGTCGCCGGCGTTCACCTTGACAATGATCTCTCTAACCTCGGTAATCAACTTAAGGACTGGCTCGGAGTCGGCAGCATTGATCTTGTCCTTGAAGTCCTCAAGAGACTTCTCGGTGTCGTTACAAAGCTGGTCGGCTCTGTTGGAGCTCTCAATGGCCTCCTTTCTAACCTTGTCCTCCTCAGCAAATTTCTCAGCATCGCTGATCATCTTCTCGATCTCAGTCTCGGAAAGACCAGATGAACCGGCAACGGTGATAGAGTTATCCTTTCCAGAAGCCTTGTCCTTGGCAGAAACGTTGATGATTCCGTCAGCGTCAATGTCGAAAGTGACCTCGATTTGAGGAACACCCTTTGGAGCAGGTGGGATACCAGCCAGAGTAAAGTTTCCGATCAACTTGTTGTCACGGACAAGTTCTCTCTCACCCTGGAAGACTCTGATCTCGACCGAGGTCTGGCCAGAGGCAGCAGTGGAGAACACCTGCGATTTCTTGGTTGGAATGGTGGTGTTTCTTGGGATCAATCTGGTGAAAACTCCACCAAGAGTCTCGATACCGAGAGACAATGGAGTCACGTCAAGCAACAAAACGTCCTTGACCTCACCGGAAAGAACGGCACCTTGGATGGCAGCACCAATGGCAACAGCCTCATCTGGGTTAACGGCCTTGGATGGCTCCTTTCCGAAAAGGGCCTTGACGGTCTCGACAACCTTTGGCATTCTGGTCATACCACCAACGAGGATAACCTCAGAGATGTCAGAGGTGGACAGACTGGCGTCCTTAAGAGCCTTCTTGACTGGCTCAACGGTCTTCTTGATGAGTGGCTCAACAAGAGACTCGAACTGAGCTCTGGTGAACTTCATGTTGATGTGCTTTGGACCAGAGGCATCGGCAGTAATGAAAGGAAGGTTAATCTCAGTGGCCAGAGTAGACGAAAGCTCGATCTTGGCCTTCTCAGAAGCCTCTCTGATTCTCTGGATGGCCATCCTGTCACCATCCAGGTTGATTCCAGACTCCTTGTGGAAAGCCTCGGTAATGTGTCTCACCAAGGTGATGTCGAAGTCCTCACCACCAAGGTGGGTGTCACCGTTAGTGGACTTGACCTCGAAGACTCCTCCGTCAATGTCGAGGATGGAGATATCGAAGGTACCTCCACCGAGGTCAAAAACGGCCACAACACTGGCGTCAGCCTTCTCAAGACCGTAGGCAAGAGCGGCGGCGGTTGGCTCGTTGACAACACGTGCAACGTTCATACCGACAATAGCACCGGCATCCTTGGTGGCCTGACGTTGCGAGTCGTTGAAGTAAGCGGGCACAGTCACCACGGCGTTCTTGATTGGCTTACCGGTGTAGGCCTCGGCAGTCTCCTTCATCTTGTTCAAAACGAAACCTCCGATTTGCGAGGGCGAGTATCTCTCGCCACGGGCCTCGAGCCAGGCATCTCCGTTGGTGTGCTTGACAATCTTGTAAGGCACCTGCTTGATGTCACGCTGGACCTCGGCATCCTCAAAACGTCTACCGATCAATCTCTTAGTGGCGAACAGGGTGTTTTCGGGGTTGACAACGGCCTGACGCTTGGCTGGAATACCAACGAGTCTCTCACCATCCTTGGTGAAAGCGACGACGGAAGGTGTGGTTCTGGAACCTTCGGCGTTCTCGATGATCTTGGGCGTCTTACCCTCCATGATGGCAACAGCCGAGTTAGTGGTACCAAGATCGATACCGATGACTTGGCCGGTCACCTTCGAAGAGTTGAAACGCACATGGGCCGAACGGCGGGCGGACTGGAAGAGATGGTTAGTGGCGGAACGGACGGACAAGAGAGTTCTAGCTTCAGCGGCTGAAGCCGGGCCTCCCACTCGAGATATGCAACTTACTGTTCTCAAGTTTCTTGCTACTGCAGAAAGCATTGTTGGGATTTTGTTGTGAGCTAAAAGAAAAAGAGTAATAGAGTTGCCTTCTGGCCAAAAGAGCAAGAAAAACGAGGGAAAACGTCGAATGCACTGGAAAATTTCAATTTGGTCAAGGCACGACTCCAGGTCATTGTGACATTTGTCGAGAAGCTGGAATTTAGAGGGGTGTGCGGCGGGAGAATATAGCAAAATATGTAAAATGGATAAATATGAATTTACTTGCCAATATCGGAGGATGCAGTTCATTAGCGGAAAAGTGACTTTTCACAAGTGACTAGACCATTTCCTCCTCCTGTGATCAGCCTGTCTGGCTGTGACGCCGTTGTCGGCATTCGCAAAGCTTCGCCAGTGCACGCCGGAATCCAGTTACCCGCCAAAATAAATAAACTCAAAGCCGCACGACCCTTGGTCTCTTAGTGTCTTGAAGGGCTGTCTCCTGTCGGAATAGTGGGCACATCCAGATTGAAAAGTTCTTGGTGGCATGCTTCCGTGGATAGAAGAGTGGCTCAAGACTCATAAAACATCCAAGTTTGCGTACCAAAGCAGGTATTTTATATTCATACACCGAAAAAAACGACCACCAACAGCATTTTGATGCGGCTGTAACAGTAGAAAAGTCGAGGTTGGTTTGTGCACGAGATTCATAACTTTCACAAAACTCCCAAAATTTTTGAAAAAATAGATAATTGTCTAGGCGAATTTGAATACGCATGCCAATCACACAAGACATTAATACAAATTAAATTTTTTTTGGAATGATATTAGACAAATAGAGGTTCCAAAACCCTGAATTCATTCAAACTCAATTAAATTCTCTTTCCCATCTCCCTTTCAATAATCAAAATCAACTTCAACGTTCACAGTGAGCCCCGCCGCAGCTATCACGCAAGTGTGGCGCATATGCGTGGAGGGGCCAGAAGATAAGCGACAAATAAACCTGAAAAGTTGCCCGCTTTTCGTTGTTTTATCTTTCTGAATCTTTTTGTTTGGTGGATCAAGTTCCTAAAAGGTTATCGGGTTTTAATGATTGTTCCAATATTAGACCTTTCGCAGGCTTTCGACAAAGAGGCTCGATCAGAGTTGATTCTGCAGCTCCGGGATGCCCTACTCTCCGTTGGTTTTTTCTACGTGACAAATGTTCCCATTGATGACCATCCAGGGCTGCTACAGAGTCTGACTTCGCAAGCCACTGAGTTTTTTGCGCTGCCATCGGAATCCAAGTCGCGGCTTTCCATGGCCAATTCACCCCACTTTCTGGGGTATTCTGGTTTTGCCAGTGAGATAACTGCCAATGCCAGAGATCTCCGTGAACATATCGAACTTGCAACGGAGCTCCCTGCACCACCGAAGTCGACTTTGACCAAAGAAGACGAAGTTTGGCGTAATTTGGAAGGTCCTAACCAGTGGCCTGAGCCTGAGCAGATACCTCAGTTTAGACCTGTGGTAGAACGCTATATCTCAGAAACCTCGAAATTTGCACGGTGGTTTATTAGTCTTGTTGCAGAGGCTCTTTCGCTTGATCCTAGCGCTTTTGATGCATTTTTCAAGCCCAATCAGCAGTGCAAAATGAAACTCGTCAAGTATCCAGAGTCCGGGGCTCATCCCGATGGAGTCCACGGCTGTGGGGCTCACCGCGACTCGAATTTCTTGACATATTTGTACCAGGCAACTCCTCATGTATCGCTTCAAATCCAAGATCGACTCAACTCGGGTGCCTGGGTGGATGTTCCGCCTATTCCAGACACGCTGGTCGTTGCAGTTGGTCAAACGTTGGAGTATATCACCAAGGGTGTGTGTACGGCCACGGTCCACAGGGTTTTGGCTCCAGAACCGGGAATTGGCGACAGGCTCTCTGTTCCATTTTTCCAGACAATTGATGCGGCATGCGTAGCTTCTAGCCTCGAAATACCCGAAGAACTGTTGCGACTACGTGATGCTCGGACTGAGCGTGGAGAAAAGATCGGGTTTCAATTTGCGGCCGACGGTTCGAAACCTGTCGGATGGACAGTGCTACTGAACAGGATCAAATCGCACCGTGATGTGGCCCAGCGCTGGTATCCGGAATTACTGGCATATGTTTTAGCACAGGTTTGAAAATACGATTACGGATATTGGCATGATGCGGCTTTTCCCAAAGAGGCAACTTGGCCGAAGATTGTGGGGAACGGCGGAATAGCACATTTATGGACTGACTTCATAACGGGGGGCTTCCGTGATTGGATATGAGGTAAGATCAACCTTAATATACAGAAGGATGGCGCTATAACAAAATTTAAAACTTGAAGTGGTCATGTTTTAGGCTATTTTGGGCTTTTTTGATGGTGGCTCTGACGATTGCCTGCTGAACCAGAATGGTGGAAGAACAGGCGATCTACAACACCATGACAAAAAACATGAGAATAAGTACATGAAATCGAACATATCCTCTCTTCCAAGTTCTCGTACGTTTTCAGATATTCAAAACCGGCCAGAACCATCGTCCGATCGTCTGGTTCTTGCATAGTCACGTGATAGCTCGTTTTTTAAAGCCTCACTATAAATTCAAACCTATTTCCCTCGGTCCATATCACTGAAAATTTGTAGAGCACCTTTCGAGGCTCTTTTTTTTATATTTGAATACTCACAACAATGACATCAGTTGCTGTTTCTACGCCTCACAAGGCAGAGGATTTCAAATTTGTCAATGACGTGGCGGAGGGTTTGGAAGTCAGCAGTGTGGGCCAAATCAAGACCTCTAAGGTGGACCCTGAAGTCTTCTTGGAAGCCCAGAAAAAGGTTTACGGGATAACACACGGTGACTGGAGAGACGACTTTGTACGGGATGGTTATGCTATTGTGCGTGGTGCAATTCCTCTGGATCGTGCTCTTGGTTACCGCAAGCGCATGCTTGACTACATCCAGTCTTTTGACAATCCAGAGTTAGATCTAAACGACAGATCTACCTGGGTCGCCAAAAATCTCCCAGCTCACAATAAAAACAACATCTACTTCAGCTATTGTTGTGCTCACGAAGATTTCATGTGGGATGTGCGACTAGAACCGGGTGTTATCGCTGCTTTCAGCACGCTGTGGGGCACGGACGAACTGTTGGTTTCTTTCGATGGTTTCAATGTTTCGTTTCCAGGACGCCCAGACCGTGACCCAGCTCCAGGATGGCCTCATGTGGACCAATCACCTTTCAAGAAGGGACTTCATTGTGCTCAGGGAATTGTCAACCTGAGTAATGCTGACGGGCCTGAAGACGGTAGTTTGACTGTTGTCAAGGGATCGCACAAATTGGTTCCAGAATTTTTTGAGAATCTTGACAGGGAATCCTGGGAACAGAGAGACTTCTATTCGTTCTCGGAAGAACAATACAAAGATTTTCTGGCCAAGGGCTGTGAGGTGATAAAGTTGGATGTTGCGCCTGGTGATTTGATATTGTGGGATTCGCGCACCATTCATTGGGGCCAAGAACCTAGTCCCAAATCGAACGTGATTCGTACTGTGATTTATGCATCATACACTCCTAGCCGTTTTGCTACAGAAGATACCATCCAAATGAAGGCCGAATTGTTTAGAAGGTGGTGTGGATCTACTCATTGGGCCCACGATAACCTGAGGCCAAGACTAGAGATTCCGCTACTTCCAGATGGGTCGAAAGACCCAAGAAGTCGTACTGAGCCAAAGAACAAACCAGAACTCACGGATAAGCTTCTTAGGCTTGCAGGTGTCTTGCCATATGATAAGTTGACTTGAATATATGCTGAGAAATGTGAGATATGACCCCGTGAACAGATTTATAGAGCTTTAATGAAACCAGCTAAACAAATTAAAATAGCCATTTGCTCAGATTGATGCACGATGACTGTTATCGTAAGCACCATCTCATAGAGACCTGAATCAAAATTTAGCCATAATGTAGTTGATTATAATTATTTAGAAATTTTGTGGGTATCATCGGGTGAGTGCCAGTTCTCTTTTTTGACAAAACCTGAACGTATCACAACAAGTACATTGTTGTTGCACCTGACCATGAATATGTGTTTTTTCAATCGATCTTGCTTTCAAAAGCCAAAAAAAACTAATGCTGTCATTATTATCAGTCACCAAGAATCAACTTTAAGGTAAATCTTCAAAGCAGTATATTGAGGTTTAGATGTATGCTGGAAGGAATTTTTCGTTCTGGTCACTCAGTGCTCTTCAAGCAAAGGACCCTGAAATAGACAGTTCAAACCATACTACGATATCCACGACCTCAACTGAGCTACACCACATAGTTTAATAAAATAATTTACAACTGCAACAATATCAGACCACCAAGTCAAAGTGTGGCGGTTAGAAGCCACGCTCACGCCCAAAAGCTGGGGTGTAGCCGTTAGGAGAACAATAGCCATTATAGACGTTTGCTCGTGGGTTAGCAACGATAATCATATGACAGAGACATCTTTATTCACATATATATGCATAACAGAAAATACACTCAACTCAAGGGTCCCTCTAAGCTAACTTCAGTCGCTATATGCACCCAATTTTTCAACCTCTCCACACTGTGGCGTTTTGTGGCCGATGCCCATCGATTGGAGTGATCAAGAGCCTAATTTGGGATACATTCCAGTATTCCCCCTAGTCTTGCATAATTATATATATATATATCTCTGGAAATTTTGGTTTACGAATTTTCATATTGTGATCTTTCTATTGTAATCGGTATTTTCTATTTAGCTCAAAGAAAAAACGGCGTGGTGGTAAGAGAGAATCGGTGGAATGCACAGAAAGATAAAATTTTTCTCCGATTAGCGCATTAGTAACTATTTCTCCAACGCTTTCATTCAGTTTCTCCTCGCTTTTTTCCCCCTTTCTTGGATCGCTTTCTTCAAACAAACTCTCAACGATGCCATCCAAAGACACAGTTCAACCTGCCGTCCCTATTCTGAACCTCGCGCTAGCTGCTGACCCGGCCACCAGACCCCAGCTTATCAAGGACCTAAAACATTCGCTCCTCAATGTTGGGTTCTTCTACGTTTCCAATGTTCCAATCGAAGGCTACTCTCAGATTCTGGAAGATGTTAAGGCCGAGACCCATCATTTCTTTGACGATTTGTCAATGGAGGATAAACTCGCCATAGAGATGGTCAACTCGCCTCACTTCCTCGGTTATAACAGCTTTGGTAATGAGATTACCTCCGATAAAGTCGATTTGCGTGAGCAAGTTGACCTGGCAACTGAGTTACCAGCTCCTCCAAAATCAACTTTGACTGATTTTGAAGAAGTTTGGCGTAATATGGAGGGACCCAATCAATGGCCTAACTCGAGAGTTCTTCCAAAGTTCAGACCAGTGATAGAAGGCTACATCGATAAGATGAGTCTTTTCGCCAGATGGTTCATCGAATTGATTGAAGAAGCATTAGATGTTCCCAAGGGAACTTTCGATCGTTTTTTCAAGCGTCAGGCCCAGGCCAAACTGAAGTTGATCAGATACCCAGAGTTGGAGCGGGCCGCTGAGATTCCTGGTTTACCTACGGAGGCTGCAAAAGCTGTTCCAGTGGATCTACAACAGGGAGTTGGTCCCCACCGTGATCAGAGTTTCATCACTTACATCTACCAAGCAACTCCACACGTGTCGCTTCAAATTCAGGATCAGTTCAGTTCTGGTAAATGGATAGACGTCCCTCCCATCCCAGATACTTTGGTGGTTGCGGTTGGACAGACTCTCGAATATATCACTAAGGAGGTATGTACAGCAACAATTCATCGCGTGGTGACCCCAGAACCTGGTCTCGGTGATAGGCTCTCGATTCCATTCTTCTACAACATCGACAACGAGAGTATTAAGGCACAGTTGGCTCTACCATCTTCGCTGTTGGATTTGAGAGACGAGCGCAACAAAGCACGCAGGGGTGAGTCCATTGGATTCCAGTTCCTAACTGCTGCTGACGATGCGGTGGAGAACCAGAAACCCATTGGCTGGACGAATTTCCTGAACAGGATTAAGTCCCACAGAGACGTCTCGCAAAGATGGTACCCTCAGATGCTCGAATATGTCTTAGAGCAGATGTCGACTTGAACGGGGCTTATGTCATTGCATAGGAGCCGAGTTATGTTATCTGTCAGCGAAATTCTGCATTCTCTGCTTGAAGCTTTTTGAGCCGCACGCACCACTTGCATGTTACTTGCATGACCCTGAGTCCAGCAAAAATCTTGGTTACAATAACATTCCTATGGACAAACAAAATATCGTAAGAATCGTAAAACTTTCGAATTATTGCATATGTCTTGTTGAAAAGCGGCCCATATCAGTTTAAGATACAATCGTCAGACAAGACTTATTTAGGGATGCTAGTTCTCGTCACTAGCTGCTCAACTATTCAATTCTTCTTCATCTTCCATCTCCTCAAATTTAGTTTCACAAATTTTGTCGTAGTCGGCTTGTTTCTTTAATCCGAAACAACCATCAATGACAGAAATGAGTCGATCATTTGAACCGCAGCCAGCGATGTCAACTCTGTGTTGGTATCGAATGGAGGTGATACCTCAACCACATCAGCACCCACCAGGTGAATACCCTCCAGAGCATCCAGGACCGTTACCAATTCACGAGTAGTCCATCCACCAACCTCGGCAGTTCCAGTTCCTGGAGCATACGCCGGGTCTAACACGTCTATATCTAGCGTTATATAGACCGGGTTGGTTCCAACACGTTCTTTAATGCGAGCAGCAATTCCAAGAGGTCCAAGATAGTCCATGTCCCGAGCAGTGATCATTGTGAAACCACAATCCTCGTCATGCTGAGGGTCCGTTTCTGCAATGTAAGGCGCTCTAATTCCCGCGTGCATGCTTGAGGATTTGTTTACGTAACCAGCCTCAGCAGCGTAATGGAGGAATGTTCCGTGATTAACACCAGCATAATGAGATACCGCCCCTCCTAAAACTTTCGGATCCCACGTATCGATGTGCGAGTCAAAGTGAACGACACTCAGCGGACCGTACGTCTCGTATGCTGAACGCAAAGCCATCAGAGTAATAGTGTGATCGCCACCAAGCGATACCACTCTAGGCTTTGTGTGGTGAGTAGAATTGGAAGCAGAATGTGAGTGAAGAGCCCTTTGGCCACGGTACAGCTGATTCAATGCGACTCTGTTGTCGAACGGGGTCATAGGGACGTCTCCACAATCAACTATCTGTAATCCAGAACTCCATGGATCGGTACGGCGGAGTTTGGAACGCTTACTGGAGCCTCTAACTGGAGTCAAACCAGAACCAGATCTTCTAGAAGCCTGACGGAGTCCGTTAGGTCCAAATCTTGCACCTGGTCTGTAGGATGTTCCAGTGTCAAATGGGGCCCCCAGAAACGCAATGTCAAACTTCAAGGATTCGTAGTTTTCCGGATTAAAACAGTCCACAGCGGGAAAATGTCCGTATGTAACCAGTCCTCCAATCAGGGACATGTGGTTCAAATCGCTGGTATCATCGTCTGCTGGAAACTTCACGCTCTGTCCAGTCAGGGCCTTGGATGATGCCTTGTAGAAGCTGGAATGATGGGCTCCCCAACGCTCAATTTCATCCTCCTCAACAGGCAGTGATAATTGGCCTTCACGAACCATCTCGCGTTTTGTCTCCAAAACCTCTGGAGTGTTCACTAACGGGCCATAAACGGCGTCCATAAACGAGCCCTCGAACATGGCATGGTCCTGGACAGCAATAACTGCCTCTGCAGTTTCCAGAAAACCGCCCAGCACTACGGGAGCAAACAAAAGGGTAGATTTTAGGTTCATGGTGAGAAAATAGAATGGCCCGAGGATATCTCTCAATTTGGAGTAACAAGAAGAGCAACTTAACTTCAAGTCGTGAGATATTTCAGCCTTCTTATCGAACTATCCGGCTGTCCCAATCGGGCAACTCCATCACGGGCGGATATCTGCCCTTTTGGGCCGAAATGGAAAAGTCGAGAGCATTTACGGCGAGAGTGCGGCTGAATTAAAAAAGAACAGCGATAATTTATGAACTTTTGACGTCTGCATAATTTAGATAAACAACAGGAAGCCAAACAGACTGGCAAGTGGGAAGTAGCTGATATCCAGAGCTGGGGCGAGTGCGGACGATGAAGATGACGAGGAGGAGGAAGAAGTCGAAGAGCCGGTGGAAGTAGCCATGTCCATGGCAGAAGAAGCCGTTGAACCCATGTCCATATCCATAGCAGATGTTGATGAGGAGCCCATGTCCATTCCACTCATGTCCATGCCACTCATAGCCATTGTACTGTAAGGGTCTGCAGTTCCAGTCGCAGAAACAGTGCCCTCGTAATACTCGTCCAAAAGCGTAAAGTCGGTCACATTTTTGATATCCCCATTGGGAAAATCATCCACATAAACGATCTCAACAGTGTTGTTAGAACACTGATTCTTGAAGACAGGACCTTCCTTGGAGATGGTCACATCAACACAGTTGTAGGTCCAGCTGTACTCGTCTTCTGAATCACCTGATCCAACAAGAGCAACCTGGATGGTTCCATTTGTGCCAGTCTTGGCATCGAGGTCAAGGGAGGGAATGCAGAAGTTGCCCGGCTTGTGAAGATGGAAAGGATCATACACAGCATTGGCATCAACGAAATCTGCCGTTGTCAGACAATCATTGCCCTCGCAAAAGTAGATTCCTCCAATCACAAAATTGTGATGAGAATAAATCTGGATTGGTGACCCATTGGGGTTCCACTCAAACCTGGGCTGTCTGATGAAGTTGGACCCTCCGCATGGACCCTCCGATTGCGTGGGGAAGTTGGTGGAGTTACGTTCACCAGGAAATGGGATACGGAAATGAGCATATGCCGTAGCAGCAAAAAGAAGTGGAAGAAACTTAGAGGCAATCATCGACAGGGATATTAATTGGAGTTTTTCGAAAAAAGATTCTAACGCTTTCACCAAATTTTTCAGTCGAAGACTGTCCATATGTACGCGAGTGCGTTAGAACGAGCAAATTTACCACCACCGAAGAAATTGCTCGTTTTGTGGGGTCTTACGCTTTCGTGGGATCTTATTTCCTTGTTGAGAGATATTAGGCCGAAAAAAGCTTAGTTTTGAGGAGTTTTACTGGTAGAGAAGATATTTGTGGACTTCCTACTATTCTTGAGACTGATTGTTCACATAGCGTATGGCATTTGGCACCGGGCAAGAAATTAATGAGGTAAACAGAATGCGGGTCATATATGGACCTGGAAGATATACTTGATAATTTATCATAGTCCAAAATATGTGATTTTATTGAGCATGACTTAAAATCACATATATTAAACGAGAGTGTGTTTTAGATGCTTAAGGACCCCAGCAGCTGCATTGTTATTGTTTGAGATGCGCATATAATAAAGAAGCGAATCACGAATTCACGGCAGCGGCATATAGAGACCGGTATCAGTTGCTTTAGCTAGTTTCCCACTCAAACCCTACTCATTGACCCGACTTAACACCATCTCTCCATGCTATAACACAGTGCTATTGTTCATCGGTTAAGCCGCACAGAGAGTGGTACAAGGCCCTCGGCGGTTAGAGTAACCCCATGGAGATCCAAGATAAATCCGACAGCATGCACACAACCGGGTAGTTAATTCCAACCTCACAGTCAAGAAACAATTTTCAACCCAAATACGGGCTAAATCGTGGACTGGATGCCAAAAAATATGCAAAAATATTCAAGTAGATGCTTTCCCCATCCAATTCGATAACTAACCGCCCAAACCCTCTGCTGTCCCAATGCGGTAGCCGCGCGCGCAGATTGCGCCAGAGTAACTCCCCGCGATTACGCTCAAAGCTTCTCGAGCTATTAGTACTCTTGTGAAGTTTTTTTCTCTTGAACCTGTTGAATTGACTCCATTCAAGCCTTCAGTTTTAGTCGATTTATATCACCACAATGTCCGCAGCACTAGCCGCTAAGTACGGCATCAAAAATGTCGACCTCATCCGCACTGAGGCATTTGTCAACGGCAAATGGATCAATGGCGATTCCAAGTTCACTGTCGACAATCCTGCCACTTCTGAGCTGATCGCCGAGGTGGTCGATACTCCAGTGGCTCTGATCGAGAATGAAGCCATTCCTGCTGCGGTGACAGCGTTCAACTCATTCAAGAAGACCACCGGTAGGTACCGGTCTGGACTGTTGACCAGAATGTACGAGTTGATGATGGAAAATCTCGACGATTTAGCCATTTTGATCACGATCGAAAACGGCAAGTCTCTAGCTGATGCTGCCGGAGAAGTCAAGTACGCTGCCAGCTTTTACCAGTGGTTTGCTGAAGAAGCTCCCCGTATCTATGGTGACACCATTCCTTCTGCCAACGGCAGCAACCGTATTATCACCGTCAAGCAACCTATTGGAGTTGTGGGAATTTTGACTCCTTGGAACTTTCCCTCGGCTATGATTACCCGCAAGTTGGGTGCTGCTCTCGCTGCTGGGTGTACTGCTGTTATCAAGCCTGCTGCCGAAACTCCGCTCTCTGCTCTTGCTCTCGGTTACATTGCTGAACTTGCCGGTGTTCCCGCTGGTGTTGTGAATCTTGTTCCAGTGTCACAAGAGCCTACTAAAGTTGTGGGTAAACTTTTCTGTGAGTCGCCTAGTATCCGCAAAATTTCGTTCACTGGATCTACCGGTGTTGGTAAGCTGTTGATGCAACAGAGTGCTTCTTCGCTCAAGAAACTCTCTTTCGAGCTCGGAGGAAATGCTCCTTTCATTGTCTTCGACGATGCTGATATCGATGCTGCAGTTGATGGTGCCATTGCATGCAAATTGCGCCAATCGGGCCAGACATGTGTCTGTGCCAACCGTATCTACGTCCACTCCAAGGTGTACGACGAGTTTTCCACCAAGCTTGTGGCAAAGGTTCGTGACAATCTGACTCTGGGTAATGGGTTGCACAAGGGAATCACCCATGGTCCACTTATTCATGGTCGCGCAGTTGCTAAGGTTCAACAACACGTTGAGGATGCTGTCGCCAAGGGCGCCAAGATCCTCCATGGAGGTAAAACAGCCCCACATTTGGGTGAGAACTTTCACGAGATTACCGTTGTTGGTGACGTGACTCATGATATGCTTGTTTCACGCGAAGAGACCTTCGGTCCTCTCGCGCCCTTGATCAAGTTTGATACTGAGGACGAGGCCATTGCGCTTGCAAACTCCACTGAATTCGGTCTAGCCGGTTATTTCTATACCCGTGACTATGCTCGTTTGTTCCGTGTTGGTGAGGCTTTGCACGTTGGTATGGCAGGTGCTAACACAGGTGCCATCTCTGAGGCCGCTATGCCTTTTGGAGGTGTGGGTCACTCAGGTTTCGGTAGAGAGGGTTCCAAGTATGGAGTTGAGGACTATATTGTGATCAAGACAATTGTTATTGGGGGTATATAAACCGAGAATTATCTGTATTGATTCGTGAATGACTGAGTAGGTAACTAAATTTATTCTCAAGCCGCACATGCAAGTATTTAGTGTACCACACAATTTGGCGCCGCATGAAAATTTCAGACGCGACATGATAACTCGACTGCAGTAACGGCCGCGTCTCTCAATCACAATCACTAACACATCCATCATGGACCTCTACCAACAGTGTAGCTACTCGGAAGTGCTTTTTGATAAGCAATTTGAGCAGATACTCGGTGCTTTCCAGCGACAGGCCATCTCGACTGTGGAAATCCTGGCGTGTCCCGCGGCCGACCTGGCTAAAAAGGTTGGGAGAAGCGCTGCTGAAGTTTCCAGATTGCAGAGGTCATTGAGGCAGGATATCTCGCAGAAGCTGAAAGTGCGATCAATATCTGTGGATGATGAATTTTTCACCACTGGAGATTCCGGTATGGATCTGGCTTTGGGTGGCAACGGCATATCCTTAGGCCATCTGACAGAAGTCTCTGGAGAGAGTGCAACGGGCAAGTCGCAGGTGTTGATGCAACTGGCGGTATCAGTTCAACTTCCAAGAGAGATGAATGGCCTGGGGCCGAGTCTGGCAGAGGGTACGCGTAACAATGCCCAGGTGGTTTACGTGTCGACAGAAGGAATTCTGGAGACCAGAAGGCTGGATAAGGTATGTACCCACTTCACTGAGGTGCTAAAGGAGAATGGTGTCCACGATCCTATGGCATTTCCTACTACAGATAATGTGTTGCAGACGATGTGCAGTGATCTGGAATCACAGCAACATGTTTTGAATGTTCAATTGCCAGTTCTGCTGGAACAGAAACAAGGAAAGATCAAATTGGTGATAGTGGACAGTATAGCCCATCATATCCGCGCGGAAATGGATACGTCCAAATCATATACCGATTATTTGCAGCGACAATTCCTAATAGTGAAGCTGGCAAAGAACCTGCGGGAACTTGCCCTTAAATATAATTTTGCATGTGTTGTTTCGAACCAGGTCAGTGACAAGCCGTTTGACTCAGCACTAATGACGTCTTCAAAAGATCACCTTCCGCTTCAATTCGAGTACCAGCTCGGTTGGCTAAGTGGCTGGGACTCAAAGGCCATCTGGCACCGCCAACGAGGCGATACGGTTGAAGTTGATGGCGAAACCAGCGAGCCTTTAAATTCGCAGGACCCAAAGCTGAATGTCGCTGAGCCAGCAGAAGTGACTGCCGAGGATGAAATGGCTCCATCTTCTTTGCCTCCACAACTCACGCTCACTCAACGGCTAAAACTTGAGTCGCGGAGCGAGATGTTCGCAGAAAATTCTTACCATTATGACTACAAAATTCCGACAATGGGAATTCAGTGGACGAATCTACTGGATGTCAGAGTTGTTCTTTCAAAACGGCACAAACCGATCATAGGGTCCAACTTGATTGACGACTATGCTGAAGATTTGGGAATAATCGCTCCACAACCTCCAAGTAACGGATCGCAAGATGAACCCCAGTCGCAGTCCCAATCCCAGACCCAGACTCAAGACCGCTCTCTTACTGAAATTCTGTCCAATCACGAGTATCTCAATAATTACAACTGGGAGGTCCAGCGCAAAATGCGGATGGTATTCTCCCCATTTGTGGAGACGGGTTTGGAACGAGAGTGTCAGTATGAGGTTTGGAACGGAGGAGTTCGGTCAAAAGAAAGCTGAATAGCGTCCATGCTATAGTTTGATCATCAGCCGGATTGCAGATTGTCTACAGCTTTTAATTAGCATGAAATATCACCGGTTCTACATGGAACTACACTTAGCTCACCTGCAGTAATACTGTTTCTTCATTAAATATCACTTGCTATATCACAGCTAAACAATACATGTGATGAAAACCGGCCAAAATTAGTAAAACAAATATAAATAGCATGTAAATAGACTGTGGCCAGCCCGTCTATTCCTGGTCCATCTCAAACATGTCGTCCTCCATCTTGTCGTCGTCGTCTTCGTCTTCTTCGTCATCAGACATAATTGCATCCTCGTAGCCGTCTCTCAAGTCATACTCCTGAAGGTCCTCACCTTCCTCTTCGTCCAGAGTATTCACCTTTGAGTTTCTCCGAGGGGTATAATTGTTCTTCAACACCGACGCCCGTAGGTTCAAAAATGCCACACGCTTCCGTTTCTTGTTATACACAAACCATGTAATAAACCACAGCGTTCCCGGACTCAGGTCATTTAGAAAAGACTCTTCTGGCTCGTACAGATACACCACACAGTCCGCGAGGTCCATATGTGAGTTGATCGTCTCCCACATCCAGTTGAGATCCTGGGATCTTCCAAGCGATAGAAGCAAGCTGTTAAACTTGGAGATGAGCTCTGCGCTCGAGGACAACGCCTTGAAGTTGTCTGGCTGTACATACGAGAAATCGTGGTCCGGATACGACGCGTTCAGAATGGCTATCAGATAAGCGAATGTCTTCCGGCTGCTTGGCTCGCTCAATGGTCCAAAAGGTGAGTCCTCCCAGTATTTGCTCTCGTCCGGGAATTTTGACCCGAGCGACTTCGAGTCCAGCGACTTGGGCGAAATATAGGGCGAGTAATGGTATGACCGCGAAAGGGCATTGCTGGACTGTTGACGGTCTAGGGAAGATAAAACGGGCCGAGCTTTTGCAGAAGAAGACGCCCTCCTCGCCCGGAATTGTGCAGGCGAGGGTGGAGAATTCTGGAGATTGGAATTCGCGAAAATCTCGTTTTCCTCGAGCAAACGGTCCAGATGTTTATCTATCGTCTTGTACAGCTTGCGATCGGACCCCACTGGTTTCGTCGTAAATAGGTCGCATCCACCGTCTATATGTGTGTCATTCGTGTCAAATGTGAGAAACTGGTTCACAAGCTCAATGTCAAATTCATCGATGAACTGTAGATTGACAGAGTCAGTAATGGTTCGTATGCTCGGGCATGCCAACCATGGTATGGTGAATTAGGAAATATCTGCTCCCGCAATCAACCATCCATGTTATATCAAATATGACCAGTAACTTGTACTCACCTTCATGGTATGATAATCTGCAATTGCAGTTGGTGGAAGTGTGGGTTGATGGGAGCGTCTTATCGTGGCCGTCTTGTCTAAATTGGCAAAGCGGACCACGCGGTTTATTGGGTCACCCACGACGATAACGGATCACATGGATCGTCATGCGCATCTGTTCTCTACAACACTACTCTTGTTTTAACTTTGAATCATCTCAACGTACATTAACCAGTTGCTTAGTAAACGTCACCCTGGGCAAACATGGCATCGGCAACCTTAACGAAACCGGCAATGTTAGCACCCTTAACCAAAGATGGCAAGGCATTTGCGTTGGTCTCGGAAGAGTAGGCAATGGCGGTGTTCAGACAGTTGTCGAAACAGTTGACCATGATGTCCTTGAGCTTGAGGTCAACCTCCTCGGTGGTCCATTGAACTCTCTGGGAGTTCTGGGCCATCTCGAGACCGGAAACGGCAACACCACCACAGTTGGCAGCCTTACCTGGGGCGTACCAGATGGCAGAGCCGGCAGAGGCAGAGGACAATCTCTCGGCCTCGAAGACATCGATGGCCTCCTGGGTAGAACCCATGTTGGAACCTTCAGCGATGAACTTACATCCGGCAGCGACAAGGGCCTTGGCCTCTTCACCACTGACCTCGTTCTGGGTGGCAGATGGAAGGGCAACGTCGACCTGGCCAACGTGGACCCATGGTCTGGCACCGGCGATGTACTCGACCTTGGACTCGGAGAAGGCGGAGTATTCACCGATGATCTGCTCAAGAGACTTGAACTTTGGCTTGGCCTCACCAATGGCCTCGATTTGAGCCTTGGTGATTCCAGATTGGGCAATGATAGCACCCTTGGAGTCAGAGAGGGAGACAACGGTTCCACCGAGCTCGATCACCTTCAAGGCAGCGAACTGGGCAACGTTTCCGGAACCGGAGATGGCAACTCTTTTGCCAGCAAAAGTCTCCTTGCCGTTGGTGGCCTTCTCAATCATCTTCTCGACGTAGTAGACGAGACCGTAACCAGTGGCCTCAGGTCTGATCAGAGATCCACCCCAGGAGAGACCCTTACCGGTAAGAACACCCTCGAATTGGTTGGTGGTCTGCTTGTAGGCACCGAACATGTAACCGATCTCACGGCCACCGGTTCCAATGTCTCCGGCTGGAACATCGGTGAATTGACCGATGTGTCTAGCAAGCTGTCTGATGAAAGCAACACAGAATCTTCTGATCTCGTTGTCGGACTTGCCCTTAGGGTCGAAGTCCGAACCACCCTTACCACCACCCATGGACAAACCAGTGAGGGCGTTCTTGAAGATCTGCTCGTATCCCAAGAACTTGAGGATGGAAAGGTTGACACTTGGGTGCAATCTAAGACCACCCTTGTATGGACCGAGGGCAGAGTTGAATTGGACTCTGTAACCTCTGTTGACTTGCAACACACCGGCATCGTCCTCCCAGACAACACGGAATTGGATAATACGCTCGGGGATCGAGACGACGGGGATCACCTTCTCGTACTCTGGGTGCTTTTGGAACAGAGTGGAGTCCTTGAGGGTGGACAACAGCTCGTTGTAGGCTTGCTCGAATTCTGGCTCTTGTGGTTGGACCATTGCTTATAATTATCGGATTTAGTTACGCAGAAAAGAAAAAGAGAGAAAAAAGCAGAAAGCTAACGGAAGATCTGCCCGAGGTTAAATATTCCCAACACTGAAAAATGTGCACCAATTCGACGATGACGGGCAGCACACCCACAGAATGCATAAGGGCAGCCCCCGGTCTGCTCCCAGATCCGGACCGTTGACGGCGTTTCGATCTGGCTGAAAAATTTTACCGTGGTGTGGAAAGTATGGCCTTTGGTGCTAGCTCGAATATGATTGGATCGATAAGCATCGCCACGGGTATTTGGCAGGCCCGAGACCGGAATGCTGGAATTTTTGCATTTTGTCTCCACCCAGCCTGGGCACTTTTTGGAAGAGTTTCCTTGGGGGCGAAGAGTCATACAATGGAAAAACCTCATGCAGCGGCTTATATCGGTGTTACCACCACTTCGTCAGGGCATGGTGATTTACAATTGCAATTTGGACTGCTGTTGTTAGATACGAGCAATTGGCACAATCAAGATAAGCTTCTTGCATTTAATTAGTCAGGTTATTGTAACCTGGGGTTTTATTGTAATCGTAGTTCGAGGATGGTTTGTTTTCCAGTCCGGTGAAAAATTTCCAGGGTTCGCTTTTTGCCCGATCTGTCAATCGCAACTAGTTACTCCGGTGCAGGGCTCGGGCTCCCGATTCGAAGCATACATGTTATTTCATTTTGCACTGCAAAATCCAGCAATTGTAATTCTCGTTGTCAATCATCAATATCAACTGCGATTAACTACACACTTACCTTACATATCAAGAAGCCTATACGCAGTTTCGTCGTACTCGCCTTCATTTCGGTTTCGGTTGCTCCTGCCATACACACGCTGCTGTGCATGGCAATCCGGTGAAACCTCGGAAGATACTGCAACAAAGTGGCTCAATCGGCGAGTAGACCAAACGCAATTGTCCAATGTGCGTCGACTCTGGTACTCGGGTTGACCTCGGAGCAAAACTCCAAGCCCTGAAGTGCGTGAGCCAAAATTGCGTCATGCATTTGGATTCTACATTTGATGCATTCCGCATCATGTGCGGCCATAAAATCGTCTTCGCACTATAGTATACAAATCTTGTAAGACCGCATGCAACTTGGACATAAAGTTGATATCACTCAAGCAAGATTAAAGAATATGGCTGTTGTGGGTGGACTTCAAAAGATAGGCCAAGGTGTGGAGCTATTTTCCATGAGCTCGATAAGGTTCTAAATTTAGAATTGTTTCAAAAAAGCTACCTCTATCAAACCGACAGGTCTCTTTTTGATGGAGATAAGACTTCATTCCTGACACATCACAGAAATATAAGCTTTAACAATGCCCTTTCTCTAGTATAAATAGCCCCAGGTTTTGCTGAAATACTGGATGCTTCCCCCCTTTCTTCACTATCGCAATCTCCACTCCAATGAGCAATCGAATCTACGTTTCTTCTAGCTTGAAATCTCAACCACTTTCCAAAAAGGGGATGGAGACTGCAACGTCTAAGTTGGACAAGTTGAGTTTTCATCCTTCGATCTCGCCAGAGGAACTTATGGATCCCACTTGGATTCCCTCTGATGCAACAGGTACAGACACGGATTCATCGACCGAGTCGCTGGAGTCGTTCGAGTCGTTCGGTTCCTTCGAGTGTGGAGAAATCTTAGACTTCAAAAGAATGCACCAGAATGGAGTTGGCCTCTACCATGAGGTAGTGAATGCTCTTTCATTTGACAACAGTCAAGAAAGTGCAAGCGTACAAATGGTGAATGTCCCGCGTATTGCAGTTTGTGGAGAAGATATCCCACATGTGAAGTTTGTGGAAAACGTTGAGGCGAATTCCCGCAACCGTCCACCCTCCAGGTTTCGCAAAGTTCAACTCACCAAGGACAAGATTTTACCAAATGGAGACGATATTGACCGTCTTCACGATCGTCTCAGCAAAATGAGCTTGGGGTCAGCTAAGAACAAATTTGGTGATGACGACGTGGAGTATTCAAGCCACTCCAAATCAAAAGCTCAACCAAATACAACTTCAGAATCAACTTCCGATGCTGGTGTTGATAACCTCAGACACAGAATTTCAGCCTGCAACACGAACTTCCAGAGTAGTTGCGTATTCGTCGGCAAGAGCGACACGAAGGGCTTTCCTCTAGCTGCAATCATTCCAAATGGCAAATATATGCTTTTTAGCCAACCTGACGAGGGCACACGAGAATTCGAGGAATTATCAAAGAAGGTGGACATGGAGATTTCGTCTTTGGAAAGGACGGTAACTTCGAGAGACACCGCTCTCCACAGAGAAAACTTTGCAGCTTACTTCTATGAAAGATTCATCATCCAGAGACTTAAACGTCATGATTCAAGTGAACTGCGGGAAAAAGTTTTTTACGACAAACTCCAGTGCTCTTTGTGGAAGACAATGAACCGGCTGCGGCTCAATGGAAAATCCTTCAGTTTCTTGATCGACAGCAATTGCGTTTCAGACGAGACTTCATTAAGCACATTTGTCAACAGGTGTAACCGGATCATTCCCTTCTGCCATTTTGAAGTCATTCTGGTCGATTCACAACTAAGGCAATATAACCCGATCACCACCTTCTGGGATTTGTTCGGGCGCATATATGGAGAATTAGAGGGAAAGACCAAATACGAACGAGTGGAAGCAACGAAGAAGGTTCTCAACCCGAGAATAATTGAAAAGCTCGTTGAAGAACACGAGAGGCTGTTGTTCAGTTGAGCTTTGCTGGAAGTTCCTCTGTTGCGTCGAATTATAGGCCATTGTGGTTTTTATTATTTTCTGAAAAATTCAGAAAATACGACATTCAAAAGATTTTTGAAATCAGTGATAGCTTTTTTTTGATTTCTTGTAATAAATAAATGCCTTTCATAATAAAATTTCCCTTTCTAAGATCCAACAAGTCACATAATAAAATCCTCAATTATTGTTTTACTAAACATTTAGTTTACAGCTTCGCCTTTGGTGGCTTCGCTTTCTGTAAAATCTTCTCCACAATGGCCGCCTTCATCACATTGCCCTTCACCTTGAGTTTTCCGCTCATAAATAATTTCTGTGCGGAAGTTTTCCCATTGATGAGCTTGTTGAGATCGGCATCTTTTACAGCAATTGAGATATCCGCGTCTGATGGCTCTGAAATCTCCTTCAGCGTGCCTGCCTCTTTGAGATCGAGTTTCCACGCTTTGGTTTCACCTTCCTTGTTCTTGACCACGAACTGGATCACCGAGTCAGCCTAAAGATGTTAGGATAGCTCTATAGAAAACAAACGAATTCAGTTTTGAGGTAGATCAGGCAACTTACTTGTTTAATCGAAGACGATCTCAGCGCCTTGTCTGATTCCAACGCCTTAGCAAGACCGTTCAAAGGGGCTGTTGTTTTAAAAGACATGATATACGTGAAATATTGAATTAACAGTAACCAAAACAACTCCGTTCATGAAAAGTTGCTTAACAATACTGCTTGTTCGCTCGGGAATAAGCCGCTTATATACTCGAAGAGCAATGTGGGGTCGAAATTCGGCGGCATGTGACTCGGCTCAAGTTGCCCTGGGTGTTTTGGCATATGATACGCAAGACAGCTAAGAAGAGTGAGGTCATCTTAGATAGGCTTGAGCAGGCAAGACTAGTTACCTAGAACCATAAATCCACGAATTATCTGGATCAGCGGACAGCATACACTACTACTCAGTACACTTAGCACGCCGACAACTCTTCTTTTCTGCCATAATTCATTGAATCCCTTCTTTTACGCCGTCTCGGCCTATTGTTCCGGCTCCAGACCAAGGTCGTCCCCCAACCGCAATGCTCGTCTCTCATTGGTCGAGATAAGATAAGGATTTCGAGCACTTCTTTGAACGTCCAGTCCTTATCGTGTTTACCGTTGTCAATGGCGGTTGTTTTGCACTTGAGTTTAATATTTGAACAATTACCACGTTTACATATTGGTCAGTGTACCTTTATGCATTTTTCGTCCCCTAACATATTGACACTCCCTCCTAAACTGGGACCTCGCTTACCTCTTTCGCTATGATGTCGAATGTCACGCCAGACCAGCGAAGGGGCAGGCACTTCCAGGTGCCGAAACGTCTTGAGCACACAAAGAAAATTCAGCCATTCAATCAAATAATATCGCGCAATAGTTCTACGGCGTCACAGAGGTCGACGAGATCTGCCAATAACTTGATCTCAACCTACTATGGAGAGCAAAAGGAGAATTCAATTGCACCCACTCTCGAGTCGATATCGATCTTGAAGGCTACGAAGCATGCTCATCATTATGACCCTCGTCTTTCTGATTCTCTTCAATCTGGAAGAGACAGATCAGTGAATCGTACGCGAATTGAACTGATCAGAGGATCAGGTGCTTCTCTATCCAGCATTCCATCGTCTTCAGCTTCTTCGCCTGAATCGGATAAGATAGACATTCCCAATGAGGATGATGTGGACGAAGAGGTCGGTGAAGTTGTGGAAGTACAGCTGGCAAGCATACAAGGTCATATACCAAATGTGTTAGCACTCCTTGATGACGAAGTGATGTCAGAAGAGGTCCCCCATCAAAATCTTAACATCCAAATGCGCACGCAACAGCGACAGGAAGCTTTGAGGGAGTTGATGCAGTCAACACCAGACACAAACACAAATACGTGGTTTGACGTGGTACCGTCTGGAAACGTTTCTGAGACTCAGAACAGAAGTAGGTGGAAAAACGTTGATATGAAGATCAAATACGAGACAATCTCGAACGACTTGCGCAAGCTGTCTATGTTTAACTCGAAACCAATGGTGAATTCGCTCAAGAGGATCATGCCGACTGAGAAAGGAACTGCTCAGAGCTTTGGGCCGGGAAGCTTCGTGCTAGGAAAGGGAAAGGACATACTTATAGATATTTGGAATAAAGGGTAAAACCATCCAGCTGGGTGTGTTGTTTATTCTTCATTCAGCCGTGGATTAGCAAACTGAACAAATTGAAAGCTAAATTAATAACATAACAGACCATAAAGCCATGCTAAGCGAACAATTGCCGGACCTGGTTCAAAGCAACGCGGCTAAAGTTTAGTTTACACACTTCTCTTTTGTTCTCTATCTTTTCGATATCTTCAAGATTGTATAAGCTCCAGTACGCTCAAGCCAAAAGGTGTCCGGGACATTAGCTGAGGGTTTCGGCATGACTGAATTCAAATACACATTCTCGCATGAATGCTCGGTAGACCTGCTGGCGTCTCCCTATGGACTGGGGGCGCTGTCTGTGATACCCCTAAAGGCCCCCACGATAGGGGTTGGCTCAGTCTACCTCAATGCGACAGTCCTAGTTCATGCTGGAAAGCTATATTTTAACGACGGTGCTGATTTTGATTGCGATGAGAACATACGATACAGAATCGTGGTATATGTTGAGAAGCCACGCACTCTGCGTATAGATTTTTTCAAGTACAAGATGGACAGTCCTGACAACGTCTTGGACATGGACGCTATTGGAACCGATACTCAGGATATGTTTACAACACTGCCTACATTTCTGAACGGTTTGAAGGAAAAAGATAACTGGAATCCGGCCATAGTGTTCAGGGGAGAAATAGGCCCACGCTATCCAACCGACTTTGAAATGGCTGTTGGAGTGCTGAAGTTTGCACCCGGGCCTTCAGTTGACTCAAGATGATACTTTAACTGGTAAAACTTTCCCAGAGCAGTATGTGCGCTTATAATTAGACTTTTCCCTTTATATATGGCTGGATTTTATTAGTTTTGCGATTCCTATTAATAATTAGAGTGTACCAACCAAACCATCCCGATCGGGAAGAGAAACTGAAAAAAAAAATTTCAGAGGCTTCTTTAGGAGAAGGTGTTACTACTGGCACAAATACCGAATCACTCTATCGGAATAGCATTAGAGGAAGAGGACACGCGAACAATGACTTCTCTTTCACAACAACTTGCTAGTCTGGCGCAGTCTACGGCGACGGTGGCGTTGGACCGCAAAAAGAGGTCCAAGATCCACTCCGTCTCTCTGATATACGACCCCAAGTACGCGGCGACCCAGGATTACGAAGAGATTTATGAAGATTCGCTCGAGGCATTTGAGGAACTTTGTTCACTGGACAACAGGATCACTGGATTTAAAGACTCCATCTTCTCGGAAGCCAGTGTCAGAATAGATAGACTGGTCCAGACTAAGGAACAAAACGAAGACCTGGATAATACTATAGAGGCATTTCTGAGTTTGGTATCACCCTTCTTCAACTTGTCCATTGCCATCAGAGCAATTGAATGGCTTGTGAGAAGGTTTCAGATCAATGTGCACTCAGCTGAGAAACTGATTCTGTGTTCGTTGCCATACTTTGACCAACCTGTGTTTTTGAGAGTAATCAACGTGGTAACCACATTTCCTCCTCTCTTTGCTTTTTTCACAGAATTCAAGAAGGCCAAGTTGGACAAGGGCCCTTCAAGGCATCTGATCATCAAGCACTTCAAAGACTTGCAAACTCTCAGTCTATTCACCAACCACATCAAGGACCTCATATCCAAGAAGATAGAGTACCAGCAGCTGTATGTGTTCTACATTTCTGTGTCTCTTTCCGCAATAGCTTCCCTGAATAGGTCTGCCGAATTTGTGGACTTTGTTCCTATTTTTCTGGAAGTTTCGTCGACTTTGTTGAGTTCTGCGAGTGATGAGGCTAAGATAACAGCATACACCATCCTGGCTGTGCTCTCCACTGCCATCCCTCTATCTAAGGACGTTCTCATGGCCATCATAGACACGATTCTGGCATTTCCATCAGGAAAGACTGTTAATGAACAAGGAATAGCCACAATTCTAAAGCTGTATCAGTCTTTGAATGTTGGTACTCTGGACCCATTTTCGGTTAAGATGACCCGCAAGCTGTTAAAGCAGCATAAATTGCTGTTCCCATTGCTTCATAAAGCGAAAAGTAACGACAACTTTTCTAGTTGTTTGGTTAACTCCTTATTGCAACATGATTTGGAGCTGGAGGTTGTTTTGAGAGAGTTGAAAACTCTCTCCACGACTACTCAGAACATCTCAGTTATTGTACAAACCGTTTTGTCAAAAGTATCTGAATCAGAGGATGCTTTTAAGTATGCTGAGATTGTGAAGGTTCTCCTCGAAAAGGACAGAAGTGCAGTTGTGGAGACCGTCACAGCGGCGAGATCCATGGACTGGCTGGAGATGAAACTTCAAACCGTTCTCATCGAACAGGCTGAGGACGAGGACGTTTCTATGGACGGCTCCGGAGACGAGCAGTTTGTGATCGCCGAAGATGAAGAGGAGCTCAGCACCCTTCTCGAAAATGTTGGAGGTGCCACTGCCGACTCGTTCTTCGTCGTCGAGAAGGACAACATTATGAAGCTGTTTGTCCAGGCCATTGACTCTAAGCTCGTTTCTCTGTTTGAGGAAAGAGTTTTCCAGACCATTGACTCTAAGGTAAGTTTCACCATCAGGACAGGTCTTACTTCCAAATTGCCTCTGAAAGTAAGAATGGCAGCTTTGCAATCGCTGCTGAAGACAATCCAGGGCGAAGAGTTGAATTTCTACCCAGTGGTCCCCCTTCTTTTGGCCTTGCTCGCTGATTCCAGAGAAGTTGTTCGTTCTCTGACTGCTCAAATTGTCCAAGAAATTGCATCCAAACAGACCACAGCAAAGACTCCACTCATATCTCTGAAACTTTCAGACAACGAGTTAAGTTTGCTGGCTCCTCACGATGGCATTGCATTTGTCAAGAAGCTGGCTGATCATGTACAGAACTGTGCATACGATGAGACCAGCGTCATCAAACTTGTTTCTGCTATCAGTTCGGAAAAGAAATCAGGCAAGCTGGTTCTTTTGGCACTCGTCTCATACGCCGAACAAAGCTCTATCCCAGCAGTGAAAGCTACAATTTTCGATTGTGTTTCTGCAACCAAGGGGGCCTTACCATTTTCTTTGTTTGAGTCGTTCTTGTCGAGTTACATCTCTTCTAGGGGCGTTTGGGAGATCTCATGCGAATCATTCGGGTTTTCTTTCAAGGACTTCGAAGACTCCGTCTTTGGCCTGTTGTCTGCAAAGGACAAGTCTGCAGCTTCTCTGAAGTTTTTGGAAGACTCCTTGGCAAGTACTTCACTGCAACTCTCTGAGACCTCTCAAAAGAAGATCGGTTCCATCTTCGATTTGTTGAAGTTTGAGTCTCAAGTCCAATTGGTTCAGTTCATCATTGACCATTCCCAGCAAGATATCAACTTCGACCCTGTCGGACTGCTGCAATCTTTGCATTTGCCGAGCGCTATTTTCGTGAAGATTTTCAAGGAATCGAGTTTGCATCAGTCTCAACAACCAGACTCTCCTGCTGTTCCAAAGAGAAGAAGAAGATCCTCTGCATCCACCAGAGCAGCTTTGAAAGACGAGCAGGTTTCCAGAATTGCGGTGGATCATCTAGAGAAGTTGACAGTAATTCTCCAAGTTTTAGAACAAACGTCCTCATCCGGCTTTGATCCAGCTTTCGAGCTTTTGCAGTTACTGTTTGACCTCTTGGACGAACTTGAAACTCTTGGTAACGATGGAAAACTAGCCGTGTATTACTCACAAGAGGTGTTGGCTGCGTGTATGCTGAACGTGATAGCAGGCCTCAAGTCTTCTAAGGCAAAACCACCCTCTCTATCAGTCAGAGCAGACGTTGTTGTGTCTTCAATCAGGTCGTCCAGCTCTCCACAGGTGCAAAACAAACTTCTGTTGGTGATGGCTGCTTTGGCCACTCTTTCTCCAGAGACTGTGCTGCACTCTGTGATGCCAATCTTCACCTTCATGGGAGCTCACACCATCAGACAAGATGATGAGTTCTCAAGCCATGTTCTCGAAAGAACAGTACAATGTGTCGTTCCTGCATTGGCAATGAGCGCTAAAGATGGCCAGATCAGTGATGAGATTGAATTTCTCATGGCCAGTTTCACCAGCGCCTTTCAACATATCCCAAGACACAGACGTGTAAACCTGTTCACCAACCTGGCTAACTCCCTGGGCGGAGAGACTTCGGTGCATTTGGTGACTTTCCTGTGTGCTGAACAGTTCTACCTTGCTTCCGAGAAAAACAAGATTGCTGAATGCCGTTCGCTGACTGAGTTCGTCTCGTCTTTCATATCCCATTTCTCTCCAAAGATCCAGCTGACTGCCATCCATGAGTTTCTCAAGATCTGGCAGATCATTCCTGCTGTTCAACTTGGACCGGATGATGAGCTGACCCACACGATCTCGGTTAGACCTGTATTTGACTCATCGATTGTGTCGATGTCAACCGAGGAATTGATATCTTTGAGAGCTTCGTTGATTAACTTCTTGCACAGCTGTCTCGTTCCGAGTGAAGCGAAATCTGGAATATCCAACTTGAAGCTCAAGATTGTTGCTCTCTTCCTAGATCAATCCAGCCCAGATTCTATAAAGGAGGTATTAGGATCGTTTGGTTCAAACGTGGAGCTTCTCCTGGAGATTCTGCAAAGTGTTGATGGCGAAGATTCGAGTTCAATCTTGACAGATTCTCTCTATGCTCTTCTAGAAGACTTGCTTGACGTGGTGCCAGTTGCCGAATTCGTGGAGGCAATTGTTCCTATCATCTCTGAATCTGAGCAGATCTCAGTATCAACTGTGAGGAACGTGACACTTCTAGCCTCCACCAAATTCAGCTTGGAGTCTTCTGAAGATCTTGCTGCACAAGCAGCGGCGTTGACCTTGATTCCAGCGCTCCTCTCGAATATCTCATCAAGCTCAAGTGTCGAAGTTGCCCAAGCTTCATGGAATACCCTCGGAAGCTTGGTGCTCAAGTTCAACGACAAACTGGACTCCAAATTGCTACTGGAGTGTTTGGCTATAGCCACTTCCAAGACTGGCCTTCTGAACACCACCCCGGAGATAATCATCTCTTCTGTTACCTGCATTGCATCGATTGTGTCAGTTCTTGGAGTAAAGAGCATCGGTTTCTTGCCCCAGATCATATCGCCTGCTTTTGAGATTTTCAAGTCTGCAGTCGAATCTGAAGATGAATCTTCATCAGAGCTCATCCAGAGCTCTGTCCTGGCACTGTTTGGTTGCTTCATCAGAAGGCTACCCTCCTTCATTACCCCAAACCTCAAGGATATCCTCAGGGCTGTTTTCGATGCTTCTCTCGTCGGAGAGTCCACCAAATCTTCAGTGTTGACCCTCATCGTCCAGAATCTAGAAATCAAAACTGTTATCGCTTCTCTGTGCTCTCTATGGAAAAACGTGAGTGCTTCTGAAGACGCTTCTTCGGTTGGGTTGTTCCTGTATGGAATGGAGATGACCGTCGAGGAGGCCGATAAGAGAACTGCTGCTGCTCAGGCTTCGGTGTTCTTCAAGTTCTTTATGCATGCTCTCGAATACAGAGCAAACTCTGGTTTCGATACCAACACTGTTTACAGGATCGAGTCATCGCTGTACCAGTGCGGTATCAACTATGTCATGAAGCTGAATGACAAGAACTTCAGACCCCTGTTTGCAGGTTTGGTGAGATGGGCCTTTGACGGAGAAGGGGTTATCTCTGTAATCACTGAGGTGGAGAGGCTTGAGTCTTTCTTCAGATTCTTCAACAAGCTCCAGGACAGTTTGAAGTCTATAGTCACTGGCTATTATTCGTACTTCTTCGACTCGACAGTTGATCTCTTGGGAAAATTCAGTTCTGGTGACTTGAAGAACATCACACTAAGACGTGTCGTTCTGATCTCTCTGACCACATCTTTCAAATTCGATCAGGATGAGTATTGGCAAGCACAATCAAGATTCGAGTCTATTTCCAAGGCTCTGTTTGATCAGCTGAGCAACATCGAAGAGACAATTGCCAAGTACTTGGTGAAGGCCATCACTTCTCTGTGCCAGGCTTGTTCCACCGATGTCCACAACAAGGCCATCAACGAGCTGATGTTGCAACACATCAGAAGCGAGTGCAAACCAAGGGAAAAATTCTGGGCTGTGAGAACAATGAAGACAATCTATCAAAAGGTTGGTGAAAGCTGGCTGGGTCTGTTGCCACAGTTGGTTCCTTTGATTGCAGAGCTGTTGGAGGATGAGAACGAAGAAGTTGAGATGGAAGTTAGAAAGGGACTTGTGAGGGTCATTGAGACAGTCATGGGTGAACCAATGGACAGATATTTGGAATAAAATGCATAATAAAGTATTGATAACGACTTTAGTTGAAAAGAATGACGTTAAATTCGAAGTAGGGTCGCAATTCGTAATTCTCAACGTGTCACCTGTTTTCAGCCGCACACGCAGGTTACGAGCACTGCCCGGTGATCCACCCTGCCTCTGTACTCAGCTACTAGTTAAACAGGTGTCGCGCATTCTTCTCCAATACCACTTCAAAGCCATCATAACCAAGGCGTCTTTGGCCATTCAGACTCTACAATTGGACACCACGGACTTGTTAAACAGCATCAACGCATGTCCACAAACTCGCTACAAGGATTAGGACTATCATCTGACAAGCCGTTTCTACCCCGAGTTAACTCGATGACGGCCTCTAATTTGCCGCTCGGAGATGAAGGTTTGACGCGGAACGCCTCCTCGCCTTCGATAGCATCATCTTCATTTTCTAATTTCGCTAAGAAGGCCAAGGCAGGACGCTCTAAGTATCACAATCTGGGCCATCCAGGACGACACAACTCTTTCAGCAGGTCGAGCAACGCGTTCGAAATTCCGGTCTTCTTCAAGCGTTTGTTGAGGCCGCCTACGCTAGATTTTGAGACAGCAATGTGGGAGATTTTTTATTTGATTATACAGCCGAAGAGAGTTTACAAATCGCTGTACTACCACAAACAGACCAAGAACAGATGGGCCAGAGACGACCCCAGTTTTGTGCTTCTACTGACATTTTTCATCACAATAAGCGCGGTAGCATGGGGATTGGTTTATTCGCCTGGGGCATTGTCGATATTGAAACTCATAGGGTACATGGTGGTGGTAGACTTCTTGGTCACGGGAATCGTGATCGCCTCCATCGGATGGGTTTTGGCCAATTGCATTTTCAAAAATAGGCACTTGGTGTCTGCTAGTGGGGTTTCTGATATCACCTCTCCATTTACAGACGACTCTGCTTTGGAATGGCCCTACTGTTTCGATGTTCATTGCAACTCGTACCTGGTGGTGTGGCTGTGCCTATATCTCATCCAGTTTATCCTTCTGCCGCTGCTGACGTTGAGCAACTGGTTTTCCACCTTGATTGGGAACACACTGTATCTCTTCAGTCTCAGCTACTATTTCGTTATCACGTTCTACGGATATAACGCGTTGCCGTTCCTGAGCCGCACCGAGCTGATCCTACTGCCGATCCCGGTTCTGTGCGTGCTATGGTTAGTACTCACACTGCTGGGGTTCAATGTGGCTGCCTACTTGTCAGATGTGTATTTCAATTGAAATAGAACAAGGTACAATGTTAGCCATTTTTATGTAGCAAATGCCTTAACTTGATTAGAATTAGACCAACCGGCAGGACTCCATCATATTCGCACATACACGAGTATTTGATCACGTGACTAGTAACTCTTCCAAAACATAGCCATCCAACAAGTGTCAGAACATCTGGAGTTATCTGTCTCCATGGAAGGTACCAGGATGAAGCCAAGCGCGAAAGGCGAGAGCTTGTACAAGTATATCGGTGAATTTGCATTGGCCATCCAATCGGAGGATGGCTCGAGGCTGGCCCAGCTGGTGTCTATGGCCCTCTCGGAAACACTGTATACTAGAGCCAACTACGAGGAACCACAGGAAAGCGAGTTGAGGAGGCTGAAGCCCAATTGGAGAGAGGTGGTGAAGGCTTATTTGCATGTGACAAAGGTTGCTCTGAAGGAGAACGATTTGAAAAAAGTGGTATTTAGCCAGACGGAACTGCTTACACACCTGTCTCGTTGCGCAGAAAGAGAATCCAATTGGGTACTGCCAGCATTGTTGCTCGTGACTAGACAAGTTAGCTTTTTATATTCGGCCTACGAGGGTCAGAAAAGTAAGGAAGCACTGGCCGAAGAGGAAGAATTGGCTGTTCTCGAGAAAGTTGTGGAAGCCGTGAACAGGCCATTCAAGATATGTCTTAGTGATAAGAGTGACCTGCGATTCAGCAAGAAAAGCGCCGTTTATTTTTTTGCCGGCCAACTGTTCAAATACTACCGAACTATGAAGAAATATGAATTATCAAAGAGTATCGAGAAGGCGCTAGCAGCGTCTGCCACAGAATTGCCTTCCATTACTGCTATTCCCAAAAAGAGTGCGGTGATTTATCTTTACTACTCCGGGTGTTTAGCCTGTATTGATAACGATTTTGAGAAGGCCAATGATCGTTTATCTCAGGCTTTATTGCTGTGTCACAAAGACTCGTTCAAGCAGAAGCAGTCAATTCTCGTGACCCTCATTCCGGTGCGATTCATCGTTACTCGTCAACTGCCTAGCAAAGCGTGTTTGACCAGCCTGAGCGATCTCGGTTTGGCATATTCTGATATATTTCGCGCCGTCAAACTCGGAGATCTTGCCCTCTTTGATTCTCAATTCCAGCGACTACAGAGTTTGCTCCTGAAAAAGAATCTTTACTACGTGTTTCTTAAGATGCGTATGTACGTGGTTGCAAAGCTTGTCAAGGTGGTGTGTTCTGCAATGACGGGAAAATTTCAAATATCTGTGGCTTCCCTGTCCTGTGCACTGGAGTATTCAGGCAAGCAGCCAGAGGGATCGTTCTCTGCAGACTATACTGAATCAATTGTGGCGAATTTAATATCGCAGGGACTGGTTAAAGGATATTTGTCACATGGCAACCGTGTGCTCGTTCTGAGCAAAAAAGAACCGTTTCCGGTCCAGGTTCTGGCAGAGAAACAGTAATGAGCGGAAGATTATGATACAGAGACTGGTCTTTTAGGTAATGCAAGTCCAGATAGAGTGCAATAGAGTACTGTAAATCACCATATATTTTTCTGAAGTATCGTAAGGTGTGTGGAGTATAGGACATAGGGTACTGCACACTTGACAGCAAATGCGGCCCCAGTCACGTAGAGTATATTCGCGGACGAGAAAATTTAACAAGCCGTAGTAATTATTTTTACTAATGAACCACATGAAATAAACCATACCATTTCCACAAAAATCACCCAAAAATGCGGTGAAGCGCAATAACAAGCAGAGACGCTATGCTACCGGTTGCTGCTGCACCTATGGGCGCAATACTTTTTATACATACCCCAACAGAACAAACCACAAACGCCCAAAGTAAATCAACCCACAACCCAAACCCATTTTTTTATGAATAATCACCAGCAATAAACAGCTAAAAACCATAGAAAACAGCAATTCACTCCCAATTTCTTCGAATTCTGCTCCTTTTGCCAACTCCAATTTAACCGCTGAAAACGCCGCGCTATTCATTGTTTGGGCGTCAAACCAGCGGCTCACTTTTGTGGAGCGCGCAGAGGGGCTGCCCTTGCAGCTGTTGGCGGGCCTCAACCAATGTGCTCAACTCAACGGAAATCGCTTTCTGTTCGCGCTTTTATCGTTTTAAGAGGTAATTCTGTTGCTTACTAAGGGTCTCTGTAACAGAATACGCTACTTCTATATTGTATTTAGCCCGTTGCCCTGATATATTGTGGTCTGCTAACCCACGAATTTCACTCCATACCACCACACCACCATCACTGATATACCCGACACAGACGATTTACTCCTCGATTTTCGTGCCCCATCTTTCTTTCTTGCTCAAGTATAGACCCATATAGACCATGTCACCGGATATCTCGGGTGAGGCTGGCTCAACTTCGTCTAGGCCAACTCCCCTTGAACGCAAGAGCACTCGGTTGCTGGGAAGGCTGAGACAGCACAAAAACGCCCCGGGTTCAGATGAAAATGCCCCCGCTCCAGAGAAAAAGCGCGGACTTTTGAAGAAATCCGCTACACTTCTTCATCTGAGGCATGAAACGGAAAAAGAGCCTGAGAAGCCTCCACCAAGGCGGATCAGCCAGGACGGCCATACTGCATTGCCGCGCGTGATACCGACCCCCAAAGCGAACGGAAAGGTGCCTACACGAATTGGCGAGACCAAGAACCACTCGGATCCTAGTTCTGCCACAAGACCGCCCACCCTTTCGAAAAGAGCCAATACCACGCTTGGACACTCTCTGAAGACTCCAGACTCAGCTCTAATGGGCTCCTCTGGATCTGCGATTGCTGCCCCAAGACAAGTCGGATTACCCCCAGTGCCCACATTGGAGCAGATGGCCCAGGCGTCCAAGCCGAAAAAAGTGGAGTACAACCCGTATGGCTTGAACAACCGGGCAAGGGCCCCCACCATCATGGACCCTACGGACGACGAGACGAATCTGCTGCCATTTCCATGCGAAGACCCCAACGATTATTTACCACAGACTTTTCAGCAGGAAAACCAGAATTTGCTGGAGCAATATCAATTGCCGGATAAGGACGAAACCATTGGAATAGGGGCCTCGGCTAGTGTCAAGAGGGTGCAGAGTTTGACCTCGCCGTCGCAGATGTACGCACTTAAAAAGTTCACACTTTTCAAAAACGAAAAGCCCAAGGAGTTCTACGAAAGAGCCGCAAAGGAATATATCATCACGAAGAACTTGTGGCATGGACTGCACGTGGTGAAATGTCATGCTCTGGTCAAGATCCCTGGTCAGTTTGGCATGACCCGTGGCTGGGGTTTTATTCTCGAATTGTGCAAAACTGACCTGTTTGCACTGATAAAGAGACCTGGGTGGAAAAGCGTGCCGATTTCTGAGAGATTGTGCCTTTTCAAGCAGCTTGCGTACGGTATCAAGTTCATGCACGAGTGTGATATCGTCCACAGGGACATCAAACCGGAAAATCTGCTGCTCACAGCTGACGGAATTCTCAAGATCACCGACTTTGGTGTCTCAGACTACGGTCACGAACTGCCGGGCGATTTTTCAAGCCCGCTGAAACGGTCTGCAGCCTTGGTGGGCACTCCACCATACTCTCCACCAGAGGTTTCTCTTCTAAAAGAGTTCAGCCACTCTAAAAGACCACCTTACGATCCTTTCAAAATGGACATGTGGGCTCTGGGAATGATGCTTTTCTGTATAGTATACCAGGCCACCCCATTTCCAGAGTCCAGCAAGGCGTTCGCCGCATACCGTGACTACGAGGCCGGCTACAAGAACTACTGTTCCTCGCACCCAGCCTTCCGCAAAGGAGACGTCACCAAGGGTCCAGGTTCTGAGTACAGATTTGCAAAAGAATTCGGTTCCTCAGGGGCTTCTCGGGTAGCATGGCGACTTTGTGATCCGGCCGCCCAAACCCGCTACACCATGGTGGACCTCTTCAAAGATCCTTGGTTCCAGGCGCTGGAAACGTGCGTTGACGAAAACCAATACGAGTGTAACTTTTGTTACCATGACGATTCTCACATATATCATTACGAGCACGCATACGGGTCTGCCGACGAGAAGGTGATCGGAAATGGCAGCCGTGTGCGCTCTGGTTCGAACCTCAGCACCAACGGAAAGCGCGTTCCCAACTCGCGTAATTCGTCAACTTCCTCGATGCAGAAGACTCCTGTGAAGGTGAAATCGATGCTGGGAATGGTGGGGTCCGATCTGCCAAGCCACGGTGAGCTGGTAAAGAAAGAACCTTTTCAGACTAGTGCCACTGCTTTGGACCGTATCACCGCTGCTGGCGAATCCAAGGCTGCTCTGGAGGCTTTAGCCGAGAAATCTGAATGTGGAGCTGATCGGACTCCGGTTGAGGTACCTATACCGGAATCTGTGGCCGCAAAAGACGAGTTCCACGATGCCCGGGAAGTTCTGGATGGAGTTGCTGCCATGGATTTGTCGTCTTCCAGAACGCCGACCCCGCCATCTACCAGGTTATCCGTCGATCCACCTGAAATGAGCCGGATCGGCTCGGAAGTCTCTCTCAACACTCTCACTACCCACCAAGGGGTTGTGCAAATCAAGCACGTCCAGCAAGACCTCGAGAAAGACGGCTTCATCATCCCCATCGACCTGTGCCATAAGGCTGGCGAGTGCCGGCTCAAACAGCATCACCACCTAGATGTGGGCAAGGCCAGTTTGTCGTATGGTGCCATACACTGAGAATTAGCATCTATGTAAATTTGAATATAATATGTTGTTGAGCGCAGGAGACAGGTGCAGAAGGAAATATGCAGGGAAGACTGGGGAAATATCGTGCCTCAACCGTTATTGCGTTTTCAATTGATGCACGCTCTGGTTACCTCAGGTCACGTGATGAACTTTCTGCCGGAATTTTCAGTTTGAGTCACACTGCATGCCGGTACCGGCAGATGAGCGACATAGACACCTCAGCGTTGGACATTTCACCGTTGAAGCTCTCCAAAAAAACATAAATTTTGGCACAGTCGTTGTCTTCACACCCACGAGTATATCCACATATATTTATTTTCCAAGATGGAGTCTTCAGTCTCGTCGCTGGTCTCATTCCAGTCGCAGGCCTCTCTGCAGAAAGGTGGCTGGGTGGTGCAGAAGTTTGGAGGTACCTCTGTTGGAAAGTTTTCCACCAAGATCGCAGACGACATAGTGAAGGTTTACAGCAAGCAGAATAAAGTTGCGGTGGTTTGCTCGGCCCGTTCCTCGAACACCAAAAGCGAAGGAACCACCAGTCGTCTTTTGGCATCTGCTGACCGCGCTACTGATGGTACAGATTTCGAAGAAATTCTTTTGAAAGTCCTGGAGGATCACATTGAGAACGCTAAGGCTCTCATACAAGACTCTGAATTGAGGGATCAGCTTATAAGTGATACGGAGTTTGAGGTGGACGAGGTGAGGAAACTTCTCAACGCATCACAGGTAATAGGCGAGATCTCTCCGCGTACTTTGGACACCATCATGGCGTGCGGAGAGAAACTCAGTTGTCGCTTCATGAGTGCTCTGCTCAATGATCGAGGCATTTCATCGCAATACGTGGATTTAAGCAACATTATCCCAGTTGGGTTCGATACCTCCAACGGGTTCGATGCCACATTTTACAAGTTTCTGAGTGATTCGTTTGCACATGAGCTTTCCAGTCTCGATGCTGGAACTGTTCCCGTTTTGACCGGATACTTTGGAATCGTTCCAGGTGGATTGCTGAACGGTGTTGGAAGAGGTTACACTGATTTGTGTGCGGCCCTGGTTGCCGTTGGGCTCCAGGCTGACGAATTGCAGGTGTGGAAGGAGGTCGATGGTATCTTCACGGCTGACCCTAGAAAGGTCAAAACTGCTAGACTACTTCAATCGGTGACCCCAGATGAAGCTGCTGAGCTCACCTATTACGGTTCCGAGGTTATCCACCCGTTCACCATGGAACAGGTGATTAAAGCCAAGATCCCCATTCGCATCAAGAATGTCGAGAACCCTACCGGCCAAGGCACTATTATCTATCCAGAATATGTTGGTAAGAAGGGAGAGGAAACTCCTCCGCATCCTCCTACTTCTATCGAAAAGCTACCCACGGCCATCTTCACCAGACCCAAGAGTGCCACGGCCGTCACCACCAAGCACGACATTGTCGTCATCAACATGCATTCCAACAAAAAGACGCTTTCACATGGTTTTCTGGCTACTATTTTTGGTATTCTGGACAAACACAAACTGGTGGTAGATTTGATTTCCACCTCGGAGGTGCACGTTTCTATGGCCCTTCATAACACCAACGAATCAAGAAAGGAGCTCAAGAAGGCTGTTGAGGAGCTCGGAAAGTTTGGAGTTATTGACGTGACTCACGACCTGGCTATTGTCTCACTTGTTGGTGTTCACATGAAGCAGTTGATTGGTATAGCTGGTAACATGTTCAAGACGCTGGCAGACGAGAAGATTAATATTGAAATGATCTCGCAGGGTGCCAACGAGATTAACATTTCATGTGTGATCAACGAAAAAGACTCATTGAGGGCATTGCAGGCTATTCACGATAAAATCCTGGATGCTCCTCTCAACAACGGTGCAATTGACCAGAGAATTGCCGAACTGAGACTGAACACTTGAAGAGGATAGGAGAAGCAAGAGAAGCAGAAGATAAATAGCAATCATAAAAGAGCATATATAGTAAACGAGGAAGGCCTTTATCATTTTGAAAAAACATTTGTGGTCTTACCTGAACGACTGGTGGATGTAGACAGAGTATTACGATTGTTAACCGATGCGGGCGTTGTGAACGTTTATTCATGTCCAATAACTACACAGCAACTCGCGATATCGCGTCTGTAATACCTGTTGTCCCTGAAATAGTTATGGTTTTTATACGGGTTTCATATGATTTGGACACCTATCAGTGTACATGCACTGTGCATACCTATTATGCAGGCCTACTGCAGCAGAGTCTCCAGGTTATATTTCGAGCAATTTCTACAAAACATCTACCAAATTTTGAAAAAGCGTAAATCAAGCTTCTATTCTCATACTCTGAATTACAACTCAGTGAAGCCCAACTAGAACACAAAAATCTGGTCACCCAACTTGGAAACTGGCTTGGCCTTCTTATAGCCAAGGTCAACAGCATTGCTTTTGACAGTGGCAGTCATTCTTGGAGGACCACACAAAAGAAGCTGAACATCGTCAGAAGCCTTTGGAAGATGTTCGCTCATCATCTCCGGGGTCACGTAGCCAGATCCACCGGTCCACGAGGCAGTTGGCCTGTCGAGGATGTAATGAATCTTGATGTTGGGGTTCTGCTTTGAGATGGCATCCAGTTCATCCTTCAACAAAATATCTTCCTCAGTCTGGTTGCCGTAGATCAATTGGACCTTGGTGTTGTCTTCTGGGTTTCTGGCAATCGCAGAGATGATCTGGTACATTGGGGTGATACCGGTACCTCCGGCCACCATACCGAACTCACGGCACATGTTGGGTGTGTAAGTGAAGAAACCTTTTGGTCCTCTCACATTGATGGTTTCACCAAGCTTGAGCTCGTTGATGAACTTCGAGATGTTTCCGAGGTCGTACCACTTGATCAGCAGGTCAAAGTGGCCTTTGGCCTCATCAGTCGAAGTGGGTGTGTATGATCTGACGATCTCCTTGCCATTGATAACCTCAGATATGGAGATGTGTTGGCCAATTGGAAGTCCCAAGACATCCGTTGGCTTTGGAAGTCCAAAACGGAAAAGCGCTGTGTTGTGAGAGATCAAAATCTTTTCGATCAGAGGGAACTTCTGGTACTCATCCTTCTTGAGCACCTTCCTCTCCTTAGCAGGCTGGAGAAAGACATAGGATCCTGCCAAAACGGTGACGACGGCAGCCAGAGATAGGATTAGGAAGTTGTTGGTAGACATTAATTCAAATGACATTCAGAAGGGACGATTTGTCAAAACTGGGCTTCAATAGTGCAATACTTATACACGATGGATTACTGCGTTGGACGTCCCAAACAGGCTAAAACTTCCAACTTCGAGGACGCCTGGACGCGCTACTTGTTGCCGAAATCGGTATTTTGGAGGGGCACGTCCTTTAAGTATCATATTTTAAAACGTACTGTATTCACTGGTTAAATGAAAAATTTCGAAAAGGGAAATTAGCCATTGATTCGAATTTCAACTATACAATCAAGCCCCGACTTACTGTAAATCTGGTCGCAAGGAAGCACACAAACGTGAGAGTGCTCATGCAGCATGCAAACAGCACCATATGGTTGTAGCCATTGCGAGAACCGTTTCCGATGATCGCACCACCAATTGGCAACACAATGAGGTTTCCGAAGGCAACAAAGAAGTAGGCTGTGCCGAATCTCTTGCCAAAGTCTTCAACGCGTGATATTTGGCCCGTGCAAATGGCCGTCAGACTGAGAGTAGTTGCAGCGGAAGCACCAAAGATTCCACAGAATACGTACAGACCGTAGATGTTGGAGCCAAAGGGCAACCAGATGGCCCAGTTAGAGATAGCAATCATCAGTGCTGCCACTGTTATTGTATTGAATCTTCCGATGCGGTCGGAAAAATGTGCTGGAATAGATCTCCCAATCATACCAGCTGCGTTGAGAGCGACCAACGTGAGATATCCAGTTGAATCAGAAAACCCACGCGAAGTCGCATAGGACGGCAGATATGTGTAGTTGATCATGAGGGAAAACTCATTAAAAAACAGGGAGCAAGTCAGCCATCTGTATCTGGGATCCTTAAAGCCAGAAAAGTCAATGGACGCTTTGACCCTTTCCCAAACGCTTTTACCTGAAAATTTTTCATTGATTTCGTCGTTTCTGTCTCTGACTAGAAGAAAGCAACAAAGCAACAATACCACAGAAATGAACGCAAACACGCGCATGGACCATGCATAGCCGATTTTAGGAAACAACGACCTGAACATGAGAGGGAAGACGATTCCACCTGCGCTTCCTCCCATCTGAGCCATTCCAAGAGCTAATCCTCTCCTTTTTAAAAACCAATGACTGACGACACCAATAACAGATGGCATTAGCAACGCTGTTCCCAGACCTGCCATTACACCGTAACCCAGAACAAATTGCCAGACGGTTTTAGCGTTGGCCGTAGCAAAGATCCCACCACATTGAAGAATAGCACCTGCTACTAGCGGATATTTAACTCCAAGAGCATCAAAAATAGGACCCCCAACAATGCCTCCAGCATATGTCATGAAGGTGTATACTCCAAAGACCCAACCAACAGTTGAGGTTGGGAGTTCAGCGAGCTGGTGAGACATGATATACGATTCTACCACACCCATTGAGTTCATGATAGCAAACGTAGCCATCAGTCCCAAATTGGCTCCCAAAACTACTGTGTATGCCTTTCTACCGCCATCAGGAAATTTCTGGCCTTTATCCATTCCAAAGAGCTCGTTCTCCTGCAAAAGGTTACTTTCTTCCGTAGTATCCAGAGCTGTTGCCGGAGAGTCTAGTTCCACCGTCTTGCACGACTCCAGGATTTGCGGCTCTTGCGAAATATCCAATGTCATAGCTGCACTTCGTATGAGATATTCCTCTTTTGTGTTCTTTGGAAAGACCTGCTTCAAAAGAGAAGATTCCAGCATTTGTAATAAATTCACTCAGGCAGACGCTTCTCCGCATAGGGAACGTATGCGGAATGGCAGATGCGTCTGCCGCCCGGACATATTAACGGAATTTGCTGCCGGATATTAAAGAGGCTGAAGGGAAGCCAGAAATGCATTGAAACTTATCAGTATTGCATTGCAGTCTCTGATGAAACAAAAGATGAACTACTCGCAGGATCCATTTTCTCCTTTTTTCGGATAAGTAATTTTAGTGGTAATATGTAAACTAAGATGGATCAATCTAAAAATTTAGATTCTGCAATCTCGTGAAGTGAACAATGCATAACTTGAGCAAAAACCGTTGAGGCTACTTGATATCTCCATGAGACTCAGTCCAAAACCAGTCTTCTCACCGCTGGAAGATATGGCTCTTCTTCGTGGCCTCTGGAAAAGTTGACCGCAGTCCTTTGGAGCTCTCTATAGTTTGCTCCTGGAGTAATCTTACCAACTACTACTGGAGTGCTGGTTTCCACCTGGTCGGGGACAATTAGCGGGCGACCAAGAATTGCCTCCAGACCCTGAAAAGCAAATGTCACGGCCTCCTTGGCACCACTCGATACTCCATGCTCATCCAAGAGGTACATCCTGCTCTGAGGGAAGTTTTGCTGAATGAACTCAGTAATGTTCGGGTTGAAGGATCCACCGCCACATAAAATAATCTCGTCAATTGGACCTGGTGCATATCTTCTGTAATCGTTGACAATCGACTGGGCTGTGATTCTGGTGAGAGTTGCAACAATATCGAAGTTGTTCAAGCCCTTTGCTTGACACATTCCAATTAGTCTCTCGGCCTCAGAATCACCAAAAAGCTCTCTTCCAGTTGTTTTGGGTGGAGTCCGGTTAAAGTAGTATTGATCCAGATAAGTGTCAACAATTTCTTGATCTACTGTACCATGCCTTCCCCATTCGCCATCCTTGTCGTACTCCGACTTTCCGCCTGTAAAAAACCGGATTGCAGCATCTATAAACACATTTCCAGGCCCAATGTCGTAGTCAAAACACCTGTCAAGACCTCCTTTGGATTCAGGAACTACAAAGCATACATTGGAGATCCCACCAATATTCTGACAGGCACGAAGCTTGGTTGGGTGGATTAGCAACAGACTGTCGAAAAAGGCAATCATAGGAGCCCCCTGTCTACCCACACTCTGTTCAGATATTCTAAAATCTGAAACCACCGTTTTTCCCATCTTATTGGCAATATACGTTGCCTCAGCAAACGTCAATACTGAACGGCATTGACCAGGTTTAGGATCTGAGACATACCAAATGGTCTGACCATGTGAACCAATCAAATCCACACGGTCGACCTTATATTCGACACAAAAGTTGACAGCAGCCTCAGCGAAGGCCATTCCTAGGCGGGTGTTAACCTCTGAGATCTCCTCAACGCTGGTTGAGTTATCCTTGATCAGCCTCAACACTGTCTCCTTTAGGTCAGCCGGCATGGGCATTTCCCCATGGTGTACAATCTTAAGGTGTAGAGAAGATTCAGGAGATTCTTGACGGAAGTTGCATAGCACCACATCGATTCCGTCAATCGAGGTTCCAGAATTCAGCCCGAGGACGTTAAGGTCGAGTGAATCTTTGGACACCATGCCGTTACCTCGAAAAAGGAAGTAACCAAGTACCTAGCTCGCCTGAAGGGACGGATGTGAGTATTTATTTGTAAGAAGCATGACGTTTACCCAACATGTCTCTGAAAAAATTTCAACTTGCAAACCAGTAATCACTACCAATCATTTTTCACACTATGAGGGCATGCGGCTGCGCGTTCCCCACATGCCCTTATCGCAACCTCCGGAGTCTATCTCCGACGGAGTATATCTCCTATCGATCATGTCGAGGAAAACCAGAACCGACACAAGGTTAGTCTGGTCAGCACAATCTCTTAGTAATTTTCCTCCCAATCAAAGACACAATTTCTCCACTCATGCAGTAGATTGTGCGCTTATCTTGAACCTGATCTTACGGCCCCGACGACCAAGCTCCAGTTGTGGAAAGGCGCCCCGCGAAAGGTTTCCAGGAGATAAACTCCGGGCCTTATCTGATCTTTTTGGCTAGTATTTCATTAACCAGCAACTCAACAGCACGATCGGATATCCCAATTTATTTAAAGCCAAAGCTAGCCCATTGTATCATTTGAAACAGAATCTCTTTTAGCAAACAATACGAACGATCACAATGGAGTCGTTCAAAGTCTACTGGAGAAGACCCATGGTCCAGGTCGCGCTCGTTGGTGCCGTCCTTTTCTGCCAACCCGGTATGTTTGATGCTCTCAATGCCCTTGGGGCTGGTGGCCAGAAGGCCTCTTCGGTATCCCTGACCGACCAGTCGAATGCTGCACTGTATGCGTGTTTTGCTGTGGTGGGATTTATGGGTGGCTCCATTGTCAACACTCTAGGTGCCAGAATCACTTTTTTCCTTGGGACAATTGGTTACACTCTCTATATTGGATCACTATGGTGTCTCGATAGAACTGGAAACACGGGATTTGTTGTTGCAGGTGGTGCCCTATGTGGTATATCTGCGGGTATGCTATGGAGCGTGCACGGTATGGTCTCCATGTCTTATCCTGAAGAGAAAGATAAATCCAAAAGTTTTGCCATTACCTGGAGTTTGCTTTCAATTGGGGCGACTCTGGGTGGACTCATCACCCTGTGCCAGAACGTTCACAAGGCCGACACTTCTGGAGTAAAAACCAGTACTTACATCGCTTTTTTGGTAATCATGCTGGTTGGTTGTGTGACTTCGCTCACTCTACAAAACCCCAGGGAAATTACCAGAAAAGATGGAACCAAGATCGAAAATTTCAGGCAAACCACGTTCATTAGAGAAGTAGTTGATACCTTCAAGCTTGTTGCAGACTGGAAAATGATGATGCTGCTGCCAGCGTTCTTCGCCTCCAACTTCTTCTACTCCTACCAGTTCGGTATCAACGCCTTCTACTTCTCACTGCGTACCAGATCTTTGAACTCCATGGTATACTGGCTAACTCAAATCATAGGCACTGGTGGTCTGAGTTTGATCTTGGACACCACACGTATCAGCAGAAGAAGACGTGGTATCATTGGTCTCACCATCTCGTGCATATTTGTTACTGGTACCTGGATTGGAGGTGCAGTTTTTCAAACAAAATTCACCAGAGCCACCACTTCCCCCAACGTTGATTGGACAGATGACGGTTTTGCAGGGCCATTTGTCCTTTACGTCATGTATGGTATTTCCGATGCGATGTGGCAATCCTGGTGTTACTGGATCATGGGATCTTTGACCAATGAGAACTACAAACTTGCAAGGTATGCAGGGTTTTACAAAGGAGTCCAATCTGCCGGCTCAGCTATTTCCTTTGGTATTGATGCGGCTAAGATTCCTTTTCGTAATGAGCTGGGCGCAAACTTTGGCATGATGCTCTTTGCCATGCCACTCATGTACTACGTTGCATCCAAGGTTAACACCACGAACTATGGTCTGGAAGAAGAGGTAGTTGTTCCTGAGTACATAAAGGAGGAGCTGGGGGAGTTGCTGTCGCAGAAGTCAGATGTTGAGAGTCCAGCTGTGGAGGTCCAAGTATCATATTCCCAGAAGGCTTAAGTTTTGAGTTTTGAATAAATATCGCTCGCTTTATTTATATTTCATGCGCAATAATGTTGTTAACAGTGGTGTAAGAAAATTATCATTGATCGTCGGGTCCGGGAAATACACTTACACTTAACCATGCGCCCTAGCTGCATTGATGCATATAAGTAATCTGCAGTCTTCGTGACCATCACTACAATAAAGATTCCATTTATCAATTCCAAAATGAAAAGACATTGGTTATGCTGCAATAATTCAGATCTTAATAGAGGCATTTCTCTCGTATACATTTGTCTTAACATCGTTCTCGTTTTATGCAAACATGCTCCAATCCTCTCCCTCATCAAACTCCACTAAAAACTCGTCAAAATTAGGGATCCAAAAAGTAGACAAGGCTTCGTATGATGTCTCATTTCTATTTTCTTCCTCAGCCGTTTGCTCTCTCTCATGGAAGGAACTGATTTGGGCCTCCAGTTCATCGTGAACGGCAATCGCCTCAAACCACGAAACGCTGACATCACTTAGAAACTCAAGACAGCTAGCCAGCTCGGATTCTTGTGAGGGCTCATGGCTTCCCGAGTTTTTCTGGATAGCGGCAAGAGCCAAGAACACCGTGGATGCAGTAGATGTCACATAGGTAGCAAGATTGAGGATTCTTCGTAAGCGGTAAAGATCCTTATACTTTCTCATTAACTCAAGGATCTTTCTGGCGCTGGTTTGGCATCTTTGAACGGGATTCGGCACCGAGTTTGTTGGCCAGTGCGAGTTAGCGCTTACCTTGAGAAATGGTCTGAACAGAAAGATTAGAGTTGCATGGTACATCGTGTGGATCATCAAAAGTGCAGGATGTGTCATTGAAGGCGTGTCTCGTAAGTATGCAGGTAAGTTTCGTTCCCATAGCCGTAATTGCTCGTAAGATGATTGAAGAAACTCTTTGTAATCCTGTCTCATTCTGTTCTTGCTGGTGGTTGTCTTCTTTCCCCTGAATGCATCCAATTTTGTCATAACCGTTTCCAAAATAAGGTAAAGCTTCAAAATTGCTACCAGTGTGTTCTCGGGATAAAAATTAATCGGAATGACTGGAATATCGGTGTGAGGACAGAAGGGCACCCACTTCGTAGAAGGCTCTGAATGGTATTGTGGAAGCGCCAAACCAACATCGTGGATTCTGATTACAGATGGCCGACCAAGGTAAGCGCTCCAGCCTTGATCAAACAAATAGCAACCCCAGAAAGTTGCATTTCGAACGGCAATCTCCTCCTCTGACACCAGTCCAGACTCTTTCAGCTTTGCACTATCCAAATGTAACCCGAGATCAACAGCCATACGAAATGCCATTCCGGAATGAACCCATCCAATGCTACTCTTTCCAACACCAGCCTCTTTGCTTGCCAGCAGCAACAGACCTTGAACAGTGGTAAGTGATCTGTTTTCTAGCTCATCATCTAGCAATCTCAATGCCTCGTTGTAAAAATAATGACCAGCAGTAGAAGGATCACCCGCTTCTAGCCGCAGTTCAGGCCTGTCTGAAAGATGAGCAGCATGTGATAACAATGCGTTGAGCAAAAATTTAGAGCAAAAACTGCCCTCTGTGTTCATGTCCCTCAGAAACAGCTTTTTATCGAATATGTTGTAGTATGAGTGCTGCCAACAGAAGTACAACTCCAGAAGCTCAGCTATCACAGGATCAATATGAGGGTTCATAATCTGCACTGCTTCGACCGTTAGACTTGAAACAGCAGGAGGCACTGCTTTAGATGTAGTCTGCTGTCGTATTCTCAAAACATTGGATGTATCTCCATAGAAGTGGATTTTGCCCTCAGCATCGACTGTCAAAGACTTGGACTCTAGTTCAATCTCAGCAGTATCACCTTGACTTGAATTGTTGGTTATCTCGCTTCTCTGGGGGCCTCGCAAAAGCGACTCGAGAAAAGTATGGTCATTTTGAAGATGTTCCACCAGATATGAAGAAGCTTCAGTGCCTTTTGCTATCTCGCGAAGTGTTTCTTCAAGCCTTGCCATTCGCTCCATAGCCTCATCAAACACCTTCTGTGATCTTTTTCTCCGGTCTCCTGTTGCTGAGTACACACAATTACCCTCTTGGCCTCTTCTCTGGCACTGAGCACAAGCAGGCTGACCACCATCGCAACGACACCTGCGCTTTCGGCATTGAATGCACGCCAGGCTCGCGATTTTGCCGCGTTTGGAATTTGTTTCCGACATTGTATACGTCAGGACAGGATTTATAGCTTCATACCGACGCAAATTGCAAATAATTACAAAGCTAACCTTGATATGCGGTCAATGTAAACGAAGCTGCAGCTCGTCACGTGCAGCCGCAGCTGGTGCCCAAAGCGGACAGATCTTTGTGCGATTTATTGAAATGCAACCCTGTAAAAATTGTTTGGAAATTGTGAAATGACAATGGGCTCGATTTGTGATTATGACCGAGAATGTTGCCCAATTTGACACTTTTGACCCAGCGTTCTGGCGTCTCTTTGGCCCTTTGGTCCCTCTCCTGCGTCTATTTGTTACAAACCCTTCACATCAATATATCGTGATTTACTAGTATTACACCTAATTACCCATCTCTTGGTCTTGGTCCATGGTCTCGCCATCGGCGTAGTCCCTCGACTCCTGGTCTGTGGCTTCCAGCCATCTGTCCTGCTCTGCACTCACATACCCATCTCTAAATGCCTCCACCACCTCGCGCGCCTGTTCAAGCTCAGTCTCAATATCCTCGCCATTCACATCATGCGCTGTAAAAGTATTTAAAAAGGCCTTCTTCGAGTACAAGCGATCATATTGGCGCAAGACCTTGTCCAGCAAGGATACGATACTCGAATTATTCGACAACATGAGCCCATTTACCACGTTTTCTAACTCTGGCGATTGTTGCAGAGCATATGGCGATCTTGGAGAGTGCGAGACCTGCAGAAGTTGTGATGTCCATTTCGGCTGAGTTAGCCTCTTTTTGGCAATGATTGTGGCCTTGTGATCTGCAAACAGATCCTGTTCCGAAAACGAACCTCCGATCAGCACATCCAGAGCAGCGATATGAGAATCATGCTCATCCGAAGGTGTTACTAGTCTGTTCTTCTTATTCACCAAGTCCAAAATGACATCATAGCCCGTAGATCGCCTCTGCTTCTTCGCAAATGAGACGTAATTCGATGTGTATGGCGTGAAACTTGGTATTATGAAACTCAATTCAGGTGAGGGGATAAGGGGCGCAAATATTCCCTGCAGCGAAGTTCCGAAAGAAGTAGGGAACCTTATCGAGTTGGTGATAGACGCCATCACCGTTGAGATTAGCTTATTTGTGTCGGAGTAGGACGGGCTACTCACATTTAGACTTTGTGAGGCCACTTGACTCAAAGCTGCATTGTCAAACGGAATCACAACATCACAGTTTTCCACCAATCGCCTAAGAGTCAGCAACGTGTTGTAAGGCTGAACCACCACTTCCGAAGCAAAATTGCCCATATCCGGAAATACCGAGTACGATTTTGCAAACAGCTTCGGATATCTATCACTCAGTAACTCGAGCATAAAACTGCCCATTCCAGAACCTGTTCCACCGGCCACAGAGTGTACTAGCTGAAACCCCTCAGGAGAATCGCACTGATCTAGCGACCGATCAACGATTTCCAACAGATCTTCCTCATGCTGCTTTCCGTAGTTGAACCCACGTGCCCAGTTGTTTCCAGCACCACCGAAAGCGGCATCCATGTATGTGAGCCTTGGATCAAACAAATCGGGGAACTTCGTCTGTATGGAACCGATTACCCTGGGTTCGAGATCCAATAATATAGCTCTAGGCGTGTATCTGTCCGATCCCACCTCCAGGAAGAAAGGACGCGTTTTATCTTCGGACTTCACATTTGACTGAATCTTTTGCCCAGAGTTGTCCAGACCATGTTCTTTGAGCAGCTGGCCCCAGAACTCTTCGCCCACTTGATTACCACATTGGCCTGAAAAGACGTTAGAATGAAATACAAAAAAACGCGCATATTAAACGGCACTCACCTGCTTGAATCGTGAGAATTTCTCCCGGCATTGTAGCGTATTTATTGGCTTAGTTGGAATGTTTGTGTGTAATATTCAAGAAACAAAAGACAACAACAGAAGACGCGCAGGTGTGCGCGAGCGGGAATTTTGATCTCGTACACTACTTTTGCTACTATCAACGGTTATGGATAGATCATATATTCACGTTCACTATTCAGATTTCGCGTTTTTCGAGCCATACCGGTATATGCCCATTATATAGCTCATCCGTGTAATCACAAGGTCAACTGCCATTAACACACTGTCCCTGGCAAGATCCATCTTGGACCCGTCCACCTCGTGCCATGATATGGGTACCTCACTCACACTGATTCCTTTCTGGATTGCCAAGATTAAAATCTCAACATCGAATATCCAGCCCTCTGTGTGCATGTAAGGAAAGATTTCCCGAATGGCAGCTTTATTGAACAACTTGAATCCGCACTGAGTGTCTCTGATGGTTCGTATTCCAAACACGAAAACGAGCGTATGAAGGCCATACATGAGGAAATTTCTGATGAATGATCTCTTGACAACGGCATCAGTACTGACCATGTGAGCTCTTGACCCTATGGCAACGGCTGGTATGCTATGTGGTTCTCCGTTGTCCGCTGCCTCAATGGCCGACATCAACTTGGAAAGGTCTGAGAACTTTGAAGCACCATCTGCATCTGCAAAAATCCCATAACTTCCCCTTATGAATTGAAGACCGTGTGTAACAGCTCCTCCTTTGCCTCTGTTTTTGACAAACTTCACCACTCGCAGAACGCCTGGCTTAAGACCGTATGTCTTGGATGCGAGCTTCAAAGCATACTCCGCAGTTCCGTCCTTGGACCCATCATCCACAAGAACAATTTCGTAAGCATCTGGATACTTGGACTTCAAATATGAAACAGCTTCATCCAGCATCAGTTTCAGCCTCTGAGTCTCATTATAGCATGGAACAACCAAGCTAATCTTGATTCCATCTGTAGCAGCAGAATTTTTTGGTGGAAGGGCATGCAATGGCTCAGTCTCATCATAACTGGCATAAAACTTTGTCTCTGAGTCGAATATTTTCCGGGGCGTATGTGATAGAAGATACACCGTGATGTAGGCCTTGTGGCTGTTAGTATTCGATAACGAAACCTTGCTTGTATGATCTAAAACTTACCAGAACGGCCAAAACCAACAGAATTATGCCCACATGAAACAGCATGCCTATAAGCGAGAGTTTTGACTATTCAATGGCTAGTAAAACTAATCAAAAACACCAACTCTTGTGAAGCTGTCATTTTTCAACGGATTCGGTGTTGACACTTAATCGTTACGTGGAGGGTGGAGGGATGTGCCTCACACATTTCCGTTTTAGGCAATGAGATTGAATTTGGGCATTGAAATGGTAAAGTGAATAGTTTGAAAACCTAAGGGCAATTTTTGTTTTTGTTATATGGTTTAAGTTTAGTCTACACACTTGTCACATCTGGGTATCGCCTGGGTATCCTCGTTATATCAATGGTCCCTCACTCAGCTTACGGGCAAGGACCCTGCCATTATCCAAGAAGGTCTTCACCAGATCAACGTAATATAGAGAATCTTTGGGTAAAATCTCAATGGCACGCAAAAGCTCTGGGGTATTGATCTCCAGCTCTAACTCATGCTTGCGGATCTGCTTCGAGTTTTGTGTCTGCTTGATTTTAGTAAGGTCAATGCGTGTAAATGTTGCATTGTGAAAGTAGGAAAGCCTATCTTTTTCACGCTCAAGGGTCACCTTTCTGGTGAAAGCTTCCAAAGCCTCTGGATTGAGGTTGACTGGCCGTTCCAGTGCCATGGTGAGTCTGAGATCAAACAAGGAATTAGGAAAGTATAGAAACATGTCTGAAAGTTTTTCCTTGTGGATTGAGGAAGAGAATCGTTTGGTGTTGTAATCAAACGAAACCCTCACATTAACCGGCTTCGAGTTTCGTACAGCTTCGACGGCACTCTTGTCTATCTCGTGTATCTTTTGCACAATGAACTTGCGGTCATTCTTGGTATTTGAATCCGCGAGCTTACCCAGAAATTCTTTTGCATCCCTGTATTGCTCTGGTGTGATGCCACTGCGGAAAGAGCATCTTTCATTGTAAAACTCCTTGGAAATAGGTGTTTCACTCAGAACGGGCAACCTAAGTTTACGGTCCTCCTTCTCATCCCATAACTGCCCAACTTTCAACTCCAGCTCAATCATATTTGCGATGTTTGGCTCATCAGGGTTATCCTCGCGAATTTTCGCAATATTAGCGTATATCCACTTCGTCACGCTCATAATAAAGTCATCATAGGGTATGCTGTTCGTGATGGAAAGGGCCTCCAAACTTGAATTCACAGGTCTGACCAACGATTGACTCTTATGTGCTTTCATCGTTGGTACATAGTCTTGAGCCCACTTCGGTTTCGTTTTATACCGTCTTGGTTTTCCAAGATTCTCCTTCTCGTTATCCCCCACAGGACCCAGAGACTTGAGCTCTTCATCCAAAGTCACCGCCTTGGGTACAACAGGACGCGTATTAGGAGAAACAGACTTAACCAGTGGACTCATATTGATATTTCCGTGTATCTGAGGATGGACTTGCGGCACAGCAAATCCCTTTGCTGTTGGCGAAACATCGAGCGTAGCAGTGGAGGAAGACCGCGCAATACGTGGAGCAGCATGGCCATCAAAATCCACATCCTGAGCATTCGTCAAATTCACTATACTATTGCGCTTGCGGATTTCCAGCGCTCTCTCATCTGGAAAGGCTGGCTCGTTATTCATCATCGAGTCGATGGAAAACCTGTGTGGCTCTTGCTTAGGTACAGACGCTACAGACGCCGGCGATGAAGTCCTCCCGGTGCTGCCATTGGCACTGCCAGCTGCATCATCATCATCTATGAGATTCCTTAAATCCATTGATACAAAAATCTCTAGAATTACAGGATGTGAAATCGTAGAAATAGAGCACAGAAGCCTTGTCTACACCGCTAAACACACATACGAATTTTTCGGGTTTCTCAAATGGAGCGCTTGCCGGTGCACTACCTCAACTCTGCAGACCGCAGCGGCTACCGGAGGGCGATAAGGTCAACCAAAATGGAGAAAACTGGGAGATACCATTGAGTGAAATTCGATTTAGAAAAAAAATGGTTTAAGAGCAAAAGCCAATCACTGAAATAATATTTATCTTTTCTGTAATTCCAGAAAAGAACTCGATTGGTTGGCCAATTTGCTCTCACGCTGAAAGATTTGGGCGCATCGCTGATAACGTCATGCGTCTAGAGGGTGGTGACAAAGCACTGATGCCCCTTCACGCGAAGCCGTGCCGTTTTGCACTCTCTTGTTATATTCAATATTCCTTCGAGCAATTTGTTGATTGAAAACCAATAAACATACTGGTGTGATTTTTGTCTCAAGCAATTATTCACCCACTATAAAGTATTGTCTTGTTTGCAGCTATTAACAAAAACCGATAGATCTACCATCAAAACCGCAATCACAGAACTAAAGCGTTTGCCACCATGTCATTTCAACACGATAATCTGATTCCTGAAAGGGCCAAGTCTCGCAAGATGGTGCACTTCTGGTCCAGTTCCAAACTTCCTGAAGGGTTTGTGCCGCATCCTGAGCCAATCTCGTTGGTAGGAGGAGTTCCCCACCACGATTTCTTCCCTATCCGTCAAATCGATCTCCACGTACCCTCGAAGCCATTTCCTGGCCCAAACGAAAAGGAGACTGTTGTAGTGATTCCTCAAGTTTCCAGTGACCCAGAAGAATTGGATCTGGCCCAGGGTCTTCAATATGCAGAGGTAGACGGATCCAAACAGTTATTGAAGGTAACGCGCGACTATACCGAACGTGTTGCCAAACCGGCGTTCGAAGACTGGTCCACTACGCTGACCAATGGTTCCTCGAACGGACTGTCAAAGGTTTTTTCGGTTTTCCTCGAGGAGGGAGACTCGATTTTGGTTGAGGAGTTCACCTTCACTCCTGTCCTGTCTTCATTGAAGGATGTCGGCGGAAAGCCAGTTCCACTCAAAATGGATCTGATCAAGGGAATTGACATAGATTATATGGATGACCTCCTTGAGAATTGGTCTGCTACACATCCAGGACAGCGTCGCCCCAAACTGCTCTACACCATCGCGAATGGCCACAACCCACTTGGAGTCGCCCAGAGTATCGACCACAAAAAGAAGATCCTCGAACTTGCAAACAAGTATGACTTTCTTATCCTTGAAGACGACCCCTACGGATATCTGGCATTACCAGCATATGAGGATGTTCGTAGTGGATTGGTGGACACCACGAAATTGCCCACCAACGACGAGTTTGTGAAGCTATTGCATCCTTCCTATCTGACTTTTGATGCTACTGGACGTGTAATTCGTGTCGAGACTTTCTCTAAGGTGTTTGCTCCTGGTTTGAGATTGGGATACATTATTGCTCACAAAAACGTTGTCCAGGCGATCAACGATTTTTCCATGGTGAGTACTCGCAATCCAAGCGGTGCTGCCCAGCTCCTAGTGAACGACACCATTCACCACTGGGGCGGAATTGAAGGATGGCTCTCATGGATCATCAAGGTGAGACAGGAGTATGTCGAGCGCAGAAACGCTGCTCTGGATGTTTTGTATGACTCCAAAGCTTATAAAGAAGGTTGGATTACGGTAATTGACCCCAAAGCAGGCATGTTCGTGGCAGTCATCTTGAACTACGAAAAGAAAGGACTTACTGCCGCACAAATCCCACAATTCATGGAGCAGCTTTTGGTTTTCAACTCGGTGAACGGTGTTGGGGTTGTGGATGGAGGACGTATGTCATTCGATCCAATTTCCGCTCCCAGAGCAAACTTTGTCCGGATCACCATTGCTTCTGCCCCAAATCTGGATGTCTTGAAAGAGGCTTTCAGGAGATTCTCCAAGTCTGTCCAAGACCTCTTCGAGGCATAATTTGTTTTATAGGAACACAACGCCTTAATAAGCCAATCACATTCATTAGAAGTCATTGCTATCTAACTTCAATGAGTCAACTTGAATGAGTCAATCTGCTGTGGCCGCAGGAATTATGCCGAGCCGTTAGGTTCGTCACGTGATTTTTCACTCATGACTCTTATCTCAGGGCCGCTCGCGGCAATAGACATCCATATAAAAGCAGCATTGGAGCCAGAAATTTTGGAGCTTTCAACATTATTTCTTAAAGTTCAGAAAGAATGACTGCATTTGGAAAAGAATTCAGAGAAAAGTATTTCCCTACCGGGCCACAGACTGTTCCAATCAACCATGGATCGTATGGTCTAGTTCCCACCCCGGTCATCAAGAAATTCCACGAGCACCTCGATGAGGATCTGGCATTTCCGGATAAGTACATTGTGTTTGACTATACTCCTCAGTTGAAAGCAAACATTGCGAGAGTTGCTCAGTTGGTGGATGCGGATCCCCTGGATCTGGTGTTCTGCAATAATGCCTCTACAGGTGTCAACACGGTTTTGCGTTCGTACCCTTTCCAGAAGGGTGACAAGATTTTGATGCCTTCTACCGTTTACGATGCGTGTGGAAACACAGTCAAGTTCTTGAAGAACAGATACGGTATTGAGATTCTTACGCTAGATCTCCCATACCCTCTTTCTGACGACGAGGTGGTTTCCAAATTTAAAGAGGTATTCGAGGCCGAAGAGAGCAACGGAAATCCAGTGAAACTCGCTTTATTTGACACTGTTGTGTCTATGCCAGGTCTGAGGATTCCTTTTGAGAGACTCATTAAACTTTGTAAGGATCACAATGTTCTCTCGATGGTGGATGGCGCACATAGTATAGGCCTTGTCAAGTTATCACTGAAGACCCTGGAGCCCGATTTTTATACTACAAATCTTCACAAGTGGTTATATGTTCCACGTGGATGTGCACTTTTGTATGTGAACAAAAAACATCACCGTTCCATCCACACGTTCCCAGTATCGCACTCGTACCTTGCGGATGATGAGCCATTGGAGGAAACCCTAGAACAATCTCGTCTTGTGGATAGATTTGCGTTCGTTGGGTCCTCGTCATTTGCTTCATTTGTCAGTGCCATCGATGCCATTGAGTTTCGTGAGAATGTGTGCGGTGGTGAAGATGCAATTGCAGACTACTGTCTCCGCACAGCAAAGGAAGGTGGGGCCAAGATTGCTGAGTTATGGGGGACAAAAGTTCTCGAAAACAAAGAAGGCAGTTTGACGACATCTATGGTGAATGTCGAAGCTCCAATTCCCTCCGATTTAAAGGAGGATTTTTTGAGACTCTGCAAGACCCCTAAGTTTGTTGAGAAGATGAGGGCATATGTCGATAGAATTCAGGTGGAGGAGTTCCACACCTACCTTCCATGTTGTTACCATAACGGCGCACTTTGGTGCAGATTCTCAGCCCAGGTCTATGTTGATGTGGATGACTTTGTCTACGCTGCAAACAGTTTCAGGAAGGCTTTTAACAGATACTTGGAGTCAGACACGTTCAAGGTGCTTTTGAATTAGCAATGCGCCAACCTGCATCATTGCAGATCTTCAAATCTTAATTCCGATAATATTTCCTAGAATAAACACATTTCCTTTCTTATTTCCGACGCCTCTATTTATTGTGAGATTCCCAAAGCGATCAAGCAGATAGTGCGAAATCGTACTCAAATCCTTTTAGTTTCTGTCTTTTGACTTCCAAATCAGGCTATAATTCTTTATCCGAAGGTCACTTTTCAAAAATACGGAAACTGCAACGCAAAACTTAAATCCGAAAGCTCAAGCTGCTTGGAATTTTGGCCTTCCCCAGAAACCGCATATAAATTCATGCAGTGTTAAAAAATTGCGGGGCAGAACAACAGCCCGAAACTCCGTGTATAAAGTCTGAGAGATATCTGCTACGTACTTTTGACCTGTGTGGTTTGCTACTACCTACTATTATCGGCTTGAATAAACTCATTTTGTTCCAATGAAGGCTACAGAAGTTGACTTCACATTGAACGATGGAAACAAAATTCCAGCGGTCGGGCTGGGTACTGCGTGCCCACCGGAGGACCAGGAGCATTTCATAGACTCCATTGTTACTGCGTTGAGGAGTGGAGTTCGCCATATTGATTCGGCCTGGTACTATGGAAGCGAGCCTATGATCGGTGTTGCTCTTCAAAGGGCGTTCGCCGAGGGAATTGTGAAAAGAGAGGATATTTTTATCACTACCAAGGTTTGGCCAGGAAGGCACGATGATGCCTTGGGATCTCTCAACGAATCTCTCGAGCTTCTTCAACTTGACTATGTTGATTTATTCCTTCAACATTTGCCGCTATGCTATGTTAGGGATACATTTACAATCGTGGAGAATGCAGATCACCTTGATACCTGGAAAGAAATGATACAGATTTACAAGACCACCACCAAGGCCAAGTCTATTGGAGTCTGCAACTACAGCATTCCGTTTTTAGAGAGACTTTTCAAGGAAACAGATGTGGTTCCAGTTGTTAACCAAGTTGAGCTTCATCCACGTCTGCCTCAACTAGAGTTGGTGAAGTTTTGCCGAGACCATGGAATTTTGGTGGAGGCATACTCTCCGTTGGGGGCTGGTGGAGCACCTCTTATCAAGTTACCAATTGTCAACGAATTGGCGGATAAATACAAGGTTACAGCAGCTGATATACTGGTTTCCTTCCACGTTTGCAAAGGCAATGTTGTTCTTGCAAGAACGCAAAACCTGGAACGTTTGAAGCAAGGATGGGAATTTGTCAAAATTTCGAGTGAGGATTTGGCCAAACTGGATGACTATGGAATTGCAAACCACTACAGATATATTGCCGGAAATTTCGGAAACAATCTTGGATTTCCCGACTGGAACGACAGTGTTGACTGTCATACTGGTGTTTAAGTAGGTAATATTTTATACATTGTCGAAAAATATATATGGTTAAACTTTGATATGCATCTCGTGTTGAGCTTCCTTTCCATCAGGCCTCGACCTTTTTCTCGACCTTCTTGCGATTTTTTCTCCTTAGTTCTCTCGCATCCAAGGTGTTCGCATCCTGCATTAATTCCTCAAACATCTGAATTTCTTTCTGTTCCTCCTCAGATCTCTGGGCAGCCTTGAACTTGGTACCTATAACCACCAACAATCTGGCTCTCAGCAGCCTAACTTCTAAAGGTGCTGTTGGATCCTTAAGTACCAAATCACACACTTTAGTGAGAGTAGACTGGATCTCGTAGCGGGACGACAACCACGCCGTTTTGATGAACTTTCCCGTGAGGGCCCTCTGGATCTCAGCTTCATCAGCTTCGTCCATTTGGAGTGTACCTTCCTCTTGCATCTTCTCAAGATCACTCATGGTGCTCTGAACATCAAATGCAGACTTTGCCATGCTCATCACACTTTTGGCCGTATTGGTAGACTGCTTAACTGAAGAGAAGAACTTCGAAACCTTGCCGATGATAGGTTTCTGAGCCTTCACAAATGATGTTCCCTTGAACACATACACTTTCCCCATAAGATGGAGAATTTCCAGACCAAACGACTCCATCTTCAGATCGGCGATTTCAGTGTCCAGGTTCTTCAACAATCTGGAAATAGACTCCTCATTAAGCACACCTCCAGTCTTGACCGTGTCCATCACAGTGTCCAGCTTCGCCAGCAACTTCTTCGAGAGCTCTTCTGCCTTCTTACGCTGCTGCTCTCTATTCTCTTCCTGCATTTTGCGGAACTTCTCACGTTCCTCGGCAGAAATCTTGGTCTTTCCCGAAGCCGGTGGTGTGGCAGATGCTGCAGATGCCCCATCGGCAGAATGGACCACCTCTTGAGTTTCGGGAACAGCGGAGTCAGCCTCTTCAGCTCCCTTCATCATATCCTTGAGCAGAGTCAGCTCGCCGATCCAATCCTCGAACGCCTCGCCACCAAACATGGAGCTGAAGATTTCAGATGGGTCCTCGAATCCCTGTGAAGGAACCGCGCTTTCCTTTCCAAACTCGTCATAAACCGAGCGCAATTGAGGATCACTCAGCGTCTGATACGCCTCCGAAATTTCCTGGAACTTGGCGGCTGCGGTCTCATCGCCAGGGTTCTTGTCGGGGTGATATTTCAGGGCGAGCTTACGGTACGCCTTCTTGATCTCTGCCGGGGTGCCTTCCGGAGTTATACCGAGGATGTCGTAGTAACCGGTGTCCTTGACCATTTGTAAAATGCTATCAGAGAATGACTGGAAATTAACAGAACTTGGGGCTCAAATCAGAATGGAGGCCACGGCATTGAAGGTACCTTCTTAGGGCAACAGAGGACACTCCATGCTGAGCCGATGCGTTTGAGCCCTGGTGAAACGGTTCGTGGCGGTGTTAGGGCGGTGCACATACTTAGTGATGATTGCATAAATCATAAATAGTACATGAGCCTACATGTCACTTTTTCAGTTTTTGAGGTGAAACAAAAAATTGTATAGCTCTTGGTCTTGCTCAGATTATTCATCACCTTCTCCTTCGTTTTCTTCTTCCTCGTCTTTTCCGAAAATATCCTTAACATTCCACGAACAGCTGATATCCCACCTAGATCCCGGAGCATCGTTGCTTACATACTTCACAAATTTCAGCACCTTTGGGTCTCTCAAAATTAGATTCAAAGTGTTCCAAGAGGCCTGAGACGTAAACACCACACTGTCGTCATTCTCCTTGTAGATTGCAGCCTCATCTTCGTTCAACTTTTCATCCGCCTGTTGCTCCTCGTCATTAGTGACCATGCATAGTTCATATCCACCCAGTTCTCCCGATTCCCAGCCAGTAGTTGGGGTCAGATTCATAGTAGCTTCTAGCACACAATCCAAAATTCCCACAGTCGGCTCCTCCTCCAATTCGGTAGCGAGAATGAAATCGTGGCCGGGCCTGAAGCGCCGCACCAGTACCTGGTCCTTACATGCGATAAGTCCAGTTATAAGGGCAATATACTTGCGGAACGCATTGCTTCTGAACATCTCCGACAGCGTACAGAGTTCACGATCAACTTCAGACTTAGCCACGTTTCTTGTGAGTCCGAAGTTGGGAAGTTCCTGGGGTGCTATCCCATTGGCGAACTGGATATCGGCTGCGGTATCTATGTTCTGTTGGTCAAGTCCGTCCATATACATGAACCTCTGTTTGTGAGGGGGTATAGCAAGCTTCCAGGGAAATTTCACGTCTTTCTGTACACGAGGCATGGTGGTGTTGAACTCACACTTCTTGATGCTTTTAGAGAGAAGATCCGCAAATTTCGGACTCAAGAACTCCTGGATATCCACCATACACTCCTGATCAAAAAGAGCCTTCATTTTCGTTATTGCTTCACTTGAAAGAAGCGATTTGTTGAGGTACTTGGAAAGGTACTCCGTTTCCGCCTGAGTCAGTCCTTCTGCAGACTCATAAGATTTAACAACTTCCGGGTTGATTTCATTCCTGAAAATCTTAGGAAAGTCAAATTCACGAAGCTCTTTAGACTCGAGCTGCTGAAGCGTGCTCTTGGCCTCAGTTCTTTCCTGTTCACCCGGAATGAACCCATCCTCACCGCGCTGTGGGATGTGAAACCAGCCTTGAATTGACAATCTATGTCTATCCACCTTGACTTCTTCAACCTCGTGAAAGCTAAGACCAGGCTGGACAGTAAAAAATGCCATCTGGTTGAATTGCGGAACGAATTTGCAATGGTAGTCTGAACGGGGAACATTGGGCACTATCGAGTCAAACAGTCTCAAAGCACCTCCATAATGAGGTTTCCATGTTTTTCCCGGTTCCGGAATGTAAAGAATGAAACTAACGCGGCGAGAACCAATCACATCGTCATGAGTTAGCAAATGGCACCCTTTGGTGTAGGTATTCAGACTCATATCTGTCTTGACTCCGCTCAGCTTCCCACAACCAGTAACCTCGGAAATAAAGTCGCGGAAACCCTGAGAGTAAATTGCATTCCGCAACTTGAACAAGTTTGGCAATCGCGATAAATCACTCCAGTCGAGTCCGGAAAGGTTGGCCAGGTCACCGCTCTGGTACACCTTATAGATATCGGTTTCCTTTTTGGTGAAATGTATCTCCTTTAGAATTTCCGAGCGAACGTCTCGCAAAAGTTTGTCATCAACAAGCTGCGAGATATGTCCCCATCTATACGGCTCGGACTGAGCAACACTCAACTTCAGTGCTTTCCTGTAGGTCTCGTAGAAAATCTCGGGGTTCAGATAGGCCTTCGACTCCTTCTCTTGCTCTGGCGTGGGCGATATGGACAGAAAGGGTCTTTTTGGAGCACGAAACGTCGTTTCGACTGTTCTCTTGAGATTTGCCTCAACCATCTGCAAAAATCAGCAACTTCTCACAGGGTTTTTTAGGTTGAGCGCGTAGTCGAATGCCAAATTTTCTCTCATGCATATACATCATAAGACTTTTTTGCATGTCGTGTTTATACTATTCCTACGCCGCATTGGGCTATGCTGCACAGCCTCATCCGCCTTAGACCGGCCCAATGCGGAAAGTCCAAAACAGAAGGGTCCGATCATGTACTGGAGTACGGGTCCATCGGAGCTAAAGAAAAACACAGGGCCCGCCATCAGACCAGGTGCCAGGCCATGCCGTGTCCTAGTAACCAGTTACGACTATTAAATCACCACAATTGCCACTGTCTTGTATCAACTTCCATAAACTATATCGAATTTTGCACTTGCGGCCCCCAACGGAATCACCGGCAATCCACCCGAGCCGACCCGGCTGAAAAAATTCGCTGGTTAATGCACGCCCCCTTGCCTCCTCCATTTTCAAAACACTACAACAGAACACTTACCTCCGTAATCCTCCCGTTCTCTGTTCTGTACTGGTCTTCGTCTGGTATTTTGCGTCATACCCCGTTTGTTGGACTCTTTGTTAATAAACCTGTGCTTTGTTGAAGCACGTGCCACGAATTTTAGTGTTGTCCAGCATTGCCACCAGAGTCATTCCTTTTTCCACAACCACCATATAGCTCCCACTTCTTCTGTTCTTTCTCCCTCACTTTCTTTGCATCTACACATACAAGCATGTTGTCGCCAGTCCAAGTTGTACAGCGGCTTTACGACGAGTTCATAACATGGAAAAGAAGTGGCCAGGCGCTCGGAAGCTTTCTAACGAGCAAAGACCCTCGTCCGGTGATCAACGGCTACAAACTGTCCAAACTGGAGATCGCGCACTACTCATTCATTGCTAGCGTGTTCTTTTTCGTGCTTTGTGTGTTGGACATCAGCATCTTCTTTAAACTAGCGGCTGTCGCTGTTCTTGGAACGCTGGTGGCTATGCCCATAACGGGCCAGTTCTTCCTCCACGGTCTACCGGTGTTGGCGTGGGTGGCTCTTTTCTTCAGTTCGGGAAAGATCCCACACTCGTGGAAACCGCCAATCAGCGTCAAAGTTTTGCCATCCATGGAAACCATTTTGTATGGTGACAATCTTAGTGACCTGCTTGCTGCCACCACAAACCGGGTTCTGGACCTGTTTGCATGGTTTCCCTACGGAATCATCCACTTTTCCGGCCCTTTCATTGTTGCTGGATTGACTTTTATCTTTGGCCCTCCCACTGCTGTCAGATCTTACGCGTTTGCCTTTGGTTACATGAATTTGATCGGGGTCATTATACAAAACATGTTTCCTGCAGCTCCACCATGGTACAAATTGCTCCATGGGCTGGAACCAGCCAACTACGACATGAACGGATCTCCAGGTGGTCTGGGTAGGATAGACGACTTTTTTGGCTTTGATATGTACACCACCACCTTCAGCAACGCTCCGGTTGTTTTTGGAGCTTTTCCGTCATTACACTCTGGGTGTGCTTCTATGGATGCTCTGTTCCTGATGTACCTGTTTCCCTCTATGACGCCTCTTTGGTGCGCATATGTGTGCTGGTTGTGGTGGTCTACGATGTATTTGACACACCATTACTTTTTCGATTTGACTGCGGGAGCCACCATGGCTCTGACTTTCTTCTCGTACGTCAAATACACGTCTCTTCCCATAATCAACCCCAAATGCTTTTGCCGCTTTTCCTATACTTCTATCTCGAAGTTCGACATCCATGGAAACGACCCGCTTGCGCCTGTGTTTTACCAGATGCCTCTTGACCAGCTAGACGAGGAAGCAGGTGTGAATGCCCCTTTCGACGAAGCGTTTGAGTTGTCTAGTCTGTCGTCTCGCCAGACCACTTCTCAGAAAAGTTCACGCACTCCAAGCCCGCCAAACCATTCCAAGTCGGCTCCCGCTCGGGCTGCCACTCCGGTATCTGCGGGTGACTCTACCACCACTTCTCTGTTTGACGAGAGAACCGATCTCCAAACGTCCACATCCTCGGCATCTCTCCAAGCAAGTTTGAAATGAAAGACGTGAAAATTCGCTCTACATCCACTGTCATGTTCTGTCTCTCTCATACCCATGGTTACAACCTGTTTGTCTCCATTGACAGGCTCACTAATAAATGTCCTTTTGGACGCGATCTTCCAGCCTGTTCTATATATTGTAACTAATCGAATTCATTGCGGAAACGACGCTTTGTAGCAACAAAATCGCTTCAAAAGGAAGACCGCAGTAAAAGAGTAGTGTCGTGACAGATTAATTGATCCACCCGGGCTCATACTCTAAATGTATACAACTAGAAGTGCAGCGAAGTTTCTACCGCGTTATTTCAACCAGAATTCGCGTTTTTTGTATCAAACTTTGACAGGATCTTTATGGAAGGTACCTCGCTGAGCCCTGTTGCTCCTGATAAGCTGCCTCTTCAGCTGGAGGGCGAATCGCCCGTGAACAAGGACGTAGTGTTCTACCGCAACGGAGTGCCCTACTACAACATGCGCACTTTGAGGAAGTGTCCGACTCTGGCAGCGGGTAAAAGCATTCCAATATTTATCAGGGACATAAGGGCATGTGTTAGTCTCAAGAAGACGTACGCGCCTTACGTGCCTTTCAGTCTGAGCAACAAGTCGGTCAAGATGCTGGGGAACGTGCCCATCCAGTCGGTCACCATATGCGGCCAGTGGACCGCTACAAAGGTGTTTCAACTACCGAATAAGCCCGATTTGCGGTTTATATATGTTAAGGACATGTCGTCGCAAACACCGATCACGTGTGTTGTGGACTCGGTGGTCTGGTCCAATGGAAAGATCCCTCGGATGTTGGAAGAAAACTGTTTGCTTCTTGTTACCGGTAGGATCAAATACTACAAACGGGACAATACTATGGAAATGGAAGCACGAGCGATTCATTTTTATCACGAGCTGAACTTCCTGGAGAAGGAGATAGCATGGGCTAAGTTCGTACTGGAGCACAGAAGGATGTTCTTGGCTCGGTACGATTACCATCCCGAGAAAACGCAATTACTAACAGATAGACTACGACGTGACAACAACGTTGTAGGGCTATTTCCTAAACCACCAGGACCGATCAATGTACGCAAAGTTATACCAAAAAGGTACACGATCACCAGGTACGATACCCTCAAGAACAGGCGAAAACGCGGCCGTAAGCGCAAGGTACCCAAGTCAAAATTTGGCCTGAGCGAACACTTTATCGAATCTTCAAAGATTCGCATTCTTCTTTGGATATTGGAGAGGTCTACTACGAGCAATAGCTACGACAAGATTGCACCGGTGTTTGTCGAGACTCGACCTTTCATTAACCCGGAAATACGACGTCAACTATTCAACAAATCGGTGTCTATATTGCAGAAAGCAGGGATTTTGAAGCGATTTGAGAGAACCAACATCCAAGTTTCTCCTGCGTTTGTGAGGGCCTTTGATGCTGCTGCGCTAGAGCTCATTAGGCTTCACCATATGCGCAAGTTCGAGCTTGCGAGTATACTAGAAGAAGCGGAAAAGCACGCTGCTACCAGAGATCAATTTCAGAAGTTTCTGTTTGAGAGGATTGCAAAGACGCAGGTCTTCAAATTCAAACTCGCCAAGTTCATTAATCTGAAAAGTCGATGTGCACCGACTTTTTCTGACGTTCTATGGGCCGAATTGAACCAGGGCATTATACCAGAGCAAGACGGGTTTTCGTGTGATGTTAAGTACAATGGGAAGATGTTGATAGAGTGGGTAATGGTGGATAAATATCGTTGGGCTGGGAGGTTTACGTACATTACTCTTGGTGAAAAGTTTGGCGGGAATGATTGCAATCAGATGAAAGAAAAGATCGTTTCCATGGTTTGTTCTGAAGCATGATAAAGCAGTTTTGTTTATTTGAAGACGTCTAAAAATATATGGACATTTTGGTGGGTGATCGCTCAAGGCTTGTACTCATTGGGACGTGCTAGCAGCCTCTTTCATGGCTCCAACAGATCCTGCCGCCAAAGGAATGAATGGCTTTCCATTTTTCTGTGAGGTCAATCCCCAAAACTCATCGGTATCGTCTACTCGACCAAATCCACCACCACCAGGAGTGTGAACCTTGAGGATATCACCTTTTCTCATTTCAATCTCTGCGAGTGAAGGCAGCTGAATCCACTGAATTACTCCGTTTCCTCTGTTTCTACCGAGATAGTTCTCACCCTTTTGACCATCACCACCTCCATAGATGCCCCATGGACTATGAACTCTTCTCTGGGTGACGAGCGAGAGGTGGACCGGAGAGTTGAACTGGATCTCTCTGGTGAGACCGTTTCCTCCGTTGAATTTCCCGATACCACCGCTGTTCTCGCGGATGCAGTATTCAATCAACAGGCATGGATAACGGTGCTCGAGCACTTCTGGGTCGGTGATCTTGGTATTGGTCATGTTGGTCTGGGTTCCTGAAAATCCATGGAACCCGTATCTCACGCCATCCTTCTCGATGATTCCAGCGCAATTTCCCTGGCCAATCGTCTCTGTGTAGCCGAATCCTTTGATCAGCTCGCCCTTCTCGTTCTCACCGCCTGTACCAAAGTTCAGGCCATTCATGCATCCACCAGTGGCAGAGGTCTGACCAAAGGCCTTGAAGATACAGTCGGTGAGTCTTTGGGATGTCATTCCGTTTCCGGCACACACAGCAGCATATGGACTTGGGTTGATGAGACTGTTTTCCGGGATTATGAGCTCACATGGGTCCAAACACCCTTGGTTCAAGGGGATGTCCATGTTGACCAGGCATCTAAGGGCATATACAACGGCTGAGAAGGTGATGGAGCGTGGTGCATTCAAATTGCTATACGACTCCAAGGATGTGCCTGTGAAGTCAAACACTGCAGATCCTTCGTTGGCATCGATATCGATCGAAACGCAGATTTTGGATCCGTCGTCCATATAATCAACTGCTTTAAGAGGGAGTTTGTCAGCATTCTCGGTGGAATACGTCTTCAAGAAATTCCGCACTGCCATCTCTGCCGTCTTCTTGACGTTTCTCATATAGAACAACACTGTTTCGCTTCCATACTCGTTGAAAAGTTCTTTCAAAAGGAGAATACCACGCTGGTTGGAGGCAATCTGGGCACGCAAATCCGCCAGATTGTCGTCTATGTTCCTGGTTCCAGAAACTCCGTACCTTCTGGGACCCTCCACAAAGTGTTTGGTCAAGCCCTCATAATCAAAATTTCCACCAGAGACAATTTTCCAGGTTTCGATGTTCACACCCTCCTCGTATATCTCTCGGGCATAAGAAGAGGATGAACCAGGCGCACTTCCACCGATCTCGGAGTGATGCGCACGGGCTGCGACAACAAACTGGATCTTTCCTTCGTGAAATACTGGTGAGATTATGGTGATATCAGGAAGATGGGTTCCTCCTACGCTGGGAGAATTTGTGCAAAGAATGTCGCCTTCTCTGAGATCGTCCTTCCAGTACTCCAACTGGTATCTAATGGCAGCAGACATCGAGCCCAGATGGACTGGAACGTTGGGCGCATTTGCTGTGAGATTTCCCTCGTTGTCGAAAAGAGCACACGAATAGTCCATTCTTTCCTTGATGTTGGCACTCACCGAGATCTTCTGAAGGGTCCGGGACATATCGTCTGCAATCGACATGAACCTGTTGGCGAAAATAGCCAGTTGCACGGGATCAACATGGTCATGACTAAGCGTGGTCTTGGACTCGACATCAACCTCTAAAACGACGTGTCTTGGTAATATGGTGGCTCTGGAATCAGGAGTAACCAGCAAAGTCTGGGTTGAGTCCAAGATTAAGGCTGGTCCCACAATCACGCTTCCAACTTCGAGAGCGTTCAGGAAGTAAATTCCTGATTCCAGAGTGCCTTCATCGAAGATGATGGGTGTTTTGAGGCTGCAATCTGATTTCTCCATGGCAATCTTAGGAATCTTGTCGAAGTCTTCATATGCTGACCTCTCGGACATCTTTTCTGAGGCATTACCGGTTCCTCTTACGCGAATGTCCGAGACCAGGACATCTCTGTCCATGTCATTGAAAGCAAATTCACGCTCGTGAATGGCATAAAACTCACGAGCAAAATCAAGGTCGTCTGGCTGTAATATCATGATTCTGGTATCGGAGCCTTTGTAGCCCATGTTCAAGTATGTCTTGAAGTCAATGGTTTCTGGGCTGACTCCCTGTTCTATAAGATCTTGGTTGACCTTCTTCTTGAGCAACTGGCACTTCTCCAATAGCTCGTCTCTGGATTTTTCTGAGTATACGGCAGCTACGGGTTGTTGCTGATCGTTGACGACGTCCGCCAGAAGAATGCCAAAAGCAGAAAGAATCGAGGAATGTCTGTGGATTAAGACCTTGTTGATCTTGAGCACCTTGGCTATAGCAGCAGCGTGCTGGCCACCAGCACCACCAAACGATGCCAGAGCATGTTTGGAGACGTCGTGACCTTTCGCATCAGTCAGATCCCTGATGGGTTTCGCCATCTGGAAGTTGGCAACTTTCAGGAATCCGAGTGCGATTTCCTGAGGAGTCTTGGGAAACCCTGGGTTATCGATATTGACCACCTTGGCCAGCTCCTCAAACTTGGACTTTGTAATCTCATAATCCAAATACTCATCCTCGTTGGGGCCAAAGATCTTGGGAAAATACTCCGGTATTATTCTGCCAGTAAAGAGATTGGCATCGGTGATTGTCAATGGACCACCCTTGCGGTAACAGGCAGGCCCTGGGTGAGCACTAGCAGATTCTGGTCCCACAGCGAAAACTCCGTTTTTATAGGTCAGAATGGACCCACCTCCAGCAGCTACCGTGTTGATATCGAGCTGAGGAGCCGCGATCTTGATACCAGCAGTTATGCTTTCGAACGAAAACTCAAACTCGCCGGCGTATCTGGAGACATCGGTGGAAGTTCCACCCATATCGAACCCAATCACTGGTGTATTGTAATTTGGATCATAGCAGGTTTTTGCCTCACCAACTACACCACCAGCTGGACCGGAAAGCAACGATCTCAAACCGGAAAAGTTCTTCCATGAACATAATCCTCCATCAGATTGCATGAACTCAATTCTGGTATGATCTTCAAAGTCCTGTCTGAAACCAGACAAGAAATTCTCGATGTAATCTTTGACTATGGGGGTCAAATAAGCATCTACTACAGTTGATTGACCACGAGGAACGGCTTTGATCACAGGAAGAAGCTCGTGTGATAGAGAAACGTTCTTGAAACCCAACGATTTGGCAATCTCGCCGGCTTCTTTTTCGTGTCTTTGGAAATTGTATCCATGAATAAAAACAATAGCAACAGACTCAATGCCTTCGGACTTCAATTTCTTCAAATCCTGCGTAATTTTCACTTTATCCAAGGGCTTCATGATCTCGAAGACCTCCTTGGTCTCGCCCTCAACATATTTTTTTCCGTCAATCATATCTTTGGCATCGTAACTGGTAGGATCCACCAAGAACGCAGGCATAGTCACTCTTTCATCTGCTTCTATCACCTTCTCGAAAAGAACGCCAGGTTTCACGATATTGAGTGCAAAAAGATCTGGCCTAGATTGATCTCCAATATGGAGCAGATCTTTGAAGCCTCTGGTGGTTACGAGAGCGCAACGGGCTCCCTTCCTCTCCAGAAGGGCATTTGTAGCAACTGTTGTTCCCAGACGAATGGACGAGACTGGCGAAGTGTCCAATGGCTCTCCTCTTGGAATGGCCTTGCCAGTGACCTTTTCCAAGACTCTTCTTATACCCTCGATATTGGCATCCTTGTAGTTCGAGGGGTCAACTGACAGAAGCTTGAAGGTCTCTTCCTTGTTGGAGTATCTGTAGATAACGTCGGTGAAAGTTCCACCTCTATCTATGGCAATGGAGATTCCAGATTCAGCAACGGTCATGATGGAGGGCTTTGTAATTGAAACTGGCATTTCTTACTCAACATCAGAAGGATACTAGCACCCTTTTGAACCAATCTTCATTTTGCTGTAGCCAATGGAAATTTCCTTTCTGAGGCTCCAATGCCTTTCCAGACGGTTCCCGTACGCGAGCATTCCCAAAGAGTATAAGTCGAGACGAACTAGGATTGAGCGGAAACTGTTTCAATCCCGGGGAAGGTGTAGACGATAAGGCAGGTCAAGACGACCAGGTCGTGTGTAGGCAAGCTGCACGATAAGGAATTGAGAACCGCGATAAGCAGAAGGGTATGAAAGCTTATTCGTAAAGGTTAACCCCAAAAGCGTTATTTATGGTAATAAAGAGCTGTCATCTCAACTGTTAGTCTTGATTCAGTCAGTTTGATGGTGAAAAAATGTAGGTGTCTTCCATGTTCTGGCCCCAGAGCACACCAACTACAACCATCATCAATCGAGAATAAAGACAGAGGTTTAAAGTTATTTAGAAAAAAATAAGAAAGGAGCATACTTCACGCTTAGGTGATGTATCTGAAGTGTTTCTGCTCCATGTCGGTGAGATCAAGTAACTGTTCGTCTTCAAGACCCTCCAGCCCTAAAGCAGTGGTTGCTTCATTGTCATCGGCGAGCTCTTTCTTTTTGTTGAGATAAACACAAATAAGCCAGTAAACTACACAGAGCAGGATACAGACACAATATGCAACGATCATCGAGATGAATCCTCCTGTGTACTTTGGAGCTTGGTTGGCACGGAATGTCTGAGATCCAGTGACTGCTCCACCACAATAGCCGAGGTAGTTGAAGGAATATGTGACCGACTTCTTGGTGTTACCTGCAGTATTAGCCTGAACAAGCGAGATAATGACGACATAGGAGGCAAAGTAGAAGTACATCATGTACAGACCCACCAGCTGGCCAGCAACGTTCGATCTGTCGACAGCATACACTACCACGGCTCCAACTAATGGGACTATCAAAGACAGAATAGAAACAAAGCAACGGCGGTTCACCCACCGACTTCCCCACCAGGTGAAGAAAACGGTTGATAATGAGGCAATTACACCAGTAGGCATACCCATGAGCGACGATTCGACGGAGGTAAAACCAAGGTTCTTGATGATGATGCTGGAGAAGGTGGACAAACCACCGTTGGGAATATTGATTCCAAAATTAAAGAGCATCACAATATAGACACGAATATCCAAGAAAGCTTCCTTAACCTGGTACCACTTCCATTCTTTGTTTTCAACACCAGTGGAGTTAGCAGCCACTCTTCTGACCATGAAGTACTTCTCTCTGTCATTGAGGAACCTGGCGTTCAAAGGCGAGTCGGGAAGAAACCAGAGCACGAAACAACTCCATACAAACGAAACGGAACCAACGAGAATAAATATGTACTTCCAAGTTGGAATTTGGTTTCCAAATACGGATGCCAGGGAAGACAGAGCACCGTTGATGACCGAAGAAGCAAACACGAAGACGATGGCAGTACGATGTGGGGATTCAGTCTTCAGGTAAAAAACAGAGATCATGAGCGAGCAACCGGGAACAATGGCACTTTCAACAAATCCCATGAGGAAGCGAAGGGCAGCGAGTCCGGGGAAGCTGTGACAAGCACACAGTAAAAGGCAGAAGGTAGACCATAGCATGGAGCAAATGGCAAGAACCTTTCCCAATCTGAAACGTTGAACAAGGTATGACATAGGCCACATTCCAACTAGTGATCCAATAAAAATAATAGAGCTTAACCACGAGTATTGCTGGCCAACCAGATTGGTATCGGTTCTGAACCCGAAGATAGCAGCAGTACCAAGCGACACTTTGTCAACAGCACCCATGGTCGCGGTGAAAAACAGAACAGGAATCAAGCATAGATCGCACTTCATTATGGCCCATTTCTCCTCCTTCGGAGTTAATGGCTCGAATTTCCCATCAAATTCGACCAAGTACTGGGCGGCTGCGTCGGCCTTGGCCGTCTGGATGACCTGGAGAGCCTCTTTGGAGATCATCTCGGAGACCTCAACTGGTACCTCCTTGGTGTAACTGTCAACTGACATGGTGAAAGTAGGTGGATTTCGATGAAAAGGTGGGTGTTCTGAAGCTGCCTGTGAATAATGTATCGATCTACCCACGAAACCGTTCTATGAGTGTCAATCAGCGGAAACACAGGTCTTTAAGTATATCGACGAAGGTGCGAGCTCACCACCTGCATTAGTATATATATGCAGAATGGAGCAAAAAGTGATCAGACGCAGATAAACCCCAGAGGCATTTGGCCTGGTCATTGGCATGTACTTCGAGACTTCGTTGTCTTATCCGAGGAAGAATTTTTCAGGTAGTCAGCTCTAGACGAGCATTCCGAAAACCGGATACGGTTTATCAGCTCATCGGGAAATCTGCAATTCCCGCTTGGATTGAAATGAATGCGTTGAATATTGATGATTCTATGGTTTGTTTTCGTTTTTGGTTTTTACGCTTCAAAATTATTTCCTTGATACCATGATATTAGTTTAAATTATGACGGTAAATTTGGGCGAAGAGTGGAGCCATTTCCATAAATGACATGTTGAAGCCAATCAAGTTCACACCCATAATATCAAGTTGATTTTGTGCTTAACTGCAACGAACACGTCCCTGAGAAAAAAATTAAATCCAACGTAATCCCAGGATCACGCAAGACTCAAGGTATTACATTTATCCTTCAGTATATCTTTCCACCTCACGCACGGCCGGCCTAGATCCTTCTCTTTCCAGACAGATAACACCACGGTACGAGCAGTGCGGACACTCCGTAGTTCTCTCGTCTTTTGCATTCTTGTAAGAGCATCAAGAACAAACCACCGTATCTCTTCGTCATTTGCGCACACTATTCCAAGTACAAACAGTGGCCATAGTAAAGTGACGTATGTATCGGGTAGCGTCTTCTGTAGTTCCACCAAACGACTCGCCAGCTTTCCGATTTTTCTCATCTTTTCTGCAAACTGATATGTGCCAAAAGTACCACCATAGTAGCTGTTTTCTATGTCAACCCTGGCAAACAAGTAAAGCCTGGCCGCAAGTTTTTTGATTTCGGCAATTGTGCGGACATGAGTCGCCGATTCGTCAGACGAATCAAAGCGTTGCACCATGTTGGTGATTTCTTGGCTGAGGATCTCTTTCTTCTCCAGAATATCATTCTCAAAGTCAACTCTATCTTCAGGAGCTTCCAGCTCCAAATCCTCGTAGCATGCCCCGAGAACATTAGTCTTGTGGATGAGAGTGATGAGATAAGGACTACATCCCAGTACCAGATCAATATCGGTTGAATAATCGTTTTTCAGTCTCAACATGTACTGATCGTCTGCAATGGGCTGTGGAATAGCATTCACTCGGCCAGCTCGGTTTTCCCATGAGGTTTCTCCCATCACTTCGTGGGAAACAAAGTACCTCACAAAAAACTTGCTTATGGGGCTCATGCTATTTCGGACGCTGGAGTCCCTTAAAAATTGTTTCGCGCCATTCAGATGTACCAGCCATGAACTTCCACAATTGGAAGCAATATCCGTAAAACAGAGCATAATAATTACCGTCAAAACATCATCCCAGTCGGCGTCGTTGTTCTTCTGCTTCGACTGAATGATATCGGGCAGCTCAATCAACACCTTGGCTGTGTAAGAAGTTGCGATCTTGGAATATTCTTTTTCTCCCAACATTACAAGTTGTTTGGCACTGGTAGCTATTAACACGTTAAACACTATGGTGGATCTCATAGCCAGGGGAACAATCAGATACAAGTATGGGTTCATCTCCGGGTTGGGCTGCGCAGGCTGTTTGATGTTGGGGTAGCAGATGCAATACGGGCATATTGCAGTCACAAAGTAGTTAAGCAGTTGCTGCTCCACAGGGCTAATTCCAGCGAGATTGGAATGTATCGGCAACATTGTGAGGCTCTGTGAGGTATTGTATGAAGTCATCGCGATAGACATTAGAGGAGGTGAAAGAGGCACTTCTCCAAACAACTTCATGAATATCTCATCCACATTCACACCCTCCATAATAGTTCCCATAAAATTTCTGTGATCGTGAGTCCCGATAGGTATCGGGGAAGTTCCTGCTTTTTTTTTTTCAGGACCGGTGGTCATAAGAGTGCCGTCGTAGTCATCTGTCTGATCGAGAGAAGCCTTCCCCGTGTGATAATCTTTGGGTGTCATATTCACAAAGAAAACACGGTTATGTGGCAAGTTCCATTGCACTGTTATATTCTCGGCAACCTGTTTTGACAGAGTGGTGATGCGTTTTCCATCTCCCAGTTCATTGCGTAGGTTCCTACCCTGGGTAGACCTTCCAAAAGCAATCCCTCGATCATAAGCCTCGTCCTCCCATAAAAACGTGTTCACATAAAAACAATCGAGCTTCAATCTGCTACAGTTTGTGCAGCGTGGATGGACTTCTGAAGCGGACAGGTTTAGTTAGTTCTCAGTCATTCCGCATGGCCTTAGAATGTTTCACTCACCGTCGCACTTGACTCTCCTCTTTTTGCAAGTAGCACAGCCATTTCGGCTTCTTTCCCCATACTTCTTGGTCCTTCCCATCACAATAGACACTGGGGTACCATGTTCAAAAGAAGAATGTCGAGACGAACAGAAGAGTTAAGAACCCATAAATGCCCTCGAACCATCTCGGAAATGGATCGTCGTCTGCACCTTCCCTCGTTTCCGCATATTTCCCAATTTAGAAACTGGGCAGATAAGAGCGATGAGCCGGAAACCGTTCTGAGCGTTACTATCTCGATGGGGTCGAGGGACTAGGGAATGTTCACTAGTGAGGAGCGATTTCAGAGCCGTTTATATTTTCTAGAGACTGCTTTACTTGTCAGCAGCCATAGGATATGCTGGGCTAATATTGAGGTTTTTGGTGGTTTTCATAGATGCATGAGCACTTGATCTTATAGTCCTGAGATACTCGGATGGTTTGCGCAGTGAAAATTCGGGAATATAGAGGATCCAAAAGCTGGCAATATACATTTTCACGTTGAATAGAGAAAAACCTTTGACTGGTGTCTCTTTCTACTTCAGCATCATCTTTAGTTCGAACGCGAAAGGCAGGTCGACGCGACATCCCCGTTGGGTGAAATATCAAATTATCAACCAGACGATTTTTCACTAAAATCTTACCACTTTTGAAACATCAAAGAAAGGATATTCGTTATTTAAGACTGGAAAATCCGAGTACTTAGGCTGGTCTAAGTAGCAATTGCCATACGACGACATGGAATCACATCAAGTGCTGATTATTGGGGCTGGTACTTTTGGTCTTTCCACAGCTTTGGAGCTTCTTCGCAAAGGCCACAAAAGTGTGAAACTCTTGGATCCTTTTGTGGTACCATCTCCTCTATCTGCAGGAAATGATATTAACAAAATCTTTCAGTCCACAGTGGAGAACGAGTTCTACTCCAGTCTGGCTCTGGAGTCTCTGGAGTGTTGGAGGACCGATCCGGTGTACAAACCGGCATTCCACGAAACTGGAATTGTATATGGTGCTACCGGTAACGAAGCAGCTGCAGAAATTTCAAGAAGGTTGGCCAGACTAAAAGAGATCGGGGTTGAGGCCACACCGTTGACTTCTCCAGAAGACTTTGCCCAACTGGTTAAATTCCCCACAATAGCGATCGAACACAAAATCACCGACTTGAGTTTGGATGATAAGAGGTTCAAGGACTGGATGGGTTACTTTCAGTCTGAAAAGTGCGGTTGGACCTTTGCTAGTCTTGCCTTACAAAGAGCGGCCGAAGAGTGTAGCAGACTTGGAGCCGAGTTTGTGCTTGGCTCGGCTGAAGAGTTGTTATACAAAGAAGATGGCAGCTGTTCTGGCGTTAGGACATTCTCCGGCGACATAATCAAGTCGGATGTGGTTGTAATAGCTGCTGGAGCAAGTAGCATAAAATTGCTAGACTATAAGGGACAGCTTCTTGCGAAGTGTTTCACCGTTGGACACATCCAGCTCAGCGAAGAAGAGGCTCTTTCACTGAAAAACTCGCCCGTTGTATTGAATCTTGATGAAGGATTTTTTTTTGAACCAGACAGAAACAACGAGCTCAAGTTCTGTAACGAGTTTCCTGGCTACGTCAACATAGACAAGCACACTGGCGTTTCTGTACCTTCCTACAGAAACCAAATTCCTATCGAAGCGGAAAGACAAATGCGCTCCTTTTTGAAGCAGGTGTTTCCTCAGTTGGCCAGAAGGAAATTTTCAGTAGCAAAGATCTGCTGGTGTACTGATACCACAGACCGGCATTTTTTAATTGGCAACCACCCAGATCACAAAGGTTTAGTTCTTGCTACTGGGGACTCCGGTCAAGGATTCAAATTCATGCCCATCATAGGAAAATATATTTCGACGGTGGTTCTTGAGGGTGACAAAGCTTTGGACTCTATCAGGAGAAATGCCTGGAAATGGAGACCGGAGCAAGCGGAATCTAGAAATATTCTGCACAGGCAGGGCAGGTTTGGAGGTTCAAATGAGGTTAAGGATTTGAAGGCTATAGATGAATGGACAGACGGAAATGCATGCTTATTGTGAGAAAATATACAGTATAAGATTATTGAGGTGTGAAAACGATTCGCCACACCTATTTATTCATCAAGACCAGAATAGAGGTAGACTGTCCACTGCGGAACAGAGAATGGTCATTAGCCTGCTCTTAGTCGCCTCTGATTCAATATGTAACGGATCCTATCACTGCACAGCCCAAAAATGCAGCCGCAGCAAAGATTTTCTCCAAAGACCGTTGCTGACAAGTATTTGCAAGGGGCGTGATGGTCAATCTAATGAAAAGAAGTTTGTTCTTGATAATATGGAGAGCTTTTGAATCATATTTGTGTTATCTGATTGTTCGTGCATAGCTTCCTGCAGGATCATGCTCAAGAGGACCAAACAATATGCGCTCGGGCTGAGGACCATCATCAAGCCCTACACCAGCCACCCAGTTCTGGTTTTTCTGGTCATTTCCTCAGCTCAGTGGATAGTTAATGCTAACTTAACTGTGGGTGTGAGTTCCCTTGGTCAAATTCAACAAAAATTTAACGTATCCTCGCCAATAGCGAGTTGGTTGATGTCTGCATACTCGCTGTGCTTCGCCAGCTTTGTCATGATCTTTGGAAGATTCGGTGACATCGTTGGCCATCATTATCAATATGTCTGTGGAATGTTTTTCCTGGGTGTCTTGATTGTGATCGCGGCATCGGTGGAGAATTTGTATGCAATAATTGTGTTTAGGGCCCTACAGGGCATTGCTGCAGCATCTACAGTACCATCCTCATATGCATTGATTGGCCATTCCTTTGAGGGAAAGGCTTTGAATCTTGCGATGGGTGTAGTTACTGTTCTCATGACAGTTTCTGCAGGGATGGGTTTTGTTTTCGGAGGTGCGTTTGCTCTGATCCCTATCGGTTACCGAGGAGTGTTCTATCTTTTTGGTGGATTGTCTCTGTTAACTGCCATTCTGGGTCTCTTCTGTATCGATCCTGTGCCAAAAAATTCCAAAAGAATTAGAGATCTAGATGTTTTTGGTGTTTTTATGGTATTATCAGGAATTCTGCTATTCGTAACGGGAGTGACCGAGGGCGGGTTTGGGTGGAGGTCTCCAAGATCTTATGTTCCCATGATATTCGGTGTTTTACTCATAGGCTTCCATTTTTTGTGGGAGTGGAGACTTGTTTTCATGATAAAGTTATTCAAAAATACTCAACTTTTGATCCCACCATCAGCGTGGGGAATTCCAAACTTCATCGTGTTCAACATAGCTGTTGGACTGGCATTCAGTGGGATGGTCACCATGATCTTGTGTTCGTTGGAGATTTACCAGTATGTGGCACTAAATTCGCCAGTCATTGCTGCTGTTAAGACCATAGTTGGCCCAATTTCCATTTTGCTTGCGTCCTTTCCAGTTGGGTACTTTTATGGGAAAATTTCCCCAAAGATCATGATCACCATTGGAGGTCTGATTCAGTTGGCAGGAGCTATTCTTCTCACACAATTGGACTACACTACAAAGAGCTACTGGAAATATGGATTTCCAGGGCTAATCCTTGCGGGTTTGGGCTGTTCTATTGCCTTCTACAATTCCATGCAAACGCTGGTCGTGACAACCCCTGTAGAGATCCGAGACCTGGTTCCTGGAATAGCCAACACCTCGGTGGAACTACTGATAGCCGCTACAACTGCCAGTCTGGCTTCGATTATTGGTCAGGCCAAACTTGCAGTTGACATTGAGATCAAAGATGAGATGATCATGCAGTATCATCACGCGTTGTATTTGCCGCTTGGTCTGGTAGGAGCAAATGTCATTCTGTCAATATTCATTCAAAAGAGATCTAGCATGGTCTCGTGCAATAACGAGACACCAAACAAATCTCTTGAGACGTCTTCGTCGACATTTCATGAAACCCCCCATGAGAATTACGGTACTGCGCAGGGCTCACTCTCTAGAGTTGACGCCTTGGAGCTCTCAGTCTAACGCTTTGTACATCAAAAAATAGAACGTGAAAAATATGATTCATAAGTAGTAGCAAATATGGCAGAAATATATGTCATACCCTCGAACGGATACCTGTAGCTAGCTAATCCAAATCTGATTCACCAGATTGAAAAGCCCGTTTCCCTCCGTCTCCAAAAGATATATACCGTAAATAGAAACCCAAGAGCCCAGATTCAAAAGTCCCATAGCCACTTTGTGCCAGACACCATAAACCCTCTTCGGTATATAATCCGTGATACAACTCTGGAAACCAGCTCTCGAATGGAACAGAATCAGCGAAGAGAGAAGGGTGTCAACCAGCGGAATATCCACACCGGCAACAAAAGGCGCCAGGGTCAGCGGAACCATAGCAGTTGCAATGACCCTATCATAAGACCAGTGGAAAGAACCGTGATATTGGTCCATATCAGGTGGGGTGTACGCATCGTTAACCGTTCCAATGATGTATCCTGGAGGCTGTTCTTTCAGCTTGAGCTTTGAAAGATCTGGGACCAACGAAATTGACCTGCTTGCTCTTAAGGCAGTCTGGATATTTACCGACCTCAAAGATGCTCGCACTCCTATAAATCCTAGCATGTCTGGCCGTTGAGAATTGGATAATACCGTAGCCCACCGCGGTGCGTCTGATATCATGAAAGCCAGGCTCTGAAACTTTCCAGCAAAAATTAGTTGTGTTCAGACACGACCTCAATCCCGGAACGGGCCCGGTTTGGACGACCCAGCCCTCGGGCGTCGTAGGCAATAAGGCGTCTGCATCGCCGCATCCTTAACACATTGACAGAGGAAAAAATAAGCCCTATGGCTTAGCATGACTTGGCATGAATAGACTGAATGGATTAACTTCCATCCATCTGTACGAAGTCCAAAATTGAATTACGCTATTAAGGCGCAGAATTGACCATTTTTTTATTCAATTGCAACAGCCTGAAGTATGCATAATCTCATCCAATCACGAAACTCCGCTTTTCGCACTATTCGTACCATCCCGGCTATCTGAATGTAGATTTAGATTACTTTAGGCATCCACACCTACACTATTGAAGTCGTGCGTTGCGGCTGCTGCTGCTACTGCTAAATCGCGCCTTGTTATTGGACAATTTTCAAAGAAAGTTTATGTCGTGCATAAATTAAGGCTCCGGTACTGCATTGCATCTGCATTAGAATCAATGTAACATTTGGGACTTGCGCCACAAGCGACTCTGCGTCCTACAACTAGGTTATTTAAAATGGGGGGCAGCTGCATAATGTTTGAATCTAAAGAACAACCAGCAGGGTAAATAGTTTTTCTTGAGATCAGCTTTCTTTACTGCGTGGCTGCCAATTTTGTTAATGAAGCTTTTCAAAGTCATTGCTGCTCTGGCTTTGCTCGAGAGAGTCAAAGGCTTGAAGATCGTGCAACACAACTTTGACGTTTTGAGAAGATCTCATGACGAAACCCTGTCCAAACGCGATAGTTCCGTCGACTATGCAGAATTTGTCTTGAATAACGCAGTCACACACTACCAGCTGAACATCTCCATTGGAACCCCACCTCAAGATTTCCTCGTTGTGCTGGACACCGGATCTTCAGATCTCTTTGTCTTCGAAGATGGATCGGAGGGCTGCTCTCAGGCAGCAAATGCTACTTCAACTGAAACCACAGCCACCAATTTGGTCTATGGATCTACACCTTCTGCCTATATCGATGCAACAGTCTCTGGGTGTGGTGGTGTGGGAGGGTTTGACGCAAACGCCTCATCCACGTTCAATAAAAACGAGACATCCTTTGCAGATTATTTCAACTATAAAAATGGAACTGGGTACTGGGCCTATGACGTGGTATCCGTGAACAACGTTAGCGTTGGAGAAATGAGTTTCGGGGTGTATGCGGCGAATTTCACGCCTGTTCTTGGAATTGGCCCAATAGGAGGTGAACTGTCGTACGTTACCTACCCTGATAACGAAACTTATCAAAATCTGCCTATGAAAATGGCAGAACAAGGACTCATTAACACTCCATCTTACTCCATATTTCTGGCCAATTCAGAGAAAAATGAGGGCTCAATTCTGTTCGGCGGAGTTGATTCCTCAAAGTACGATGGTGACCTAATTACCGTCAAAAGCGCAGGGTCTGCAGATATCACGTCGAACTACGCAGGAAGCTGGTCAATCACTTTGTCCGAGATCACTCTCCAGAAAAATGACGAGGCTGCAGTTTTTGCCGAGGGTAGATACTTGGCTCTTCTCAAAAGTTCAGCCGCGTTCTCGACGTTCCCTTCAGCGCTTTACGATAACCTGCACAACTTCACAAATGCCACTTGGGACGAAGACATCGACCAATACTACTATGATTGCGATCAGATAAGCAACACAACCCTCACTTTTGACTTTACAGGTGCAAAGATTCAAGTTCCCCTAACGTCTTTGGTTTTCAAGCACGCTGGGAAGTGCATATCTGGAATTAAGACTCATTACGATTACAATTACGATGCATACTTCAGCCTTGGGGACGACTTTTTGAGAAACGCCTATGTTGTCTACGATTTGCATAATTATGAAATTTCGTTGGCCCAAGCCAGTGATGCCACTGGAACCGAGAGTATCCGCGAAATCACAAAGAAGGGTGTCCCCTCCGCCAAAAAGGCCAAGCATTACTCGTCAACGTATACCCTCAATTCCGGACCTGATCAAATAACTGCCGCTTCCTCATTGTCGTATTATTCGACTGCACTAATTGCGTCGTCTGGATCTTCCGCCGAGTCAAGCAAAGGCGACGCACCTCCAAACATCACCTACGGCTCAGGACTGCTCTTGTCTGCATTTACCTTTCTTGCTGCATTGTGTTTGACATAGAAAAATTTGATGTACCTGCTGTGTATTTTATTCTTAAATAAATCTACTCCTCGATTGGTTTGCAAAATATTTTCTTCACTCTCCAGCAACTCTCTGGTGCTCTCGAGAATGTGGTTCAAGCTGAACTGTTGATCAAATGCACAGGAGCCCTGGTTATTTTTCAACAAACCCTTCTAACGGCCCCATCTCACTATTCATCGCCAGCAAAACAGCTTCTGTTCACGACTCTCCAAACCAGCCTCAAAATGTCTAGTTTTGCTGACAAACTGACCACTATACAACAGGATGACGATATTGATATTGACATCGATGTGGATCTTCCTGCTGTTTCCGTTCCGCCTCCACATCTGCAAAATGTCGACCCCGAGCCTGAGTTGACACAGACAGCAGAACCTGCTTTGCAAGAGCATTCGCCCGAAGAAATTCGTGGAACCGCAATCAATTTGCGTGGAGTTGATGATCTCTCAACTAGAGAAGTCAAATTGTTTATTGATCACTATATAAAGCCTGGCTACTCGTTCGCAACCAAGGACCAGTTCGCACGATTTGATTGCCGTTTGGAATGGATCAATGACACGTCATTGAACGCTGTCTTTGAGACCGAAGAAGCCGCCACTGAGGCTCTCAGCTTGCTGTTACAAGCTCAAGACTTGGATCTTTCGAACGCAGAGAACGTGGAAAGAGAGTGCAAGCCGTTTGTTCGTGCTGCTGTTGGCGGCTCGGCTCCCACTGAAGATCCGGATGTGAAGCTATTTGCCAGAAAGGCTACTTTTGCCGATGCAAAGGTGAAAGGTGCAAAGCAGTATTCTCGATACTATCTCCTCCATGGTGAGCCCGAAGCTGACCAGAGAATCGGCAAGACGAAGAAGAATTACTACGAGAACTACCTGAACAAGAAGAATGGGAACTCCAATAGCAACTCAGATACTTCTTCGACAGATAATTACAGAAGCCGTGAGGCTCGCCGTTCAAACAGCAGATGGGCAGGAGTGGAGGACCTGATCACCGGTGAGAAGGACACAGCCGACGAACGTGGAAACGAGAAGATCACGCTGGGCGATGACGATCTGTTTGCAGGAAGAACTGTGACCAAACTATCTAGGCCACTTTCCCAAAGGTTAGGAGAAGGAAGATGGCAGAACGACAGATATCCCGGTAACGGCGATGACCACGGCCGCGACCGCGACCGCCGGCGAAACGGTAGAGGAAACAGGGGTCCGAGACCACCACACAGATCTGAAGCTGATGAAGATGATCTCTTCCCCAGTTTCAGAACCCGTGAGCTCTCGCCAGGTAGAGATTAGAGAAATTGATGACGGTTATTTCGGTTGTTTAAAAATTGTAATATAACGTTTTAGTATGTGCACGACTTGACTATGTTTGTTTATGCTCCAGACAGAATTTCACCAACCCGTACGCGATTGCAGCAGGGGCTCCATTGCGCGCAGAATCCACAGAAATGAGGCAGAAACCCAGCAAGGTGTATGCAAATTACCATTCGAGAGTCTCCACTTTTGATAATGGGGCGAAAGTAGGGAGGAGCAAGAAGATCGTGTTCTGGCCTCTGAGCCGTCCAACAAAGGAGATGGTACGTGATATCAACTAGACGAGTTTTTTGAAGATAACTTTACTAACAAGTGTTGACCAGATGGCTAGTTGTGGCTTCTTTTTCACTCCCAAGAAAGACCAGACCGATTGCGCCACTTGCTTTGGGTGTAACAAATCACAGTACGGTTGGAGTCAAGACGAGCACCCTTGTGCTTCTCATCTTGAGCAATCACCCGACTGTTTTGCCTCGACAATCCTACTTGCAGCTACGACGAGATCTGGTGATCAGGCGTATGATTGGAGCAAAAATCCTCGTTTCCGTGACCCAGCTAACACGGAGGTGGTTGCCCTTATCCGTGCTACCTATGGCGATCTGTGGCCGTACGACAGGCCCAAATATAAAAGCTATCCCTCCAGCGATGTCATGGCAGCTGCAGGAATGTACTACAGTCCTATGTATGTGGGTGATGACACTGTGACGTGCCTTTATTGTGGATCAGGCTTGGAAGGCTGGGAGGAGAACGATGATCCGTTAGACGAGCACCAGAGAAGAGTGCCGAATTGCTACTTCTTTCAGGCAACACAGCCCGGAACAGCTTCTAAGAATGTGTATACGAAGGTTGAAGATGATGTTGGCGAATGGGACAACGATGATTCGCTTTTGGAACTAGGTTCTATAGAGCATGGTGGACTGTTGAGTGAACTTTCGCTGGACGAGCATTTTGTGGACCAAGATGCCCACGTCCCTACCTTGAATCATGTGTTGACAAAATCACCAAGACCTGGTAAAGGGGTGCCGAAAATCGCAAGAAGAAGGACTCCTTCGTCGCGGCCGGTGAGTTCCGATCGGTCCTCGAGTGCCTCAACTTTGAGGAACTCAAGTCCCTTGAGGTCTCAAGAGGAACATCTAGAAGAACCACGTCATCATTCGGACAAGGAGGAAAGTCTTGCTGGTTTTGAAACTGCAAATTTGGGCATGGATGTTGATGTGGTTCCCAACAGTTTCGCCCCAGTTGAGGAGATTGTTCTGGAGAATGTCCAGAAAAAAGAGATAAGCTCTTTAGAGAAACCGATTGCTGAGGAACCATTAGTTGATTCTGATCAAAATCCGGTTGATGAGATGACAGAGACTCCCATAGAACAGATGTCTGCAATCTCAGAGCCTGAAGAATTGCCAGTGAGAGTCACCCGCAAGAAGATCATTAAAAGAGTCGCGTTCTCCGACGATGATCCGTTCGACCTATCTGATGGTAACGATGAATCTTATGTTGATGACGAGTTTATTCCTGAGGAGAAGGAGGAAACCTTGAGACCGGTATCTAGAGGGTCCAGAAAGAAACAGCCATCAAAGCCTGTGGCACCGGAAACCGTCAAACCAAAGCAACCGTCAAAGAAAAAGGCAACCGTGAAGAAAACGAAGAGTCCTGCTGAGCCAGCGGAAGATAAGGAGAACCAAACAGCTAAGACGAAGGGAAAGTCTAAGAGATTGAATGCAAAGCAAAAAGGCTCCAAATCAACAACAGAATTAAGCTCTGATAAGTCGGAAAGGCCAACCCTATCTCTGATCTCTCTGCTTAGCAGTGATAACGATCTAAAAACAAATGAGAAGTCAAACGAAAAGTCAAACGAAAAGGCTGCTTCAGATACTAGGGTGGTTTTTGAAGAACTTCATGGGTCGGCTACGAAAGCCAATTTCTCCAGATTGAATCTGGCTGAAGGTGTCGATCAACTTCCTGAAAAGAAGAAAATCGATTTCATAAGTCCTGAGCGTAAACCTGTGCCGACGAATTTCGACCTGCTCAACTCCGTCAAGGCCGTTTCGCGAACCAGACTTCCTACTCTGTCTCCGCTTTCTGACAGGAGGAACCCAGACATATCGAATATCTTTGCCAGTCCTTCGAAATCCGAGGCCATTATTATAGGCTCGCCATTGAAGTCTGAAATGAAGAGTTCTTCCTCGATTGATGCCTCCACATTGGCAATGTCCCCGGTCAAATATAGGAGCATTGTTCAGAACTTCAGGGCTAATGAGGCTGATGACGATCTAAAATCTGCTCACAGTTCGAAGCCCATCACGGCTACTCTTCCCTCGTCTCCACCACCCAAACATGCATATGACGAAAACGAAGTTGACGATGATGATGACATTCGCATGGATGACCATCTACTTTTGACTGACGACAGTGTCATTCTGGAAGATCTGGATTACAGACCTTCTGAACCAAGAAACAGCAGCTACAGACCCTTCGTTGGAAAGAGCTCGATTATTAAACCATCATCGGAAACTCAAGATCAAGCATCTGCCAATTTCAGCAGTTTCAATCGCCATGCCAACCTTCTCACGAGTCCCGAGGCCCAGAGCACTCCACCAGGCGGTGTCAAAAAGGCAATATTTAAGCAGTCTTTGTCTGCTCTTTCTCGCTCGTCTCCATCTCCTCTAGAGAAGCCAGATTTGAGGAGCAAAAACAGCTCATTGTTGGAATTGAGCATCAAAAATGTGGAGGCTGTTGAGCAGAAATCGCATGTGTCTAGCACATCTGTGGAACACTCGTTGCTTGCTGAAATGTCGAGTAGAAATTCACCTACAGATAAGGATTTGAAAAACGCCTCATTTAAAGAGGCCTCAAACACAGGCCTGGCTGCAGAGGCTATTTCAAAGACTAACTCGATTAGAGAGGAATCTCCCATTATAGTCTCGACTAGAGAGGAAGCTACAGTAGAGAATGCTCTATTGGAAAAGCCTCCATCAGAGAAGACTTCAATAGTGGAAGCTCCTCCTTCGCAACAGGTTGCGAATTTTGAAAAGGATGTGGATTTTGATATTCCCAACCCCCAAAGTATGAGAGTGAGTACTCTGGACACTCAGGTCGAGAAGCCCAAGTGGACTGCTGAACTACATCGGCCAACCGAAGTGATCGAGAACCAAAAACTGGCAACCTCGTATCTCACAGACCTTCTGGAAGGGCCAGCCGAGTCGCTATATAACGATCCTTATGGCGAGCTCACTCAATTCATCAACTCCGTACCGAGCAACGAGCTGAATATGACATTCAAGCAATGGATCCATTTCGACTCCAGCAGGGGTAAACAGAAGTTCCTTGAGAACACTGAATCTATGATAGAGGAGCTGAGGGAGCAGGTCTCGATGGCTACCGCTTATCTACAGAATATGAGCTGATGAAAGAGAAAGGTATAGGTGTGGTCATTAATATCACGAGTTCAATGGCATCCTGTTGTGCGGAATTACCAAAACTATCATCAATACCACCAGCTGCATCAAATCAAACACTTCGTATTTTGTAACAGATCATCAATTGCGCCACAATCCTTTGAACCAACGTGTATAAGTTTGCGTATCTCTGCTTTCGTCTTCGTAGTCTCCTTCGTCATCTTCGTCTTCCTGCGTTACTCTTCCATTAGCTCGTCCCCATCCACATCATCAACATCCATGGGCATTTCAGGACGTACTCCGGTTCTGGGCATGTTCAACACCGGCATTCCTCTGGCTCTCACCGTAATGGCTCGCAGTTCTCTGTTTGGTGGTGGACCACCCGGTCCGGCTGTTACCATGTCGCGGTCACGGAAAGCGTGGTATAGAATTGTGTTTGATGCGTTCTGTCTGTCCTCGTCGCTTGCGTCATCTGCCACTGCAGGTGGCATCATTGGAGCGTTAGATAGCATCCAGCCAAGTTCCGAGTGAAGGCGAGGAAGATTGTGGTTATTCTGGTACGGCTGGCCACTCGAATCCACAAAGACAACCTGTCTGCACATCAACTGCGATAGATATCTCCTTAGCAATGCGACTCCTTCCCCACTGAAAACACAGAATGAAGACTTTTGATGAGGCGAGAAGTCTGCCGGAGGGTCGCGGCAGAACTTCATGATGTCCGGTCTGAGAAAGGCAAACACACCAGTCAGCGAAAGATGAGTAAGCTTTGGGCACGATGTCAGCAGTTTGTATATTGGGTAAATGTTGATTCCAGTGCAGTACGATAGGTGAACACGTTCCAGCGAATCGTCGTTGCTTCTGCCGTGATTTGCCAAAGCCAGAATGCCTTCGTCTGTTATGTTTCCGCATTTCACCAATCCTATTCTTCTCAATCTGGAAAGCTGAGCCAGTTCGATCAAAGTCTCGTCGGTGAGTTGTACGCAACACGCAAAATCAAGATATTGCAAACGGTGACAACTCTTTATTAGATGAATAGCGCCATAATCCGTGATGTTGCTGCAATGACCAAGATGGACATAGTGTAAATTCTTGCCTAGCTGTGCAAGCGAGCGTAGCGCTGAGTCGGTTATCATCACACACTTAGACAACACAACGTTTCTGAGTCTAGGAGCGTACTTCACTAGCTTCTCGATGGCTTTGTCTGTAATGTTTTCACATGATGTGAAATCCAGGATTCGCAATCTGTCCAGCGAAAGCTCTCCGGATGCAGTATCGAAACACGCGTCCGTCACGTTTGAGTTTCGCGATATCTTGAACTCGCGTAAATACTCCAACTCTTCAAACATCAACACCAGAGACTCGTTGGTCACCAAGTTGCATCCGTGAAGTTCAAGCTCCACTATATTTGGACAGCACTTGATGAGTTCCATAATAACTTCATCGTCGATCTCGCTACACTCAGACAGTTTCAGCCTCTTTAGCAGGGGACAATTTCTGACCAATGCCAAAACTGCCTCTTTGCTAACGGAGTCGGAGTTTGGTGCATACAGGCCTTGTAGCCGAGGGCAGTTCAAAGCCAGGGCTTGGTAAAGATCATCAGAGACATCCTTCACACCCGAAACATCCAAACTCTGTAGCCTGGAACAACCTGTCAAAACAGAAGCTATAGACGAAGAATGGAGCTTATCACAGTTAACCAGAGTCAGTCTCTCCAAATTCTTCGAATGGTTGAACATCCCCAGGAAGTCGTTTGTGACAAGATTGGGTATCACAGACAAATTGAGTCTCTTAACATAGAGGCGGTAGTTCCAGCTAGCTTCCTGGACTGGCATCTGCATTACCCGCCCAATCTTCCTGAAGATCGCCTCGCTGGTGATGCTAGGACGAAACCAAATTAGCTGGATCGTCAGCTCGGCCCACGCCTTGCAAGTCAGTGCCAAAGACAGAAGGTCGGATTTTGACGTGACATGTGAGAAAACCAGCAACAGTAACTCTGGAGGTAGTTTCACTATAGGGCCGACCGCTGTTTGGCTGTTCCGCCTGGCCCTCTCCATGAAGAAACCATCATCATTTGAGTACATCCGCTTGGAAACGATGTTTTTGAGCGTTTCATCAGCTTCGCTAGCTGTATCAATATCTTCTTCTATGTTGCGGTTTGACGATTCAGCCCCGAATGCTCTGGTTCTCAATAGCCGGTCGCGGATTCGATCGGAATTGGTCATCTTTGGCATTTGTATTGATCAAAAGGTGTGGTCAAGTATTCCCGGATCGTTTTTTAACCGAATAAACACCTTCCAATCAGCTCTGTTGATCCTTCACGAAAAACTGCCGCTATCAAAACTTGAGTGGCGCGTAGTTCTAGTCTTGTTACAAACTCGTGAGTTGCCTGTGGGTACCACAAACCAGATAAACCAGACTCTGTCGAACAGGCACCCAAACGAAATAACGGTACTCACTTGAAAAAGTGGGTCCAACAAAGATTTCCACTATTCGACCACCCACTCAGATTGTTGGTGCAAAAGTGTGTTGTCTTTGTGGGTTGTAGCCGCCAGCTCGCCTCACCAGCCCGTTACGGCTTGCTGATGGATTGCCTCTTTGTGATTGTTTGTAGTGTGATGTCAGATTCGGGTGGTGCACGCAAAAGCAGATGAGATGCTCGTGCTCGCCAAATTTGGTAGCGACGAGCGAGCCCAGTCTAGGACTGGTCGTCAGAAAACCGAGGGTCTAAGTCTCCGGGATTTGACGCTTTGGCATCTACGATTCAACTGTAAATCATATACCATTATATTCATATTGTGTCATGCATACATATCTTCGTCTGTAATAGGTCGGCTCTATACAAGTGGGTTGTATCCCCTTTTCCGTCCGGAACTTCGCCTGTTATCACGAGTATCTCTTCATGTGTGGCATTTGTGATGTATTTGTCTTTATCCCTTTACCCATAGTATACTTCCTCGTCTCTCCTATTATTGTTGATGAAATACTGTTGGTTAATCTGCTCAGGTGGTGCCCTCTGGTGGTATCCGGGATGATATTGCTGGTCGTATGAGAATTGACTCTGTTGGGGCAACGACTTGCTCAGATTCAACTGCTCCATCTGTCTGAGTAAGTCTGAGGCTTGTTGTTGCGAAACCTGAGGCACAACACGAAAGCTATCATACTGGGGATTCCCAAAGTTGTAATCTAGCACCGGAGGTTCGATCCCGGTACCAATTGTGCTGTTTCCATTTAGGTTCTGGCCAGGGAAGAACATAGAGTTGGAGTGCCCATTCCGATTACCTCTTGGCTTCTTAGAATGGACTCTCTGGTGCCGAGACTCTTTAGAAGAGGAAAATGAAACTTCCTCCATCAAACGTTTGTAGCCCTGCTGAGAGCTGGCATTGAGCTCGCTCAAGGCCAGTCTAATTTGATCCAACATGAAGTTGCGCACTGTTGAAGGCAAAAGGGGAATGCTCAAAGTTTTGTAGATGAAAGTAGTTCCGTGATTCGTGTCCGCCAAGATCTCCTTGAGCAAAGGAGCCGGTTCCAACTCGTAAGGCTCTTCTATAGGCAAATCACCATAGATCCGCGAAAGAATCTGATTCCTGCAAACTGTATCACCTCTATGGTTCAGTATCTTCAAAATAGTCAGATGGGCCAGTTTGTGGATGCACAACTGACCAAGCTGGGGAATAAGCTTCGGAGTCAGCAGTTGGTGTCTGTTTGGCAGCGAACAAGTATCCAGCAACCAAGTGATAAGCAAAGAGCCGTTTGAGTTGGTGACTAATGATGAAGCGTGAAATACGATGCATGCTGATACCGCAACTAATATAGACTTGGTGAGGTCTGTGCTTTCGAGACACGTTCTGATAGCACGTGCTCCAAATCTTCCCTTTGCGATGTTGCTGAAATCACCCATGATGGACTCGATAATGAAATCAGAGTATGGAGGTCCAAACTTGAGTGCACAATGGACGACGTAATTGCCGTATTGGTCGTTGAAAAGAGCTGAACAGTAGGGCGCCAAATTCCGGGATATTAGCATCATTTCACGATTAGACTGAGCAGTTGAAATGATCTTCTGAGCTGCCCAGGTCCCGTTTTTGTGTGCACCCATCTGGGAAAGAAAAGGTGCAAGGTATTTTAGCATGATGTCTCTGATAGGACTGGAACAGATATCAAACAGCTTTTGAACAATGGTGTTACCGAGGTAGTCACTGGCAAGTTCCGGAAGCTCGTCCAGCATTGCCAATGCCAGCTCTTCAACCTCTTGCTGAGAAAGTTGCTCTGAGTCGATGGCCTTTCTGATTTCGCGGAGTTTAGGAGAATCAAACTCACGAAGTCCGAGTTGGCCAGGCAACGGACCGAGACCCTCTTTCTGAATTTCCCTTCCGTACCTCACAGAATTCTGTAAAATCCTCTGGAGGTGTGTATAGTCCAGTTCAGATCCTCCAAGAGCGCCTACAACGCGAGAGAATTCATCGTCTCGAAGATACTGGCCGGGGAGTCCGTTCCGGTCTTCCGTTGGCAGTTGCTGGTGAGTATGTTGCTTAGGCTGTGGTTGTTGTTGTTGATGCTGTTGTTGCTGTTGCTGCTGAATTGGCTGAGTTGGAATAGTCTGCTGCTGCTTTGCAGTGAAATCCGGAGAAGGGGTATCACGTATACTCAATATTCTCGCGAACGAAACAATACAACTCAATCCAGGGACCAGCTCCTGGTGATTCAAAGAAGCCTTGCACTGCATTGCACTCTCGATACTTTCGAACTCCGTCAGGACTATCAGATCACCATTAGTGCACACCAAAACCCGAACACTTGTCAACTTTCCGAAGCGACCGAGCATCTTGTAGAAGTTCAGCGGGGTGACGAGATCATTATTGGGTAAATTCACCAGCACCAACGTGTTGGTGGGACCCAGTGAAGAGTCCTGAAAAGTAGATGTGAAGGTTACCTTGTCCTGAGGAATCCGATCTACCAAAAGAGGGTAATCCATGATCCCCACGGTTTCCATTGGAGCGGCAATATTGCTGAAGTTGAGACTGGCAACGTTGTTCAAAGGACTGGTAGAATACGTCTGGGCACGTGGCCGTGGATCATATTCCGCGGAGTACTCCTCCTGGATGGTAGAAGGCGACGCAAATTGCTGGAGATGGATCTGTTTATCGAATAACGCCGCGTTTGTAGAGTATGACCTGGTTCTGGCCGGTGAGTCGATGTTCAGTTGAGGAATTTGAAACGCAGAAGACTCTGGTATCGCAGGAGCAACTGCGTGAAACGGCGACTGTTGAGGCTCATTCCATATTGAGCTCTGGAATGAAGAAGACCTCAGTCTTGTCGGAGTGGACAGAGCAGAAAGGGCAATTGGATGAGAAGAAAACGCATCCATGGGGTTTAGACTCGGACTCGGAGATCCAGCCGCAAACAACTGTTGCTGCTGTTGCTGCTGATTCGAGCTGAAACGCGAGGGAAGGGTGCCAGATCGATGCCGAGTCCTGCTACCGAGATTGGTATTTGTCGGTCCGTCTGCCGAGAGAAAGCCAAAATCAATCGGCTTATTGGCACCTTGCGAATGGGAAGAAATCACCGAAGGCGACCTTGAAGTGGACGACGAAAGCAACGACGGCGACACGATCGAGGAATCCAACAAGGGAGACACTTGGAGCCCAGGCGACAACGGATGGTCACCAGTCTCGGTCGGAAGCTGGAGATATGATCCGGAGGGCAGCATATTTGTGGAAATAATTGAGCCAATCACAGCCAAATCGCTATTAAGGCCTGTCTGAGCAACCTGGACAACACTGGACGAATCTAGGGCACTTTAAAGGGCGGGCGGGCGGTTAGTCCTTGTTGAGGTATTAACTGAGCAGTGAAGACACAGGATCGGTTCGTCCTAGCCGTGGTAACCGTCTGTCGGACAGAGTGTCAAAGAGGGGACGTGTGTGTGAGAATTTAGCAGCTCGGCTTTTTGGAACCTGCGCGAAAAGGAATGAGGAACTCGAATTTCTCTGATATTCTTGTTGGCAGGGTTGTCGAAAAGGGGAGTATTTCCGCGGTATCAAAAAAAATTGTATTATCGGTTGTGGTCGTTGAATGATGTCGTGGCTCGTTTCTCGAAAGGAGGCCGAGCAGCTGAGCCTCCAGGGCCCTACAAAATGCCCGTATTAGGTAATGAGGATGGGGAAGGCGTCTGCCAATAGTTGTTGGGTCAATTGGAGCTGAGCCGGTAGTTGCCTGTTTAGGAAGTGAAGTAAGAAGCATGGAACGGTGGATCGAAACGGGATCTATAAAAGGTGTATGGGATAGGTAATCGCGTTGGGTTTGTGGATATGCCTTCTAAGTGGTTAGCGGTATATTTAAAGGGTCCAGCTTTTGAATTTGCCGCTCCGTTACTGCTACAGATCAGTAAGTGAATGCGTGGAATGAGTGTCAATCCTTCTATGGAGTGTCTGCTGAGATAAAATGTCTGCTGAGAGCCTATGCTGTGAAGACTCTAAAAATGTCTTCTGAGTGTCCTGCAAATTTTGTCACTTATCGTCTGTTACCTCCCCCTGCTTTTCGCTCATATTGCCCACTTAACATGTCCACATGTAATACCAATCGCTCGATTGCGAGTATTCGCACTTCAAAACCCGCAACAACCTCGGCTCAAGACTCAGTTGCAACCACCGGATATGCATCGCTATATCAACGTTTGATCTTGCAGTCCAAATGCGAACCGTCTCTTGACCAATCAGCCGAAGATGCTCCAAGAACATCCGAACCTCTCTCAATTCACACGGCAAAACCTGTTGATCTGAGTCACACTTGATTACAAATTGATGTATGAGCCAGGCGCTTGAAATATTGCATTAGTCTCTTCAAAGTTAAAGAAAAAAGGTCTCTACTCACTCAAATGTCCCTGCCACAGCTTCTAGACACTGCTCTAGCCGATCCAACACTCTGGGCTCCTCCTCGCTAACCGAGGTATGGTCATCCTCTTCAAACGATTGGTGGAACTCCTTAAGCACGTTATTCATGGCGGTTTGTGTTATTTCAACCAAGCCGCACTGAAGTTTAGGCGGCCCGCCATATCTTAAATTACCGCCCCGTAGCGCCGCACTTGCTTCGCGGTTGGGTCCCGCACGTCTAGTTATGCAATTTATGCAAAGCAGCAGGCCCCTTGAAGATGTTTCGGATTAGTTCTTGATCTTTGTCTTTGTATTTTATTGTGTATGTTTTAATGTCGGAAGAGAACAGAATAAGACAACAAAACAAAATCAAGGCTCTCAAGCTAGAGAGAATCAATCAATTCAACCAGAGACTGAGGTTAGACCTGTCACGAGATAGAACAATGGCATCATCACGGTGTGTCGAGTGAGTGCTTGTTTTCACTGAATTATGATATAATTTTTTACTAACACCATTTGTTATCAGAATAATCAACTACTCTCAAGATACAAAGGATTATATGGTGACACAGCTGTGGGGAGAACTGCCAGACCATGTTTCAGGCTACAGCCAAGCCAAAGCAAGAGCCGCCAAAAGAGCGTATCCAAGACAGGATGACGGCTGTTGTTGTATTACATGATGTACGATTTTCCTTTGACTCAATTGCAGCTTCTTTCCTTTTTTTTGCGAACATTTTGTTCAACTCTTGACTACTCTTTTTATCTCTGTGAACCCCTTTCCTTCCCGATTTGGACACGCTGACGTCTGCTGGGCATGCACATCGCTTTTGTGCAGCGCCTTGCGCATAAGCCGCCAAAAGTTTTGACGCTCTTTATTGCGAAGTGCTCCTAAAACGAATCCCACCACCGACTGTGCCGAGTCCAACGGGTTTGTTTTATGCCACATTTGAGAATTCAGAGCTTTCCACAAAGAGTACGCAGAGTTGGGTTTCTCCAATGGTGAATGCAGTACATGCTGCCGGATGCACATTAAGCCCTTATTGGAGTGTGGAGCTCCATTTATCGACGACCTTCAGTAAAACAATATTTTACCGTTGGTCATAGACAATCAGACGAAGTCCATCAATTTATGATTCTACAATCTTTTGAATGAGTAGTGTTTTGTGTTAAAATGTCTCAAGTTATCAGGCGGAATAGTGAAGGGGCTGGCGCTAAGGCCGTTGCTCGCTTGTGGATCTAATCCGGTGCGACGAATGGAGTTTTGAGGTGAAAGTAACATGAAGAGAGAAGATGTCTCCGAGAATAGAAGATTCGTGAAGAAGTGGTGAAGTAGAAGGGATGTTTTGAGAATAGGGAGGGTAGGAGAGAAAGTGAATGGACGAGTGAAAGGATAGCTGTTGAGTAAGTTATCAGCTATCAAATCCCCATCGACCTTATCCAATCCTGGACAAAGTCCGCGCTCCTGAAATATTTCTTTTCCCTGTACTTCTCATAGATGGCTGGGTGGTGTTTCTTTGGATTGCGACAAGCGTCTAGCATGGCATCCGCAAGTGGAATCAGTTGCTTCTGGGTGTATCCAGAGTAAAAGACATGGGCAGAGGTCCATTCTCCGCGTTCCAACATCCGCCTCGACAGAAAGTGCGCACCAGATGCAAGCCAGCTTGGTTCCGATGCCACGAAACGCGCGTCCATTATGCAAATTTCGAGGAAATATTTGGCCAAAGTGCGGACCTCATTGTCATAGTCGTCCGCTTTTGAAGTTCTCCTCAAAAATGACATTGGCCCGGGCCATCCCATGTCAAACTCAAGGATGTTGATCATGAAGGTTTCTGCGCGCAAAATGTCCTCGGTGCTGAACTCGTGTGAGATCATATAGGCTATGTCTTTCACCGAGGGACAGTTAATCTCTTCGTATTTGGCTGCGATGAAGAGAGCTACTGCTCCTACCAGCTGGAATCTCGAAAGCGAGACCATTCTTCTGCTTAGAAACCTGTCAATGCAGTTGACGGTCAGGTACAGAGTTTCGGGCAAAAGCTTGAATCTTTCGTGGATTTGCACAATCCAATTGATCAATGTGCTTCTCGATTCCCAGGTAAGCTCATCTTGTTGAGACATGTACTTGGCTCCTGGTTGGAACTTGATCTCCAATTCGTGGAGATATGCAAAAATTTCAGGCGCATACTCGGTCACCATCGTCACGTCGTAGTTATCTTCGTCATCAACATCAACTGTCCGCCTTGAGAATTCCCGCAAAACCTGTTTTAGCTCACCATAGATCTCCTTATCCCATTGGGGGGACAACGGCTCCACGTCGAGCTCCTGATTATCAGATGCGCTTTCCTCGTCCAATTCGTCGGTCATCTCTTCGATTGGCACTGCCTTGGACACATACTTGCTCCTATTTGCCAGGTTCGTTTTGTCGGCCAGTGGTCTGCGAACCGCTGCATTCGTCTCGGATTTCGAGATGGTCGAAAGTGCGGTTCGAACTCCGGGTGCGACATTCTCCTTCGAAAGCACCGCCCGTGCCCGCAACTCCGGGGCATTTTCGTTCTTGGAAGCAACACTTGTGTACCTGTCCATTGTGTGACTATTTAGATGCAGTAAGGTAGAAAAAACGTCTTGTGAAGGCTAAGAGTCTCAAATGTTCAAAGGCCGAATATGCTTAGTTCGCAATATTTCGGTCGGATTCTCGCAGTATTGTGCTGCTCAGAGCCAAAGGTTCGGATAGAACAAACAACAAGACACGACTGCTCTTGAAGATTAGGAAAATGCGAACGAGTCAGTTTTCTCTGCAAGAAAAAGGGATGCAAAGGGGCCAGGTGCAAATGGAAAGAAGCGAATGACTGAGAAATCTGTAACAAGCCAGCAGCTTTACCGTTCAGAAATCTTGAGCACGAGGCAATTGATACCGGTTTTGACGAGCAAAAGAGAGGTATACAGCGGGTGTAACATTGACAGGAAAGAGAAGAAAACACAAACAAGCGCTTTGTTGATCTGGCGGGCTGTCGTGCGCTAACTGAATCAGTTTGTTTTTGTTTTTGTTTCGATTCGTGTAGGTTGCGCACGACTGTTTTTTGCGTTGTTCTGAGCCTTGCCAGCCGTGATATCGGTATGCATTGAGTGTTTAAAGCTAGTTTTTATCTGAAATCAAGAGTTGATATATGAGCTTAAGGAACTTTTGTTGCTTTTGACGATATTTTCCCGTGTTGATGGCATCATACACAGATGTATCGCAAAAACACGGTGCGTGCATAATCCAACGCACGCCGCACTGTTTGACTAAGCACTGGTACTCGTAAAATGGGGTTCAGTTTGGTTGGAATTTTGCAGAAATCCAGTTTTGCATGGAAACTTGGTAAACCCTACAACCAAATTTTGCAAAAATTCGAAGTATTCAACTCAGAGGCTTACAAAAAAAAGAGAGAAGAGTTGAGGTACCAATGTCAAACATCTTGCAACCTTCAATACTGATGGGGATGTCATGGACTTGCAATCTTTCCTTCAGCAAACCAAGAAAGATAAACAAAAACAGCAAAAACCCACTAGAAGCTTTCATAGACTCTCAACCCATTCACGCAATGTTCTTTCGCTTTCCCTTTCAAAAAACTACCACCTTATACCTCAATCTTGTTTATCTCCAGATCAATCCTGAATTGGGGCTTTGCCTTTTTGGGTAGTTTATTGGTTATCGCACTAAAATAATCATGTGTGCAGGCTAATCTCCATCTTCGCTTACTCCAAGGCCTCGGACTGTTGGGCAACAACATGGAGTTAGACCGGATAAACCATTGTGTTTTTCTGGTGTTTTGCTTCTTTGTTTTGCCATGGATGGTATGTATATTCTCTGAGCCCTTTGAATAACCCAGCTAACGATTTCAGACCCCTTGCGGACTTCTTTGAAGACGATCGAACGCGACAAGCAATACATACCCGCCAACCATGCAGTTGGTTGGAACATTCTCACTAAACATATTACTTGCAGGATAAAAAAAGTGAGTTGATGCAAATGTAAATAAGAAAACTCATTTTACTAACATTTGCCTAGTTACCGTCCTACTTTGAAGCGGATGGAGCGTACAGAATACCGAACCCGATGCTATCGGAACACGAGATGCATGAAACACTTCAGCAACTGGCTGATAGAATAGCCAGCCAGTTTGAAGCCGGGTTTCAGAAATCGCCACCATTCACAATCCAGCGACTTGCGTCCTTGCTGCTTGAAACCGAGGTGCCGTTGGTGCCGGAGCCGAGCAGGGAACAACAGGTTAAAAAGCATCTCACAGATCTAGAGAGGAACGTTTACGTGAGGACGACCGTGGAAGAAGTTGAGAGTGAGGAAGAAAATGCTAGAAGATTACTCGGAGACGAAACAGACGATGCTGAGACTTTGAGGAAGCCAGTGGTGGCTATAGGTCCAGCTAAATCTGGAACGCTCAAGGCGGTTTCAGTGCAGCCAAATCCGGGAAAACCGACAACGCTTTTTATGACTAAGATAGACTGGTTTTCCGAGCGCACTGATGCTGATCCTGAGGAGGATCAGGAAATAGAAACCAAAGCGGAACCTCTGGAAACCGTACTGTCTCCGAAAAAGGTGTCTGCTGACCAGCTAGATGGTGAGAGAGTCATCAAGCGGACAAAGAGTTTGCTGATAAGTACAGAGCATGAAGAAAATGCCGATATGAGCATTGACCAAGCTTTGGAAGAAGGCAATGAAGGCGGTAATGGAAATGCTGCAGAAGACGATTCAGGCGCAAACGTTGACATCGATGTCTCGCGGGACGAGCTCAGGGACGTGTCACCTGTATGAAACAATGAAAGTAGTTGGGTGGAAAGTTTTCGAAGACAGCTTATGTTCGAAGATGGACGCCGCTTTGGGAGGGTTACTCAGCCGCACCGTCTTGAACCGTGCCACAGTGGCGCGGATTTGTCACCGGTATCTAGAGTGTAGCGTTAGGGTGTTTGATTAATCTGTTAACGTTACCTACAATGTGATTCTATTTTGAGCGCACTTGATTAGTTTCGTTTATTTAAGCGTTTCGTTCACCACGGTCTCGTAAGTGGGAGGGTTGACACTTCCGTAGTTTCTCTGTGGGGCGCTCTCCTGCTGGGGTTCCAGAGAAGGTGAGGCTTGTGGAGAAACAGTGACATAATGGTAATGATTGTTGATGTGATTGTGAGTTTGGTAGATTACCTCTTCCTCGTCAAACCTTTCACGCCTGGAGATGATATACCACGAGTGTATAAGACCGGGGAAGTATCCAAGCAGGCATAGCAGCAGGTTGATCAGCACATCACAAGAACATAGACCGGAACGGATAATCACTGGCAGAGGTGGAAAAATGATCGATATGATCACGAGTATACAGTCGCAGTACATTGAGGATATTTGAGGCGCAATATAATGAACGATTTGGGATAAGTGGTATATGTGAAGATAAGTCTAGATAACAGGATTTCTAGGCGGCCTTATAAGCCTTTACAGTCCGCCACTGCCAGATTTGACCGGCTCGCCGTGTGAATTTCTTTTTAGTAGTGCACCACCCAACAAATTTTGATTTATTCGTGTAACACCCAATACATTCAACCCTCGAAGTGAGATGCTTTACCGCTAGAACGTACGATTGGGTGCCAACTATAATACATTTTGAGCGAATATGTGATAGCAGGCCAGGCCACAACCTTGTCCACTGCATCTACTATAACCACGGTTTTTCCCAATGGCTTTCTGCCCAAACCCTGCTTGATGTCCTTAGCGCAAGAAGTGTCTCGGGGTGAGTGCCAGTGAATTTGGGTGTTACTACCGCTGCACACTACTGCAGCCCATTGTTATCTCAATAAATACTTCAAGTCGAGCAAATTGTTTAATCCACTTTTGATCTCCTCAAGTTCCCGGATCGGTTAGATATAGACCTCATCATGTCTGGCGCCTCTGTCTCGTATGTTGACATTATGCCCCAAAGGGGAAAAATCAAAATATGCCCGATTGGGCGGTAAACGCATCTTCTCGAAACCCCCAAACATACACAGAGAGCTACAAGCCTTCCACCACTCGGCTTGAATTAAATTAGCTGGATAGCGCCCTTTTCACTTGTGGAACCCCTTATATTCTAAGAACTCACACCCGCCATACCCAGACTTCTGGAACCCAGCGTGATCGCCAAAAACCTGAAACATTTCGCTAAGCGCCGAAGTAAATAGACGCTCAAAAACTGCAGAATTGTTTCAACTCGTCGTTTCCATAGAGAATGGCAACGTCTCACAATGATTCAGCCATGCTTGCTGAGAAAGAACACTATCAACATAAGCATTCCGCGATAGATGACATGTTTGGCGTTGAAAACCGGTCGGTGGAAATGCTCATAGAGGAGCTCAAATCCGAATCTTTGCTCCAGATCTCCGACGATTCAGAAAATTCCATTTCTATGGACAAGTCTCCAACCAAGCCACTGAATATCTCAAGAAGCGAAATCAGTCTACACAACGTGCTGGATGACGATGGTTTGCACAGGAGCGATAGCAAACTGAAAGGACCTAGGAACCTCCAACAGACACAGAGCTCTCCAATGGCAAAAGTCAAGGGTCTCAAAGTTTCGGCTACACCTTTAGTTTCGCCTTCCAAAAAAGTGCAGATTGATTTTAGTCCTCCCAAAGTGATGGAATATGACCAGATGACCAGTGAGGAAGAAAACACATCCAGATCCGGTGATGAAAACGACACTTCTGAGTCTTCGGCTACTGAGCCAGTTCACCAATGGGCTGCTTCTCCTTCGAGGCCGTTCTCAGAAAAAGGACTTCACGGAAAGCCGCTTCCTCCAATAAGACCGTCTCCCTCAGACATTTCTATCAGGTCCATGCCCAACATGCGTTTCGAGAACTCGATCATGGCATTGCACTCTCCTGAAAAGGTTTCCAACCAATTTAATTCTAGCGATGATTCAGGAGCTTCCGAAGATGTTTCGATGACTGCAGACGACCTTATTTTCCAGCAAAAGAAGATCCCAATGGAACAGAGGCTCAGTGCCATGCTTGAAAGCCCCAAGTCGAAAGAGGTGCTAAATTTTGATAACGACAACTACTTAGAAGACGAGCGTCTTGGACTTTTACGCCAGAAATCTGATGTGAGGAGGAACAAGAAAGGGAGAGAAACGTACTTGGATGATGTCCTTCTTCATAAGATCAAGATTGATGACGAGAACCAGGAACTTGGTCCCGAAGATCTCGGGGATCTTTACGAACCCGATGTGAGGAATACGAAGGGAAACCAGTTGACTCTTTGTCTGGAAAAGACTACCAGCCACCAATCTCAGGCATCCATGCTCTCCACGGAACGCAATCTGGAGACGACGGACGGTGGTTCCGTTGCTAAACCAATTTCGCTGAAAGACGGAATGAAAGGATTTTCAGACGAGCTACTCCTGGAACTGGTACAAGCTCCTCAAAGTGCTCAATCTTCTCAACAAGTGAAAGAGACCGTTGAAATTGATAATGTCAAGCCTCTGGAGCCTCCGTTCTCTGGTCAAATTTCAACCCCTCAGACGCATGAGCGTAAATCCTCGGTCTCCTCGGTTCTTTCTCCCAGTAAAGTGGGCCAGTTCTTCTATGGAATGGGCAAAAGTGTTTCCACGCGGTTCTCGGGAAATGAAACGAAAGACACCGGTAATGAGGCCGATTTGTCTGGAAATGGCATTGCCCACACAGGCAATGCTAGTCGCAATGTCAGCATCGCCACAGCTAACGAGTCCATAGTGTCTCAGAGTGAAGCTGATTCGGACTACAAATCTGCCGAGGAAAACTTTTATTCGTCGGAAGACGAAGAATTTGGCCCGATTATTGCGAGTCGGAATGCCAACTCCGACACCTCGGGCTTGACAAAAAGTAGCACACTTCAGGATGTCTCCAAGGCTGCCTTTTCTGCTGCTGACACTGAGGACGATAAGACAGATACTGAGTTTAGTGGAAATTCCACCGAGGAATTGCTGGTGGTTAATAAGCAGAGACTGCTGAACCCTGCCGATATCTCTGAGGACCATCTCGCCAACTCTACCGAAATCAGTGAAGAAAACCACGAGGGAAATTCAGAATCTACTATAGACATGCTGAATTCTGCAGATTTCCGTCTAGAGGTTCCTCGTTTCGACGATGACCCACACGCTTTCTCGGTGGACTTGGAACCAGAGCAAGACTCAAGCTTGGAGTCTATAAAGAGGAGTCGTCACAGAACCAGTGAGATCTGCCACGAGGTGTCTCCAAAGCAGGAAATGCTTTCTATCTGGCAATCGCAAAGATCTCTGAGGAAAGTTTCACCAAAGCTGGTGGTGATGGAGAAGCCCTCTCCCAAACCCGTTTTCCCCACGCGAAAGGTATCACCAAGATCTGTCAACGTTGTTCAGCAGCGAATAGTATCAGTGGAAACAAACAAGCATGCAGATACGTCTGTTGCCTCAGTACAAACAGCACCAACCAAAGCTTCTCGTGTGGTCTCGTTGGGTCAGTTCATTGATCTACCTGGTGACCAGGACTTTGCAGACCAATTCAGGAGTTGGATGGTAAACGAACTCAGTCAAGAAGATGATGAGGATGAAAAAGTCAAGTTCCTTAATGCCGATTTCAAGTCTCCTCATCTCATCGAGAAGAACGGGTCTGTGGCTCGCATATGGAGGAATGGCACTGTTTCAGAGAAGCAGAATCCTTCGTACAAGTTGAGAAGCCAGAAGCTCCAAGCTGCAGTGGAGAAAATGATGGAGACTAAAGATTCGGAATTGACCTTCAAGACTGCTCAGCCCGTTGCCAAGGTTACTAACAATGCTCATGGAGCATCTCACAAGGGCCAGAGCGGTGAGTTACTGAATCTGGATTTTGGAATTGAAAATATCACCAAGGGCATGAATTCATTCGAGGTGTTTGAAGACAATTCTCCTACACCAACTCCTGTTGCTCAACGCCAGACCGTACCCGCAGGAGCGGGACATAATTCTGCTGCATCTCGTTATGCAGGTCTGGTTCCACAGGCGAGAAAGGGCCTGAGACCCTTGATTCCTACGGATCCAAACCGGGTAAACTCTACTAGTGGAGCAGAGTCTTACAAGTCGAGTAAAGCAATTGTGGAGGAAGCTGTTCAGTCTGAAGTTCAGCCTGAAGAAGAGCCCCGGCTGGTAAACGGTGAGTCTGGAAGATTGTTCGTGAGGCTGGTTGGGCTGGAAGGATTGCAATTGCCAGGAGTCAAGGACAGAGACGCAGAATTTTGTGTTGTTCTCGACAACGGAATTCACACGATCAAGACCAAATACTTCAAGCTGTCGCAAAGTATTTCTACTGTAATTGAGAAAGAGTTTGAGCTGATAGTTGCTGATAAGCTGGAGTTCATCATCACATTGAAAATGCGATACTCCAAGCCAAAGGCCAAGCTCGTTGAAGTCACAGAGACAAAGACTGTCAAGTCCAAGAATAAGTTTGCTAGATTGTTTGGGGCCAAGGATATAGTCACCACTACCAAATATGTGAACAAAGCGGCAGAGAACGATCCTTGGGATAGTCTGTTTGCTGCGGATGGCTCCTTTGCGCGTGCGACCATGTCGTTTGACGATTACAAAAAGGCGGCTTGGGGAAAAGTCCAGTCCACGGCGGTTCCATTGCTGAATGAGTGGAAACGGTATGGTGGAAAGCGTACAGAGCCTTATACAATCGGCAAGCTCCAGACAGAGCTTCTGTTCATACCGCGCACTCTTAAGCACGAGATCTTACCGGCTAGCATCAAAGAGGCACTTGAGTTTGTTCAACAAGCTCGTGAACAAAGCTCTATATCACACGAAGGATTTATGTTCCAGGAAGGTGGTGATTCTCCTTACTGGAAGAGACGTTTCTTCAAGCTTCAGGGCACAGACTTGATTGCACACCACGAAACGACATTGAGGCCAAGGGCGAGAATCAACCTCAAAAAGGTGGTTGCTCTGGACTATTTTGGGAAAGATCAGGGCTCTCAGGATTCATCTCTTGCCGAGTTCAGACCGCCCCATAAAACTATGGCTAGTCTTTCGTCGCGCAACTTCAGTGATACCCTTTTGGTGAACGACGGCTTCAGGCTCAAGTTCTCGAACGGCGAGACAATCGACTTTGGTGCAGATACCAAAGAGGAGAAGAGTGAGTGGATCCAGCTGGTGGATGAGGTTACTGCGCGCAATAACTTTGTCAAACAGCCTTGGATCCAACTGATGTTGGCTAAGGCCTAGACGGAGGAGTATTATTATTGTGTAACTTTGTACAACTGGACGATTTTGATTTTTTCACAGAATCCAGGGTAGATAATGGCGTAAATACTGGTTTAACCCTCCAGAGATAAGACCGGAGGGCCATTTAAGGCTCCATCAATATCCATGAATATGGGCCAAATATTTAAAAAAAACTGCCCTGGTATATTTCTGTAATTGGAAGACGCCCGTTTAATGTTTTTCGATCGAAATTTGACCGGAATTGAGTGAATAATCATGGATATCTCCATTCATGCACTGCCAAATTGCTACACTATCTCCTCATATCTTGGTCAGATATCTGAGAAAAATGAAAAATCTCGGTTTTTTGAAAAAAGCTCATGATTCCAAGAAGTTTGCGTAAAACCAAACAAACAGTAAAAATACTTCCTTACACTAGTTCTTTATCCATTCTAAGACATTACAGCATCTTTCCGTTCATTTCAGGGAGTCAGCAATAGAGAGATTGTTTAGGAGAGATTATCATCGGCTAGCTTGCATCATTTAAGGCTTGGTAATGCTTGGTAATGCTTGGAACCATTGTCTAAACACAAACACAACAGATTTACACCGTCAACGACTCATATCTCCAAGTTTGGCTCCGACATGAACATTAAAGATTGAACGCTTATCCCCGGCCACGAGTGCACTGCTTATCACGAGAAACAACTTTGTCTTTGTGCGTACATGGCACAGACAATAGTAGTGTTTGAAACAATGTGACAGCTCCGGGAATCAGTCGGAGTTTGTCCGAACACAAACCATGATTTACGCTCTGGTTTATGATTAGTTTCAATAGTCTTAAAGCCGGTGTAGTCGCATTTCTTTTCTATTCTCTTCGGGGTATATCTGAATCATACGACGTCATGCGACAGTAGTTCCCGCGAAAGACCACCGGCGCTCGCCGGGAGCTTGCGCTGCTTCCCGATGAGGCAATTCTCGGTGCGGCCGATTAGCTTTGAGGGCTTACTGCTTTGGGCGACCTGCCGCCTTATCGGCATGCCTTCATACTAAAACGGCTGCTTCGAGCACGGTTCGATAGCGTATATATATATTGTGGGATCCCCTGAATGCTTGTACTGAGAACAGAATAAGACATCAAGAATTTATTTTCAATCAATCACAGCATCCACATATCATTCTATAATGCCAGTGTCAGTACAGCTCGAAGTGACCCCTTTGCCAGAACAGCCATTTGGTGCCACAGTTACATTGCCCGCAGGGATCACAGACCCTTCGAAGCTTAGCGACGAAGACTTCAACAAGCTCAGAGAGGCTCTGCATTCCAATCTGGTGTTGGTCATCCCCAACCAGGCTGATCTGCCCCCAGCCTCACAGCACGCCTTGACTTCGCGCTTTGATCCTTCTTGCCAGGGTAATTATGGCCATGACGAGAAGCTTTTCCATCACAAGAGCTCGATCCTCGCCAAAGACGGAAAATGCATTCCAGACAGACCAGAGGTCATCATGGTGGGTAACGGTGATTTTGAGGCCGGACATGCTCCTGGTATGAAGGCCTTTGACCTTGAACACCCCACACACCATTCATTCCATAAGGACGTCCTCAGCCCCGAGGAAGTTGCCGCTGGTCAGACCCGTTTCTACAGATGGCACATAGATTCAGCTCTCTACGGATTGGCACCACCAATGGTGACTACTCTGCTCGGAATCCAGGTTCCACCCACCACTGAGAAACAGACCATTAAGTACACAGACTCCAACGAGGAATTTGAGCTTACCAAGGGTGCAACTGCTTTTGCCTCTGGAGCAACGGCCTTTAAGCTTTTGAGCCCCGAGGACCAGGAATTCGCCCTTAACACGACTGTCGTGTATGCGCCGCACCCATACATCTACATCTCGGAAACGAAAGCCACATCGGACGGTTTGACCATTGTTTCGGAAGGAAAGGAGAAGACGTTTGACCAATTGCCAGCGTGGGAAGAGGACAAAATCAAGAAGCTGCCTCTAGTGTGGACGAATCCTACCACCAAAGAGCCACATCTCCAGGTGCACGGTTGTTGTGTGTGGAAGCTAATTAACAACAAGACCGGCGAGGTGATCGAACTTGAAGAGGCACGCAAGCTGGTACATAAGTTCATGAGACCAGCTATTTCTCCAAAGCACATCTACGCACACCCTTGGAAGAAGGGTGATCTAGCAATCTTCTTCAACAGGGGAGTTTGGCATACAGTAACTGGTGAGTTTGATCCTGAGGAAAGGAGACTCATGCACCAGTGCAACATTGCCAGTGGTGAAGACCCACTCTGCTTGAATTAAAGCACAACGATGACTACGATAAGTAAATGAGATTCAATACACACTTTTTTTTCCATTATGGTTAATCTTTTACATAAGCAGCAATTGTTTTGAGGTGTTTGAAGGTAGTGTGGCTGACCTAAAAAGCTCATATCTTTTACTAGACCTCAAAGTATGTTCGTGAAGGTCAAATATAGTACGTGACATATTTCCAGAATCATCCACTATCCAGTCACTACTTTCGATTCATTCTTCTTAGTGTACACAAGGCAAATATACGCTCTTCTCAACGCTCTCGGTCTCGTCTTGACCCGGACGTCTGGTGTTCCATCTGTCTGTCATTCCTCTCTCGCTGGTCTATTGGTCTTGGAACAGGCGGTAGATCCGGCTGTGGAGTCCTGCCAGGCATCCTGGGCAGTCCATTATTGGACCCGTACCCGTTTCCCTTCTGCATTCCCATGGGCATTCCCATGGGCATCATACCCATTGGCGGCATATTGGGCATATTGGGCATGTTGGGCATATTAGGCATATTAGGCATATTAGGCATATTGGGCATATTGGGCATGTTCTTGAAATTGAAGCCCTGAGGAGGAATTCCCATCATTCCAAAAGGTGGGACACCCATCTCCGCCATGTTTGGCATCGTTGGCGGAACAAACATCTTGCTCTGCATGATCTCGCTCATCACCTTTGAGGGGTTGAATTCTGCGTGTAATTTGTCCTGCTTGGAACAGTAGTAAAGCCACGATATCTCGTCAAATCCGTAGTTAAAGTAATCGGATACATCTGCTCCAGGCAACCTCCACGGCTTCTCCTTGAGTTCGTCCCAGGACAATTGTGTAATTGGTTTTCCATTGTAATCTGCAATCACATCCACATTTATAGTGGAACCAGATCCGGTGGTAGCAACAGCAGTAGCAGTAGCTTCTCCACTTGCCACCTCCTCTTTCGTCTCGGTGGTAATCTCTTTGCTAGGCTTGGCCTCAGTCGAACCAATGATGAATTCTACATCAGAGTCCGATCCGTCATCAGACCCATCTGACGAATCATCGTCGTCATCGTCATCATCATCACCAGAGGCTTCCTCCCTGTTTTCACCATCTGCCTGTTCTAAATATGGTCGTTAGTATGTCAGTGCTTGTCAGGGCAGTAATGATGTCCAACTTACCTATCGTTATCGACGTTGATTGTTTGGGTTCATCATCGTTTTCGGAACCATAAAGGAACTCGTCATCATCTTCATCAATTGCATTCGGCATAGTTTGCTTTTGTGAGAGAGATAGGAATCGTGTTTGAGGGCAAGCTGGTGATCTTGTGGTGTTGGAAGCATAGGTCTTTTTGGTTGTGAGCCCTCTCAAATGCAGAACTTGGCCTGTGCACGAACTACCAGCATACCCATGAGAGGTCAGAGTCACACTTTGGCCCTTGGAGTTGGCGTTGAATAAATATTTGAGAAGAGTTTCATTGTTCAGGTAATTGATTAGTCGGTCTTCAGTATAATTCTTTGGATTTAAGTATTATGGGAGGCTGTGTTGGGTGAAATCTTGTTGAAATCATTGGTGAACCATTGATGGATCAAATGCTAAAGCTAGTTCTAGGTGTAAATCTATGGCCAATGCCGATTCCTGGTTTCCTTCTCACTTTCTGGAGAAGTAACCGGTGATTAGTTCAAGGGGTCCCAGATGTCGTCACTGGTTTAACGGAATCCATCCGTATGTAGCCTCTCTTTCGGCAAGAACAACCTTCCATCTAGCCATTGGAGAAAGTCCCACATACTTATTGAGAGCGAGTTTGATGAACTTCATAAAGTAACGTTGGTGGTTGTTTGGGTTTGCGGCGAGCTTCGCGATAAACTTGGTATTCTGCCGAAGACAAGCAAGTGCGCGGATCTCTTGGCGAGTCTGCTTGTGGGTGTCTATGATCTCTGGACCCAGATCAAGGTTTAAACCGGCTGGAGGGTCTAAAAGTGGAAAATTGGATCCAAAGAGAAAGCTAACGGGCAATGAAGTGACGTTATCGTCATCATCTTCGTCGTTTGCCTCTTTGTTTTCATCAACTGAGTGACCAAGAAGCTCAGGCTCGTCAAACGGGTTGGGGAAATTGGCCTGTTTCCAAATGGAACTGTCAATTCCACTTTTATTGGTGTTGAAATATCCATTCAGCACCATGTCATAATCACCAGAGACCTCTATCGGCCTATCTGTTTCAGAATCCCCAAGCAATGGCTTGAGCATCCAGCCCTCAACATTGTTAGGGCATGATCTAGGAACCTGCTGCTTGGCTCTGAGAGTGTGATCAGTGCATACGTGAAGCCTTCTCTTGCAACGCTTGTTGCGTTTCGTGATGACGCCACAGAGATGGTCTTTTACTGGCAGGGTGTTGTTGAGTTCTGCTGTTTCCGCGCCAAAATCTGGAGGTGGTTAGAGCTGATGGCAAACAGACTAATGAGCGAAATCAAAATCAACAAATGGTGTTTTGGGTCAAACCATACCATGTTCATCGGATTGCGGGGCGTCAGCATCCAGATTGACGTATTTGGAGAAGTCGTCTTCGTAAGAGGCCAAGTCCATTTTACTAAGAGAAATGGCTAAAAGCGAATGAGGAAAACTGAAGGACAGTGAAAGAACAAGGAAAAAAAGGAGACTTTTCCGTTGTGAATCGCACAGAATCATTACATGTAACGTAACAAGCTTCTTTGGACTTCTTTTGAGTGTATCACACAGAGATTACGTATTGGCTTACGCGTCACGCGTTTAGGCGGAAATTATGCTCGCAGATTCTGCGCTGATTTTGATTTATGAAAAGAGAATCAGATATTATACAATTAGCCAGTAATATAAATATATTCGTTGATTGAAGTCAGGTCCTGTGAATTGGTAAACAGGGCTTAACCCCACAACATAGAATAAGAAGTGCACAAACAAATTACTGGCCGCATTCAAATCATTGTCCGCAATAACATCACGTGATATAGACGAGGGCTAGGGAGACCTCTTTCTCTTTCAGTTTTTACCTCCACACTACCCATCTCCGATACTCTGGTTCTTTTTTCATCCAACGAAACTTTGTTAGGACTCCTCTTGTAATACAGCATCTCCAAAGTTACGTCTAATTAACAAAAATGTATGTTATTCCATAGCAATGAGGTTCGAGAAATGAATGGATGAGAGAGGTCATTTTGTTATCCCTAGAAGACCGAGATCTAGAGTGCGAGGAAGTGGTCAAAGGATGTTCACAAGGTGTTGGACAAAAGTTTCCAAGAAAAGTTTCCAATAGTAGCCAACACACAGAAATATGCCACAGAGTTACCAGATGAAAGACATTTGAAATGTTGGCAAATATATTGAGCTATATCAGGCATCTTCGAAACCGAAATTCCAAGCAAAATTGTTGAAATCAAAGAAATCGCCAACAGCAAACCTGATGTCCATCTATCAACTCCATTCATTCCATCCGCTACACTATCACAAAGTCACGCTACTAACACCTACCAGGACCAAGAGAACAAAGAAGGTTGGAATCACCGGTAAGTACGGTGTCAGATACGGTTCTTCTCTGAGAAGACAATGTAAGAAGTTGGAAGTTCAGCAACACTCCAAGTACGACTGCTCGTTCTGCGGTAAGAAGACCGTCAAGAGAGAGTCGACTGGTATCTGGTCTTGCAAGTCTTGTAAGAAGACCGTTGCCGGAGGTGCTTACACCGTTTCCACCGCTGCTGCTGCCACCATCAGATCATCTATCCGTCGTCTGAGAGAATTGGCTGAGGCCTAAGTCTGGGTTATGATTATTGATAATATAATACAGTTTGCACAATAAAAGGAATCTACGAAGAAGCAAAGGCATGTAGTATGGCCCGTTTTGGTTTTTCACTGACAAATTTGAATTGAACCCCGTGGGTCGTGTACTCGGCCCTACTCTCGGTCCAAACAAAGTGACGTAATTCCGGGAGCAGCAGCAGGTCATCTAAGGCCCTCAGTAGAGGCTCAGGCATGGGTATAAAGGTGTAGCCGGATCCTGTTTTACAACTTAATTACACAACGAATCTCCTTCAGCCAAAACTTTCAACGCTAAGTTATTACAAATAAAATCCCCACATATAGAAATGGATTCAAAACAGCCCCAATACTTGCCTCTGGCAAACACAGTCAGCAAGCCATTTGTCATCCCAAACATTTCGCCAATTTCCCCAGATTTCAAACCCACTGAACAGAGTTCAGTGATGTCGCCCGTGGCGAGTCTGAATACCGAACTTCCGGGATTGAGAAGAACGAGCGAGTCTTCGCTAGAGGCGTTTGAACTTCACTGATTTATTCAAGTATGTATTTAGCAGGTTTCTCTGCTATGCATCGCCACCCGTGATAGGGTACCGGGTATGAGGTTGGTTTCGGAACGCTTTATTTTTTGTTGGAGCATTTAGTTATCTTTTATTGGAGTTCATTTTGTGTCATAAACTAGGTAACGGTTAGCATGAATAAAACATGAGCATGTCTTTTTGTCATCACATTATCTGTAGAACTCAGAATACTTGGCAGCGTAGTAATAAGTACTGAAACCACCAATCACAGTCAACATGATGGGAACCGGTTTTCTGATTCCGCCCTTAACCGTCAACAATCTGTTGATACCAGCTACGAACAAAAGGGTGGACGTACCCAAGGCGGTGTGAATTCCGTATTCCATGTTGTTCTTGAGCAAATAGCCTGCTGTGAGATACAGCGCGGAAACACTAGTTCCCGCAATCAATGAAGGGATAGAGCCCTTACGACTGAAAGAGTTAGTCAAAACTCCTGAAAGAAATCTGATAAGTTCCAGGTTGATAATACAACCCATTAAACCCTTATCCCCTAGCCACTTACATGTATCCCATGGCACCTCCGAAGAGGGTCAATCCAGCTAACGACCAACAAGGGTGATCCTGATCGGTTAGTATGTGCTGCACTGGTACTATAGTTTATTGAAAATGCTGCTCACCATTTTTAGTCAGTTATGAAGTTTTCTTTGATATGCTTCTTCAACCAGTCGTTGCCAGCGAAATGAGCCAATTTCTATCGGCAATAATAAGCTCATCACGTGAGCTACTATCCACCCTTCACATCTGACAGAACATATGTCCTTTTTTAGTATACACATTTAAATACCCGATTTATACCGATATTTCACCCGCCAGCTTGAAGACCTTCCTTTAACTCCACCTTGATGCTCTTGAGATGTTCCTTTGATTCTGAAGCCGCCTTCAGGCTCTTGCCACCCAAGGTCTTGTCCGCCTTGACTTCGTCCTCGCCACATCCACAATCATAGTCCTCCAGAATATGCGAGCAATCATAATCTGGCTTTTTCAAGTGCTCGTTAACCTTGTTATGCACGTGGCAGCCCCACACTGCCGCAGTCTTGCGAGATTTAGTCTGTGGAGGGTACTTCTCAAGCAGTTTAGCAAAGTGCCTAGCACAATCCCCGCAGGGATACACCTGTGCAAATGAAGTGATGTAGTTGATGAGATGCGTTTGCTGCTCTGAAGTAGGTTCATCAGGGTAACGTGCCAGAATCGTGTGGAATAGTTTCCAAGCGGCGTTGCCCAGCTCAGCTTTGAGAGTCTCGTTCGTCATTTGCGGCATAAATGGGACATTCGGATCGATTTGAACGTATTCCTTTGAACTCGTTTCATCCAGCGGAGTTGGCTCGGCCAGCTGTCGCGAATGAAGCGATTTGTTAGTGAAAAACACCGAAAACAGCACTACCATTGCCACCAGACAGATCAACACGTTGGAGTGTTTTTTGGTCTTGACCATTTTTGATTTGTAGCCCATGGTTGAAAAAAATACTTTTATAACAAGCAACCACTAGCAAACACACCAATAAACCAAAATCGTCCAAAATTTAAAGCAAAGAAAATCGATTAAATACCGAAAACTTGAACGCGATAGCGTGATTAAACAGCACAGAAGTGGAAGCACTCCCTCTGCCAAAATTCCTCGGCTGAGTTCACAAGGTCGTGTATGAGAACCAAGACATCAAAGTGCTACGGACAGCTTATCGCCCTTTAACCTTTGTGGAGTAGTTTTTCTCCCATTATTGCCTTAAATTTGCCAGGAGAAGACCAAAAAGAATGTCTAATAACAGAAAGATTCAGATCGACTCCTTCCAGGTGCAGAGTGCTAGGGAAATGGTAGCATTGACCACGCGGTCGCGGATACCGCAGAGGCCGGAGCCAACAAGGCTGCAGACAAGACCTCCAACGGTTTCGCAGCCAGAGTTTGAAACAAGCGCAAAAATGGATAGACAGCATACATGCTGCTCGTCCTCATCTTCCTCATCACCAGATTCCAATTTTAAGTATCCACACGTGAAGTTACCATCATCACATCCTCAATGCGACCAGTGTGGCCGAATTATAACGCCTTCACCAACCGCCACCCTTCCTATCAACGAAGCCCCGTCGATCCAGGTAGGCGATTGGAAGATATTCACTAGTCGGAAACCGATTCTCAATTCTGAGGAGCTCACGCAGTGGGAGGCTGATTTAAAGATTCCGTTGCCGGAGATGATATTCGGAAACAATGAGATCACCGTTTACAACGAACGACTACGAAAGGGTTTGAAATTCTGTGCTAAAGATGCGCTTAGCATGGTTGTGCTCGACCATGTTGATCTGAAAGTTTCGTATGCCACAGAATGGTTTTCGGCAAGGGAGCAGAAGCACAAAAATAACGAAGAGATAATGGGGAGCTACCAGGATTACGATTGGACCTACACTACCGAATACAAAGGAACTGTCTTAGAGGATCTCCGCTTTGCTGCCACGGAAGATCCAATTCCATTGGACAAACTGAGTTCCACGAAAGAGCCCATTTTGCTGTTTGACGATATGATACTTTACGAGGATGAGCTCGGTGACAACGGATGTAGCGTTGTGAGTTGCAAAATACGTGTGATGCCCAGTTGTTTATTAATATTGCAGCGGTTTTTTTTGAGGGTGGATAATGTGATTTTGCGAGTGTATGACACCAGATTCTACATTGATTTCGAGACCGGTTTGGTGATGCGCGAGTTTAAACAGCAACAGGAACATTTCAAGGATTTGGAGCCCGTCCTGGCGATGAGCAATAAGGGAGATCCGCGGTCGCTGTTGAGAGATGCCAATTGGGTTTCTCAGAATTTGAAGGTGGTGAAAGTGGAGAGGGAGGTGATGGTTTGAAGGTACTGGGTCCCGAAACGCGGTGCAGGGACGACGAATGTGTGATCAAGGCTTCTTCGGATAGGACCTGAACTTATAGTGTCTATTTTAGCACCAAAAAATCAAGTTTTTCGTATCTAATTTAGTACTCTTTCAACCCTGCTACTACTCCAAAAATCTGCCGGTTACGAGCCTTACTGCTCCACACACGACCACTTTCACACCTCAAGATCGAGTGGTCAACGAGATATGTTCATGTTCAGCACTCACTAGAACTCACATCATCGCAAAAATGTCGCTCGAAAGACTGCTGGAGATTCACAGATCTGGATTGTATGCTACATTACCGCTGCATCAAATAGATTCGGTGTATACGCTCACCAAGGCTACGTTGCTTACACAGCTGTCTGACTTTGAGAGATTCACACTGTTGGAGCTGCAATTCTATCTCACGTTGACAATGGGACTGGATATAGAGGCAAAACACTGTCTCGATCTCATATGTGATCGTTTCGATATCACTAAGAGCGAGCGGATATGTGTCTTAAAGAGTGTGTATGTGGAGGCAACTACGGGTTCCACGCTGAGGGAAGTGAGCGATGGACTAGTTAAGGATGCCAAAGAGCTTGTGAGGTTATCGAATATAGCTAAGAGCTCCATGGGTGGAAAACTCAATATTATGCAAGATCTAATGGCAGTGACCAAGAGGGTAGTGGCCCTGCACCACGAAGACGTGAAGGAATACACCGAGAAATTAGCTCTTTTCTTGGACCTCCAACCGCTGGATACGGAATCATGGTATGAGATGAGCGAGGTGTATCTGGCAAATGGGAATACGGACCAAGCAATTCACTGCCTTTCTGAAATCCTGTTGACTGAGCCTTTCGCCTACAACGTATGGAGCCGCATTGGCGAGGTGCAACTGATGACAGGGTTCAAAACGTCAGACTCACAGAGATTTGAAGAGGCCAAGCGCCATTTTGCACGCTCGTGCGAATTATGCGAGACATACCATCGCGGTTGGCTAGGATTGCTGGAGTCCGCAAAGCGGCTCGGAGACAAGAAGTTGGTGGAGTTGAGCAGGACACAGTTGGACAAGATAGTTTCCGGAAAACTAACCTCGGCGGAAAACATAGATAAGATCTCGCAGATTCTTGCAAACTAATCAAGATGAGAAGTCCCCAAGACAACAAGCTAGATAGCGGGCGTAGACAGAGTCAGACGACTTCGCACAGAGTCAGCATCACGTGACTGACTACAGATTGCATGCAGCGGGCATCGCATCTGAGCCGCACGTAACTGGCCAGTCACAGTCGTTTGCGCGAGACTCCCTTTGAGCCACACGGTAATCTAAGATACGCTTCATAGGTACTATAGCCGCCTTTGGACAGTATATAAGAACTGCTTCCTTGCTCTGACATGCAATTGGTAGACCGTTTTGCTAGACCCTTTCTTAAGACCCTTGGAAGAAATCCCTTTAAACACTCGTTTCATCATGGAGAAGACCCAAAGACCCTCCAACTTCAAGGCATACCGCTTTGTCGTTCTGGGGCTGACACTGGTTGTAGCTGCCCTATACCACCTGCGTGTGTTTGAGCCTTTGCTGGAACAATTCCACAAAGATGTGGAGGTTTACGAACAAACCTGTCCCGTATCTGTGAAGATTGCCCCTTCCTCTTTCAGCAAGGACAACTCAACCGTGTTCAAGATTATCAATTCGCCAGAATTCAGAAATGAAAGTGCTGGAAAACTTTCCAAGGCCGTTCAGGTTGACACCCAGATTGGAGACGTTTGGCCTGATGTTCCTGAAGCTCCTGAGCAATGGGCTATTTTCAAGGCCTTCCATGCCTATCTCGAGGAGACCTTCCCCACGGTCTACGAGAACCTAAAGGTTGAAACCGTCAACACCTACGGCTTGGTGTACACCTGGGCTGGTTCGGACCCCAGTCTGAAGCCTTCCATGTACACGGCCCACCAGGACACTGTTCCAATCCAGGAGGACACTATCAAGGACTGGACGTACCCTCCACTCTCCGGCCACTACGATGGAGATACCGTCTACGGCAGAGGTGCTTCTGACTGTAAGAACCTTCTCGTTGCTCTTCTCGAGACCGTCGAATTGTTGCTTGCCGATGGCTTCAAGCCTACGCGTACTGCACTTTTCGTCTTCGGTTTTGACGAAGAGGCCCAGGGAACCAGAGGTGCCAAGCATCTTGGTGCATTCTTGGATGAGAGATACGGAAAAGACGGAATCTACTCGATTCTGGACGAAGGCTCTGGAGTTGTTGCAGATGGTGAAAAGCTTTTTGGAATTGCTACTGTTCGGGAAAAGGGTTACATGGATCTTGCAATTGAGCTTACTACTCCAGGTGGTCACTCGTCTTTGCCTCCAGACCACACCTCCATCGGTATCATGTCTCAATTGATTAACCTGATTGAGGCTGATGTTTATGAGAAGGTTCTCACCGACGAGAACCCATATCTGCAGTTCCTCCAATGCCAGGCTGAACACTCAGATGTTCTTCCTGCTGCCATCAAGGAGGCTGTTCTGCGCGCCAAGGTTGATGACGAGGCCAATGCTAAGGTTATAGAGTATATGCAAGGTTCCAGAGCATCCAAATATCTCATCCAGACCTCTCAATCGGTTGACATCATTAACGGAGGAGCCAAGGCTAATGCCATTCCAGAGAACACTCGTATTGTCATCAACCACAGAATTGCTATCGAAAAGACCAGTAAGGCCATTCTAGACCGTATGCTTGGCCGTGTCCAGACCATCGCCAGAAAGAACGAGGTTGGTCTTATCGATTACTACGGAAACACCGTCTTGGAGCCCACTCCTCTTGGGTTCTTCAACCTGTCAATTCTAGGAGGAAACATTTTGGAGCCTTCTCCAGTGACTCCTTCTGAGGGTGAGGTGTGGGACCTGGTTGCAGGTGTTACCAGACATGTTTTCGAGGATGTCGTTTTCCCTGATATGAAGTATCCATTGGTCATGGCTCCAGTGGTATTCTCGGGTAACACCGACACCAGATATTACTGGAACCTGACCAAGAACATTTTCAGATATACCCCTGCTATTATGGATGTGAACTTGGGCCACATCCACTCTGTTGATGAGCAACAGGGAATCGAGTCTCATTTGCAGGCGATTGCGTTCTTCTATGAGTTCCTCCAGGCCATTGAGGAATAAGTCAGCTATGGATGGGAGAACAGCTGTTTTTATTAGAATTAAATGGACTATGCAATTACGCAAATAATAGTTGAGAATTTTTGATTTTGAAGTATATAGGAGGTGAGTTGTAGATGTCACTATAGAAAGAGAATGCTGTGGGATATTTACCTTGAGAGAAATGGATGTAACGAGAGTCTTTACTGTTATCAAAAAGATAAATTAAAAATTGCAAGAGAGACAGAAATCCTAACAATTTGCTATATTCTATTTGCAATTAAAATATAAAATGGATGGTAAAGACAGAGACTGGTAGTGATACATACAGAATAGAGTAAAGATAGCTGCATGATAGAAAGCCTATAATGGTTAATTGAAAGGAGACAGAATCAAAGCCAAAATTCGTACTCTCGTATTTTCGTACTCTCGTATTATCCGCCATCCTCCAAAATGATTTTCAAATACTAGGCTCAGCTTTCGGCCTATAATCCCAAGCCTCGTATAGATTATCAGGTTCATGGCCTTCTCGTCGTTCTCGGAGATTACACACGTCCCGCCGGAATCGGCTAAACGTCTTGCCATCCGCTCAGGATATCGGAAATTCCTTTTCGTCACGAGCCGTTCCGGATTGAATTGCAGAATTGTAGCAATTACTGGCGAGATCCATATTCTATCCGATAAGCTTACTGTAGTCGCATAGCAATCAAATACACAAGAGTTCGGCAAGATCGTCCAAAACCATCAGAATGTACAAAAGAACGCAAAGTAGATTTTGCCCGATCTACATGACCTCTTTGTTGAAGTAAGCCCCAAAAACTCCGCAATCCTCAGATAAACTGACGCAAAGCGCATATTCTGGAATCGCTTGCGGGGCCGAGAATTCTAACACGCCTCATTATACGCCGCACCAGCAACCTCGGCTTAGTTTAATCTGGAGCCCGATAGAAGGGCTCTCAGGTACGAGGGGAAATTAAATAAGTAAACCGTAAATATTATCAAATAACTTAAACTAAACATAACGTGTCATGGGCATCATCATCAAATGTGGAGGGGCGTGTAGATCTTTTATATGCAGGAATTGCGTGACGTTGTTCTAAAACACAACCAGCTCGTGAAAATTGGGCATGAGGGTGTCTTTGGAAGACGTGACAGAGGGCTCGAAACGGTACTCTTTCTCGGAGCTGATATTGCGCTCATGTTCATCTTCGCTGTCACTTTCGGACGATGAGTGCGACAATTGTGGCAGTTGCTCAGACTCCAGGGCCGTCAACGGCCTCGATGTGAACTCAACGCTACCCAATCTGGCACTGAAAACCAAACTCTCTTCAGAGTCAGAATCGGAATCGGAATCAGAGTCGTCCGAGTCGAATTCTCCATAGTTGTCATCGTCGTCAGAAACATACGAGTCCTCCGAGTCGTAGTAATAATCGTCATCATCCAAATCATCAAGATCGCCACTGATCTCAGTTGTCGTCACCTTGGTGGTATTGTCAAACCGCACATGCAGGTCGCTCTCCTTGCGCGCTGCCACGGGCTCCGGCTCTAATATCGAAACGGGCCTGCGATGTGTTATAGAATCCATTAAGTTATCTAGCAAATTGGCCTGGCAAACGAGGTACCTCAAATCGGCGTTGGGATTGACAGCCTCTTTAGTCAGTTTCGACTTGGCCTTAGCCGCCAGCGAGTAAGTTTGTGCAAGGGACATTCAGTGGGAGGGTATCCGGGAACAAAATAATGGAACGAAACCGTTGATACTATCAAGAACGAAAATAATGCCAGAAGTGTGTTTGATCCGGAAAGGAAATCTGCGTAATATATATATGCAAAGTCATTATTAAACACAATTAGTCAAATAACGGCTGCCGGGCCATGCAGCTCGCTCTAAACCGCGCTCGCACTTTGCGCGGACGGGATGGGCTTCAGTCCGGCCCCGAACCGATGGATTTAGGCTTTTAGAAATTTTGCTGGGGTTCGAGATGGGATCCCAATTTTTTCCGAAGATCAGCACGGGACTGGCGGAAATATTAGTTACTAATTGATGGTAAAGTTTTGGTTCCAAAATCCATACTTTGAACTTTCATTTGATAAGCTATAGTGGTTGAACCTCTACCCGCTTCTCAAGCCGGAGCTGTCGCCTAAGACCGAGGGCCGACCCCGTAAAGTCCTGTAACTCCCGCATCGTGTAGGACTCACGGCTCGGCTGAGTAATTCGGTGTCAACCCGATTTGTCATAGGAGCGGTGGCAACGGCCAGTTCGGGGTTTACTTTACAATTGTTTCGTAAGCGTTTAATGAGTGTTTGCTGATGGTGTTGTTAATCACCTTTGCGTTCTACCTTCAGTCGACCCCGTTGCTTTGAATCGAATCATCCCGCATCGTACGGCTAGTCCGGGCATCTACTAATTGACGCGGCATACGCTTCCGCAGCCTTCTATATGTGTTGAGACTAATTGGAGACCAATGGGAACCGATAGGAACCCGATCGGGCTCGGTAAGTCTCCTATCACGGATCCTATTATGGATCCCATTAGGGGAAGCTTGCTGCGTTATATTTCGATTATGAGGTCGTTCGCAGACAGAAAACTATAGGTAGTGTTTGGCACATTGCCTTTTCTCGGCTCCGAGGAATACCCTCCACAATCGGGAAGGGTCCCAAACCTGAGGGGCAATCATACATGACATGTGCAATCGGCCCACATGTCGTTTGCATTACGCAGAAGATGTTAACCTGAAGGTCCGTGGCAATCATGGGAATATTTGGATGCAATAGGGTAGTTTTTAACTCAAATCGTGATTTTGTAAGCCCGGGGCATTTGCTTTGTTTTTTCCCTTTGAAGGGACAGACGGCGCCGAGTCCGATCATGTGCCATTACCCCGGACCTCCATTTCTCCATTACCGTTACCCCAGATTGGGGACTTTCGCCCTATAAAGCCTGTCCTTTGCCCAGCAAATTTTGATCCCATAACCATTACACTAGATATTTACCTCCGTAAACTCTATACACTTGCTATGACCAATTCAAAGCAGAAAAATTCAGCCGTGGACCTGATTGCCGGCGGAACGGCAGGCCTGTTTGAGGCATTGTGCTGCCATCCTCTAGATACCATCAAGGTGCGGATGCAGCTGTACCGAAGAGCTGCTGGTTTGACCAAGAACAACAAACCCCCTGGTTTTGTCAAAACGGGGCTGAACATTTCGCGCAAGGAATCACCATTGGCCCTGTATAAAGGACTGGGTGCGGTTGTAATTGGAATCGTACCCAAAATGGGAATTCGCTTTTCGTCTTACGAATTTTACCGCACAGCACTCAAGGATTCAACGACCGGAAAGGTGTCCACGGGTAACACGTTTCTGGCAGGAGTAGGCGCTGGAATCACCGAGGCGGTGTTCGTTGTGAACCCAATGGAGGTGATCAAGATTAGACTGCAGGCTCAACATCATTCTATGACAGATCCATTGGATATCCCCAAATATCGTAACGCTGCTCATTGCTTGTTCACTGTGGTTCGTGAAGAAGGCTTTGGCACGCTTTACCGTGGAGTTGCATTGACTGCTGCTCGCCAAGCCTCCAACCAAGGTGTCAATTTCACCGTGTATTCCAAACTACGCGAACACCTCCAGTCATACCACGGAAGTGAAAAATTACCGGGCTGGGAGACTTCGCTTATTGGTCTGTTTTCCGGTGCATTGGGACCTCTTTCCAATGCTCCACTCGATACTATCAAGACCAGAATGCAACGCGAAAGTGGAAAAAGCACCGAAGGTGCTGTTGCACGAGTCACTCGCATTGCTTCAAGGTTGATCCAAGAAGAAGGAGCTGCTGCTTTATACAAGGGTATCACTCCACGGATCATGCGTGTTGCTCCGGGACAAGCTGTGACATTTACAGTGTATGAGTATATGAAGGGCGCTTTGAATAACATGCCATATATCGGTTCTCAGGTTGCGGTATTTGATGAGTGAGAGAACTGTGAATGTAACTGAGAGAAATCTGAAAATTATCAATGAATAGTGTAGAGCAATGCAGTCGGGATAAGCAGTAGGCCGAATGGCTGTTACAACCGATTCAAAATGCGTTGAAGTTGAGGTATAAAACCAGACTAATAACGGCAAGAGAAATATAAGTAGTGAAGTTAATATAATATTTACCGCCTGTATGTCCTCTAATTCCAATAGTTTTCCACTATTACGGTTATCAAAACAGGTTCTTCAAAATATCTCGGAAAAATTCGTATTTTTCTTTATATTCCTAATAATTGGCATAATCAGTTTGGTTAGAAAAATCAGCGTTATCAGCAAGCTGCTACATCTTTATATCATAGCATCTAGAGTCAGCATAAGCGGCATTCGCAGTATAGTAGGTATATCAAAAAGAGATAGTGCAGCAGTGCGAGTACGGCTAGTTTACACTGCATAATGCTTGATTACCCGCCATCAATTACGATAAATATTTTCTTCCTGGCCACTTAACGAAAGCACTCTGAGTTCCAGTATATAATTTTATTAAATGATTACACCACTGGTGCACTCCCTGTCAACCATATCCAAATGGCTTGCCTTATCTCAGCCGCACGGAGCGGTTGAAATTGGGTATCACACTACTGAACTGACAGCTCTTGCATTCGTACCATCCCCCTCTTGCGGACAATCTAGTGATGCATTCGGAGAGGCTGACATTTTGCAGAAGTTTTAGAGAGTTCAAGGTTTCCGAGGTGTTCAAGCGATACACCCAACAGCATTCATTTCTTTATCATGACCACAACCGTGAACATCCAGGAGTGCCTGAAGTACCCCATAGAGGTGTCAATCTCAAAGGCGATCGAACAATTAGTTTTGCTGAGCCAGAGTGACAAGGAACTCAAAGATTCAAATGACTCAAAAGGACCAAAAGCATCAGATGATGACTCGGCCAAACAGACCATAACTGACATCCCAGCTCGAACGGTGGTCCTAGACCTTGAAACTGTCATGGGAATAGTACAGATTCTACGGAACGGACTAAACCATATCCAGCGACTTACCATCTCCAAGGAACTCAGTCGGCTAAACGAGGGTGTTAACCGCGACCGCGACTCTTTAGAGCGACAGATGATGTTTCAAGAGCTGGAGATGATGAAGGAAAGCAGTCAGACCTGGTCAGATTTTGAAGCCTTCAGGCTGAAACGCCGCGAAGGACTTAATAACCTGGACAGACGGGGCCATATCGAAAGCCAAATGACCACACCACCACACCCGGCTTCTCGCAAGGATTTCGTTCCGTATACGCCTGTAAGTCCACGGAGACGAAAACGGGTCTATTCACAGAACGAAGAGGATAGAGAGCCGATGGTGCTACAAACTCAGGATCCAAAATTACACACATTCCACCATTATTACAACACCAGCCCGATATATAACTCGGAACTTGGCAAGGTGACCAGTAGCTCGGATAACAGAAAGCGGAGGCGGGTTTCTAACGAGAAGTGATAGAGGCGGTGGTGGAGTTGGAAAATGCTGGTGAAAGAGAGTTGAGGTCTTGCGGCCAAAATGCTAATAAAAACGAGGGCCGAATTGATTTGCGGTGATATAATCTTTAGAATCTGCAAGAATTCAGCGAGGTTCCGTATTTTCACGGGCAATTTGGTGCTATCCATACTCTCTTTCATCCCACACTATGTGCTATACCCCAATATGTTTTATGTTCTTGGTTCTTTCTTCTTCAACAGATTGATTTTGTATTACAACATGACTATTAACCGTGGAATTAACCTTTCGTTTAATCGAACAAACCGAATCCCATGTCGTCGTCGGATTCCTGCAGTAGTTAGTATCGTGTTTGGTGACAGTAAAGAGATTGATTAAACTTACCTCCTTCTCCTCTTCAACCTCCTCAGCAGCAGCGGCCTCAGTGGACACGGCAGCGGCGGAAGCACCAGCAGCTGGAGCAGCAGAACCAGCAGCACCGAAAGAAAGGAGCAAGTCCTTCAAGTTTTGACCCTGCAAACTCTTGGAGAAGATTTCGGCCCAGATGGAGTCAACCGAGGCACCAGCGGCCTTGGTGAGCGACAAAAGGTTGTCCTTGGAGATTTCCAACTCGGCGTCAGCCAAGATCAATGCGGCGTAAGAAACAGCGGCTTCAGACATTTTGATTTAGATATGTGTTGTATGGTGTTGTAGTTCTGTCCACCCTTTCAACCGTCGTTGGAATTTTCAAGAGGTTCTGAGATATGTCGTGCGAAAATCACAAATTGCCAACTTCCGAAAACGGAAAAGGCAGTCACAAATATCAAGACCTGGTCTAGTTAGCCAATTCGGTATGTTAAATCGGATCTAAAACGGGTTAAATATTAATTACAGAACAATCGTGATAATGAAAGTCCTTATAGTGGTCGTGTGTCAAAATTTCGATGAAGTTGGGATTATGGTGAAGATCACGTTTGGGCATCTGCGGATGCTCTGAGCTGGTGTATCTACGCCGCACGGTCAAAGGGGATCGTTAACGAAGTCTATATACAGGGTCATGAGATAAGGTGAAAAACAAGGAGAGGAAGCAAGGAAAGAATGTGATGATGATATCACTAAGAAAACTGATTGCTAACCCAATTTTCCTATTTGAAAAATCCCTCCAGTTTGCCCAACCAGTTCACATACTCCTGGTTTTCCTTGTAAGCAGAATAGGCAACAACAAAGTCAGCAAGCTCCTCATCAAGGCCTCTAGAAACAAGGTAAGACTGAATAGACTCCTGGAGCTCTTCAGCAAGGTTCTCGAACAGAGGACCGGTGTATTTAAGCTGTCTCTGGGTCTCGGCCTCGGCGGTTTCGGCCAAAGCAAGATCAACGGAGTCGAAATTGGTAATTCCGTTGACTGAAAACTGCGAGTTCTTGATGGAAAGAGCCATGTCAAAGCCGACTGCAGACCTGTCAGCCACTTTCTCGATCACTACGTTGACCGAAGCGAACGCTTCGTCGAGGTAATCGTCAACATCCTCCTCATTCAAACCATCCTGGTCGAGATCTTCACTCAAAGCTTCATCTCTGGTGGCAAACGCGTTGTTGGTGACTTGCTGAACGTCGAAATACACATGGATGACTTCTTCCGAGGTCGTCTTGGTCAACTCGGCCAAAATCTTTCCGTCGGTATTCGACACCTGAAAACCGGAGTTGGCCAACCAGGCCTCGTGGTGTGACTCGAGACCGAAACTGTCGTTCTCCTCGTATTCCAACTCCTTGGAGAGGATCGATTTCAGTTCGCTAGTCTGTTTGTTCAGCTTGATAGCGGAGGCATTGAAAAATCTGACTGGGCGGAAAGCAGCGTGGGCAGAGGCTCTGAGCAGCAATGGATTAGATCCACGAATGGACCTGATGGCAAGACGGGCGACAGACATTGAGGTGGTTGCTGTTGAAAATGTGAGATTAGAGTGTTTAGGGTCCCTTCTTCACTGGCTTTAGGCCGCGGAGAAATTGGCGCCCGGGTAACACACAGTGCCCCTAGAAATTGGTTGATGCACAGCAATGGAATCTGTAGAGGGACTACCCCATTTCCATGCACCCGGGGCCAATCAGAGGAAAGTTGATTACATCAAATGACCGCCCCATTACGCTCCCAACTAGGCAATTCCGATGTCACGACCTTTCCTAGTCCTCCACATCCCTTCTTCCATTGAGCCCTTGTGGAACTTTGTGTTTAGACCTCTCGGAGCTTTGCTTTCTTCTTATTCGTACTTGTTCTTTACCAGTTTTCAACAGTTTTTAACCGATTTTGACCCGTTTTGAACACGCTTTGCAATGTTTCGCTCAAGACTACTCGGACTCACAAAGACTTTTGCCAGGTCGATGGCTACTGAGACTAAGGCCCCAAACTTGAAAACCTTCAAGATCTACCGCTGGTCTCCGGACACCCCAGATGAACAGCCCAAGATGGTGGAATACAAGGTGGATCTCGACAACTGTGGTCCTATGGTTTTGGATGCCATTTTAAAGATTAAGAACGAACAAGACTCGAGTCTTACGTTCAGAAGATCTTGTCGTGAAGGTATCTGTGGTTCTTGTGCCATGAACATTGGTGGAAAGAACACGCTAGCCTGTTTGTGCAAGATCGACAAGGACACATCGTCCGAGACCAAGATCTATCCGCTGCCACACATGTATGTTGTGCGTGATTTAGTGCCAGACCTTACGCATTTCTACAAGCAATACAAGTCCATCCAGCCATACTTGCAAAGAGACACTGTCCCTGAGGATGGAAAGGAGAATTTGCAATCGATAGAGGACCGTAAGAAGCTTGACGGTTTGTACGAGTGCATCTTGTGTGCGTGTTGTTCGACGTCGTGTCCTTCGTACTGGTGGAACCAGCAGGAGTATCTCGGCCCTGCCGTGCTGATGCAGGCATACAGATGGCTGATCGACTCCAGAGATCAGGCCTCAAGCACAAGAAAGGAGATGCTGGAGAACTCGATGTCGCTGTACAGATGCCACACCATCATGAACTGTTCCAACACATGTCCCAAGGGCTTGAACCCAGGTAGGGCCATTGCTGAGATCAAGAAGTCGATGTCGTTTGCATAGGGGCTTGACGCTAAATCATATTCTCGAATATTCATTACATAATAACAACTATAAGAAACAATAGAGAAAAAAAGGTAGACTGTAAACACCAGTGGGGTACCCTAAGTGTGCGGACCAATCGGTGCGGCTGTGCCACTCCAGATGGCTGGGGAAAACGACATTGAAGAGTCTGTCTTCTTGCGGATGGCTCTTGGCATCCATGAAGCTGGCACCAGATCAGTTTGATGCTACAATAGACGGTCTGATCGACCATTTGATACAATCTAGCGATAGTTTGGAGAGGATTGAGCGGAAAATCAATGAGGTAAGTTAAGCATGGCCGGGCCTAATCTGAGTGCCCTCAGACACCACCATTTCACTACTGACCGACAGCAGTCCACAAACTTTATAGAATCAACGGTGAAGCTGGCTGATGGTCTGCGAATTACCTCAACAATCTCCTACAGTTCTGTTTACGGAGTTCCGGAGATTCACCTCAGATTGACACTGAATGAACAACTCCTATTTGACCCAGAGGCCACTCAGCACGCGTTAAGCGGTATAACGTCTTCCAATAGCGCATTCGAACCTCTAATCGCGTCCATAACCTTGAAAGAACACCGCTTCCTTGGATCCACGTGGTTTTATATTCATCCCTGTGATTCCGGTGCATTCATGGACGAAGCGTACACTGGTGATGATAGTCTTCAGTGGCTGGTGCTATGGGCCAGTATCTATGGGAGATTGGCTGGCTTATAGGTAATACGAAGCAGAGACACGGGGAAGTTCCCGAAATTTGGGTATATATGCTATTAAGAGACCCATACATTTGTACATTTGTATCAATATTCTACTGATCTTACATTAATATCCGTATCCATATCCAGATCTGTATCTATAATGTTCAAATCTCACATAATCGCATGGTCGTGCACACTGTCCAAAACCACCCCTTCAGAAATCAGGATTTGAGACACGGGCGAATTCGAACTAACAGGCTTTGTTTAACACTAATCTTAACGATCAAAAGAGGGCATTTTTTCAGGTACCAATTCAATCGTTCAGCCTCAATTTCATCAATTCGTGCCAGATAACAATCGTTGACGTGCTTTATTAGATTGTCAAGTTAGAAATCCAAACGTCCACCGCAACCGCACTCCGCAGTCTAGTGACAAGCAATCTAAAGAAACTAGTTGAAAACAGGCACATACTCTCCACAATCCTCACATTAGACAAAGTCACATGTCTTCAGCATCTTTTGCACAGACCAGGTCACATGCATTGCAATTAGAGACACAAACGGAGGCTCTTCTGACCAAGTTCTCAGCGTTTGCAACGTCGCCCTCATCTTCGCCGACCGCCGAGGAACTGGCGTGCGAAAAAAGAGTCGAGACCGTGCTCAATAAACGCGAAGAGGTTTTAGGGGTTCTCAGTCGGATTGCTGAATCCGATATCTCGTTACCCACCACAAAGCTCCAACAATTACAGAGGCATAAAGAGACTCTGACCGAGCAATGGCGCGACTTTGGCCGAATTCGCGGCGCGATCCAACAGGAGAGAAACAGGCTAAACCTTTTGTTTTCGGTGAGATCAGACATCGAAGAGCATCGTCGCAGAACCGAAATTGTGAATGGAGGTGGCGACGATTCCAATGGAGATAACTACATGATGCAAGAAAGACAGAGAGTAGACAACGCCAACTCTTTTGCAGACAGATTACTATCACAGGCCTATGAAACGCGCGATGAGCTGAGCAGACAGAGAAACGTTTTGAGCAGCGCCGGATCGAAACTGGGTGGAGCTCTTGGGGCCATTCCTGGTTTGAATGTGGTGATCTCGAAGATCAACACGCGGAAGAAGAGAGACACTCTGATAATTGCTGGTTTGATTGTGGCCTGTATCACGATTTTATGGTTGACGAGTTAGGCCTTAGGCGAGGTAGACTAGCTGGGATAGTCAGGTGCGCTCAGAGGGCTAGGGCATATCCGTTACTTTTGTCACTTCTAAGACCAAAAGATACATATATGCTACGGACAATTATATACAGCTTTGGACAGGTTTGCTAATGACATTTTTGTTATGATATTGAGTTGGAATCGGCGTGGTGAATGATTTTATTTAAGGGAGCCATAGTTAGAAGAGGTACCATAAATGGAGTTTTCAACCGAGCTTTCAACTCCAAATGGTTCTAAATTGAGTGAAAAGCGCTCGGTTTCTCAACGAAGGAATCAAACGTTAATTGCACACTCATAAAGCCTTCTAATATTCAGGAAATATTCGATACCAATCGTCCTGGATTCTGAATCCAACATCTCAACATCCAGCTTCTCAACCCCTTGTAGCATATTTCAGCCCCAAATCCCACAGCTTGTGATTCTCAGCTAATGCATATGTCAAAGTCCTACTGGCTATCCCATCTTCAAGATATTCCAGCTGATCAATCACATCCTGAAGCAGTACGGCTCTGCCCACACTCATGGTAGATGCTAATCCTGGGTGTGAAATATTCACGATGTGAATGTGGAAATGGTAGTACGATGGTTGATAGTGAACGAAGATTCTCAGTTCATCTCCCTTGATCTTATTTCCGTAGTATTTGGCAACTCCTGCTTTAATCTCATCCTGCATGCCATTCAACCAGTTCACGTGCTCACGCTTTAAATCACGGATAGACGCGATGTCTTCTCTCAAAACAATAGCACAGATATATAACGTGTCCAGAGTTGTACCATCCCATTTCATATCTGGAACAAGGACAAAACCCTTTTCCCTATCGTCGTTCCGGTACACAACGCGTTCAGCCTCAGCACCTTCGAAAAGGATGTTTCTCACCCATTTCAGTCTGTCCCCTTGCATTGTGCTGATATATGGCTTCACCACATTCTGGTAGTGTTCTGGCGTTTCACTGATCATGTGATAGGCAGCAGTTTCGAATTTGGCAATATGGGTCTCAGTAGCTGGGTACACCAGACTGTACTTGCACGTTGGGTTCTGTAGCGTTTGTTCAAGAAGACTCACTCCCCAATGATAAACATCGTTACTGGCAAGCTCTTTGATATCAGAAATGGTGTTTTTGGCGAAAAAAGCGTCAATTTCGGATGTCTCTGTGGCAAACGGCGTTTTCTCCAGCTTGAGAATGGCATCCTCTCCTTTGATCTTGCCTAAGAAAGTGACTGTTTTCTCCTGTGCGTTTGAGGTAAGGATTTTGGAATACTGGAATTCTCGGATGAGTGACATTGTGATTGGTCTAATTTTCGAATATTTTGGCAGGTATTAACGATTTTTCAGGACGTGCAGGATTAACTAGAGCTCTACTCTAACAGTGAGATGAAGATAGCGCTATAGCAGGCGATAATGGGTGCGCACGATCATCACCCCAATTATCAGGCTTTATCATCAAAATTGTAATTTCAACCAGCAAGAATTGCCAGAATAATCAGGAAGAGGTCTCACGTATATTCTACTTCGATATTTCGGCAAAAATTAACAGAGTGAGGTGTAGATACAAAAGACCTGAAAAGTCTAAGCTTGAAAAAGTTCAATGAACTGTGCGACCTCAAACCAGCCAGAGACTGAAATATCCCCGCAGTACTTTTGAATGCATTTGCTTGGACTCAAAAGTTTCTGTAATCTTCTACGACGTTCTTCTTTTCTTGATAATGCATAAATTGCCAATGATATAAACGATAAAGGCCCACAAGTGTTAGCTCCAGTAGGAGAAACGAGAATGCTCTCGCAAGAGCGGATTCTCCTTTTCGTCCTCTTCAAGCGTCCTGACAAATTGCAATTTCCAATTTCCGTTTTTGATTCATTTTCTCAGTCTAGATCATGACAGTTTAAGCCTTCGAGGATGGACCTGGGTTCATCTTTCTCTTTCCACCTGGAGTGGTGGCAACGTTGACGAATCTTCTGGTGTAGAGCTTTCTCTTGTAAGCCCTGCCTCTTGGCTGCTTTGGCTTTTCTTGCTTGTCAACCTTTGGGGTTTGAGACTTGACCTTACCGGCACGAGCGAGGGAACCGTGAACTTTACCCTAGAGAGACTGAGTTAGTAAGAAGATCATAGAGGTGAAGGAGTACCGCTGAGAGTCTTAGTAGTTGACTAGATTTGTATCGTGCAAATTGCCGTTCATTCCGTCCACCTGGTAATGCTAGATCGTCAATCGATTTGGCGATTAGCCCATTTGTGGTCGGCTTGGACATCGTACCATAAATGGCCTAATCTCCATTAACGCTCAAATGTTGTATCTGAGTAATCATATCTACTCTTGCATTGTATGGCTGAGCTGGAAAACTTCTTGCAGGCATTTTTGTTGGTGTTGGTGGCGTTCTTGCCCCTTTTTCTTGATGTGGTTCTTGCTGCCGGCACTCGAATGGAATATAGCGAAAAGCTGAACAAACTTGACTATAACGACAATCTGGACTCCCTCTATCAAATCACAAAGTTAACACATACCATTTTGCAATGATTTATAAGTTTACAGTGATGTTTGTAAAAGGTGAAAGGGTGCGTAGAGTTTGACTTTTTTTACTATTCTCTTTCACCGATGGGGCACCAGAGCGGCCAGCAAAGGATGGTCGTGCACCCTGTAGTTCCAAACGGGTAATTTAGACCGATACACGCCTTGCTCGGGGGAAAAACCTAAGTACTGAAATATACGCAGAGAGAGACTGAGAATTTCGCTCCTAGGTGTGACTGCGGATTTTGGTCATAAATAGGTTAATACACACATATTACATAATCCCTGCGGCGCCATTCGCATTCCATAAACTCCACTATGTAGTTGCGAATACCACGCCGAGCATGACTGCGGTGAGCTATAATTTGTCAGTTAGAATTTATCGAAAGTAAGAAATCTGTGTGGTGTGAACTTACTGAAAAAACGAACAAGAGCAAGAAGCCAATGCCAAACTTGCTTGCTGGGAACACGTTCTTGGTGAGCGATTGCTGGATGTTGAAGTAGCGTTGCGTTCCAACGAGTAATGTGATCAAAGCCCCAACAATAAACAATAACCCAAGCGCCTTGTTGGTCCGCTTCAACGCGTTGTTCTCATTCCCTTTCGTCCCAGACAGTTTGAGCAACTGCGTTACCCCCACGCCTATGGAGGCCAGTGCCAGCGAAGTACGCAACCATGCCAAAAATGTCCGCTCTGAAGCAAGATGGTCTCGAGCAACAGATCCCTTATTCTCCAATAGCAACGACCCGTAGTTCCACCAGTGGCGCGGCGTTCGTACAGTCGTGGTGGTGATGGATGGCTGTCTCCCTTGCGCAGCTATTGAAGGCGGCCGTGATCTTGTTTCTTCCCTGTTTCTAACACTCAGATTGGAAAATGATGGCGAATCTGCACCAGAACCGGTCCTATTTTGCATTTCACCGTTGAATGGTTCTGTAACGTTGACAGATTCCAACCCCGTGAAGGTGGGTGAGACCGATGGACGCGAAGTGGCTGATTTCGTCATTTGCACGATGTCAAACAGAAAATCCGGGGTTTGCAGGAAATCGGATTAACGTGCAGGGCCCGAGGATATTTAATGGATAATTAAATTGGACTCTTTGATTTAATCGTAGCGGAAGAAATATAACATATAAAGAAGACCAAACTGAAGGAACGTTGCAGTACCATGCAAGGGTCAACTGTGGCTCAAACTCCGATAAAATGACAGCTGAATAAGGCTGCAGTCGTGCTGGCAGCAGGCAAACTGTGTCGAAAAATGTCAAGTTCTGCATGGCGTTGAGCTCAGATCTAGTCACTGATGGAACACTTGGTATGATATTTGAGAAGGTCATCAACAGAGTCTTTGATATGATTGCTGATCAGGTCTGCCATGCGGAATGACTGTCACCTGAATTCAACCCTCTATCGTCACTTTCGCAACAGCTGCTAGAAGAACACCAAGGGACTGCGTAAAAGTTAGAAACGAAGAATCGAAAGCAAACGAAGATCGCCGACAATCTCTAAAAGAACTTCACTTACGGAAATAACAAACATCATGATGACACCAATTGACAGTCTGCTTATAGGAAACTTATCCTCTGCTAGAAGTTTCATCGTGTTGACATATCTCATTCCTCCAAACAAAACAGTCACTAGGCCAGCTACTACTAGTAGCACTCCTATGGGTTTTGCAAATGCTTTGAACAGGTGAAAATCTTTCTGGCGTTGAGAGGTAGATCTGGAGTCTAAATCGCTGGATAGTTCCGCGTACTTGAACAGTTGTACCACACTGATTCCAACAGTAGCGAAGTTCAGTGCCGTTCTGATATAAGCAAGAGCCGTTCTTTCATTTGCGAGCTGGTTGGTTAGTTTGAGAGATGGTAAGACAGTCTTCGAAAAAAGATGAAGACTAGGAAGAGTTTCACTCACATGATCTCTTGCGAGCGATCCTGTGCTCGGTATAATGAAGCTGAACTTTCGGCTTAACACTTGATAATATGACTGGCCCGGTCGTATCCTAGATTTGGAAGCTTCATTCGATGTTTCTTGAGCGCAAGCTGTTTGATCATTCAAGCCCGTTTCGTGAGCTTCTGATGGCAGTTCGTTCCTGGGCCCAACCGCCTCTTGTAATATGCCGTCCATCATTATGTGAGTGTAGTATCCACAAGATTACGAACGAATCAACTGCCTGGGGTGAATGGTTATTATTGAAATCAGCAAAATAAGCCTGAAAAGTCCGGTGTATTTATCTGGCTCAATTTATCCGAGCTCATCTTACCCGGCCACTTCTCTCGCGCGGCGTAAATTTGAAGGGTTGATGAAAGATAGCGATGGGTGTAAAGAGTGAGATATGGGTACTGGGGCAGAAATATGTGTAAATAAATTCGACTCTGAATTTTGCTATAGATTTTATGTGTTGAAATAGCACAACATTCGGTTGAGAAAAATAGGAAAAGGGAATTACGGATTAGGTGAGTCCAATTAGTCCGAAGTCGGGACTATAGTATGCACACGTATAAGGATGGAAACGTACACTTCCTTAATTTTGGGGTAGAATAGAAAAATATTGCGCAAATATAGCCGTGGCCTTGGCGACATTAACGGTGCTATGTTATTACCGCTACTGTCCTTGGCTATCACGCGAATTATGTTGATGAGAAGAATCAAAAAACGGGAGTCCAGAACGTGGAGCTCGACAAGATCAGCGCTTTTTATGCGGAAAAACTTCCGTACGTTCTCATCTTATTGCTGGAGTTTACTTCAATAATTCCGCGGCTAGAAAGGAAATAAGCTTTGGGTTTACGCAGTAACGCCGTTCTCGCAAAACCATTTTGGTACTACCGTTTTGGAACATGTTGGTGTAGCGACCATCTCATGGTCTCTCTAGCCTTATGACTGGTGGTATAAATAGGCACCGAAACTTAGCAGTTGTATTAGCGGTGATACCCAATCACAGGGTCACATCATCTTGAAATCCACTCCATTTGCCTGTGTTCAACCTCAAGAAGGATACAAACGCGAAAACAGTTCGTTACCTACCACAGAATGCAACTAACAAAGTATGGTAACATATATACATTTATCTGTATACCTACATATTTATATTACCGGAGTGTCCGTTGAGACGAACGGTGCAGGCCGAGATGAGCTTGTGTTTCTTTTTCCGAAAGCCGAACGGTTAACCACGCATTAACTCCTTTTGGCTATACCCATTTTCATATCAGCGCACAGTGGCTCAATCAGAGAGGCAATGGGTCAAAATAACCCAAATGTAGAGCGTAGGATTTAATCCAGCCTTGAATACCGACTGTTACCGCGTTTTCTCTATGCCTCAGAACCCTGCATTCGTTATATCCTTAAACTCCGATTTAATTCGTTTGTACACGCCCGTTGTGCATATGCGTTACTAATGGCTGCAGACATGCGGCTTGCTTCATGCAAGTAAACTCGGCCAAACTAAAAGTGTGTTTCGGGGTGAACGTAATGAAGTCCGCCTGAATCCATACGCGTCAAATTGGTGGCAAATACAATGCCGACTGCAAGTGTATATAAAGGCAGTTAACCCGCCCTAGGCGTCTCTCTGGAATTAAGGCGAGTCTCAGCATTCTTCAAATTGCAAAGTTCGTCGAATTATCACGCATATAATGAAACTCTCAGAACTCTCAGATAAGATAGGCAGCTTTAGAGAGCGTGGTGGACGCCCGCTTCAAAAGCCCTGGATTGTGTTTTTGGTTGTTGTAATCTCGCAACTGCTGGATGCTATGAACATCACAGTTGCTGCAACAACCTTATCACAAATTCAAGAGAAATACGGCACCACCTATCCCATTGCTAGTTGGGTGCTAAGTGCATACGCCCTCTGCTATGCAGGATTCATCATGATAATGGGAAGAGTCGGTGATATTGTGGGCCACCATATCGTTTATATCGCTGGTCTTTTCGCTCTTTCGCTGTTTCTGCTCATCACCGCCGCTGTTGAGAACCTTTATGTGGTAATAGTTTTCAGAGCTCTTCAAGGACTGGCCGCTGCTGCGACAATTCCTTCATCTTATGCTATTGTCGCCCACACTTTCAGCGGAAACGCATTGAAGCTGGCTCTGGCTGCTATTACCGGTCTCATCACAGTGGCTGCTGGTATTGGTTTTGTCATTGGTGGTGCATTCTACGAAACTTCGATTGGCTACAGAGGAGCATTCTTCCTATTTTTTGCTCTCTGCTTGTTGAGCGCTATTCTGTCATTTTTCTGTGTTAGACATACACCAACCTCGCCTGCGAGCTTGTCGAAATTGGACCATTTGGGTGTCTTTATTATGCTCAGTGGAGCACTGTTATTGGTGACCGGTTTGACGGAAGGTGGTGATAAATGGGATTCACCAAAAGCATACGTTCCAGTCGCAGTTGGTGTTGTTCTCATCATCGTGTTCTTGGGTTGGGAGCTTTATCTTTACAAGAGGTTCAACTGGTCAAAAGATTTGGACTTGCTGATTCCACCAGCTATTTGGGACATTCCTAACTTCATACCATTGATCATCATAATGGGTCTCAATTACGGCTCTATGTTTGCTCAGATGTTGACTGCTATCCAAATATTCCAGTACGTGTCGTTACATTCCGCAATTGTTTCCGCAGTCCAGTCGCTGGCAGGTCCACTGACCGTTGCTATTTTCACATTCGTTGTCGGTGTTTTGTTTGGCAAGATTCCACCTAAATACTGCATTTTCTTTGGAACATTGTTGTCTCTCACAGCATCTGTTCTCTTCAGCAGAATGGGTTATACAACAGAATCCTACTGGAGGTACGGGTTTCCAGCCTATATTCTCCTAGGAGTTGGTACTGTCTCCACCTTCATCAACACTCTTAACACGCTGATTATGTCGTGTTCTTTGGACATGCAAGGATTGCTATCTGGAGTTGCTTTGACCTCGGCTCAGTTTTTTGTTGCTGCTGCTTCTGCTGCTGTTTCATCCATTGTGGGAAACACTGAGTTTGGCGACTCTCTTGAGGCCAAAGAGAATCTTATGAGAAGATACCATCACGTCTTCTACATGAGTATTGGCTTGTCAGGTACCGCATTCCTTGTGGACTTTTTCGTTAAGAACTTGCCCATTTCGGGACTTCAAGAACAATCAGCCGATGAAGAAGCACCAGAAGAAAAACAAAGTTCCAACTTTGAGGTGGATTCTTCGTCAGGTGTGGTAGCCAGTGAAGAATATGAGGACCTGCAGAAGGGAGTTGAAGTAGAAGGCGTGGCACCGGACGCTGCTTCTTCGCATTAGTAAAATTGAAAGAAACGCTGTATGTTTTTTTTTATTCAACATGAGTGCTACATGGTTGGTTTGGGATATTAGGATTATTGTAGTTTCATTAATAGAAGTGTCTATTAAAGGAGTTCTCTTTTTTCTCTTCAAGTTGATTATGCAGGAGCGGCATGATTTAGAAATATTCATTCTCTATGTACCATTGAAGCCTAAGAAATCACTAATGTGGGTTTTTCATGATCTGGTTTTTGATAATCGTTCGTGTCGTTCGTACTTCCACTAAAACTTCAATGAACTGACCCCCTTTGTCAGCCCTTTCATGCTCTTCTCTGCTTCCTTCTTTCTCCGTGCGGCAAGCTTGGTGTTAGAAACACTATCAGCAGCCTTCTGCAACTTTTCACTTTCCAGGTTTCTCTTCACCAATCTGCGACCACCAGCTTCAAGGGTATAGTTATCCAGGAAATCATCGATCATGCCCTCAAAATCAGATCTCTCATTCTTGAAATCAAAGGGCTGGTAATCGTCTTCCTCCTCTTCATCATCGTACTTCTGCTTGATGACCTCGTATCTTTCATCTAATAACCTCAAACCTTCCGTCCGCTCCAATGCCGACGAAGTCATGGAAAACGAAGATGTGTCAGTCATGGCCCCCTTCTTCCTTCGTTCCTTCTTCTTAGCACCCTTTGTCGACTTTGATCCCCCAATATTGGGCAAGTCTGTCAACACGTCTTCCTCTTCTTCCTCGTTTTCCTCAGCCGGTTCGTCCTCAGAATCAAAATCGTCATCACTATCCCAGTCATTCTTAGTTTTGCTCCTATCCTGGGACTTTTTGAATTTAGCAAAATCCTTTTCCCAATTATCGCCTTCGTTTCCGGAATCATAATTTTCGTACTCATCCTCGTAGTTATCCAAGTCGTATTCGTCAAACTCTTCGTCATCCTCTCCTTCCCCTTTAGCACCACTGGCAAGCAAATCCGCAAAAACATCGCCATCTTCTACATCCTGAGTCTCATCAAGATACGCATCGTTGTCCAGGGCCTCCAATACCTCCCTTAAATCAGGATCCATGTCCGGCTGAAATCCCCCAATGGCGTCTGGTATCTCTTGCTGGTTTTGATAGTCAATCTTCACTTTAGTTTCCGATGGGACTGGAAGCAGTTCTTCCGGAAGTCTGATCTTTATATCTCCTTTGTTGAGCCTCTCCGAAGAATCTCCGTCTTTCGCTATGAATATACCGTCGCCATGTCCTATAGGCCGCAGATGCTGCATGTAGTCATACTCAGTGTCGTCGAACGGAATGCCGTAAAGCGCAGCTTCTCCTTCATTTACACGAGTCTTTCCTGAGAACTCTTCCTCGAGATCTTGTCCAGTGGCCAAACGAATATTTGCACCCTGGGCTCTTTGCTTGTTATCAGTGTGTACTGGGACGAAGACACTCTCTCCTGCCTCCTCATCATAAAACAGTGGATCATCGCGTGATCTATGCACCAGAGCAAACGTCTGGCCCTTTTTCTTATCGATCCACTTCTTTGTAGACATTTTCCACTTGAAAATTGCTTTGATATCGGCTTGGTTACGACATTCAAAAAGTTGCAAGCCTTTGATGCAGAAGGCCTCTATAAAAAAAAATTGAGATTGATATTGACACTACGATTACATTTTGCCAGGACACGTTCCTTTAGACATGTTTATACTTGACATCTGACTAACTTAGGAGTCTGATTGAGAACCTGTTTATTGGTGATCTCTTGATATAATTCTTTTAATCTCTGTGTTTCATGAAGATCAAGATCAACAACTGGCATGCTGTCTATGCCTGGCATTGGGATGTTTCCGAGGACGAGGTTTGCGGTATATGTCGCGTATCTTTCGATGGAACCTGCCCTGCTTGCAAATTCCCAGGCGACGATTGTCCTTTGGGTAAGTGCTTTATGATATGATAACTCCGCTCATTTAGTGCCATTTACTAACGTGTCCAGTTGTTGGTGAATGCCAACACTCGTTCCACATGCACTGCATACTGAAATGGCTGGAGACTCCAACCGCAAAAGGTCTTTGTCCAATGTGTAGACAAGCATTTACGGTCAAAGGGGATCATGTGAACTTCCAGATACCTGCTGTTCCTCGTGACGTCAACAGCGATGCGGGCTCGTTTGATGCCGACTTTGAGATGGAAGCTGAGACCAATGAGATATGACGAGAGCCTGGAGGAAACATCGAAATCGGATCGCGAACTGCGGATCTCTTTTGGTAAATTTACGCTTTGCAAATCGGATAACTGCTGATTCGATAATTGGATCTGCTGAAGAAATACCGAAGTGGACAACTTGGGACACCCCAGATGGCTGGCCACTAGGTCACCATCACCTTGCATTACATCGCACTTGCATGGCAGCACAACAAGTCTGTGCTGCTCCCGTCGCTTTAAAAACATTAAAAGAATAGCTTTTTCAAATCAATAATTCTCTCTAATATGTTTGTTCAATTGGCCCCTTCCAATGCCTGAAACTTTTTATTTATCCGGCATTTTCCCGAGTCGTGCGCCGCACGTGATTTTTCAAAAATCCAGCCTCCAAAATACTTCACCGTATGACTCTATCATCTGTAACAAGACTTCAACCACCAACCAACGTCCCGACTGCGTTTCAAAGCCGAGAAAACAGCATCGTTTACATCACCATGGCCAACACGCCTGAACCCAAAACTTCCTACACCATAGTGGTCAAACTGGGTTCTTCATCCATCGTGGACGAGGTCACCAAAGAACCCAAGATCTCTATCATGTCTAGGATAGTGGAAACACTGGTCAAACTACGACGCGATGGCCACAAGGTGGTGATAGTGTCTTCAGGAGCAATTGCCACTGGTTTAAAGCACCTGAGCCTGGACAAACGTCCGAAGAAGCTGGCCCAGGTACAGGCACTGGCAGCTATCGGCCAAGGAAGGTTGATCACACTTTGGGACAGTATGTTCCGCCATTTCAATCAGGTCACCGCTCAAATTCTGTTTACGAGAAATGACATCACAGATTATACACAATTTAAAAATGCTGAAAACACACTGGAAGAGCTCATCAACATGGGCGTGATTCCCATTGTCAACGAGAACGATACGCTTTCGGTTCAGGAAATCAAGTTTGGTGACAATGACACGCTGAGTGCGATAACCGCAGGAATGTGCCATGCAGATTTTCTGTTTCTTCTAACAGACGTGGACTGTCTATATACGGACAATCCTCGGACCAACCCCGAGGCGAAGCCCGTTCTCGTGGTGAGGAACATGAAGAACCTCAATGTGAACACGAAATCCACGGGATCCGCAATAGGAACCGGTGGGATGACTACTAAGCTGATAGCAGCTGATTTGGGTACGAGTGCAGGCGTCACAACGGTGATTTGCAAGAGTACTGTTCCTGAGAACATCCTGGCCATAGTGAATCATAGTAAAGAAAGCGACGTCAAGCTGGTATCTGATGAGGAATGGGAGAACGAATCCTTCGAGGATTTCGAGAAGTTGAATTCAGAAGAGTTCAATACCTTGCAGCGTCTGAATCTCCCTCTTCATACCAGGTTCATAGGCCAATCCGTTCACAACACAATCAAAGATAAGGAGTTCTGGCTTTTGCACGGACTGAAGCCAGCTGGTGAGTTGATCATTGATCTGGGCTGCTACAAGGCCATCACAAGAAAAGAGAAAGCGGGTCTTCTTCCAGTGGGAGTCATCACCACCGAGGGGACTTTCCATGAGTCTGAGTGTGTGGAGTTGAAGGTTGGAGTTAGAGATTCTAATGGAGATTTGGATAGGTCAACCCCGCTCATTTACATTGGACGGGGTCGTTGCAACTACACGAGCTCAGAGATAGAAAAGATCAAAGGATACCAGAGCAACCAGATAGAGTCAATATTGGGGTTCGCTGATAGTGAGTATGTGATCCATAGGGAAAACCTTGCATTTCCTCCTCATCAGGACATAGATGTTGAAGGGTTGTTGAAGGAGTATGCCAGTTTGAGGGTATAGAGAAATGGCTCCAACTTATAATGTCATTTGTCTAACAACCAACTTATGATTTCCTAAGCCTTGTCAAGTTGCAGTTTATCCTGAGAAGAGCCTAGCTTCCTCAACCGCAAATATGTATCGCTGCCGTAGCCCTCTAATGAGTACATGTTCAGATCACCATTCCAGTAATCCGTGTAGACCTTACACATAGGCAAACTGATACCCAACGTGAACTCAAAAGGTCTCGTGATCAGCGAACTCAAAGAACCCTTGGCCTTCATCGATGTCTCACGAGTTTCCATATCTCCCAGTTGTTGAAGTAAGCTTTGGCTACCCGAGGTTGCTGATATGGCCTCATGCGTAGCATTGCTCTCAAGTATAGGAAAACGTGGAGTCAAATTCAATCCCGGAAGACTATGGAAGTTCGAAAGACTCTTTCTGGCCAGTTCTGGAGACCTTCCAAAGGACCAGACTCCGGGTAAATTCTCTTTCTTCATCCCACCGCCCTGGTCTGAAAACTTGAACGTTATGTCCTTCTTCGTCTGGGCTATCATCACTCTTATGGGAGGAGGCTTAATCTTGGTAATATCCTCCGTAGAATTTTCGTGTCTTTTCACAAAAGCCTGAATCGTGGACTTGTAAGCGTTTCGGGTAATTTCTCCAAAAATGTAGTTCAGATGTGAAGGCATGAAGGGAAAACTGACATCGTCTCCTTCAATGATGAGCTCTGGCATTTGCAAATGTGGAAAAAGAGAACTCAAAAAGTTAGAGGCTGTATTCTTACAAGCAGTGAGATTGTCTATGGCAGAACATTGTTTGAAAACATCGCCAATGTAATCGGACGGTCTTTCCTCCTGAGCACCCTCTCTGAAATTTTTGGACAACGAGATATGTTGCTCTATGATAACTCTTCTGCTGATACGCGATCTGATCATAGACGACATAAATGCATCAAGCTCAGCCTGAGGCAACGATTGCAAAATAGAGCACTCCAAAGCTCCCATCATCAAATGCGGCAAAATCAGCAAATGGTCATCTAACACCTTTTTCAAAAACACGCAGAACTCGTCATTCTCCTCTAATGTCTCGATTCTTGGCTTCCACCTGAACATATTAAAACAATGGCAATAACTCTCATAGACTTGAGCTATGTGGAAGTTATTGACAACGCCAAACGGCAGTTTTTGCAAGTCCTTTATTCTAAGCGCAAGTCGCACAGGCAACTCGGTTCTCACAAAGTTGGCACTGCTAATGACCTTTTCCTTGGTCAGCTTTTTGCCAAAACCAGCCAACTGTCTCAGAGAGACTGGATGGGGCGTTCGCTCAGCCCACGTCAAGATAATGCTGTTGTGATAGAAATGCTGGGGGTTTAGCAGTAGGGAATAGCCGGGGAAAGGGGCCAGATCGTGGACGTTCTGTGTGATTTCGGACAAACCCACGTCGTAGCCGTGAGATGAAACATTGTGTGCGCCAATGGGAATTCGTGGTTTAGCCAGTCGTATCCTAGAAGTTCTGAGCATGTTTCCAGGCGTGTTTGTACTCTGGTGATTCGTGGTGTGTGTCTTATCATGTGGAGCCTGATAAATGACTCTTACTATAGGTCGTGCCATTATCACATGTTTTGGGTCGTGTTTGCACCAGTAATTGAGACCTCAGTGCTCGCACATAATCTCTCACCGATATCTCTGGCGCATATTTCACCGCGTTGAGTCTGACGTTATAGCACAAATATTTCAAGATGTCGACAAATGCCAGGAGAAGATTGATGAGAGATTTCAAGGTATGTCTAATTTCTTCGAAGTTGAGCTGGATATTGGCAATTTCACGGGAAGCCTGTCTGCTCCACACGCCGCCACCGGTGGGATATCAAAACGCATTACTAACACCACTCAAAAGAGGATACAGCAGGATGCTGCTGGAGGAGTGACTGCAGCTCCACTCCCGGATAATGTGATGATCTGGAATGGGATCATCATAGGGCCTCAAGATACACCTTTTGAAGACGGGACATTTAGACTCACACTTACCTTTGATGAGCAGTATCCAAACAATCCGCCCAACGTGAGATTCACTTCAGAGATGTTCCATCCAAACGTGTACGGAAACGGTGATTTGTGTTTAGATATTCTCCAGAATCGGTGGTCGCCTACGTACGATGTCGCCAGTATTCTGACGTCAATCCAGTCGTTATTGAACGATCCCAATATCTCCAGTCCCGCCAATGTGGAGGCGGCCAATCTATACAAAGACCACAGATCACAATATATCAAAAGAGTGAGGGACACAGTGGAGAAGAGTTGGGCCGAGGATGATGATGACGATGACGACGATGACGATGATGACGATGACGATGACGATGATGATGCGGAAGACGCATGAAGCTAAGTTGTCTGGAAGAGGGCGAGAATGCCCGATTTTGAAATAAGACCGGAGTATAGGCGTGAATACCCAATTGTTACCAGAGGATTCTTTAATTGGGCAGAACTCGTGTTCAAGACCTGCTACACGTATCATATCATTTGCATCGCCAGGTGTTGATTCAAGAACGCTTTGAATCAGACTGGGTCAAAAGAGTACATTTTCAAGAAATTGTTGTAAAAATTGTAGGATTTTCGTTGTATCCTGGCGTGAGAATTACCAGAATCGCTTTAAACGTATGCACAGGCCTCTTCCAAACTCTGAATCTATTTATCGCAACCTCCTAAGTTGCCCCATATTCATCTTATCATAGTACCCACTCGTTCCACTTTCTAATGCAACCATAAATAGTACCACTTCTTGGCCTTTGCCCTCTCTGAAGCCAGCCTTTCCTCTATCTCGGCCTCGGCTACCTTTCTGGCCAACTCCCTCTCCATCTCCTTCTCGGCCACAAACTGCTCATATTCGTTCACAGGTGCCACATTGGACTTCTGAACCCTTCTGTCCCTTCTGAAGTTCATGATAGTCAATGCTATAACCAGAAATATCACCGTCTTCGAAAGAGGGTCCATCTTGGTCTCCTTCTCATACTGTTTCTGCCTTGCATCACCGGCAGCTCGTAGATTCACTGGAGCTGTCTGAGTCACTCTGGTGGTGCTCTTTGGATCGTCTGAGTACAGGAAACTGGGGATCTTGAAGGGAAGATCTGGGGGAGGAACGTTCTCTTCCACCTTGGGAAATCCTTCTCTTGGCCCGTAATTTGCATATGCCACAAAGTAAAACATCCTCTTGACCTCTTTCGGCACACTGGTCCATTTCATCTTTGAGTACTTATTTTTCAACTCTTCCAGGATGTACTGTTGCTGGACATATGGAGCTTTCAGAAAACTGGAAGTATCGGCGTATATCTCGGAAACATCGAAATTTTGAGGGATTTCGTCGTCGTCACCATTTCCAGTAGGACTCAAAATCGAGAACACGTCTTTTAACGACGAGGCAGCGAGTTTATTTCTCTCCTTTTTGATCTGAGCTAGAGATGCCCGTTTCTTTGGGGCGACCTCAGTCGTAGCACTGGTCTTTGTGGAATTGAACCTTACGGTCCCTGTTGTTCTCAAAACAACATTTGATCGTCTCAGAGCCACTATCATTGTCAGCTGTCACCAAATCGGTCAAAAATAACGTGAAATTGGCTTGTTGTTGGCCTCTTTGAGTTCGCGAAGAGAACAAGAAAGATTCAAGATTATTGCCCATTTTGGTTACGAGCCAGGCCGGGGCATATCTACCATTTCTGAACGACACTCCCTCGAATCCAGATAGAAGCCGAGAAAGTCTCTTTCTTTATATTCAGTATTCTCCCACAAAAAACAATAATGTCTGAAAAATTCGATCCATCCGCCTTCCTGTCTAAGATCATTGGCCAGCCGGTGATAGTGAAACTGAGCAGTGGGCTGGAGTTCCACGGAGACTTGCAGTCAATTGATGGTTTCATGAATGTGGTTCTGGAAGACACCAAGGAGTACAACAAGGGAAAGTTGACAAAGACATATGCAGATGCTTTCATTAGGGGTAACAATGTGATGTATATATCACAGGCCTAAGGATATGGTGGGTGTGGAGCTTATTGGTGTAAGATAGTGTTGTTGACCGTGTGACTGTTGAGTGTCGAATTGATGATTACTGGTTTTGAAGGGTATCTCATTGGAAGACCAAAATCGTTATTGGCTATGGCCAACTATGCGGTTGTGAATTAGAGCACAGTGACTATATAGTCACAATATGTTGGCTGTCTATTTATTAGGTGAATCTTCTGTATAATGCCAAAATCTACTTCATCTAAGTTTGAACTCGTCTTAATCTGCTCTATATTACTTACAGCTGTTTCAATCGATCACTCGCTATCATCACCATCAGCTGGTTCTTGGTTTGCGTGCGTCTCCTCCGTCTCGTCTGTATCCTGTGTAGACTTCTTATGTTTTCTCTTTCTTCTCTTTTTATCCCCCAAATCGTCACCATTTCCCTCATTTTGATTGTTCGTGTCATTTGCATCTTCGGATGTCTTTTCAGTCTTCTTCTTTTTCATACTCAAAGGATTGGGCTCCTTGGGACCTCTCTTTCTTTTCTTCGGCTTTTCAGTCTCAGTTCCTTCAGCATTTGCTTCAACCTTATCTCCACTAGCAATAGCTTTAGGCTTCTCTGTCTCAATTACACCAGCATGCTTTGAGTTCAATCCGCCTGTCAACTTTCCGTTCTCGATTCTCTGCTGAACCTTCATACTAGCAGGACTGAGTGGTTCCATGATCATAACTGATCTATTCATGTAAATCAAAGGAACACCTGGAACACGTCTCAGAGCCTTCCTCAGCTTCTCGTCTTGGGTTGCCACTAAGTATCTGTGCTTGTTTTCACCTTTGACATCCACTATAGACTTGATACACTCGTATGACGAAAGAGTCTCTCTGTGATTGCACCGCCTCTTCTCCATGGTCTTCGCAATCTCGATAGCGGGCTGGTTGCGCGAGTCGTAGAGATGTTGAATACAGCATTGAGTAATCATCATCTTTGGGTCGCTCTGAATCGTTCTGGCAATACCTTTAGTAAGTTCAAAAGCTGTCTTTTCACAGTGCAAGACCAACTCGGAATCCGCCAGACACTGAATGGGGAGCATGAATTTGAAAGTATGCTGGTAAGCCTGCATTTGCTTACGGTAAGCCTTGGCTCTCTTCTGTTTCATATTGGGTAGTGACTTGTCGATTTTTCGCAGGTTAAAGCTCTGGCTCTAAACACTTATCTATGTACATTTGAAATATTTGGAATATTTTGAAAAAAAAATTGAGTTGAGTATCGGACGACCTTCTCCACACTTCGTGAGGTTCAAATTTTTCAATTGCTCTGCTTGAGTATCCCATCCAATTATTTCCATTATTTTTCAAAAGTTTTGAAGCAAAGAGATCCCATGGTACCACCAAATCCAAAACTGTTCGAAATAGCCGCTCTGATAGACTTCTCACGTGCAACGTTGGGGACGTAGTCAAATACAAAGTCCTCGGGGTTATCATCAGGATGACCACCGATCGACTCGAGATTGAGAGTAGGAGGCATGATATTATTGGTCAAAGCCAGAATGGTGAAAATGGATTCAACAGCACCGGCTCCACCTAGAAGATGGCCTATGGACCCTTTGGTGCTGCTAACACCAACATCTGTACCACGGTGACCAAACAGAGCCTTTAAAGCAAAGTTCTCTGACCGATCACCCAGAACTGTCGATGTAGCATGAGCATTCACATAGTCGATATCTTCAGCAGTTAAACCAGCCTGTTTGATTGCAAATTCCATGGCTCTTGTTGCTCCAGTGCCAGCAGGATCTGGTGATGTGATATGAATTGCATCTCCCACGATGCCATAACCTCCAACTTCAGCATATATTTTTGCACCTCTGCTGAGAGCATGGTTCATTTCCTCGAGGATCAAACATCCCGCACCTTCGCCAAGTATGAACCCGTTTCTCTGGGCATCAAAAGGCCTGGACGCCCTTTCTGGCTCATCGTTGAAGCTGGTGACCAGGGATTTGGCCCTGGCAAACCCACTCAGTGATACCGGGTGGATGGCAGCTTCTGTTGCTCCCGCAACCATCACGTTCGCATAGCCATCCTTAATGAACCTGGCAGCATCTCCAATGGCATGGGCACCCGTAGCACACGCCGTAGAAACAGCGTGGTTGGGTCCTTTGAAGCCGTGCCTGATGGAGACGTTACCTCCAGCCATATTGACCAAAAGTTTCGGTATAAATAGTGGCTTCACTCCTCTGTAGCCCTTGTTATGAAATGCAATTGAGTTTTCATAAAATTCATCTACTCCTCCAATCCCAGAGCCGAATGCGACTCCGGTATTGTATTGGTCATCATCGCTCTTAGGGAACCAATTGGCATCCTCAAGTGCCTCTTGCGAAGCAGCAATAGCATATTGTATGAAGGGCGATAGTCGCCTAACCTCATGTGATTCCAAAAAATTGGTTGGGTTCCAAAGCCCAGGACCGTCTCCTGTAGGTACCTTTCCAACAACTCTATTGGGGATTCCCTCGTAGTCCGCAGCATTGGAGAGGGTGGAGGTGGAGACTAGTCCTGACTTCGAGCCAATCAGATTTCGCCATGAGGTCTGGATTCCAACTCCCAGCGGAGAGACCATCCCCATTCCTGTGACTACCACTCTTTTCGCACTCATGGTATGGTGACTTTTTGGAGTGTGAGAGACAAGACATTGGCATAGAGATATGAGGTTAATGTGAGGATGATCTCCAGAATTGGGAGCATCACGTGACTCTCCCGATTGTACGAGCTCATCTCTAGAATTTTTTTTAGACAGGCTTGATGAAAAATTATCTGATAATACTCAAGCGGTCCTGATCGTCGTCATATATTCATCTCAAATTTAAAAATGGCTGGCTCTCAGCTGAAGAAACTAAAAGAGTCACTACGTGAGGCAGGTTTGACTGGTCAAACCAACGTCAAGAAGAAGGGAAAGAGAAGCACACAGAAGACCCCCAATGAGACAAGGAGAGACGATAGAAAGAAGGTGGTCCAAGGAATTCGCGAGCAGTTCAATACTTTTGATACCAAGTTCAACAAGAACAAGAGAGACACAGCCACAAAGACTGCTGTTGGCAGACCAAGCGCTGCGAAATCCGAAGCCGAAAAAGAGCGCAAGAGAGCATACGATGCACTCAAATCCAGAAAGAATAAGACCGGTGGAGTATATGATCGTCGTTTCGGTGAAAATGATTCAAACATGACAGCTGAGGAGAAAATGTTGGAAAGATTTACCAGAGAAAGATTGGCACAGGCATCGAAGAGGTCGATGTACAATTTGGAGGACGATGATGACGACATGCAGTTGACCCATTCCGGAAAGTCATTGTCGTTTGGTGATCTTGATAACGAGGAAGAAGAGGATGACGGTGGATTTTTAACCAAGAAAAGAGATTTCGAAGAAGGTGACTCGGAATCTGAGGCTGAAGTCCAGCCTGGTAGGAAAAAGACCAAGGCCGAGGTGATGAAGGAGGTGATTGCTAAGTCGAAATTCTACAAGCACGAGAGACAATTAGAGAAGCAAAGACTTGAAGAGGACATTGGAGAGCTTGATGACAACTTTGATGATGTTATGTCTGAGCTTCGTGGAGTTCCTCAAGAGAAAGGTCCACTTTTCAGCACGAAATCCGAGGACAATATCAAGTACGACACAGCAGTCAGATCGCTTACACTGGAGAGAAGAGCCGTACCGGCTGATAGAGTGAAGACACAGGAAGAGCTTGAGAGTGAGCACAAGGCCAAAATGGAGAAGCTGGAGGCTGATAGGAAACGCCGTATGGAGGGAATGGTCGAGAATGCAGACACCAGAGCTGATGACTTGGAGGATGACTTTTTCCAAGGCACCGACGAGGAAGACGAGGAAGACGAAATCAGACTGGCCGAGGATGATGAAGAGGAGGAGGAGCTTTTTGATAGCACCAAAATCACCGGAACAAACAACATCAAAATTGGCGGAAAGCCCGAATCGATCTCGTGCCCCAACAGTCTTGAAGATATGTTGAACTTGTTGAAAGACTACGAAATCTTGGAATATCCAAACGTAATCAAGAAGGTGTTGAAGACATATGATCCGAAATTTGGTGAACAGAATAAACCCAAAATCAGAGAGTTTTCAAAAGTCCTGGTTGACCTGATTGTGTATCTCACCGACGAGGGTGCCAATTCAGAGGTTCTCGAAGGCATCATTTCCAAAATCAAGCCTCTAGTTGAGAGATATCCTGAAGAAATGTACGAAAAGTTCAGATCGTACCTTTTGTCTGCTTCCACAAGACCCGACATCAGAAAATCTGATCTGATTGTTTTCACCTTGGTTGGAATGACATATTCCACTTCAGACCAGTACCATTTGGTCGCTACTCCAGCCACATTATTGATGTGCGAGTTTCTAGAAACCACTGAGATTGAAAACAACAGAGACCTCTTTGTGGGCGTGTATTTTGCTACTCTTCTGGTGAGATATCAGAGGATATCACAGAGGTATATCCCAGAAGTGGTAAGCTTTCTCGAGAAAGCATTGTTGAAGTTGGTTCCAGAACCTGAAAAGATTGAATCACAACTTCTCTCCAGCACACATTCAAAAATAATTTCAACAAGTTTAACTCTAGAGGAGATCGCATTGCCAGAATCCGACAAATTGTCCCTTTCTCTGTTGGATTCCAGGTCAAAGTCAGTCACGCAGGCCCTGCTATCAAAGGCCTTGAGCACAATCGATTTGCTCATTCCTCTGTGGCAGCAATTCACATCTTTCACAGAAATCGTCACACCATTTATTGCAATTTTGGATCATTTGCTCACCAAAGTGGAGTCCACAAAAATCAACACTCTTCACAGCAAGCTGGTCAAACTGAGAGATGTTTCTCTCGCAGAGAGAAGACCACTGAAATTGCAAGCCCACCGCTCTATCGCAATCGCCTCGACATTGCCTAAATACGAGGAGAATTTCAACCCTGATAAGAGTTACGATCCAAATAGAGAGAGACTGGAGGTGAGCAAGCTGAAGGCCCAATTGAAGAAGGAGCAGAAAGCAGCATTGCGCGAGATCAGGAAGGACTCTAGGTTCATTGGTAAGCAACAATTGGACGACAAACGCAAGGAAATGGACGAATATCATGCGAAAATGTCCAAGATCGTCAACAGCATCTCCACCGTGGAGGGGGCAGAGAAAAACCAGTATGCTAAGGAGAAGAGAAGACGTTGAGATCCAATGGAGTGGTATAGGAGCTAATTTGGTGGCTCAAATAATCATCAGCATGTAATTAAGATCATATTCTGGTTGTCAGTAGTAACATTAGTATTGAGCAACAAGCAGCTTATTAACCCAAATGACAGTCATCCCGTCATTCACTAAACTTTTGGCACCATTCTAGTATCAACTTTACCATCAGCATGTAAGTATTACCCTCATGGCCAAGTCTTTCCTTAGCCTTCCTCACCTTATCCCCTGCTTGTGCTTGTATATTTGATTAATCAACCCTAACACTCCCCCATCATCATCCTCTTCCGATTCCACCTCCTGTTCCGCAACAGACTCGCCGAGAACAAAACTTGAGTTTATGTATTCATCTCCAAAGCCAGGCCGTGATGGAGGCAAAAATTGGGATTGCTGCTGGAGTTGCGGTGTGTATCGCTGGTTGTAGATACTCTGGTTGAGACCAGAATGTGTATCAATCATAGAATTCTTCATAGCAGACTTAAAGCCGAGGTTCTGAATTGCGTTCTTTCTGGAAGGGACGCGGTTTTTCTCCATGGTCGGCTGCTCATTTCCATAAGTCTCCAGGAAATAGAGATATGACTTTGCCATTTTGTCGTCATTAGAGGAATAGTACTCATCTCTCAACCCATCCTTGTCACTTCTGTCGAACTCAAACTTTGCAAAACGACAAACGTAGCCAAGACCCTCGATGTGAACGCTGAACTCTCTGAAGAAGTCTATTATCCGTTCTGAGGATTCGGGAAGCTTGAAGTAAAGCAAGTAAGGCAACATCACGAAACTCATGAGCTCCTTGGCCACGAGAACTATCCTCAGGTTGAACAGTTTGCAAAACTCGTTCTTGACTGCCTCAGTGTGATATTTACCAGCCCACTCGTTTGGGAGATAATGAGTATATTGTGAAGCGTATCTCAGGCTGGCTTCCGGGTCAAAGACGGTGTTTGTATCCGGAAGCGCACCTTTGCAAACCGTGAAAATTGCACCCAAAGCGGAGATGTAAAAAAGGACGGTGTGACCCTCGGTCAGCTCCAAATTCAGAAACTGCTCAGGATCAATAATAGTCAGCAGAACTAGCACAGTCACCAAAGATCCAGAAACAAAGGATACGAACTTGAGCAAAAGAGTAGTCTTCTCCTTGGGAAACTGGTTCACATAGACAGAGGCTGGCTCTGTCGAAAGAGCCAGGCGTTTCTTGAAGATATGAGGGAGCTCATTGAACTCGCGAAGCCTCCAACGAGCATCGGGAGAGTATTCCCTCGCTGACAGCAGCGCCGGGTTAGTCTTAAAATCGTAGAAGAATTTGAGGAAATAGTACAGCAAGAAATACACCACTAAAAATGGCGAAAGTCCTATGCTGAACATGCCGGCCATTCTGAATCGTTTGCGCAGTTCTGTAGACAATCCGAATCGCCTGTTCTCGTTCAAAACAGAAGGTCTCAACTGGCCCATATCGTTGAACAAAAAGTCAAAGATACACAATTTCAGATTCCATTCAAGCGTCTTGGTCAAGAAAATTGATCCTCCAATGGAAAGAGATGAGTTTAATATCTTCTTGTTGAACATGGCCACCATATAGTTCTCCTTTCGCATGAGACGATTGGCTACATCGTGAGCGCTAAGCTTCTTCTTAGACCTCAGATCGTCGTGTTGAGTAGCAGAAATCAGTGCATTTGTATTTTGATCGCGGAGAACCATGATCTTCTTCACGATAGTGGCCCAGCCAATCGTCTGGAGTTCGTCGTCTCCCAATCCCAGAAGCAAGTTGTAGAAATTCCTGATGTCCTTCAAATTGCGGTACTCGTCAATAAAAGTGCGCAATCGCAATCCCAGAAGAGCCATGAGTATCAGATAGAGCATCTTCTGAAGAAAAGACATCTTCGAATAGCATTTCGGGATCTTCACCTCCGAGAACTTAGTCACTCGAGTGTGCATTAGGGTTGTGTAATCAATACAGTTGCCCATGAAACTAACCAGCCAGATCACAAAAACAATTGTGAGTGTGTCAAATAACCTCTTCAGCAAAATGCAGTAGAACCCGTTCCCAAGGTAGTATGAATACACGTCCATTAAAAACTTGTCCAGATTAGAGACGTTAGCCCACATCCAGAGAGACCTTTCCATAGGCGTAAGGATACCAGTCCGTTCTCGGAATCGATGCTGTTCATCAGCACTTTGCGTAGGTCTTCTTTGTTGCTGTGGAGTCGCAGCCGGAGAAGGGGATAGTTGTGGGGGCCTTCTCTGGGGTAGTTGGAACGTTATCCCCTTTGGGATCGTCCTATCAGCGAAGTTTCGAGCGTGAATCTTCACATTTTCGGCCAGAGTAGGCTGGTGCGGCCGTGTATCACGAGTTGGGGTGGCTGGAGAAGGCAAAAAATCCTCCATCATCAAACTCTCGGGAACACCACCAGCACCAGCTTCATCGTCATAGCCCGCATCCAGGTTGTCTGTACTCGAAAAGTTGTCCGAATCAGAATGCAATGATGATGTGTCCAAATTCTGGGATGTAGCATGCTGTTCATAAAGATCTCTAGGCGGGTCTTCGTCGTCTTCTTCTTCCTGTTCGTCCTCTTCATTGTCATTGTCGTCGTCGTTGTCGTAATACTGGTGTTCGATATCGTCAGCAAACAAAGGGTTGGAGGCCACTGATCCGGGGTAAGCCGAATTTAACCCAAACACCCGCGACAGAAATGTGTGGTTGGTGGAGTCTCTCGGGTTTGCCATTGGAAGCAGGGTGAGGAGAAGGAGAAATAAGGATGGTGTATTGATGTCTTGTTCCATGGGGAAACGCCTCCTCTAGATAGCGACAGGTCTTATCGTAGTCGTGTGATTGCTATTTAGCGCCGCATCTTTGGAGGCTCAAAAGGAGGAAGAAGTTTTCTGGCAAAAGCTATGGATTTGGTGAAATTATTGGGTAAGAAAGGAATTTACGTTATTAGGGCAGCATATAGGGGGCATTTGCTCAACGTCAACCGTTGAAAGATTGGACAATCAAGAAGAGTGTGAGATTAAGTCAATAGAGTCAAGTAAGGTGGGTAGGAATACTGGATGTTACACATACAGGGCCTGGTTGGCACGTTTCTTGAGTGGCTATTAACAAAACCATCAGAATATTATTCTTTGCGATGAATTAAAATTTGTCTTTTCAACTGGAGTAAAGGAATACGGATACTCGTTTTCTAGTTTGCTACCAGACTGTTGGTAGTGTGCGTCAACTAAGATCGTCGCCGCACAAGTGACCACTGCCACATACTGGTAATCAATATCAATTAGCATAAATGTCGATCACCTCGAAGCGAATCGTGAAGAGTGAGAAACCATATCACAAACCCATACACGGTCTACCCAATCAAGACGGACGGCGTTGGCGCGTCACCAGGCCCGTCTCATCTTGGCTTGTCACGTGACATGCCAAAAATAAACCCTGTCTGTCCACGCCCCTGTTTCACGTGACATTCCAGACCGTGTGGGCGCATTTTGAACTCTCTAATTGCGCACTCACTTCAACAAATTTCACAAAATAAATGAGAAAGCCACAAATTCGGAAGTGTTTGACACGCTTATTAAAGCTTCTTTTTTAGATTTACTGCCAATTAGATCCGGTTTCTGGTCCAGAAAACAAAACCAGGTAGTGCAAAGCACAATGTATAACCGGGTAACCCGTCCCAAGCCTCTTTTCACCGCTGCGGAATTGCTATGCACAAAATGTGGTATTAAGGAATACAAACAGAATTCTTTTCTCTCTCTCTCTTTCGTTGTTACTGTGTCCTTTAATCCATCTTGCAGCTTTTGTTTGGTTTTGTTTGCCATATACCTGCTCTATTCTAAGTTTGGTTGCACCAAAGGAGCCTCTTTTCAGTCTTTTTTAGCGTTTCATCCCTTGTCTCCTGATCGCGATGTCGACAAGGAATTTGACAGCAGGTTCTCCTCATGCAGATTCCCAGCCATCGTCTGATGATAACGATGTGCGGAATCCATTCAACCAGGACTATGAGGTGCAAAGTTTTGATGATGATAGTTCTAACTCCTACGGAAATGACCAACTCTCAAAGCCTTTTCTAGATTCGCGAGACTCCTCCTCCACAAACGCGCTATTGGGCGGAGCCATGACACCTCTGGAGTATGATAGGTACCCCCAACCAGTTTCGAACAATTCGAGGGTGATTTCATTAGCGTCTTCGCGTGCAAGTTTGAACAATGGCTACAAGGCTGCCAAACGCGGTTCTTACAGCGGATCGTCTTCCACCAGCGACAAGTCTGGTAATCCGTTCCAGATTGACACAGATTTTTCGCCATTTGGAGGATATCCAGCTTCCTCGTTCCCGCTTCACATAGATGAAAAGGAGGCGGACGATTACTTGCACAACCCGGATCCCATTGTGGATGCACAGTACGAGAAGAACAGATTTGTTAGTGACCTCAAGAGCATGGACAAAAGATCTTTAGGGGGTCTTTTTGGTCTGTTGTTTTTACTTTTGGGTGGTGTTGCTGTGTTTGTGATTCTGCCTGTTCTCACATATAGTGGGGCTACGACCCACTCCAAGTGGCTTGACACATACACGATTCTCACGGAATACTCGTATCCGCAGCTTTCTGCGATTCGTACTGAGATGGTGGATCCAGACACTCCTGATTCTGCTTATACGAGAGAAGCCAAGGATGGATCATTATGGTCCCTGGTTTTTTCTGACGAGTTTAATGCAGAGGGTCGCACTTTCTACGAAGGAGACGACCAATTCTTTTATGCTCCAGATTTCAACTACGCTGCCACAAAGGATTTGGAGTGGTATGACCCAGATGCTGTTACCACGGCAAATGGAACTCTTGTTCTGCGTATGGATGCTTTCAAGAATCACGACCTCTACTACCGTAGTGGAATGCTTCATTCGTGGAACAGGCTATGTTTTACTCAAGGAGTTCTCGAGATCTCTGCGAAGTTGCCAAACTACGGAAATGTGACCGGTCTATGGCCTGGTTTATGGTCGATGGGTAACCTCGGAAGACCTGGATATATGGCTACTACTGATGGAGTTTGGCCATACTCCTATGATTCGTGTGATGCTGGTATCACTGCCAATCAATCATCTCCTGACGGAATTTCATATCTTGGTGGCCAGAGGCTGAACTCCTGTACCTGTAAAGGTGAAGATCATCCAAACAGGGGAACAGGAAGAGGAGCACCTGAAATTGATATTATTGAAGGAGAAGTAGACACGACAATCAAGAATGGTGTTGCTTCTCAATCGATGCAGATCGCTCCGTTTGATATCTGGTATATGCCAGATTACGAATTTGTTGAGGTTTACAACGCATCGATCACCTCAATGAACACTTACGCAGGTGGGCCATACCAACAAGCCGTCTCCGGAATCACAACTCTGAACACAACATGGTATGAGATGGGTGCAACTGGCACTCCTAGGCGATACCAGAAGTACGCGTACGAATACCTCAACGACAATGAGGATGGTTACTGCCGGTGGTTTGTTGGAGATAACCCAACCTTCACGGTTTACGCGAACGCACTGGCACCAAATGGTAATATTGGATGGAGACGTATCGCGAAGGAGCCAATGTCTATCGTTATAAACATGGGTGTTTCCAACAACTGGGCCTACATCGATTGGCCCTCTATCAAGTTTCCAGTCGAATTCACCGTCGACTATGTGCGGATCTACCAGCCAAACGACTCGATCTCACTTACGTGTGATCCAACCGACTATCCCACCTACGACTATATCCAGGATCACCTGAAGGCGTACGACATTTGGAATTATACCACTTGGGAGGATGCTGGTTATGATATCCCCAAGAACTCGTTGACTGGGTGTTAAATATTTCTTGTCAGTTTCCTTCTGGGGTTCCATATTGTGTTGCGGAATCTGATGCAAGTATTTTCTGCTCCAAGATGGAGTTAGTGTGTTATAGATGGAAGTTCTTAGGACCCATCACTATTGGCTCAACGCCAGACTGTTATTTGTTATTTTCTGCATGACAGTCTTATTAGTTATAAAAGAACAATAAGAACTGATCACTTTTTTTGACCATGAGGCATTGTATCTTTTTGACCTTCCCAGGGTTATGTCTTCAAAACCTCCACAATCTCGTTGATTCCATTCACCAATCCAGCCTGTTTTACTCCAATATCATCACAAGCAATGAACTCAACTCTGTTGTCCAGAAATTCGCCGATATTGAGATCTCTCACAATCTCATCGTAATTGCCTTGAATCAGCAAATTGACATCTTCATGCCTCTTCACAGCTGCTTTCACCACCGAAGAGCCTGCCACAATCGTCGCCAAAACTGTCGTTTTGTCTGTGCTCTTTAAAAATTTCACGAGGTCACGATACTGCGATTCCCGCTCACGATCGGGAATGTCGAGGGCCTTAAAGCCAGGATCGGTGCGAAACTTTCGCTTGAACTCGGCATAATAGGTGAAAAGTTTAGGGCTACCTTTCACGAATTTGACAAAACTGGCCAATGGCGACTCAAAGGTAGATTCTGTTTCATCTTCAGCAATATTTTTACCCATTTCAGTGGCCCAGTAGTCAAAACATGCCTTCCTACCGCGATTGTCTGCTATAGCATAAAACCCTGGAGATTCAATCAGCTGTTCGGCCACGAGCTCCCATGGAGCAAACCGATCAACACCTTCTGAGCTTAGCATCGCCATGAACTCGGTCCAGCCAGGTTTATTGGTCTCGCTATCTTCAGCTGAGACACTCTCGTCGGATTCCAAATCTGAAAGATTGAGTCCTCCTTCTGAGCCAGACTCGTCAGTTGGGAGATCCGTCATCGATTCCACAGCAGAGCTCTCGCTTTCAACGGAAGCTCGGTTTTCGTCGCTACTCTGTTTTGGAGCTTCATGGGGATCTTCCTCGTCACTAGAGGAGTCGTAACCTGATATCAATGGTCTTGAAGGGGTGGTACTGGTGAGTGGTATCTGTCCTGAGAGTCTTAGTGGTTCGGATGTTCCGACAGTTGAACCAGCTTGATCTGATAAAATATCCGAATTTTGAATTTCGTCTGCTGCAAAGTCATTTTGTACATCACTGTCGTCTTGCGCTTCTCTATCTTTTCTGTCTTCTTCACCTTGTTCTTCTTCACTTTCCTCGTCTTCATCTTCCTCTTCTTCCTTTTCTAATTTCAATCCCCTCGCCTTCGCTATCAAAACCAAAAACTCATCCACAATCATTTTTTCCCTCGTGAAGGACTCAACCTCTTTGTTTGGATACGTCCATGTAGACTGTTTCGTACTGGTATTGTGGAAGAAACGGTTGCCCGTAGTTGTGATTACCAGTACCCATGGTTCTGTCAGTGGCATAGTGAATTTTGGGGTCCCATATAATGGCGACTTTCTTCGCATCTTCTTTATTTTCGGTTTACGATTTGCCACCTCCAGCACTGGTCTATCGTAGGTGGATGTCTGAGTCTGCTCGTTGTAGAAGTAGACTTGGCCTAAGCATGTATTGGGTTAGTAACTTGCAAATGTCATACCAATTGGTTCTAAGCACTCACCATCTTGAGCTTGATGACTGGACCAGAACGGAGGCAGTCGCTGATCGCTCATTGAAAGCCCTATATTATTTAGAGCAAGACATTAGTCGAGACAAAGCCAGATGCGGCCCGCTCCTTCCTGATAAGGTGAAAATGGTTGTGTGCCCTTGTTCTTCTTGAGGTCACGTGATCTCTGGCCACCTTATGGAGACGTTGACGCCTCCAAAGCCAACTCCTAATCCCAAAACCATATCCTTTCTACTATATCTCCCTAATCATGTCCAGAAGATACGATAGCAGGACCACAATCTTCTCGCCAGAAGGACGCCTGTATCAGGTAAGTTCGATTATTTTTGGAATTGCGCGCCGCCACCTGGTGGCGTTAGGCCCGTCCGTTGACTAACATCTCCAGGTTGAATATGCTCTGGAAGCCATCAGCCATGCAGGCACAGCCATTGGTGTTCTGGCCAAGGATGGTGTTGTTCTCGCTGCGGAAAAGAAAGTCACGAGTTTGTTGCTGGAGCAAGATACCTCTGCCGAAAAGATGTATGTTCTGAACGACAACATGCTGTGTGCAGTTGCTGGTATGAACGCTGATGCTCTGATCTTGATCAACCACTCACGTGTGATTGCGCAGCAGTATCTGAAAGAGTACAATGAAGAAATTCCGTGTGAAACTCTGGTACGCCGCCTCTGCGATGTCAAACAAGGCTACACGCAGCACGGAGGACTGAGGCCTTTTGGTGTCTCCTTCATCTTTGCCGGCTTTGACGACCGGTACGGATTTCAATTGTACTCCTCGAATCCATCGGGCAACTATTCCGGTTGGAAAGCCACTAGTGCGGGTGCCAACACCTCCAGTGCTCAGACTCTTTTGAAGCAAGATTACAAGGATGACATGACATTGGAGGAGGCCAAGGAATTGGCACTCAAGGTGCTGAGTAAGACCATGGACAGCACTTCATTAAGCAGCGAAAAGATCGAATTTGCCACGGTGAAGCTCAATTCGAAGGGCATAGTTGTTCACCGCATATGGAAACCTACAGAGATCGATCAGCTGCTGAAAAGCACGGGTGTTGTGGGCGATGACGACGATGAGTTTTCCTAGATTAAAATAAACGATTCAGAAGATCAGCCAGGAGTATTCTGCACCGTCAGTAGCCTCCTCTAAGCTGTAGTGTTAATTCATCTGTTAGGAGCTTGAGCATACTATGGTTGTGAGCACCGGACCCCTCTCTCTACCCGACGTCTTGCCACTAAGAAAGGCTTTGAGGTAGACTGCCACTTATTCTGTATTTTTTCTATCAACAACTCCTACAAATGTCAACTAGAATTCTCGACGTTGTTTCAAGTAAGTTGCTATTGGTGACGTTGATTTGAACATGATCTGGCTTTCTTTCTGGATCAGATTACGGTTTGACTAACCCCTTCTCTTAGAACTGGCAGTGCCAGCCACCTTGGCTGTGATGGCCGCACAATACTCGATGTACGATGTTAAAGGTGGTTCTAGGGCTGTTATCTTTGATCGTTTTGAAGGTGTGAAATCTGGTGTAATTGGTGAAGGTACCCACTTCTTGGTACCATGGCTCCAGAAGGCCATCGTTTTCGACGTCAGAACAAGACCAAGAAACATCTCTACCACCACCGGCTCCAAGGATCTTCAGATGGTGAGTTTGACCCTCAGAGTATTGCACAGACCTGATATTCAGAATCTTCCTACGATCTACCAATCCCTGGGTCTTGACTACGACGAAAGAGTGTTGCCCTCCATTGGAAATGAAGTCTTGAAGACGATTGTTGCGCAGTTCGACGCTTCTGAGCTCATTACGCAGAGAGACGTGGTATCCAATAAGATTCGCAAAGAGCTCGGGGAACGTGCCCAAGAGTTCAACATTCGCCTGGAGGACGTTTCGATCACGCACATGACGTTTGGACGTGAGTTCACCAAGGCCGTGGAGCAGAAGCAAATCGCCCAGCAGGACGCCGAAAGAGCCAAGTTTTTAGTGGAAAAGGCCGAGCAGGAGAGACAAGCCTCTGTCATCCGGGCTGAGGGTGAGGCTGAGGCTGCCGAGCACATTTCCAAGGCCTTGCAGAAGGCTGGAGACGGTTTGCTGCTGATCCGTAGACTGGAGGCTTCCAAGGAGATTGCTGAGACATTGGCTGCTTCACCTAATGTGTCGTATTTGCCTGGTGGTTCCAAATCTGCGAACAACTCTCCCAGCAGCTCGTTGTTACTGAATCTGGGACGTTAAGCTGAACTGAAAAGATCGCTGGGATTCCACTTTGGAATGGTGTCAAACAGCGTGGCCAGTCACATGTACATAGCATCTAGCTTAAAAACAGTTTTTCTCAATTTCAAAAACTTCATACTTCTACCTCTCAAAAGTTGACGTCAATAGGCACCCCGTGCTAAAGAAAGCTCCAGGAGTAATTAGTGCGCCGATGTGGCCAGGACCAACGTCATTCAAGTGACAGTCTGGAGTTATAAAGATATAGAATATTCTATTCACTAGGTGTCTACCATAAACTTGGAAAGCAGGTTGACAATTGGTGTTATAGGCGAGCGATTTAATTGTGGCTAATGTAGTTATGCATTGCTCTTCATCCCCGCATGATAATACTATGCATCCATTTAGCAAGGATTAGTACCACCGAGATTGAAGCATGGTAGAGAGCATTTCGTAGCAAAAATTTACTTGGAATAGGCAATTATTATTAAAAAATTTCTAGCTGGCTGGTCAATTGGTGGTGTATTCTTATTTGGCAATTGGTGTAATACTATTCTGCAGTTGGTAGCCATACTTTGCTGAAGATGCAATTACAGTCTCAGCTAACGAGAAATTGCAGAACTCAATTGCATTTTGCCGAGTCGGCAAAGTGACCAATTTAATTACTTTAATTTGAGTCAATTGGTACAGAAAAATAGCCCTGGACACTCTTAGCTCACAACCAGGCCCCAGGATCAAGCCTCCAGACATGTCCTGCATTCCCACCTGAAAAATTACAATGCTACAATTTTTGCCTCATTTTCAGTACAATCTCATTAGGGTTAAATTGTAGAATACATTATGCACAAACACAAACAATTCCAAATCTCATTTTAGAGCCGGAGAGGAATCAAGAATAAAACGGGTTCAAGAAGGCAAAAGGAGAGTTCAAAATCCCGTAAAAGGTATAGTTCTTCTTGCGAAGATTAAAAAAAAGCTCGGATGCGAGCAAACCCGGGTAAAATGAATTTGTGATGTTAATGTCAGGACTCCCTCAGAACTCTCTCGAGCTCTTCAGATCTCGTGGCTATTTTTGGTGGTTGTACAAGTCCTGGACCTTAGACCTGGGAGACAGTTGGCACACCGGTTCTTGGGGCAGAAGAAGTGGCTCTAGTTCCAAGGAAACCGTTCTTCAAGATGGAGAGACCGGAGAAAACCAGCGACACCAAGAAGATGAAGAAAGAGAAGTACAAGAAGGCGACAGAGGCCTGGGCCTTGCGACATCTGTCAGTGGATCCCTGAGTAACCTTGTTGCCGTCCAAGTAGCTCTGGTTGTGGCAGGAGTGGCTTCTGATGGCAACGGCCAAGGCAGTGGCACCCGAGAAGGTGAACACAAAGTTCAAGAAGTCAAACAGAGCCAAAAGAATTGGCCAGGCGAAGACCGAGATAAAATTGGCGAGAATACCGTAGAACGAGGAAAACAGTAAACCAAAGGCAGCGGCAAAAACAGCGAAGTTGACCTGGGGGTTGCTATTGTCGGCAGTTGCGGCCAAAGAACCGGTCAAACCGAGGATGATAACCAAGAAGGCAAAGTTCACGACTCTGAGGGAAAGATCACCAATTGACAACATTATAAGCGGATGATTCAGATGTTCGAAGGTTTGGTTGAATTGATGGAAGAAAGAGGAAAAAAGGGGATGAAGTGTATTAGAAATGCAAAGTCAAGGGGGTATTGGAATTTATAAAGCTAGTTCTCCCTAGAATTGCTGTCACTGTGCTATCCGGATAGGTTAATTCTCTTCGGGCGGCTCTTTTCTGTCGGTCAACCCGTCCTATGCGGTGTTTACATTTTTCCCCATTGGCATAAGCGAGGTGAAGACAGTTTCATCGAAGTTGGTTACAAACGCTGAAAATTGGTGTTAGCTTGCTCAGTAACTAGTTAAGAAAATGGTGCTTCAACGTTCATCTTGTGGTCTCTACTTGTGTCTTGTTAATGGGTGAATTATCAGGCCAGCCCCATAAACGAAACAGCTGGAACCATCAGCGCACCGCCACAGAACAAAAGTCGTGCTTATGTAAAAGTCTTGAGTTCCCAATCGGGAAGACTGTTGTTTCCCAATTCGGCGATATCTTTGAAGATCCTGCCTAATTAGGTCAGATTGTTTACGCAGGCTGAAATTTTACCCCTTGTACCCGGACCAGGTGTGGCCTCCGAGAGACCCTAAAGGAACGTACGGACCTGTGTTTTTTGCCGACTCGCTCGAAACAATTGCAAATGTAAACACACCTCATCTAATCGTACATGCCGATAACCGACAAATGGGGACAATTGATGCATTCCACCATGTTTGGCGATAATCAACCCTGTGATAGAATAGCTAAAACTGACTTGAGAAAGCTTCTATAAGTAAGAACCCCCTAACTACGGCTAGGCACTACTTTCTATGTCTCCATATCAGGTTGCTTTCGGGGACTTTAAACCGATGTTTGGTTTCTCCACACCGGAACCATCTCCTCATTAGTTCTTAGCTTTACGTGCTTTTCCGTAAAACATGAGAATTTCAAATAAAGAAGTTTAGACTCAAGTCAAAAATCTAATCAATCTTGATCGGGTCAAGAATAAATATTGAATATAAACAAATCCGAAGCCACATGGAAGTTCTAACTGAATTATGCAAACAGACAATCTTCTTCAGGCGTTCTCCTGCAGATGCAGCTATTTCGGCCAAGCCGTTATCGCTAACTACAATAGCGCCCGAAAGAGTAGAGAGTTTTGATTAGTGTATGTGTTAAAGAGTTTCCCCTGGCAGAAATATGTTTACTATTTGTCTTCAACTTGAAGCTGTTTTGACTGCATTTGAATTGTGAAGCTGTTTTTGCCTGGTTCGCCATATTAACGCTAAAGCAGGAAGCCGCATGGCGGGGGTAGTCGATTGTAGCTCCGTTGAATGGGATGTCTGAAAAACGGGTACGAAATGGCAATTGAGTCATGATGAAAGGGATTTCAATTTCTTAAAGTTTCATTATGGCGATAGTTGACGTTTCCAATTCTACCAAAGCTAGTGGTTGAATAATATGTCTGGTTTACCGTTTACGGTTTGTTCCGCTGCAGGTGGTAAGCTTACATTTTGACACGACTAATACACTAGCCTGAAGCGCTTGAAGAAATATGCTTGAAGAAATCTGCCTGGGACTCCTGCGAAAACCCATACATGTGGGTTTATTTCGGAAGAGAAAGAGACGCCTAAGCAGAAAAATAAATTGTGTATGTCCTGTATAGCTTTAACTCTTGGCTGTTCATGCTGGCAGAAAGTGGGAAGTCGCCAACAACAGCGTGCAAAGAATATCTGGTTCATACGAAACCCATCATGTGACTTCTTGCATATTATATTCTCAATTATTAGATAGTTTGCAGAGTCATATTGCGTGCTTCAACATTCTCATCAAGAGCTTTGCTCTGTGAAAAGTGGCTCCACTTCTGATTGCCATAAGAGTATCAGTAAGAGATCGAAGGCACACCCGGGACAGGCAATCCTTTAACCAAAGCAGTCTGCCATATCGAGCAAAACTCAATTGGCCAATAATATTATATCATCACAAGCATAAGCCTGTATTCTCACTGATGTAGGTACATGAAGATTGAAGATATACAACGCATACCTGCAGCAACACTCAAGCTTCTAGAGAAGAATTGAGCAGTCCCGAATGAGCATATATACTGCCAGTACCAATGCTACTTTACCCCAAACCAACGGTACAGGAGGCAATTAATTCCTCAGCTAAAGCTGCAAAGTGATAGTCTACCATCAAAAAGCACGTTTGATTGTCGCGTAACAACCAGAATGACACTGTATGGGTGTCTCAAATATTATCGACATCATCGGAAAGCGCGAGTGGTTTAGTGGTAAAATGGATCGTTGCCATCGATCCGCCCCGGGTTCGATTCCCGGCTTGCGCAGACCTTTATTTTTTTGCATATATTATTGAGGTTCGCAGCTGTATTACGCGCAATCCCAAAATTGTTTTTTCTTTCTGTTTTCTATTTCCTTTACTTTTTCAAACTCATCAAGTAGTTCATAATCATAGCTATGTTCTTTTGATTTTTCATTGACGAGTCTGGAATTCTGGTGCTAAAAGTGTGGCTAGAGTGCTAACGGCCAAATCGGGGTGAGTTTCCAGATGCGTTGACTATCTGAGGCAGAAAAAATTTCGCACAATAGAAGACCCACTATTCTGGGGAATGCATTTTTCACCCGTCAAGGATCCTATCACTAGCGGGCGGACTACCGGGCTGCCGAGCAGATATGCAGAAACTGTGGTCTCTCTTATTCATGCAAACTTTTAGTACTATTATTCATCTCTTTGAGTGGGGTGCGAAGTGTAAGCCGGTGAAGCTCCCGGGCAGATGCCCTTCCCAAAGGGGGAATCCAGCGATGAGCTAAAAGGCGTAAGTGGAATACTCCATGGTATCAATTCACGTGACAGCCATAGTTAAGACTGAAAAATTCAGCATATGCATGCCGCTAAGCATGCCACTATCAAATGCATTTTTTTTCTAGGCACACCGCCTGGGACCATTCGGATATTGTCTTTTTTCCTTCCTTTTATTCTTTATTTTTCTGTTCCAAAACTAACAAACGTCCCAGGAATAATGGTCAAACTTCGTCTACCAAAGTTCCCGCAAAAGCTCCTGTCGGCAGTTGCTCTGCCAAAGTTCATGCCCCACTATAGGGAAGTTGATGACGATCTTATTGAAGACGAGGTAACCGGTGAGGCCGAGAAGACTGAGAAGGCTGATGAGCCCGTGGTTGTTCGTGAATTCAGAGACGAGGCCAACAAGTCGTGGTGGGCATACTTTGACGAGTATGAGTACAGAGAAACCAAGGAAGAGTCCAAGAACCACAAGTGGTGGTATTGGTTCGAACCAGGTACTTCCGCAGCAGAGAAAAAGTTGATTTGCAAGCTGGACGTTTTCATCGCGTTCTACGCGTTCTTGGGCTATTGGATCAAGTACATTGATACCGCTAACCTCAACAACGCATATGTTTCTGGAATGAAGGAAGATCTTGGTATGAAGGGTAACGATTTGATCAACACCCAGGTGTTGTTCACCGTTGGTCAGATCATTTTTGAGCTGCCATGGGTTTACTTCCTTCCAAGAGTTTCTGTGACATATGCTGTCTTTTTCTGTGAGCTTGTGTGGGCCACTTTCACCCTCGTCATTTATCGTGCCGAAGGTCCTGCAGCTTTGAAGGGATTCAGATTTGTCGTCGGTGCTGCCGAGGCCATCTTCTTCCCAGCTGTCCATTACATGCTTTCTTGTTGGTACAAACCCACCGAGGTCAGCAGAAGAGGAGGCTTCTTCTATATGGGTCAATTTCTCGGAGTGTTGACTTCTGGTTTGCTCCAATCTGCTGCCTTCAGGGACTTGAACGGAGTTCATGGACTGGCCGGCTGGAAGTGGATGTTCATCATCGACGGATGTATTTCCTTTGGTGTTGCCTTTATTGGTCTTGCACTCATTCCTGGTACTCCAACCAACTGCTACTCTCTGTGGTTGACAGACGATGAAATCAGACTGGCCAGAGAGAGAATGGCTAGCAATCACTCTAATTTGGCCAAGCCAACCGTCAAGTCGTTTTTCAACCTCAAGACCTGGACCAACGTCCTCACTTCGTGGCACGTTTATGTGTTGTCGATTGCTAACATTTTCTTCTTCAACGTCAACAACACCTCTTCCGGTTCGTTTACTTTGTGGCTGAAGTCTCTTCAGAGATACTCCACCGGAAAGCTGAACAACCTCAGTACCCTCCCACCAGCGCTTGGAATCGTGTGGGTTTTCATTTCGTGTTTCGGAGCCGACTTCACTAGAAAACGGTTCTTCATGATGGTGTTTGCCATTATCCTGAATTTCATTGCCAACGTGGTTCTTGCCGTTTGGGACGTTGCCGAGTCTGCCAAGTGGTTTGGCTTCTGCATGTCATACTGGTCGTGGGCTCCATCCTCAATTCTGTATCCTCTCATTCACGACATGATGAGACACGAGGTCAACCAGAGAAACATCGAATGGATGATCACCTATATCATGGGTCTCCAATCGTCAGCCTGGGTATCCAGACTTATCTTCCCAACCGTGGACTCTCCTTCTTTCCCCAAGGGTTTCTCCTCCTGTGCGGCCTTCTCCGGTGCTTTCATTGTGACCATGGCCGTGGCATATGTTCTGTACAAGCGTGACGAAAAGAAGAGGGCTATGGAGTACGGTATCTTTGTGTTCAACTCGGCCAAGGGAGAAACCATCCCAGCAGAATACCAGCTGACGTCCGAGAAGGTCAAGAACAGTGACCCAAGCGACGAACCAAGCGACGAACCAAGCGACTCCAGCTCGAAGGAATAGATCTTTAGACGACAGAGGCCAGACATTTTTAGACACCCTCCTGTCCTTCCCACTAATTTTTTTTATTATTTTGAATAGCGTGTAAAAATAGCCATTTCTAAAACAAAAAATAACAAAAAAAACAGTAGGCATTTCTCGTTGATTTTTTTCAATTAACAGCAGCTGCCTCGAAATGGTGCCATCTTTCAAGATTACGACCATAGACAATAATCTGGTTCCGTTCTCCGACATTCTTTCTTCCAAGTGTCTGGCCCTTAGCTGTGTTCCAGTCTGCAAAAGTAATATCCTCCCAGTTCTTTAGCTTGTCAGCTTTGGAGTAGCCCAGACTCTTGAGCTTACTGGACTCATAGAAATCTGGGTTGAGGGGAGTGCCGTCCTTAGGATTGCAGAAGTAGATCAATACTATACGATCGTGCCTCTTTTGATCCTGAGGGGGCTCCACAACACGATGCAAACAAGCTTTGAAGTAGCCGCCCGAAATAAACTCCATGGCGTCACCGATATTCACAATCAATGAACCAGGTCTGTGGTCAACGTACTTCCACTCTCCATCAAAATAGTCTTTGATCTGCAGGGTGAGCATTGGTTGCGAAGTGATGAAACTGAAGCCACTGATGTCTGAATGACCTCTCAGCCAGGTCTGGTTGGACTTCAAAGAGTTTTCGTCATCATACGGCTCATAAAGCATGAACCTAGCATGCCCACCGGCAGACTTCTTTTCGTCCTGCGAATCAGACTTAAAGACGCGCTCCCAGATAGTTCCCTCTTGGAGACCGAGAATTATGTCGCACAGATTGCTGATTTTGAGAAGAATATCGTTGTGAATGAACTGGTACCAAGCTAGGATCTCATGGGCATGAGCTCTCACTAACTCCGGGTGCTGGTCCAAATGGGAAAGGAAGTAATCTTCCTGTAGTAGATGCTTAAAGTTGTAGTGAGTGATGGAATCCCTGACACCTTCACTTATCGGCCAATAGCCTTTAGGCTTGAATCCCTGACCTCTTTCACCCCCAAGGAAATTTTCGTCTATTGGCGGCTCATCCTCTTTTCTCCAGGTTGAAGCTAGGTACTTGCCTTTCTCTTCAGAAGGCAATTGGAGGAGACTCTGTGCAACCGCCCTGAGATGCTCGATCTTTTCGAGATCGTACCCAAAATTCACCAAATTAAAGAACCCATATGTAGTGATTGAAGCTTCCAGTACTTTGGCCAATTCAACCCTTGAAGCGTAGCCTTCTGGGCCACTAACATATTGGCTCAGATCAACAGCATCCAGCCTAACAATTGGAATTTCGTTCTTGAGCTTTGTTTCATGGACATCCACGAAAGGACGAACGTTATATTTTTGGTCAATTTCGAGCGTACTCATTTTGATGATAAGGCCAAAAAATTGGAGGGATAAAGATCATGTAGGCTCTTCTTCCGCTTTTTTGATTTTCGGGGGCCGCTATCGCATTTATAAAGACCGGGACTCAACCCCGGCATTCTCCACACTAAATTCCGCGCTTTGGCTATTTGATAATCTTGGAAAATTTGCCGCCACAGCCTTTTTGCGCTTTATTCCCACGTCAAAGTCATGAGGTTGCCCAATTTCATTGCGGCAGTTGAGCCGCACATTACTGCAGAAGCCACAGTGTTTATGCAATCGAGGACGTGCATACGGCGGCAGTAGCCCTCAGAGGTTGTCACTTATTGGTCCGAATCGGGGTAAATCTGAAGAAGTCTTGGCTAGATACCGCGAGGACAATGTGCATTGAAATATTTTTTGTCAGGAGCGGAGGGGTATATATTGGAAGAGTTTTTCACTTTTTCAGACCTTGAGGTAACGGCAGCTAAGGCGACAACGTGTACGAGTTCGAAAGCCAGTAATGCCACTTCCGACTTTCAGATTCCCCAGACGCTCAAAATCTGTCTCAGCACCAATCAAATGGATACCTCACTACAGGTCTGTTGATGAAGAAGAAATTAAAGAGGAAGTGCTGAGTACCTCGGGCCTCGAGACAAAAGAAGAGCCCGTGGTTGTTCGCGAATTTAGAGACGAGGCCAACAAGTCGTGGTGGGCATACTTTGACGAGTATGAGTACAGAGAAACCAAGGAAGAGGCCAAGAGCCATCGGTTCTGGTATTGGTTCGAACCAGGTACTTCCGCAGCAGAGAAAAAGTTGATTTGCAAGCTGGATTTTATTTTGGCGTTTTATGCCTTCATGGGATACTGGATCAAGTTCATTGATACCGCCAATTTGAACAACGCATATGTCTCTGGAATGAAGGAAGATCTTGGTATGAAGGGTAACGATTTGATCAACACCCAAGTCTTATTCACGGTGGGTCAGATCATCTTTGAGTTGCCTTGGATTTATTTAATGCCTCGTGTTTCTGTCACTTATGCCGTCTTTGGGTGTGAGATGATTTGGTCTCTTTTCACCCTGGTGATATACAGAGCTGAGAGTCCAGCAGCCCTGAAAGGTTTCAGATTCGTGGTTGGTTCAGCTGAGGCGATTTTCTTTCCAGCCGTTCATTATATGTTAAGTTCATGGTACAAACCTACTGAGATCAGTAGAAGAGGAGGTTTCTTTTACATGGGTCAGTTTTTGGGTGTTCTTACCTCGGGTCTCCTTCAGTCTGCTGCCTTCAGAAATTTGAACGGAGTCAACGGGCTTCCTGGCTGGAAGTGGATGTTCATTATTGACGGGTGTATCTCGTTTGGAGTTGCTCTTCTTGGATTGGTTCTTATTCCTGGTACTCCCACCAAATGCTACTCGCTTTGGTTGACTGATGATGAGATCAGATTGGCCAGGAAGAGAATGGAGGAAAACCACTCTAACTTGTCCAAGGTCACAAACAAAAGTTTCTTGGATCTCAAGACCTGGAAGAGAATCCTCACCTCATGGCACGTATATCTCTTTTCGGTTGCCAACATCTTTTTCTTCAACGTCAACAACACCTCGTCAGGTTCGTTTTCACTTTGGCTGAAATCTCTAGACAGATACTCCACTGGAAAGTTAAACAACCTGAGTACCCTCCCACCAGCCCTGGGAATAATCTGGATTTTTATTTCGTGTTGGGGAGCTGATTTCACTAGAAAACGGTTCTTCATGATGGTGTTTGCCAACACTCTCAACTTCATTGCCAACGTGGTTCTGGCAGTGTGGGATGTGAGCGAGAAAGCAAAATGGTTTGGATTCTGTATGTCGTACTGGTCGTGGGCTCCGTCTTCTATTCTCTATCCTCTCATTCACGATATGCTGAGACACGAGGTCAACCAGCGGAACATTGAATGGATGATAATTTACGTCATGGGGCTTCAATCGTCAGCTTGGATTTCCAGACTTATCTTCCCAACTGTGGACTCTCCTTCTTTCCCCAAGGGTTTCTCCACCTGTGCTGCCTTTTCTATGGCTTTCTCGTTCACTCTGGCTCTAGCCTATGTTTTATACAAACGTGACGAGAAAAAGAGAGCTATGGAATACGGTATCTATGTCTATAACTCTGCCAAGGGAGAAACCATTCCACCTGAGCTTGAAAAGAGTCACCGTGAGTCCATTGAATCCACCCAGATTGCTGGTTTGGATAGCTCGAAGGAGGCGAGTTTGAAAGAATGAAGTAGAATTGAACTATCAGCTGTTTTTTCTTGCGAGTGTCGCAATACTTTTTTCATACATAGTGATATACCGTACTGACAATAAATATGATAAAATATCTTTTCTTATCAAGATGTGCAAAATAGTTCAGAACAGCGCCCTTAGCGTACAATAATCAAGATTGTCATCAAATGTGTCAAGATTTTTGTAAAGTTTAACTATATAGTCAATATTTCGAAAGATATTTGTTTTTCGCCCATAACCCACACCTTCAACCATTCATTCTTCATGCCACAGCAGTCTTGAAATGGTGCCATCTCTCGATATTTCTTCCATAAACAATAATTTCGTCCTCTTCCTCGGCATTTTTCTTTCCCAGAGTCGCTCCTTTCGCAAAGTTCCATTGCTGGAAAGTGATATCATCCCAGTCCTTGAGCTTTTCGGATTTGGACAATCCCAGCTGCTTAAGTTTGGACGAACGGTACTCGTCTGGATTCAAAGGAGTATCCTCTTTGGGGTTGCAAAAATAAATCAGAATCAACCGATTATGATCTTTTTGATCTTGAGGAGGCTCAACAACCCGATGCATGCAAGCCTTGAAGTAACCACCGGAAATGAACTCCATGGAATCACCAATGTTCACCACTAGAGAGCCAGGTCTGTGGTCTACATACTTCCATTCTCCGTCGTAGTAATCTCTTATTTGAAGTGCCAGCATTGGTTGTGAAGTGATGAAAGTAAACCCACTTATATCAGAATGGCCCCTCAACCATGATTTTCCAGCTTTGGCTGACTCCTCAGCGGTGTATGGTTCATACATCATGAACCTGGCATATGCACCAGCCGATTTGCCTGGATTCTCTGGTTCGACTTCAAAAGCACGTTTCCAAATGGTGTTTTCTTCCAACCCCAGAATGATGTCACACAAATTACTGATTTTGTGGAGAATGTCATTATGGATATGGTGGTACCACTCTATGATCTCCTGGGCATGAACTTTCACTAGATCGGGATGCTGTTCGATGTCCCTCAGAAAAACATCTGGTTCAAGCAAATGCCTGAAGTTGTAATGAGTGATCGAATCCCTCACACCGTCTTTGATTGGCCAGTATCCTTTGGGCTTGAATCCATGTCCTCTTTCACCACCAAGATACTCTTTTGTCACTGGAGGCTCGTCTTCCTTCCTCCAAACAGAAGCCAGGTATTTTCCTTTCTCCTCCAATGGAAGCTCCAAAATTCCCTGCGCAATTCCTCTTAATCTCTCGAGCTTTTCGGGATCATAGCCAAAATTCACGACGTTAAAGAAACCATACGAAGTCACTGACTTCTCCAGAATCTTGGCCAATTCGACCCGCGATTGATACCCCTCTGGTCCCTCTATGTATTTTGAAAGATCAATAGCATCTAATTTGACGATTGGAAGCGAATCCTTAAATTTAGATTCGTGAACATCCTCAAATGGACGGACGTTGTATTTGCGATCAACTTCCTCGGCAGACATCTGCGTGAATTTTTACTTAGGATGTCAAATCACCAGAATCACCACAATGCCACATCCACTGCTTAAATGAATTGGGCTTTTAAGCTAAAAAAAAAAAAACGAAACCCGAACGGTCATCTTATGCTATTCTCCACACCTGAGTCCACAGCCACACTCACCCCAAGTGCCCACCCTCTGAGCCGCACGATGCCACAGGTTATGCAATATGCCCCGCGATGTGCCAATTCTGCAACTGCAGACAGAAAAGCACCCCCTGCTGCAGCTGATTGTGGTTACCGATTGCGCCGTTTGAGCATTGTAGACGAACTATTGTGGATACCGGGAATTTTCAATAGAAAATCTTGAGATTTGGACCCTTATGTAAAGGCCGCGCCCAGCCCTAGAGACGACCTTTCTTGTTACAGACAGGCTAAAGCTTTATCGATGACTATCCCCCGCTTTCGTTTGCCGAAGATTCCCCTTCCAAAGGGTAGCTTCCCCAAATGGCTGCCCCATTACAGAGCAGTAGATGATGATTTGTTGGCCACGAAGGTAATCACAGAAAATGGCACTGAGGACGAAAGCCTGGTCGAGGCCTTGGAACATCCTCCGATTCGCGAGTTCAGGGACGAGGCTAACAAGCCGTGGTACAAGTATTTCGACGAGTTCGAATACAGAGAAACCGAAGAAGAGTCCAAGAACCACAAATGGTGGTATTGGTTCGAACCTGGCACTTCTGCTGAAGAGAAGAGACTGCTTTGGAAAATTGATTTCCTGGTGGCTTTCTACTCGTTTGTGGGCTACTGGGTCAAATACCTGGACTCGAGTAATTTGAACAATGCTTATGTCTCGGGAATGAAGGAAGCCATTGGAATGAAGGGTAATGACCTGATTAACACTCAGACCATTTTCCTTGTTGGAAACGTTGTTTTTGAGCTACCATGGTTGTTTCTAATGCCTCGTATGAACATCACCTATGTGGTGTTTGTGTGTGAACTGGGTTGGGCTCTTTTCACGTTTGTGCTCTATCGAATCGAGAATGTTGCGGCTTTACAGGCCTTGAGATTTTTTGTTGGTTCTTTCGAGGCTGTTTTCTTTCCATCAGTTCACTTCCTGCTGGCTTCTTGGTACAAACCATCTGAGATCGGTAGAAGAGGTGGACTTTTCTATATGGGTCAATTTCTTGGAGTTTTGACCTCTGGTCTTTTGCAATCTGCCGCCTATACGAACCTCAACGGTACCAACGGGCTTGAAGGCTGGAGATGGATGTTCATCATTGACGGTTGTACTTCGTTTGGAGTTGCTTTCCTGGGACTTTTCTGCATTCCTGGTACCCCCAGTAAATGTTACTCTCTTTGGTTGACTGACGATGAAATCAGACTGGCCAGAAAGAGAATGGCTGAAAACCACACGGATGTATCTCCAAACGTAAAGAGCTTTTTCAACAAGAAGACCTGGAAGAGAGCGTTCACCTCTTGGCACTTCTGGGTACTTGGGTTTGCTCAATTCTGTGGCTTCAACACCAATAATACCTCTTCCGGTTCGTTTTCTCTGTGGTTGAAATCTCTCAAAAGATACGATACCGGAAAGCTGAACAATCTGACTACAATCCCTCCTGCTCTTGGGCTTATCTGGATTGTCATTGTATGCGGTGGTGCTGATATCACGCGGAAGAGATTCGGAATGATCTTTTTCTCTTATATCATCAATTTCATTGCAAACGTGATTCTGGCAAAATGGTATGTTCCTGAACCGGCCAAATGGGCTGCTTTCTATCTCAGTTATTGGTCTTGGTCTCAGAGTTCGGTTTTCAATCCTTTGATCAGCGATATGTTGAGAGAAGACAGTAATTACAGAAGTATCCTGTGGATGATTATTTATCTCGTTGGTCTCCAGGCCCAGGCTTGGGTTTCCCGGATAATCTGGCCAACTGTGGATTCTCCTCGTTACCTCACTGGTTTCACTGCTTCTGCAGTTTTCAGTATGGCCTTCAACTTTGCTTTGATTGTGGCATACGTCTTCTACAAGAGAGATGAAAAGAGAGGTGCTAGATCATACGGTATCCTGGTCTACAACTCCAACAAGAGCATCCCACCAGAAGCACTTGAGCACCATGGTGTGACCTCTGAGAAGGCAGATTCTGAAGTCAACAGTGAGACCGAATTGATTAAGGCTACCAGTGCTCAAAAGGACGGTTTTATCGTTGAAGATAAAGCCGTTCATGAGAACTGATGCTTTGAATATGTTTTTTTTTAGTGACAGCTGATTTCCAAACGTGCTTAAAACGTGACTCTATAGTGACAACTAATATTCAAAAAAACGCGCAACAACAACAAAAAAAACACACGCTTCCTTAGCGATGGTTACCTGCACGCTATCTGGTGATATGTAACCATTGTTCTAAGTCTAGCCCAAGCTAAACGTGCCACAACTGTTCAGTGAAAAACCCCAATCCAAAACCCAAAAATGTAACAAAAATTCAGTTTCTTTCTTCTCCTCCTCTTTCATCCTAATCCCTAATAATCTGAAGATCCAGAAGATGCAATCCTCCAATGCTGAGACCTGAGGGGTACCGAATGCACGTCGTCGTCGCTCATCAAAACTGAGTCGTCAGAGCTGTTCTCATGAACGGAAGGCACCCGCGAAACATGACGTGGTCTTGCAGGTACAGTCGGCTCGTCTTCGGAATCATTGGCGACGTAACTTAAGCTCGTGTTGGAGAAGTTGCCCTGCCGGGGCATGTAGTGATCAGCTGCGTTTTCATTGATGTATATCTCGTCGTCGCTATCCGAAGGATTATAATCGAAGTCCTCCGCTCCATCAGAGACATCTTCACCGGCTAAAGCAGCAATTCCCCTTGCTCTTGCAATAATAATGTTGGCATCTCTCTGGAAGTCACTTGTGTTCCTGGCGTAAGCCAGTCTAGCCGCACCGAGAGCTCGCGCGCTTTCCTCGGGCGAAAGATGCGAGTGGGTATTAGCCGGCTGCTGCGGACGATCACTATCTGCATCACTATTATCACTGGGCGACTCGTAATCTTCCGAATCATCCTCACGAGGATTCAGGAACCTTGCATTGCAATATAAGCATCTACCGCCCCAGGCTTCCCACTGACATCTGGAACACCTCGGCACTCCATGATCAATGACAATCCGGGCATACTGGTTCGATTGGAAAACTCCCCCAAACAGCCTTTTTCCTTTTCCAACATCTCGCTGATATTCCTCCTCCTTTTCCGCCTTCAATTGGAGAAGCTTCTCTTTGGCAGCGCCGCCGGACTCAGGAACACTCTCTATCAAACTGCTCAAAATGTCTCGTAGAGCATGATTGATAATGGGTGCTTCCCTCACATTTGCACGGCAAACAGGGCACGTCATGCTTTTCTGGAACCACGCGTTCGAACACTAGGAAAGTTAGTGGGCGGCTTTTGAAACATGGCTGAGCCAGGCAGAACTTCACTTACAGTATAACAGAATGAATGGCCACAACTGTTCATAAATGGACAGAACATGAATTCGTTACAGATGGTACATGTCAAATGACCAAACGTGGATTTCAGCATGTCTTTGGAGATGTCGTTCTTGTTAAAAGATTAGTATGGGGCAAAGTCTTGGAAAACTTAAGAGGCGACTTACAGAGGTGTCGGAAACCTCATCAAGCCACATTTCATCTGTTGCCATGGCAGAAATGTGACAGGATTCCAGGCAGAACTGTGTAAAAAACAGTTTTGAATAAGAAAAGAATACAGGATCAGAGACGTGGTACCGATCTGTAAAGACGGAGGCTTTATGGGGCAGGTGGTTGTATGCCCGGGGAGAGTTGGCAGATGCACTTGGCCTCATCATGCATGATAAACCTGTAGGCTTTATGTTTTTCTTATCAAGCTTCATTAAGTTACTCTTAGTATCATGCATTTATGGATATATACAGCGGACAGAAAGTTAACGCACTCCTGCCCATGATTGAAAAAATTTGACATCGTCCAATATGTTCTCCTGGATACTTGAGGCTTGCAACTGGAAGCGACGCTTGCATGTGTCTATGACTCCGTCCATGTAATGTACAATCCTCCTTTTTATTTCGTTCATCTCTTCGTCCTGTGATTTTTCGGTGTAGCGCACCAACCAGCTCCGCAAGGTTTCCAAATGGCCAATCAGCCTCTGAGAAAGAACTAGTTTATTGTCTTTTTGCATTTGGTCAAGTAGCAGCAACAACTGTTCGTAGTTGCCTGTTTTGAGATGTGCATTCAGCAGTATAGTGTAAGCCGTGATACGATCGTTGTTGTTGTAAGCTTCCGAAACACTTTGGCTATTAACCATGGTATCAAAGGCATGGCTTCCTAGCCTGATCGCAAACTGGTAGTCCTTGACCTTCAAGGCGATCACGGCCAATTGAAGTAGGTCTGTTGAACGCAGTGTCTCCCAATTTTCATTGGTGAATCGGTTGAGTTTCTCGCGAGCCCTTGTGTGGGCTTTGTCGAAAATAGACATGTTGGCGATGGTGTTTTTTAACTTCACGATCTCCGAGTTCAAAATGAGCTCTCTATCGTAGGTGTCCGATATCATCGCACTCAGACGGGTGATGTCTTCATAGTCCGATGGGTGCAGACGGTTCAACACTTTTTTAAGAGACGATTTGGCGGGGTTGATACCGTTTGAAATCGAAGCGTCCAACTTGGCTAGACGAACACGAGTAGTGCTTTCGTAGTCCACAGAACCGGGACTGTTGACTCTCAAGGGCAAAGCGCTTGTGCCTCGCTGATCAGATTCTGCCTTTTGATAACCATCTCCAGTCTTCATGCCCAAAAATTGCTCGTTTTCAAGCAACTTACCAAAATCACGTTTCGAACCTAACGAATCGCGGGTCTTGCGTTCCTGAAGAATGTTTTGAAGTTGTTTCAACATCTCTTTAGCCCAAGAGCTATTCAACCCGGCTAAGCACTCTCTAACCGTCTTCAGCAGCACATCACCATGAGATGGATAAGAATACAACAGTGATTCCCAATATCTGTGGAAATATACCGGAGAAAATGATATTCCCTTCTCCTTGGATTGCTGGAAGAACTTTAAGAGCATAGCCGGCTCCTCGTTTATAACATAGTACACCGACACGCGAGACGTGACAATATGCGGGATCGATAACTGATCCCTCTCAATTCGAGTAACAACCTTGTTCAGATATTCCAGATTGCCGAACGAAGCAAAATGTTTTAGTACTTTGGAGTAGAAGATTTCAAGGTATTTCTTGCTTTTCTGTGATGCCAGAAGGGCCCTGTTTTGGTCCACCACCTTGATCTTATCTTCCAGAACGTTGGTTTGAAGAAGCGATTTCTTGAGAAACGATATGGCAGAAATAACCGGACTTGCTGAATGATGACGACCCTGTAGTTCTTTCTGGAACCAAAGGGCCTCATCCTCAGAGCCCTTGTGCTCCAATATCTCAGTCAAAAGACAATCTGTTGACAAGCTGACAGAGAACGACTTCGACATCCAAAGCTTATATGCTGATAGATACACGGGAAGACTGCAATTTCTTTGGTAAGCCGATTTCATGTAGACATAGAGGACCGAAGCATTTCCCTTCTCGGATATTATGACGTACTGGTGGAAAAACGCTTTGGCCATATCAAACTCTCCTCTCTTGAAATATATTTTCAACGCCGCGTTGATAACCGAAGGTGCCAAAACCTGGGTGGAACCAAGATAAAAAGACAGAAGTTTCTCAAACCCATCATAGTCCAGAAAACGATAGTATATGGACAGGAGTGTTTCTAGATAGTCAGCTGGGGTATTGGTCAAGTCACATTCGGCTGTAAATCTTCTAGCCATGGCATACACTTCGGAATGGTCTGATTTGCGAATGAGCTCAATCAGCTTCGATTGAAGTAACAAATCTCTCACTGCAGGCTTTGCTGCAATGCTCCTGGTGTCCTTGGACTTGGGGATCTCTCTGATGCCCGTATGTGTCTGCCATTCGATGGCCATTTGAGTGGAGTCTTCTTCTTCCTCGAAGGACTCTTTGAAGGTCACACTGGAGGGAGACCGGAAAGAGCCGAGATTTTTAACGCTTTTATCAGATTTGAACTGGGGACCATTTTGGCCATGGAAACCTCGACTATTCCGTATTGTCTTTGTCGGCACCACGATTGGCTGTATCATCAGTTGACTTGACGATAATCGCCAGCACCTGAATGCTCGTCGCACCACACTTTTATGTGTACGCTTAAATGTGGAATGCATTGGTCTGAGGATAATCCATCAAAATTTGCTGTGGGGGGTTCAGGTATTCCTTACTGTATGCTCAGCATGTGTGTATCAGAGAAAGGATCACGAAGTGTTCAAGAGGACACTGCTCAGCAATATGTACAGGAAACCAGAGCAGAGTGACTTAGTGAGGCTTGAATAACGTTTTCTGCTCCAAACAAGTGCTTTGAAAGTAATAAGCTATTTGCGGTGTAGAGTGGCTCAAGAGGTATAAATCTAGAAAAATGGTCAGTTCAGCTCTATTTTGAGTCGACTTGGCCGATGGATACAGCAGGGCTCGCAACAAAATCCTCACCATATTTTGGCAAAACCTGTTTTTTAGGGTGTAGGGAGCTGCGATTAAATATTTCATAATTGTCGTTCATTTACCTTCTATGAGGTTTTATTAAAGTCATTGTCCCAATATTTTAGTAGCTTTTTGGGCAACTATTCGGTTTTCCTCCCATTTCGCATCCACTTCTGCCGATTCGGGAATGCCAAGCCAGGAGACTGGGGTCAACACCGGCAAATTTTCAGCCCACTCCCTGATTGATTCTATATCCATTTTCACTGGAAGCAAAGGCAAAGCCGAGTTTTGCACGAGAGAAAAGCCATGGTTGGTTGAATTTCTGCTGAATACGTGTTGCGCGAGTTGTTCCAAAGATTTCAAATCATCTGCCGAGTCGATCTTACCTCCATAAACAATCGTTCCAATCAAATAAGCAATGCCAGACCATTCAAGATGATCCAAAGAGCCATTAACTTCATTTGATCTCAAATAACAGTCCACAACAAACTTGGCACTTAAGAGGTCACTTTCACCAAAATCATAAGCCTTGGACCATCCCACTGGCAGATACATAAGCCGTTCCAGAACAATACAGTGAAACCAACAAAGTAACAGATACATGTGTGCCACTTCTGGTGTCTGAGCATCAGAACCAAATCCGATTGTAGAGAAAAACGAGGTTGCAAACAAGTTCTTGATACCAGGCTCAGTTTTCACAGCCACAATCCTGGCAGCCTTCAGAAGTGAGAGAGGAAGATCAGTAGAGGAAGTGCAGGTCAAAAATAGCTTGAATCCAGGGGAATATTGAAGATTACCTAGAGTTTTCTCCAGATAAGATACCCAATTTGGTGCCATATGGATGTTCTGAATCAGGACCCACCGACCGTTCTTTGCACCGGAGACAACATTCTTCGTAGCCTCAGCTTCACCTTCTGAGGAACCCATGGAGGTTGACACAAGGGATTTGTTCAACAGCTTTGCAAGTTGGTTGAGCTTGATTCTTGCGTCGTATTTGTCAGGCGAGCATATAAGGAGAGGCATAGATAAGGGTAAGTCTTCCTGGATAACGTTTTCCAGAGTATAGCTATTGGAAAATGCAAGGTCAAATCCAGGGAAAGATTGAATTGCCACACGCAACAGACCAGGGCTGGAGTTTTTCTGAACTGCAGCCTTGATTAAGAGCGCAAGTGGAGTATTACTCTTAAGCGTTTCGTAGCCTGCAGATGGTTCATCAACATCGCCTGTTAAACCATCACTGGAAACATCCAACTCAATGTCCAGCCAGTCCTTCAACTTGGTGAAACGGATGTCCTCTCTTTCTGTGAAAGATTGCAAGATACGCATGAAAATGTTTGCTTCTTGCTCTTCCGTCACCTTCAGTGCCGTGAAGAGCAATATCATTGCAACCAACATATGGTCCTCGTAAAACACACTTGCACCAAGCCTTTGGTACAAGACCCTCCCAAAGCTTTCCAGCAAATCCTGAACACGATTTCCAGAGGATTGCGACCTCGAACCCAATGCATCCATGAAAGCAGTGTTGTAAAATGTTATGGGAATTTGATAGAATGGAGATATTGACTGGAGTTTCGTCAGTAACTCAAACAGAAGGGCATAGCCAGAGGCAAGTGGACGATAAATATCAGAGATAGAGGTAATGTTCATAACAACGTCCGCCGTTTGTGCGATCTTTTTGCTGAGATCCCCAGCTTCTGTCTTCAATGAGCTCAAAAGATCCCACAATTGCCTGTTTTCAAGAACACGGTCATCAGATTCGGCCAAACTTTGAAGTAGCTTATCCTCAAGGGATTGTAGCCTGACTTTGTATTCGCCTTGTACCCGTACGCTTTCTTCTTTCTGATTTTCAATGTCAGGTCTCTCGGCACTGAGGATCATGTTCAAGGCTTGACTCTCCATCGATGCGAAAGAGAAACTGAAGTTCACGAAATTTGTACGGCTAGCAACAAATGCAGGAACCGGATAGGTGGAATCTCTGGTATGAATGTACAACTGAAATTCCGCCGAAATATCCACATCTGCTTCCCCCACTTTGACCATAGTTCTTGTGCCTCTGTTGAAAAACTCTCTGGAGATGATGCGGTTGATTATGGGATCATAGTATTCACCATCCGTTATCAAAAGCGCACTTCCAAATCTCATTGAGTTTTCCAGCTGTTTCGTGAAAGAGCGATTCAAAAAGCTGGTAACTATCAGCTTTTTTGGCTTCACGTATTCTGACAAGAATGCTATCATAGACCCAGAGGGGTCCACCAGAAAATTGAAGCGATCTTTCAGAGTTTTCATGATGATAGTGTTCTCGACAAACAATTCTTCATCCTGAAGTCCATCTTTTCTCCAACTGAGGATCTCCGAAGAACTGGCCAAAGATTTTGAGAGAGAGATGTTTTCACTGAAAGTAGAGTTCAACCTCAAAAGTTCAGACGACCACCTTTTCATAAGATCTACTCTCTGGCCCTGGTCTTTGTCACCAAAATAAGCCAACGAAGCACCAATCAACAGCGAGTTTCCCACCAGACACGCACGCTCAGTTCGAAAGACCTCGATACTCGCAGCCCATCTCGCCCTTTCAGATGACAAACTTTCAAGTAGGCCAAAACTGCGACTAACCTTTTCCTCAACATCTGTGACCTGAGACTTGATTCTCTCGGCCTCACGAACAATATCTCCATATGCGTTCTTATAGCTCTCGATACTCTGCTTGAGGTCAGATATCATACCGTCAACAGCAATAACCTTTGCCCTCGCATGGTTTGCTTCAACCTCCAGAGCTTGCACCTCTTCCCTCAATGGACCAATCCTTTCCAAGACACTAGCGTACTTGATTTGGGCCACCACCCACCCGAGAAGAGGACCACATGCTTTACTGGCCCTGTTCACGGCCTCGTAGTTATAATCCGGCCTTGACAGATAAACTTCCTCCATATATGACAGAATATCAGGTGTCAATTGTACCTCATTGTCGAAATTCACAATGCTGGCAATAAAATCATCCTTTCTCACAACCAACTGGACATCCCGCCAGGTCTCCACACCATAACCCAGAAGTATACACACAGACTCCAGTGTGATCTTTACTGGCTCTGGTGGATTCAACATTGCACGTAGCTCGGTGAGATGTTGTTTCTTGATATTTCTTACACCGCTTTGAGCCTCAATAACAGCTGGCTCTGCAAGGGACAGTTCTTCTTCCACAACATATTTTTGGGCAGCAACATCTTCTTCCTGTGCCTTCAACGCAACTTGGAGCTCAAGAGAGGCCTCCTGTTTCTTCTCAGCTTCGCTTTGTTCTGCCAATATCTTTTCCAGCATATAACTGGCTTCTCTGTCTTTCTCATGCAGCTCACTCCTTTTGGCAGACAGCCCATTCTTGAGTTCTTTGACCATCACCAGAGACTCCCTCAGTTTGTCAAGACCCAAATTGACACGATGGTGTTGCTCAGTAATACTTTGACCCTTGGTCCTGAGATTTCTTTCGAATGACTCCAGGAAACACAGGAACTTTGTTGGTGTACAAAATTGAGTACCAGACACAAGCTGGGATGTACGATGGATGACCACGGAGGCTTCAACCAAAAGCTCTCTTTCGTCACTGGATATGGGAATAGCTGCGGCACACTCTCCAGAAACCTCTCTAAGAGTGACATCCGACCAATCTCCCATCCAATCCACAACAAATCTGTTGAAGAGGGCCGGCGAGGACATGAACTGAGTAGAGTGTTTCTCATCTGGATCACTGGTAGTCAAAACGATGTGTATATTCGCAGCCACTCTTTCTCGTAACCATTGCTGTGCATCTGCCTCACTTTCACACAACACACCGGAAGACCTGGCTTTATCTCTGCAATTAGCAATTAAAAGAACCAGGTCTTCACCTTCAAAGAGACCAGGAATCTCAGCGTTGGCAAGAAGGGTATTAAGTCTCTCCAGGAACACAGGAGAAAGGACTGCTGAATCGTCAATCAGCAGACAGGACTTTCTACCTTCAACACCACACCGTTTTATTAGGTCCCGCAACATGGAATCAAAATCACTAAGTGAGTATGCTCTGGAAGGAGTAAGATGTGCAAACTCAATTCCGTTCATCCAGGCCACAAACTTCGTGATGGTTGTTTTCCCACTCCCGGTGGGTCCCACCAACATCATATGGCCCTGCGGTTGTCTCAGAACCCTGTTAATTCTCAAAACATGCTCTATCAGTTCATCATAGAGAATCAAGTTGACAGAAAGTTCCTCTTCACAAAATATACGAAGCTTGGCCCTGAGAAAAGACCGAAGCTGAGAGTGAGTTGCTGGAGAGTATGAGAAAGACAGCCAATCGCTGAATAAAATGGGTTGTTTTAATGCCCTTTCAATATCAATGCTGTCGAATATCGAGCCGACTACCCCTTTCAAAGTATCGAAAGACCAATCCTTTTCTGATTGCGTTACCAAACGGTCCTGAAATAAGCGCAAGGCTTCATGTGCCCATAGTCGAACCAAACCCTCAAGATCTAACTCGTCCTGGGACGACTTGAGAGCTTCGAAGATACCTCTCACCCAGCGAGTGAGCTCACGAGGACTGAAAACATAATGAGAGTGTTGCATTGGTGAGAACTTCAGCTTGGATTCCTCGTAAAACCTAATCATACCTTCGGTCAGCTCTCCAGCCAATGCAACTAGCCCGGGAGAAAGCTTGAGAGTAGTTTTGATAAATGTCCGGTAGATGTGAGATAAAGACTCTCTTCCCGGATAGTCCATCAGAATAATGCTGAAATGTCTCAGAAACCTAGGGCTTAATGGGTTACGCCCACTGTCCGTTGGAGGATTACAGGCTCCGACAAATTGAACATTCTTCAGGTGAACCCATGCCTGATCACTAGGACGCCAGAAGCCTCCATGCTCAATGATTTGCCTTAAGAGCGAAACCGTATGTTGAGTACCATAGGCGTCCAGACTTGGCAAGTTGATTTCATCACAGAACATAACAATCCACTTTCCAGATTGCTTTGGAGACAGAACCAATCCGCGTGCAGTGCTCTTATAGCTGCAGTGATGTTCCAGAGCACCCAGAATGAGATCAGGTGTCGTATCCTTTGAGAAATTAAGACCAAGAAAATCAAAATCTGAAGAGTGGCTCAGAGCCGACAATACCAACATGGTCTTTCCAGACCCAGGAGGACCACATAGAATCAGTGGGCAATGCTGCTTGATAACATCATCAATATAGCTTGCATGCTTCACAGTCTCAGGTGTTGGAATGATGATGCTTGGGTCCAGCACCTGGTGAACTGCCAAGTTCGTTTCTGGTACCTTAGTTGCCCATGATATCCAATTCCCAGCTGGAAGCTCCAGGTCATAATGAGAAGCCAAAGACCCATCTTCTGGGCCGATACTTGCAAAGATGGACTGGTTCAGGATGTTGCGCTCGAGTGACGACTTCGACTCGGACGGAAGGTCTCCCGTAAAAGCCCAAATTGTGGCCAATAGAGCTGAACGCTTTGAATATGCAGAAAAGTCCCTACCGGAGTGGGAAGGATGAGAGAGAACAAATGCAATCAGTCTTTCCCGATATGCTCTCAGCATAGTCAACAATCTTTTGGCGCTTGCAACAGCACCGAATTCCATGACATGAGGAACGCTTTGCGCAATGGAGAAGATGTCGTTCAGCGACTCGCTCTTCAAGACCTCACAACAACTGCCATTATAGCAATCGTGCACGTACTGGAGGGTATCATGAGATAACACACCACTTGTGTGAGTGTCAAGAGCATCAAGCCTCATTTTGGTAAGAGACATCTCATAGATGTAATTCACGGAGGGAAACACATCACCTAACCAAACAATACCACATCTGCTCACAGTAGCTGGGGTTGCACTTTTCAGTGAGTCAACTTCAAAGAAAATCTTCAGCTCGGGTGGAACCACCAATCTTTCTCCGTTTGCCAGTGTTAAAGTACCATTATCGTCAAGTACACTGTTCAGGCTTTCTACCCAGTCAGGGTCCACATCACCATCAAAAACAATCCAACATATGACGGATCCGTTATCAACGACAGTTTCCCTTAGAATTCTGGTGAATATGCCGTCTTTCCATTCACGAGTAGCAGGATCAAAAGAGCCATAAAGAGAGTTCTTGGAGAGCACTTTGGGATCAATAGTGTACCTCTTATGTGGTCGACAAGTCAACTTTTCAGAAGCAGCCATGACTGACGATAACAACACAGTCTTTCCTATTCCTTGCTCACCAAACAGAATGATTCCTTTATGGCGTTTTTGAATTTCATACAGCTGCGAAGCTTTGCGCATCCAATTTTCTGTCACTTTCAGATGGTTTTCTTTGACATAATTTTCAAGGCTGTTCACCAGCTTTGTAGATGATGTGATAGTCTCATACGAAGCATTAAATGACTTCACAGATTCCACAAAGAAGCCCACGTCCTCTGATATTAGCTTGGGCAACACGGTATTCGTTAAGCTCTCAAGTACCGCCAGTGATTCCGAGTATACACTTGAGTGCTCCATATCATGCGAGTCAAACCTAACATTCATCACAACACTTTTCAAAGCTCTTAGTCCAAAGTCATAATGCGTCTGTTTTGAACATTGGCTTGCCAGATCAACAAATAGCTTGTGGAGATTTCGCGCCAGCATAGATGAATGGAAAAATCCTTGACAACGCAGAAGGACATCTGCAATGACTTCAGTATCAGGTTTTGAAACTATCATTGTGCGATACTGAACTTTGAGATTTTCAGGCAGTTCTGATCTCCCGGCATAATCTGGGTTACTGGTGATGAATAAGCCGGAACTTGGATCCACGGAGATGGCTCCGCCATTGAGTTCTATTGGTCGAGAGTTACCAGAAGAAAGAGCATTCTCAATCTGCTCAATCTGAGTAGCGACTGCACTCAACGTGTTCACGTCCAGACGATTGAATTCATCGAAGCATCCCCAGACTCCAACCTTGCAAACACCGGTCAAAATGCGACTCATGGCGACGTGATCAAATGATTCATCGCAGCAAAATACCAATACCATCCTTCCCAAGTTCTGACCCAGAGCTTTGACAGACTCAGTTTTGCCTGAACCAGCTGGACCAACCAACGAGCCACCCTTCTTTTCATCGAGTGCTTCAGTCATGGCTAAGAAAGACTTCTCCATAAGAGGGGTATATACTAAGCGCAGAGGGAGTCCCCAGTATTCGAATCCATAATTCAATGTGGCTGTTCCGAGCGTCACTGTCAATCTGTCGGGGATATCTTTCACACTCGCGTCATAGTAGAAGCGCTGGACAAATTCAAGAGAAACAGTCTTTCTCTCCATTCTTGACAAAACATCGTTGTAGTGAACTAATTCAATTATCAAATTCTCGAGCTTTCTGCGAGTCACAAAAGTCGTAGCATCCTTCACTCCACCTGCTGAGATATTAAGCATGGAAGAGACATGAACTCCCAAGCTAGTAGAGTCAGTCTCCAAGAACTGAGTGAATATCACCTGCACAGTCAGAATGAGGACCTGGCATGGGTAACGGTCTACCCATACTCTTATCGAATCGCCCTTATTATCTTGTGTCAGCAATGAATTCAGCTCGTTGATCGAGTCTTCCAGACAGCAAGAAAGAGTATACTTCACACTTTGTTCAAGTTCAGTTAACCATCCGATTAACGTACGCTCTTTGTACAAAATCGGTAACTTCAAGGACAACACCTCACCCTCGGGAGATACGACACCAGAGATTCGGTCAAAAGTTTCGTCAGTGATCAAATTACTAATCCCTGAAAACATCTTTGCAATATGGTGTCCAATGATCGATAGAGTGTTGGCATTTCCAACGATATCCAATAGATCTTCATTGTTGAGGAAGTAGAACCGCGGCCAAGACTCTCTCTGCCTATCCAAGTAATCATTGAGAATTTGGTGAATGCTTTTCAGGGAGGTCAACAGTGCTTCGAGCTTCTGCTCAATGTCTTTCACTTCGAGGATGTCGACCACCAAACCTGACGTGTATATTGGTTGCAGCAAAGAGAATAGGTCCGCACCCAGATTCTGATAACGCATTGCTCCTATAGGAAGCAAAGCTTTGATATCTTTATTCTTGGAGAATGCTCCATGAAGCTGAATCCAGTGCCTCTGCACATCCACCCAGGAGTGAAGAATAGCAAATATACGATTAAGCTTCTCTTCCCAAACCGTTGCCTGTTGCTCAAATAGGTCATAGAATTGAGATGTTCTCATAGACTCTAACAGACTCAGATCATTCGAGCAAAGATCGAAGAGGTCCTCCCAGCCTTTCACGAGCTTGACTCCAGAATCGAACTCAAAGAACTCAAAGCCGACATTGGTCCATTTTTCGTTAACCTCAGCAAGAGACTTCTCCACTGTGGCCTCCCCATGAGCCTGATCAACAACCAGCTGAATTACCTGGGCATTATCAGCCAAGTTGAGTTTCCAAACATCTTCGAGGGTTCGAGTATGAGGAGATAAATATTGTACATGCAACTTTTGATACAGTATCCGCCAATGGCGTTCTTTGAATGACTCAGAAGCCAGAGTCAACACCAAGTTAATAGTTTTTTGGTAGCTTTGAATTGAACTTTTGATGGTTTGGAAAGCAGGATGACGCTTAACCCTGATCGGCATCGAGTCTGCCAGATTGACAGCATCGTTGAACTTGGATTCCAGCAAGGTGTGATCAATCTGGTTCCAAAGTAACTTGCCGCAATCATCGATAATGACAGTCAGACTATCTAACGACGACCAAACAGCCCGCAAATCTTGTAGTTCTCTCAAAATGTTTGGTATTGAGTCCGTGAAACTGAATTGAAGGTTCATGAACTCACAAGCCATACAAACAGAGTCCATGCGACCAAGCAGAGATATTAGGGCTTTTTCAAACGTGGCCAAGCCTGACAAAGCATCTGATGATGGGACATCCACATGTGAAGCCTTCTGCTTGAGCCAATTCCCTTCGACAGCATCAATTTCATTGATAACACGATCGTACTCCAGTTTGATTTTCGTGGAGACTTCATTGGAGTTCTCAACCAGAAGACTTCTTTTTGCTTTCACTGCGGCCACCACGGCCTCGAACTGAGATTCAACCAAATCAGACGAAGACCAGCTAATCCTGAAATTATACGAACGCAGCAAAGAGTCCCCTCTTAGTATGTTATCAAGGGTAGACTTCAGACTGCTCTCTTGTGAAGAAAACTTTTTTAATACCACAATCAGTGCAATGATGGAATTGGCAGAGGATATATCCATGGTTGAGGCATCAAGTTCTGCCTGAATGGAGGTCAAAAATGAACCAGTTTTCGAAACATGAAAACCCACGACTTCTGCAAATCTAGAGGCCAACGCTTTGGTGAGGGAGCTGTGCTTACTCTCAGCGTTTTCTTTTAGAAGAGAGATGTCCACTTTGATTGCGCCAAAAGTCACATGTCCGTCGCCTTCAAAGAGTAGCTTGAGGTTCTTGAGTTCCACTAGAGCATCCACCCATGCAGATATATCATCAGCCAGGTTCTCGAGGATTTCTTCGATAGAATACTCCCAAAGTGTTTGAAGCCGTAACCATGAGTTCCAGTAGTCATTTACGAGCAAGTAGTAAGCCTCAAGAGTATCATGCAATTGGCTCAGCACTTCATGCACTGCAGGAAACAGCGATTGAATACCGAAAAGACGCTTGGTGCCTTCGTCTTGTCCGCCCGGGGTACTCAGCATTGGCTGCTCCAAAATGATCTCTAATGTTTGCTGGATATGGGAGCTCCAGTGAGCTTTTGTGTACTCGAGTGGAGGCGAACATGTCATCTTCTGACCATCAATGGAGAACCAATGAGTGAAGGTCTGCATCCAGTCTGAGCCAGAGCCCGTTTCCAAAGCGGAAATGGAGGCCCTTAAGGTGTTATTGGAGAGACTAATCAAACTTTCCTTCAAGCGCTCGTTTGCAACACCAACATACTCATCTATATTTGCGAACCCCTCAAAGTATAACTCGTTTATCTCATCCTGCAGTGTCGAGAGGATAGCCTTCAAAGTCTGGCTAGTGAAAGAGTTCAACTGAGAAATCTGGGAATGCAAAGATGAGACGCGGTCTGCCACTAGCGTTAGTTTCTCCATTTTCAATAAATGGTCACGGATTTGGACAGGAAAATCATCCAAGGCCTTTAGAGTTCGAAGCTCCTCTAGCATCTTTAGTTCTGAGTGTGATTGTAGCTCGACTGCTCGCCCTATGTGGTTCCATTTACCTTCAGACAGAACCTGAATCGTGGAGTAGATGCCATCAACTGAATGGCTCAGTAACACAGTGAGATCACCCAAAATTAAGCAGTCACTAGTAACGGATTTGAAGAGTTCCAGAGATTCCAGAACACTGACATGATAAGGATAGATCAGTTTTGTATCTGCAGCAATACTCGAGATCCTTGTAGGAATGGTAAAGCCCAGGGCTCTTAGAGCTCTAATCTCGTCTATCAGGAATAAAAATTTGCGATCAAATGGGCAGTAAAGCTCAAATGACGAGTCGACCTTTTTGATGTGAAGAATGAAATCCTCGGCCAGTGATAGATCAGAAGCAGTTGGTGTTCGCTCGCTGCACCATTTCTGAAACTGCGACTTTGAGTTGAAGTGACCACGCAATATCTCAAGATCTGCAACAACCTTCCTTCCATCTGGATAGCTTTCCCATTGTGGGCCGAGAACAAGAGAGAGTCTGCTTTGAAGCTCATCACAATGGTTTTCAACCTGGCTGGCCACCAATATCTGCTTTACCGCTTCAGGCACCTCCCGCTGTAATAGGAGCAGCTGTGATTCCTTGTTCTCAATGGACGATCTCCTCAAGGTATCAACTTCCTGCTTCAAAATCGATAGCAGCTGAAACTGATACTCCTGTAGAGCATGTCTGATGGAGAGTTTCTCCAGGAGGAACTCACATTTTTGGAACACAGAAAACATCTCTTGGGAAGATCTTGCGCGCGAAAGTAGACCTTTGATCCCAAGAATCAGTATTTTTTCCAAAGATTCAATCTTTTCGGAGTATAGCGAGAGGGAATTTTCCCACTCGGAGTGCGACGTCTTTCCAAAAGGATCCTGCTCTTGCATTTCGACATAAATTTTGGTGATCTCTCGTTCGATATTCACATCTTCGTGGCCTAGCTCTAGAGATGCCCTTTGCATCAGCTCAAGACTCTTTTGGTGTTCGGCTCTGAAATTTATCACGGACTTTGCTAACTCTTGAACCTCAACGACCCGAGAACTAATTCTCAACGAGACATACTTTTCCGACCTCTTCCGGATCAGCTCCCGACAGAGCTGCGTGAATTCTTTTATCCAATCATCTATCTCCAGAAAAAAGGCTTGTAGTTTTCGCGAATACGGAGTGAAAACCTGATAGTCCATCTTCAAAATGGAGTCCTTTGATAGAATTTCGCGAAGCTTGAAAGAAATATCACCAGTGAAGCTCTCTACCAAACGAACAGCAAGATCCACAGGGTACTCAATCACCCTCAGTCTCTTCATGTGCGCGAATACCTGAGAAACAGCATCCCTCAAAGATTCAATGGTCGCACTCGAACTGAACTGCTGTATAGGTAGATCTATCAGCAGCTGATTGTATCTTCCAGCAATAGATAAGGCATCTTGAACACCAGTATCAGATACAAAGCTGACCGTTGCGTGAAACCGTTTCGCTTTTCTTAGAAGATCCAGAGTGGTAAGCACAGCAGGACTACTCAACTGAGATTGAACGGCCAGGAGTGCAGACTCCTTTTCCGACCAGAAGTTGATCTCATCTTCAACACTGCCATCCAAAGGGTCGTGGTTCATTCTCGAGACCAGTTGAACAGATTTCACCCAGTCATTCACAATCGACTGTAAGTCGTTCAGAAAGGAGGAATCACCAAGTAACTCATTCTCATCAACGTTCTCCTTGTGTTCTTCGTAGTCCATATATTCGCGGATTTTAGGGTGAACGGTCAAAGACAAATCTGGAACTTTTATGAACTGTTCCAGTTGTTCCAAAGAAACAGCCAAATCGTGTATCTTTCTCTTGGCCACACCGTAAGAGTTGGACTCTCTCTGAATGTTTGACCCTGTATTCACCGCCAAAGCATTGAAATATGGCGCGACAGCAAGATTAACAAGCGATTTCAAAGCCTCAAAACTTCCTTGTCTCGTGGCAGTATTGGGGAACTCAACTATCTGCAGTTGTGATTCGATTGGAGTAGCTGCTAGAATGGGGCCTCTAGCCTTAATAATCACCACCAACGAAGTAGTATCGCTGACGTCTGACAGATTTCCAGAAATATACCACTGACGAGCCAGATCAGAATTTCTCACCTTTTCCCCCACAAACAGAGAGGACGAAAGAGGATTTCGAATAAACTGCTGGAGGATCCTTTCATTGTCTTGTGTGTCTATGATAGTACTGGGATGCTCAAATGTATGGGTCAACTTCTTCAGATACTCCTCCAGACTTGCAGTGTCCAGCACTTCGAGATCAGACTCCTCAGATGACCGCATCTATATTACAAGCAACTAAACACGCTTGTAAACGTGAAGTGTAGATAAGTAGGAGTCTTGTTTATTTCTCAGATTTGGTGTACACACAAGGCTCCACGCGTTCGGGTAGTGTGTCAACATATGCACGCCGCACAGGGAAAAATTTCGAACTGGAAGGAACCACACATATGGCTTCTAGCCATAGCGTGAGTGACAACAACCAGGCGACCTAAATTAAAGAATCGGACTACTTATTCGACAATGCTTCACTCTAGAGGAAGTGTGGCGAATATTTTGGCCGGTGCCTCCTCGTTCATCGCGAAGGGAGCCAGGCTCAAATCGTCGATGGCCAAACAAGGCCGCATCTCCAACAGATCCTTTCCATCTCCCAAGGCTGAGCTTTCAAGACCAAGAATCGGCCGTCCATCCCCAAGGATATCTCGTTCGAAGTTTGCTTCTCAAACACCAGAGGAACAGAGCGTGGTGGCCGAGTTCGAAACTCGCATACGAGACAAGCTAGACCAGGACGGCACCAGCGTGGATGATGCTTTCATCAAAAACATTGCACAGGAGTGGGCGGCGAATTTTCCAAAGGGCAAGCTGATGGAGAGAGAAGAGCTACAGAAGGATGAAACTAAAGAATCTTTGATTGAATTTGTTGACTGGGTGATACAAGATGCACAAAAAACGCTCCATGACACCAGGGAAACTGGATCGTTGGATGACGATTTTCCTTCTGATCCTGACTCCGAGGATTTGGAACATGTAATGAGTGAGATGGCAGAGCTTTACCGCACCAATGGGCTGGAAATGCTCATACCAACGTTGAAGACACTCCACGATGATCCACAGAGCACCATTCAGACCATAGCCCTTCCCAAGCTGGCCGAACTCTTCAATATCGCAACCCAACTTGAGGACCCAGCCAAGAAGACCGAAGCTATATTTTTAGCTGGTGAGATTTTGTACACCACGCCAAGATTGCGTGCCGATCCCATCAACGAGTCCTTCTACATCGATTCCCTGATAAAGAACAAAAAGTACTCGAAAGCCGAATATTTGTGGAACTCGCGGAAAGATAAGCCAGACGTATCAGAATTCAGATTCTGGTCTGATATCGGAATCAAGATCAACATCAATAAGCTGAACTTAGGCGGTGCTGAAGAGCTTGCATCTGAGTGTTCCCAACGATTTGGTTACGTTCATCCAAGTATAATGCAGTTATTCATTCTGGTGTACTTGCGGATGAAACAGCCAGAACAGGCATTGGATTGGTGGAAGCGAATGAAGGAGTTGATCAAGAAGGGAGGGGTGGTCAAACATGTATCAGAGTTGAACGTTGGAATGACAGACAACCCTGGTCTCATCTACGAATATCTTGAAAAGGAGGAACAGCCAACGTACTCAGATGTGGTGACAATTGCTAATGCGTTTATAGACTCTGGGGAGTTCGAACGTGCCATCAGCGTGATCAACACTTTGATGTTCCAGGACAGCAGTCTTGCCATAGATGCAGTTGTCAGGATGGTGAGGACACAGCTATCTTACCCGACCAAAGAGCTTCTTCTCACGTATTTGGAGAAGACGCCCTCGAGAAAGCTGGTTCCTTTCGCCAAATCGCGACTATCGAAGGTGATAGTTGATTCTAGAGAAATACCAGATGTGAACAGGGAACACCCGGTGTTCCTCCACAAGGTGCTCAACGAGCTCACCAAATTGAAGACACCACAGGCTCAAGAAATGCTGGTCAAATTGGGAGAAGGCAAGATTTCCAGCTCAGCAGACTATTGTATGCTATTGAGAGTTCTTCTGAAGGCCAAATCAAGAACCACCCTAGCTGTTGCAGATGAGCTAATACAGCTAATGAACGAGTCATTGAAGGCCACAAATGAAGGCCAAACCTCCAACATGATCCCCCCAGCAAATGCACATATGTATACTATCTTGGTTCAACATCTAGCTCGTCGCAAGCAGAACACCATTCCACAGATTGAAGAGCTCATGAAAATAATGGAGAAAGAAGGAATCGAACAGAACGCTCACTTAGCCAACCAAATCGTCCATGCTTATTGGAGAAGAAAGATGTACCAACCACTTTTTGCATACGCAACTTCATGTCTGGAAAATGATAAATTGGAGCTCACCGAGCTGTTCTATCTCACTCTTTTCAGAGTTCATTACAAGTGCCTGCGCTCAGCACATACCAAGAAGGAAATTGACGATGAAAAGAATGCCGTTCGCGAGTTATTTGTGAATTTCGTGAAACAGTCTCATCTGTTTCCCGAAGCAGCCTCTTTTGAAGCTGCAATTCCTGCTTTTCTGGTATCTGGCGATTTTGCTGGGGCATGTGCGGCTCTTGAATACATGGGAACCGTAACTAACGTTCCTCCTAGTCTGGAATTGGTGGCCAGTGTTGCCCACCATGTTTTGGGTGCATGGAGAAAGACCAGTTATCTTGCACTAAAAGATAGTGAGAACATACCAGACGATATCCAGATTGAAGTGAAGGCCTTTTTCTCTCAGCTCGATAATCTTATGACCCTCATGTCCAAAAACAATAGAGCGCAACTGCAATGGAAGGCCCCAGTCGGAATTCTGCTGAAATACAAGGATATCTGCAACTATCAGACGTATCCTGGTATCACAGTAACGCTCAATGAAGAAGGCGTCCGATCAAGCAAAAATGCCTTCTACAATGATTTCAACGATTACCGAGGTATTCTGGGGTTGAAAGAAATGAACGATCTGCCTGATTTGGAAGGGGATTTCTCATTGGAAGCCACCTCTCTGCACTTTTGATTCATGATATCCAAAAACACTTGTAAATATGTACATCAATATCTATTTGAACTTGAGCCACTTGGGAATCTTCTTGCCGTCAACCTTACTGGAAGATCTGGTCTGGGAAGCTGCGGTTGGTCTCACTGTAGTAGCTTCTTCTAAAATCTCATGTTCCGCATCTTCTAAGTCAGAACGGTGATGGTCCAGCTGAACTTCTGCTGCTTCTGATATGGGTCTGGCCTCAGATAGATATTGGTCCTTCAAATACCGTTTTCCAGACACCCTTTCAATATCCTCAAAAACAAGAACAGTACGATGGCCAAACTCGAGGTCAGAAACCAGTCGTTTCGTAAAGTCGTCTTTGGTTTTGTTCAAGATCCTGTGGGGATGGGTGGTGGCCAAATGGAAAAACATGCCGTCTGAAGTGCCTCCTTTTTGCTCAACCAGAAACTCTAATAACGAACTGTAAAGATCACCCAGTGTCTTTGTGGGTTCTAATGAGAACTGAATACTAGTCCAATCGGGGAACCTTACGCGGATCTGGCATATTTCAACGGCTTTGGCTGATGCCGCCGCCTGTTGGCGCATTCTCTGCGATAACATGGGACCAGAACCAGCCTTCTTCTGAAGCATCGCTTGATACTTCTTAGCCTGTGAGATTGACATATCATATGTTGAGTCATCTGTAGCAGCAGCCTTGATTGGCACTTCATCAGGGATAAATACTGTCACTTCAGACAGATCCTTCTCAGGAGTAACATCTGTCCGGGTTGAGTGTTTCTCGGATTGTGCACTCGGTGAGGTCTCCTTCAACACAGTATCTCCATCCACGTCCATCTTGGTATCATCAGCCGGAATTGGCTCATTATTTTGAAGAACTTCCTCTGGTGCGGGCACACTCTCAGCCGTTTCAAGGCCAACTTCTTCTTCAAGCACCTTCTCAAATTTCAATCGCAACACCACATTTCCTGAGGAAAATCCCAGATCTGAAACCGGCTTCAATAACTCGGAATCCGTCGACAATGTTCTGGTGAAACTCTGTACAACAGGCCTATAACCCCTCGTGACACTGACGCGGCGAGCAACGTCGGTCTCAGTGGTAGTTCTTTCAACCAAAGACAGACCGGTTCGACCCTCAAAGTATCGTAATATATTTAAAACCGATTCTCCTGTTTCAAATTGACCAATGAGTAGCGACGCGTCGGCCGGAACTACAATCGTACTATCCAGTATCTGAAGCTTCAATGTGATCTTGGAGGGAGCGCTATTATTAGCCCCATCAGCCGGTTTTTCCACCAATTCGAGCTTTGCACCGGCAGAAAGCCCCGAAAGTCGCACTGGGAGCGAGAGATCGATATTCGACTGGCCATGTCTGGCAATAGTTAGTACACAACTGCTTTCTTTGTAACAACCCCATCACCATACTTACTTCAACGCCCACTTATCAGACGCAAGCTTAAAGTGATTGCAACTGCGAACAAGTATTTCATTAAGCAGCATACCCGGTGAGGTCTTCACCTTGAGAGATCGAGCTCCATAATTAACGCTGATAAGTGACATGGTGAGCAGATCCAAAGCTCTCTCTCTCTCTGTGCTACGTAAGCCTAACAGAAGATGGAGATACGGAGATAAGCTGAGTGGCGGGGCCGTGTTTCCAGGGCACATATGCAGAGTCGGCTTAGTATAAAGCCGCGGCGGATTCGCCCCAGACAAGAGCAAGCCTATTGTGCCCTATAATTTGTACAACTAAGCTAAAAATTCCGTTTTTTATCCGAGCAACATTGTCTTTAGGCAAAAACATTTCCTTCTTGGGCTCCCGACGGATCATTTACAGGTCTCTTCGAACAATGGCTACTTCCGAAGAGGCGGTCAATAGCATAGAGGCGCCATTGACTTTTGAGCCGAAAATCACATACTTGGACTCATTTAAGCACTGGTGTGACTTTAAGTCATTGGCTGAATACGAAAAGGAACTGTTGTCGTATCTGCCCTTTTATCCGAAGAGCGACAGCACCAGACAGGCTGAGATCCTGGATACAAAGATTAATTCCACAAATTACATACATGAATTCCACGTGCAAAACACGGAGGAAACTAGAGAGGATAGGCATATTGTGATGGTACATGGATATGGAGCTGCTCTAGGATTTTTCTACAAAAACTTTGATGGTCTTTCGAAAATGCCTGGAGTCCAGCTTCATGCCATTGATCTTCTGGGCTATGGTCTGTCTTCAAGACCTCACTTCCCTAAGTTTGGAGTCGACACTCCCGAAGATATTCACAAGAGCGAGGATTTCTTCATAGACGCGATAGAGGCTTGGAGGAAGGAAAGAGGCCTTGAAAAGTTTGTTCTCATGGGCCATTCCCTTGGAGGCTATCTCTCCAGTTGTTATGCTTTGAAATACGGCGAGGGAGTGGTGCAAAAACTGATTTTGGTATCTCCAGTAGGAGTCGAGAGGAACGATTTTTCACTGATTGGGGGTTACAGTGCACATCAGCGGAATGTGGCAGTTGATGATACAACGATAGCTCAACAGCAGGGTGTTGCGATTGAGAACGAATATCTTGAGGGTCAACGGGATATCGTTGCTGATGATGTTTCCATCTCTTCCTCGGGGTCTTCCCATTCCGAGCGTCTGCATCAGGTCAGGCGTGCTCCCAAACTTGGCAGGATATTCACTACGATGTGGGAGAGGAATGTTTCGCCGTTCTCATTTCTTAGAGCACTCGGGCCGTTTGCTCCTAAACTAGTTTCAAACTGGACTTTCAACAGATTCGGAGCCATTGAAGATCCCCTGGAGCTTATGACTGTTCACCATTACACCTACAAGACCTTTGCCGCGAAAGGATCCGGTGAATTTGCCCTTACAAGGATTCTGGCACCAGGAGCAGTTGCAAGACTGCCATTGTTGGATAGACTTCCTGGAAAACTAAAGATCCCATCGATTTGGTACTACGGTGATCACGATTGGATGTCGAAAAGCGATGGCCGTTTGATCGTGAAAGAGATAAACGAGGCCAGTGAGGATGGAAAGCTGGCAAAATACAGAATCTTGAGCAATGCAGGTCATCACGTTTATCTGGACAATCCTCCCGATTTTGAGCGTTCGGTAAGAAATTTCCTGGGTTGGTAACACTGGAAGCATTAGATTTATAATTTTATAGTCATATCAGCAATTACTTCGAAAACCTTTTTTGGGCCTTATCAGCGTTTTCTTTGCGAGCCGCACGAATCTTTTTATCTGACGTAAGCACGGACGCGACGTGGAGGTTGAAGTTACGCGTGCTGTAGTATTGCTCTATAATGAACCTGGCATATAACCAAATGAGCGCCAATTTGTACGACGATAACGAGGGGGTATGTATTAAATGTCATTTCAAAGTTGATAGAATAAACTAACATAGTTGACCAGGAGGAGGCCCCCGAGATATACGAAACTTCCGATGTGGAAGAAGTAGATCCAGGCGAACCCAAAGAGATACCCAGCCAGATCATCGACACAGAAAACGTCTCGATAGATAATAAGCAGATATATGAAAACCACGTGGTTGATTCCACAGGTTCCGATTTTGGAGACTCGATTACGAAGTCGCGATCGGGCTTCCGTTCCCTAAAATTGGAGGAGACTACCAAGCAAAAACTGATCAGGATACGAAACGAATTGAGCGAGATTAGTTTGGACGACTCTGACAATCGCGAAGTACTTGAAGATGTCAATGATTTGAAGGACGTTTTGAAGAGGCTGGAACAGGGTCATATAGAGTCAAATTTTCATCCTGTTTTCGTTAGAGGACATGTGAATCTAGAAGAGGATAGTCCAGAGTCACAGACTGAGCCGAAAACTGCACAATATTTCACCGAGAAGGACATAGCGATCGAGATAGATTCCAGGATAAAGAATTTGGAGGATTCCTTAGGAGACACCGATATAGATTCCCCCAATACCATCCAGGGTTCGTTGAATGACATATACCGTCGCTTGAATGTGTTACAGTCAGATGACGCATTACACTCTGTCAAAGAAGAGATCAAGTCATTGAATAATCAGATGACTACATTTGCGCATAGAGCAAGATTTGAGTCTTTGAGAGATCAAGATTCAGGCCCCCAAGACGAGTCTACAACAAAGCGCATTGAAGCCATATACAACAGTATACAGAGCAATCCCGATATAGGCCATACCGTTGATGCAATACTTAGGCGGCTGAGATCCCTCAGCAAGCTGCAACTAGACGTTAGCTCGTCTACATCTCTTCTGGGCCAAATCGCCAGCAAGATCCAACTGGTGGAGCAGGACACTGCCCATTGGGAACAATCGCTGGAGACAATGGAGAAAGAGATAGATGGATACTCGCACGAGTCTAACGAAAATTTACGAAAAGTCCAGGCGTGGATTGGTGATCTGGAGACAAAACTGACGAAGATCGGATCATAAAAAACAAATGAACAATTGCAAGCATAAATGGTTATTACATGAAAAATTGTATGGCTAATATTGAAATTTTCTCTTTGTAATAAAACGGAAAGCACACGACCAAAGCCCATATCAAAAACTCCACACCTTTGATTATAAGCAACATTAACACTTGTAGTAGAACCTGAATTCGATCTGCTATTGGAATTTATTGTATATAGAAATGGCAAATTACTCAGTTTCATCTACAAAGTCCTACATGCAGGCTATGCAGCCGATGGCTGAAATTCTCAGCCAAGTTGATATAGCAGATGATGAGAGTTCTTTTCTGAGGATTCCAGATCTTCAGGATGAGACCATACGAACAGGAATTTCCAAGCAGCTGGAATCCTTGCTTTCAACGTTTGAAAGTGCCATGGTGACCGACTTAGACGAGGTTTTGAGTGAGTCTGATTCAAGTGGCGAGGAGGTACTGGAAGAACTTGAGGCAGAGTGTGAAAGGGTGACAGATGTGCCCATGACTCCAGAACAAATATACCAAACGGTGATAGAATCACTTCAAACTTACAGTTCTGATGATGAGCTTCAGTCCAATCTTTTTGACCTTATGGGGGCTGAAGGGTTTGACTTGATTTCGAGTGTTCTCCAGAAGAAGAAGAGCATTCTTGATGCCCTCCATGGCGCGGGGAAACCAGCTTCGCATCCGAGACTTTTAACCGAAGAGGAAAGAGAAATTCAACTTTTAGAACAATCGCAGAAGTCTAGAAACCAGCGACTGGAAAGGCAGACTAGAAATGTTGAATACCAACATGTGTACAGGGCCCACGAAGCTGGAAACACCCTCTCTTTCACGGGCAAGAAGTACACTCTGCCGGCTGGAACCACCAGAGAGAGTTACGAGAAGTATGAAGAGCTGATTATTCCTTACCCAGATACTCCACCTCCAATGACGAACGAGAAACTGATCCGTGTCGCTGATCTCAACTTCCTCTGTCAGGGAACGTTCAAGGGCTATAAAACCTTGAACAGAATGCAATCTCTGATATACGATGTTGCCTACAATACCAACGAGAATATGCTGGTTTGTGCGCCTACGGGTGCCGGTAAAACGGACGTTGCTCTTCTCACTGTTCTCCATACCATCTCTCAGTTCTGCAGTGAAACTTTATCAGAAAATGGAGGTGTTGACATAGACATTGACTATAGCGATTTCAAGATTATTTATGTGGCGCCTTTGAAGGCACTTGCTGCAGAGATTGTGGAAAAGTTTTCAAAGAAACTTGGTTGGCTAGGTATACAGGTCAGAGAGCTGACTGGTGATATGCAGTTGACCAAAGCTGAAATCATCCAGACTCAGGTCATTGTAACCACGCCTGAAAAATGGGATGTGGTTACCAGAAAGTCAACTGGTGACAGCGAGTTGTCTGAAAAGGCACGTTTGCTGATCATCGATGAAGTTCATTTACTTCATGAGGAACGTGGTTCCGTCATAGAAACACTTGTCGCCAGGACACTGAGGCAGGTTGAGAGCACACAATCGATGATTAGAGTCGTTGGACTTTCAGCCACTCTGCCGAACTTTGTGGATGTGGCAGACTTTCTGGGGGTCAACAGACAGATCGGAATGTTTTACTTCGACCAGTCCTTTCGCCCAGTTCCTCTCCAACAACAATTGTTGGGAGTGCGTGGAAAGGCTGGAAGCAAGCAGGCCAGGGAAAATATTGATGATGTTTCTTACAAGAAGCTGATAGAGAGTTTGGACGAAGGTCACCAAGTGATGGTGTTTGTACATTCCAGAAAAGACACTGCAAACACTGCAAAGACGTACATTCGCAAGGCACAGGAAACTGGTGATTTGGGGTTGTTCGATTGCACTGAGTCCCCAGCTTATGACAAATTCAGCAGAGAAATGAACAAAAACAGAGGCAAAGATGTGCGTGATCTGTTCCCCCACGGATTTGGTGTACACCATGCTGGTATGCTCAGAAGTGACAGGCATTTGGTGGAGAAGATGTTCACTGAAGGTGCAATCAAAGTTTTATGTTGTACTGCAACTTTGGCCTGGGGTGTGAACTTGCCTGCCGCCGTGGTTATTGTGAAGGGAACTCAGATCTACGATGCCAAAAAGGGTGGATTCGTTGACTTGGGAATTTCTGATGTGATTCAAATCTTTGGACGTGCCGGTAGACCACAATTTGAGAAGTTTGGTACGGGTATTCTTTGCACCAGTTCTGACAGACTTGATCATTACATCAACCTGATAACGCAGCAGCATCCAATTGAGTCTCAATTGGCCGCAAAACTGGTGGACAATCTCAATGCGGAGATTTCGCTGGGAACCGTCACTAATGTTGAGGAAGGTGTTCAATGGCTGGGATATACTTATATGAACGTTCGGATGAGGCAGAATCCGTTTTCTTATGGTGTTGACTGGCAGGAGCTTGCAGAGGATCCTCTCTTGGTCCAAAGGCGTCGCACACTTATCATTGAAGCAGCCCAGAAACTCCATAAACTTCAAATGATCATTTTCGATGACAGATCAGGATCGTTTGCAGCGAAAGATTTGGGCAGAATTGCATCTGACTTCTACCTTCTTAATGAGTCTGTGGAGATCTTCAACCAAATGATGAATCCTCTCGCTACCGAAGCAGATGTTCTGTCAATGATCAGTTTGAGTAGCGAGTTTGACAACGTGAGATTTCGCGAGGAGGAATCCGTTGAGTTGAAGAAGTTGTTGGAGGAGTCCACTCAGTGTGAAATTGCCGGAGATATTGAATCTGCACAAGGAAAAACAAACATTTTACTTCAGTCGTTTATCTCGCAGGCACTGATCAAGGATTCTGCATTGATATCCGATTCCAACTATGTGGCTCAAAACTCAGCAAGAATTTGCCGTGCTCTCTTTTTGATTGGTATTAGTAGAAGATGGGGTATCTTCTCAGAAGCTTTACTGGCAATCTGCAAGTCGATTGACAAAAGGATCTGGGCGTTCTCTCACCCAATGAGACAGTTCGATTTACCTGCAATTGTCATGAGAAATATTGAGGCTAAGAAACCATCAATGGAGACTCTCCGTGATATGAGCTCCTCCGAGCTTGGTGATCTTGTGCATAACCAAAGAATGGGATCAGTTCTGTACAAGCTAGTTGGTCGTTTTCCAACTTTATTGATCGAAGGAGACATATTCCCTATAACCAAGTCAGTAATGCGACTTCATATCACTCTTGAGGCTGATTTTGTTTGGGATGATAAGTACCATGGAAAGGCCCAGTTTTTCTGGATCTTAGTGGAAGAGTCTGATAAGTCTCAAATCCTCCACGTTGAGAAGTTCATACTGAACAAAAAGCAGCTACGCCAAGCTCATGAGTTTGACGTCATGATTCCTCTTTCTGATCCTGCACCTCCCCAGGTGATTGTGAAGTGTTTGTCGGACTCTTGGATTGGGTCCATAACGACGCATTCGATTTCCTTCCAGCATTTGATCCAGCCTCACAATGAGACAGTCCAAACGAAACTTCTGAAGCTTCAGCCTTTGCCTATAACTGCCTTGCATGACAAACAGGTGGAGAACATATACGCTTCAAAATTCCACTACTTCAATCCGATGCAGACCATGACGTTCCATGCCATGTACAACTCGAATTCGAGTGTTTTTGTGGGGTCACCAACAGGTTCTGGAAAGACTGTTGTGGCAGAACTGGCGATATGGCAAGCCTTCAAAGAAAAGCCTGGATCGAAGGTGGTCTACATTGCTCCAATGAAGGCTCTGGTCAGAGAACGTGTTGATGATTGGCGTGCTCGCATATCGAGGAACTCCTCCCACAAAGTGGTTGAGCTGACAGGTGATTCTTTACCTGAAGCGAGAGAGGTCAGAGAAGCAGATATCATTATCACCACGCCTGAAAAGTTTGATGGTATCTCACGTAATTGGCAGTCGAGAAAGTTTGTTCAGCAGGTCTCTTTGGTGATCATGGATGAGATTCATTTGCTAGCCAGTGATCGTGGGCCCATTTTGGAGATCATTGTGAGTCGTCTGAACTATATTTCTTCTTTTACGAAGAAGCCAGTAAGACTTTTGGGAATGTCCACTGCTGTCTCCAATGCGATTGATATGGCTGGTTGGCTTGGTGTTAAAGAAGGGCTTTTCAACTTCCCACCATCAGTGAGACCAGTTCCTTTGCAGATGTATATCGATGGATTCCCAGACAATCTTGCATTTTGTCCTTTGATGAAGACTATGAATAAACCTGCGTTTATGGCTATCAAACAGCATTCCCCAACAAAGCCTGTACTGATTTTTGTTGCATCTCGTCGTCAAACCAGACTGACTGCTCTTGACTTGATTCATTTGTGTGGAATGGAAGAAGACAATCCTCGTAGATTCTTGAGGATGGATGAAAATCAACTTGCAGAGACCATTGCCAAGGTTAAAGACGATACCCTGAAGCTGTCCTTGCAATTCGGTATTGGTTTGCATCATGCTGGTTTGGTGGAGTCGGATAGACAGATATCTCATAAGTTGTTTGAGTCTGGTAAGATCCAGGTTTTGGTAGCAACATCCACATTGGCTTGGGGTGTGAATCTTCCAGCTTACTTGGTGATTATTAAAGGAACCCAGTTTTTCGATGCGAAGATTGAGGCCTATAGAGACATGGATTTGACTGACATTCTGCAAATGATGGGACGTGCTGGTAGACCTGCATTTGACACTAGTGGTGTGGCTATTGTCTACACCAAAGAGTCAAAGAAGACCTTTTACAAGCATTTTCTGAATGTGGGGTTCCCTGTGGAATCATCGTTGCACAAGGTATTGGATAACCATTTGGGTGCTGAGATTTCATCGGGGACTATCAAATCCAAACATGATGCAGTGAACTTTTTGACTTGGACATTCCTTTATCGTCGGGCCCACAATAACCCGACCTACTATGGAATTGAAGATACAAGCACAGAGGGAGTCAGCAGGTTTTTGACTGACCTGATTGATACTACTATCAACAATCTTGTGGAGTCTCGTTGTTTAGTAGTATCTGGGGATGTGCTTGGTCCTACGCCGTTCCTGAAGATATCCTCTTACTACTATCTCTCTCACAAAACTATCGGAATGTTCTTGAAGCATGTTAAGGTTGATTCCTCTTTTAGAGACTGTTTGAAGCTCTTGTGTTTGGCTACAGAATACGATGAACTTCCAACTCGTCACGGTGAGGAGCTGATCAACATGGAGATGTCTGAGCAGATGAGATATCCAGCAGATGATCTCAACTGTGATTTCATTTGGGATCCTCACATCAAGGCCTACTTGTTGCTACAAGCCTTCATGACTCGCGTTGAGTTACCCATTGCAGATTATTCACAAGATACTGTCTCTGTTCTGGATCAGAGTTTACGTATACTGCAAGCTTTCATAGACGCTGGTTCTGAGCTCGGCTATCTTCCTACAGTTTTGACTTTGATCAAGCTTATGCAGTGCATCAAACAAGCATGCTGGTTTGATTATGACTCTGTTTATGCGTTGCCAGGTTTGACACCGATGGAGATATCTGGTTCCGACAATAAGAATGGAGAGGACTTGCATCTTACTAAATTCGATGGTGATATTACATTGAAGCAGATCGGCTCCATGGACGAAAATGCCATCTACTCCCTGGCGGATAGACTTTCTGTTCCTGGTCGTCAAAAGAGGGAATTTGTCAGGATCGCCTCCAGACTTCCTACAGGTACCATCAAAGTATATCAGGATGATTCTGATCTCTTGAAGGTTCAACTAGACCACGAGAATGCCCCTTTGAACCCTGAGTTCAAGGTATACTGTCCAAAGTTCTCGAAGCCTCAGAGAGAAACTTGGTTCGTTGTTCTTTGTGATATTTCCACCAACGAATTGTTTGCCATCAAACGTGCTTCGCCTCGTTTCATGGACAGAAACCATTCTGCAGTTGCTTGTGAAGTTACCATTCCCGACTCTCTCAAGGGTAGAACTCTCGATCTACTGTGTCTGAGTGACTTCATGAATATGGACTATTCGTCAACAGTTACTTTGAAAAGTTAGTTAGATCATAGAAAATATACAGATGCCGATTAAATTAGTTGAAAAACTCTGAGTTCCTTTCTCCGAGTGGAATTTTTCATTCAAAGAACTCATCCTCCTCTTCGTCCTTTGGTCTCTCAGTAGAGGCATCAATAGACGATTGAGTAGCCTTCAACTTCTTATTCTCAACCTTTTTCCCTCCAAAAGCGGTTTCTATGCCAACCTCTAACGTGCCTTGCTCCAGCATCTCTGAGAACTGTTTTTTGTATTGCTTTCTCTTTTCTTCCGTGTCTTTCAATCCCTTCTTGGCCTTCTCATCTAGCTTAGCAGTATCAGTGGAATCTTCGTTCGGAAATAAGGCAATGTACTTCTCTGTTCTTGGAAAATTAAGAACATAAGCCAAATCAGACTCACAATGCTTTCTCACCTTCCTTGCCTTCTTAAGGTCCTTCTTGACCTCCTGGCCATCCTGCAGCTGGGTTTCGAGGTCATCAACTGTCTTTATGGCCTGTTTCAGTCTTCTGATGGCTTTCTTTTTCTCGAAAAATCGCACCATGTGATACTTCTTTGACATTGCCTTTGCCTTCAAATTAAACTCCTTATCCTTGAGTTCATGCCTCAGGGCCAACAATGCCCTCTCGTTCTCGATCCTTATGTCAGCTGGAAGGGTTTCTCTCTTCTGTACCCTCTCTATGTCTCGTATCTTCTTCTTGATTTTGGAGGCTCCCATCTCCAGCACATCTGAGATATCAACTCCCCTGCGTTCATTGTTTTTCCTAAATGGCGCCATTTTTGTAGTTTATCGGAGCTGTTCCTGGTTCATGATCAAAGGTTTGGAAAGTAAGTGGAATTTTTTGGCATACCAAAAATTATTATTGAAATTCTCACGACCAAAACTTTTCAGAAGATGTGCGGCGCAAGCTTGAAGCTAGACACTTCATACATTATTATCATCGATAACATCATGATTGAATCCGAAAGTCCAATATTAATATACAAATAAACTTGTTGGGCTCAGAAAGAGCTTGCAAGCCATCTCAATTCTGAGTGCTATATCTTGTGATCACAGCAGATGTGTTTGAACAAAGGAATGCACCTTCTCACGCTTTAAAAACATGCTCAAACTCCGAAAACACTACTGTAGCCATTTCCATAATCTAAACTGGCAGTACCCTCACCCCTGCCAATCTGTCGAGCACAGGTGCCACAAAAGGATGAGATAGCAAAGGCCCAATAATGGGCATGGATCTCAAAAACTGCACCACAACAGCGAAAAAGTCACCGAACAAGCCCAGTATACCCACACTCTCCACAATAAAACCAATGAATGAGCGTTTGAACAAAATCAGCAGGATACCCCACGCGAAAAATATGCTGCCTCTAATCTTCTGCTTTCTGGTGAAGAAAACCACCGTCTTCTGAGGCCCTATTATGAGCACCAAACCAATGAGAAATAGGAGCTAATAAATTCAAGCAGTTAGAACCACATTCCAGCAATTGCAAATAAAGAAAATGGACATGGAAAGGATTCAATTCCATGACCACCTGTCACAAACTTACGTTTCCAAATGCTAGCATAGACGAATTGAAGAGTGCAAACACTCCAAATAGGAAGAACAAACATCCACAGGCAGTAAATGCCACGCCAAACTCTAGAAATTGATTTCAGTTAGTTTTTGGAGCTTCAGCGGAAACTCAGGTGGGAACTCAGAGGTCGCCTCCTAGTGTGTCCATAGAATGCCCATAGACTTTACCAATCATGAATTCAGTCTTTGAAACACCATACAAACACCAAATAAATAACGTACTCTGTGTTTCTGACAACCAGATCATGTTTTTTGGAAATTAAAAAGAAAAATATCCCAAAGTATTCTAAAACACTCCAATGTATATCACTGACGTGTAATCCAAACACGAAATGAGTATGGCCTAAGATCCTTTTTTTTGAGCTTTACCCGACATACACCAGGGTTGCCTAACCAAATTTGACTTGCTTCAAGTTCGAGGCTGTGCTATATAGTAGGGCTTCAGATGCCTTGGCTTTGAAGCTATTCATTCTTTGTTTTCTTTTTTCCTGGGAATTTTTGATTTCTTGAATGCAAAGGAAACCTGTGAATTGGGTTTCAGCTTGGTTTAATAGAGGACTGGTTTGAGATCACTTGAATTAGTTGGATTTGGTTAAGTCTGCTAAATCATCTTACCCCGAAAAGTCGGCTTATCTACTTGCCTCAACAACCCACCAGAGACTCCTGAGAATCCTGAAAGCATCTGATAGTCTCGGATCTTGTATAAAACATTCAAGCAATGTCTCAAAGGAGAAATTCTGGTGATCCGTCGGACTTGCCACCTCCATACGAAGAAGTTGTGGGGAGACCCTCTGGACAACCGCGCCCTACACAGCACAATTCAAAGCCTCAACCTCTACCACCTCGACCAAATGCCCATTCAAACTCTCTGCCAACATACAGTGTCCCAGCTTCTAGCTCTGTGAGTGTGCCTCAGAAAGCGGACGATATGTACACTGCGAATCTGGCTCTACCATGGAGATATCCCAAGGACTTTTTCTGCAAAAAGTGCAGGAATACCGGATACAAGATGGGAAGTCCCGAGAAGAAGTGTAAGAGGTGCTGGAAACAGTTTGAACCCAAACCGAAGCCGATAGTGTACAAACGGCCACCGTCTAACGTGGTTCCGTTACCTCCAGGAGCTCGCATAGTTAGTCCCATGCCAATGGGTATGCCTCTGTCCGGGGCTCCTGGGGCACCTATGAGGCCGATGGTAGTCCATCCGGGTCATCCATCTATTGGCGGTGTTCTTTGCCAGAACTGCGGTGGAAGAGGTATCGTTTCCTTTTTTCTGGATCAAGAGACGTGTCGTACATGTGGAGGTATAGGAAGGGTATTCCCCGCATATGCGAGCTAGCAGAGGAAATTTTCTTCAGGTCAAAGTTGATAGTAGCTTTATTTTTCAATCTTTCTTTCCCTGGACACGGGTCTTGGACTCTCAAGAAGACTTGCATGAACAGCTGTGTCTGCTCTTGACACACTTCATGTGCGGTGGATAATATTACAAGTTGGAGTTTTTCGTGTTTATGTAAGAATTTTTTCTGCTTCGAGAAAAGGATAACCTAATAGAACGTAGAAATGCATATCACGTCTGAATTCTGAATTCATGTGGAGTAGGAGCCCTGGCAACGAGTCGTGCACATCAAGTCTCCCCGAGACAGATTGCCGAAACTGTTGTAGTCAAACAAGACACCTTGAGAACCAAGTTGTCCCATCGGTTTAAGCAATAATTTCAATGTCCGAGCTCGTGACTCGAGATGTCCTTAGATCTCAATTGCTGGTGAAAGGTAGCCGAGGAATAATCGCAAATATAGACGATCTTTCCAACGAGGATTCCATCCTGCAATTGGCACAGTTTGATACTGAATTCGAGGCTTTGGGTGAGAAAAGCGCCCATGGTCTCAAAAATGTCGAGGTGGATGCCCAATTGTATAATTTCAAGCTGCTGCTTCTTGCCGAGCAAGAAGACGTGAGCATACTCAAGGACCAAAGTTTCCAAGATCCCTCGGAGTTTGAATACTACGTGTATTTACGTTCCTTGAAGTTGTTGCTGGATAGAGGAGTATCCGAGTTGGTTCCCGAATACTTGAAAGCATGGTCTGTTTTTTCAGGCTTTCCGAGAAGAACAAATTTGTTGGGAACAGCGATGTTTGAGGACGTGCTGACAGGCCTGGCCACATACTTTGTCAGCATAGGAGTTAAGTCAACTGCGCAGGTGGAGTCAAGCTTCGATTCCTATGTGACTCTAACCACTCCCTTCACAAGGCTGCTCCGACTCAGGTTTGTTTCTCGTTTTGCTAAACTTCAAGGCAACCAACCTGGGTTGACACAGCATCTTCTGGAACTCGAAAAGAACTATGCTCAAGGTGCTTCCTTCCCCAAGGCCTCAGAGACAAACTTTGAGTACGATGAATACATGAAAGCGATCCTAGACATCACAATATTAGACGGCAATTTATCTGCTGCTTCCTTGGGCTCACAGGTGGATGCAGCGTTGTCAAAGACCTTCCAGAGTGCAGTTGTCATGAGGGCGTGGCTTTCGTCTTGCGCTCTGGACTTGTCCAAGACAGCTCAGGAGGTCCATGCAGCTTTCAATGTATACTTGAACTATTCTTTGAAAGAAAAGGGGCTGGGTGGGGGCGTTTTTTCGGATATCATTGATGTGTTGGATTGTTTCGAGTTCGTACTCAACTATTTTGTCTCTCGAGCTCCCGAGATTGATCTCATACCAAGCATCGCGGACTGGAATTTGAAGATGAAGGACATTATTAACGAGTTCAAGATATCGTACGATATTGACAGTACCAAACCGCTGTCAGAGGTCCTGGCACAGCGTCTCAGTTCCTACTACTATACCCTTGGTGCGGTTGAGAGGTTTCTGGCAGTGAATGGTTCTCCCACTTTGAAGCTTCTTGAAACGCACCTCGCAAATTCATACGCATACCTGACCGAATCCATAGAGATAGCCCATTCCCACGGGATCAAGGCAAGCTTCGATGCCTACTTTCAGCACGCTATTGTCAGTGGAAAATTGAATAAGACCTCTATTGCTTGCAAGTCCGCAAAACAGTGCATCGGTGTTGATCCTACGAGTTTCAAGGCCTTGAACCTTTTGGTTCTGTTACTGACCTCGAAGGATCCGAGAGACCTACAGGCCCTAACAGTAGCCGAAGCGGCCAATCAGATGATCGAGAATTACTTGGAGGAGTCTGGCTCTTTGACCCCAGTAGAGAAGTGGGAATTGATCGAATTCAGAAAGACGTATGTCGCAGCGAAGGAAATACACGAGGGCATTTTTGCTGCATTGGATCATGTTCCTGAGGTGTTCACTCTGTTCCACACTCTGTTCAACCCATCAGAGATCTCCAATGGTGAAGTGAAATCGTACGTACCACAACTGCATGCGGGTGGTCTTAGTTCGCAAAAGGACGTTCAATGGTCTCATCGTCCAAGTATAGTCAATCCATCTGCAGAAACCGAAGCAGTTCAGAATGGAAGCAAACATGAACGAAAGAAGAGTCTCCTATCTGCTGTGAGAAGCACAGGCTCTTTAGCTGAGAAGAAACTCTCCTTCGATTCCAGAAAGTCAAAGCACGAGCTGAAGAATAAACCCTCCAGTGATCTGGCCTCGTTGTATTCCGACACTTCGGTGAAGGAGCCACTCCAGGATATTTGGCTATGGGCGTCCCGACTTTACGAGAAGGCAGGGATGCTGGAAGAGTCCGAGAAGTGTATCAAAGAGGCCGAAAGCTGCCACAAGCCTAATTTCAAGACCCATGCGAGATTTGGACTGTTAGTGTACAAAGCTAATCCCAAACTGGCGTTTCAGGAGTTTGAAATCTCACTTGACGAAGTCGAGGAAGAGAACGTGGAATCCATCCTAGGTCTCACCTTGCTATCTTTTTCAGAAGAAGCCCAAAAGGCGGGTGTTTTCATCTCGGAGAAGGACAAATGGTCAGCCCAAGCAAGAGTGTTGAACTATCTGGAAAATCTGGCCAAACAGTACAAATACTCGCAATCGTCGGAGGTGTACTATTTGCTATCTCAACTATACAAGCTCTACGGAGACACTCCCAAATTCGAACACTCGCTGCTGAAGACAATTGAGTTGGAAGAGTGTAAGCCTCTGAGGCCCTGGTCGGTTGTTGAAAAGCCATCGTTTTTTGCATAGACTATGTATATTATTGTCCTAGAAGTTAGACACCAGTCGAATAATACTAAGCCATGAGTTGAATCTGAAAAGACTGAAAATTGCTACATGCAGTCGGACATTTAAATGTGGGGTGAAATGTTTTTCAGTTCTAATACACGACTGAAGACTTCATTATAGTATTTTTTGATTATCAAATGCCTTCCAGCCACCATCTATTCCAACTTGGTCTCTTCTAGCTTGGCTGCCACCTCTTCAGTGGTCTGAGCCTCACCTTCTGGCTTGGAGCCTGGAAATCTGGTTCCTCTGTTCTTCACCTTCTTCACCTTCTTCTTCTCCTCAACAGGAGCAGGGTAACCTTTTTCTTGAGCTTCACGGAACTCGGCATTGTTGGCAAATTCCTCTCTGATAGGAGCCAGGAGAACGTTGATGGCATCCGCCACACCAGATTTGAGATCCGGAGGAGCCAATTTCTCCTCCTTGAAGGCTTGCTTCAACTCCTCAAAGCTGCTGAAGCTGATAGGACCACCGTACTTCTCTGGACGATCAACGTTGAACTCAAATGTCCCAGTTCCGTGCTTGAGCTCGTGAATTGGGGCAATTACATACTCGATAAAGGAGAGCAGGCCGTTCTCCTCGACGTTGCCCGGAGCACAGAAAGCAGTATTTATCTTCTTCTTCACCTGTTTGGGTTCTTCCAAAATGTCAATCTTGGAGTTGGGGTCAGATGCTGACATCTTTCCGCCCTGAGTAAGACCAGGCACCATTGGGTTCATCAAATGGGCTCTCTTCTTGTATCCCAGAGCTCCAAGGTTCTCCTCGGCAAGCACAAAGATCTTCCTTTGGTCAACACCTCCAAACTGGGCATCCACCTTCAAGTGCTCCTCATCAAGCGCTTGCATCAGAGGGTAGATCAAACCAGACAAAAGGGGGTTTGCAACTTGCTTGACAACGTCGGCACCGGCTCTCTTGGCATCATTTTGCGAGACCACATTAGAGAGCTTGAAGATATCCATGATATACTCTGGGCTCTTTTGGTAAGAAGAACCAATGACAAAGTTCAATTTCTCGATCGGAACATTGATGGAACGCAAAATGGCCTTGACTACGTGCTCATAGTACTTGGCTCTGTATTGGACAACCTCCAAAGGCGCTTTCATGTTATCCAAGAAAGCATGCAAATCGGCAAGAAGAACCGTGATTTCACAACCAGCCTTCAAAAAATGTGCCAATTTTGTCATTGGAACGAAATAACCACAGTGTGGTTTACCGGTCGGAGCAGTACCCCAGTAGATTTTTAGGGGCCTCTTCTCGACCTCAAGAACATTCTTGATGATTTGCCCGTTCAAGACCTCCTGTAACTGGCTAGTAATCAGGTTGTATGCCTCAACAGGGTCTGTCACAATTTCAGCTGACATGTCTATGAAAGTTGTAGTTTTTGTGTGAGAAAAAGTTGACTTTTGGGTTTGTCGGGGACCATCCAGAAAAGAACGTTGAGCTTTAGACGTGCGTCACTCAGTATGTAATTCGCACGACTGCATTTTGTTTTTATAGCAAAACGGTCTTCACTGATTTTTAGAGCCAAGACATCCAATTATGAGTTGTCACTGAGATTTTGAAGATCCTTGCAAACCTCTGGTCCCTCAATGGCAGTTAAATTAATATATAGTATTCGGAATGAGTTTTCCTGCCGTCAAATGGGTAGTAACCCTTACCACTATCTCTTGAAATCCGGGGCAGAGATTCCAGTCAGACAGAGGAGCGCCAGAGATCGCAACATTTCCTAGGACAACATAGAGCATGGAACGTAAGAACTTGGCAGCATAAAGACTGCCAAAAATTAGGTAACCAGAAGAGCGACAAAAATATAAGACGGGCATTATCAAAAAAGAAAATGGACGAGACCGGAGTCGAACCGATGACCTTTCACATGCAAAGCGAACGCGCTACCAACTACGCCACACGCCCTTTTAACACGGCATGTTTTCAGGATGTCAATCAGATCTCTCAAGTTAGTTGGTGGGGAACCTTTGGAAATATACCTCAAACACAAGCTTCGCGAATTTCCCAAGATTAGTACTATCCAGCAGTATGCATACTGGTACCAGTGATTCTTGGGGCTATTTCAAAGGAGTCTATTGGATTGCGGAGCTGATACTTCACTTAGGTCTTATAAGCTCACCAGATCTCGGCTTAACATACAGATTCGAAAGCACTGATAAATCAGTGATTTGAAACTCTTCGGCCTGTTATCTATTTGTAAGAAACTTGGTAATCTGGAATAATTAGATTTGAAACCCTTTATTACGATAAAAGAAAGCGTTAAAATCATGTCTCAACTGTTGATATTGACCTGGTATTTCCATTTTTCCCACAAATACCCTCAATTCTCAAAAAATTATCAAAACCATTTCTCACAAAAATCCCCACAAACCACTAAACAAGCATTTCATAATCCCTTACAAAGCTTAATAATTGCCAGATAAAAACAAATCATCTTGTAGTTCTCTGCAACATCATTTGTGTGGTACGCAGCAATGGCCTCTAATCACCTCTCCTGTCTCACACCCACCATAATTCGACCAAGTCACACACTGAGGTTGATTCCTCTTTCCCTTTCGCCAACTCATTGTCCCTTTGAACTTGACCCCTTCTGGAGTTTTAAGGGTCCAATCATGCTTACCGGCTGAACCCGTTGGGGTGTTCAGATTGATTATTGCACTACCTGCCAACCCCTTGTCCATTAAATCTGAATTGAAATATGACAGCTGAAGTTGAGCCAGACAGAACAATACACAATAGCCTGATCTCCACCACACAAAAATCATTCTAGACTGTGAGATGGCGCGTCCAAAGGTGAGTAAATCATTTTCAAATACACTGTGGCTCATGTACCACATTTGACTTCATCTTCTAACACTCCGCAGTATATCATACTGGTCAGACACGGCGAGTCGCAGGGAAATTGCGACAAATCCGTGAATAGATACATACCAAATCATAAGGTGCCTCTCACAACGAAAGGCCACCAACAAGCTGCTGATGCTGGCCAGCGTCTGAAAGAGTTTCTCGAACCGGACGATAGTATCCTTTTCTACACAAGTCCGTATTTAAGGGCAAGGCAGACGTTAGATGGACTATTGGAAGGCGTCAAAACGAGCAATTGCAAATACAAGGTTTACGAAGAACCACGAATGCGTGAGCAAGATTTTGGCAATTTTCAGAGCACTGCCGAGGAGATGGAAAAGATATGGCGTGAAAGAGCTCATTACGGCCACTTCTTTTACCGAATTCCTTACGGGGAGAGTGCAGCTGACGTTTTTGACCGGTGTGCTGGTTTCAATGAAACTTTGTTTCGCCAATTCAACACCGAGAAGTTCCCAAATGTACTCGTCCTGGTGACCCACGGGATATGGGCACGGGTGTTTCTCATGAAATGGTTCCGTTGGTCGGTTGAAGAGTTTGAGAGTCTCACGAACGTGCCTCACTGCGCATTTTTGATAATGGAAAAACAACCAAACGACAAGTATAAGCTGCTGACGAAACTGCGAAGGTGGGGGGACCTAAAGGAGGAGAATGAGCATGAGTTCAAGCAGGAGCTCAAAAAGCAGACTTCTAACGAGATCAGGTTTAATTCCTCCGTGGATTTGAGTGAGAGAGAGGTGGAGAGTGTGGTGAATGCAGAGGACGAAGCTTTGAAAGAGCAGATTGAGAAGGAAAAGACGCTACGTTCGCGGTTTTTAAACTCTCAGCAAGAATAAACGGAGGCTGAGGGAAAGAGCTAATGGAGTAAGGAGCAGGCTTGAAAGTTGTACGGAGTCAGTGTAGTTGTACATGTTTATGCTGGAGGTCCAACGTACGGTTACAGGTAGGGAGAATTCTGAGAGAGCCCAACTTACGCACTCCCACGCTCATAGCGGCCAAACAAATTGCACTTGCAGATGTAGACTGAAAAATGGGTGGAACACCACATTTTTGCTTCAAAAATTGCTACAAATGAACGGCTGGACGTCGGGTATTCGGCCACCGAGCTGCCTCACTCTTAATGCACTATGCACACACACGCACACACTGCTCACATGCAATTTGATAATCACTGTCTCACCAATATACCAAAACTAACACTGTCTAATGGAAAATACACTCACACTCAATCCAAATTTAAATAGAAAACCAAAAAAAAACCTACAAAAATAAAACGACTCAATTTAGCGCAAATCCACGTCCCGCTTACCATACAGTCCCCGCCATCTCCCCGGAGTAGCCTGACCCCCGGCTAACCATCAGTATCGGCTACAACTGCGATTGACGAATAAATGTCTAAAACGCCTACAAAACGCTTATAAGCCCAATAGCCTAAAGACCCACAGAAGCTCCTATTTATTCTCCCCAATTCAATTTCGCCTTATAGCCTAAATCCGTTATACTCTCAAATAAAAAGCCTGGCCATCGCCCTAAAACCATCAAAATTGCCCGGAAAGACCCTCCCCGGAGATGACCTCTTAGCATCATCACTCTGCCAACCCGTTTGACATTCAGCTGCCACTACCACTACCACTTGTCCTCTTTTTCTTCTTATTTCTTTGTGATTCTTTCTTCTAATCAATCGCAATAAAAACCAGGATTATCTCTATAAACTACTCTTATTTACAATGGTACGTGCAACTGACATTCTGTCCATGATCTCCTCCCATCTCTCTCCGGTTGGCATCGATGATGGTAAGACTTCACACTCGGAACAAACGCTAACAAACTCACAGGCTCGTCAATTTTTCGTCGGAGGCAACTTCAAGATGAACGGCTCCAAAGCCTCCATCAAGACCATTGTTGAAAACCTCAATTCTGCTGATCTTCCAGCTAACGTCCAGGTGGTGATTGCCCCACCAGCTCCTTATCTGGAGTATGCCAACAACCTTGTTGCCGCTCCTACTCTTAAGGTTGCCGCTCAGAACTGTTTCGACAAGAGCTCCGGTGCCTTCACTGGTGAGATCTCTGTTGAATCGCTCAAGGATATTGGACTCGAATGGGTCATCACCGGCCACTCTGAACGCAGAACCATCATCAAGGAGTCTGACGAATTTATTGCTTCCAAGACCAAGTTCGCTATCGACAACGGTGTTTCTGTGATCCTGTGTATTGGTGAGACCTACGAGGAAAAGCAAGCTGGTGTTACTCTGGATGTGTGCAAGAGACAATTGAAGGCTGTTTCAGACATACTCCCTGACTGGTCCAAGGTTGTCATTGCTTACGAACCCGTTTGGGCCATCGGAACTGGTCTTGCTGCCACTCCTCAGGATGCACAGGACATCCACAAGTCCATTCGTGACTACTTGGTGACTTCGATTGGCAAGGATCAGGCCGAGGCCGTCAGAATCCTGTACGGTGGTTCTGTCAACGGAAAGAACGCTACCGAGTTCAAGGACAAGGCTGACGTTGATGGATTTTTGGTTGGAGGCGCTTCTCTCAAGCCTGAGTTTGTTGATATTATCAAGTCGAGGTTGTAAGAGACGAGAGTTTAGCTTGGAAAGAAGCTGAGTTTTGAGTCTGAATTCTACGCCTCAGTCGAAAATCTCCTTCAGCACTACTGTTTAAAATCGTAATGAACTTCAATAAATATAAAGATTTAACTGCCTAGGCCGTGTAACCAAAAAGCGTCGAGTAGTTTACTGTCGATGATGCCATGTTTCCATGTTCCCATGTTCCCATGACATTGCCATGGATGTTGATAATGATGCTCATCTTCTGAAGATGGCGTCGTATGAGTTTCAGGATAATCCCGTTTAAGTTTTGTTTGTGTTAGTTTGCTGTGTGTTCAATCCATCATGTCATCCAGAGAATTAGTCATTTCTTGGTCCTTGTAGCTGATGTAGTCACTCTGGTTGGACAGCTGTAAAGGCGTCATTGGAGGACCACCATCATACGGCGTTCCCACAGGAAACAGCACCGGCGAAGCCCCAACTCCCCGATTCATGGATCCGCGAGAAACTCCTCTCAACGAGTTCAAGTGCTGGCTCGAGTTGATCCGTTGCAGTTGCAGAAAAGGCAGGCTATTTGGTGGTGTCTGACTAGTCAGCCAGAACTTCGAGGGTGATCCTCCTAGTGAAACCGGATTCAAATTAGGAGAGTCTGGAGTGAAATCTTCACGTGGTGGGATTTCTCTGGGCGATGTCTTGAAGGAGGGTAATTGCACCACTCCAGGAGAGTTCATCGAGACCCGCCTTGATGAAAACCCCGAAGCGATATTTGTGAGATTTGAAGACGATTGGTAATGTTGGTGACGTTGTTGCTGATTAAAACTGGACATTCTTGTAAAGTTGATCGGGATCTGCGATGATAAGATTGCAGATTCGTCCGTCTGTTGTTGCTGCTGCTGTTGTTGTTGCATGCTTAGAGAGAGTAGGGATATCGTAGACGATGAAGGCACCAATCTTCCATCAACTTCGTTTCCAACAGAACTAGCAAGCAATTCCGGCGAAGGATGGCCCAGAGTCTCTCTGGCAGCTATTGAGATAGGCTGAGTTTCAGAGGCCTTGATATCCTGTGGTTGGTCCGGTCCCATGATTCCAGACATGCCAATAGAAGATGAATAACGCGAAATAGAACCGATCTAACCAAGACGAAACGAAAAAATAAACGAAAAACCCTAAAGAGCCGATTTGAATGAGCTTCGAATGAAAAAAGAGACCAAAACTCCTTGTTGAAATTGTACGAGCGTTGTCAATCTTGGCTGCCGCTGGTAGATAGAGATAGTAGTCGCTGACACGTAAAACCAGTGCAACAACACAAATCAAAACGTATCCTAATGGGCAACGCGATGACTATCAACTCCGTCCAGTATGAGGGTATATTTCCAACTGTGAAAGAATAAGTCACGGGATGGTGGAATATACGTAAACGAGAAGATAAAGAAGCCCCCAGGCGAAAACGAGACGAAAAAAATGGGGGCGTGTGCATGCTAGATTGGGTTAGGGAGGGCACGACTAGCTGAAGCATCTTGCGTCTCAGCAGCGTCTGGGGTACAAACCGATAAGCGAGGCCGGAGGGTGAGGGAACAATTTGTTCAGAGATACAGAGCAATAGTAATATGAGGATGGGCGATCAAACAGGTTTGTAGAGTTAAGAGTATCGCCTTGCATCATGCCACAATCCTAAACCCTGGATTACTCTCAGTTGATGCTGCATGCCACGTCTTGGACCATTCTGTGTGCATTAGTTTGGAACAGGTTGGGGAACAGGTCAATTGAACTCGGAAATTTGGAATCTTTGAAGTCTGTTGTGGGTCAGCATTCAACTATGCTGCGCATTCTATCGGAGCTGTGACAGTATTATGTACCGCGGAACACCCTAATTTCTAATCCTGGAAATACTACCCACGCTGAATGAATAGCACCCTTTCAGCTTCGGTAGGGTGAATACCTTATTTGTCATCATGAAACGGCCACCCACTCTGAATGAACAGCATCCTCTGAGTATCCATCTAATTATAGGTTCCTTGCTATTCTGAGATATTTTAAGCTGATGGATCTTACAAGCTCAGACTGATGTCAAAGAACGCAACAAGAATCCATAGTCAAGACCACCACTGATAGATTTCGGGCGAGTTTTCACCAATTGCCTGGTCCACAACTGACTAGAGCTCTCGAATCCAAATTCCGGATTTCCCTTGATACTTCGTTGTATTCATCTTTGTTGCCTGCCTGCAAATTCATGAAATTGGGAGAGCTGACTAATTTGCTCTTATACTCTTTTTGGCTCTCACGGAGATAGGGGTTTACCTGTGAGTTTAACGTGTTGCTCTGTGCATACAGACATGCATAATTTTCTGGACCCCGGATTATATAAATAGAGCAAACAAAGCTCCTAATCGAGGATAAGTCTGACTTATTTTCTGATATAATTTTTCGAAAATGACTGTGATTTTGGTGAGCGGAGCAAACCAGGGACTGGGCTACGAGCTTGTGAGAGCATTGGGCAAATATTCCAAAGAGTACACCCTTTTATTGGGTGCAAGAAATCATGAGCGCGGAGTTGAAGCAGTCTCCAAGCTCGCATCTGAAGGTATCAAGACCGAATTGATCGATTTGGATATCACCAAAGACGAGAGCATTGATGCGGCTTTCGAGACTGTTAAGGCTAAGTATGGAGTATTGGATGTACTGGTGAACAATGCTGGTGTGGTCAGTCCTTACTCTGAAGAATTCAGCAGAGCTGAATTTGCCAGGGTTCTCGACACAAACGTGGTTTCTGTGGGTCTTGTGACACAAAAATTTGTCTCCCTATTGATCAAGTCCGATAAACCAAGAGTCGTTAACATTAGCTCTTCATTGGGAAGCAATGCAAAGTCGGTGGCTAACGCATTCGACAACATTCTTCCTTTCCTGATGCCATATAATTCTTCGAAAGCGGCTCTGAATCTTATCACCAATAATTTCCGCAATTATTGGGAAAAATTGGGCTACAAAATCAAGCTGACTTTGATTTGTCCTGGTTATTGTTCTACGAACATGACCGGCCATGCTGGTGTGAAGACTGCTGAGGAAGGAGCCAAAGCAGCGTTTTTGGCGATCACTACTGACAATTTTGATATTCCGTTTGCAACTAACCTGAAAGGAGACGATCTTGTTGCAGTCGATTGGTGATCTTGTATCCGTTTGAATTTGTTGGTTAGCTGTGAGCACACTGTGTAGAGCCTGCATGTGTTACATAGAGCGAAAATGCGCTTACATGTTTCTATAAGAGTGGCTAGAAAAATTTATGTTTCTAATATTACACGTAAACTTGCTAATAGATAGTCGTATTACTTAATTCAGTCAATATGCTTGGTCAAATATCATATAAGCATAGTTTCATGCCTCTAAAAGCCAAACAATGTATGGACAATTATATTTCAACTCCCGCTTTCATCTCCTCTGATTTGAGCGAGCACCGTCATACGAATCTGGTGAAAACTCATTTCAATTACTTTTTCAAAATTTCATTAAATAGCATCCTATTGGCACATTTTGTTGGCTGTATCGATTTTCGGATTTGGTTAATTGTCTCAATCTACTTCACAAATTAACCGACTCTCTGATCTCAACAAAACCCATTGCAAGATTTGAATACACCACATTGGAGGGAGAATACCTCACGAGCTCCTCGAAAGCAGGCACCTTGCGTTTTTTCTCACCTCCAACAATGGTGGTTTCGTCAGCCTCACCCCAAAGACATCTCACCTGGATCCCCAGACCATCAGCCTCAGAGTCCGAGTCCCAGGGAACCATCCACTTGAGCCCAAGGTGGTAATATGGCCTGTTCCAATCCACCTTATAGAGCTTAACCTCATCGATACCAGAAGACAGCTTGAAGTATTCGTCTCCAGTGACTGGGTCTATTGAGTAGCCTGAAGGAACCACACTGTCAACACCGACAGTGGACGAATTCACATGTTTTCCATGGTGGATCGTCACCTGCTTCACGGGGGAAACGAGATTGTGGTTACCTGCTTTGGCTTCTAGCGAATCATAGTTTGACGTGTTGAAATAAACAACACAGTCTCTGTTTTGCTGAGCCCAGATCTTGATTTCCGCTTCAAAAGGCGAGAATCTTCCGTCTCCAGTACTGTTAACCACCTCAACATCGAGATAATGGTTGAACGCATTCTTCTTGGCTGAGCCATCAACGAGCCAAGGCCTCAATCCAACGTATTGACATATTTCCGAGTCATCGGCGTTCGTATCACATATAACAGCGTCGTCGCTGTTCTTGATGCTGGGGATATCATTCAAAACATCCGTGATGAAGCCGCTCCGAGCCTGGAGACTCACCACCGGTTGCTTTGACCCAGAAAGATCGATTGTCTGAACGAATCTCACTTTGAGGGGACTGCTCCAGGAATACGATGGCTCCAACACTGTGAATACCGAAGACGTGAGCACCGTTATAGCAAGCAAAACAGCCATGATTGCGTTGAATTTGTGAACAAAAGCCACAACGGGAAGCCCTAGAAGAACCGCAAAAATCGACAAAAACTCCATGGTTGCACCACCGAGACGAGCACTTTCTTGAGAAGTCTTTCCCAGACCTTGGAGCAAAAGATCCCCGGTAAGATAAACAACCAGAATTGACAGTGGAGCCACAATCAGGAATTGCAGTAGCCAATCGTAGTGGAAAGAGTGAAGAGCGTGCTCGTACTGTTTGCGGTTGAACTCGGCCTCGGAGTCAACTTGTGATTTGGCACTAGATTGAGAGGAGAGAAGCGGCGTGCTCTCCGCTTCGGGTGCTGGAGTGCTGCTACTTCCGTTCTCAGCAGCTTCTTCGGATTCTGTTGCTCCATAAGCAACGGGTGATGATTTAGGCAAGGGCCTGTACCTGTTGGTAGACTTCAGAGCCATAACCACCAGACCAAACAAGGAGCTGGCAGAAGTCAGAACGTACAGAACCAACAAGGAAGCACCACCGACGTTGTTATGGGACTTCTCCTTGATTGCCAGGTAGATGTTTGCTAACCAAATCAAGCCGTTCACCTCCAGAAGGGCAACGAGCTTCTGGTCATGAATGGGGCGTATCCAGGCGAAAAAGTTCAGCAGCAAGTAATTAATCAAGAGGAATGTGGATGTAAGCAAAACGCATGCCCCAAACCAATTGCTGGCAAGAAGTAGCGGGTTGTAAAGCAACAACGTCTTTCCAGTGGTGAAAACAGCCACAGACGAAATCAATAATGAAACAGGAACTCTCAGCCAGCCTCTCAAAAGACTTATGTGCCAAGTTCCACGCCTAATGACTATTATGAGTAAGAATATGATTGCAACAGGAACTGCCACCAGCAGTGCAACCGTGATTCCATACACCTTTTCGACAGGGAAACTGAAGAAAAATACACCCAAAATGTCGAAGAAAACAGCGGGGGACAAGTCCTCATCAAGCGGCTCATCAGAGTAGGCCATTGCATTCATGGCGGCCAAAGCACTCGACTCCATGTGCCAAAGAGATCCTTTGGACACCGCAGAGATTCCATCTCTGGGAGTATGGTACAAATTCCGTGGCTTGTAGAATGCAATATCAAGTCCTCTTAATCCGTGTTGCTTGTAAATCTTGTAGTCAGTCTCACTGTGAATCAAACCACTGTCAAAGCCCAGTTGGAACAAAGAGTTCGCAAACGGTCTGGGAGCAGCACCATAGTATTTTGACACTCCAGAATCAGTAGCTCTAAAAAGAATTGCCCTGTCTCCCGTTCCAGTACCCTCCATGTTGATAAAGTGCGTCACCAACTTGCTCCATTCGTGGTTGAAAAATGTCTCCGCTCCAAATAGTCCAGCCTCCTCGTTGTTGTTGAAGTTGAACACGATGGTACGCTCCGGTTGATCAGCTTTTTCCACCAAGTGTTGCAAAATTCCCAGCATAGACGCAATTCCCATACCGTCATCAGTGGTACCGTAGGCAGTGGGAACGGAGTCGTAGTGGGCACTAATTAACACCCCGGGTAGACTGGTGTCCTTTCCGTCTACCTTTACTAGCACGTTTCCATCTTCGTACGAAACGATCCGATTGTAACCAACATATACAGAGTCTTTGAACAAACTCTGTTGGCCGAACGTGTCATTGACCGAGATATAAGCCTTTTGACTGGCCAATTCCTCGGTCCTTTTCAAGATGTAGTCATGCACCTCGTCATTGGCATGGGAGTCATATGGATGAAATTTCTCGGAGATTCGCTGTAAATCATACCAGGAGCTCGTTAAAATAGCTGGCTCTGGCTGAGGGGGCTGATTGACCTCGTATTGGAAGTATGAAGCCACCAGAACCGATAACACATAGGAAAGAATGGTGACTAGAGTGACTGTGGTTTTCCTGAACCCGAACGTAGAGCGGAAAAACCGCACTAGCACCGAGACCTCAGAACTATCGGGTGAGGATGAAGGCATGCTAATTGATTCTGCCGATAGAGCAAAGGAACTGGAATGGTTAGTGTTTGTGTACCTGGAACAGGCCGCACGGAGAGCAGAACAAGACAGGCCCAGAGAGCCACACCGGTTACGCAGCCCGCTTAAAAAGGTTATTGAGCCCCGGGGCCCATCACCCGAATCGGGCAAAAGTTTCAACAAGCATCGAAAGTGTTACCACCAAGCTTTAAGTTGTATTCCGCAATCTGTGTCTTATTAACCCCACACAGAAACAGCAAATCCCAGGATTGCCACGATGCCCAGACCAACATTTGCTGACATGAAAAACGACCTCATTTTGAGGGCTGCTAAAGGCGAGAAGGTGGAGAGGCCCCCAGTGTGGATAATGAGACAAGCAGGAAGATACTTGCCAGAATATCACGAGGTCAAGGGAACAAGGGATTTTTTTGAAACATGCAGAGATGCGGAAGTTGCTAGTGAAATAACGATCCAGCCAATCAGACATTTTCCAGGGTTAATAGACGCAGCCATCATCTTCAGCGATATTCTGGTGATTCCCCAGGCCATGGGCATGGAGGTCCAGATGGTGGATAAAGTGGGCCCTTCATTTCCCCACCCATTGAGGCACCCAGATGACCTCTTGAAGCTGAGAAAAGACGTTGACGTTACCAAGGAGCTGGCTTGGGCTTTTAAGGCTATCACACTTACGCGGACAAAGCTTGCTGGAGAGGTACCATTGCTCGGATTTTGCGGAGCGCCATGGACTCTGTTGGTTTACATGGTGGAAGGTGCCGGGACAAAAATGTTCAGATTTGCAAAGGAGTGGATATACAAGTACGAAGATGCGACACATGAGTTGTTGCAAAGAATAACCGATGTGGCCGTGGATTTCCTGGCTCACCAAGTGTTAGCTGGAGCCCAGATGTTACAGGTTTTTGAGTCCTGGGGAGGAGAACTCGGACCCGAGGAATTTGATGTTTTTTCAAAGCCCTACATACAGCAAATTGCCGAAAGACTTCCGCTGAAGCTCCAGGAGCTTGGAATCACGGAAAAGATCCCCGTAACAATCTTCGCAAAGGGCTCGTGGTATGCTCTGGATGAACTGTGTGGTCTGGGCTACGATGCTGTCTCGCTGGACTGGACTTATCGCCCAGAAGATGCGGTTAAGGTTGCAAAGGGAAGGGTTGCCTTGCAGGGAAACTTGGACCCATGCACTATTTACGGGTCTAAGGAGACAATTACCCGTAAGGTGGAGACCATGATCAAGGGCTTTGGCGGTGGAAAGCAGAACTACATCATCAACTTTGGCCATGGTACGCATCCGTTCATGAAGCCTGAACAAATTGAGTGGTTTCTGAAGGAGTGCCATCGTGTCGGAAGTCTTTGAGCAAAAATCAACACCTTTTTATCACCTGTATTGCATGCATAATACTAAATCACTTCAAATCATCATTAACAATTGTATAACTTATTTGTCGGAGAGATAGACAACACCTGGAAGAGCCTTTCCCTCAAGCAACTCGAGAGAAGCTCCACCACCGGTGGAAACGTGAGAAAGCTTGTCGGCAGCACCGAACTTCTTGGCAACGGTAGCGGTATCACCACCACCGATGATAACAGTGTTACCGGCCTCAGCAGACTTCACACAAGAATCCAGCATGGCCTTGGTTCCGGCAGCAAACTTGTCAAACTCAAAGACACCGGGAGGTCCGTTCCAGACAATAGTCTTGGCCTCGGCAATGGTGCTGGCAAACAGCTCTCTGGTCTTCTCACCAGCATCAAGTCCTTGCCATTCATCTGGGATACCCTCTTCGAGAGTGGCATAGCCAGTGGCAGCGTCCTTGTCGAACTTGTCGGCAGTGACAAAATCAACTGGCAACACAATCTTGACGCCGTTCTTTTTGGCCTTGGCAACAAGGTCTGGAACGGTCTTGGCTCCAGCTTCATCAAAAAGCGACTGGCCAATAGCCATGCCGTTGACGATCTTGTTGAAGGTGAAAGCCATACCACCGCCAACGATGATGGAGTCGACCTTGTCCAAAAGATTGTCAATCAGCTGGATCTTGTCAGAGACCTTGGCACCTCCCAGGATAGCGAGGAATGGTCTGACAGGGTTCTCCAGGGCCTTTGCAAAGTAGGTCAGTTCCTTGGCCATCAGGAAACCAGCAGCTCTCTGTGGAAGGTCGAAGCCCACCATAGAGGAGTGGGCTCTGTGTGCGGTTCCGAAAGCGTCGTTCACGTAGACATCAGCCAGAGAGGTGAGTTGTTCTCTGAACTTCTTAACGTCAGCAGGATCGGCCTTGACCTTGACACCGTCCTTCTTAGCAGAACCCTCTTCCTCGATGTGGAAACGGAGGTTTTCTAGAAGAATAACCGATCCTGGAGCAGCACCGTTGACAGCGGCCTCCACCTCTGGTCCGACAGAATCGGACAAAAACTCAACTTTGGAGCCCAAAAGCGATTCAAGCTCGTCAGCAACAGGCTTAAGAGAATATTTGGCGTTTGGCTCTCCGTTTGGACGACCCAGGTGCGATGCCAAGACCACCACCTTTGGCTTCTGCTCAAGAACGTACTTGATGGTAGGAAGAGCAGCAACAATACGCTGGTTGTTGGTGATCTTGGTTCCGTCCAATGGAACGTTGAAATCAACACGGATAAACACGCGTTTTCCGGAAACGTCCAGATCGGTAACCGAGAGCTTGTTTGAGAGGGACATGATATGTATTCTGCAGGCTGGTTAGTAGGGAGACAAGGGAATGGCTAACTAGGCACGTGTCTGATTGATGCAAATGAGTTGGAATCGATTGAGTTGTTCAATTCAATTGTCACAAGATCAATGCCATAACAAGTAAACTCACCTTTTTCTTGAAAGTCTGAAGAAGGATAGAAGACCTAGGGGCATAGATCACCAGGTGGCTTTATATAATTCCAGCCAAACCACCTGACACCCAAGGAGGTCATCACACTGTCAAAAACGGACGAGATTGAGCCGGGACACTACTCTTGGGCTCACAGGGGGACAGGGCTCTTGTGCACTGAAATGTAAGGTTTGCTTTACGATTTGGGCGGTTTGCAGTAGAGCCGAAATAGGGCGAAACGGTAGATTTTGAGTCTCGATTATAACTCCTGTGATACTAGCATCTGCAGAATTATGCGGTCGCTTTCAAGTTGCGAGATTCTCGCGTTTCCTACTGACTTCATATGAATTCAGCTGGGCTTTCTTCGGATCGTTGGATAAATAAGTGGTTAACGGTGACATTGGGGACATTTTGCAGCACCCTTAGCCTGTGACTCGACAAAATGTCTTTCTGCTCCTTATTCTTTCTTCTTCTTTCATCTTCTGGCTTCTTATGACTTCCTCTTGCTTCTTTCCTATCCTTTCCTCTTCTTCTCTCCATATTTCGTAAATGATCTTGCAAGTTGCGTCTATTTCGAAGGGTCGTTCCTCTGGTATCCAAGATATCCACCAACCCTGTGGTCCTTGAGCATGTCCAGATACATATCCGCAATCTGCCTGCAATCTTCGTAATGGTTTGGACCAGAGATCTTGTAGCAGTTCTCCAAAGCCTTTCTCACAGTTTTAAGTGCAGCCACTCTAACCCACTGCTCCCTCAACATGGACTCCTGCGCATTGAGCAGGTCCTTGTGGTTGCGGTAGTCAATATTGTCGAATGAGACATTGGGGGATCTTGGGAATGTTGATGCTTCTTCTACGTGAGAGTTAGTATGAACGGAAAAAATGGAAACCAACGAAACCAATGCGCAAATCGCAGGTCTAACATTTTGATAAAAACATACCACTCATGATGTATAATGGCCGTTGTGTATTGATTTGATATAACTACTGGCCTCTTCGTTTGGATGATTACTTTCTCTCAAATGCGCAAATGCTACTGGCTGTAGAAAGCGGGCTGTGCACGACAGTAAGTGCTTCAACCAAAATATGATCCACACCGGCTGAAGCTGTTACGGTTGACATTCATGTGAATCAGACGGAGAGTGGTAGAGAGGATGAATTTCATCCTGGTGTGCTAAACTTCTTAGGTCATGTGGTTTCTCGTACTGAAGAGTCACCTCTACTAGTAGAATTTCAATTGTACCCCACTTCTGGCCAGAACTCACAATCGTCAGATTTTGGTTTGATGCCCTGGCCTCATCAACACATTATTCCAGCTCAACTCCATCTACAACAACTTACCTATTATCCTAACATCAGCTCGCCAAAAAAGGCTCAAAATCCACCAATAATGGCCGCAGCAACAACAAAGCCCCTAATACGCTTCAGCGCAGTTGTGGTGGCTTGGGCCCATACGGTTTGCGCACTATCCGCATTTCTCGCCGCGTTGGTCATTGGATGCGTGTTACATTACGAGAAGATCGTCAAAAACGAGCATTTCGGGTATCCCGACGAGTGGTTTCCTAGTGTTTCGGCGACAATCGGTGACAGATATCCAGAAAGATCTATTTTCCAGATTATTATTGCCTTGACTGCGGGTCCGCGGTTTTTGCTGCTGTTCCTGTCCTATCTACGTCTTTATAGACCAACGGGAGTGACGTCAATCGTCTCTCTGGTCACTGGATTCATCAGAACAGTCACATGTGGAGGCTGGGTGTATATAACGTCATCAGATGATCACGATGCTCACGATATCTTCATGATCAGCTACATCGTACTGACAATCCCTTGGACTGTCACTGTGACTTTGCTAACGTCCGACAAGAAGCTCAGATCAAAGCGCAAATACACGGCTCTGGTGTTTTTCGGAATGCTAGTTCCATTGGTATACTTGTTTATCCAGCACAAGGTGCACAGAGTTGCTGGGGCATACTCTTACTATGCATATGTCGAATGGTCGCTAATCTTCTTAGATATCGGATTTGATGCCTGGACCATCGTGGATTTTAAGGACTTGGTGATCGAATTGCTAGGGACAGAGACTGGAATCGAATTCAACACCGTCACCGAAAAGCCCCTCGAAAAGCCTCAACTACTGAAACCAGCGTTCAAGCGAAACGCAGCGAATCAGCTTTCCTATACCGCAATTATTGTGAACACGATCAACTCGTTTGTGTTCTGGTCAGTTCTGACTGCGCTGTTCGTATGCGTCTGGTTTTTTCCATTGTGGGATATGGGAATCTCCGGGTTTGAACTGGTGGTTGCCTCCGTGTTCTCGCCAGTATTCCTTGTCATTCCTCAGTTTAGACACATTCTGGGCCAGTATCCTCAGGTCTCGCGTCTTGTATCTGTATGGGCCGGTATTGGCTCGTATATGGTTGCTGAGCCATCCACGAGACTGTTGGTGATTTCGCTGGGTGCGTTTGCCGGCTCCATATCTCTGGCCAATGAGCTCTGGTACTTGCCCAGAGACCTCATTCCAGGCTACTCTGCCACTTTCATGGTTGGACTGTTACTTTCCACGATCGCAAAGTTTGCATTTTGGACAAACAATCCTGTCTGGCCCATTTTGAATCGTGACACAGGCGGGGCCAACTTTGGTGGTCTTCTTGTGGGTACACTTGCCGCTCTTGCGACTTCGATTCCAGAGTCTCATCCTGAAAAACACTCCAGACCTTCCCAGTCTCTGGTGCTTTCATCTTTGGGGTTTGCGGGTCTTCTATTCTCGCTGCTGGCTATGTTGACAGACTCTTCGACCATCATTCTTTGGGTCTGGAGTGGCTATCCAGTTACGGGACCAATTCCTGTTCCCCACGGCGTCCTGACCATGCTTGCGATGGCTGTAGGAACATTCATTGGTCTTTTGAAGCCGCGCCTTGTTGCTGGATGGAAATTCTTCTCATTCGGTGCTGTAGGTGCAATTGTGCTGTATGAGTTTCACGGCTGGACAGGTTATGCTGGAGGTTGGTGTTATGCACTTTGGCTGAGTGCCATTTCACCCGTGATATTTGGCAATTCTGCCCGTTTCAATCCGGGACTTGTTTTCGGATTGGGTTTCTTCTGGTTCATTCTCATAGTTCTTGCCCATGTCTGGATTGTCGCCTACGCCTTCGTTCCAATGGGCTGGTTGCTTCGTGAGCGCACCGACATTGTTCTAGGAACCTCAGTGGTCATGATTGCTTGTGGTTTCCGCTCTGCTGAAAAGTATGTTATTCCGGAGATAGAAGCCAAGTCAGAACCAAAGGAAGAGGCTAAAGCTGCTTTATTTGCGACGTTTATTTGGAAAATCTTTAACGTTTTGACGGTGCTTGTCGCACTCTCGTGCATGATCGCAGCACATAGATTCCCATTCCACAAGCCACAGCCATACCATCCTGAAGAAAAATTGATGACATGTGGAATCTGGACCATTCATTTTGGTCTCGATAACGACATGTGGGCCTCTGAACACAGAATGCGTGACTTGATCAAGGATCTCGAGCTGGACGTTGTTGGTTTGCTGGAGTCCGACACCCAGAGAATCTTGATGGGAAATAGGGACCTGACCCAGAGAATTGGTGAGGAACTTGGGATGTATGTTGATTTTGGCCCTGGTCCAAATAAACACACCTGGGGCTGTGCTCTTCTCTCCAAGTTTCCTATCGTGAACTCCACGCATCATTTGCTTCCCTCGCCAGTTGGTGAACTTGCGCCGGCGATCCACGCTACGTTGAATGTTTACGGCGAATACGTCGACATTGTGGTGTTCCACAGTGGTCAGGAAGAGGACGTGGAAGACCGCAGATTGCAAAGTCTTGGCGTGAGGGATATCATGGGAAGTACCGACAGGCCTACAGTATTGCTGAGTTATCTGGTCACAGAACCTTTGCAGGGCAACTACAATACTTATGTGAGCGAGGAGAGTGGAATGCATGATATTGACCCAAGCGATGACGATAGATGGTGTGAGTACATCCTCTACAAGAAGTTGAAGAGGACTGGATATGCTAGGATCAGTAGAGGCACGATCACTGATACGGAGCTCCAGGTTGGAAAGTTCCAGATTGGGAGTTCCATCGATGAAACCTACTCTCAGACTGAGGTTGACGAGGACAAAGTTGCCGAGGGTCTCAGGTTCCCCGCAATATTCCATGGCGAGGGTGTCAGAGAGCATCACTTCCACGTTTTCAACAGACCCAAGTATTTTGAGTAGGGGGAATGGTCCATAATTTCGGGAGTGACAGGAGGAGAAAAAGAGTGAATTAAAGAGGTAATGAGTTGAAAAGACCTGAACGAAGAGAAATGACCGGAATTATTAAATGGCTATTCTCTAGAGATTGAAAGAATGTAGATCTAGACCTATGCTGACTGGTGAAAGCAGCTTAGATTCCAGTAGAGTACCAAACGTTTCTGAAATAATCCTGACGCAGATAATCAGATTGGCGCCAGTTGTGTGCCCTGATGACTGATATCAAACATCACGTGATATCCGAGAGGCATGTATACTGTATAGGCTACTAGGCTACTAGTGTTAACGGTCTGCCCCGCTCAGGGAGTATAAAAGCAGAGCCGTATCGCTATAGTTTTTAATGCTTGAATAGCCGGCCGAGTAGATTTTTGGGGAAGATCTTGTGGCAATGAACTTGCGATGCTAGTCATGAGAGGTCTGAAAGGTGTGATAATTACGGAGAGTCACGAACGTCACGAAATCCCTAGTCTCTTTTCAGATGACGTATATGACGTTTATTTCAATGAGTTTCGGATTACTCGGCTTTCTCCAGACTGGAAACAGAACAAACAGATTAAAGACCCCGAGAGCCAAAGCGTATAGCCCTGAACCCCAGATTCGGAAGTCCACAGCGAATGCTCGAGAATGCCCCTCCTCCAGTTAGAGGGGCACGGGACCCCTCCTGAACGACCCCTCCCCCCCCTTCGATTGCTGTTATCAGCTCCGTGACTCCGGAAAACAGACAGACCAGGGTATCTGGACGCTGCAAAGAAGTGCTCAAGAAGGAATTTTCACATCCTTGACGGCTCCGATCCGGCTCGATCCGCCATCTCATAAGCACCCGGTTCAAACCCACGTCTCTGGTGTGGAGCACGAAACTTTGATGCGTCTTCCTGTGTGATCCATCACTCACCCGGATGAAAAATGGCAGATGGATGACCAGAAAACCGAATTCCGGGATTTTCCGGACAATAGAGCACGTGATTTATAGCACCCCGGAATGCGTGTGTGGCCTTATCAATAGCGTGCTGTGATTGGCCAATGTGTGCGTCGTCCCCAGGATCGGCTCCGGGAGGGAAGTTTCACGCAAATGCTTACTGCCCCTACGGGGCAGTTTGTTAAATGGCCGTCTTTGCTCTTTCTTCTTCCCAATTGTTTCCTTTTTTCTTGATTTAGAGCCAATTTGGAGTCGATTTCCAGATTATCATCGAAAAACTCACAATGTCCTTAGCATTCCGTTCAGTTGCCCGTTCCGCGCTTTCGCAGCGTTCTGCTGTGATGGGTCTGCGTTCTTACTCCTCGAAGGAGCCAGTAAGTTGACAAGACGACTTTTTTTGGGGTGTTAGAGTTATTTGCATTGCTGGCCACGTTGTTGATAGCGTGACCAGATATGGCGATCCTAATTTGCTCATCCCCGTTTTTCTTCACATCACTAACTTTCGCAGACCCTCAAAGAGCGTTTCGCCGAACTTCTTCCAGAGAAACAAGAGGAAGTCAAGAAACTCAAGGCCGAGTACGGTAAGACCGTGATCGGTGAGGTCTTGCTCGAGCAAGCATACGGTGGTATGCGTGGTATCAAGGGTTTGGTCTGGGAAGGATCCGTGCTCGACCCAGTCGAGGGAATCAGATTCAGAGGCAGAACCATCCCTGACATCCAAAAGGAGCTTCCAAAGGCCGAAGGTGGTAACGAGCCATTGCCAGAAGCCCTTTTCTGGCTTTTGTTGACCGGTGAGGTCCCAACTGCTGCCCAGACCAAGGCCTTCTCCGAGGAGCTTGCTGCCAGATCTGCTTTGCCAAAGCATGTTGAGGAGCTTATCGACCGCTCCCCAGCCACTTTGCACCCAATGGCCCAGTTCTCCATTGCCGTTACTGCCCTCGAGTCCGAGTCTCAGTTCGCCAAGGCTTACGCCAAGGGTGTTAACAAGAAGGAGTACTGGAAGTACACCTACGAGGACTCCATTGATCTGTTGGCCAAGCTGCCTCCAATCGCTGCCAGAATCTACAGAAACGTTTTCAAAGACGGTAAGGTTGGCCAGGTGGACCCAACCTTGGACTACTCTGCCAACTTGGCTCATCTTTTGGGATACGGTTCCAACCCAGAGTTCTTGGAGTTGATGCGTTTGTACGTCTCTATCCACTCTGACCACGAGGGTGGTAACGTTTCCGCTCACACAACCCACTTGGTCGGATCTGCTCTCTCTTCCCCATACCTGTCTTTGGCCGCTGGTCTTAACGGTCTGGCTGGTCCTCTCCACGGACGTGCCAACCAGGAAGTCTTGGAATGGCTTTTCGAGATGAAGAAGGAGATTGGTTCCGACATCTCTAAGGAGAGAATTGAGAAGTACCTTTGGGACACTCTTAACGCCGGCCGTGTTGTTCCAGGTTACGGCCACGCCGTCCTGAGAAAGACCGACCCACGTTACATCGCCCAGCGTGAGTTCGCCCAGAAGCACATGCCAGACTACGATCTGTTCAAGCTTGTGTCCAACATCTACGAGGTTGCTCCAGGTGTTTTGACCAAGCACGGTAAGACCAAGAACCCATGGCCTAACGTGGACTCGCACTCTGGTGTCCTTCTCCAGTACTACGGATTGACCGAGCAATCCTTCTACACCGTTCTTTTCGGTGTTGCCAGAGCCTTTGGTGTCTTGCCTCAACTCATTATCGACCGTGGATTGGGATTTGCCATTGAGCGTCCAAAATCCTTCTCCACCGAGAAGTACGCCGAGCTGGTCAAGTCCCTGGCCAAATAGACCTTATGTCCTTGATACATTCCATGGGTACTCTTTGTGTACATAAACAATTTCATTGTCTTAAGAAAAAGATATAGTTGACTGATCTTGTAGGAAGATGGGGAGACGAATAGTTGAAGGGAATGTCTTCCATGGTTAGGTTAACGTATGTCCATGTAGTCATTCCGGCTCCCTCTCATGGAAAAGATCATACCAGCATCTATAAAACTGCATTCCGGTCTGAAATGTTTCAGACTGTCATTGGACAGCCAATTGTTCTCATCTGCAAAGTTTTTAACCGAGTTTTCAGAGTCCCATGTTCTCATATCATTGCTTCCAGAAAGAACGGTGATCCTCCAATATTTCAGCCCTCAGCTCCTCATAGGGACCCAAAACCTCTATCGCCTTCTGGCCACTATCAAAGACCTTGCGGCTTGGCATATTCATTGTCATATTTTCGGAGTCGTCGCCAGTCAATTCCAGTAGAGCACTCTCCTCGAGCCCATAGACTACTCTTCCAACGTTCGCCCAATAGCACGACCCTGCGCACATACAACACGGCTCGAAGTTGGTATAAAGGGTGCATCTCCAAAGGAAAGATGTCTCATACTTTTTCCAAGCCGTGCGGCAAATCGTGCTCTCAGCGTGATTTAAAGTGTCGATGTTACCTTGCTCTAACAACACTTCGCCAGATGGTCCTACCAGCACACATCCAAACGGATGACGTCCCTTCAATTTGGCTTGATGAGCCACTTCGATTGCCAAACGAAGACACCTGTGAGCTTCTTCAGTACTGGGCTTGGGATTTCTTTGTGGGAACATTCTGGGACTGGCAACCCTTCAAAAGAACGCGATAAGAGCTTGGCCCTGGCTGCGATAAGGGTTGGTGAAATTTTGCACGTGACCACGACTGTACATCTCTTCTGTTTATCTTTTAGGCTTCTTCAGACAATCTTTTCTACTCGATTACAGTTGGCCATGTATTTGAATAAAGGGGCTGTTAATGCTCCATTTAAACCGCCGCGCATGGCTGGCCGATCCTCCGGTCTGGAGCCCGGTCGTCAACTGAAGAGGCCACGGGTTCAACCAGTCGCGGAACAGTTACCTGTGTCTACACAGCCTGTGCATGCTTCCGGAACACGCGTTTTTAATGTTCTATATCGCAAGAAAACTGGCAAAAAGAATAAAACATGGGATGGTGATGGAACTCTCAGCGTTTCAGGCAAAAATATGACTTTAAAGGGCGATTTTTCAGGAGCCAAAGAGATCGCATCAGGAACAGGTGTGATATCGATGGAGTCTGTATTCAGCCTTGGAAGTTATGAAATTGAGATAGAGGGGGAGATTTCAGGAAAGGGAGAAGCGCCAAGTGATGTCACTATGGAGCGAGTTGTTCGTAGACCGGTAGCAATGTCGTTGAAGCCTCTAGTTAGACAATTCAAGCCGGTCGTTGCATCACAGCCTCTCAAATCCAAAAAGGATCCGTTGCATGATCCACTTCGCGAAGGCGCGCTGGTGATGAAGAGACCTGAAACAGGTGCGAGTTTGACGGATGTGGTGGTAGATCCCATTCTTTGCGACCATCTGCGACCCCATCAGCGTGAGGGTGTTCAGTTTCTTTATGAGTGTCTCATGGACATGAAAGGTGCTGGCGATACAGGTGCTTTGCTAGCGGACGAAATGGGATTAGGAAAGACCCTGATGACCATCACAACGATATGGACCTTACTGCGACAAACAGCATATGCCGACAAGTCTCCACCAGTGCGAAAAGTGTTGATCGTGTGTCCCGTAACTCTGATAGGCAATTGGCAGAGAGAATTCAAAAAGTGGCTTGGGCGCAATAGGATCAGTGTTCTGGCAATAAAAGGCAACCAAAGCACAGCCAAGGAGAAACAGGATGTGGTCAACTTTGGAAGAACCAGGGTGTATCAGGTAATGATCATAGGCTATGAGAAGCTCTTGACATTAGCCAACGAGGTTGAGACCATAAACTTCGACCTACTAGTCTGTGACGAGGGACATAGGCTCAAAAGTGGGCAGAATAAAGCCCTGAAGTTTTTGCAGAGTATGAGCATAGAGAGAAGGATTGTTCTCACTGGAACACCAATTCAAAACGACTTGCAAGAGTTTTTCAATATCATCAATTTTGTTAATCCGGGCATACTAGGGACATTTGGTGCATTCCAAAAAAAATTCATGAGACCAATTTTGAGGGCCAGAGAAGTGAATTGTACCAATAGAAGTGTCATAAAAAGGGGTGACGAAGTGTCCAGAGAACTTATCGATATCACCAAAACATTCATGCTCAGAAGGACCTCGGATATTCTCACCAACTATCTTCCACCCAGACGAGACTTCGTGCTTTTTGCTCCACCAACCAAGTTTCAACTACAATTGTGTGATATGGTTATGGGAACGAAGAATTATGAGAGGTTAATGAAGCAAAATAATGCTAACGAATCGCTTGGGCTTATCTCTCTTTTCCGCAAGATATGCAGCTCACCAAGTCTCCTAAAGGGAGATAGTATGTTGAGAAGCCTTTTTGAAGGCAGTGAGATCGAGAACGGTTTGGCTAGAAAATCTGCCAGTGGGAAGATCATTATTCTTACTGAGTTATTAAATCAGATCAAATCTGCTACTGACGACAAAATTGTGGTGGTCTCCAACTACACTCAAACCTTGGATGTGATCCAGGACTTGCTGCCTGGGCTTCGTCTTTCCTATTCGCGATTGGACGGCTCAACTCCTGCAAAACTGAGAGATAAAGTGGTTTCTGATTTCAACAATTCTTCCACTTCTTCGTGTGCTATTCTGTTGCTTTCGGCCAAGGCTGGTGGAGTTGGCTTGAATTTGATTGGTGCTAATCGACTCATCCTCTTTGACAACGATTGGAATCCCTCAGTGGATCTACAGGCAATGGCCCGAGTACATAGGGATGGCCAGAAGAAACCTGTTTATGTGTATAGACTTCTCACAACCGGTTGTCTGGACGAGAAAATCTTCCAACGGCAGATGATGAAGCTCAATTTGAGTTCCAAGTTTTTGGATGCGAATAATGACTCGAACGACGATGTTTTTGACTATAGTGACTTGAAAGATTTGTTCACCATTCAAAGAGACATCAACTCCAATACACATTCTCTAATGGAGTGTAATTGTTCTGGTATAGGAGAAGAACTGGTGATTGATCAGGAAAGCGAGTCCGAAGAGGAAGACGATTCCAGTAATGGCTGGATTTCTGCATTTGACTTCAAGCAACTTTCTCAAGAACCTACCAAGAAGCGAAATGCAATCAAGAAGTGTATGGCTGAATTCAGACATGTTAATCCAATGGCTGTGGATGATGAGTTTGAGAGTGGTGACACTGTTATAGACTCTCTGTTGAAGCAAACCCGAGAGAACGCTTCGTTGATGACCTTCATGTTCATGAAACTTTCTGCTGGTTAAAAATATACATTTTGTGTATATTTATTTTTGCATTGTTTGAGTGCTGGTAAATTCTAAGTAGGATAGGGTCAAGTTTTCAGCAACTTTTTAGTATGTTTTCAGTCAACTTGTGGTTTCATTATCAGTTAATCGTCTCTCTATGGTGACACTATTGTAATTAAATTGTCATCAACTTTTCAATGAATTGCAACCGGCAATTTTAATTTGCTGTCATTCCACTATTATTTAACGTCTTCAATCCTCACAGCATTCACGACCCAGTCACAAAAAGACTGCTCAGTTCTTCTTCATTCTGGCCTCTGCCGCCCTTGCTCTTTGCTCCCTCATCACCTTCATTCGTTGTTCTGGTGTGAGCGACTGGAGGTTTATCTGCGAGAGCGAAGCACCCACGAGCACCTTAGGAGGCCCAAACTTGGCCTTTCTGTTCTCTTCATCCTCTAAGGCCTTCTTGGCCAATTCCTCTTTGATTAGGTCTTGCTTTTGTCTCTCCTCTTCTTCCTTGGCTTCTCTGTTAGCCTTGTCGACTTCCTCCTTCGACAGCGGCTGATCAACATGTGCCTCCGCCCAGTCGCAAAATGACTCTCCCAGATCATTGCGAGCAATCTGAAATACCTGTTTTGTGGCCTTATTGAGACATAGGTCATAAGCTGTCCTTCCAGATTGGTTTTTAGCTGTGGCGTCTGCCTTCAAGTTGGTAAGCAGAGTACGCACGATATGCGCAGATCCGTTCGCCGCAGCAAATTGCAGCATAGTCGGGGTGTTATGATAGAGAGATTCAGGTTTTAACTGAAACTCTGGGGAAATGGCATTCTTCTTCATGTAAGAGATCAAGGCAGGAGACTTGGACTTCTTGATGAATCCTGCAATCTCAGCAGTGTGCTTTTCGTCAACAGAGAGTTCCACTTTAACCGGAGATTGACGACCGGTCTGGGTCGACTTCAAGAGGCTCTCACGTTCTTTCAACAACCTCTGTTTCCGTTTCTCATCAGATTTAGGAACATCGAGAACGACCATGTAAGTCAGGTTGACCCACGCACGCTTGAGTTCGGAGGTGGTTGCACGTTTTGTTGTGAAAGGGAACGATCTCAATCTGGGATCTTTGTTTTTGATAGGCGATCCATCGTACCCAACAATGATACCTCTTGCAGTAGGTCCGTTGGCTCTTATGAAGATGGATGTACACTTATCCAAGTATGCCTTCCAACTGACCATCAAATCTCTGACATCTTTTTGTAATGCTTCTTCATTGTATCTTCTCAATGTGGACCCAGCAGAATGTGCCTTTCCCTTTGCACTATCCATGGCACTCTGTGAACCACCCTGCTTTCTTCTGGTTGTATATCTATGAAATGTCTTGTGCTCTATCAGGTCAACAGACTGTTCCAAAAGTAAGTCTGCAGGACCGGAGTTGCCCTTCGTGCTTTTGGGCTTGTGTGAAATTATAGCTGCTGCAAAATGGCCTCCACCGATCATGAACACTGCAGAAATTTCGCCCAATTTGTTCTGCTTCTGATTCCAACTTTTGAGCGCTTGTTCAGGAATTCCCTGGAGCTCAGACTCACTAAAAAGAGACTTGTAGACCCCGAAACATTTGTCCTCTGGAAGCAGTGGTGAAGCGAAAATGATGAACGGCGACCGCGTGTTCATGAAACTATAGCTCTCCTCATCTTCGTCAACCACCTGTAACTTTTGAACACTTTTCGCAACTTCCTTAACATCCAGATCATCATCTGAGTCAGAACCAGATATGCTCTCGTCCAAAGTGTCAGCAATCTTGTCAAACTCCACTTCGGAGAGAGGTGGTCTCTGTAGATTGCGACGTTTTATGTTAAACCTGTGCAGATCAGACTTGTAGTGTTGTCTGATTTCTCCATCAGAAAGACTCTCAAGTTCAAACAGACATGACGCACACTGTTTACGTCCAGTCTCAGTCTTGGACTGATCCATCTGAACATGGGTCTCCAATGACTCAGCAGTCAGCTGGGGAGCAAATTCGCCACTGGAGAAGTAGAGCACTTTGAGAGACTCAACCACATTCGGCTGAAGATTGTACACATAGAGGTCCGAATTTGAAAATGCCTCTGTTTTTCGCGACATTTGGAAGTAATATATAGCGTTATAACGGAAGAATAATGGACCGCGATCTCAACAATAAGCATGTAGTACTCTCTTGAGTTTTCTTGATGAGGCGTAATATGGTTTCTGCACTACTAATCGAAACCTCTAGGAGTCTATCCTAGACGGTTCTTACAGTAAAAGTTTTGTAATATTAAAGGCCTCTTAACACATTTCTGATCAACGTTTGTGTCTGTAGCATTCAAAATCGGTGCTCTTTAGGGCTGACGGCATTTATATACTCTGTCCACAGAGCAAGCTTCTGAGCATTGACCATCTTGAGCTCTCTAAAGGCTGAACCGATCACTTCTTTGTCTACCAGCGTAGAATATTTGACAACCACATTGGTAATATCCTCGTGTTTCTCGATCTCCTGATTGCTTGCTCCATCTCCCATCTTTTTGCCAAGTCTCTTGTTGAAGGTTTCAATCAGCGACTCCAAGACGTTGCCTTCCCAGATCAGAGCGGGATTGAGTGTAAGGATCCTCAAAATTGTAGTTAAGCACAACAGAACCACCGAAGGATCGTCCTTCAGACCTCTCTTGAAAAATGCCTCAAGTATTTCGAAGTAGTTGATAGAGGATGTGAGAGCAAAAAGGACGCTATCGTTTTCAACGGCTTCTGCCAGTGTGTGGAATAGTTCATAAAGCGACCTTCTGAAACTGAGACCATCGTCAATATTGTGCTTGAATGGACCAATGCGCACGACTTTCATAAACTTCTTTTCTGGTTTCAACTGCGTCTCTATGATTTGTGGAATCACCTTCGTGAGTGTGGGCAATGTCAAGACTGGACTATCATGAAGGGCAGTGATGAGAGCTGAAACAGCAACCTGTTTGATCATCAAGCTTTCATCAAAAATGAGATTCGAGACTTTCTCAATCAAACGACAAGCTGCACTGCGATTCTTGTCAAACAAAGTACCATCCATTAGCAAAAACTTGACTGCGTAAACGCCTGTGTACTTCAAGGAAATGACCTCTGAATCGACAATCTTTGACAGATCAATAACCAGAAACTCGTCATCAGCACCAGCGGCAATCTTTGCCAGACATTCAGCAGCTGCGATGCACTCACTTTCATCGACGGAGTTCTGTTTCTCTGCCAACAGAATTGCCTTCCACACCTCGCCTGAGGCTGAAAGATCTTTTGACAATGACCTCGAAAGAGCATTCAATACTCCAGCTCGAATATCAGAGGGCTTCTCAAGCTGCTGCAACAAAAGAGGCAAGTATAAGGCTGAGTTGGAAATCAATAGGTTTGCGAGGGCTACCGTAGCAGCTTCGTAAATATCTCCCTTGCTTTGCAAGGCCTTTAGAAATGGAGCAATATCACATTCAACTGGTGCATAGCAGAACGCTTGTCCCAAAAACGATATATTAGACACCAAGTCCTCTCCGTTAATCAAAGCCTCCATAGCGTTGGAAACAGTGTTATTCATGCCTCCGTGTAAGGCAATACCGGCCAGAATCTTGGCCACGGATTGGTCAGCAGTCTTTCCAGAAGCAACGATGTAATCAAAAACTTCTTTGTGACCGCCTTTTTTGATTGCTATCTCTGTAGCAACACGTATGTAAACATCAGCATCGATGTCTTTGTGAGAACAAGCGCTGGTCACTATCTGTGACAAAATCTCCTTAGCAAACTCGTCTTGCACTGGTAGTACATTCAGAACGAAGGAGTAAACATTAAAGATCACTATTGTTTGCTTATCACCATCTTGATCTGTCTGAGACACTCCCAAAAGTACTTTATTCAGAATATCAGAAGACAGGACGTCGGCGTGATATTTCGTAACTGCAAGAATGGCTTCAAGAGTTGGAAGAATGAAGTTTGGATCTTTCAACAAATCCACCAAAGGACATATTATCGATTCAAACCAGTATGGCGGGATCGTTTGGGTAGACTTCGAGGCAATAGTCCTGATGCAGGTCAAATCAGTTGATACCAACATTTCGTACTTTAGCGATTCGGTCACCTCACTTAAAGCCTCTTTCAGAATCTCTTCATCCAAAGAAAAGTGAGTGATAACCAATACCAGAGTCGACAGACATGCCTGGCGGAGTTCAGCTGACTGGTTTTTGTTGTGAAGGATAGTGAGAAAGGTCCTGGTCATATCCACCACTTCTCCGTATTCTGAAATATCAGTCGTCTTGCGGACAACCAATGTGGCTATTATTCTGTTAACAGCACTAATACCTTCCATTGCTAATTCATTGTTGAAAGAGCTCAACGAAGAAACCAGATGCTTTAGGGCTTTGTGCACTGTTGGTCCGGCGCTCTTTAGCGAGTTCTTGGTGAATATTGATGCGTAGAACCTAAGCAGTTCTGTAGAAACAGCATCAGACTTCTTGATTTCTTCAAGCTTTTCAAGAAGATCAGACAGATAATCCTCGAGATCATCAACACAATCACTCAATGTGGCAATGAGCTGATAAAAGAGATCCAGCTTGGAACTATTTTTGTCTGTGATCACCTTAGAACATAGAGTTTCACAAATCAAACGTGATTTCTCCAATAGAAAATGCAACGGGTCGTTGGTGCTAATCATACTGACGTCGGATCCTCTTCTCTGGCCAATGGTCTTGTAGAACCTGAGCGAATAGTAAGGTCCGTCTTTGGAAGTTGCCTTCAACAATTTCGTCAGAGCAATAATGGACTCTGTGGACACCGCCGAATTTGTATCCGTTGTAGCTTTCAGTAAGCTCTCAAACGTAGTTTGATAAACAACAGGAATCTCCAAAGGCGAAACTTCAACTATTGCAGCAACTAATGCAGCAGCACTTTTCCTAACTCTCCAAGAAAGACCCTCACCTTCACCATCATCGAACTCATCATCCGTCATATCGTTGTCCAAGTCCGACTCAAGATCGTCTTCAGATTCTAAATCCTCATCATCTTCCGTGGAATATGGCGAATAAACCAGCAGACGGGAGCAAATCTCCAGACTGGGAAGGATATACACTGCGGTCTTGCTCCTGTCACCCTCGGAGAAGAGAGTAGTCAAGCACCTCAAGGCATCATATCTCAGCTCTTCTAAGTCTTGTTGAGCATCGAAATCATCAGAGACCTCGGATAAATTGTCTAAATCCAGAAACAAATTGGAAAATTCCCAGATCTCGTCAAAGTTATCAGCAAAAGAATTTGCATCAGTCTTGAGGCATCGAATAACCATTTCAAGACCAAACCTTCCCTTTGCGCAATAACTTCCAGGCTCGGTCGCCTTCACAAGTATAAGGCCAAATATATCCAGCTTCATATTCTGATTGGAACATCTCACCAGATAACCCAATGCTGAGATGCTTCTGTTGCTTATGATCTTGTCGGCACCAAGTGCCACATCCACCAATATTTCAGCAATACGTGCTATTTGGGCATCCTCCAGAGCATATCCGAGGTTTTTTATCAGATCCGTCAGCCTCTCAATGTAATCAATCTTGGTGGTGATCTCGCTGTAGTTCAGTAGAGCTGGGAGCAATTGATTAACCAGATCTTTGCCCTGGTCTCCAAATTCCTCCAGAGAAAACTTGTCAAGAACAACATGGTATGCTATAGTATAGATTGTGGATGTGATTGAGACGTCTGTTGGTAATTGAGAACTTAATCTTTGAATGAGCGTGTGATAGTTGGAGGAAGACAATTCTGGCGCTACTTTTTCTAGGCTAAACGATTGTTAGACATCGAAAAAAAATTATCATCAATGAAATTCGAGACAAATTCTCCCAACCAACTTACCAGTTGACGGCTTTCAATTGGACATCAGCACTGGGATCGTGTAACAGATCGACCAAGATTGACAGTAGTCTCTGATTGTTCATATCCTTGGGATTGCCCTTGGAAAGATCATTCAAGGCCATGAATCGCAAATCCTGGTCTGGATTCTTCAGATGGTCTATGAAACCTGCGATATTAACCATATTGAGATGTTTTTTGGAGTATTGGAACAACTGAAGGTTGACGGATACGTAGAGGTTAAGAAATAAGGCGACTAGCAGGTTTAATCCGCCCCACACATAAACGGTTTGGGATCTGCACTACTCTGGAGGATTGAAATTTCATCAAACTGAAATATATTAATTTACATAATGAAGTCGAAAATTGGGATTTTTGGCAGAGAAATCCAAAAGCCTTTGTTTATAAGAGACATATATGAAGCAAGTTTATGCTTCAGGATCTTTCTTCTCTTTGTTCGACTTTTTATCCTTCTTTTCCTTCTTTTTGTTCTTCTTTTTGTCCTTCTTTACCTTCTTTTTGCTGTCTGTATCTGTTTCTGACAATCCTATACTCTCTGTCACAACTGCATTCGTATCCTCTTGGTTCGCATTCTTACTTGCTCCTGGGGGATCCTTGAAGTCATCCTCGTCGATGTACTCGCTAACCTCCACATTGTCAATGATCAAGTTGCTTCTGTCTACCGCAATCTCGTCTTTTAAGTCTTCTGAAGGTGTAAATTTACCCTCATTATCTTGATGCTCTTTTTTCTTGTCTTCTTCCGCTTCTTCTTCTTCCTTTTCTTCTTCTTCTTCGACTCCGCTTAGTACCACCTTCTCGCCAGTCATCTTCTCGATGAGCTCTTTCGCCCTCTTAGCGTAATCAAAGTCAACAGGTTCCGCCGAATCATTTTCTTTATCTTGTGCATTCTCCTTCGTATCTTTCTCAGTCTCGTTCTTTTCGTCTGGGTTTTCGAGTGCAAGTGCCACCTTTTCAGCAGCTTCATTCCAGTTCTTCACAACCTGTGTTAAAGATTCGATCAAACGGTCGCGCGATCCACCAACCATTCCACTCACATACTCCTCCAGGTAAACTATGTAACTGTCTGGTATATGTCTGATATTTTTTAAAATCCAATTTTGCTTTTGCTTAGAGAACTTCCAGTTCTTCTTATCCTGGCTGTATTGTTTTAAATACACCAGTTGATCTTTCTCTGGTGGAGGAGCTCTTTCGCTCTTGGGAAGTTTCACTCTCTTTGGAGGCTTTTTCTCACTTATATCTATAGATGCAGACTTCATTGCCTGCCTCTTTCGCTTAAGCTCCTTTGTCTTCTTCTGCGTCACATCTGCAGTCTCTATGTGAGCAGCTATCGCCAAAGGGTCCTCGGTCACGGAGTTCTCTACCTTGAGACCAAGTCTTTTCCAAGCTGGTATGTGTTCTGGCATTAAACTTATAGGTGGGAGAATTGTAAGCCAACTCCGTGGGAGTATTACTAAAGTTTCTTTACTTATGTAAATTTTAAAAAAAAAAAACAGAATCTTTTGGTTAAGAGCCATGGGGACTGCCAGCCTAACTTGAAAATTTGGCCCATCATCAATCCTTTTTCCTTAACAACTTCTTCTTTCATCAGGTAGCTTTAATAAAGGCTTGTGTCTTATTTTTTTGACCTTTTTTTGTAGAAAATTCAGCAGCTTGTGAGTGATCTGAGAATGGCTGACCGGGTTTTCATCTCCTAGGCCTCATCGCTCTAATCTGCAAGATTGAAACTCCTTGTTTGAGTCCATGACGACATTCTCCTCCAATTGTCACGGATATAGAAAATGGAATACATTGTTTAGTTAGACTAAAAGTAAATATGACACTGAGCTACAAAGAGTAGGTAATGAGAGTTTTGTATCCCTCCACCGCAGTCTTGAGACTGTCAAAGGTGACGTACTCGTGATCACTGTGGGCCACCAAGATGGAGCCTGGCCCATACAGGTATCTGGTGAAGTTTCCATTGAGGAATGGAACATCTGTTGAGTAGGAAGCAATGAATGAATCGAACCCTGGGACTTTGTAGTTCAAGTAGACGGGATCGTTCTTCTGGACCAGCTCGAAATCAACGTGTTCCTGGTCGCCAATTGCGTTACCAACGATTGCATCAATTGTCTCTGAATCCGCAGAGTTCCTGATCACGGTGGTAAATTCAGCATAAGGGGACACCACATTACCAGCCACTCCACCGGAAAAGGTTCCTATGTTGACGTTGGTCTCTCCCAATGTTTCACTGATTGGCCAATCAGCAGCATACAGGTTGGCTGCCAGTTTGATCATGATTCTGTTCGCATCAATTCCGAGCTCAGGGTACCCCGAATGGGCAGCCTTACCGGTGACCTTGACCTTGAACATGTAGATACCTTTATGGCCAACGGCAAGTTTGTTCTCGGTAGGCTCTCCAAAAATGACGGTATCCCAGAGATCTCCCAATGTGGCTGATGCCTTGTGCATGCCATCGCCACCAATCTCCTCGCCAACAACAAGCAAGACGGACACATCGCCTTCCTTGACCGCTCCGCTCTCCTGCAGCTCAAACAAGGCCGTGAGCTGAGACGCAATAGAGCCCTTGCAGTCATTGGAACCCCTTCCGTATATTCTATCTCCTTCGACATAAAATGGAATGTATGGAGGAACAGTGTCAATATGGGCTGTCAACAAAACTTTTGTGGCCCGAGTGGTTCCCTGGTAGGCATAGATGTTATATCTGCCTGTACCATCATCCAATGGAATTGTCTCCACAGTTAGTCCTTTTTCTTCGAGATACCCCTTCAGGAAGTCAGCAACCAAAGTCTCCTCCTTAGATACCGATGGGATCTCAATGAGTTTTTTCTCCAGCGAAAGAAGCTCAGACTCGTCTTGTTCTATGGAGAACACAAGAGGAGTTTCCCTGTCTTCCCAACCAGCCGATACTATGGGCACCGTTAATGCCGTCAAAGCGAGTAATCTTTTGAAAAGCATAATGAAATCAATCTAGCAAAAGACACAAATAAATTAAAAAGAGAACAAGCGCACAAAAGAATAAACGAACAAACCTGGAAGAAGAATATACGACAACGTTAAAGTAGCATAAAGGCGGATATGCGCCTCGAGATGAGCCATTCCGTGTGGCGCATGCCTATGCACATCCTCGGGGTTCGTATGGCAACTTTAGCGTGGCACTGAGAACCCAATGTAAGTGTATTTTAAATGAGAAGTTTGGTGAGAATGGTGATCTCTGGACTGAGTGGAAAAAATAGAATGCTTGATATTGACAAGATTGGACTATTGATAACGGATTGGGACGATACCGTTACTGATGGAGACACCATGGAACTGTGCTTCAATGCGGTGAGCCAGAGCAAGCCCGGCAGTTTGTACGATCACAGTTATTTTCTCAAATTGTATTTGCAAGCCCGAAATGAATTTTTGGCCCAGATATCCTCGAAGCCGTATTCGAAGAGGGCAACTTTCAGCGAGGAGTTGGCATTTCAGGAAGATGTCAAACGCTCAGAAGAGTCAAGTGCAGCTGAGGCAGTGAGATTGAAATTTTTCAAAGGAGTGTCAGAGAGTGATTTTCGAAAACAAGCTGATAAAATTATCCTAAGGGAGGGATTCCTGGAATGTTTGGCTAAAGTTAGAGAGCATGGCATACCAGTGGAAATAGTGAGTGTGAATTGGACTGGAAAAATGATTGACGAGACTCTACGCAGAAACGGCTATACAGGTGACTGCATACAAATTTCATCAAATGAATTCGAATTTGATGCTGATGGTGTTTGTACTGGGGATCTCTACAGAGGAAATCCTCTCACCAAAGATGGTTTGCGAACAGGTGCTGATAAGCTCAAAATCACTGAAACTTTGATAGAAGAGCATCATAAGGTTTCCAAAAAGGAGGTCGTGTACATAGGAGATAGCTCCACTGATGTCTTGTCGATGATCAAAGCAGACAGGGCTATAATCATCAAAGGAGGATCCGCGATTAGCGTCCTTGAGGCTTTGGGCCATGAGGTAACAGATGGTGATGCTGATAGAACACCCTCGAGGTTCAGTGCGGTCTCAGATTGGAAGAATTTGCTTTGAGTAGCTGCTGGATGTTCTTGTTGTATATTATTTCTTTATCATGGCTTTTTTCGATCAAATTTGGTAAACATTTTGGAATTTGTCTATGCTTGATAATGGCATGTAATCTAAATTCTGGGGAATGGGCCAATGCTCCTAACCATTTTGATATCAGATATCTGCTATCTGATATCAGCTAGCTATCTACAACATAGTTTTAGTCTTAGCAATTAATTGATTCTGATCTCCTAATTCACGTTGGTTTGATGCTTCAATTTCTGAGTTCTTTCTATGGTGAAGCCATCTGAAAACTCTCAACTTTTCAAGGATATCCAGCTTATTGTTGTTCCTGGTGCCTTAACGAAGGTTGCTTCATATAGGAAGGCGATCTGGAGGAAGCAAGGGGCAACTGTTTCCTTCAGACTTTCGCAGGTAAAACCAGAAAAAGACGTTTACATTATCTGTGAAACTGAGGAATATGAAACGGAACCTGAAAAGGTGCTGGAAAAGCTCAAAGTTGATAATGTGAAATATCCCATTGTGAAGTTGGATTGGCTGACTGATTCTGTGAGAGCGCAAAAGTTGTTGCCGACCGAGAACTATGTATTGAAGGTAGAGCCAAAATTGCGAGACCAACACACATCTATTTCTGCCAAAGATATTTTGAAGGGCAAAAAGAGAAACTTTGAAGAATCTCGTGGTTCATCGGCTGACCTGACAGATGATGATGAGCCTCATGAGGAGGAAGGCATTGAGCAAGGGAAACTTGTGGGGATTCTTAGGGGAAGTCGTGATGAAGGTGAATCGGATCCCAATGCTCTTGTGTTGTATCGCTTGGGGCAGATGGCAGATGAGTACAAAGGTTCTGGAAGATCTGGAGTTTCGAACTTTAAAGCACTCAGTTACCGTCGTGCCATAAATTCCATCAGACAACATGGCAAGAAATTAAAAACCTATGAGGACGCCATCAAACTGCCCGATGTTGGAGACGGGATTGCCAGAAAAATTGAAGAAATCAACAGGACTGGCCAATTGCATCAGCTAGATGAGGTCAGAAATGATGAACATTTGATGGTGGTAAAAACCTTTCTCCAAATTTATGGCGTGGGTATGTCACAGGCTCAAGAATGGTATAATCGGGGTTACCGAGAAACTGCGGAGATTGAAAAGAATGAAAAAGATAAGCTATCTGGAGTGCAGAGGCTGGGTCTAAAATACCTTTATGATTGGTCACAGCGTATTCCACGTGCTGAAGTAGCTGAACACGAGGCTTTTATCAAACAAATTTCCCGTGACATTGATCCTGATTTTGAGGTAGATGCCGTTGGATCTTACGCTCGCGGTGCCGAAAATAGTGGAGATGTGGACTTCATCGTATGCAAAAAGGACATTGACGATAAGGGTATACTGGGTCATTTTCTTTATGACTTAGTATCACGATTGCAAGAAAAAGAGTACATCAAATGTTCGTTGATCAACATTGAAGTGAAAAATAAGGCTAGAATCCGGAAGTTTTACGGGGGAGGCCAGCTGAAAGGTCACCAGTTTTGTCGTCGTATAGATTTTCTGCTCGTGCCATGGAGTGAGCGTGGGGCAGCAAGCATATACTTTGTTGGAGACGATCTCTTCAATAGGACAATACGCAGTTTGGCTATGCAGAAGCATATGAAACTGAACCACAAAGGACTGTTTAAGGACAAACGTGATTCTAAAGGCCACTTTGACTACTCTGTTGAAAACAGAATCGAAGCGGCCGACGAGAAAAGGATATTTGAAATTCTAGGAGTTAACTGGATTCCTCCGGAGCAGAGAAATCTTGGAAAGATAAGTTCTCCTGGAAACGTTATCAAAGAGAGCGGAATCATTGGGTAATGTAGTGGTTTATTTTTGATTCTAGAATGTGTTTGTTTATGACTTACGATGATTGTTTTATCTTTATTCAACAGGTTGATCAGTATTTGATCACCAGTCAGGATCTGCTCCATGACCTGTCTTGAGTTATTTCACCTCACAATGTATCAAGCAGGTCTGCTCTCTCTAGATTCGAAAGCTTCAAACGACTTACGAAATCGTCATGATTGATATAACCACCACACATACGTCTCTCGCCGGTAAACTTGTTTCTCCTGCTGTGGAAAACTCTCCAGTTATCGAAGATCAAGCATTGGCCCGGCTTTAAGGTATGGTAAAACTCGTTCTTCTCAGATTCAATGATCTCGTTCCAATGACCAATAGCTTCGTAGAACCGGGGAACATCCTCTGGATCGTCGAATTGGAGTGTGGATCTGTCACTGATATTCCATCTCACCTGTATAAGCTCTCCCTTATTGTCGTGGCACAATATTGGTCTTGGATAAGAAGGCTGAATGAAAGTAGAGTCTTCTCCAGCTGAATGAGCAGGTACAAGGACACGAGAGAGTGTGTCGTATGACTCTGGATACTTCTCCCTCAAAAATTTTGCGGCTTGGAACGAATCACACAGAGTGGTCACTCCACCAGTTCCCGTATGCTTCAGCAGGTGAAACAGTTGTAGTCCTGGTGGATCTGTGAAATAAGTTCCGTCCGTGTGCAATGGAATGGCTATGTCGGTATAGGCAGTGTCGTTTACTTTGAGATCGGCAGTAAAGTCCCAGAAACCTCCGTAATGAGTAGGTCTGATGAATGCAATTCTCTCTATCAGCTTTTCAGTCACCTCTGGGGAAACGGGAACATTTTCCACCAGGCAAAACCCGTATTCCCAGATCTTTGAACACCATTCAGCAACACCCTTTTCTGATTCAATCACAGAGTTGTAATCCACAGTGGGCAATTCTGCTTTTATTTTGGCGACATTCCAGAGAGTCCTTGGTAGAGTCAATTGCTTTGGATTTCTGAGTTCAATTTTTGGAAAATACGAATGGCTCACCAGCCATAAAATCTGGTACTCGCCCTCATGGCCATCAGTCCACGTAATGGTAATGAAATCATTCTCCACAGAAATGCTAATTGGAGCAATATTCCTCGGAATCTGGCATCACGTTAGTATGGTTTTCGGCTATCGAAATCACGTGCCAATCAGTTATAGACACAACGTACCTCGCAGGAGTTCTGAAGACGCTGTCTGGTGACTCCATGGTAACAGCTCGTGCAATGACAATGGTCTCTGAGCCAAATGTGGTGACTTATCCTGTCAGTATCCTGTCAAGCTATTTCATTGGGTGCTTTTTCAGCAACGTTTCAACAAAGCCAACATCACCAACTTACAACTTTGACGTGACTTCCACCCCGTCAACCAAGAAACTTCCAGAGCACTTGTCAGTACCGGAAACAACTTCAAATGAGATAATTTCAACTTTGCTCATTATTTCATACAAGATAGTTTGTCAATAAAACCAACAGAAGGAAGAAAGAAGATACCCAATGTGGATACTCACTGACCTCAATCAGACCAAGTGTCATATTCCGCGCGGACGCTTACGTAAAATCCGGGGTAGCAAAAAGTGGCGTGTTCCTGCCAAATCGGCGCCCCCCTAAGTTAAAGACTCAAAGTTGAGCGGAAGAAGGACCTGGAAGGCTTGCGTTGTATTTCTAGTTTTCTTGTTCATTGGTGTCTCGTGAATTCTCTTGTTTGAATTTGCGATTTGTTTATTGCCTTGAATTAGTTACAACACTTGTTTCAATGAAAGCCAATCGCCATATTAGGCCGAGACCTAAGGCCCTGGATGCTGCCATAAACGATATTGCTTCCGGAAACGATGCCCTTCCGCCACCACCACCTGCCGAAACGCCGATTGAAACCTACAATTATAATCCAGGTCTGAAGCGGACTCTCACACACAACTATAAGTGGGACCTCGAAGACGAGGCTCGCAAATCGCATGGTGATGTCCCCACATTAGCTACTTTGGACCTTGGAGAATCCGATCCTGGGGCTCCGGATCTTATGAGGCCTCCGTTTTCCGAGCTGAGGAGGAAATCACAGGAAGCTGCGTATCAGCAGATGCAGCCGCAAGCGTTTAGGCGGCGGATTTCCTCGGCGAGACTGAGGTCTGGCTCAAGATCACGGTCCTATTCGGGCTCCACGCCAGGGTCACGCTCTAGGTCTGCGTCACCAGACGTTTTGTCGATATCTCCTGCTGAGAAGTTCAGACGCTCTAGGCTTCTTAGTTATGGAGGTGAGAAGTGTGAGGGTATATTGATGCCTGCATCATCTGATGGTGTCCCCACAGAGACTGCGGAGCCTGTTTCCCCTCCTGAAGTACTCTCAAAGCCACCTTGGTTGAAATTCAGACCTGGAATTCAGATTTTTGGACACCAGTCAAGCTCTGCATCGCAAGAGGCATTACAGGATGATTCTTCGACAGAACGACCTTATCCTCACCGGAAAACCAGCTTCAACTTTGATGATTATAAAACGAATATGTACCGCAAGAGCATTGGGCACCGCTAGGGCCATCACCCTCTTGATATATGAATTGCTTTATTATGCTATGGATATATGGATTTTGAACCATTGTGTGGTTTTCGGTTCTCACAGCCACGTACGCCCAATTGAAACGCGTAAACTCAAAGTTTAAGTACTGGGTTTTTGCTTACCAGCACAAAATTTCTCTAGAAAATCAGTCTTTTGGAATTCCGCTGGATAGGGACCAATTTTCAACGCGCTGTCATGTTCAACACCATGACGTTCTCAGGCGGCTTATGCATACGAAATCTGTATCAGCCGTAATGTGCACGATCTGCCTCTCACGCTGCTCATGAATTTTTCAGTGTGTGACGCGCTTCCAAATTCAAACAATAGTCGTCGTCTCTGCAGACCTTGGACAGCATTCCAAATCCAGAAGCTCTTCTAAGGTTTTTTGGAGACTTTCTACAAACACGAATGCTAGCATTTATGTGACCATTGGCTCGTCAAGCTACGGTACGCCCAGAAGATCTACCAGGACTCTCAAGGTTCATCTGCAATTTTTCTGTTTGGGGGTCTTGGAGGTCGATCTCTGCGGTATGCTCTTGATCTACCGTTCATCCAATGCACGGTTATGTGTGCACGCTATCTATCTGCACGGGGGCTCATGCTTCCAGAAAGTCGGAAAATGTCTGGCATGCTGTAGCCACGGCAATTATACCCAATCTACTGGCAAGTCCCGCAGATCAATCGGGGTCTGGACTGTGGACACTACATAAAACTGTTTTTCCAACGATTCCACCTGGTTGTGTTTTGGCTTCGTATTTTCCCCGTGGAAGACTCTCCCTTAGCAATGCCTGGCGAACCTCGCAGCAGTTAGAGCGAAAACCATCCACAGGTATTGGCCTATTGGCTACTCGATCTAAAAATGTGTTTCTATTTCCCAATACGGACTGCATTCGTGCATCCATCGTGTACTTACAAAACCGTTGTTCTGTGGGTCCAAGTGAAATCCCTCTTTCGGCGTTGGTGCCGGCATCTGGCATGCATGCTGCATACTCCATTATAAAAGCCACCGCGTTAGTGCGAATTCGCTCATATAGACTGCATTATTATTTTTTAAGCTCTTGTTTTACGTGCGCGCGACAATAGCACGCGTCGGTCCGTTTAGGGTAAAAAGTCAACAAGCCTGTACGTTCTCCATCGAAGGACGACTAGATAGAATTTCGTATATGTAGATACACAGTAGTTTCATTCCCACACAGGATTTACATCTTTGTCTTTGCTTTTACTGCTCCTGCCCACTTATCCCACCCTCGTCAATCTTTTAAACTACGCGCTCGATCTCATGAAAGTCACTGGTCTGCTATTCACAGCAGTTCTGCTGGGTGGGACCAACGCAGCTAAGACTATCACCAGAACAGTCAAGGTTTACGAGACAAAGGTCGAGAATATCCAATGTGGTACTATTCCTAGCTCCAGCCTGGATGTCTGGAGCGACGAGTCTACTTCTACCGAGCAATTGCTCACCAGAGTTTCAGCCACTCTTCCTTCGTATGATCTGAACCCAGCAGAGGCTATTTCCTATGGCTCGTTTTCAGAGAACCCCACTGTTGCTCTGGTGACTCCAATTACCACTGGAGGAACCACGCTGGTCTTGGTAGGATCGGTTGATAACTCGGGACTCAGTGCAACGATTTCGAGCTCCAGTGATGGTGCTAAACTGCCAACCACCCAATCGAATCCAATGTACACGTCCAGCTTGCCTTCAAGTTCTTTGTCTGTGACAATTGACATTAACACTCTCACAGAGGATGTTACTATTTCCGAAAGTTCATTTGTTGCCAGTTTTACAGATGATCCAGATCCAACCAATCTGCCTGTCTACACTCTAGACGATGATGATAATAGCAGCGACTACAGCGATTTTGAAACTGAAACTGCCACTGGCGTTTCGTCTATTCAGACATATCCAGTTTCGTCGTCTGTTGGGTCTGATGGCTATTATAATGCCTCGTCGGCCGCCTCAAGTGCTTCTTCTGTTGCCTCAAGACGTCATGGAAATCTCGTTACTGAGTCTTCCTCTTCCTCGGCCGTGTCAACTTCTCTTGATGCTGCTGCCACGACGAAGACCTCTACAATCAACCTTTTCAATGCAGTTGCCACTACAAGTCCAGCTAAAATGTTCAAGAGCGGCAAACTTGCGGTATCCGTGGCCAGAGGAGTGAAGAACTACGACGTCCCTTACCAGACTAACAAGTTCTATACAAATCTGATGCTTGATGATCAGGACGATAGCGTGTGGACTTACCCGTACGCTTTCTTCTATTCGAAGACTTACAAGGGTTTGGCAATTTCCTATAGAACAAAGTCTGAGTGGTACTTTGACTCAAGCACCACACCTCCTTCTTACTTTTATGGTCCAATTGATGTTGCTTCAATTGCTTTCTCTGCCTCGAGTTTTACATCCTCCAATATCAGAATTGGTGTGAACGATATGTACCAGCTCTCTGCTAATGCCAAACTTTACGAGCACGGTAAGAGCACGGAATACATTGAAGTACCTTTGGTCGAAGGTATGGGTTTTGCAACTGCAATTTATCACGGTAGTTTGAAGCCTGTTCTTACTACTGGGGTTTATTTCAGCAAGCTTATTTCTGTCACGTCCAAGTCCGTTCCCTCGGGAGTCCTGAAGTATGAAGCCACTTTGAATGATAATTCCAAATGGCTGATTTATGTTACGGTTCCTGATAAATACAAAACATCGTCTTTCAACTTGAAGCTCAGTGGAAATTCCAAGATAGTCGGAAATAAGGCCATCAGTGGACTTATCATTCAGATTGCTGTCGAGCCTTCCAGTAAGCTACAGGTTTACTACGACGAAGCTGCTGGTATGTACCCAGTATCTGCTGCTGTTAGTGGAACTTTTGTGACGAGCACAGATATAGCTACCTGGAAAATCACATACACAACTAAGGGCAAATCGTCCTCCGGAAAGACCATGTTGTTTGCTCTCATCCACCATGTCAACTCCATGGCAAGTGTTACCAAGTCTGCAGCCACTGGAATTACTTTGTATTCCGTGTCAAAGGGAGCACTATACGGATTCTTGGCCAATGAACTCGTGATGCAAGAAAACCTCAAGACTGTTAGCAAAATTGGATTTTTACCATGGTCTTCCTCCATGACAAAATCTCTTTCCTACACCTCGGCCCAGCTTAAGAAAATCGCAAAAGCTGCAAATAGTGAACTCAGTGTCGATATTCCTACTGCAGCCAATACGGACTCTACTTACTATGCAGGAAAGATATTAGACAAATATGCGTATATCCTGTTGGTGTTGGAGACCATTGTGAAGGATAAAGCTCTCACCAAATCAACCTTGGCAGAAATGAAGAAGGCGTTTGCCGTCTTCACCAAGAATAAGCAATATTACCCTCTGATGTACGAAACCAAGTTTAAAGGTGTTACTTCTACAGCGTCTACCACTTCTGGCGATTCTGGTGCCGATTTTGGATCTAGTTACTACAACGATCACCATTTCCATTACGGCTACTTTGTGCATGCAGCTGCTGCAGTCGGTTATGTGGATGCAAGATTGGGTGGAACCTGGGCCAAAGACAACAAAGATTGGGTCAATGCCTTGATCAGAGATGTTGCAAATCCAAGTTCGAAAGACACTTATTTCCCTGTATCGCGTATGTTCGATTGGTATCAGGGACATTCATGGGCTGCTGGTCTATTCACAAGTGGAGACGGCAGGAACGAGGAGTCATCCTCAGAAGACTACAACTTTGCCTATGGTATGAAACTTTGGGGATCTGTGACTGGAGACAAGTCCATGGAAAACCGCGGTAATCTAATGCTGGCAATAATGAAGCGCAGTTTCAACGAATACTTCCTCTACTGGGACAACAACAGTGTGGAGCCAAAATCGTACATCCCAAACAAAGTCTCGGGAATTTTGTACGAGAACAAGATTGCGTACTCCACGTTCTTTGGAACAAATACCGAGTATATCCACGGTATCCACATGTTGCCAATCACTCCAGTTTCTTCATTGATTAGAGGCTGGAAGTATACCAAACAGGAGTGGAAAGAAAAGTTGGCAAGTATAATTAAAAAACTGACGGGGGGTTACGCAGGTATTCTGAGATTAAATCAAGCTCTTTTTGACCCGTCGTCTTCCTATAGTTTTTTCTCTTCCTCTTCTTTCAGTTCGGACGATCTTGACGATGGCCAGAGTTTGACTTGGGCCTTGGCTTTCAGTGCTGGTTTGATGAACAGTACTTGAGAAATGATACTCTTGACTTTTAATGCTTTTTTTGTATAATTACTGTATCCAATATTTTTATGCTACATTTGAAAAAAGCTGGAAATGTCATTTTTCCCTAGAAAGACTAAACTGTAACTGAAACTTTTCAAACTTTTTGAGAATTTCTAAATTTTTCAACTAGAACTGGAATTACTGTAATTGGACTATTTTGGAATATAGGTCTAGTTTTGTGCGCAAATTTCGTTTCACCTCCGCTATTGCAAACATTTCATTATGTGTTCGAAGTAGTTCGTATACAATCCCATTACCTCAAATGGCCTCGAGATTGTATCAACCGTGGTGTTTGTCTCAGGGAGTGATTCTGGAAAACCTAGCCTGATCCACCCGCCACAACTGGGGCACTTGCAATGCATCCTCTTTAGCTTTCTTGGATTTTGTTGAAACAGTTGTGTGGGAAGGGGCAACCACAAACAGTCACAAGAATCTCCATCTTCCGGGAACGCGATGCCATGGGCCATTGTCAAATGCATCTCGAGATTTTCCTTTGAAATCCATCTCTGACGGTAACAGAACCGACACATGACTTTATCATCTTCAATTCTAGTATATCTATATTCCATCGAGTTTCGGCGTGCTGTAGCAGTACATTCATGGGAACCAGCCGAATCAGGACATGCAGGGTTTACATGCACCTTGCCAAGTTGATCTGGAGAGACACGATGAGACTGGAAACAACGTGGATTCAACCGCTTTGGAACCTCATGCATTCGAAACAGACAAATATTGCCGTCTTCTTTGGTTATTGCATTTTCTCCTATAGGTACTGAGCTTAACGTGCGCGGTGTTTGGCAAGCACTGTCTCCGGAACATTCTTCCATAGAAGAATATGCATCCCATTCAGCTTCCGCATCAATGTCTCTTTTGTCTTCATCGGAATAGTCCACATACACTCTAGCCAGCTGAAGACTGATATCATCCAAGTCCGATTTGACGTCACATCTATTCATCTGCTTTTCGGAGATGTGGCGCATGCTGTGGCTGATGAGACCTAATTCCACCGCCTCCACTGACATGCCAATGGAGTTGGCTCGATAGTCATCCATCCAGCCGTCGATTGCATTCTGCGAAGATTCCATAGTATTGTGGTAGGAATTCAGCACTGTAGATGTAGTGGTTAACCGATTCTTTATCAAAGAAAACCTCGAAAAGCTTTTTTGGGTCTGCTTGACTTTGGCTTTTGGTTCCGGCGTCTAATGACGCAGGATGAACTGGGGAAGTTTTTTTTTTTGCTGTGGAGACGGGTTAACCCAAACACCGAACCCCAAAGATGCGGGCTTCTGCCTGGAGCACTAAAACGTAGAACTCGATAAAGCTTTGTGTTGTTTCACGCGCTTTGGTCTTCGGTTAGTGATGCCTCTGGTGTTAATGCCGAATGGAGCCGAGCGCCTAATTCAACACTTTGGACCCAACTTTGGATTTGAAACAGCTGACTCAATGTACCCCCTGTGGACCTTATTTAGAAGTCAAGAAATGCAGAAGGGGGGACCCAAATGAAATAAGCAAAAATATTTACGAAACAGACACCTGGTGTTTTCTCCGATTGAAGAATAGTGGGTAGAATATAAGGAATGATGCCAGATGCACAGCATTTTCCAAGCGTTTAGCTACGTAGAGGTAGTGTGCACTTGGACCTGGTCCTCAAACCTTAAAAACGTCAGTCCCTATGATGTTCAACGGATTTGCTCGCCTTAAGTGTGGATCCTAAATTTAAATCTGATACTTTGATCATACATATTTATGCTTGCGCTGGTTGTGAAACAGACCGTACCATATAATTGCTTTTACTATTCTTCGACGTTGAACACCTAGGTTCTTTTAGGTGAACCCGGGTATGCCGGTAAGGACATGCACCCGATATAGGTGGATAACTCCGACGGATAATATCGAGACCTTTGACAATGTATACGCAACGCCTCGATATTTTGCGGCGACAAAGATTAAGTCCAGACGTCAAATATTGATGACAATATACTGCGTACCAGATATGAACTGTCGCAGGCATGTGCAAAATTTGGCAGGTCTTGCAACTTTCGCCCATCTGGGAAATGCAGCCAGGAGATGAGAATTTCACCAAAGGCATGTTCTATACTTAGCATTATCTGACGATTGTCAAGTTCATCGATTGAGTCAATGCAAAATAAATGGTGACAGAAGTCGCATATCTACAGCAACTGAGAGCATGCTTACTCCAGCCCTCAAAGCCCTTGGAAGCACCAGGGCAACCGCACACTAGAGGCTTTTGTTACCTTGCGGTTTTACCTATTTGCACTGACCAAAGCGTAATGGCCTGAGTAAAATCTCGGAACGATAAATATGGTTCAACGGCAAAGTTCGAATCGCGCATAGTATTTAGAAAGGCCTGCTTAACTAGTGAAACGAAGTCTCTTCAAGCCCCCAGAATATTGATGTCATGCATACGCTCATCCCGGTTGGTTCAAACTTGCTACTGAGAAATTGGTTAACATACTGTGCAATCCTGCGATTCCATCTGGATCAGGCGATTACGGTGATCATTGGTGTACGTTATTTTTTAGTTGTTTTGAATTTTGTCCACATGCTCCGGAGTTCCAGTTTAGGAGGGGTGCTACGAGTTTGCAAGGCTCCATTATAGTTGGAGGAATCGTGCAGTCGCTATACAACATGTAAGCAGTCCACACTCCCGCAAACGTAGCTCAAATAGAAGAAGCTACAGCTCTGATGGACACAGACCACTCTTCTCCGGTTTTTGGAACATACCCACATAAGGTTTCTTGGAATCCGCATATCCGTGATGTACCTTTAAGCATCTTTTGTACGCAATGCATCCTGTGGCTTGAGGTGCATATCTGTTTTCTTACATACACCCCGAATAAAACGCCTCCTTACTACATAATATATTGACTATACCTGACTCTAATTGTATGCTTGTCAGATTGCCAAGATATCCACGGAACTATGGACACTCCAGACAGACGATTTCCTTTCCCATCGCGTTGATGCTGTTTCAGCTTCTCAAGCTTCCGTGTATATTCAACGCGGTATTCGAACAAATTATGTAGGTGCACAGTTGCAACTTGACCTGAAGCATGTTGACACACGTGGCAGATGTTAGACTCACCGGCCAGAAGGTGCATTTTAGCGGGATATCTAGTATGTGACTTATAATTATGCCGCAATTTATATGTGGGTGCCTGAATGAAACATATAAAGAGTCCCGCCTTTACAATGAAAGCTTAAAACACGGGAAAGCTTATTTCTTGAAACTGACCAACACGATATATTTCAAAGAAGGCTCGCAAAGGTAAAGTGTTAAAACTGCATGCTGATAGATATCAGTCTAAGACTAGCACTCAAAGACCAATTACTCAAGTTTAATGGTCAACAGATTACCAATACCGGACCTACTTCTACTTGCCTTTAGTAATCTCTTGTCTGCAATTCCGTCGAATGGCTAACCCACTTAACCGATTGGGTCAAATAAATACCAATCTGATATTGTAATTATCCCCATAGCATCCCAATATCAACAGAGTACTTATTTGAACGAGCTTTGCACTAACCAAATACATTCCCTATCACCAACTAATTAATGACTTGCGCACAGTTACCTGCACACTCGTGTTTCAACCAATGCACAACCACCTAAACCAAATGATCTAATTACTACCTTCAATTCACGCAGAAATTCCTTAGTGTGATGGCTCAGTTCATGCAACCTCACCCTACTTCTTAAACTATTATGTACGAGTACGTTCACCTTACAGGTCCACAACGCCTGAATTTTTGCCTTTTTGCATTAATCGCCTCGAAGTGCCCTTAATTTTTGGCATTGACGGGTCTTCAATTGATCGAAATATCAGCCCTGGTTCAACGAATATGCTAATTGAGAATAGTTAGATTTCTTAAATGCATTTTGATCGTTAACTTCAAGCAATTTGTTAAAGCGTGATGATTCTAGACCTTGCTCAGAGAGATCATAATTTCGCTTAATTTAGTAACTTCGAGTCGCATGGCTCTCAGTGATGGTATGCTGCCACACTACTCGTGGGTGACTACTATATAGAAATGTGTATAAGATGGTTTTTTTGAACATGAACATTAACTCCACTTAATATTTACAAATGAGCCACCTTCTCTAGCAAGCATCCATAGCTCATTCTCTCTCGTAGGCTGTACACCCCCAATCAATTTTCCGCTGTTATATTCCAGAGTCGAGCACGCATATTACAAGCAAGACAGCGGAAAATGTTTTCTTTTCTGGTGACCAGTATTGAGCCTCCCAGAGAAAATCTTAATGACGTACTTGCTGCTAATCTAACGCCCCCTTTTTCGGATATGCGCTCTTGGAGGATAAAAAAGCATTTTCATGCTACGAGTGCAGCAAGCTTGCTTTGTAGTGCGTCACAGAAGTAGGATGAGACTTGATATTTCATGCATGCATGCATGCATGCCTTTTTTTGGAGGCTTTTATTATTTATAGTTAATTGCGATGATTCTGGGGGACAAGGTAGTGTGCGCAGGCTGAATGTCTAGAAGAACGGGGGGAGGGGTGAGAGGCCCAAAGTGTGGCCTTTTTGCCCGTTTACAATAGCATTGCCTTCAGCAAAGGCGCGTCTGTACAGCCGTATCACATTACACTTTGGTTCTAAAAAATTGGCAACTAGCGCGAGGACGTGAGGGCAAAGCCCAGCCTAAGCCCTAGTGCGCGACTATGGTGCCATACTGGTTGTCAAAAAACCCATGTATACTCGGAATAAGTCGATAATATTTGTAGCTCACAGTTCCGTAACTCACATGACACAAAATATAAGATTTTTAAACAAGCTTTACCGGCCATCTCGAATGCTTATTTGGGACTAAATACCGGTTCAAAACAGAACGACAAGGGAAACGGAGTGCGGGATATGTGCGTTTTCTAGCTGTACAGAGTGGCAACTCAGATTAACCGAAGAAAAAGTTTAGATAATATTCAAAATCAGGGGGTTCATTACAAGAAAATAGTTAAATTGAAGATCGCCCATTTTTCTTGATTGTTGGAGCTAGCAAAGTACGATCGCTGTAGGAATGCTGTTCATTGGGGGTTAAAGTTAATCCTACCCCTTAATAGTGAAAGCACCAAACTGCGGGGGAGGAGTCATCATTTTATCATTAAACATGATTGGCAAATTCACAATGTGTGGAGAATAGCTGTTGGTCATTGGAGTCGAGTAAACTTGGTAGGGCGATGGCTCGATTGAAGGTGTGATGCTGTTTGTGCGTGAAACATTGTGCTGAATCTGTTGTACCTGAAGAGGTTGAATTTGCGTAGGAATGGGAGCTGGAACAACTCCAACTGGGCCTAATGGCATTTGAGTAGGGGTAGAGACACCACCGTTATTCTGGTGGATTGGACTTGTGACTGTTGATAACATTTGCTGTGGTTGGAGTGGTGGGGTTGAAGGAGGAATATCTAGAGGAGTGCAGGTGTTAAGTTCCAATGGACGCAACACCAAAAGGTTCATAAGCAAGTTTGCCGAAAGTACTGGCATATCCAGAGGTCTGAGCTTGGAGCCAGTCGCCAATTCTGCTAACCTATCGAAGTAGAATTTGGCTAATGCATGATGGCCCAACTCAGAATACAACTGATAGCAACGCATGCATGAATTCGCAACATCTTCAGCACGATCACATCTTTCATATATCGATAGCAGACCTTCCCAAGCTTTAGCAACACAACTCTTCGTCCATACATCATCTCCTTGTAGTTTTACCAACCTGTTGAAAACAGTGATAGCATCTTCCAACTGGCTCAGGCTAAGATAGAGATTGCCCATGAGTAACCAACATAATGGATAGTCACGAGACTTCTCTAGGAGTCTGGAAACGTGAACGAAGGATTCCTGAGGCTTATTAAGATTGAAAAGAACAAATCCCATTAGGAAGTTCACCAAGAACAATTGCTCAGCTGTTTCCTGATCCTCATCTTCATCATAACCATCTTCCTCTTCCTCTTCTTTTTCGTTACTGCGTTGATGACCTATCATTGTATAACCCATTAGAATCTCCACTGCCGCCGTGAAATTTCTTTCAAATACGCACCGAAATGCTTTTAATATTTCCAGCTGGTAATGCTTCCCAATCAGAGTTTCCGCCCTGGCCAGCGTGAACCATGCCTGGTCAGGATTTTCTAGGTGGATATGCGATACTATCAAAGTGTGCCATATTTTTGCATATTCGTCTTTTTGAGAGATCTCAAAGTTGGGGAAACTCAACGCCAACTCAAGTTCTTGTGCTGTCTTTGCCAAGTCCTGTTGGAGCAAAGCAATGTTAGCGAACTGGAGATGGCATTTCTGAGTCAGTTCCCACGTCAACTTGGATCCCAGGTTCATGGATGGCAGTCCCATCATCGTCTGCTGCAGTATCTGAGCTGCTCCAGTGAGGTTACCAGTCTTTACCATGTTTTTGGAGGAAAGAAGCCATAAATCAGGGTTGTTTGGATCCAGGTTTATCGCATTGCCTAATGACACACTTGTCTGCTCCAGCATGTTAAGTCTATCAAAACATTCAGCAGATTCCTTCCAGATCGAAGGAAATTCGCTCAACTCAGGAAACTGGCTCACAAACCGTGATATCAGGTCTATAGCCTTGGTCGTGTTCTCCATCGTATTTTGCACTATGTCGAGGTTTTTCAAACCGGACAGAAGTCCAATTAACGCCATAAAGTTGTTGGGTTGGTGATGTAACGCTAGATCAAAGCATTTTATGGACTGTTCGAAATTTCCCATCAATGAAGCACATCGGCCGCATGTTATCCACGTGTCGGCTAAGACAATCATGGCGTAGTAGTCTGTATCTTGTATTAATCCAGAGGAAGCTTTCTCCTCTCCCGAGCGAATCCCAAACGAACAAAAAAAACCAATGAAAAAGCCGAAACAGATTCTTCACAGCACAAAGGGTATAGCTGATAGATTTCGGACTCTGTATCAAGAATTCAACTCAAGGATTCGATCAAGTGCGGACGATCTCTCGGAATGTACCGAACCTGATGAAATATTGCCCGAGCAGATCAAGGCTAGTAAATGGTTATCCGTACGGAGTATCTACCCGTTAGCGAGATCAGAAACTGTCAGAAATAGTTGAATCAAGCCAAAGACAGGAAGTCAAAGATAGGAAGTCAAAGCGACGTTTGCACTCTTTAAAGAAATGAAATTTTGATCAGAACCTAAAGTTCAGACTGTAGGTGATCTCATGTGGAAAGCATCGCCGGGGGAAGTTCCTAAAATTCTCTACTGCATATGTACATGATAATCACACAAGTATGTATAACATCATTTGGTCTTGCATATACATACATTATATAAAAAGAAATGTATGTGAGCAGGGAGGAACAAGGTTCCGTTTTGCCACCTCCAACTATTTTTGCCATGGCACGCGCTTATCAAACGCTGACCTCTTTTTCGACAGCACACTATGCATCATAGGAATTTTACCAGTGCAGTAACTAGCTTCTCCACGTCTGCAGACGCAATGCTCGCATGCATGAGAACCTCTGTGTGACTAGTGACATCTTGTGGGTTACACGAATTAGTGATGAGACTTAGTCCGAATACCTTTAGACCACAGTGTCTTGCAACGAGCACTTCTGGCACGGTACTCATGCCAACACAGTCACCTCCTAATCTGGAGATCAAGGAAACCTCGCTGTTGGTCTCATAAGAGGGTCCACTGACAAACGTGTATACGCCCTCATGGACTTTGCGTCCAGCCAACCTCAATGGAGAGCTTTGCTCTACCAGTTCTTCCACTCCATTGCTCTGTCTGATTAAGTCCCGAATTTTCACGTCATAGGCGTCTGACGTAGCTGGAAACCGAGGCCCGTATCTGGACAGATTTACCCCACGCAAAGGATTAAATCCACATAGCCCAGGGAAGTTAATGTGGTCTTTAATCACCATTAAATCGCCAACGTTATACGTCTGGTTGATTCCACCGGCTGCGTTTGTGACTATCATCGACTCTACTCCGAGATCAGAGCATACCCTTATGGGCAGAGTGGTTTCTTCGAAGCTGTAGCCCTCGTAGAAATGCAGACGGCCAACCATTGCTACCACGTCCACGCCATTGAGTTTGCCAAAAACGAGGTTTCCCTCATGGCCCTCCACCGTAGACTGGACCCAGTTTGGAATGTCTTTGAATGGAATTGTCAACTCTTTGTCAATGACTTTGCTGATGCCGCCTAACCCTGAGCCACAAACTATCAACACCTTGGGCTTAGTGGAAGTCTGCAACTGGATATATGCCACTGCAGCATCTATTTCTTCGTATATTCTTGCTTCAGTCTTCATTCTATGGCGCTGTGAAGGGTTCTATCGGATTTTGATTTAAAACAATGCTGCTTTGCAAGATCCACGGGCGCATCTAGATGCTGCTGACGCGAAGTCGTGTGGCGGTGGATTCAGGCTAGAATACACTACCTGTGTTTGGGTTTTTCTTCAAGTAGTCTATAAAGAAAGAGGTACCTACAAGAGTTGAATCATTAGTGTTGATATTAATCAAAGTTATGCAAAGAAAATTACAGAATCTCCCTTAAATGCGTATATTTCATGAGTTGCGCTGTAGTCCCAGCACATTTAGTCGTAAATCTGTCCCGGTCCTATAGCCGAGAAGGGGGGGTCGTGCCAGGCAGAACCACGAAATAAGCTTCTGAATTGTGAAATTCTGAAGTGTGGGAAAACGCATCGAATGTTAAGATAAGATCCAAGACGCCAGATTTCTTCTTGACTTGTGTTACCACATCCTCGCTCCCCCTTCCATCTTATTCCATCTTATTCCATCCAACCTCACAATCAGAACCAACCCGATCATGATAAAGAGATCGCCCACATATTCAGAGAAGAAGCGGAATTCCAACATATGGAATCGGTCCAAGTCCAAGAGACACTCCATGCTGGTTCCGGATCAATTCTCGGCGGACATGTTAAAACTCCAGGAAAACGCGGAGACCGTGTCAGAAATTGGCCCTGATTCAGTCCAGCAAGGCAACGCTGGTCGCAAAGGATTTGATGAACAAATACGGGAAATTGGTGAGGATGAAGGGGATAGTTTGACATTGAGGAGCGCGGACCAATTTGAAGACTCTTCGGAAATGCTTAATTCAGCCTTCAACGATTATCAATTGGCACTGCAGGCCCTTTCTATTGACTCGTCATCAAGAAATATTCAAGAACAAAGCGAAGCCGACACAGCAACAACAAATACAATCCCCGCTCCTGCATCCACCGACATTGAAACCAAATCCAGAGAGCAATGCAAAACTAAGGCCGTCACGATCTCCTCAGCACCAATACACGATGCGAAAACCATGACGATACCCAGAATACCGACCTACGATGCTCCAATTCTGGAAGTAAGGACAATATCCAAGTTTGTTTTCGTTGGATACAAGGAGTCCTCAAGCAACGAATTGGACGCGACAGATAACCATCGCGACAGCTATTTTGCGGATAATGGCTTTTTTGACGATACGAGACTAATTTTTGAAGAGAGTGAGGATGATGAGAAGATTAAAAGGACTTCGTTCACATTATGACATTATGACCTTAACGCATGTCATTATTCATTCAGCCAAATCATCACTTAAGGTTTTGGGGTACCACCGGATTAAGGTTTGACGAGCGCTCGAAGCACATTACACTGCCACATTCTATAGAAACAGCCTAGAACGAATGGCTGAAGGAAATCATCTCTGGATCGAAAGTCAGGGATACGAATGCATTATGAGATACACGCTTTTAAAGGAGTCAGAGGGCACGATGCCTTTGGCAACTTGTGGATCGCTCCTTACGGATTAATGGAATTTATTTCAGGACTATATATTTTATTTCACAGACCGATTGACTGCAAATTTTTTGTCACTCGAATAACTCTCGAGCTGGCCTCAGAATCTATTCAATATAAACTCCGGCAATGCCATTCCGGCCTTCATTTGCTACAAATGCGTATGGTCTAGATCGCTAAAGACTCTTTGGACTGCGTCAAGTGATTATTTTGTAGCATACAGATCCCAGACCAAGAAGACACCCCAAGCTTAAAAGTTAAAAAGCCCTCTAAGGCTTAAGCCCAAGCAGTGCCTCCTACGTGCTAAAAAGTTGACTGAGCCGCGGTGAGTAAAATGTTTTCAAGGAATTATAAGTAGGTAAAAAAAGCTTAATCGGCCTGATTTTCGCCCAGCAAAAACCTAATGCTCGCTCCAAGCACGCAGGCACGTACGATCTACATAGTGTGGGTTTTCGGTCATCTAATATTATTAGGCTTTGTGCAGTTAGATCGACGTTGCATAGATTGGGCTCAGAAAAGTTAATTGGTCCGTTTTTCTTTTATTTCAGACAATCGCCATCATCTGATGGTGAAAATGAACATCGAAATCTATTCAGTAAATTTCGGTAGGTTTTTCTGAAGCTCGAATATTGAGGTAGTCTTTCCGAATTCGGCAATACCTGCAGATTTAGTAAATTTTTCACCGTGCCCTTCCATTCGGAACTCATCCCTTTTTAAGCACTTGTGCGTCACCGGGTAACTTATTCAATCTTAAAAACCAACATAGAAAATAATATTTTGTTCGCAGCTCCATTTTATGTGGTTATTGTGATCTGCAGGAAGTTTGTTTCGAGCCTAGAATTATTACTGACGTAATAAGTCGGATTAAACCCTAAAAAAGGGTTTAAACTGTAAAAGAATCGTACGATTTTTCTACCCGTAAATACGAGGACCAAAAGGACCACGTATTCTTACAGTTGATGTGCAAGTATGTTCACATCTTCTGCGCGTGGTAGCATAATATTCCAATAGTTTCAGCCTGGACTTTACAGTAGCACATTAAGGCACATAATAGCACACATTGCCTAAGCGTCAAGGATGTGCCTCACATCAATCGGAGTCGCATCGAGCAGATGCTTTTTGGGAGACAGGTATGCCGCTGGTCCAACCCAACGCTTACAGACTTATATCTCTATCGGCAAAGAGCAACTAAAAGGAAGAGAATTGTGCTATGGTGTCTTTGAATAACGGAGCTGAAATTTGAGTTACGCCCTTTGCTGTTTTTATTTGAATATGGTCATCTCGTTACTGGCACAGCCTCGAAAGAAGGACAATGCCCGCGCCTCTCCTACAAGATGAACACCGCATTTCATTTCTGTTCTCATCAAGCTATTTTAAACTACATGGCTTGCATTGTGTTCGCATTTTACGGGTTTACTTAACTGATACGCAAACGCTCGGCATGACATTGCCTTCAAAATCCACGTTGAGCGAGCATGAAACCCAGTCACTCCTGGTTCGTTCTGAAACCTTCAATCAAGCCTGAGGCCATACCTACCAGAGTCAAAATTCTCAACGTTATTGTCTAAAATGACGTTTCAATATCTATTCGAATAATGTTATTTTGGATTAGTGCTCTGACCAATTAAGCGGGACACCACCACCATAAAACAAATCCTGCCATGTTGAGCTGGATCTTTGGCCGAGTGGTCTAAGGCGTCCGACTCAAGATCGGATCTCGAAAGAGGCAGGAGTTCGAACCTCCTAGGATCCATTATCTTCTCAACATTTTTTTTTCATCCTATATGTTCATATAATACGTGATTCGCGTTTTTTTGGGCGATTTTGGAGAGTAGTCATATTTTCAGAAAATCTGGTGAAGGCTTTTACCGGAAGTGAATACCTGAATTGCGTGATGGTATTTTTGGTTTGACACCCATCTGGAACTGAAAGCACGGCGGGCTTTTGATAACGCCGAGTAATGTAAGTCTAGGAATAGTTTGAGGCATGGTGAAATGCGTCAGATATATGTCTTGCCAACCTTGTGTGCAATTCCGTAAGCAAGTTTCGACACGTAATTTTTAGGTTTCATCGACAAGAATTCGAAACCGTGTGCATGGAGTTACACCGACCGTTTAATGTAATTACCACCCCCTTCAGGTCATTGGCAGGCGCTGACCGTCCTAAGCGCGCAACGCCCCTGTTTTAACAACAAATTCTACTTGGCCATTATTCTTACAGAAGAACGAGTTTTCCGAATATCTGCATCTGACCTGCGATATCAACAATATTCACAATTCCGAGGACGGCGAAAGACTCCCAGAATGATGCAATCCCGTTAGCAAAGGTCTGAGTTTAAACTGTTTATGGAGGAAGTTCTTTTTTTTTGGAGGCACTATAAATACTCCTCTGTTTGCCCCTTAGTAATATTCATATTTTCTTGTTTTCTTTTCAGATATATTCGTGTTTTCCTATCTACTACAATCAAAACAATGTCTGACAAGCCAGTCGAAGAAGTTCCAGCAGCCGTTGAAGCTGAAGTTGAAGCCCCAGTTGAGGAGACTGCCCAGGAGACCGAGGCCACCACCTCTGAAGCCGTTCAGGCCACTGAGGCTGAGACCAACAAGGTCGAGGAGGAGAGCCCTGTCAAGAAGGTTGTTGAGGAGTTGAAGGGTTACAAGAAGTACCTTGCTAAGGTCAAGACCCTGGCCAAGAAGATTGCTGCTTAAAGAATCCCTGCCCCAACTCTGTTCACACTCTGTTTACAAGCGCGTGGTACCATTCCATCATGGTCGCCATTTCTTTCTGCAACGAATCCTAATTAACGATGTTATCGAATGCCAAAGTGGGCTTCTGTCTATTTCCCACCCCTAATTTTCTTTCTTTCTTCTAATGCAGCGGACACAGGGCGAGATGAACAACACAATACTTGTGGTATTTCTTTCTGCCTTTGTTTCTAGCTGTTCTCTTTGAGTGCGGGTATAATATAATATATTTTTATTCATGTTTATCAATAAATATAAACATAAATCCTCATTACAGTGTAGTCTATGAAGTCGAGTCACAAGACGGAACATTCGAGAGTAATGGTGTTCAGGGTGCTTTGAAACTGGAGACGTCACATCTGCATGTTGCGCCTGCGCAATCCGGATTTTTAGTACCACATTGAGTGGCTGGTTTTAAGCCAGTGGCGAATTGGACCCAAACAAAGTTTTGGTGAACAGCTAAGTTTGGATTTTAATTGTTCACAATATTTACTGCTAATTTGAGCCAATACCTTGCCTAATCCCCTCTAGTGAGATTCCTTAGTCGGAAAACCGTCTCATACTCATCGGGATGTTCATGTATACGCATGCCGAATCTCCTAGGCAACGCCCTGTGAAGAATTTTTGGACCAGGCACTAAAGCCGTGTCTGTCTGCAGGTAGCAGCGAATTTGGACAAAATTAGCCTGTACTAGGTAAGTTGAATCCTGCTTACGGAAAAAGTGAAAAGTTTTCGGAAAGCCGTTGTCCAAATTCGATCGTGTCTGTTTTTACCAGGTTCCTGTCTGCCCTGTAAATGCACAATAGCGGTGTTTCGAAAGCTAATTCCCGCCTACTAAAACAAGGTTTGCAGGGTTTTAGCTGACACGTGACTTTGAAGTTTCTCAACTGAATACACTACCTTTTCGGTATCCCACTACCCAAGCAGTTACCCGGCGCAAACCTCTGGCCGACACTATCGATTTAAAATACTTTAGTCCATCAGAACGATCAAGACCAGACAGCCACAACAACCTTCCACACTTGCATAAAAGATGTCCTTAAGGCTTCACCTGAGCGTACCGTGCGTTAGGTCCTTTTCGACGACGGCTTCTGCGTTTGCAGTCAAGGGTGCTAAGCAGAAACAATCCTACAAGAACAAGAATTCCAGCGGAAAGAAGAGAAGAGGTCCTGGTTCAAACAAGTATTTCCTGGATGCTGTTTCACATTCGAACCTGCACAAGAAGGCAGATGCCGCTGTTTTGGAGGACTTGGGAAAGTTGACTATTTCCGAGGATGGAACCCTTGCTTTTGGCTCATTGGTCAGATACCCTTCGCACATCCTCAAGACGCTCTACAGATTTGGAAGTTTCCAGAAGACTCAGTTTAACGAAATCCACCCTGAGCCTTTGTCTGTAATCAGAGAGTCCACGACGGGTAAGTTGTGGGATTTTTTGAATTCCAGTGTCGAAACTAGCTCAAAATCAAACAGATTGATCATTACCGGTGATTCTGGAGTTGGCAAATCTACTGCGATTGCTCAGTTTCAAGCACTTTCCAAAACTAAAGGCTCGGTTGTGATACCATTTACAAATCTGGACAGTTTGTTGGACGGATCATCGGATTTTGTTTTTGACCAAACGTCGCAGAAGTACTCGCAGCCGATGGCCAACGCCAAGTTGTTAAAGAAAGTCCGCACAGGTAACGAGGAAGAACTAAAGGAGATCAAGCTGGAGAACCAGGATTTGTCCGCATGGAAAACGGGTGATGTCACTCCAGAGACCTCATTGTATGAGTTCCTCCAATTAGCGCGTTCGCAAAAGCTGAAGTGGAACTCGGGCGCCGTTCTGGAATTTGCAGTGAAGGTTTTGAGCGAACAGGTCAAGTACCCTGTGTACTTGACTGTTGACAATTTGTCAGCCTTCCCAAAAACTCCCTTCACTGCTTACAGAAACACTTCCAACGAGCCACTTTACTTCGGTGATTTCCAGTTGGCCAGTCTCATAACTGACTTGGCTAGTGGGTTCAGATCTTTCAAGAAGGGTGGTGTGGTAATGGCCACCTCTGGTATTCACGGTGAATTCGATCAGACTATTCCTGCGGTTTGTGGACTGGTCAAGCCTGATCCATACTCCACGCAGTTCCAGTTTGACGATGTTTTTGCCAAGAAGCTGGTCTCTAACGGTGGTGTTAAGCACTTGGCTGTGGAAAACCTGACATTGGAGGAAAGCGAGGTGCTGGTTAACTTTCTGGTTGATTCACAGGTCATTCCTGAAGAAGACGGAGACTTGACAAGACTGGCCCAAGCAAAGTACTTTTTGTCTGGAAATGGTAATCCATTGGCCCTCTACAAGTCTTGTGTGTTGGCATACATGTAAATAGACTGATCACATAACATGAATATAGAAGACCAAATGGACATTGTAGGTGTTTTGAAATTGATTGTCAGAAACTTACGTCATGTGGATGCATAATGTAGTATGCTGGTTAATGCTGGTAAACTTTATCGGAAAATTTCGACATATATCAGCATACCCTCGCATATACTGTGATTTCTATTTTCATGCTACATGAGTTCTGTTTTTTCCTGTTGATTTTCACGAACCTCTGCTTTTAGTTTTTTCGATTATACATATGTTACATCCATCTCATTTACATTTTCCTCTTTTTGGAACCATTCTCTCCGTATTTGGGAGAAGGGGTTCTTTCGTAGGTCGGTATCTCGTCTTCAAAGTCATCATTATCGTCATCGGATAACTCCTTCTTCCTTTTCTCTTGGACATGGTCATGATGTTCGTGATGGTCGTGATGAGAGTTCGCGTCTGGTTTGTGCTGATGTGGCTGGTTTTGCCTCTTGATTGCTTCTTCCTTCCTTCTTTTCTCTCTCAACTCCCACATCTGTTTTATCTTCTCCTCTTTCGCCATGAGGTCTTCTTTCTTTACTGAATCTTTTATGGACGCCAGAACTTTCTGAACTACCGTCACATGGTTCCCGTGAGACTTATCGTCTCTGAACCGCAGCATCTTCCAGTGACCATCTTCATCTCTCCTGGCCTCGACTATTCTTCCATTATAACTCTCGCCCATCTCTTTCAACTTTTTCCACTCTTCTTCTGTCAAAAACAGCTCGTTCCACTCTTTGTAGTTGCCAAAATCTGTCTGGTATTCCCCATCAATGAAGTCGCCCTCCTTCTCACCTCCTTGCCAGACGCACAGCTTTACCAAGGGCTTCGAATCATAGTCAAGATACGCTTTTTCTGGATCAGAATCCGGCAGTGACTCGTCCACAAACACGGGAAACTCGAGTTTCAGCTTGAAATCAATTGTGTTCTCTTCGGCAGGCTTCCATTTAAAGAGAGTATTGTCTGTTCCTTGTAAGTACGGCGTCTCACAACAGGTGAAAATAAGGCCGTCTGATACATATGTCAGATTCTTCATTTCGCGGAAAATTTTGGTTATCTTGTAGGGTTGAGTCATGTTTTTAAAGTCCAATTTGAATGGGAAAACAGAACATTGTTCGGGAAATGCCTTTCTCAACTCCATATATGGAACATGGAACTCCTGCTGAGCATGGTATAATCGTTTCCATAAATTTTTGTGGGTTACTGCCTCCATGTTCATGGCAAGACAATCGAAAATGAGATATCTCAGCTCTTTGACGTTGGTATGTGGGTTCTTGCTCAGGATCAATTCTCCGTCGATAATCGTTCCATCCTGGGGAATATCAAAATTGGTCTTTGAACGTGGAAAATGGAAATTGGGAACCATATAGTATTCGTTTTCACGCGTTATAAGGAAGGTGCCCTCTTCACCAGAGTCAGGGTTCACCATCGTCAACAACAAAACTCTCAACCCATCCGATTTCTCGCAAACAAGGTAGTCATGATTCATCAATGACTGCTCCAAATGGTTTCTCGTAAAACTAACGGGCTGAGACCCCGGGAAATTGCGGTTTCGCAGGTGAAGAATTTCGGAGACCCGAGTCTTGAGGTAGCGGCCAACCTCTTCCGAAACCAATTCGCCCGGAATCGTGGGCATATCTCTATCATCCATTTTGATGCAGTTGATGTAATATTTAGCAACTAAGCATTGAGTTCTATCAGAATTACAGAGCGTGGACTCGTAAAGTTCAGGATGTTCTGTTATTCGTCTTGTCTTTGATATTGATCATGAGGTTCAAGAAATGTAGTGCTATAATCATTTTGGGACTAGCACGTGACTTTTGTGACTTTGGAACCGCACACACGACTGTCAAAATATTCCCGTTTTTAGAGAATGTCCCAATGCAATTAAGTGCTCTCTACGGCGGAGGGTTCGCCAATTGGCTGTGTCGAAATCCAACAGGGGATTGACATGGACGTTGATTCCGGGAGTTGAATTTCAGTATCCGCAAGAAAAACATCTCGTAACAGTATGAATCGTAGCAAATCCTGATGCGCTTTGAATGGCTGGAACAAGCGCTGCCCCGGGCCTATATTCACATTTGCCTCAGAGTGCTTTTTGTGGAAGTGGCTGAACTTGCGACTACCCTAGGTTTTGGTTAATATGACGTCGCAAAGTAGTGCTTGTGATTTTCGTTTCAAATCCAGCGGAAATTTGCAATAGATCTTGATTCGTCTTTTGGGCGCTTAAGGAGTCCGAAACCCATGTTACTGAGCGCTTAGAATCCCGCTGGGTCTGTTTTTTTTCTGAGTTTATCACTTCACATGCACTGAAAATTCAGTTTTATTTTTGCCCAACTGGCATCCTGATTGCGGTCAGTAGCATTCTGGTGGATGCTTCGGGGGTTTTCGCATTCCTGATATTATGTGAAACTGTAGCTGTAAAAAGGACTTCGGCGCTACAGGCTGATATCTGCCGGATCAGCATGCCAGAGCCATAATGCCGTTGGGGAATGAGTTAAAGAGGAGTATTATTGCTTCAAATAATATATTCGCATATCTGAAAGCCCTGTAATAGTCCTATTGTTTATATTTTTGTGTCATATCCCGTATATCTACTAGCTCTAAAAACCAGCCCGCATATCGTTCTCAAGAATGGCATTAACCTTTTCACCGGCCAAGGCCAGTCTTCTCTGCATTCCCCTCCAAGCCTTTTCTCTTTTTGTCCCTACTCAAAAACTGGCGATTGGTTTCATTCTTCAGAACTCACTCAGTTCGATTTTGAGCCCTCGCAACTGTTGCTGATCGGCCAATTTTCACTTTTTCCCCGTCTCGCCATTTCCTGCTAAGTGTGGTGGACCCATCCGCGCCGTTTGGCTTTTTTGCTTTATTTGACACCACGCCCCCGTATTCTTCTGCAAATCTCAGATCTCTACACCGTTTTGAGCCATCATGGAGGTTGACAGCTCGAAACCAGAAGCTGCCCTTGCTTCGACCGACAAAGCACAATCTCCTGCTTCATCCGCAAGGCCCAAGAGAAAGACTGCAGCCAAGGTGAACTACAAAGAATCCGGAGAAAACGACGACTTCTCGAGGTTTCAGACCAATGAGCAATCCTCTAAGACCACTGGATCATTCAAGCAGCCAAAAAAGCAGCAACAAAATTCGAAGGTGAAAACCTCGATTCCGGGACCCTCCTCTGCTAATGGTATCGTCGCTCCCAGCAATGGCAATCATTCACAATCGCCAACCACGCCGAACGGTTATCTTTCTGTTGATGATGAAATACCGCTGAACTGGCAGCCTCCCATTCGTTCGGTTGACCGGTTCAACCATATTTTGGATTTGAAGACTGCAAAGGTGGAGAACAACGTGCTTACCATGAAGGACGGTACCAAGGTGCGGAAGAATGACCATATCTACATGGTTTGCGAGCCCCCCGGAGAACCATATTATATTGCCCGAGTCACAGGCTTTGTGAAAAAGGATAAGGCCAATTCCACCAAAAATGCCAAAAATTTCAATTTCAAAGTTTGCTGGTTTTACAGACCGCGTGATCTGAATAGACACTCGGTGGACTCTCGTCTATTGTATGCTACTCTGCACAGCGACGAATGTCCGATCCAAAGTTTTAGAGGACTTGTCACTGTTAAGCACAAGATTGATATTAAAGACCTGGATCAGTACAGAGCAAGCGCAAATTGCTTCTACTTCGACAAACTGTATGACAGATACATGATCAAGATGTACGATGTTCTTCCCACGGTGAAACTGATCAATTTGCCAACTGACTACTACAAGGCTTTGAATAAGAGATACGAATTTGTATTCGTGGAGGTTGGCCGAGGTTCCGACTTGATGACTGCTCCAAAAAATTGTGAGAAGTGTTCGCAATGGTGTTCGTCAGCTGACTCCATAGACTGCCATAAGTGTGGAAAATACTACCATATGCTGTGTCTTGATCCACCAATATTCAGCAAGCCTAAAAGAGGCTTTGGTTGGTATTGTGCCAAATGCTCCAGGGACTTGGAGATCGAGTTGCATGAGAAAAGAGGAAAAATGCTGGAGCAATCGGGGTCTTATCAGACCGACTCGGACATGGAATTAGACTCGGAATCCATGGATGACCAAGCTTCCTCGGACCAGGATCAGCGAAGAGCAGAGTCAGAAGAGGATTCTGTTCCCAAATACGAGAGAATGGCCGCACAATTTTTGGAAAACGATTCTAAGTTGAGTCTGAAACAGAGACGTGATCTGGAAGAATGGCCGTATCGCTATCTTGGAGTTCATGCCAAATTCGAGGATGCCTTGGATCTCCAGGATCGTCCATACCCATTGGCTGCTTCTAGACTGGGCACTAGACATCAATGCACGGGAATCCCTGAATGGTTTGACCATATCGTTCAGTATTACGACAAAACTGAACCCAAAGGGAAACCCAAGAAATCGGCCAAAACATCTAAACGTGCCAAAGGTGGGTCTCCTTCGCCTTCGCCAGAGCAGGACGAGAAGCCACTACCTCCTGTTCCCGAAGAGTTCAAGGATCTGGATCCGGTAGAATATCCTCCGTGGTTGCAAGAGAGGCCCAAGGGCTATGTGGAGAGAGGTGGTCATGACACTTCCGTATTAATGTGGAGACAGCCCGATTCAGAGGAGGCGCAAGAGATGGTAGCCACGTACGTTGCGAACTGTGCACGTTATGCTGAGTCACTAGGACTGCTTCGTGATACCCCTAATTTCATGGATGCCATATTGAAGGTTCTCTTGGATAACGCATATGATCCGGAGAAGGCCATCAAGGTAGTCGCAAAGTTCACTCGAGAATCGCTAATGGAGCCAACATTTTCCGCCGAAGAAGTGGCTAAGTTTGAAGCAGCTGTCAGAAAGCACGGAAGCGAGCTTTACCCGGTCTACAAGGAGGTGGGCTCGCAGTCCAGTGCCAATATCGTGAGGTTCTATTATCTGTGGAAGAAGACGCCGAACGGCCATGCTATCTGGGACAACTATGAGGGAAGGCCCAAGAACAGGCTCAAGAACCAGAAGTCCAAGGGCGATTTGGACGACTCGGGTGATGATTCCGCATTTGACCGCCAGAAGGTGAGCAAATGCTCAAGAGACTTTGAGTGCAAGCATTGCCACACCACCAAATCTCTGCAATGGTTCCGTGTTTCTGGTGTTTCGCAGGATAATAAGAAAGAGCCAATGTTGGCGCTGTGTTTCCGCTGTGCCAGACTGTGGAGACGTTACGGTGTGGAATGGGACGACCCTTCTGAAGTTACCAAGAAACAGCCGCAAAAAAGCAACTGGAAGCGCAAAGTCGAGGCCGAGCTACTGGAAGATGCTGAAAGGGTCCTGGCAGCCAGGGCGAAATATAGAGCCAATCCAAAGAAGATTTCCGGAGTTCAAGGCGCTTCTTCTCCTCTGAAGAGAAAGTCCGTGGGAGACGTTAATCCTGAGGTTGAGGATTTGCCTGTGACACCAAAGAAAACGAAGCCCGATGGAGGGCTTCCGAGACTCAAGATCGAGAAGCCAAAGAAGAAATCTTCTCCGGTCAAGCAGGAGCAGACAGACCAGGCATTCACGGTAGTGATGGATGTTCCGGATATTTCGAGTGTGATTCTTCGTCAAAAGGAACAACTTCTTCAGATAGAGAAGTGCAAGCCTGAAAACAGGCTAAAGGAACGATACGACAGCAAGTTCAAGGTGCCTATTCCAGATTTTCTGGAAGATGAAGATGCCAAGAAGACGGCCAATCGTCCAGCTGCGCCTAAAATGCCTTTGCTGTTTCATCCTTCTTCAAGACCATGCTGTGTTTGTCGGGAAACTAATTCTCCAGAATCTGTTGTGATTTGCAACAACTGTGGACTGAACGTTCATGCCAGTTGCTATGGGGTGAAATTATTTGACAGCATTGACAAAGATCCTTTCACCAAAGTGTGGTATTGCGATGTCTGCAGTAACGATTGCCATCCAGTCATTAGAACTCAATACTCGTGCTCTTTGTGCCTGGCCAGAGAGGTGGACCACGATAGTGCCATCAAAGGCTCCAAGAGTGCCGTTCCAGATGCTCTCAAAAGAACTGAGAACCACAGATGGTGTCATGTGATGTGCTCTATGTTTTCACCTCATTGCACATATGGGAACGCACAGATGCTCCAGCCAATTAAAGGCATTGAGGAGACTCTCCTTCAGAACGTGGGAAAAACCTGTTGGGCATGCCAGACCCACGGAGGCTCTCTCACGAGATGCTCTCTGTGTCCAAAGAACCTCCACGTGACATGCGCTCTTGACATACCCGGAAGCGTCGTGAAGCTCATCATTAACACCGACGTGAAGGATAAGACCTCCCTGAGGGTTAGCGGACGCGGCTTGGTTGGAAAGCCCAGACCGGCCATTGTGTGTAACGATCATAGTGCGGAGGAGCTTAGCCAACTGAATTTAGTAAACTTCCGCGATATGGCCACTCGGGGAAAACAGGGCGAGTCCAAGACGTTGATTGAATGGTATATGGAAGATAAGGCTGATCACGAAGGGCTGATGGGTCCCAAGTCTCGGGCTGCTCAATACTTGCGTTTGCAAAAAATTAACGCGGAATTGGCTCCAGTTGTGAGTATCAAGAGCGAGGACGAACAGCCCAAGGGCACCACCAGTTGTGGAAAATGTGGAACACACCTTGCTTTCAGATGGTACAATTCCGAAAACGACTTGAAGTTGTGTCATCTTTGTCATTCCAGGGCCTCTTCGGAAGAGGAAGGTGATGATATTGAAATCCCCAACCTGCTCACTGCCATAAGAGCACCTCTAAATGGTTCAAAGTTTGGAATTTCATCGCCTTTGGATCATATCAGGATTGTACCCCAGGAGGTACATCCAGGCCCTTCCTATAAGAACGGGAAAGTTTCCATCAGTGATTTGCTAGATTGAAATGGTTGCTCAAGTTTTGAGACGAAAGATCCTCATTGGCAATCCATGGGATAAGTTTTTATAATACAGTCATTCTATCACCAGCTATAGAACAACGCTATCAACTGCCTTCCAGATAAACACTATATTCTCCAGGTCAGTAATTTCGTGCGATAAGCACCTATTTATAGACGCCCAGTCTTCAATGCAGTTTCTATGCGGTCAATCTCGGCCAGTGTAGTGGCCTTCTTGAGATCCTCTTCCAGCTTTGCTCTTGCCTCTGGGGTTAGTTTTGTGATCATCAGATCAATTTGTTTGTTCTCTTTCGACTCTGGCCCAGCAGTAGTCGCCTTGATCTTCGTCAACTCGTTCGCCAGTTTCGTGGGCTCATCATGCGTGCCAAACAGTGCCTTTGCGACCTCGCGTTCTCTGTCTTTCACCTTTTCAAAATCCAAAACCTTCAAGCTTGGTATCCGCCATATCAGCCATGACCTATAATTCTGCGTGTGAGTAACCGGATTTTGGCCCAGATAAAGATTCTCTAGTTTGGAGCACTCTTTCAAGGCATCTAGGTCTGCTAAACCTGTGATGTTATTCGCTATTAGTGATATGCTTTTGATGTTGGGAAGCGACTTGGGGAAAGATGCATGGATAGTGTTCACCCTGTTCTTGGCTATCAGAATAGTCTTCAAACGTATCAAAACGGGGAAGTTTCCGAGCACACGGATGTCGTTGTCTGTGAAGTCTATTGTCTCGTAACAGTCCTGGGTCTCTCCCAAGTTCTCTATCATTGGAGCCCTCAATCCCCTCAATGACAGCACCCTATCACCGGCAGGATTCAAAAATGAAGGAGCACCTGCCAGCACTTGCGATGTTAATTTCATGTTGTTGTTGGTTGAGTTGTATGCAACTGAAGTTATGTGATAGTTGGTCAAGTTGGGCAAAATAGGCAAGCATAAGTTTTTTGGGTAATGCACTGTTTCTGTTGGGACACGATTGTCCGGGGATGCGATCTTCGAGTGTGGTTTACAGATTATCGATCTGTGCTCCATTCCATTTCACACTCTCCCCGATCAAACTTCCGAGATGGTGGAAGCAACCAACGGAGTGGCGATTGAGCCGCCTGTGTCACATACGCCTTTCAATGCTGACGAATTACTTGAAGAGGGCGAAGACTTCCCGTTCCCACAACAAGTGACCAGAGCTTCATTCAACTACAACCTGGATCGCCAGACGGATCAAAATAGTTCCAGCAAAGAGTTCGATGTGGATCATTTCCTTTTCAGCAATTACCGATACACCTCGCTGGATGATCTCTCTTCCGAGCTGAAGCACCTGTTGAAAGAACTAGATACAGAGTTGGTGAACCTGGTCAACACAGACTACAGTGACTTTATCAATCTGGGAAAGTCCATGGACGGTAGTGTTGATCTCATTCACAGCATCAAAGTCGATGTGGGAAACTACCAAAAGGAGCTACAGAAATCTCAGTCCAAACTGAAGAACTCGGCCGAGATTGTGGATGGTGTACTGGAGCAAAAAAAGAGCCTGGGTCAGCTGAAATACGTGGCCAACGCCGCATTATTGCTGAATGATCAGATTGAATCGGCAGAGGCGATATTCAGCGATTCCACAAAAGGAAAGGTGATGTTTTCGGTGTTGAGAGAACTAACCACGAGCTACGTCTCAATTCACAAGGTTCTCACAAAGTTGGGGTCTTCTTCGTTAGGGTCCTCGATGGATATCTTGACCTCACTAAATCGCAGGATCAGTGCATTGAGGTACAATTACAAGGGGTTGCTAGACGAGTATCTGAGAGGGCTGGACCTGAAGGATGAAGCGTCCAAGGATGAAGTTTTGGGTCTGATGAAAATGTATCTGATACTTGGTGAGCCTGGTCACTTCAGCAAGATCATGAAGGAAAAAAAAGAGCACAAAATAACGGAAAAATAAGGCCAAAATAACGACAGAAAATTAACTCTACCTTTTTTGATGATAAGAACGATAGCTTGAACTACCAAATTTATAAACCGATTCCGTCCCGTGACTGAATACTCCCAATATAAAACATAAAACAGGTATAGGCTGATGATGAGCTTTTCAACTCGCTCTAACTCGGCCAAAATAGCAATAAATAACAGAAAAGACCGGGCATAATGATGAAGACTTGAGGAATGAGATTATGCGGAAACCAAATCTGGCTTCCAATCCAGACTCAACCGACGATAAACGTTTGCCTGTACGCTGGCCCATAGATGGGTCTTCTCCTCGTGCGTCAGTTTTGAATGAGGCAAGGTAGGCAACGGAGCCGGACCGGAAGAACTCATGATGGCCTTCAGGAGAAGCGATTTCTTGGGCGGCGTGACCGTCTGAAGGGAGGATTGAGAACGAGCACGTTCTCTCTTCAATGCTAGACACACTTTCCTGAAATCATGGCGACATTGAGACTCCACAGCCAGGTTCAATAGGAAGTTCTCGATCATGTTTCTCCACTCGTACTTAAAAAAATGGGCGTAGTATGTGTCCTTGACCTCCGGGAGCAGGTTTCCGTCTTCGGCAAAACACTCTCTGGGAATGCTGTATTCTTCAATGAGAGTCGAGGCATGCCTCAGTCTTGCCGAGCTGACGATGTACTTCGCCGTTTTGTATCTGAAACCAACATCAAAGTTAGACTCTTTGTAGATGTCCGATTCCACCAAGGAATTCGCAAATACTTCGTCGGAACAATCCAGCGGAATATACTGTAGTCTCAGCGGAATAACGCTGTTGATCTGCGGTAATGAACCCTCCCATTCGGGTCTCAGCGATTCCACAATCAGCAACGACCGCACGTCGTTTAGCTCCCAGTCGATCAGATCTCTTTTGGTGAAAACCGGTCTTCCGTTGGAGAATCTCTCGGATTCGAGGTCCGGCGCATACATGTCGGTGTAATCGTGTGGAAGGACCTTGGAGAGCTCAAACGAGCGATCGGATAAACCGACGCCCGATGGATGTACAGCTGCAGATTCTTCCGTTGAAGCGGTGTACACGGTGAAGAGCTGGTTCGAAAACAGCGAATTTTGTAGCACAGAAGAATTTGCGGTTATATCGGACGCATTCGTGAAAACTGAAGGAATAGAGGGACAACTGGTATTGGTGTTGATCCTGTGAAGTTCATGTGAAGAATCTGTTTGCTCGGAATCGACATCCATCAACACGGAATCTTCCGTTATTGACGAGAGAGACTCTCCGCTTCTCAGTCGGCTTGACTTGGAGGATTCATTGCTTTTAGTCCGGTGCAAAAATCCAAAGTATTTCTTCTTTTTAGGCTGCAAACTGGACTGCGACTTTTCGCTCTCCATGCTCACTGCATCGTCTGAGCTATTAGTCACCTCCAAACTAGATGCTGTGATTGAATTGTTCCGTAATGGGGAACTTCCATATTTGAGATTTGGCTTGAGGTTTTGTTGAAAGGTTTGGAGCCTTTTATTCACGTCTTCCCTGGCCTTTTGAGTGAACTCGGCAGGGGTTATGAAGTTCTCCTCACCGCTAGCTCGGAAAGTCCGTGCTGAAAACATCGCGAGTCAACGGTGGCAATAACGGAAGGACGTCCGCGATGATAAAACCTGGCGATCGAAGAACTGGGTCTGTTTTGAAGCCGGAAAAAAGCTCTGAAACCGGGCTTGAGATCACCCGGTTTAAATGCGCTCGCAGAGATAGGCGAGAAACGTACAGTGACTAGACGCGATCCCACAGACTCCAGGACTCGCACACAACGATGGAAGACGGGGCTATTCGCTGTATTTGCTGAAAATAAATGAGCACAACGAGAAGAAGAGATCCGGAAGCTTGCAGGCATTCGCCATTTTTTAGGAGGATGGGCCAAATGAGGAGATGTTGCCGCTCTGCCAAATTGATGATGTGCCGCGACTAAAACAGGTGTTTCCCCCGGAGCCCCGCTCGGATCATCTTAGGGTTCTACATTTCTCCGGATACGCTCCCGGTTTCGGAGGGAGAATTAATCCTTTCCTCCGGGCTACGGGGCAAAGACAATACCGAAAAAAGCAGGGTTTGGAAGTGTTCGTAACCTTCGCGTTAAGAGATCAGGTTGATTTCTTGGATCGAAAGCATTCAAAGTTCTGTGTTTTCTCTGGACTTTGCAGTAATGAGGTTGGCCTTACTTGCTCGAGACTGCTCCCCGTCTAGATTCTAGTCCCCCTCTACACTATTGACCAAACAAATCTGCGGAGATAAATGGCCCTGAAAAGTCTACACTCCTTGTTCGATTCTCCAAATAATTCATGGATTGTGTCCGCCTATTGGCTATTTGTTGCGATCTTCGCTTTCCGAAGACTCTTCTCATCTGCTAGCTCTCTGCTCTTCCTTCGTTTGCTCCCTTATTCCTCGCCAGCGGCTCTTCTCTGACTTCTCAGCTCTTCGAGCTCTTTCACACGCCTCTTGAAATCCAGATATTGACAACTTTCGTAAGCATGTCTCTCATGCTCGCAGTTCCATGGCATGTACCATCCCTCCACACGGCACTTGTTCAAAGGCACCAGCAGTCTAGCACATCTGTCACGGTATGCCAGAGGGATCTTGTGTTCTTTCATTTCCTCATGGGAGACTAAAATTAGGTCAGTATTTGGCTTCGTTCATCTTCGACCCTTGAAGGTGAATAACCTCTGTACAACTTACGGGGTTCTGGGAATTCAACGGCCATTATATCGTATATGTGTATATGCAGCGATATCGACAACGGATGATGGTAGTCCACAGTAATAAATAGATGTTGTATCCTGCTCTAGTCGGTTTAATCTCGGTACCCGCAAACGTAATGGAAAACAGGCTTCTTCTTATTGGGTTCGATGTTCTTGTGTTGAACACTACCTTTACAAATGGTTGGCGCACTTTGAATTATGAACATTGAAGCTTTGTGCGGCTTGGCTTCAATCGACCATGAAGCAAGCTCTCAGCAGACGGAAAGCATGGAAAAAAATTATTTTTACTTGAACCCAGTTGGTAGGGGATAGTTCCCTGGATTCGAAGTACCGTTTCATGCAGAAAACTCTAATTGACTAGGAAAGAAGGAATTGAATGCATGGTTTTCCAAGAATTTTGAGAATTTGGTAAACTGCAAGATAGCCACAAATCATGATATACTTATCATTCGATAAATTACAATTAATGCAAACAAACGGGAAGCCGAAACAGATTTCTGTAGTTTGATTGTAAAGTGAAAACCTCACCAATGGATTTTACTAGCTCTCAGTTGATGCCAGACAGCCATCTGCTACCATCCCGGTAAATTGTTCTAAAAGTGGATTATATGCTAACCGATATAAATCATTTTGAGTGAAATCGTTTTCTCAGAAGGCACAATCTGAGAGCCAGCGCAATATGGAGTGGACGAACACTCTACGGGTCAAAACCTTAGTCGAGTTATGCTTTCAGCGACATAAGCAACTTGCTTATTTTTTAGAAAAACATGTTATAATCTATTCTACAGGGCTAAGTGACCCAGACCGTTCAACGAAAAGCTTGGCAACAGACCCGGCAAGCGGGAGCTTGAGGTTTTGGCCGTACCATCCCGCGAGCAACTCGGTCACACCCACAGATGTTCAAGGGCTGGGTCCGTTGGATCGGACAAAGCAATGTTGTGACCTAAGAGGGACCAAACTGTCTAAACTTTAAAAATTACTCGATCGAGATCAGATTTCCGCCAGTGAGCTTATATGACGAACAACACGCCATTTCTCCAACCTGCCTGAAGAGTGAGTGACCCTAAGGCTCCACGGATAAAATGAGGCACACACCAAAAAACCCCACCAACAGGACTTGGCAGATCAATCCTAAGTGCCAATAATCATTAATACAGAGGCAAGTTAGATTCGTAAAATTAAGGGCGCTGACAAAGTGGCCAAATTAATACACTAGGCGTTATGCTGCAGCGACTAAGGCTATACAGGCCGGCTGCAGGTAATGATAACCTCGATGCAGCGAGGGTGAGGCGGATTATGCATGGGGATTTCTGGAAATAGCACCCTGCTATTATGGCCTGGCTTCTAGAATCCTTCAAGGGGATGGGGCAAATTAATTGGTTACAGGGAGGGTCTGATTCCCAGATCTGGCAAAGAATCAATTTTTGCGTGCTGCTGGTCGGGATTGCATTTGAATTGCATTAATAAGAAATGGTGCATCTATGCAAGATTGAGCTATTTCGACTATTGTGCCAAGTTGTTTTCTAGCTTTCCAAAAACTATACAATCACACAAAACCATCCATTATTCCCAAATCGGGGTTGGGCCTTGTTGCATGTAGTTGGTCCTGATACTGCAATTCGTACGAATAGAGCTTAGCTCCCGTCCTGCCCCATCAGGCAACAACACCTTGCAAGCATACGTTTTCCTGCTCATATGTGGCTTATTGAAACATAATCTCCACTCAATTTCATGGCAGGGAATATTCTGACAAATTTATAGCTTTGAAAAACTGCTTTACGTGTTGAATATGCATCATCTGCGGCAAAATGAATACCAGCGGAAGATTGTTACAGTGCATGTCGCCTGCACAAAGTTAAGAGAACTTACTTAATTTTGAAAGGAGCTCACTCCAACAAAATAGGCTGCTAAGCTGGAAAGCCCGGAATTGTTATATAGCTCTGCCGCAAACTATTCGCGTTTTTAAACTGAACAAACTTATCTCATACTTTTCTAATTGCTCAATTTCTCACCGGTGTTCTTTGAGACGACCTACCACTACTGCAAAAAAGTACATTCAATGATAGCAAACTCCATAAGGTAAGCATTATCAGTCAAGTGGCAACATTCGCGGCAACAACTAACTCATGACCGCAAGAATACTACCTTCGATTTCCAGCCTGACAAACATTGGGGATCCAATGCAGCATCCTTCTCCTGAGCGAGGACATGGGAATTTGTTACCACCGATTGAGAATTTTTTCTCAGGTGAGGTTCATAGTCAAAAAAGGATTAAGTTAGAAGAACCAGGAAAAGAGAATGAAAGAGAAGAAGACACCGCTCTATGGCAAGCAAAACAGAAATTGGCACAGGCAATTGACATGATCCAGAGCAGTTCAAGCGAGAATGTTTGCTCGTCTATAGATGTAGTCAAATCAGCATGTGGTATGCTGGAAGACTATGCCCGTTCTCTGGAAAAAGCAAATGGCAGGAGGGCTTTAAGCGATTCGTCTGATCTCCCAAACCAAGCCAATGATTGGAGTAACTATCCTTCAACTTCTATTATTGCAACAACCAGAGACCACATTCCAAGAGGACCTCCACCATTGCCTTTTTGTCAGTCAACTTTATCAGTCCCTAGTTATTATCCTTTTCCATCAATGCCGCAATGTCCTATGCCTGGATACTTTCCTTATCCATTGGAACAGTCGCCGATAATGCCTGGACGTTTGCACCCGATCTCAGTGCAACATGTCAATTCGGCGCCGTGCAGATCTCCATCAAATTCGAACATTCACATGAACGACCAACACTTTCAAACGCTTCCAAATCAATGTGGCCAGCACTTTGACCCTCAACAACAAACTGAGCAACCAACTAGGAGGAGACCCGTGTGCCAGAAATGTGGAATTACAGAGACTCCTGAGTGGAGGGGAGGCCCCAATGGTTCCAGAACCTTGTGCAATGCCTGCGGCTTGTTCCTTGCTAAACTATCCAAGAGAATGGGTGAACAAGCGGCAACCGCAGACTTTTTCGCTGGAGAGCAGGCAAGAGGAAGGCGACGCAGGACTTATGCTTCCCATGATAGCAAGAAACGGCTTTGAAACGGCTACAGTACAATTTTACATCCGGAAGCTTTAAAAACCTCAAGGCCCTATATCAGACACTGAACCTTTATAATTACGTCACATATATATTGTATCGCTGAGAACAAGGCTTATACTCAAAGAGCTCTGGCTGAGGTCGTGATAGTGAATAGGCAAAATTGATGTTATATCCCAATTGGGATAAATGGTTAATACACGTAAATTTGAGGACTCTTCCGTTTCAAGGAAAACATCGTTGGCGTCTGTATGTTGAACGCTTTGAAAGACTTCACAACCAATAAACTTCAATAGTGGGTATCGAATTGCAATTTCGTGAGGTAACCAATCGCCTTTACTAACACATACTCTAGTGGATTTCACCTCCTTGTCTCGTACGTTATAGCTGCCTCTGATCCAAGGGGACTGATCTGAACATCTAAAGTCGGTACTAACCTAGCAACAAGAGCAATTTTGCGACTTTTACTACAACCAGTTTGATGCAGACAGGTCACAGCTGGGCAACCTTTACGTAAGTGCCTCACAATCTGCATTTGGTACATTCAGCACACTAACCCCATCCAGAGAGACAGCTCCATGCTGACCTTTGAGTCCTCTCAGACCCAAGGAGCCAAGGCCATTGTCGAGAAGCTTGTGTCTTTGGGATTTCAGAAGGTCAAGCACCGTATCTCCACCCTCGATGCCCAACCAGCGTCTGAGGCCGGTGACGTTTTGGTTATGGTCACCGGTGAGTTGCTCATTGACGACGAGCAGAACGCCCAGAGATACTCGCAGGTTTTCCACCTAATTCCAGATGGAAGCTCTTACTATGTGTTCAACGACATTTTCAGATTGAACTACTCCTAAACGAGAAACTCGGTCTAAGATGCTCGGTGGTAAGCTTTTGGCTAGCACCGCCCAGATACCGGGAACCAATTTCCTATTAATAATTACATTATCTCAATGAATTGTAGCCGAGACTTCAAGTTAAAAGCCTATTCTCGTTGGAATTTCATTCAGAAAGCCCTTAAAAAGGATACCGTATCAACGATCACTAGTATGGCTACTTTAGCCGGGAGTTGTAGACACGCGTTTCTTTGGCAGTGTTGATCCTTTGTCTTGTCTCCGCCCTAACCAACCTTCTTCCCACACAAGTTTCCTGTCAAGCTGACAAACAACAAGAGAACAAACACAGAATGTCGTCTGGAAATGAGAGCGATGGCAACAAACCACCTGTTGTGCCTTCCAGACCTGTCATTGTAAGTATTGGTATTGATATGTCTTGTGCGTACTGACGCGATACTAACAAGCTGGACTCCTTTCTCCAATCAACTCAATTCCCATGCAAACAGGGCTTGAGAACTGCTTTTTGATTGGAAAGCTTATGGAGCCCTCAACTATCTTTTACAGACGGAAGAAGTGTCTGTTTCCCGCACAACTACCGATGACATCGATGATCTTGTTTCAAGCTACCAGGATGGCTCGGAAATCGCAACACCCCGAAACGACCACAAATTGCCCAAGCTGTTCTCGGATACACCAGACTTCGATGAAAGCGATGCTACTGAAATCGAAGATGAAGGTCCAGCGACGCCGGGAGCTCCGGCCATTCCAAGTAGACCAAGCTACTATACCACTGGATCTGCCGTGAGTGTTGCTCGTGGAAATCCTTCTGCATCTTCCGGTTCTAGCGAAGCAATCCCGGTGGTTTCAAAACGGTCAACAGGATCTTTTGAATTGCCCGTTATTCCATCCAGATCCGGGTTGGTTTCGTCCACAGAGTCTTTGGATCAGAGGGCAACTCAGGTTAGTCCTCCAGTTCCTACAAGACCAGTGGAGTCGAGCAACGTAGTTGCTCCACCACCTCCACTTGCCACACGGCCAGTTATCATAGATTCAACTACTGATCTGACGCCTCCTATACCAGAAAGGCCTGTCGCGGAGGAGAAGGTGGTCGTTCCAGAAGTTCCATCGAGACCGAGCTTAGATCAAGAAGCTTTGCAGAACAGAGAGGAGTCCCTGGCGGTTCCTTCAAGACCAAATGCTGAACTAAGCGCGAAAGAAGTGACTCCTCCAATCCCCTCGAGGCCAAGCATGAAACCCAAAACTTCGGAGAAGAAGGAAGTCACTCCAGAGATTCCATTGAGACCAAGTTTCGAACCTACAGAAAAAGATGCCACTCCAGAGGTGCCTTCAAGACCAAGTTTAGAGCCGGATGCCTCAAAGGAAAAAGACGCTACTCCAGAAGTGCCTTCAAGACCAAGCATAGGACCTGAAATTTCAGACAAGAAAGAAGTGACCCCGGAAATCTCACTGAGACCAAGCTTGGAGCCTGAAGGCTCGGAGAACAAAGAAGTGACTTCGGAGGTTCTCTCGAGACCAAATGTTGAACCGAGTGAGAAAGAAGTGACTCCTCCAGTACCCTCCAGGCCGAACCTGCAGTCGGTGGGAAGCGAGGAGGAAGAGATTCCTGAACTACCAAATCAGATTGAGGCTAGCGAGGAAATTGATTCTCCAGTATCTGATGCCCTCACTAAAACAGATTCGGCTACAGAAACGAGTATACCCACCCCACAAATAAGCACCAGACCTACTATTGATGGAATACCAGCAGAAACCTCTACCAAAACTGAATCAGAATCAGTGGAGAAATCAGAAGAGGCAGAGGCGAAGGGCATTCTTGGTGCCTCGGAGGAAATTTTATCGAAATCTACTCGAGAAGCAGCTATACTAGAAAGGCCAGTTGCAAATGAAGAACTGGCGATCCCAGAAAAGCCGGTTTTGGATGCAAAATCGGCCACTTCAGAATCGTCTATAACTTCTACAGCTCCTGCACCTGCACTACCACCGGTACCCAGAAGGCTCACCGATGGAAGCCTTTCGGATGCCTCTTCAGAAACTATCACTAAGAAGCCACCTCCAAAAGTTCCCAAGAAGCCAAGCTCCAGAATTGCCGCTTTCCAGCAAATGTTTGCGCAGCAAGAAGCTCCTGCCCCAGTACCAAGGAAGATTCCACCTAGACCCAAACCAAAAAGCACGGAATCATCAGGGGCCGAGAGTTTGGAGATATTCAGTGCTGACTCGCCTACTTCGCAACCTCAGATAACCTCCAGGTTTACAGGAGCAAAAGCCGATTTTGCGAAAAACCTGAACGGGATGATTGGGTTCGGGCTTCCTGGGATGGTCCCAATGCCGGGAATGGCCATGCCTGTTCCTACGAGAGCGGATGAGGCTGATGATACTGACCAAGAGAAAGCAACCGTTGCAAAGCCCAATGACGTGAGGAAGTCAAGGGCCAGGGGCCCAAAAGGACGTAGTTTGCCGAAGACAGTGAAGGTGGCTGTCGAGGATGACTCAAATAAGTCGAGGTACGAGATATTTGTTTCTGAAGTGTGGAGGTTTGAGACAGAAACTGAAGAACAGACCAATGAAAGTACGGAGAACCCTGAAAAAGAGTTGGAGAAGGAGAACGAAAAAGAAACTGGGGCGGAATATGTTACGATAGTCACCAGTAAAGCGGCCGAAGAGTACGCTGCTGAGGATATCCATGAAGAGACCACGAAAACCACACAGCAAGAAGAATTGGTTATTCCTGACAAAACTGAAATTTTACCGAGCTCTTCCTCCAAACCTACGGAAATTTCTGCTGAAGTGATTCCAGAAGCTGTTCCGGAAGTGGTCACTGGGGCTGACACAGAAAATTTGGTTGAGGCATCACGAGCCGCAATTGAGGACTCAGACCCGGTCTTGGCATCTGTGGCTGACGATCAGCCACAACCGGACGAGGCTGAGTCCGAGGATTTGGGGGAAGGAGTGAAACCAATTGAGAAAACAGTTGATGAACCACTTGAGGAATCCGAGAAAACGGCCACAAGAAGTGAAGGTGAGTCCAAGGACCCAGTTTCACCCTTGGACCCTACTGCTGAAGACCCAACTGTAGCCGAAGACAATGATCAACCCAATTGAAACTTGGAATCCAAACGCAAGTACAATACGAATATGAAAATGCGCCGATGACTTGAGCCCGAATATAAACAATTGTTAAGACCTTTATCAACTTTTGTGTAGCCCACAAACGCCTTACATCTGTGCAAGCGCCCGGTCAAGCCCACAATAAGCTGGGTCGTGTACCGACAACGGCATCGGTTTCTGTTTACATTTTGCGGATGCCCGAGGCCTGTTAAGGGTGATGCGGAAATTTCATTACTGCAGTCTCTTCCGCATGCTGTTTTCGTCCTCTCGCTCTACCTGAATAACTGTCTCTTTGGCTTTATATTTTAGTGTATTGAAACCGGAACTTTGTTCTAGGTATCTGCTTGGAATTTCATATACCCGAGGTTTCTCCTTACGATCGTTTTCTGAACCTCCTTTTCTCTAGAGCCTCTTAAAAATGCTCTCTTTGATCCGTTTCGCTTTTGTGTTTTCAGCCCTTCTGGGTTTGGCCCAGGCAGCTTTGCATCCTATTGAAGTCAAGGGAAATGCCTTTTTCAACTCCAAGTCCGGAGACCGTTTCTTCATTCGTGGTGTGGACTACCAGCCAGGTGGATCCTCAAACTTGACTGATCCTCTCGCAGATGAAGATGTTTGCTCCAGAGACGTCCCTTATTTCAAGGATTTGGGAATCAACACCATTCGTGTTTATTCCGTGGACAACTCTGCTGACCATGATGCCTGTATGAAGCTGTTGGATGACGCTGGGATCTACCTCTTGCTTGATGTGAACACCCCCGATGCTTCCATCTCCAGATTGGATCCAGGATGCTCTTACAACTCTGACTACTTGCAGAACGTTTTTGCCACAATTGACGCTTTTGAATCCTACGACAATGTGCTTGGTTTCTTTGCTGGAAATGAGGTGATTAACAATGTCGATACTCTGTTTGCCGCTCCATACGTTAAGGCCGTGGTCAGAGACATGAAGAAGTATATCAAAGCCAGGTCTTATAGATCAATTCCTGTTGGCTATTCTTCGGCTGACATTGCCTCTGTCAGAGTGGAGTTGGCCCATTACTTCAACTGTGGTAACGATACCAATGCCAGAGTCGACATGTTCGGTATCAACGATTACTCGTGGTGTGGACATTCCTCCTTCAGCGTTTCTGGATACTCCGAGAAGGTCTCTCTCTATGAAGGATACTCGGTACCTATGTTCTTGTCCGAGTACGGCTGTAACGAGGTCTCAGGTGCCAGACCATTCACCGAAGTCGGCTCCATCTACTCGACCCAAATGAGTGGTGTATTCTCTGGAGGTCTGGTGTACGAATACTCCGAGGAAGGAAGCAATTACGGTTTGGTGACCATCGATGGTGACAGTGTTACCACTTCCACCGATTTCGACAACCTCAAGTCGGAACTGAACTCCACCTCCAACCCATCTGGCGATGGTGGTTACTCCAAGAGCAACTCCATTTCCAGCTGTCCAACCGACTGGAACTTCACCATTGCTGTCCCAGACACTCCTGATGGAGCGGAAACCTATTTCAAGAATGGTGCAGGGACTCCTCTTGGATTTGATGTTGGTGACACCCAGGGATCCTGTGATGACGATGTGACTTTGATCACCACCACCAATGTCAAGACTACTTCCTCGAAGACTAAGAGTGTTTCCAAGACAACTACGACTAAGGAGTCTTCTTCGTCTTCGACTGCCACCTCCACCTCTACCACCACCAGCTCTTCCTCCAAGGCCATGGCTGCTGCTGCTGAGTATGGCTCCTTGGCCACACTCTTCACGGTTTTGTGCAGTGTTTTGTTGTTGTAGTTGATGCGATCAGTTAGGAATAATTAGATTGTTATAGCATTCACTTTATCCATTTTGTTTTGTATATAAAGATATCACTAGCCTCTCAGATATGGGCTAGTGAGTTGTTCAGTAGACGGGTATCCATTTTCTGTCTCCAACTTCGATATATATCAGTAGGATTTAATTTTTTTTCGCTTTTCATAACTTATAGCTAACTTTTAAGATCAAAGAATATACCATAAATGGCTTCCAGCGTGGTGTAAAAATTAAAATGTCTGCATAACAAGCACTGCTAATGCTCAGCTTCCGTCACTACCACAAGCTACATCCTCTGCAATGCCCAATTGACGTCAATATATCTGTAATAAGCGCTATTTACATGTTATTTTTAGTTTCATCTATCCAGAAGAAACTCCTCTCTCTTGCGGCCCTTCTCTCCGTACGCCCTCAAAATCCTTCTGAAGGCACTGGGCTCACCATCGTCTCCAACGGACGAGTCAAGAAGACTGGACTTTTGCTTCAAGCTAGACTCATATGTCCTCTTCACCTTTGAAGGTGATAATTCACGAACAGTGTACTCGATATCCCACCGAGCGTCCAAATCGTGCAATACTGGGTGCATTGTGTTGGATTCGCGGCCATTGAAGAAATGCCTCTTGGAGACAGTAAATCCCTTCAAAGTTTCCTTGTAGGCCGAATTATACACATCCAGCTTTTTGAGATACTGCTTGTGACGTTTTTCGAGAGTTTCGTCTGCTTCGGCTGAGATGGCAAGCTTACCCACTTCCAAACACAGTTGATCCTGGCGGTCCAAAAGGGCCTTCGTCATAGGGGCATATAGAAAGTTGATTCCGTTTCTGTCGTCTGCCATGACCACCGTTCTGATATAGTCCACCTCAGGACCACAGTCTTCAATGGCCATTTCCATGAGTTTTGACCAGATGTTGATACTGGCCTTGAACTCCAGATCTGCCATGACCGAGGCTTTTCTCTGGGACTTGTCCTCGTGATAAGAACATGGCGACGAGGCAATCGAGTCAAAATGTTTCACATCGGTGAGAGGATCGCCTAAACTTTTTCCGGAAACGGAATCGATACACGAGTGGAAGATGGAGTCGATTTCACTCAGGGGAAGGTATTCGAAACCAAACATTTTCTCGAGGTTATGGTAAGCCAGGTAGATTCCGTCCATATTTCCGATCCTCGCTTGAAGAGCATATTTGATCATGGTTCCTCTGGCCAAGTCGAACTTCTCACGTTCGAAACTCTCGTACACTCCATGAGTCTTTAGAAGCTGATATCCGGTGTAGTTACCTGTCACATGAGGAAGGTCATAACGAACGGCTGAAACAGACCTACTTTTGAGATCAAAAGTCCCTGTACCCGGTATACGTGGGTCGTAGCAATCTAGCTGCGATCTCATCACGAATTGACCGCTCTTGGCGTAATGGTACGCATCTGTCTTTCTGGGCCTAGCCTTGAGATTCTTGCCTTTTCTGTTGTCAGACAGCAACTTAGTAAACTCCTCTTCATCCATAGTAAGCTGCCTTTCAGTGAAATGTCCTAGCTCAGCAAGAACATTTGGCATATCGTACAGATGCTCCACGTCCACCGACCAAACGGGTGGCTTGTTCTCCTCTTTTGTTCCAACATTGTGCTTTTTCAAAATAGTGATTTCAGGTGAGCGTGCACCAGCAGCAAAGTCCACAAGCTTTTCCTCAAAATCCTTTGATGTGAACGAGACATTTGCTGGTCTGTTGCTGGACAAGAAGTAATGGAAGTGCTTGAGAGATCCAGTCATGGATGACGATGACGAAAAGAACTTAAGACTTTCCGTCTTCGTGATTTCTTTCAAAACTTCATCTCTCGAAGCTTTGATGAAGTTCGTTATCTCTTTGAGGTCGTATTCTTTGGGCTTTGGAACATCTTGCAGGAATTCTGGAAAGTTAAACACCCGGGTCCTTGGGTCTTGCAGATAGTGAACACCAGGCGAGAATAACACTCTATCCAGATTATTCTTCAGGGTAGCGGGAGGTGGCATTTTCTTATTGAACTCATGCAGGGGCTCATAAGACAGGTTGAGAGTATTCAGCACTTCTCTGTGAAGGTAGTTGTCAGAGTCTCCTAGTGAGAGAACCCATCTCTTATAAAGCACCTCCTGCGCCTTGGTGAACAGCTTTAGCGTTTTTTCATATCTAGGCCAGTTGGAAACATCAATACGCCTATACAGAACCGTGATCTTGTGTATCATGTTCATCAAGTCTGTGTGAGGATCTTTGCCTATCCATGTAGGAAACGCTTCCATCTCTCTGCGGAACGTCCTCTCCGTAGCACATCCTTCCAAGTACCGCTCAGGCTTGTAGACATGCTTAAATCGCAGCCTGTTAATCACAGGCTGTACTGTCCGTACAGATGTCATACCTCGAGCTTTCCGACAGAAGTTCCTGGTACTCTATTGTGAATACTGGAACATGCATGTATCTGAAAAATTCATACTTTAAGATACCTCTCGCTAAGACGTGTACTGCTCGATGTTGAAAATTTTGAATATTTTAATGCGGCTGTAATATTGTTGGTACACGTAGATCGGGAACTGCCCGATAAGGCTATCATCGACAATGTCGCTTTCGGACAGAGTTGCACCATAATTGTAATAAGACAGTTGCGGCGATACCGAGGAACCTAAGCGATTTCACTCAACAGTACAATATCTGGGCTGGAAGGACCGAGACGTTAGAGACTACAGCTTCTGCTAACTGGCGAGACCTTTTAACTAAAGCCGTAACACAGTTCGGCAATAATCGCCACAACCACCAAACAATGTCCCGTTTCAAGATCATGCCGAGCTGATATATCCCACCTGTGGTTTGCAATCAAATTTTTGCTGAAGTTTTTAACATAGCCACGAACTCCATACCCTCCGCGACTTAAAGCCGATAACACTTCCAATTTTCATCACGTGACTTTGTTTGATCACGTGATACATGGCCAATAGAAATCGGATATCTAATTGCAGCTATGACATTTTATCTATTCCATCACAGATAGTGACAGGACAAGAAGGTTTTGTCTGAGCATAGAGCGTCTCTTCCCTTCTTTCTTCACGGATCCAGCCGATTTTTGTTGCTAGATTATCACAAAGTGTCAGCAGGAAGATTATCCCTTTCTGTACACCGGCTCACCCTCCTTTATATACCATGTCTGCTTCTATCGCTCCTCGCGCGGATGTGAAGATCACCAAGATAGTCACCTCCAAGGAATGGGTGTTGCCTCCAAGACCGAAGCCCGGCCGCAAACCCAGCATAGACACTCCAGCCACAAAACGCAAAGCGCAGAATCGCGCTGCTCAGCGGGCCTTCAGAGAGAGGCGCGCGAATCGTGTTAGTGAGCTGGAGACCAAGATCATGGAGATGGAAAAGGAAAGCTCCATACGCGAGGGACTCATGAATAACCAAATCAAGATGCTTACCAACGAGAATGGAAGGCTCTGCAAGATGATACAAGATTTACAGATGAAGCTGTCAAGAGCTGGAGCCTCGCCGCTTCAACAAGTGTCGCCCGCACCTTCTATGAGCAATGATTCGCCAAAGGCCAGTGACGACTGCGCTATTTGCACGAAGGAGGTATGTATCTGTGATACAATAGGTCTCAAAGGAACTGTTGAGAGAAAGGTAGAGCATGTGATCAACACGTTTAGGCCGGTGGAGGAAGTCATCAACAACTTCAAGCCCGTTGCATCTGTTCCCCTGAAGAGAAGGAAACGGGAGGAGGAGACCGAGATCGATTTCACAAGCAAGTTCATGAAGAAGCCGAAGTCGGAAACCCCAAGGTCGGAGTTCAAAAAGCCAGAAGCCAAGATCCCAGACCAAGGCGAGCTGTTTACAAAGACTACCGTAGAGGAATTCACCCAGTGCGGGTTTTGCTCTGATGACTCGCCGTGTGTTTGTCGAGAAGTTGCCAAGGAGAATGCCAAATACCAGCAGACTCTCAAGACGCTTCCACCAATCATGTACCAGGGCGCCAGTCGAAAAGAGCAGGACTCAAAGATGCCAAAATTAAAGAACCTGATGGAACCAAGTGCATGTACTGGAAACCCAGGAACCTGTCAGCAGTGTCAGCGGGATCCAATGAGCAGCTTGTTTTGCACGACTTTGGCAAGCAAAGAGAGCAACATGAGGTCTGAGCCAATGCCAGAGCCTGTAAGGACAAGTTCTAGAAGTGGAAGTGTGGACGACTATATTCCATGTTCAGATGCGTACAAGGCACTTGCGAAGCACGAAAACTTCAAGAACGCGAATATCACTGGAGTCATAGGGAAGCTCAACACCAGAGGGATGCTGGTGGATGCTGGAAGTGTTGCAAATGTGTTGAGAGAGCTTGACAGGAAGTTTAGCAACGAATAGGGCTGGCCTGAATCAAAACTGGCTAGATGTTTAGTAGTGAATAGGACGGAAACTGGACTATAACGAATAAGGTTTGAATTAGTCTTTGTAGGAAGTCGACTTGCTGAAGGTTGAGGTCGAGGTTGCAGTCGAGGTCGGATTCGAGGTCGGATTCGAGGTCAAATTCTCAGGTTGACACGGAAGTTTGCGTTCATTTTTCATTCTTGACTGACAATGCTTGATTGTAGAAAATGGTATTTTGGCATTTGGCACAGGTGTGGTAAGTCTAGCCGATGTTGACCTAGTCCCGCATAACACGTGCACAATTATCATGTAAGCGGCTACGCATGCGTTTGAGTGTGGATCCCGAAATAATAATTATTGAGTACTTCTTGAAGGACTTGTTGAAAGCATTGGAATGCTCAGATCGCTTAGATTTTGTAAGGCTATTCACGTAGAGAAAAAAGCCTAAGTAAGAAACGGTGAATATAACGAGAATAATAGTGTTTGAGCAGTCATACTACAGGCTGTACAGTTTTCGAAGCAGCCATTGAGCAGATAGACACCGCTACTCGTCATTCCGGGGTCTCCCTTCGAACCCCACACCTTTGGGCTGTTGGTCATCTGACCCGTCAAACGGCAACGGCATCCTAACAAACAAGCGAGAGTTACAACGCCTGTTAATCGGGAATTAACTTCCTTGCGTAAATGTTCTCGTTCTGGCTGCTTACAACGCGCAAATCTTAATTTTCTTTTTAAACCCTAGAAAAGGTGATCGCGGCTGAAGATAAACGGATTACATCAAACCAATTCCGGGTCAGTGACATTAGGGGCTCTACCTAAGTGTTTGGCAGGATTTACGGCATTGTGCATTTTCCTATAACCTCGTGTTCACTACGGGTTGACGCAGGTTGTTGCATCAGTACCTACCCACCCAGCATATTAAACGATATTTTTTTTATATTTTTTGAGGTGAGGACCAAGTACTGACGGAATGCGGTTTCAACTCTTGAGGGGGGTGTGCAGGACGCAAGACGGAATCCTTCCTGATCTGGCAATACGAGGGCTGTAGGTGGGGTTGCGTAGTGTGTGGGCCCTTGAGGTCAAGATAGAGAGCCTGGCTGTGAGGGATTAACTATGTGGATATATTTGGTAGCGGAATTATTCGCTTGGAAGTTATGTATTTAAATGGCTAGAAAAGCAGGTCGAGCGATATGGTTTGGTCCGTGAGGGGCAATGCGTGCGAAGTGAAGCAATAAGCGCGGCATTCGCATGAAGAGAGTTAGGTGAGGACCGTCAAACTTGAGCTTCTGCCTTTTTGATAATTGATTTACTATAGTTCAATATTTCAATCAGATTGAAGAGTTTTGTTGTCTGAAACTCATAATAATCACTTGAATCAGAATGTAGAGTTAAACCGGAATCACCGCTTGCCAAAATCGATGGTCAAGGCAAAAATTACGACACCAATTGGATGATCTAGGCTCGGCTAGGCTAAACTTTTCGAAGCGTAGGTTTATTTCCTTCACTGATAGTCAAGAAGGATTAATGGAAATCCTCAGCAGCTTCAAAAGATGCAGGATATGTGATTTTTGAAAGCTTAATTAATATCACCTGTTCCTGATGAGATTTCGAGAAGGAACGAAATCTGTTTGGCTGAGCTTTGGTGGATGTTCCGCATGATCCGTAAGCTTCCCCAAGGGCTATTATACAGAAGACCCATAATTGTAAAAACAGCTGACACCTGATAACCATACTGAAATAATAGAAATGTCAACGCGCAAGTTAAATGCTTATCAGTCAACCACAAGAATACTAGCACTGAAATCGAGTAAGATTTTTACAGAATTGCGGGGAATGAGGACAGTTAAGCTTAGAGTTACTTTGCTGAGTGCATAGTATTTAGGGCCATGCCCTAGAACTGGACGGGTGAGGCAATTGACTTTTGCTGAAGAAGATGGATAAGTCATTGGCGTGGGCTAGAGACACATTCAGCCTCATTATTTCAATCAGATCACCATATTTTGAGATCTCATTCACTGCACTGTTTGTAACCAGAATTTTGGCAAGGCCTGTGGATTGTCTACTAGTCTGCGGCGGATCTCACAGAAGTTGTATCAGATGTTATCATATGTGATGTGTTGCTGTGCGTGAGCACCGATTAAGCTAAAACAGGTCCTGAGAGCACACTAGTAGAATGTGAGGTCATATTGTAAACTTTTCTCAGCTCGCCTATGCTGTGATTGGCAGGTTTCTGTTATCAAGGGTATGTGGTTGTATGGTCCTGGGCATATCGGAGAAAAGATTTCCGGAATTCGCAACTTATTGTTGAGAAAATGCAATTTGTACCCGATTGCAGGCGTTTTTTTCCGTGAAATGAGACAAACCAGTTCTTCAATTTAAAATACGAATATTAAGTAACCACATGTTTTATCATCTTCGAAACTATAGGATTTGTAAACGTTGTTGAGAATTTGGAAAAAACAGCAATTCTGCAAAGCTTTTGAAAACGTTGATTAGGCGATAAATGAGCGAATTGATATGGCCTTCTCACTCACTTAACATTTTTCAATGACTAACAAAGCTTTTAAATCACCAGAGCCACATATGTTTCATCATTAGTCCTCCCTCTTATGATTGCACATCTATTGCCATGTCAACCAGCTCATCTCGTTTAATCTCATCAATTTCTTGACAGGGGGTGGGAGCGCATCGTATTCAAAACTACGTAATCCGACTAATACCGGAAATCTGCCATTGTTTACGGGTAGACTTCGGTCCGAGACACAAATGCGGAAAAAAGCTCCAGGATCTCCCTATTGCTAATCACTCAGTGCTCGTATGGATAAGACCCAAATCGAGGTGTCGTATTAACGGGAAACGGGACGACAGACATTTGAATGCTTATTTCCAGCAGTTTTTTGACCGGTGCAATTTCGAAGATGGGTGACACAGTGCCCCCTGAATTCAGTGCGAACTACTCCACCTTTTAGTATCGTTATCTTCCCCACTCACCCGACAACGAGCCCTTTCTAGCAGGGCCAAATCTGTTAAGGATCCTCTCTTATAGGGAGGTGGTGTCCTTCCACGGGCATTTAGACATTGGTCCGGCCCAGGGTAGAGGTTTTGGATTGGATGAAGTTCCACGCAGGATGTGAAATCTCAGGTGGCCAAACCTGCACCCGACAAATATAATTTACGATTTCGACAAGTCTATTTTTTGCAGTAGAAACGTCAAATTCCAAGAAGACTTAGCCAAAAGAGGCCAGAGAGCTTCGCACACAATACATAGCATAAAAAGCAGTCGATGCGCGCTCATGTCATTTTCGAGCCATATCAATCGTGACAAAATTATATCCTATATATCACTCAATATTACGTCCTAAGCCCTTCTGTTTCCACAGCCCCCAAACTTCTTGATTCGACAAAGAACCCTGGTGCAGGAAATGTGTTTCCGATGCATCCTCCTGCACAAGACACCGAATCCGGTAACAGATCCTATTGCGGCAATCAAAAAAAAAACCCCCCATGCAGAAACCCTCTTTTCTAGCAAAAACGTAACCGTCGAGAACGGCTAAGGCAAAAATGCCTTACAGGAACGGCGTGGACCAATCACAGGACAGATCACCTACTTAATAATATCACGTACAGATGCTGATCCTCCGAAAGTGGTGCAGCTGTACAGGAGATCGTAGCGAGTGAGGGCGAAGAGACCAAACATGCTCTAGAGGCGTCTGCCTGCCAATTATAGCCTGCTCCAATCAGAGCATTCCGGCAGGGCTATTGCCGATCCCCGGTACATAAACTCTGCTTTGCAGACGGATTTAGGGTCCAATTTTCGCGGAACATCTGAGCTTTTGATGAATATATTGAACGGATGATAACCTTCCAATTAAGCATGAACAATACAGTTCAAGTCCAAAACCTAAGTGTCATAACCGAACAATAGGGGGTTAGGCCAAATTCATACTTTTGGCTTTTCATAATAATTCAGTCCTCTATGCATGCGCCTATTGTTTGGGGCTTTCCGATTTACAATAAGAAGAGCGAGGCGAAAAGAAGAAGATCCGTGCACCCTTGGCCGAACTGTAAAAATACTGTAACAAATCTTATATGGTAACTACAACTCCACAAGATCATTTCAGCACTGTTTTTTGCCAAACAAAAACTCGAAAACTGATTGTATTCTCTCTTCTTTGAACCCGTCCGGCCAAATTCCGATACCGCTATCACTCACCGCCGAGATTGTCAAATCCGCAGCTGCACGCTGCTTATTCAGAGGAAGGAAGCTGCATCTTGACAATCGGTGTCTAAATCGCCCCTTAAACCTGAGGCAGGTATTAATACGTGGGGGTTAGCCATTTTTCTGCTCAAAATACTTATTTCAGAAACGACCGATTTCGAGATATTTTTGAGCCAAAACTTTCACTACGCTCTACTAATTTTCTTCTGAGCATACACCTTCTCGTCCTGTGCTTAAGATTCGGATTAATCTTTGGATTAGAAAAAAACGCCTAGTGTTATTTGAGAGGATATAACTGCTTTGAACTGGGGTTGTTCATTCAAGCTAGCACTAATCGCTATTTATTGGGCTATCTGTGGAACTGCTATTTGAGCCAGTTTGCGTTGCGATCTATCACATCCCGTTCCGCTTTGCTTTCAGCCTTCTCTGGCCCATTCATGAAGCTTTGATCCTGCTATTGTTTTTGTTATTCAATGTCGAAAGCCCCCACGTACAACGGTTACATAGCCTCCAGCTACGATGCGCTTTTAGTGATACAGGCTACGCTCAACGACGGTCTTAGTGCCGTCATGCGCAGGCCGAAGTCCAAAGACCGGACCGCTATGATCGAGTCCGGAAACGTTTTTGTTTTCATTGAGGAGAGGTCCAAGATAAAGCGGTGGACAGACGGAATATCGTGGTCCCCAAGCAGAATTCTTGGTAAGTTCCTGCTGTACCGCGAGATCATCCCCAATAAAAACACCAAACTGCGCAAGAACAGCTACAACGGAGTTAACCCTGGCAAGGAGGACAAGCAGGGTCACACGCCTACCTTTGTGTTCAAGGAAAAGGGACTGGTGAAGAAGACAATGACACTTTCGATGACTACCAAGAGCAATACAGTAGAGACAATCCACTTGATCTGCTACTACTCGACCGAGGATGTGGTGAACGGCACTTTGGTAAAACCTTCCGAAACAGAACTCAAGTCTATCAACATTGACAATGACCTGATCAAGGCTTGGCAAGACTGCTCGCTGGGCGGAAAGGTCCAGCAGGATTTCGACTACAAAAGTGTTGGCGTTCCATCCGATAAGCTTTTTCTTCAGCCACCCAGCAGTTACCGGTATGAACCCCACTCGATTCCGAATATTTCTAATTCGTCCGGATTGCTCGCTTTGAATTACCCAACGCACCCTTCGGTCCAGAGATCGCAGTCGCTATCCATGGCTTCGTCTCATTCCCACTCTCTTCCACCTAGGCCGAATTCACCATCACAGAACACCGTTATCCAACCCCTGATCCAGTCTTGGAATCAATACACTCACCATCCCTACAACCATGCATTCTACCCACTACAACAGAACCATCAGGTTCATTCCCAGCCCCACCAGGATAACTCTGAGACTAATATTCCAACGCCTACGCTCGCACCTGTCGCACCTGCTCCAGTCCAACATCCTCCGAACCAACAACTGTACCAGCCACAGCAACCGCTGTTCCAGCAAACACAGCCACAGTCCCAGCACCAGTATCCGTTGTATCCGCCTTATCAGTATCAAAGTCAGATCGGACTGGGTGTGAACTCTGGGGTTAATTATGGGATGCCGAGTAATAATACGTGGAACTAGGTGCACCTAAACTGACCGTTATTATGAGACTTAACCTGAGGAAAGGAAGACCGAGGACATTGCTCAGAGTGGCTATTCCAGCCTCCTGATTATTTGCTATCTTTTTGAGCTACGTTGAGAAGCTTTGATTAGCCAGTATTCTCCCCTTACATCTTCACCAATGGACTCATTTGTCTTACTTGTCCGTTGCTTCAGTTGCTAGTCGACTTGAAGCCAACAAGCTGCCTAGAATTTCGACTCCAGATCTCGCCTTCAATTCTCCAACCCAACACGCAAATTCTCTCCGCTTTCACCCTCACATCTTTTTTGTCTGGCCCGCTTTGTTATATCCTTAATGGTTTCTTGCTTTCCTTTTTTAAGTGCCTAGTTTTGTCTGAGAGGCGATTCTCTTACCAATGTCTTGCTATTTATTACCGCCTCTCGACTAATATATACTTTCCCCCGTGCCCTCTTCATTAAAACGTGTAGGAAATGCGTTTTGGTGACATATATACATATCTGTTGGGAATATGCCCCGTGTCGAACGGTTACTGATGACGATGACAATTAGCCGTGCCGACATCGCATTTGATAATGCCTGCTTAGCCTGGGCTGGACCACTCACTACCTCCCCCACGGATACCAGAATGCCACAAATTCGCTTGAACACAAGTCATTCGTCCAATTCTGTCGTCATTGACTTATCCCATGTAGTTTCTAGAAGTTAATAATTATATCTAGGGAAATCATTTGGTGTTTCCACGCGTTTTACGCCGCTTCAAACCGGCTACCCCAAGATTGTGGGGCCGTAAACCGATACGGGGTAGTGGCCAGCCTGACAAATCATATCAACCTCAAAGTTTTCGAGCTGCCCCTTTAGAGAGACGTAAGCTAACAAGCCAGAGAGGAGACCGTTTGCGATACAGGCACAAAATTTCTTTACGTTGATGGATTCAGTGCATCGCGAATTCTATAATTGCATCTTTGTTGACTTGAAAAGCCTCCCATAAAATCACCAGTGTCTCAGTGAGCTTTGTGTCTTGTCATCGCCTCCAACTTCTCTTCGCATCTCGCGTTTGCACCTTTTTTTTCTCGTTTTCCAGCATATGCCACCATGGCCGATATAGTTGTCAAAGAACTGCGACATCCCTCGTCTTATCTGTCGTCTGACGAGATAGTGCCGATTTCGGGTGCGATATCTGGGTTTATAGCTGGTGTTGCCGTGTGTCCTCTGGACGTTGCCAAAACCAGATTACAAGCACAAGGATCGTTTCTTCAAAAACATCCAGATGGACTCAGAAATTTTGAAAAGTTCAGGTATAAGGGCCTGGGCGGGACTCTCAGAACCATCTTGAAGCAGGAGGGCATAAAAGGACTATACCGTGGTTTACCAGCAATGGTGCTCGGGTACTTTCCAACATGGATGATATATTTCACCGTTTACGAGCAGAACAAGAAGCTGACGCGGAATCTTTTCGATCACGAGACTTTGTCGTTTGCCACAAGTGCAATTCTGGCAGGTGCCGTGTCTACTACGCTGACGAACCCAATATGGGTGGTCAAAACGAGAATGATGATACAGACAGGAGATGGACGCACGATCTATGATAGATTCCCATCCAAACACCAAACTGGCGCCTCCAAAGATGCCCAGGTCTACAAGAGTTTGGTGGATACCTTCGTGAAGATGTATCGCAAAGAGGGCTGGAAGTCGTTCTATTCAGGACTGCTTCCTTCGTACATAGGACTAACACACGTGGCAATCCAGTTTCCGATCTATGAGAATTTGAAAAAGAATCTTAACCTGAGAGACGATAGTTCGAACGTGGGCAAATTGACTCTTGCTTCCATCATATCCAAGGTTCTGGCCAGCTCCGTCACATATCCCCACGAGATCTTGCGCACCAGACTGCAGATAGACAAGACGAAAGTGTCGATGATGACTGGTTTGGTAAGGACATTTCTCTCCGTTTACAAGAACGAGGGAGTGAAAGGTTTCTACTCCGGGTTTATCATCAATCTCACCAGGACGGTGCCGTCTTCGGCGGTGACTCTTGTTACGTTCGAGTACATAAAGGGCTACCTAGAACGGGTTAATGGGTTATAGAAGTCAGATAAAATATTCGGTATAAATCAAGCATGTTTTGAGATAAGGGTATACGGACATTACATGGAAAGTAACGCACTTTAAGGTAGTTGACGTTTTACACTACCAAGTTTCTTTCTACCAAGATTTTAAAAAAAGGCGTTTAATAATGGTTATTTTAACCCAGAAAACGATAATATAAAAGTAATAAAACCATGCCTGTTCACTTTAACCTCAACCACTTCAAAAGTAACCTCCAACCTAAAGTAGTGTAATCCAACCAGAAACTCCAAAAACTTGGCGCTTGCTGGTTGCGAGCCCCAACAATGCCCCAGGTTCTTTGATTCAGCCTTCCTCGTTGAGGCGACACCACACGAATCTTCTTGCCAATCATCCCCAAGATGAATCTCCGAAGGCTGATCTCTATCCTTGGAGTGATCTCAATTGTCCAATCACAAGTGATCAATAAGAACCTGGGGAATCGAGGCGGAATTGAGGATGATGCAGAGTTCGTTGAGCTCAAAGATGGTCTGCTGAAACAGCAGCAACAAGCCGATGGGCGCGAGAAATCGGAGCAAGGAGCCGGAGAACCCGCCGATGTGATTGCTGCAAATGCAAATGCAAATGCAGAAAGCGGAGACAATGCCGCTGAACAGGATGGGTCTGCTTTGCCGCCATCTCTTAACAGCAAGAACTTTGACAGGGTGTTATCGTCAGGAGTGCACTTTGTAGAGTTCTTTTCGCCTTACTGTACTCATTGCAAAGCACTGGCCCCCATTTGGGAGGAGTTCTATAAAAGCTACAGGGCGGAAGGTGAAGCCGAGAATATCTTCCTTCACCAGGTAGATTGTGTTGCCAATGGAGACCTGTGTTTACGCGAATCGATCTCGACCTACCCCAACATCAGGCTTTATGTGCCCAATGAAGCCGGAACGGCAGGATCTCTCACCATGAAGTATCCAGATGAAGATCCAAGAACTGCAGAGGCGTTCATTAATTTTCTACGCGAGCAGGCTCTCGATGCCAAAGATGCGGGGTATTTCAAAACCTCCAAATCCACTCTGCTCACTCCTAGCGAGATGGTAGCAGCTATTGCCGGTCACCAGGGTCAGCCTTATTTGGTCTCATTCTGGCCCACCACGAACGAAGAGCTCAATGACGATAATTTTGATGTTGTGAAAATTCCAAAGTCCTCGCGTTGCAACGAATTCAAGACTGTCTGGTCTCAAGTCTCTAACCAAGTTGGGGTTAAAACCGGTACTTTTAACTGCAGGTCCAACCCCAAGATCTGTAAGGCTTTGGGTTTATCAGATTTGACCAAGACTACTGAAAGAGGAATGCCTGCTGTCTACATGTTTCTTCCATCAGAATACGGCGGAAACAAAATACGGTACAAGTCCTACAACAAAGCTAAGTTCATCGTCGAATGGGCAAAGAGGCTGCAACAAATTTACAACGTGGAAGAAGTAACTTTCAATTCGCTGAAAACGAAGATGAAGTTGGCACCCCGGTTGCAACGCGAAGCTTCTACCGAATCAGCCATCAACAGCAAGATATCCTTTGTATACCTTTATGATAAGGATGCTTACGTCACTGAGGACGAGCTGATATTTGGCCAGTTGATTCAGCCAATAATGGACTTGAATACTGAGGTATATCTCTACAAGAGTTCAGACATGAAGTTTTTGTCGTTCCTTGAAAAGCAGCACAACAGTCTTCTGGAGTACATCCATTACAACGAAACGGAATCACAGCAACCTTTCAACAAGAAGAGATTTGTATCCGAAACTGCAAGTTCGTTGCCCACCTGGCTGTGCTTCAAGGATAACAGCTTGATCTCTCAGGTATTTCCCAGCAGAAGCGCGCGGGATGTGCGTGACTACGGCAAAGCTTTCAACTTTATAAAGTCGAATGCCTTGCCATTGGTGGAAGAATTGAATGAAATGACGTTCAACTCTATTTTCTATCATTATCCTCCGAACTCTGCAGGATTCTTCACGGAAGATGACAAAGTTGTTATCTCGTTTGTGGACTCGACCGACTTCAATGGTGTATTTGAAACAATTTACCAAAGTTCATTGCTAGCTCATGATTATCACAATTTGAGACAGAACCTAATGTTTACTCATCTTGATGAAGAGAGAGAGTCTAAGCGTACGAAGGCCCAAAAGGTGAAGGACGATGGTGGAGATTCGGTGGATTACAGACACGCATTGAACCGTCGTCTAGGCCTCTTTGATCCAGGAAAAATTGTGCCGGTTTATCTAGATCTCAAAAAGAACTCTGCTCTTTTGGATAAGTGGGGTTGGAACAGACTCCATAAGCGAGATATCAAACCTGGTGATGCAATTGTGGTCTCAAGATACGACGCGAAGAAGATGTTCTGGGACAAAGACATTTATGGAGCTCCCTTATCAATATCAAAACTGCGAAACTTGAGAGATACAATCGCGGCGCTGAACTTTGAACCGAAACTGTTTGTCCCCAGTCCCAAATACAGTATGCCTAAGTGGAAATACGTTTCCGGTACTTTTGGAGAGCACTTTGCGTTTTTGGATGGGATTCTCACTTTCAAAAAGCATAGTTATATGGGAAGCGCCTTGCTGGTCATTGTGGTTGCAGTCGTATTGTTACATCTAAGAAGAAGAAGACGGATGAGAAGTCAGAAGCTAAGAGGGCTGGGAATACTTGGAAAGATACCTTCACCCCCAAACTCAAACGGCCGGCCAGGAAAGTTTGATTGAGGGTTAATATGAGATGAATACACGAGTTTGCTTGATATTTTGTAATTTCGATTAAGTCTACAAACAATCTTTCATATGGCATAAATTGTGAAAGATGACTGCATATATGTGACTGTATGGAAGCGTCTCTTGTAATCCAAGGTCACGTGATTCAGTGCAATCAAGAAAAAGTGGAGACTCCAGGCCTAACCTTCAAATTTTGCCGGCCTAGAAGCGTCACTTTATTCTCTGAAATAACAAACAGGATCTTCACAATGCTTGCCTATTACCACGACGACGATCTTTCTGTGGACTTCAGAGAGGACCACAACTCTGGCGAGGAGGTTTCTATTGAGACTTTGAAAGAGGTGGGTGTGCTCTACTTCAAATGTGGCACACAGGACGACGTGGAGACGATTGCCACCGAGAGAGAATACAAGAACAGGGATATCATTGATCTATCAGCAGCAACGTTTCCAGGTGGACCAGAAGCTCTGAACGAAAAATGCAAGAATTTCTACTTGGAACATCTACACGAGGATGAAGAGATCAGATACATACTGGAGGGTGAGGGCTATTTCGATGTTCGGGACAAGTCTGATCGTTGGATAAGAACAAAATTGTTTCCTGGCGACTTGTTGATCCTTCCGGCTGGAATCTACCACCGTTTTACCCTGACATCCAAGGCTTCTGTCAAGGCGTTGAGATTGTTCAAGGACGAGCCTAAATGGATAGCTCTCAACCGTCCGGTGGATGCGAACCCCACGAGGGAATCTTATCTTAAGTCGATTGAGGTTTGAGCCGAAATTGAAATCTTATCATATTTTTTGAATTTGGTGATTTTTTTTCTAAACTGGTGCTAAAATGAGAATACGCCTATATAGTCTCTTATCAATAACTTTTCACTTTACTGAAGCCTTTAGGCAGGGCCCACGTGCTCTTTGGTGTATTTGGCTCACACCACCTAATGAGTTTCCGCCACAAAAACAGATCCCAGTGATATGCCATACAACCTTAAACTTCATCGCAGACTTCAGAAACTTGAAATTCGTTAAAATAAGCTCTCAGACCATCGTGTTAGGAATAGTTATAGGAGGGACCACAGACCTCAAAGGTCGTGTAACATCTGAAAAATGTGGATTCGGAGATTCTCAGCTTCTGATCCAGAGCAGAGGAGATAGTACTCCACTTGGTCATACTCTCCAATACTCAGACCACCGTATATAATTCGAAATGTCTGCTGCCAATCCAGGTAAGAATTATTCTGAGTTTCCTCTTTGTCCGCTTCCTTGACTAACATCCCCAGCTTTGCAAAAACAATACGAAGAGTACCAATCCACGGCCAACGCGCTGATGGAGAAGATTGGTCAGTTGCAGTCTGGCCTCGAGGAGCACAGGTGAGTTAGTTTGTCGTGCCATATCCACGATTTTACCTACTGACATGCAAAATTAGCATCGTGGTGACTACATTGAAAGGCGTGCCTGAAAACAGGAAATGTTTCAGAATGATTGGAGGTGTTTTGGTGGAGAAGACTGCTGGAGAAACGGTTCCAGTGTTAGAGCAGAATATATCAAATGTGAGTCAGAAGTGTTGAATTCTCTACGAAACAATTACTAACTTTTTGCAGCTCGAAATCTCCATAAAACAGCTGAAAGAAGAGTTTGCTGCGACTAACAAGGAATTCGAAGAATGGAAGACAAAGTCCCATATTAAGGTGGTACGTTCAGCATGATTTTTTAATACACATCTCGTTTGCAATTTTGTTTTGACCGTAGTTGGCATCTGAATTTGCAAGTCTGTGAGCCTCGGTGTGTCGTAAGGCCTCAATTTTTCTTTTTGCCATCTTCCACCAATGGTGCCTTACCGCTAAAGATGAAAACAGTAACGAATGCAAACCACACAATAATCACAGCAACCGCAGAAGTCAAATAAACCCATGAGTTAGTGATTTCCCAACTTCTAGGATATTCATCATTGGCCAGATGTCTCACAGGAACAACGATCTTTTCGTCTATGAAACTCAACCCCGGTCTCTTGTAGTCCACGGAAAACGTGAACATTCCGTGCTGGTCTGGGATTTGGAAGACTGCGGTAAAAAGGGTCTTCTCTTCGTCGCTGCTAGTCACGTTGGCATTGACACGTTGGTAGGGATCTAACATGATGAATTCAACCTGGACATCATCGGCCTCGAATGGAACCCATGTGTTCTCCTCCGAAGACCATTGTGAGATCTCGATCTCGTACTTGGCGAAATCCTTGACTTTGTAGCTCTCCAGTCCGGTAACGACATTCTCGTGGGATGTGCTGACCGACTTGATAACACCTCTGTATTGGAATGTCCACGAAACCAAATCCTTTGCCAAATTATCATACTTCGAGTCTTTGATCAGGTTATCATCACCCAACCAAGTGACTCTTGCATTATTCAATGCCTGAAAAGAAACAATCAAGTAGCCTTGGTCACCCGAGGTCCAAACACTGTCAGAGCCGACTGGGCCAATGGCTGCGTTGTAGGTATACGAGGTCTTTGGTGCCTTCAGAATAGGAATCAGATATTCGCTGTTGCTTAACAAAGCTGCAGAGCCTGAGTAAGATATTTGGTCCACACTGGAAGGCACCACGATCTTGTTCTGAAACTCTGGGTCTTTGATGAGGACGGAGCCCTCTTTCGTGGAATCCTCGTTGAAATGATCAAAAAGCTTGAACTTCGCATTGGTGTAGATTCCAACTTCACCAAGAAACTTTTCAAGGTCTAATTGAGCACCGGCAGAGCTGGTCACTCCGAATAAGTTTCCACCATCGTTGACGTATTCAACGAGTTCCTTGACTCCAACATGGGGCGAAATTGATCTCACTTTAGAAGGAAGAATCACCAAGTTCTCAAACATTCTAATGCCATTTATAAACAGAGCAATGTCAGAAGACCCAATCTCTACAGCCTTGACATCATCCAGCGACTTCACAAAGTTGTCGTAGTCGCTCAGCTTGCTAAGCTTAGGATCATAGATCACCAACGTAGCGCCCTTGACAGCAGGTCCCGCAAAAACCAGGGCTGCCAAGTTGAAGATGAGTGCCAGTACCAGCGATAGTCTCATTTTCGGTGCAAATGAAGGAATATTGGTGGACTAGCGAACAAGGTGTGAGCTTGAGAATCAAAGCGTAGACAAGACGAACGTGACATGAACGTATTTGAACTGAACACGTCTTAGGCATCTGATGAGCCTCACACGTTCGGCTGGAGATTTGCTATTTACCTAGGAACAGGGGGATAGATCGACGAGTATCCAATAAGAAAATACCATATTTTTTTTGCTATAACGTCTAGTAATGACACAGGAGGAAACTTTCAATCCCAACAACCCCGCGGAATTTGCCCAGGCTTTGAAACAATTGAACGAGGCTGAGGTGGCTGCTACAGTAAGTTGTGCTGCTTGATCTTTGCTGAAAAGTTGACTAACTGGTTTCAGAAACTGGAGAAACTGTTGGACTCGCTCGAAGGTCGTATGGATGAGATATTAAAGGAAGCTGAGTCAGTGAGCGGCGAACCAGCTGAGGGTGAAAATTCTGAGAATAAGTAGTATTTAGAGGCTATTCAGGACGGTTATCTATAGTGGCTGGAACTCAATATACTCTATAATGACCAAAGCAAAGGTGCGATTCAGACAAGCAGTTTAGTGAATTAGATATCCAAGATGGCTCTGTCTTTTTGGATGAAATTCAAGTCCATTATGGCCATCACAAAACCTCCTATACTATAGCCTCACAAAATCAGGCTCGTCAGTTCCCACAAATGGATTTGGTATCAGCAGTGGATTTATCCTATGCGTGGTAATATCTGCTTCGGACTCAGGAAAAGTGATCTTGACTGGCTTCCCACCTTCAATCCACCATTTGCTCCTATCTGAACTGGGAGGAGGCAGACTTTCCGTCAACGTCTTCTCGTTGATATATGCAGATGTGATCACAGAGTTTTCTCCGCCAATCTCGGCCTTTCTCTGTTCATACAGTTGTTTGGACAATTGCGACTTGATATCTTCCTTTACTAGATTGGTGGTGACAGTGAAGGTTGCAAAGACCGGCCTGTGGTCAGAAAAAACGATATCCTGAGCACTACTGTAACTCGTTTGTTTCATGATTCGTTTGAAGCTGTTGAAGCTCAACACTCGATCAGTCCATGCGGGTATTCTTTGCTTTTCAGAGGAGTCATAGGTGGAGGTGCCATTGTCAAACTTATAGGTAGGCGGAAACGTGATCTCCATCTCGTCAAAATACGGAAACGACTCCCCAGCTGCCATTTGCATGTTCAACTGATCGTACTCGAACAAAGTAGGATAATCGCCTTCCTTTATACGCTCCCTGACCTCCTCGTTCGGAAGCATGATTCTGTAATTGAAATCGCCCATCCAGATGACAGCATCGTGATCTTTGATTCTCTTTCCTCGCGAAAACCTCAACCCAGTTGAGATCGTTTTATAATCGTGATGTCTTTCAACAACATTGTTCAAACCAGCAGCCAGATGCGATGCCACAAAACAAAACTTGGTTTCAGAGTAGGCAAAACTGACTGCTACTGCTCCCTTGTTAGCAGAAACACCACCAAGACCCGTTTTCTTCTCACTTCCTTCTACCAGCTTGATCTTATCAACCTCATCATCCTTCACAAACAGAAGTATGAGAATTCCTCCTAGCTGGCCTCCCCAAAGAAGCACATACTTTCCCACATCTGACAGGGCTGCTCGTAGCTTCTTCTCCCAATGTAAGCGCGTTGTAGGATCCACATTCACAATCTTGTTAGGCGTAAGCTCAACAACCTCCTCAAATGCAACACAGACTATATCATAAGGATGCTCCGGATCAAAAACGTCTTGTGGAAACAACCAAGAGTTCAAATTGCCTTCATATAACACTCCGTTGACATTAAATGTTCCTGCAAAAACAGACACTTCTTTTGGAGAAATGAAGTCTTTGGACAGTTTAGCAAGCTCTTCAGTGACGAAGTCATGGATAGGGTCATGGAGAGTCACTAAAACCTGGCTCTTCAGCCTTCCCAGTAATTTGTCCACGGTGTGTTGTTTGGCCGAATGGTCTGAAACCACAGTGCCTATGTACTTCTTGCCAACTCCTGTAACCACAGCACCCATTAGCCCTCCTGTTTTCGACTTGGGTGCTGTGGCGTTATAACTATGTCTTATCTTTGATAGAACGTAGTTGTTCTGCTCCCAGAGGAGATCATGCTTGGACCACAGATCGGCAGTTTCCGAAAACCCGACGTCTTTCAGAAAAAAGTTTATAGCTTCTTTGCTGATGAGACTTTGGATCACGTTGGTTTTTTCAACAGAATCAAAGTTGTTTACCAGGAAAATACCAGACTGCTTTCCTAGAATCACGGATTCCTTATTGGCACAGCAAAATGCACCAATCTCAAGTACTTGGGATTCCAACAGTCTTCTGAGATGGAAAGGAGTGTTATGACTGTGTTTCAGAGAATGCGTGGAGAAGTCCAGTTTCGTATAGTCCAATTGGATTCCAAAATTCTCAGAGCTCTTGAGCAGCTTTTCGTAAATTCGGCTCAACTCTGGTTGATTTCCCTTCTTGGAAGAAGCATCCAGCACGAACACGGATCCAAAATGCTGTGTTAAACTTTCAAAATGCCTATCAAATCCATGCTTTGTGGCATCAATGGATCTCTCAGACTCTATCTTCGTGGACATCAGTTGGTTTTCCAACTTCCAGAACAATGGGGTATTTCCTCTCAACAACGTGTATGCATATGTGTATGGTTCAGTGTATAGGATAATGTCAGTTTCGACGAAGTTGGCAGTATTCCCGTCATTATCCAGCCCAAATGGTCCAAACACGGACCCGTTCCTCGAACACGCATACCTGGATATTATGGTGATCAAGGCTTCGTATTTGTCAACTATAGTGTTTGCGGTTTGAACATTTCCCCGCATCATCGTCACCAGAAACGCCCCTTCATCGAAACTTTTGGTCTCAGATCTTCCCAAATGACTCCTAAACTCCACCAGCTCAGAAACAAGAAACTGGTTCCAAGTAAAATTGCGATAGTGGTCGTCATCCAGAGCGTCTAGCATTCGTTGCTCATTCAAATGAGGCCCTCGATCCTGAAAAGCCACCGATAGGTCGTAATTTTCTGAATAGTAAAAGGATCCAGCAGATAGTAGTCGTCTCAAAGAATAACATGGGAAGTCCGGAAAATCCTCGAATGTGGCTCCATCTATTTCAAACATATGGTCATAGGCATCGCTGTTGAGACACACGAACTCAGTAGATACCACATTATAAATAATCTGTCCCGGAACAAAACTGCCTACCTCCTTTCTCCCGGAGATAAACGCCAGATATGTCAAATCTTTGACGGAAATAAGGCCGCAAAAACCATACCATTCACGCCTAGTTAACTCCACGTAGTTGGAGAGGTCAATGGCTGAGCCGGCAACAAACTCAACCGCGCATTTCGCCTCAGAACCAATTCCACGGAACGACAGAACACAATTGTTGGACAAGATTGCCAGCGATCGCGGTCTCTCGTTCAGAAACACCCGCATTATCGCTATGGGCTGATCCTTTCTTGTTGAAGGAACACGGTCTTCTCTAAGCTGCGGCTGTGGCTATGTAGTGGTATTTTGGTGACACAGTGTTATTTGACAGCGGTTTCACGGCCCAGATAGCAATTAACGACACGGTGAAATATGACAGCTATGGTTGATAGCGATTATCTGCTGGTTTCTGTCGTGATCACCTCTTACTTTTGGGTCGTCTTAACAAAACAAAAGGTCAAATGGACAGGGGAACGGAGTCGAAGGAGTTTGTCGATCTGCTTCTGGCCTGCAGAAGTGGTGATCTGGATCGCGTGGACCAATTGGTATCGCTTGGGATTAATGTAGGTGAGCTTTGCACTCTTGATTTTGGAGGCCATTACTAACAAGACCACTAGCTCAACCAGGTCGACCGATGGGATAATTCACCGCTTATTCTTGCTAGTTTGTGTGGGCATGAGGACGTAGTGAGGTTTTTACTGGAGCGCGGTGCTGTTTGCGATCGTGATACATTTGAAGGTGAGAGGTGAGTGTTAAACATCTTGTGAACAATGGAGAATCTCTTACTAATAATTCAGATGCGTTTATGGTGCTTTGAACGACTCAATCCGCGATCTTTTGCTCAGTTATGACATTACCAAGGCGGTGGATGTCACCCAGCCGTTTGCGGCACATATATCCTCACTAGTGCCGGAGGCCAAGGTGGTGACTGCAGATATCTTGGTCAATGGAGAGAAGCTGCATAAATTCATGCTTTCTGCACGAGGTGTGTTGAAGAACATCAGTCTGGTTGAGTCTATACCTTCTATTACGACAAAAATTGTCAATTACGTGTATCAAAAACCCCAGACTGGGTTTGAAAGGATAAACTTGGAGGAACTTCTTTCTGTCGCTGTCTCTTTGGATCTAACAGACTTTGCGGAAATGGTGAGGGAGTATCGTGCTGCGACTACGCCAATCTCGAGGTCCAAAGTCATGCGCAATTTCCAGCTCGAGATGTCGCGATTGGCCCTGAAAGACATGTCACAGTTCACAGAAGATCAGATCTTTGCACATGCTTTGGTGAAGGATACCCCGGAATTGTCAGTTCAGGAGAAGTTAGACATGATGACAGGCAAATGTTTTCCAGACGTGATTCTTACGGTTCCACACAAAGATGGAGGCCATTGGTTCGTGCCGAGTCACCGAGCCATTCTCGTCAGATCTGAGTATTTCGAAACCATGTTCAGGTCCAACTTCTCTGAGGCATCTATATTCAACGACCTGGTTTCCGAAAATGGTATTATTGACAGAAACAGGCTCATAGAAGATCCAGATCTGATTCCAGTGATTCCAGTGACTGCTGCCTCAAATTCAAATCTGTTGCGTATCTTGATTGAATTCCTCTATTACGATAATTCCACATTCGTCTACTTCGAGTCACTTGACGTTCTTTCAATGGCAGATGCGTTACTCATAGATAGACTAAAAAACATGGCGTCAGTGGTGTTATCGAGTGATGGTGATAATCCAAGAATACCTGTTTATGACATCTTAAGAGCTGGCTGGGATACGCGGATCAACAGATTAGAGACTTATGCTGCACGGGTTATTGCCAACAGACTGGAAGAGTACATTAATGAGCCGGACTTTGAGGATGTTGTATTGGAGAGTGCGGAGAGGATTGAAAACCGTCATGACACTGATACCATTGACTTGATTGACGATATCCGGTTTTATCTCACGAAGAAGTTCCATATCACAAACTACGAGGGTTACGACGTCTTCTTCAAAGATGTGGTTAAGGACGATCCAGCATTGTATAGAGACTACACGGAACAGTTAGCGTGGATAGATGACCTGCTGGCTAGATTAGGACTGGACGCTTAAACGAAAAGCTTTTTTCATAGAGGAATTTGGGGGGAAACCATGATAACAGGTGACGAGAGTATTTATTTTTGATTCAAACATAACTCTGACCGCACCCGACCAACCTGTAAAGACTGCGCCGATAGCTTCGCAGATATTCTTCGTAGGATTGTCCTGGCATCTTTTGTCTTCTTTAACTGATAACACTGCCTCAATTCCTAGGCAGTCTTCTTTACCTTCTTGGAAGCAGATCTCAGGTGGTGCTGAGGAATCCACGATTCGTCCAGCTTCTTGGACCCACTGGCAACAGCTGCACTTGGTTGGGCGGAGGCAGACTTCTTTGGAGTCACAGACTCAAAGTATTGCTTTCCAAAGATGGAGTAGATAACATAGGCAATACCGGCCAGCGATGCAACTAAAACAATTTCAAGGAAGATCAATTGAGGGTTGAAAACAGAGATTTTTGGGTCTGAAACCGTGACCAACTGGTTTCTGGCTCCCAACTGCATGAACTTCTCCTGGTGGAAAACGTAGATTGCAGGAACAAAGAGGTAGTTTTCTGGGTTCAAATCAAGACCAATGTTCTGGATGAAGGTGACCGTCTCACCAGATGGAACGGTGATAGGACCAATCTTGCTTCCAGTAACATTGGCAACAACGTCCCCGGTAACTGGGTTGTTGAAAGAACCAGCAACACCTGCAATGGTGACCTCATCATCTTCATCATTCTTCAAGGTGAACTCAACAGCCGCAACTTCACCATTCTCGAGACTGACCAGATCCTGTGGGGATGACTGTTTCTCCTTAACAAGGTAACTGATACGGATCTCAAATGGTTTCTCTGGAGTAGGAACAAAGTCCTCGGAAGCAGCAACAGCCAGAGACACTAGGGAAAGCAATGGCAATAATAAACTGGATAATCTCATCTTAAATATAAAAAACAATGGATGAAGAAGAACTAAGCAGAAGGAAAGAACAAGGCCCACGTCAACAGCTTGGATTGATTCGACGATAACGTTGTTCAGATGTCGAGACTTCAGTTTGGGCAGGGCGCACGACCATCCCCACGATTTATGAGCTGAAAGAAATGGCAATATATCTTCTCACAAACGGCAATACTTCTTTTGCGGTTGAACATTGCACTTAAATATTTAATCTCGAGCCATGACAGTGGAACAGGATGTGGTGAACTATGATATTAGTGCTTTGAATTCCTACACGTTTGCTGATCTATCCGAGATCAAGCGCAATCTTGAAACGACACTCACTGATCTGTTTGGAAAATTGGACCAGGTGAGTAGCTCTACCAGAGCAAAGTCAAAATCAGACAAGACCAAAACTAACAATTCTATTAAAGCATGGCGTTAAGATGGAAACGTCACTTCTCACGTTTGACGGATTTCCCCGTTCGGACATCGACGTTGCTCAGATTAGATTTATCAGAGCTCGAATTGTCAGACTACGGAATGATTACAGACAGGTTATGGACAGAATTGAGGCAGAACTGCGCGATAGATATGCATCTGTGGGTGCAGATGATGAATCCATGGCAAATAACTCTGTGGTTTTTGCCCGTGTGACGCTGATAGAGCCCGATTCCCCCGCATCTCTTGCAGTAAGTGAAATTTTGACCTCGAAACATAAGTGCCAAACTAACACCAACAAGGGCTTTCAATTGAACGACGGAATAATTCAATTTGGATCAATTGATGCAACCAATCATAACGGCTTGCAGAGTCTGCCGGTATTGGTGGGGAACAAGAAGAATGTAAGTGAAGTTTTTTGGATTCATTGGCTCTGTCCATTGGCTCTGACTACAGTGTCTTGAATTCATTGGATAACCCATTGGCTATATGGCTTCATAAACGATTTCGTTTACAACCTACTAACAAACTAGCAACCAATTGCGGTCAAAATCAGTAGAAACGACGAAACTCTCGATCTGTCTCTAACTCCACAGGAATGGTCTGGAAGAGGTCTCATAGGCTTCAAGCTGGATCTCGTGTAAATAGCAGTTGGAGCTTAGTGTCCGTTGTCTGGTTATCATAGTGTACAACTCTCGTTTGTTCTCATCAAATATTAATGTTTACCCCCTTTTTATACTCAACCCCCATGCAATGTCGACGTAAAAGTTATCAAATCCCTATTCTGCAACTCATACATCTCTTCGCCCTCAAGCTCCCAATCGGTATCATTAATCAACACGATAATGCCGGGCCGTATGGACTCACCCTCCAAAAATACCTCCAGATCTTGAGGCGTCTTAATCAGAGTGTCTCTTATTTGCAACAAAAGGTCTTTGAGAACCTGCCCATCGGCCATCACCATAGTATGGGTCTTCTGACCATCGAAGATAGAGTCGAGTCCACCGCTAATCGCGATTAGTACAACAACATACAAAATAGCCGAAACTCAATAAAATGGCAGAGCTGTCTTTAAAATCATGGTTTTCACTTACAGAAATTCAACTTCCACTCTGATTTCCGTCATGTTCGTCACAAATAGTACCTCTAGAACTCTTTTGAAAAGTTTCCGTTAAGAGCTCTGATTCTTTTTTCCCGCCCCATGTTCATGTGACACGACCAAAGATGACCTGCGCTGACAAAAAACTTCATTATGATTCATCATCCCCAGATTTAACCCACTACTCTCTTCCTTGTTGTAACTGCGAACATACTGAAAACACTATTATTTTTACTATTTTAGAATGCCAATGCTCAAGGATCCCTCGCGCAAATACCGCAAATTTCCGGCCATGAATTTGCCAAATAGGCAATGGCCTGCCAGGACTCTGGATGTGGCACCCAGATGGCTCTCTACAGACCTCAGAGACGGCAACCAGTCTTTGCCAGACCCTATGACTTTCGAGGAAAAAAAGGTATACTTTAGGAAACTTTGCGATCTTGGATTTAAGGAAATTGAGGTTTCGTTTCCTTCCGCTTCGCAGATCGATTTTGACTTCACCAGGTTCGCCGTGGAGACTGCCCCAGATGATGTCTACATCCAGGTTCTGTCGCCATGCCGTCCGGAGCTCATCAAAAGAACTATTGAATCATTAAAAGGTGCCAAAAAAGCCATTGTTCATATTTACCTTGCCACATCGGATTGCTTCAGGAATGTTGTTTTTGGGCTTTCCAAAGAGGAATCGCTCGAGCTTGCGACTTCATGTGCGAAGCTGGTGAGAAGTCTTACCAAGGATGATCCTGAAATGGCGGCAACCGAATGGTTGTTTGAGTTTTCGCCGGAGACTTTCAGTGACACGAATCCCGACTACGTGCTCGAGGTGTGTGAGGCTGTCAAACAGGCTTGGAGTCCAACTGAGGAACAGCCTATCATCTTCAACCTTCCTGCCACTGTGGAGATGTCGACTCCTAACACCTATGCTGATCAGATTGAGTATTTTTCAACAAGAATCTCAAATCGGGAGACTGTCTGCATTTCTTTACACCCACACAATGACCGTGGCTGTGCAGTTGCTGCTGCAGAACTGGGTCAACTTGCAGGAGCTGATAGAATCGAGGGTTGTCTTTTTGGAAACGGCGAGAGGACTGGAAACGTGGATCTTGTGACATTGGCACTTAACCTGTATACCCAGGGTATCTATCCGAATCTAGATTTCTCCGATATCAACTCTGTGATTGATATTGTAGAGAAGTCCAATAAGATTCCCGTTCATCCTAGGGCGCCATACGGAGGCCAACTCGTGGTTTGCGCATTCAGTGGATCGCACCAGGATGCTATCAAAAAGGGATTCAAGCAACATGAGGAGAGCAAGTCTGAGATCTGGGAAATGCCATATCTTCCTTTGGATCCTCAAGATATTGGTCGTACATACGAGGCAATCATCAGAGTCAACTCGCAGTCTGGAAAGGGAGGTGCTTCGTGGATTATCCTGCGTAACTTGGAGCTTGATCTTCCAAGAGGCCTCCAGATCGCATTCTCCAGGGTCGTTCAACAAGAGACCGAAAATGTGCAGAGAGAACTGCACAACGACGAGATCATCCAGCTCTTCAGGTCTCAGTATCACGTTTACGAGACACCCAAGAAGGAGGACGTGGAACTGGTGGATTACACGCAACTCAATGCGTCTAAGAACTCCAGAGTTCTGGAGGTGATTCTCAGTGTTAAGGGTGCAACCGTTGAGTCGAAGGGAGAAGGAAACGGTCCGATTTCGGCGTTCACTGACGCTCTCAGAAAGGCATTTGGTTGCAACTTGGTGGTGAAAAAGTACCAGGAGCACTCTCTTGGTAAGGATTCGGATTCGAAGGCTGTGTCTTACATAGAATGCGGTGTCACTGGACCTTCAGGAGTTGTTCAGGATATTTGGGGTGTTGGTATCCACGAGGATGTCTCACAAGCCAGTTTCTTGTCATTGATTTCGGTCATCAACTCAGCAATTGAAAAGAAGATTTTGACATGAAACAGGCTGAGGTTGCAGAAGAGGACTTACTTAGTTTAACCAGCCGATCACGGCCATTCAAAATAGACAATTTCATTCAAGTGATCCGGGTCATCTGATAGTACACACAATATGAAGCTTCGTATCGTCATAAACCATTATCGTATCTGCTCACGGAAAGACCCCCTATTTTATGGGAATTCGGAAAGTTTCAAGGACAAATTCAAAAAAGTTTAATCCAGAAGCTCAGCCATCTGCAATCAAATCGTCTCCACTATCCAATAACTTTTCAGTTCAAATACTTTGCTTTCTCAGCCTCCAGGAACTTCACAAAACCAGCATATGGAGCCGCAAAGTGGGTCAGACTCTTGAATATCGGCAATAACTCGATCATGGAATCACACTTTCCAATTAAGCTGGAGTTGATTTCATCGGCTTGCTTTTCTCTCTGGAACTCTTCTATTATCGTTTCCTCCAAAATATTCAGCGAAGACTCGAAAGCCTCAACAGAAACGGGTATACCCATGTCATCATCATCGCCTCCCGTGGGCGCAGCTTTTACCGAGGAACTCGAGTTCTCCTGGACCAGGCTGGATGTGTGTATGATGGCATTAGCCGTCTGGAACACCGTCAAGACCAAGTTCATCCGTTTCTTGACAGTGACCAGTTTGGCTAGATCTGCCAATGTGGTCTTGCTGCTGGATTCATTCTGGATTTCTGTAAGCTTCAAATTCACGGACTCCAGGTCCTGGAACAACGAGTTGATTGAGGAGGACAAAGTGTCAATATAGTACTCCAATCTTGTAACCCCATTCAGATCAGAGCCCTTCTGAGGCACGTCCGTTCGCCGCTTGTAGGAATAGGATATGACCGAGGACGATTGTTGGAGATCTTCAATTTTGGATTCCAAATCATCTGTTAATTCGTTTGTGTAATAGTCCAAGTGAGCTAACAACGACGAGCACTTGGTCTGTAACGTCTGTAAAGATCTCACTGAAGGATTAGCCTTTATTGTTCGCGAGGGTAGCGAAGAGAGGAACAGCGAGTCCAGAAACGCGTGCGGCACAAAATTGTCATCGAAAAATATTTCCAGCGCATCCTGCTTTGATTCTTGTTCCATTGTCATGATAATTTCTATACTAGCGGAGAAAACTAGGGTACTGTTGATCAACAGCTGATCGCGAAGCCAGTCAACCAAAGTACAGCTAGTCCTCGCCAATTGGATCTGCCACCGATGCCCGGGCAAATCCCCAATAGGGAAAACACAAACTTGTTTCGAAGACCACAACAAACATATTCAGGTATACTACGCTGGCTGTACATCAGTGGTTTCACAATATTATATCAGGATTCCATGAGTGCACAATATGTAAATAACCACCGGCTGACGACTGCCAATGTTCATCGACTGGAAGGTAAGACCGAGAAGCTGACCCGATTGTCACGCTACGCAGAGCCAGATGTGGAGGAAGATGATCTGTTTGGTGAAGAGGCAGGCGATCGCCTCGGGAAAGGGATCAAAAAGCAGCCGGTTCGGCCAGACACATTTTCGCAGTCGTCGCCTTCGAGATCTGCCTCAGATTATGCCGAAAGTGACACCGATCTTACTGACTTTGCTGAAGGCCTGGAGCTAGACAACGATCTTGATCTCATGGCCAAATTCGATGCTGTCAAGAGAGAGGCTCAGAAGAGGGCGCAGTTCGACGACTCGCAACGGGAAGAAGCCCAGAGGCCTTTTGTGGACAAAGAAGAGTCCAATTGGGATGTTTTTTACTACAAGGCGGATGACGGCTCGTTCAAACAAGTTGATGATCTGATGTTGAACGATCCAAGGCGATTCCACAAATCTGTTGTGATCAACTCAACAACGCCGAAGTTGCGTTCCAGTCAATCTAGTTACCGATTATCCTCTCCAACAAAAGACCAACAGCTGCGGCTAAGAGCAAAGCAATCCATGCCGAATTTCCAGGAAAGGACATCTCCCTCGCGGCTGCGGAAGTCGTCTTCATCTTTGTTCGATTTCCGATCATCTACACGCAAATACCCGCTTCTCGTTGATGAAGACGGAATCGGCACATTAGAGGTTCCACAGTTTCGCAAATCGGTTCGTCACCGTGTGTCGTTCCAGGATCGCGATGGATTCGAAGATGATACGATAACGGTTCACACGCAAGTTAGACCACCGCACGCCTCGCGCCCTGACCTCTCGCGTTTCCAGGAAACCGGTTATCAAACGCTGAGACCACAGTCTTCCAAGAAATTTTCGAAGATTCGGCTGATTCGCCAGCTGAATCAACCTAGCGTCGATACCCCTAAGGCAGCCTCAGGCATGCACTACAACCCCGTGTTACAGACATGGGAGGGTAATGAGGCCGAATTGCGACGTTTTGATTCAATACGACCCGATATGCGCACAATTCGGAACACTAAAACGCGAGGCCAGCAGAAACCGCCTCAGAATGTCGGCGGAATGCGGTTTGACCAGCAGAACCTGCGGTGGGTGCAAGATGGCGCTTACCAGGACGATCCTTTCGAAGGAATAGATGATATACCTGAAGCTGGTGAAAGACAATGGAGTCAGACGACAACAGCCTCATCCGCGGTGCTCGACCCTGAGGACCCGTTCCTACAATCTGTACAAAGTGCAAACAACTGTTTCAGGATCAATAGCGAGCAACTGCGGTCGTTTGCCAATGAGGAGCATAAGTGGATCAAGAAGGTGCAGAATTGGTTTCCTGTGGGCTCCGAAGATGATTCCTATTTATATGAGCTGCGGAATTTTGTTATTCAGAGCCAAAGGAAGTAGATTTGGAGAGAATGTGAGAATGCATGATGACAATTATCTCACCGCAAACAGATTCAGCAGAAGGACTTGCATATCACTCAAAATATGGCTCTCCCACTTCAAAATCGTCTGAAGTCGAAGAATACATGAAGCACCTCAAATGGGTGATATCACGAAGTCCCTTCAAGGGTCGCGCTGCCTATCATTCAAGGCTCTAAGCTTGGTCGTGCTTTTTGAAACGTTTAACTATTGAATGTAAGTAATAAAGTAATGCTCCCGCTAACGGGTTCTTTTTGGGTTGTTGAATTTTTTGGGGTCTTTTTTTTGGGGTTTCAAAAGCTTAGGAGGGCCGTCACCGGTACATGTCCTGATTGCCTTTTGGCTCGTTCTCTTTTGTGGTTTTTTGTCGGTTTTTTTTGTCTATTGGTTGGTTTTCCCGTGAGCCCTCCAAAGATGGGAAAAAACTAAATACATGTATTGTTGGTCGTATAGTTCAGATGTTCTCGTTAGCAACCTCCTCCGTCTCGGCAGCACTTTCCTCGGCAGCGGCAACTGGCACCACAGGTGCAGTCTCGGGTACCGATTCGTCCTTACCTGATTCTTCTCTTTGGTCGAATGGCAGGACCCACTTCTCGTAGCCGAACTTGGTTCTGAGCTTGATAATCTCGGTTCCAACGGTTTCCAGGTTCTGGCACATGGAGAGAGCTGTCAACACCATGTTGAAATCTCCGCCACTGAGCGCAAGCACTCTGTTGAACGAAGCAATCTTCAGCAATGGGATGTAACCTTTCGAGTTCATCTGCTTGCGCAAATAGATGTCCTTGACCAGATTCTCGGTCGAAAAGTAGTAATCTATCTGTCTAGACAGCGAGAAGAGAGCCTCCTGGAAAAACTGTTGCTGTTGATGCTGGGGCTGTGGGATCATGAACTGAGGAGGTATTTGAGGGAAGCGCATGAAGCCATTGTGAGGAACAAACGCCTGGGGTTGTTGAGGTTGGAAAACACCGTTGTGGTGAAATCCGTTTTGGTGGTGGTGATGGTTACCGTTATGATGAAACCCATTTTGGTGGTGGTGACTGGCAGTTCCGTTGGAACCATGACGAGGATACTTCTTGTAGCCATTCTGACGAGGCTGGAAATCCGTTCCCTTATAGTTTCTATGCTGTTGCGGCAATTGGTGCTGTTGTAGGTCAGAATGCTGCTGCTCTGATTCCGCTGGCTCGGAACTCAGAGATTGTGATTCGCTGTGCTGTTCTTCCAACGTGGTTTCTTGAGCCTGCTCTTCCTCGGTGGTCTTTTTCTCTTCACGCTTCACTTCTTCTGACTTGGCTACGCCATTGGCCGGCTTCTTAGTGCTCTTTGGCTTGGGCGCTTTGGGGTCGGTAGGCTTTCCATTGCCCTGAGGGGTTTTCTTTGCCTTCGATTTGTTCTGGGGCTTTCCATTTGACTTTCCAGAAGATGGTGTGGGCAACACAACAGATGCCTTGAAAGGGACCCACTTCTCCTTACCGTTAGTGATTTTGGCAGATGGCTTCGACGAACCGAGGGACACCTGGAATGGGGCAGAAACCGAGTTTGCAGGAGCTGCGGCCGGAGCAGTACCCCAGGCATTTTTTTCTGGTACCGGTGCTGGAGCCAAGTTCTTTTTGGGCGCTTCTGGCTTGGTTTCCGCCTTCTCTGGTTTTTCAGAACCTTCAGGCGTTTCTGCTGGTGCAGCAACTGGAGGGGAGACCGCACTTGTGGCCACGGGGGTGGTGTCGGCTATGATCTCAGACTTTTCTGCCTTGGTGGGAGCTCCACTGGCAGCATTGGCGTATGAAATAGAAGACATCTGGCGAGTTTTGTTACTGGTTCGATCTCTTTCAGTGAACTAGTTTGTAGTGCAAATAGGCGGCCGTTTCGCTTGAGAAAAATTGCAATGCAGGAAAGTTTTGATACGGAACTCCACTAAAATCTCCTCAAACCTCGAAATACAAGCAACTTTTCCTGGTCTTGTTGGAACTCAAAAAACTTTTCTTGTCTTTGTTCTGAAAAAAAAAGAGAAGGCCCTCGACGATTTCGAATTTTTTTCTGTGTGTGTGGGTTGGAGAGAAATTGAGCAAATTACACGACATTGCGAGAAATAGTCGTGGCCTTCCCGATTCCGGGTAATGCCGATTCCCTATAGTTGTTGAGGAAGAGTTGAGTGGAAGAGTGCAACATATAGAAGTGTCAAACACCATAGATACTGGGTTTAGCCGGCAAGTCCACTCTTTTCAGTTCATGAGGCCCTCTTTCACCACGTTGGTCCGGGCCAGACGGCCTGTGCGTGAAACCCCTCCGCTGATGCCACCTCTCCAGCTCTACAGAGAGATCCTCAGAGCCCACAGGAACCTGCCCTCTCCGCAGCGAGCACTGGGAGACTCGTATGTAAGGGGTGAGTTCAGGGCTCATCGCAAGATCGATAATCCACTACACATTGTTGGGTTTCTGCAGCAGTGGCAGGAGTATCTAAATGTCATTGCTGGAGGCAAATGGCACGAATATAGACTGTCTTCAGCGGAGCTCGACAAGATGAGTCCCGAGCAGGTTGGGCAGTTGTACGAGTTGATGAAAGAGACGCAGCGGATTGGACGTGGCGAAGAATAAGATGAAAACAACTAAATTTTGATGCTACCCACATCTGGAGTTGAGGTTCCTACTTATATTACGATTTGTACATAATCATACACGAGTTAACGAGTATTCAACGGTGATTCCGCTATTGTTCCGGCTAAAAACCTTGGGTCGTGTTGAAGCGAAATCCTGAAAAAATTCAGAGTCTCCTCTTAAGGCATTGACTGGTACGAGTGCGAGTACGTTTAGCACCATTTACCATATTCTAACCTGGTTAATATTTGGCCTTCTTCAAATATTCCAATCACATCTTATTCATAATATGTCAAAGGGATACACCGTCCTACCTATAAGGCTGGTAAGCCCGCCCCAGCTAGCAGACACAGCGGCCGTGCACCATCTATATCTCAAAAGACACTCTACTACACAACGGGACCCAACTCTGGTGGATATTGCAAATAGGTCACTTTTCATTGTCAATCTTCCATTTGGAGCCAACTTTGAATCCTTCAAGAGGTTTTTCGGCGAGATTTCCACCGGTGCCATTATTGAGGGTGTTCACGTGAGTAGTCCTGAGATTGATCTTACCAAGTTAACCAGTGAGATGAAAAACAACACGGCTTTGGAATTTGGAGAAAAGAAAGAGCAGGAAAAGTTTATTTTGCCATTAAACACGGCGCTAGTGACGTTTCTGGATACTAGTGGTGTCGATCTGGCTCTTCAGAGTGTGCGGAAACTTGCCAGTTCCAAGAGATTGGCCCGTTGGCCTGTGGCTGTTTCCACTGGATCCAAAAGGTACTCTTCGCTGTTAGAAGAGACTGTGCTTGAATCTGAAGGATTGGCTGAAAGAGTGGCGCACGATATGGAGCTATTTGCAGCAAAAGAGCTTGATGACCTACAAGAACTCAACGAGATGAAAAATAAGGTTGATGCCGATGGGTTCACGCTTGTGGTCGGTTCTCACCGTAAGACGAAGAACGGTATTCTAGGAAAGTTACAGCATTCTCGGGATCTCGAGAAAATCAACCGCAAGATGAAGAAGAAGGAGAAGACCGACTTTTACAAGTTCCAGATCCGCGAGCGCAAGAAGCAGGAAATGAACGATCTGTTGGCAAAGTTCAAAGAGGATCAAGAGAGGGTAAAGGTAATGCGGTCTAAACGTGAGTTCAAACCGTACTGAATCTGTGAGTGGTTAGTAATTATGAAAGGATAATGAATTGGAAATTGACTTCGTGATTTGAAGTCTTGAGATTTTTCAAAGGTGTTAGAATAGATTTATTGACAACCGTGAATGTACAGTAATGAACTCAAATGTGAGTAACATGATGTGGCCATACTTTATATGAAACGTCCATATCCAAAAAAGTGATCGGGGATATTGAGAGGTGAAGCCTCGTCACAACCTCCCACCGGGAGTGACGCTAATCAACAAATCCTCGTCGTCATCAACTTGGTCTGCATCTTCCACCTGTCTGAGCATGATGGCAGCTGATTTTCCCAGCTCTCCCAGTTCTTTCACCACCACCACAGGTTTTTCATGGTAGTCAAGAACACGCTCTTGGTCTCCATAGCATATCACCAACGCGTACTTCTTCCAATCATCAGCATTCAGCTTGTGTCTGCGCATAGCCGCCTGAAGAACCTTCAAACAAGAATCTTCTGTATTGGCTCTTAGCTGTGTCTGAATATCGTAGGACGGATCTAGCGAGGTCGACCGACTTGGGATAGAGGGCGACCTCGGCGATGTGTGTGCTGTTGGTGAAAATTGCATCGATTTGCGCACAGAAGTTCGCTTGGCATACTGTTCTGCGGGACTTGCGGTTGATCTTTGAAGTCTAGTAGGGGAAGCTGCTGCTGAGGGCGATTGAGATACGAAAGTTGTATTCTCCGGCGTTGGCAGTGGCTTCGTGTCTTTGATCAGCTTGAAAATTGGGAGCATCTCCTCGCGGAGCCTATTGAACTGTTCCATTGTGCGTCTGTAGTCAGGGTCACGGTTCGATCCGGAGCGAGCATTCTGATGAACGGATCTGGAGAGTTGTTGTACCACATTCGAAGAGATCATCAGTGATTGTAGCTCCGTGAAAGAGTTTGAAAACATCGTAGGATTCAACTCTCCACGCTTCGCTGAATTCGTGAGCAATATGCTGATCTCATGCTTAATGCGAATCCGGTCTTTCAAAGAGGTTATACCCATTTCACGCAAATGGTCTGACTCTAGCATTGGCAACACTAATCCAGTCACATTATGCTCTGCAAAAAGAGTAGCGTATTCGGAAAGATGTTCCTTCGAAGATATCCATATACTGACCTCGTTGGCATCCCAATCGAGCGGTTCTGTTGAGGGAGATTGGCGGATCTGAGGAGATAAATATGGAGGAGATAATGCAGTCGGCCCTTCTGTTGGTATCAGGATGGAGGAAGGCCGGGCCATTCCTGGGTGGGACTTTTCATAGCCAAGAGTGTTCATGGGGAGTATTAAATAACACAAAAACAGCACCGAGTAGAAAACTAAGAGAAACCACTCTTTGGGGCTCTTGAAGGAGAAGACAGGAAGAGGAAAAGGACAAGATCGAAAGACAGAAATAGAACAAGGATAAGGTAGTGCCGTTGCTAACTCTGCTCAGCCGTGTTGTCCTCGTGGGGCTCTAGACCGGCAATTCGATACAGACATGGGGTTTCTGGGGATGAAAAAAGGGGACTTGAGGGTGACTGGAGGTCATCCATGCTTCTTTAAGATTCTGACATTTTACTGAAATGGTTATATCTATACTCGTATCACTATTTGTATCCCTGAATCAACAATGCAAAAAAGATTCGGAACCGCCTGGTGACACTCAAATCAAGCAAATTAAGCTATCAGGAACTTCACCAAAAAGCACTGAGAAGACGTATTGTTCTTCATGATTTGAAAAGCAGCTGATGGCATCAAAGTGATACAATTCTGTGCCGCCCTCCTTTTCGTTGGCAATCCCCGTTTACCGACCTTTCACTCCAAGCATTCCGCTGAAAGTTGTGTCACTTGTGTCACGTGCTCTGGCTCACTAAGTATGGACCATATTGCAATTCGGGGCTCCGGTTTCCGCTACAAAGAATTCAGAGAATCTCAGGACCATCAGCAGACACACCTAAGCGTCAGCAGCTGACCCGGTCAAGGATAACCTTTCAAATCTGCCTGCCTATCCCTTCACTCATTTTTCCATTCAGCAAATATCTCGGAAAATATGGTCGTGCTCATACCAACTGATAGCCGCCACAGATTACCTCATCCGGTAATCGGAGCGGTCTTATCGAGTGCTGTAGCTTTTATCCGCTCTCATCAATCGTGGCGGATCAAGGAGTAGTGACATTGGACTGGACGTGGTTGTTTTTGGTCTATAAAAGGAGCTGATCCATCATTGAAAGTCTACTCTGTTAAAGACTTCATCCTTCAATTGAATCTCTCAATGACTGACTTACAAATGTTTGGTGCTTTTACCAATGACATCTCTGACCCTGCGAAGTTTGCGGAATGGGAGCCAAAAATCAAGGCCTACCGGGAAGCCGTTGCCGCTGGAGTTCTTGATGAGTTTAAAGCTCCTGAGTCACTGATCCCCGGAGACATTGACACTAAGGGCTACAATGCTACAGTGCTCACGGCGAAGTTCTTAACTGCTGATGAACTCGCTATCGTTGATACGCCTGGATACAAACTCGTTGAAAAATTGGCCAAGGGAGAACTTACTGCCGTCGAAACTTTCAAAGCGTTTGCCAAAGCAGGTACTCTTGCGCATCAAGCACTCAATTGTGCCATGGAATTGTTTCCTGAATACGGACTCAAACGAGCCGAGGAGTTGGATGCTTACTACGCCAAAACCGGTAAGACCGTGGGTCCATTGCACGGACTGCCCATTTCGTTGAAAGAGCATTACAATTTCGCAGGCCATGTGACACACGCAGCTTATGTCTCATTGCTGGACAATGTCACTCCTGAACACGCCTATAACACCAAGATCCTGGAAGACGCTGGTGCCGTGTTCTATATCCGCACCTCGGAACCCCAGTGCCTCATGCATCTGTGTTCCGGTAACAACATCACTGGAAGAACTCGTAACCCTTACCGTTCGACTCTTACAACTGGTGGTTCTTCTAGTGGTGAAGGTGCCATTGCTGCCATGAAGGGAAGTGTTTTTGGCATCGGTTCCGATATCGGTGGGTCTATCAGATGTCCAGCAGCTTTCTGTGGAGTCTGGGGTTTGCGTCCTTCCCAGAAGCGTATCACTCTGAAAAACGTGACTTCTTGTTACACGGAAGGTGTGCAAGAAGCTGTTTATGTCGTCCTTGGTCCTCTTGCTAGATGTGCCGAGGATCTCGATCTGTGCATGAAGGTTGTTCTTGGTGCAAAGCCATGGGAACATGATGCTCTCTTGGTTCCTCTTCCCTGGAGAGATGTTCCCTTTCCAGCTGCCACCAGTCTAACTGTTGCAATTGCTTATGACGATGGAGTGGTTGCTCCTCATCCACCAATTTTGCGTGGACTTAAGGAGGCTGCCGCAAAGCTGGCTGCTGCTGGTGTAAAGGTTGTCGAGTGGAAGCCAATCAGAACCTATGAGAACGTCTGTGCTGTTGCCTCCATGTACAATGCCGATGGAAATAGCGCTCAAAGAGAGCTTCTTGCCGCTGCTGGTGAACCACTTTTCCCCCTCACCGAAGTGTGCCTTTCGTTTGGGTGTGGTGATGCTGGAGTCTCCGGAAAGGAAGCCCAGAGACTGGCTGGAATTCGTGACTCCACTCGCCAGGAGTTCCTGGATGCAATGAACGCTCAGGGAATTGACTATTTGCTTACTCCAACGTACAATGGGGTTGCTGCCAAGCCAGACGTCCTCAAGTACTGGGGTTACACATCCCTGTACAACGTGCTTGATTACCCAAGTGTGATATTCCCAACAGGTCTTTACGTTGACCCTGCACTGGACCCAGTTGACACCAAGTTTGTTCCACGCAGTGACATTGAGAAGTATGAACACGCTCTTTACGACGATCCCAAGGAGTTTGAAGGGGCGCCAATTGCCTTGCAGCTCATTGGTAGACGCTATAAGGATGAGGAGGTTGTGAAGGCTTCCAAGGTTGTCGCTGAGATCATTCAGGCATGAGTTGAGGCGAGTAAGTAAGAACTGAAATAGAACGGAACTTGTGCTTTGAAACACTTTATCGTATTTGTTAGTAAATTGCTTGACGTATAATACCTTATGAAGAACATCAACTAAACTCAGTCAACTTTGGAGCTATTTAATCACACATCTCGCTCAGTCGACTGCCAGCTTGGACTGTCTTGCGGCAATCGCATCTGCTAGCAGATTGAAGCCAAATTTCCGCTCGAAAATGGGCCTCGTGATCCAATCAGGGAGTAACGTTGTGGCCCAGCGGACTAACCAGGCTGCATGTCCTTCGTAAATCCTCCAAGTTCTCGTACGATTCAACATCTGATCAACAACTCTGATAGCATATTCAGCAGCTGGCGTACTTTGACCTGTAGTTGTTTCTTTTCTCTGTTTGATAAACTGACGAGTGGTCTCTCCAACATTGTAGAGGGAATCTGATGCTAAGGTTTGGTAGTTGGAGAAAATTTCGGTCGTAACACCACCAGTCACCACGTTCAACACCTTGACATTGAATGGACGGAGCTCGGACTCTAGTCCAGACGCGTACGAGTGCACAGCAGCCTTTGTGGCTCCGTATACCGATCCGAATGGCATAGGCATCAATGCAGATAAAGATCCAGTGAACGCGATACAGCCCTGAGACTTGATCACCAAAGGCGAGAATTCACGTGTAACGCGGATCACTCCCGCCACATTCACGTTAAGGACTTGTAAAAGAACATCCTCTTTGACCTCAATACCGGGGTAAAAGCAAGCTATCCGTTGGTAAGTTAGTATATGGATGCTCCTCTAGCATGTAAAAATTTCAACAAATAATATCACGTACGTCCTCCTGCATTATTGAACAGCACGTCCAAGTGACCATCAGTTTCTGCAGAAATAAGGTCTCTGGCGTATATAACACTTTCAAGAGATCCCACGTCAAGCTCAATTGGCACAATTCCGTATTCCTTCAATGGTTCCATTTTAGTCACTCTCCGAGCTCCAGCATACACCTTGAACCCTCTCTTTGCAAGTTCAACTGCCGTGGCATAGCCAATTCCGGAGGAAGCCCCAGTGACAAGAGCGTATCTTGGAATATCAGTCATTGTTTGTGATATGAGCAGATGAGTCTTGGTAAAAACAATAAAAGAACAAGGGAGAGCAACGTTTTCGAATTTGAGCAATGCCACGATAAGGGGTAAGCAGGTCGTGCGGCTCAGAATATCTGAAAACTGCACGTGATTACATGAGTTTTACTCATCATGCCTCAAATAAACACGTTTAAGGTCGCAATTTTGTGCGTTGTTGCTGTGGGATAAGGGAGAAATAGACAGGTTTTCTGATTTAGTTTGCCGGAAGAAAATGGGTTGAGCCGCACTGTCTCGCAACGACAAGGATGTGAAAAGTGAATGGAAATCACCCATGGTGGATCCTTTGCAACTCCACAGGCCTCAATTAAATTACCCTAGTTCTCCCACAGAATCCTATGTCCAGTTTCAAAATCTCCATCAATAAAAACATCTGAATGCTGTTTCAATCGTCCTCTGGGTAGATAGATACTCAGAGAGAAACTAGTTGGTAAGTGCACGAAAACGTTTTGACAATTCAGGGCCCCACCAAAAGCACCAAAAAGGTATTATAACAGCATTATCTAGTAACTGCAACCAAGAATAGCGGATTATTTTTGATATTCCCTCTGCTAGTTCGTCACTGGGAGGCATAATTGACACTTTTGAGTTCTATAATATTGGTTGGCACACTCCCTTTGCCAGACGCCTCCACTGACCACGCTACACGCGTCTTGTTCTTTTTACTGGAGCGTACTGGTTTCGAAGCAGGCTATTATCAACGCAGTCGAGATGGAAAAAATAGCGATTCCTACACAGTTGGAGCTTCCATGGTAAGTGACATAGCTTAGAAATAATTTGGGGAATTCTCAACTAACTCAGTCAGGGTGGAGAAGTACCGTCCCCAGGTGCTCAAGGACATCGTCGGAAACGAAGAGACTATCGAGGCTCTGGAACGAATTGCCGAAGAAGGAAACATGCCTCATTTGATTATTTCGGGGCTCCCTGGTATTGGAAAAACAACTTCCGTTTTATGTCTTGCAAGACAGCTACTTGGAGATAGCTACAACGATGCCGTTCTAGAACTCAACGCCAGTGATGATCGTGGAATCGATGTGGTGCGGAATAAAATCAAGTCATTCGCCCAGAAAAAGGTGAACCTTGGTCCCGGAAGGACGAAGATTATCATTCTAGATGAAGCCGATTCAATGACGCCGGGTGCGCAACAGGCATTAAGGCGTACTATGGAGATTTTTTCAAATACTACGCGATTTGCGTTTGCCTGTAATCAGAGCAACAAGATCATTGAACCCTTGCAATCAAGATGTGCAATTTTGCGCTATAACAAGCTCTATGATGAGCAGGTGCTCAAAAGACTGCTTGAGATCATTGCGTTGGAGAAGATCGAATACACGAATGATGGACTAGAAGCGTTGATTTTCACTGCCGAGGGTGACATGCGTCAAGCCATCAACAACTTACAATCTACGGTGGCTGGTTTTACGTTGGTTAATGCAGAGAACGTGTTCAAGATTGTGGATTCGCCCCACCCCCTAGTAGTGAAAAAAATGCTTGCCAAAGCAGTGGCAGGCGACATCGAGGGATCTCTCGATCTTCTTGACGGACTTTGGAAGAAGGGTTACAGTGCTGTCGATATAGTGTCCACAAGTTTCCGTGTTCTAAAAACCATGGACGAAATTGCAGAGCCGAAGAGACTGGAAGTGATGAAAGTGGTGGGATTCACGCATATGCGTGTTCTTGAGGGAGTGGGCTCGTATCTCCAGTTGGGGTCGATGTTATCCAAGGTGTGCAAATTTGCTTGAACTCCCAAAATTGTATAGCACCGATCACAGTTGAATAGGAGCGTAAGTAGTGGAGTTAATAGCAGAATACGTACTACAGGACATCTCACAGTACATCGTAGTCAACCACACTGAGTGCATGTGGCTTCGTTCAGCACCACATACTAAAATTTTTGATTTGCAACAATATTTCCTCCAATAATCGCTCACCTGGCTTATTAATTTAAGCCTCCCGTCGGATTTCTAGACAGATTACCAGTCAAACTTTTCACTGATTTGCACAGCCATCTACTCAGCAGATCGTCAACACCTCAATTTCAGTCATGAGTGGCCAATTAAATATATAGTTTTAGTTACAAGACTGTAAAAAAGTATTCTTTTCTCTGATCCGAATATCAAGAAAAAATTCCTAATCCTTCCTTCAACTCTCACTCATATCCCATCTTTCTTCCCCAGAGCACAGCCATTTACCATCCACCACCGCCACACCTCATCACCTCCCCTCGAGCTTTCAATACTACGCACTTATCCTGTTATTACTCTCAAAGCAAGTGCACCAATTGCGCAATCTGCAATGTCGAGATCAGCTTATTTTCCGAGAAATGATCAGCAGGAACAGGCGACTCCGCATCACCATCTTCAACACCGAATATCTAGGCGATCTATTTCGAAACACCAAAATGCGGACATACACAGGCCGCCACGAATGGAGATCTTGAGTCAGATCCTTAATCCCGAGTGGGAAATAGGGTCTAGTGAAACGGAAGATGTAGATATGGGCCCTATAAAGTCTTATTTTGCCGATCCAGATGCGATTACTGATGTTAGCAGTCTCCAGGAGCTGCTTTTTTTGTCCACTCTCAACGAGGATTACGCTATGACAGCCGAAGACTACGATGCCCAATTCGCCAAGTTCACACATTACCACGAGACAATTCAGCAGGCTCGTGTCTTTTTAAAGCCTCTTTTTGACTACTTATTGAACTTTGAGAAAGAGCTTACTAAACTGTCAGCAGAGATGGAGTTCCTCCAGAAGCGGTCCAATGCTCTGAACGAACAGATAGAAGACAAGAAGCAAATCGATCTCAAGCTCACTCCAATCGTCAATGACTTGGCGATTCCACCCGAAATTGTCCGCTCGTTGGTCAACGATGACATCACCTCCAAATGGATCGAAAACCTGAGGTTCATCTCCGAAAAGAAAGAGCTATATGAGAAATACGCTAACGAGTACGGCGAGTTCAAGTCGCTAGTGGAACTAAGAAAGGTTTTAGAACTCATGACTTTGAAGGCTGTTGAACGTGTGCGAGACTTCATCATTCGGAAGATCAAACTGTTGCGTGTGAACGGAATCTCATCACAGGTGGTTCAGAAAGACTTGCTTGATGTCAGAGAGATATACCCTTTTTTGCAGCAACACAACACCAACTTAGCGCAGGAATTGCGCCAGGCTTATGTTTATACTATGAGATGGTATTATCACCAATCGTTCGTGAAATACTTGTATTCATTGGAGAGATTGAATACTGTGCATGTGGACAAGATTGCTCTTCTTGGATCCAACGACGATGAATATGTGAACAACTCGGGATTTGGTTTCTTGAACATATACAGTCACTCTGGGACTGCGTCCACTTCTTCCAGTCTTTCAACTTCCAAAGGCAATGGAAAACACACCTTGTATCAAAACGATTACCTGAACCTGGGCAAGCGCGGTCAGATCATCTCGCTAGAAGACCAAACGGTTATCATTGGCCAGATCGCAGAGACCAGCCAGATGACCTATTGGCTGGAGACCGGGTTTAGAAACTTCAATTTGGCTCTTCTTGACAACGTTTCTGTGGAGTATCTTTTCCTGAGTGAATTCTTCCAGTTAAGCAACTTCGAACAGGTCAACGATCTGTTCAAGATAGTTTTCCAGCCAACCCTTTCAGTTGGGATCAACTACACTCGCTCCCTAATTGCAGAGACTTATGACGTCTATGGAGTGTTGATCTGTATCAGGCTTTCGCAGGCACTAGAGTATGAACTTCAACATCGCAGAGTGCCTGTTTTAGAAGACTATTTCAATCTCCAAATGATCACTCTTTGGCCAAAATTTCAGAAGATCATAGATGCCAATTGCGATAGTATGAGGAAAGTGATTTCGAAATCGAGCTCGTTTTTCTCATCTGCACACTCCTCGATGGGTTCAAACTCCTCCATGCCTCTTGCACTCACCCAGCAATTCGGAAAGTTGCTTTCTGGCTTGCTCAATCTTACCACAAACACAGTCTTTGAGACTGAGCAAAACGAACCGTTGTCAAGCAGTATCATCAGATTGCGAAATGATTTTGAGAGTGTGTTGACGAAGATTAGCAACAATCTTGGTAAGGACTCAAGGAAAAAAGAACTGTTTTTGTACAACAACTATTTCCTGATTCTAACCATTTTGAATGAGATCGAGGGAAAGTTGGCTGATCCAGAAAGGGAGCATTTTCAAACGTTAGTGAAGGCATATGAGCCTCGGTTGCCTAAGTGAAACAAGCTGGCTGGAAACACTCACCAAGATAAAGACTTCTACTCTTTGATAACAAATATGTAACATTAACTAGACATTCGAAAACATGCATTCCGTTCTAGGCTCACTCACAAGTAACCCGGCCTTCGTTGCGACACCCCGGATGTTGCAGGACAAAACGACGCGTCAAGGCCATCGCGAGTCGTGTTTGCCCCCGCTTAAGTTAACACTCTCTTGCACTCTCTCACTGCCTTTCTAGTTCTACACAAACAGCTAGAATAATCCCCCTCCAACACATGATATCTGATCCTTGTTTGGAGCCAGATATTTCTGATGGGAACCAGGTGTCTTCAGAAACCGATTTGCTTGAAATCGAGAGCAAGGTAACGGAATCTCAATATGCTGCTATTACACATCTTCCGACACCTGGAACAGTATTAAAGGTGATTGCAGGACCTGGCGCGGGAAAAACAAGGACTCTGACCCATAGAATTGCGTATTTGCTCTCTACAGGCTTCAATCCCGATGAGATATTGGTCCTCTCTATGACAAACCGTGCAGTTAATGCTTTGAGGTCTCAGCTCGATGATCTATGTGGAATAGATGTGTCACAGCAAGTGAAGATAAAAACATTCCATGCTTTTGCACGTGATGTGGTAACTAGTGAGCATTCTTCGCATTATGAAATACTTGAAGACATTGGTCTTAGAACACTAGGAAAACTCATCAACAACAAAGACCTCAGAAGCAAGGTTCAGATCGAGAAGTTTGTTTCTGAGATCAAGAAGCAGAGAAACGCAAGCACTTCTACTAACGCCAACTCTACTGCATCAACCTCCAAGATGGTTCCGAAAGATTTGGACAGGATAAGCGATCTGCTGGACAAATCAAAGGTGCACACACATATGGACATTCTAACTGAGGCAGTAGAGTTCTTGAGGCGAGAAGAAAACAAAGCATATCTCGATCCATTGAAGGTTGTGATTGTTGACGAGTTTCAGGATATGTATGAGCTTCTTCGCAGAATTGTGGCTGTGACGTCTGAGGGCCGCCATCTAACAGTTGCAGGAGATCCTAATCAGACCATCTATGGGTTTTTGGGCGCTGATCCGAAGTCGCTTCACACGTCTGCCAAAAAAGGTGCTACAGTTGAGACGGTCTATCTCAACGAATCCTTTAGATCAACACCAGAGATTATCAAAGCTGCAGATGTGTTTCTGAGTCCTCCTGTGGAATTGAAACGGAGAGAGATCAGGGAAAAGGGCAATCCCGTTCCCGTGAAAAAATACTTTGAGAACATTCAAGAAGAGGCTAACTGGATAGTCACAGAGATACATAGACTCATTCACTTAAGCTCAGGTGCGATTAGACCCAGCGACATAGCTGTTCTTTCTTACATGAACAGGGATGTTGACACTGTGAGCTACATCCTTAAGAAATCGGGAATGCCGGTTCGGAAGCTTTCCAGCGTTCCCGAGTGGACTCGAACAGAGTTGTTCTACCTTGTCGAATACATGCGTGTTCTTCACGATCCGTATGTTGATTTCCCTGTCATCTGCTCCCTTTCGCTTGTGGAAGGAATAGGGAGGAAGTATTTACATGACATAAGCGAAAGGGCAGCCGAGATTGGAGTGCCTATATGGGAATATTTGACTAATGACAGCATCGATGACAGCAGTATAAAGAGAGTTGCGAACAAGAAATGCGCTCGGTTTGTGGAGTCAATAAAGAAGGCCAAAGAAGAATTGGCGAGGCATCCTGACGACCCAGATGTATTGCTTCAACAACTTGTTGAAATTGGAATGAATTGTGGATTGCAAAAAGAAATCGGAAAAAGATTGGGTCGTAACGGATCCCTAGACCAGCAGCTATACCAAGATCATTTAAGCGATATCCATAAGACACTCTACCGTTTTTCTCAGGACAAGGCGAAATTGAAGGACATGAATTTGATTGAATACTTTTTGCATCACCACACGGACGAACTGGATGAGCCGGATGTGGCTTCCTCAAGATTAGATAACCAAACGGTGAACTTCTCAACTATACATGCGGCCAAGGGTCTTGAGTTTCCTATTGTTTTTGTGCTTGGGGCAACGCAAATGGACCCGATGATGGGATCCATGACAATCGACATGAGAAGGCTCATCTACGTTGGAATGACCCGCGCGAGTCAATTGTTGTACTGGAACCAGTATAAATATCAAGCCACAAATTTGAGTTGGGATCAACTGGCGTGTTTTTCAAACTCGGTACCAGAGATAAGTCATGGCTACATCTCGAAGTACGCACGTTTCTTTGGCCGACCCGTCCCTGACCTTTCCGAGTATTCAGCGAATCTAAAGAAATGGAATTGGAGAAAAAGCAATAGGCTCACCAATTTCAATTTTGCTGGATCCAAGGGAGTAACTGATGTTTCCAGTCCAACAGCTTTCTCGGGATCGCACCCTGTGCTTTGTTCCGAGGTGCCGATGATAAACTCATATGCCTCGCTTAGATCATTCCATACTCTCAGCAGACTCTCGAGAAAAGTGCTTTTTTGAAAGTCTGAGAAAGGAGTTTTTTGGAAACTGTGCATAATTTTTATACACTAAATGCATATTTGTTCAAGTCTTCGAGATCTTGCCCTTCTGATTGTTCTTTGTAACTATGGGTTGAGTAGTGGATATGAACTTCACCTTGGCTTTTTCGTACTCAGGCTCAGCTTGCAACCAGGGCACCAGCACATCTTCAACACTTTCAAAAACGAAGTCCTGAAGCACTTGGAATTCGCTATTGAGTTCCATTGTCAAGACACGAGGTATTCCAACAATCCAAGTGTCTTTGATGCCCAGAACTTGTGATATCTTTGCGGAGCTCCCATGAGGTAGTTGAACAAGCTTCACTGGATCTGATTCAATGGATGCGACAGCTGCTAGTACCGGCAGATGTTGAACCAAAAGAGGTGGTTTAACATCAGCCTTGCAGACGAACACAATTGAAATGCGATTCTCTGGCTTGGTCTTCTTCCTGTCTTCCAGTGCTTTCATCGTGGAGTTGAATCCCGTAGTCATTACTGACTGCACAGACTCAACATCCTTGTATGTCGCTAGAGCTCTTATGAACAACTCTAATAGGTTTCTGAGTGTTTCCGGTTCTATCCTTGGCCACTCGACATCTGTATATGGGGTTTCCAGTATGGGCCTGAACACCTGTCTTCTCTTTGTTGCCTGAGCTTTGATGGAGTTCTTTGCTGGACCAATTGGCTTTTTTGCAATCAGTTTACCTTTTGAATTCTGAGACATCTAACTATTGGAGGAAGCCGAGATACAATCTAAACCAAATGATAGAAAGTACTGATAAAGACTTTGGAAAAAAGTTTGGAGAGGGCATCGCCTCCGGCCTGGCCGGTCATGTGGCCGGAACGTGACCGGCAGCTCAGGCCTCGAAGCCCAGCCGTTGAATTTTCCCCACATTATGATTATACTCAGTTTTGAAACCGTTATCTAGTTTATGCGTAATATTTTAATTATTTACATCTTCGAATATCTAATGGCTAACCGTTTTTGGATCTCATCTGAGGTTTTGGGCTCATGAGAGATCGAATCCAGCACCAGAATGTATGGAGTACAACAGTTTTTGCTTCAGCAGCTCCCTGTCTCTATAGTCTGGAAGTTTCAGTAGATTCACACAAGTGGAGGAGGTGGGGAGTCGTTTTATGTCTCTTCCTGAGTTTCTGATTCCAAACTTGGGATACAAGTCCTTGAAACCAAACAAGGGCGCCTTGGGATTAGATGTGACAAATCTCAGAAAGTTTCTTGTGTCTTCCTTGGTAAAGTCGTTTTCGAGAATGGAGAACAGGTCTTTGATAGTCTGGTCATACTCCGTATATCCGCCAAATTCCACGTTTTTCTTGAAGTCGTCAATGTTCATTTCCTTCTCTGCGCCCGCAATAAGTACTTGCAGTTCGTTTGGGTCAAACAGTGAAAGGTAGGCCTGCGGAATGGCCTCAAAGAGACCTTTTGTGAAGCAGGTGCTCAGTTCTCGGATGCTGGTGTCAAGCTTGAACTTGGCCATGGCAAACGCAAACTGATACTTATTAGCCCCTGTCACTCTAACCTTGCGACCGTTAGGACAGAGATCCACGGAAACAGTACTGGCAGCTAATTTAAGCTTGCTGAGATCATGTTCCACGAGAAAGTCGGGTGGTGGCCACGGCCAGGTAGTTTCGTTGGATCCCCATTCGGGTACCTTTTCTGTTATTGAGAAGGTCATGTCCAGCTCTTCAATTTGCTCGTCGCTCATAGTCAGCATTTTCTGCAGATTTGAGTACAATTCCTCGTCGTAGTATCTCAAGTCGCTGAACATCACCGTCTCCTTACCGGGATTGTGAGATGATTGGAGCAGTTTCTTCAAGAAAAATGGCGCAAAGGGGGCGTCTAACAGGATGCTTTCACGCAGGCATTTACCCACAAGCTTCCCTAAAGTCAAAAATAAAGCCGGATAGAATTCTTCAATACTCGTGGACCCTAGGCCTATGAAGCTGCACAGGTTGTTGCCCTGGCCCATTTTGCATCTTAGATAGTACTCTGGTAAAGGGTACAGTTGGTCCTGTTTTGTCCGTGCCCATACCCCCGGGAGACCATGTTCTGGATCAAGACTGTCCTTGAAAAGACTAGTGAGTAATTCTTTTGTGAGGCCACCACCATCGATTCCTGCCTCTTCTTGGCCAAACTGGTCCACGAACTTGACAGAGAAAGGTTTTTTCAAATCCTTTGATGTAGCATTGGCTAGCTCCATTGTGGCTCTCGTCAAAGCATGATCTCTGCGCATCTCCAAGTGATACTTTTCGGTCTCATATCCCCGGCTATCGTCTATCAGTAGTTGAAACATCTCCACCCTCTTCTCAAACGGAAATAAGAAAGGCAGTGTCATCAGCAAACTGAATAAAGTGGCTTCGCTCCTCGATGCTGGCTCACTCATCAAACCGATCAATTCTGCTCTCAACTGTGTGGAGTCACTTATTTGTCTGAAAAACGAAAGGAAGTTGCGAGGCTGAAGCTTCAATGTCCCAGATGTCCAGAAATCTTCCTTTACAATGTTCATTGAGTGTGCTGTACGCAAAAGCTCTATCGTTTGATCTGCAAGGGCGGCAAACTTGGGCTGTTGATCTGGAAGATACTTGAAGTCGTTGCCTTCATAGCTAGGGTCGAAGAATCCAGCTTGCACGAATATCTTTCCCAAGCGTAGCTCAATCTTCAAAAGATCGCAGAAGTGCTCTTTGGAAAGCCATTCACTTTTCAAGAAGATGCCATCAATGCCGGAAGAAAGAAGATTTGCGTACAGCTTTTGGAGAAATAGTAACGCCTGCCACAATTCGTGGTTGAAGTTAAACAACTTGGAATCAAACGAGCTGCCCCTCGAGCCAAAGTCAGCCTGGTTCAACCGTTCGTCCGAGGAAACTAAGTTGAAGACCTCGTGAACCAACCCCCTCTTCAGTAGATGACATATTATGAACGCCATCATTTGTTGCCGGGATGTAGTGCGATTATCGTCACGGTAAAGATCTCTGCTCTTAGCGTGTTCATTCTGAGGATACTCTATCTGCAGAAGAGCGCCAAAGAACGGTATCGCAACTTTACGAACACCATGCTCAGTAGCATCGATTATTGTCAACACTTCGGTCAGGAAATTTCTGGATGTCACATGAATCACAAGGGCATCAGCTTCGGCACGGTCGTCATCAGAAGAAGACCAGTCCATTGACCGCATCCTGAGATGTACTGAGACAGAGCGCAGAAACGTCGTGGGGTTTAACCTCCAGTTGTAAAGAGGTGGCGTATGTACCAGTGGAGACGTAACGTTGGATATGAAACGGAGAAATCCCTCAGCCGTGTTCGAACTTATCCGATCACAAACAGTGTCAAGATTGTCGGATATCCAACTCTGGATGTTGAGCAGTGCCTGGTTGGCATATTTTCCTTTGAACTCAAGCTCACACCTTTCAAGACTAAGACCACCTTTGGAAAGCATCACCATCACTTCTTCGGGGTTGAATCCAGATAGCCTAAAACAGGTGTCAACCAGATTTGGATCAGGCACATCAATCGCACCATCTGTTATCAGAGACGCCAATTTTGTGAGTGGAGAAACCAGAACCGTGTATGATTGGTCAAAGTTATCAATTATGGATGCCTGCTCGCGAGCTAGTTCGTAAAGCTCATAAATTGCGTTGATCGAATGGCAGCTCGTTGCTCGCTGGTCACCCCGCCCAATAGATTCACAGAAAGACACAATACTCCATGAAAAATCACTCAATGTCTTCCAGGGGACTCTGTCCGTAGTTTGTGTCGAAAAGAACTCCAAGATCGGGCCAACCAAATCAAGTTGGTTTGTTCCTTGAAAAGCTGGTCTTGGAAAGAAAAAGCTGAACTCAGCCAAAGCCCTTCTATACTGCTCGGAATCTCCAAATGGAATCTTTTTTGTACGCAAAATCCATGAGGAAAACATTTCCTCCTTTGCCTCCTCTAAAGCGTTGTATTTTCGTATGGCCGACTGGATTGTGACGGCGGCATTGCGGATTTGCTTCTGTGTGCTCCTAGCCCCTCTCTCCTTTTCTATTTGTAACAAAAACTTCTTGTTGTTTTGTCCAAGACTGGTGCTGCGCCCACTCAGATTGATATTCCTGCGCCGGGAGCTTCCCGTAAAGTTCATAGAACTCATTTACCGCAGAAATTGAGCGAGTACTCGCAGGTCTATATATGCCGCTCTTATGCTTAGATATATGTCTTTGCCTCCCCGGACTGATTACAAAGGGCGTGGGGGGCTCATTGTAGTGTACTACTCATTTTACTCTTTTTGGAGGCAAACGCGTCTTTTCTCCATAAGACCGTGTCATACAGCATTACTTCTCCTTTTGTAGTACGTTTTGGTTCAAGAAATGGCGGCTATCTCTAGGTTGGACAAGCGTCCTATTGAATCAGAGACCAGTATACCATCAAGGCTCAAACGAGCTCATTTGAATATTGCCGTGGATGGGTATCTGGGTACGGATTGTGCCCATGCTCTTCCCGTGGCAAATCAATCAGTTCAGAGCTCCAAAGGCTACCACTTGCCAGTTAAAGCCAAGTTTTCGGGGGCCACATTTCACAAGAAACTGACTACTTCGCAGCTTGACGTTGAGCCTTCGTCCTTTGAGAAAGAGCTTGAAGACTTGGCAGCGGCAGCTGGAGCTCGTGACGTTCCAAGAACACAAGAAGAGGCAGATCGTGCCTGGAGCAGGCCCAAACTGGATAGGTTTGATCCATTGACTAGCAACATTGTTTTCCAGCAATTGGATGCCGAGGAGACTGTCATAGAGGACAAATCAGCGGTGAGATTTTTTGGAGTCACCAAAGAAGGCCATTCAGTTTTGTGTAATGTCACTGGATTCTTACACTACATGTACGTGCCAATGCCCAGGACACTTGCTCATAGCGCGTTACCCGAGTTTATCACATATATGAAAGGATCTTACGAAGGAATCGTGGACATTACGGTGGCCATGAAGGAGTCTATATGGGGATACAACAAGAGCACAAAGCTGCCGTTTCTTAAGGTGATTGTTGAGAACCAGAAGTTTCTCAGTAGGATCAGAACGGGTTTCGAGAGAGGTGATATTCAGTTTGGAGATGCTTTTACTGGTAACTCTGTTACTTTCGATAACATCCAGTATCTGTTGAGGATGATGGTGGATTGCAAGATTACCGGTATGAGTTGGCTCACGGCTCCCGCAGGAAAATACTCCTTGGAATCCAATAAGATCTCTACATGCCAGCTAGAAGTCTCCATAGACTACAAAGATTTGCTTTCCCACGAGCCAGAGGGAGAGTTCCTGCAGATGGCTCCGTTACGTGTGCTTTCGTTTGATATCGAATGTGCTGGTAGGAAGGGTATCTTCCCTGAGCCAGAGTACGATCCTGTCATTCAGATTGCAAACGTTGTGAGCGTAACTGGTGAAGATACTCCCTTCGTGAGAAACGTGTTCACCATGAAGAGCTGTGCTCCAATTGTGGGTTCACAGATCTTTTCTTACGAGCAGGAAGGTGAACTTTTGCGCAAATGGAAGGAGTTTGTGGTCAAGGTAGATCCTGATGTGATAATTGGTTATAATATTGCCAATTTTGATTTGCCTTATCTGTTGAACAGGGCTAAGACTTTGGGGGTTGCTGATTTCCCCTTCTTCAGCAGACTAAAGCACAGCAGGCAGGAGATCAAGGACTCTGTATTCAGTTCAAGAGCATATGGAACACGCGAAAACAAGGTGGTGAACATCGAGGGCAGAATGCAATTGGATTTGTTGCAGTTTATCCAAAGAGAGTACAAGCTCCGTTCGTATACACTCAACTCTGTTTCTGCCCACTTCCTGAACGAACAGAAGGAAGATGTCCATCACTCCATCATTACTGATCTGCAGAATGGTGATAGCGAAACCAGAAGAAGACTGGCGGTGTATTGTCTAAAAGATGCATATCTTCCCCTCAGATTAGCTGAAAAGCTGATGTGTTTGGTTAACTACACAGAGATGGCCAGAGTGACAGGAGTGCCATTTTCCTTCCTTCTGAGCAGAGGACAACAGATCAAGGTCATTTCTCAATTATTCCGCAAATGTCTTGATTTGGATATCGTGATACCCAATATGAGATCCGAAGGAACAAATGAGGAGTACGAGGGTGCCACTGTCATTGAACCAGTGAGAGGTTATTACGATGTTCCCATCGCGACGTTGGATTTTGCCTCTCTTTATCCTTCCATCATGATGGCACACAACTTGTGTTATACTACATTGTTGAATAAGCAGACGATCGAGAGGTTGGGACTGAAAGAAGATGCTGATTATATCAAGACTCCAAACGGAGACTACTTTGTGAAGCCTCATCTTCGCCAAGGCATTCTGCCCACGATTCTGCAGGAACTTTTGGGTGCTAGAAAGAAGGCGAAGAACGATTTGAAGAAAGAGACTGATCCTTTCAAGCAACAGGTGCTCAACGGTCGTCAGCTGGCATTGAAAATATCTGCAAATTCGGTTTACGGTTTCACTGGTGCGACGATTGGAAAGCTTCCCTGTTTGGCCATATCTTCCTCTGTCACTGCTTTTGGAAGAGAGATGATTGAGAAGACCAAGACTGAGGTTCAGACCAAGTTCAGCATTGCCAATGGTTACGAGGCAGATGCTCAGGTCATCTATGGTGATACTGACTCGGTGATGGTGAAATTTGGAACTGATTCGCTGGAGAAATCGATGGAGCTCGGTCTCGAGGCTGCCGAATACGTTTCCACCAAGTTTATGAAGCCTATCAAGCTGGAGTTTGAGAAGGTTTATTTCCCTTATTTATTGATTAACAAGAAGCGGTATGCAGGTCTGTATTGGACGAACCCAAAGAAGTTCGACAAGATGGATACCAAAGGAATTGAGACTGTGAGAAGAGATAATTGTCGTCTGGTCCAGAATGTGATCACGAAAGTTTTGCAGCTGATTCTAGAGGATCGTGATGTGAATGGTGCTGAGAGCTTTGTGAAACAAACGATTGCTGACTTGCTACAGAACAGAGTGGATATGTCGCAGTTGGTGATTACCAAGGCTCTGTCGAGGCAGGACTATAGTGGTAAACAGGCCCATGTCGAGTTGGCAGAGAGAATGAGGAAAAGAGACGCTGGTTCTGCACCCACACTTGGTGACCGTGTTGCATATGTGATCATCAAGACCAGTGGTGATAAGAACTATGAGAAGTCGGAGGATCCTCTCTATGTTTTAGAGCACTCGTTGCCAATTGATACGAAGTACTATCTGGATAATCAGCTTGCGAAACCGTTGATCAGAATTTTCGAGCCAATCATGGGAGAGAGAAGAGCCAGGGAACTACTGACTGGTGCCCATACCAGAACCGTTATTATGGCAGCTCCAAAGACTGGTGGCCTCATGATGTTTGCAAAGAAGTCCAATCTGTGCAAGAACTGCAAAACTCCGATGCCTTCACATAATCCAGACGGTACTCTTTGTGATAACTGTGTCGGTAAGGCTGGAGAACTCTATGGTGAAGCATTGGCTACAATGAGCGCTTTGGAGGAGCAGTTTGCCAAGTTATGGACGGAATGCCAGAGATGTCAGGGCTCCCTGCACCAGGAGGTGTTGTGCTCCAATAAAGATTGTACTATCTTCTATATGAGAAAGAAGGCCCAGAAGGACCTGGTGCTGCATTCTGAAGAGATCAAGAAGTGGGATGATCAGGTGTGGTGAGAGCTGGGACGCCAATTATTGATTCTTAGTCCGAGTTGGGTCAGACAAAGATTTCAGTGCTCGTATGCCATAAATCTATACTGCAATAATAAGTATCTGTTATCTGTAATATTCCCTATTTTTATTATTGCACCTGCTCCCTCGCAGATCAGACAGCCCTGCAACTAGCCGATTGGGACTCATTCCAAGATCTTGCATTACGTCATATACTTTGCCCGCGCACGATGCTTCAACTAAAATTGGGTGGACCCTAGTTAGCGTAAGGGAGACAAAACAAGGCCCTAAATCCACTCTTTTTGAGACCCAGAGCAGAAAACGCGTTTAAATCACAGATGTCGCTAGATGTCGTGCACGTTCTCAACGATCCAGTCCTGTTTGCAGAACAGGGCTGTTCGATGAGAAATGAAATCCTGAACCATTTGAGGCTGCAACACCAAGAGAATGAGAGGCTTCAGGAGGAGCTGTTGAGATCAAAAGCAGCTAACAAGGCGTTCCAACAGGCTTTGTCTGAGATAGGAACTGTTGTGATTTCTGTGGCTATGGGTGACCTCAGCAAGAAGGTGCAAATCCACTTGGTTGAGAGTGATCCTGAGATTTTGAAGGTGAAGATAACCATCAATACGATGATGGACCAGTTACAGACTTTCGCCAACGAAGTCACGAAAGTTGCGACTGAAGTGGCAAACGGTGAGCTTGGAGGCCAGGCCAAGACAGATGGAGCTGTGGGTGTTTGGAGATCGCTTACAGATAACGTGAACTACATGGCGCTGAATCTTACCAACCAAGTGAGAGAAATTGCAGACGTGACAAGGGCAGTTGCCACAGGTGATTTGTCAAGGAAGATTAACGTTTACGCGCAAGGAGAGATCTTGCAACTTCAAATCACCATCAACACCATGGTGGATCAACTGCGTATGTTTGCATTTGAAGTCACGAGGGTTTCTCGTGAGACTGGTGTAGAAGGTAGACTTGGAGGCCAAGCGCGTATCAACGGAGTCGAAGGTATATGGAAAGAGCTCACCGATAATGTGAATGCCATGGCTTTGAACTTGACCAATCAGGTGAGAAACATCGCCAATGTTACTACTGCCGTGGCCAAAGGTGATCTTTCGAAGAAAGTGACTGCTGACTGTAAAGGTGAGATTTTGGACTTGAAGCTCACTATTAATCAGATGGTGGATCGTCTACAGACATTTGCCCAGGAAGTGACTACTTTGGCCACTGAAGTCGGTACCAAGGGTATTCTTGGGGGCCAGGCCAACGTCCAAGGCGTTGAAGGTGCCTGGAAGGCTGTTACCGAAAACGTCAACATTATGGCTGCTAACCTAACGAATCAGGTGAGGTCAATTGCCACGGTGACTACAGCTGTCGCACATGGTGATCTCTCGCAGAAGATCAAGGTTGAGGCTCAAGGAGAAATCCTGCAGCTCAAGAGCACGATCAACAAGATGGTGGACTCCTTGCAAGGTTTTGCAAGGGAAGTGACTCGTGTAGCCAAGGATGTGGGAATTGATGGTAAACTGGGTGTTCAAGCCCAAGTTTCGGATGTTGATGGTCTTTGGAAAGAGATCACTACTAATGTTAACACCATGGCTGCTAATCTTACGTCTCAGGTGAGAGCCTTTGCTCAGATCACCGCAGCTGCTACTGATGGTGATTTCACCAGATTTATCACTGTTGAAGCTAACGGTGAAATGGACGCTTTGAAGACGAAAATTAATCAGATGGTTTTAAACTTGAGAGAGAGTATCCAAAGAAACACGGCGGCCAGGGAGGCTGCCGAACTGGCCAACCGTGCCAAATCCGAGTTTTTGGCTAACACCTCGCACGAGATCAGGACTCCTATGAATGGTATCATTGGTATGACCCAATTGACTCTTGAAACAGAACTCACACAATATCAACGTGAAATGTTGTCCATCGTGCATAACCTTGCCAACTCACTGCTGACCATCATTGACGATATTTTGGATATCTCCAAGATTGAGGCGAACAGAATGACGATCGAACAGATAGATTTCTCTTTAAGAGGAACCGTTTTTGGCGCTTTGAAAACGCTTGCTGTGAAAGCGATTGAAAAGCAGCTTGACTTAATCTATGAAGTTGATAATTCGTTCCCTGACAACTTAGTGGGAGATTCCTTCAGACTCAGGCAGGTCATTCTTAACTTGACCGGTAACGCCATTAAGTTCACCAACTCAGGAAAAGTGACTGTTAGTGTGAAAAAGACTACCAAGATTACCAACGACGATACAAAGTTGCTTCTAGAATTTTGTGTGAGTGATACGGGAATTGGTATCAAGAAGGATAAACTGGGTGTCATCTTTGATAACTTCTGTCAGGCTGATGGTTCCACTACGAGAAAGTTTGGTGGTACTGGTTTGGGTCTTTCTATTTCTAAACAGCTGATCCAGCTTATGGGTGGTGAGATTTGGGTCACTTCGCAATACGGCTCTGGCTCAAACTTTTACTTCACTATCATGGTCTCACCAGCTCAGATTGACATACGCAGACAGCTGGAGAATCTTCTTCCTTTCTCCAATCATCACGTTTTGTTCATCTCCACAGAGCATGATGATAACGGAAGAGAACAGATCCGTGCTAATATTGAACAACTGAAGTTACAGCCAGTGCTCGTTCACAACATCAAGGATGCCCAGCTAAGTGCACCAGTGAAGTACGATATCATCATCGTCGACTCCATTGAAACCAGCAAAAACCTGAGAATGCTTCCAGAAATCAAATATATTCCTCTAGTGTTGCTTCACCCATCGATTCCTGCTCTCAACATGAGGTTATGTCTTGATCTGGGAATTTCGTCTTACGGTAATACACCATGTTCGGTTACGGATCTGGCATCTATTCTTAAGCCGGCTCTGGAATCGAGGGCTGCTCCATCAAACTCAGACGGCTCTGTCTCCTACAACATTTTACTAGCTGAAGACAACCTGGTCAACCAGAAGCTGGCAGTCAAAATTTTGGAGAATCATGGCCATAAGGTTGATGTGGTGGAGAACGGTCTATTGGCGTTTGAAGCCACCAAGAAGAAGACTTATGATGTTATTCTCATGGATGTGCAGATGCCAATAATGGGTGGGTTTGAGGCTACTGCCAAGATAAGAGAGAGAGAAAGGAAAAGCAATCCGTTGAATGTGATGGCTTTCAGGACTCCCATTATCGCTCTGACCGCACACGCCATGTTGGGTGATAGAGAGCGGTGTATGAAGGCCCAAATGGACGAATACCTCTCAAAGCCGCTGAAACCTTCTCTTTTGGTGCAAACTATTGGCAAGTCCATTCACAATATCAACCAACTCAAGGAGCTATCCAAGACCCAGAACCTCAACTCCCATTTTGCTTCTAGTATGAAGAACCAGCTCAGCAGCAGCGAGAATAGCGACAACAACGGAAATGAGTCGTCTCAGTGCGTGTCGTCGAATATATCTGATCTTCACAGAAAGAATGAGCTCTATGGGAGAATGGATATCGATCCAGTGGAGAAGAAGCATGCCCCACCCATCAATACCGGAAGGTCTATTTCCGAAGGAAGTATTACCGGGTCTTCCGATTCTCACCCTATCAGTCCAATGAAACGCAAATTGGACGAAGATGAAGACGTTACCATGTCAATATTCTAAGGTTTGTGTCTCTGTATTCAGTTCAATCGCTTCAAGCGAACAATAGTTCCAAACGGGTTTTCTAGTTTCAATTCTAGCAGTCAATTTCAATTATAATGATTATTTTTCGGAGATTTTTCTTGTTGTTTCCTTTAGATTTAAGCTAATATTACCGAGATTTTTGAACTTTTTTACAATTCGTAAATAAGGAACGAAATGATTTTCTTCAAAACTTTGAAAATCTTGCATGGAACTAGGTGGTTTTTGCACCAAATTTCATTTTACAAGTGAGGGCGACGCCTAACAAATATATATATTAACGTTCGGATATGAATGGTGAAATAGACTGAATTTGAGTCATTAACTATTAACTTAAGCCCGGATTTCTGCCCATTCGCTTAAAAGTTCTCCATCCTTCCGAGTTCTGACCCTCAGGAAACTCGGAGTCTGTCAAGACGCGGCAACTTTAAGCGGAGCGCGTCATGACTAAGAAACATGCACGGAATCAACCCCGTCTTTTCTTCACACCACAGAATGGTGAAACCCAATGTCTTCGGTGAAGATGATTCAGAAGAGGAGATAGAAAAGCCGGTGATTCCCAGACGCAAACTATTTATTCCTGAGGCTGGGACTGAGGAGAACGTAAATACAATTGATGCGATAGACGGCAAGGATTACATGGAGTTACAGATCCATGATACTACAGAAACGAAACCAAAAAACCTGCTACCAGCCAGTATGAAGACTGGTTTGACTGAAAAGTACGATGTGATTCAAAAAAAGACAACCGAGGCAGGGCTGAAGAGATCGTTATTTGGAGCGATAGACTCCCAGGCCGAAGCAGAAGAGCTTCCCAACAAGAAGTCTAAAGGTCTTAGCATGATGGAGAAAATGGGCTTCAAAGTGGGTGAGGGATTGGGCCGAAACAAGGACTCTATCAAAGAACCTGTTTCTATAAATACGGAACAAAACAAGGCGAATTCGCGAATGGGAATACGAGTGAAGGATAACACGATACTGGACCAACCGCACACTTCCGTTGAGATTGATGCCAAGGAATTTCAAAACAGATTAACAGAGACATCAGAGATCAAAAGAAACGAACAAACTCTGCGAACCATGCAAAAGACCATGGTGAACTTGGGTTGGTTGGGATATGGCGGTTTCGAGGAATTGCTGAATGCAGATATGAATGTGATTCCCGTCTGGTTAAGAACATATGTGTGGAACATGAAGGAGAAATTGCAAAAGACAAACGAGGAAAAAGAACAGGAAGACGAAGAAGAACCCTATTCCAAGCCCCAGAAGAACTACAAGCTAGAGGAGGACGAAGAGGTCTCGGAGTATGATGCCGAGCCAATTGCCAAGAGAGTGGTAGATGCAAACAAATCCCTTCGTGACCTGAACTATTGTTACTACTGCGGAACCAAATACAAAGACGCTGCAGAAATGGCCGAGTTTTGTCCGGGGGAACAAGAATTTAGTCATCAGTGAAAGCTAAAGCCCAACTCACGTGCGGCTGAAATTCGATGCGCGCAGTTTCAAGGTACTGTGAAGATTGCTCTTAGAGCTATCAAATAGCAATTGAGAGGGTAGAAAAGATTAAATTTAGGGGTTTACAAGTTTATAATTCTAAATCAATGTTGTTACAAAATAGTTTATAATCTGTAGGTAAATAAATCATGGTTTGGTTCATACATCACGGCCCTGGGCTTTATCAGAGCTTTTGGGTCATATCAGGTGACGCTTTTGAAGATAAGCGTATCAGGTGGTGTTAGACTGAAATACATAAATAGTGTGCTTATCCCCTGTTAATCAAGAACGTGCAATTACACTAAGAACACGAGGAAATAAAAAATGAGCAACATTCCAGATGAATTATATGCCAATCTCGGCAAGTCCGGCCTGAAAGTCTCGAAGGTAATTGTGGGATGCATGTCCTACGGTTCAAAGGACTGGTTTGATTGGGTTCTCGATGATGAAGATAAAGTGATGGAAATCTTGAAGCAAGCCTACGATAGTGGTATCAGAACATTTGACACTGCTGATGTCTACTCCAATGGTTTTTCCGAGGTTTTGATCGGAAAGTTTCTTAAGAAATACAATATACCAAGAGATACTGTGGTGATTCTAACCAAGTGTTTTAACTTCATTGACAAAGAATTTAAGTACCCGTGGCGCCAGTATCCGAAGTTTGAGGGTATTAATCGCTCAGGTCTTTCGAGAAAGCACATTATTGACGCTGTTCAAGACAGTATGGAGAGATTGGGAACTTACATCGATCTTCTGCAGATCCACAGATTTGATCCGGATACCCCACAAGAGGAAACGATGCGGGCCTTAAATTACGTTGTTGAGCAAGGCTGGGCAAGATATATTGGGGCATCTTCGATGAAGTGCTACCAGTTTGCGACATTTCAGTTCATCGCCGAGAAGAATGGTTGGGCTAAGTTCATTAGCATGCAAAACTATTACAATCTAGTTTACAGGGAAGAGGAGAGAGAGATGATTCCATACTGCAAGAAAACAGGTGTCGGTATCATTCCATGGAGTCCCATTGCCATGGGTATTTTAGCCAGACCTCTTGATGTAGATCTGGCTACCGATAGAAGCAAGTCGACGATGGTGACTAACATAAAGAATTCGTTGACTGCCAAGGACAAGGAATTGATTGGAAAAGTTGAAGCACTGGCGAATAAGCATAATGTTGCTATGGCTACAATCTCAACAGCCTGGGTATTGTCCAAGGGTTGTTTTCCAATTATTGGTTTGAGTAAACCCAAAAGGATCGACGATGCTTTGGCTGCAATTTCCTTCAAACTGACATCCGAGGAGATTGAGGATTTGGAAAGTTCTTATGAAGCCAAGCTCATCAGCACCTTTGGCGTTTAGTCTACACTTACGAGTACTGTGGCAGCAGCTACATATTTATAGTTTACACCTACAAATATATCAAATTTGAATAGTGCCACATGCGTGATTACGGTTTGGCTGAATCATGGCGTAGCATTGAATCTCCGCATGTATCTAGCCCTGGATCAACTGCCCTTAGGTTCCAGTGTACTGACTTTTTCAATTAGAACGGTACTTTTATGAAATATCACGATCCTTGCATGCTGAGTCTGCTACAAACGACCTTGTCATGTCCTATGCATAATAGCGATAATAAAATCTGGGGTAGCAAATTCCGGGGTAAAGTATCGTTCCTATTCCAAAGGCTGCTTGTGCGCTCTGACTAGGACCAGAAAATTTTCACTTGAATATCTCATTAAAAACAACATCTTCATTGCTATCCACTCCATTGCATATAACTGTTTGCAATAGTGTGAATGTTTTCCATACAAGGTGTTGAACTGGCGACAGCAAGGTTGACTATAGCTTCCACTATCTGTTCCCAGTTAGGTCATATAGGTATTCCACGAATATCACATGCGGAGTTACCTGCTCACCCCACGTATAGGCTCTTAATAACTTTACACTTTTGCCACAAGATACTTGCAAGTTTAGTACTGATGAGTATCCTTGGAAGATAAGGGCAATTTATAAAAGGAATATAAAGCTTAGTCGTTCCTTGAACGATCTCTGCGGACTTAACTGCTATCTCCGCTTTAAGCTTCACAAGTGAGGGTGTGAGAAGGCATATAAATATGTGCTTTCTGCTGTTGCTCAAAAGCTGTTCAATTAAAATAAAGCACAGCAACAAAGGAAAATGAGCAATATTCCAGATGAATTATATGCCAATCTCGGCAATTCCGGGTTGAAGGTCTCGAAGGTGATCGTAGGATGCATGTCCTACGGATCAAAGGACTGGTTTGATTGGGTTCTTGATGATGAAGATAAAGTGATGGAGATCTTGAAGAAAGCCTACGATAGTGGTATCAGAACATTTGACACTGCTGATATCTACTCCAATGGTCTCTCTGAGGTTTTTATTGGAAAGTTTCTTAAGAAATACAGTATACCAAGAGACACGGTGGTGATCCTTACCAAGTGTTTCGGGTACGTTGATAAGGACTTCGAATACGAGTGGTTCAAGTTCCCTCAAAGTGTGGCCGTCAATCGTATGGGTCTCTCCAGGAAGCACATTATTGACGCTGTCCAAGCCAGTATGGAGAGATTGGGAACTTACATCGATCTTCTGCAGATCCACAGATTTGATCCGAATACCCCACAAGAGGAAACGATGCGGGCCTTAAATTACGTTGTTGAGCAAGGCTGGACAAGATACATTGGAGCATCTTCGATGAAGTGCTATGAGTTCGCAACATACCAGTTCATCGCAGAGAAGAATGGTTGGCCCAAGTTCATTAGCATGCAAAACTATTACAATCTAGTTTACAGAGAAGAAGAAAGGGAGATGATCCCATACTGCAAGAAAACAGGTGTCGGCATCATACCATGGAGCCCTATTGCTAGGGGTATTTTAGCCAGACCTCTCGGACTGGAATCGACATCTGTAAGGGCCAATTCAGATTATGTGACCCAAATAAAGGGTTCATTGACTGCCAAGGACAAGGAGTTGATCGGAAAGGTTGAGGCCTTAGCAAAGAAGCGAAACGTTGCTATGGCAACGGTCTCAACAGCCTGGGTGTTAGAAAAGGGCGCCTTCCCAATTATCGGTTTGAATAAGCCCGAGAGGATTGACGATGCGTTGGCTGCAATATCTTTGAAGCTGACACCTGAAGAAATTGAGGACTTGGACAGTTCGTATGAGGCTAAAGCCATGCAGAATCTTAACGAATAGCCGGCGAATGCCAATGTGAAACTGTTACTGGGTTTGAGTAATCTATCCTGACAACATCAAAAATTTAACAATCATGTAGCATGGCATTGCATGGCATTGCATGGCGTGACGTTGGCTTACATAGATTTTCAGTGGCCACAATTGCCAACTAAAACCTGTTATGCCGCATCCAATCGCTTATACAACCATTCCTTCACCTTTTCGATCATGGTGATTGTGGTGGTATGATCGACCGGTTCAGAGTACACTTCCACATCATAACCAGGAACACCAGCCTTCTCTATCACCTCCGAACTCAGGGCAGAGTTCACCAGAAAGTCAAGTTCACCGTAGATATCCAATAAAGGGATCGTGTTAGCCACCTCAAAATACTTCTTGCTCGCAAGTGACAAGTTGTCATGCAAAACCTTTGGATATTTCTTCTGTAGGTCTTCGGACAACTCCAGCTCCTCATATTTCTTCTTATAGGTTCCAGGTGTGACATCTTCTTTTGCAGTTTGCACAACAAGGTTATAAAGCACACCAGGCAAATCTGGGGCACCTACAATGTTAATTATCCCTTTGAGGGGAATCAGAGAGGCCAGCCTGAAGGAGATGAGACCTCCCAAAGAAGTTCCCAATGAATATGGTTCAAACTCGAATTGCGGATAATAGGCAGGCAAGAATTCCAGGATGTTTTTGACGTCATAAGCAGCCGCATCTATCGAGGATCCAACTGCAATGTTGTAGTAGGGATGTGCAAAGCCGTTGTATCTCAAATCGACGGCGCGCTCGCCATGGTTGGGCAGATCAATAGCGAATGCCACCAACGGGTAATCTGCGTCTGCGTTCTGTTTAAGTCTTCCATCTACTATCAGATGAGCAATTGAGTCTGTGAGCAGATGGTTATTTTGAACTCCGTGTAGGACGAACAAAGCAGCCACCTTCTTGGTGTCGCCCGGTTTAGGCAGCGAGACGTTCTCCAAACCGAAAGCAAACACTTTGACTCCACCAATCAAGAGATCTGTTTGGATAACTTTGGACTCTGGATCCGTTGGATAAGCATTCCAGCCCATTGTAGGAAGTCAGCACAAAATATTGTTCAATCGGACTGAGTGTAGTTAAGAGATGGGGAGTGAGAGGTTCTCCCTAAGCCCTTTTAAGTTCCTCTTTTGAGGGTCATGCTTAAAATACCGCAATAGCAGGGAATTGCACCATCCGCTCCACACCTGATTCACAAACAATATCAAGGGCCGGGTGTACCAAAGGACTCGTTTAAATACTTTATTTCCTATTCTGATAGTCGCCTCTGACACTTTTATTTAACCGAAGATAGCATTAGGAAAATATTGCCTAGCGCAGAAATGTCAATTGTGCGGCACTAAATTGGTTCAAACACTTCAATAGCTCAGCACCCTTGGGACTTCTTGAGGCGACGCGAACCGATACAGCATAGCATTGGCCAATCCGCAGCTTGTTTTTGTTAGGAAAGCTTGTACAAAATGTCTACTGGTCTGAGTGGAGCCGTGGGCTCCGAACGTAAGTTATTGCCATCTCGCTTCAAAGATTCAAATGAGTGGCCAACTAACCACCACCATAGCAATTGTCCAAAACGCGGATATGGTGAGTATCCAATCAATATCTCAATTGAGCCTCAACATGTAATTTCGACCCAATCGAGCGATCAACGGATAGTTTTATTAACCCTTTCGCCAGCCTGAAGATGTCCAGAAAAAGGTGTTTGAATTCACCCAATACGCATTGAACAAGTATCACGTCCAGAAAGAAGTGGCCTCGTATCTCAAGAAAGAGATGGACAAACAATTTGGCAGAACGTGGCATTGTATTGTTGGAACCGATTTCGGCAATTATGTTAGCCATGAACGGAACAATTTCATCTACTTTTACGTGAACGAATTAGCCATTCTGCTGTTCAGAACAGCATAATGAGGTTACCAACTTGCGATAAAGTGTATAGCTGTACATTAGAACAAGACATGGCATTTTTGCTATCAAAGATTAGTTTCCAAAGATGCTGGGGGCTTTTTTTCGCCTTAGAGGTGATGCAAACGCAGAGACGGAGTTCTGGGTTTTCAGTCTTTGAGCGAAAGGAGATTTCAGAGCGGGATCAACGTTGTCTGCAAATGTGTCTCCTTCGTCATCGTTTGCGTATACAGCCGTCTTCTTGAAAGCATTGTTCAGCTTTCTGATCTTGGGTGGTGGTGGTCTAGACTTTGGTTTTAATGAGTCTCCCATTGGCTTGAACATCTCTTTGAAAGCTTCATCTGCATTTTCCTCGGGCTCGTCATCGGAGTCGTCGAACAGGGATGGCTTCTTTGCCTTGGCTGGCTGTTCAATGGTCTTCTTTTCTGAGGGAGTTGATGTAACTACTCCCTTGGAAGTCTGTGAACTGAGCATCACCATCTTCCTGAGGGGAGAAAGCCGGGGGTTCTTAAGATTTGGAGTCGCACTCAAGCCGGACGGTTTTGGCAAAGCCAGAGGTATCGATTTGGGCGTTTTGGATGAAGTTTTCGCTTTTGACTGGTCGATGCTGGATAAACGTGCTTTCAAAGTCTGGATCTCCACCTCGGATGACTTTAGCTTGACTGTTGCATCTGCCAACTTGATCTTGAGATTCTGCAGCGCTACCGTGTTTGTAGAATTGGACTGGGAATCAGAAACAGGCTGTTTTTTGACAGGTTTCTCCAATTTTTCTGTCTCCAGTGCCCGAAGTATTAAGAGATAAGCTAGCGTTCTGTCTGCAAGTCTAGAGTTCTCGGAGGCGGTGTCCCTTAATCGAGAAATTCGCTCTAGAGTCTGCGAGCAGCCCAAATACAGCGATCCCACCGACATCTTGGTTAGAGTTGAAATAGCAACGCAGCGTGATGGTGGTTGGCTGCGAATATTGTCACCGTTTGAAGCTCGTAGCTAAATGAAAACAACGACTGTTTGGAGATTTCCGTAAACAGTTCATTTTGTTGGGACACGCCCACAATTACTCCTAAACACACGACCCTCCGGAGGTCACGTGATCTCAGATGACACAATCTGGAGGCTCAATTGTGGAGTAAGGCGAGCAGCCAAAGAGATGTTGCCGGCAAAAAGGTTGACTTCATAATAGCATCCCAAATATGAGGGTAAACAATAACTAGAAGACCCTTTTTAGTATTACAAAGTCCCTTTTGCAAACCCCTGATTTGACCATCTTAATTTGTCGCCAAATCGGTTAAAATTTGAAAGCTAGAACTGTGTGAGCCACGGCTAAATGGGCTCGTTATCTAACCTTATTTGCAAAACCACATTTTGGCCAAATTCAAATCCCATGCCAAGCCTTCAAAAATCTGGCCATTTCACGTGATTCTACAAGTATAGACGAATTGTGGCTGGACTTTCCCTACATATTCCCTGGCACATCATCTCCCGTCAACCCTGCAGGATCGCTAGAATGAGCATTGTGGCGTTTTTGATGTCCATAAGGCCGCCGAGTGTTGCGTGACAGCAGGGAAATCCGACTGATTACAGCAAGTTTGCAGCGGAATTGAAGGATTGACAGCAGAGATCTGAGCCATTGACGTCGCTACGGGATTTGAATTGTAGATAGCCATAGATCAACCGCTTTGCAGGAACTATGGCGAATTGAAAAGTTTTACATTGTTCGGCTATGATGGATAATATGAATATTCGGGATAAGTATATATAAGAAGATAATCCGTATAATTCACCCGATATCGCTTGAAAAATATCTGTCAAGTTTCAAACCGACTTTTCAGGTTCCGTCTAGTCATGCCATCTATTAAGGGATTCATCTCGGGACTGAGAGAAGATGCCAGTACCCATTCGCATGGGTCTGACGAACCCCTGACTGGGAAACAACCACAAACTATCGAGTCAACTGTTGAGGAGTCTTCGCTCAAGTCTGAAAGTACCGTTGATGCGAAGAATCCATTTTTGGACCCTATAGTGGCCAAGTACTACCGTGATACTTACGAAAAGAGCAAGTATGAATGTCGTGAGCGGTTTGATCCCGAGTTCACCTGGACCGAAAAGGAGGAAAAGAAGATTGTATGGAGACTCGAATGGAGAGTTACTTTCCTGGCTTGTTTCATGTTTGTCGCTTTGCAAACTGACCGTGGTAATCTTTCTCAGGCTGTTGCTGATAACATGCTTGAAGACTTGGGGATGACCACCAACCAGTACAATACTGGTAACACCATCTTCTACTTGTGTTTTTTGTGTGCGGAGCTTCCTTCTCAGCTGGTTTCCAAGAAGCTTGGGCCAGACGTCTGGATTCCTACTCAGATGATGCTTTGGTCGGTGGTTGCCATGTCTCAAGCTGCGCTGAAAGGTAATCAAGGTTTTTACGCTACTAGGGCTCTGTTGGGACTTCTCGAAGGAGGGTTCATTCCAGACCTGGTTTTGTGGATGTCTTATTTCTACACTGGCTCTGAACTTTCTGTGAGGTTGTCGTTTTTCTGGACTACTCTTTCTTTGACAACTATCATCACCTCGCTGCTTGCTGCTGGACTGCTCAAGATGAGAGGTGTTGCTGGTTGGGCAGGCTGGCAGTGGCTTTTCCTGATCGAGGGAATCTATACATTCCTGATTGGTTTGGCTTCTGCATTTTTAATGGTCCCTTCGGTCGTTCAGACCAAGAAACCTTGGAACAAGAAGGGTTGGTTCACTTATCACGAAGAGAAGATCCTGGTTAATAGAGTGCTCAGAGATGACCCCACGAAAGGTGACATGCACAACAGACAGGCTATCACACCTTATATGCTGTTCCAGGCCATCTGTGACTACGATCTCTGGCCTGTGTATTTTATTGGACTTATTGCCTATATCCCAACGGGCACTTTGACCGCATATCTGACTCTATGTTTGAAGAGTCTCAACTTCACCACATTCCAGGTCAATTTGCTTGCTATTCCATACAACGTGATCCATATAGTTCTTCTTCTGGGAATCACATGGTTCAGTGAGAGATTCAACGAAAGATCTTTCGTCTGTCTTTTCCAACCTTTCTGGACGATTCCACTGCTGGCAATCCTGCGTTTCTGGCCTGGTTCGATGGTCAACAAATGGGGTACTTGGGTGGTGGCTACTCTCATGCTGGGAAATCCATATATCCATGCCATCTGTGTTTCCTGGTGTTCTCGTAACTCGCGTTCCATCAAAAATAGAACCGTGAGTGCTTCTCTTTACAACATGTTTGTACAGGCTGGGTCCATCATCGCTTCCAATATCTACAGGACTAAGGATAAGCCTCTGTACCACCAGGGCAATTCCGTCCTTCTGGGTATAGCTTGTGCTTTAATTCCCGTCCTTCTTCTAACTAAGGTATACTATGTTTGGAGAAACAAATCTAAGGCGAAGAAATGGGATGCTATGTCTATTGAGCAGAGGGAAGAGTACCTTGCAACAACCACGGATCAGGGAACCAAGAGGTTAGACTTTAGGTTCGTCCATTGAGATTAATCTAATGCTTCAAGCGGTTTAATCAATTATTCGACTTATAGTGGGTTTTTATATAATGTTTGTGCGACTTCGTTTAAAATGGAGGTAGTGTCAAATGTCTGATATGCAAGTCTACTGCAATCTTCGAAAATATTTTATGCCAGATGAGAAATGCATGTTGAGTCTGCCACATTGTCTGAGAATAACAAGCTTAGGCAAAATAGTGTATAATATCATATAAATGAGTAACGAGAATATCATGCTATTTCTCTACGAACCCCCAACTACAAGCAATAAAAATACAATAGGCTTATTAGTGTATAATGGATCGACAACCAGTAGACGTCCACGGTAAAAAAAGCAAACAGCGGGCAACCGCATACCCCTCAGTAAAAGAATAGAATGAAAAACAGAGAAAAATCCAAAATCCAAATCAAGTTTCATCAAAAATTCGTCTTTTACTGCTTGACAGCCTCCTCATAGTCTGGTGGAGGTCCGGTCCATCTGACAACTCCGTCGTCAGCAATGAACGCGTTCTCATCAGAAACATCGACCTTGCCCTCTGCCTTTTCGATCTGCTCATTGGCCAAACCTAAGTTGTCCCTTGGAATCCAGATTTGAGGGGCCTCGTTGCTCACCGCTGGATCAACAAAACTTCTGTCGAGGAACGCAGGGTCGTAAGAAACGGTTCTTTGCCAGCTGGTTGGCAGGATTCTGCCTCTGAAAAAGTCCAAAGTGAGAATCTGTCTTGGCTTGGTGTAACGGGCAAAGAAAGTTGGCGAAATGGGCAATTCAGAGCTCATGTACACTTCATCTGAAGCATCGCGGAACAAGGCTTCGTCCTTTTCGCCAGGAACATTCACAATCTGGCCTGGGGTGGCATTCTTAGTCTCGTCCGAGAACACAGATGCAGAAGGCTCAAATGGGTTCTTCTCAGTAGAGATGTCGTGGATTGGGCCCTCCTCCGTCTTAGGCTTAGACTCAACTTCCTCCTTAGGTCTGTCAATGAAGAAGTTCTTTCCTTCAGTAGAAATCTCTTTAAGACCCTGGTCCTTCATGTCATATGTAGTAGAGTATGGAACGCCCGCACTTCCACAGATGGCACTAAGAGGGACAGCATCGAACAGTGGCTCAAGCTTCCATCTAAAGTAGACGTGAGCGGCAACAGTGGCCACCAACATCACAACCTCCAAGGCAACACAGGCCCAGTTCTTTGGCATTACAAACAATCCAATCAGACATACCTCAGCCACGTAGAGACCAACAAAGGTCTGCAGCAAGGCCCTTGGGTAGTGACGACCACGGGCATCGAAAGCAGCATGGCCCTGAACATAGGTTAGGTTGTAGAGGTAGGCAATGTAGATCAAAATGAAGGCAACAGCAGTGAACGCAATAATGATTGGTGCAATGATAGCGTAACAGACCATGATAACAGTGAACAACTCGTAGTTACCGTAAGTAGTTCCCCAACTTGGAGCTCCCAGCTTGTTGTATCTGTTCCACTTCTTACGTGGAGTCTTGTCCAACAATCTTCCGAGGAACTTGGAGAGAATAAGAGCAACGATTTGGGCCAAAGCACCAGAAGAGACAGAAAGACCCTTCAACAGCATATACGAGATATAGAAGTTGGAAGCCTTTGGCAGGTTCTTGGAGAGCAGAGTCATGGCAGAACCTGGATCCTTGAGAATGGCAGATACAGTGGAAGAAGCAGAAGAGGCTAGAGTGGCCACCAAGAACACCTGGACCACCTGGAAGGCGTAGAACCAACTCTGGGTCCAGCCATCCAACTGTTGAACGGTGAGAATTCCAGACACCTTACCCCACTTTCTGATCCAGGGAGGCAACAGCATCATGAGAACGGCCAACAAAACAGTAGGAAGCAAAGCAGTAATGATACCCATCAGCTGCGAAGGCATGTTGTTGATGAACTTGAGAAATTTCAGCTTATCGGTCAACCAGTTGATGTTGGATATGAAACCAACAAAGGCAACAGGAATAGACCAGAAGATGATGGTCAATGTCAAAACGGTAGCAGCAAGAGCGTATTTAACCTTTCTAGTAGCAAAGCTGGTGCCAAGGTTTTCCCAGATGATATCGTCTGGTCCAACATTCACAACTGCTCTGGAAAGCTTGAGGTCCTTGGAGTATGGAACGGCCTGATATGCTCTTTGCAGCTCAAGCTGAGAGTTGAACTCCACAAAAGCAGAACCGTTCTTCTCAGCAGTCTCATAATTGTCCTGGTCATTCTTGATCTCCTCATTGAGCTCGCCGATACGTTCCACACCATAGTCAATGGTGTTGACCTTCTCTCCGATCAATGGGTACTTCAATCTGTGGTGGGGCAGCTTCTTCTCGGTGAAATAAGCAGACAATTGGTTCTCAGGCTGAGGAGTCTCCTTGTTCTTCTTCAAGGCCTTAGCTCTCATCTTGACAGATTTGATGATAACCGTGTTCAAAGCTCCTTCATACTTTCCAGCAAGCTTGGTGCGCTCCTTAACCAACTTCTGCAATTCTTTGTAATTTCTTGTGAAGAAAATGCGCGTGGCGGCAGGGAAAAGTGCCTTCAACTCGCCTTCGGTCTGAAGATTACTTGGCAAGTTGTCAATGAGCATTGACCGCGAACTAAGCAACGAATCATAGTAAGGCGTGGATTGCAAAGAGTGCTTGAACGAAATGTAAAAGATCAGCTCTTTATAAATAGTGTAGATGACGATTCCAAAATAGATCCAGGAAGAAAAGATGTGGGCCAGGAACTTCCACTTGTTGTTCGTAACATTGGAGTAGGAAATTATATCGAATCCACTACCGCCGCCCCCACCAGTGGCGTTGATTGCAAACAGCAAAGGCCATAGAATAAAGCCACCCAAAATTGAGAGGGATCCAAAGATGAACAGGTATCTAAGGAAGAAAAACCCGTCTGGACCGGCTTTCTCCAAAATATAAGATTCTGGCTTGTTCCAGAGAGCAGACAGCCAGGCAAATGCTCCAGGGGGCTGTTCATCAGCTCTCAGATCCTCAGGAACAGTCTCGACAGTCCGCCTGGGTTGGTACACCCTGGACTCTCTAGGCTTCATCACCACGAAGATCACCAGAAACACAGCGAACACGATTCCGTTAACAATCAAGTTAGTGACGAATGCCGAAACACTCGACGACGAGGTTGACGAGGACATGGTGTAGTTTGGTTAATTGCAAAATAGTAGGTGACAAGTTTTTGTAGCGCAAACTAGAGATCGTTTGTTTGTTTTGCTTAGCGGCCAGATGAAATTTCAGGAAGCCGAAGCGTAAACAGTCAAATGACGGGGATATTCTTATGGATATTTGCCCAACAATTGATCAATTGACACTTGTAGAGAACTAGCGTTGTCAAAAAGCTCGCTTTCGGAGTAAAACTTTACAAGAAGAGAGTTATTCTGGTGAGAGCAGTATTGTGGGAACAAAGTCTGTTATAAAGGAGAACGAAAACAGCAATGCCCCCCTTCAATCAGGAAACGAAGCAAAAAAAAAAATTAGATAGGCTGAATTGGTGGGTGCACATAGGCATTGACACACAGATGCCGTTGCAGGCGAGGTGCAGTGAAACACCGGCGAAAATGACTTGAGGAAAGTAAAGAGGGTCATAAGTATGCTGCAGACCAGAAACTGGTTTTCATATTTGAATTGGACTCGAAAACTGGCCAGAAATAGCAACGACGCCACGAGCATTTAGACCTGTGTTTTCAAAACCGTCTCGGGAGACAGCCGCTTGAAGCAAAGCTTCTTTGCGTCCCCATGCAACTGTACGTCCCCGGGCAAATTTCACATAGTAATCGGTATGTGAAATTAGGCGCGATCCGTATCCTCTACCCAAAGGAGTATACTTCAAAAGGTGAACAGGCTAGCTTAGCCGCTAATGGCTTCAGTTACCTTGGAAAGAAAATACGGCCGTGTAGTCCTGTCAAACGGCGACTCAAATGTGACCCGGGCGTAAATCCCGATATACGCCACGGACATCATGCGCCACGGCCGTTTCACCCCCTGCTTCTAACCTGGAAAAGTCCCTCCGCTTTCTAGAGTTTAAGACGTTTTACGAACTTAGTTGAGATGAAACGGTGATTATTCAATCATTTTGATCATTACCACAACAACATTGATTTATTCCGGTGTGGGCGAACGCCTGCTTGGGCTTTCCGGATGGAAGAGGTGCCATCCCCATTTCACAAGTGGCCCTGAATTTCGTCTAATCATCGAGCGTGTCCCGTACGTTTCATGCGGCGTTGGTCCCATCGACCAGCGGAGGCTGTCCTCGGCTATAACTTAGTTTGCTGCGCCACATGAGCACGGCAATGCAAGAAACGTGAAACTCGGTACAATACCAGGATGACGTAGGAACCGGTGTTAATCGGTCTTTTGGGTTCCACGGTAGTGATCTGCCACGTCGATACGTTTAATAGTGAATAGATGAGCCTTTTGTTGACATTATGTGGTTCCTAGGGGTATTCTAGCCGCTAGATAAAAACGTCTTTACATAGTGCCAATTAAGGTAAGCCAAAGTGGTTATGATCCACAGCTCTATATGGCCATAGTCATAACAGAGGAAGAGTTCCTTTATATCAAACAGCCTCATAGTCGTTGCGTTTCCTCGCGGATTCAAGCACCTCTTCCCAATCCGCGGTATAAAAGTAATACATTTCGGTGATCCCAATGAACAATAGTCCAATACCATTGCCTACCCAAAGACCATAGATGCCCAGACCAGTTTTGAAAGTGAAAACCAATGCCAGAGGCACCGCAATCACATAATATCCGACAAGATTCACTACCCCACCTATTCCTTGCAGTCCGAGTGCACGTAGAAGTCCACTGGCAGCAGTGGCCATACCATCAAAAATCTCGAAAAGGGCCACCAAAGGGCACAACTTTTCGATCTGAGTGATGACTTCCTCATCGGAAGTGAACATACGTGCAATGAGAGGACCTCCGAGAAATAGCACAAGGCAATTCAAGCACGCGGAAATGAACGACGCATACAATCCAACCCGAGCAGCCAGCTTGGCTGAGTTGACGTTTCCTGAACCAACGAAATTGGCTAGTCTAGTAGATGAGGCAATACTCACTGCAAACGGTATCATATACACTAAACTCACAACCGACGAGACTGCGCTTTGAGATGCCAAGGCAACTGTTCCGAGATATGATGCAAATAGTGTGAGAATCTCGTAAGCTAACGACTCGGCCTCGAGCATGATGACACCAGGAATGGCCAGTTTCGAGAGGTCGATCCAATGATATAGTGCCTGCTTTGACAGACCACCCCAGCACTCTTCCCCGTCCACAAAAATGACATATAGCCAAAGTAAAATGGCCATGAGCCAGAAGTTAATGCATGAAGCAATTGGTGCTCCTATGTATCCCAATCCAATTGTTTCATTCCATACGAGCAAGTAGTTCAGGACGACATTCAAAGGCGCAGTGATGAAAAGAATGATTGTTCCGGCATCAAATATTCCCTGAGCTTGTAGATACCTTTTCCCGTTTTCGAAACAGATATAAGGTGGCCCTGCAATAATGAGGATACGCAGGAACAACTGCGTCAGCCGAATCACCTCCTTGTCTTCTATCAGGTATTGGAGAACATAACCACTAAAATACCAGAACGTGGCAGCTGGGATAAATAAAACCAGAGAAAACAGCGTGCATCTTTGGCAATGGATCCCAACAGCATAGTAATTGCCAGCCCCATAAGCCTGGGGACACAGCGTATCTAAGGCAGTTGAGATACCTTCAAAAATAGCTAGTACAATGGTTGAAGTCATCGAAGCCAGAGATACAGCGGCAAGTTCTTTGGCCCCCAAGTGGCCCACAGTCATCACACAAACCACCGAGAACGCTTGCTCCAGGAAGAACGTTATGATCAAGGGAACGCAGTACTTCAGCAATGTGGTAGACTCTGACCGTAACGTGGTTACCTCGTTCGCAAAGTCTTCATCATCATCACCAACAAATGAGCCAAGTCGACCCCTGGATTTGTCCATATGGCTACTGCTCAAACTGGATACTCTTCGCCTTCTATCCAGAGCATCGATCATGTCCTGAGTCTCCTGACTCCCTCGTCTTCTACCAAAGTCAAATTGTTCCCTTGAGTAGCGTCTTTCTTGCTCCTCAATGAGCCACGTCATTTCATCTGGCTCTACAGATCCTGATAATGTTGAAGGCAAAGATCTCGAGGTGCTAACGCTCTCATTGTCGTCAATGACGCTTTGGCTTTCACTGCCTATTCTTGAGCCTAGAGACAAGAAGCTCCGCTGGTCCTCATTGTTGTTGTACACAAACAATGGCGAGTTTGTGCTCGGTGGAATGAACATCAGCGGCATCTTACGCCGTTTGGAATTCATTCCCATCCCATGAGATCTGGCAGCTCCGGACGCCAGAGTCCCCAAGGCTTTAGATAGTAGTGTATTTTTACCCACAAATGTAGATCGTTTTCGCATTGGTGGCGCATGCGACGTATCGCCTCCATCGGCGTCGCCTTGCCGTGACCAATCCATCTCTGGGTTGAATTGTTTTGTTGTCAAGAATAATGTTCTGTGGGTCAAAAACAAGAGTGGACTCCCTGAGATAAGGAACAAGACGTGCGAGGTCTAATTTTGCACCGCGGTAGTTTGGGCAGGGGCAGCGTAACCCAAGAAGGAAGTCTGGGGAATGCGTAGGAGATCTGATAGAAGCCTATCGTTCGCGCGTATGGCGGCATAAGCTGGTGCATTGAATCCTGATTTGTTCATTGGTGAGAATGTGGGCACAGCTTCAATATCTAGGACTTTTTGGCCTTATTCTTCGTTGAATGCCCCTTCATGCCCCCTCCTACATTTAGCGGCATTCTTATCTGCAGTCGCACGTCTTTTTCAGCCGTAGGTGCATAGTAAAGAGATAGAGAGATAGAGGAGACCTTACAGTACATCCAGGAGTTGCCTGCAAATATGTCAATCAGGCGAATACCACAGCAGGTGTCAAACTGTCTCACGTCTTCGTCTTCTGTGTTCTCGGTGGTGTCTGTAGTGAAAGAACTGATTGACAATGCTTTGGACGCGTCCGCCACACAGATCCACATCGAGGTGGACTTGGATACAGGTGGGCTGCAATATGTTTCAGTGAAAGACAATGGTGATGGCGTTTCTCCAAAAGACCGACCTTTAATGTGTGCAAATTGTACCACTTCCAAAATTCGCGGAGTCGAGGACATTCAGACTGCTTTGTCACTAGGCTTTCGTGGGGAAGCATTGTTCTTCTTAGCACAGGTAGCATCAAAAGGAACAATGGAGATAACCAGTCGAACCAAAGAAGAGTCAATGGGAGAGAAATGGTTTGTGGGAGAAACTGGTATTCCAATTGGCAGTCGTTCCAAACCGGTTGCAACACCAGTTGGAACTATAGTCACGTTAACGGGTCTGTTCAAGGCAACACCAGTCAGACGTAACTTGTTGAAGAAAGAAGCCAAAGCTACGATAGAAAAGTTAAAGGCGTATATGACTTCATATTCGGTCACATTTCGCGATGTCAGATTAACTTTGAAAATTGTTAAGGTATCAACCACGGGTAAACTAACGAGTGTTCCTGATGATGGTCTCGTTCTGGCTCCTAAAATACCGGTCAAAGCTTTGGTCTCCTCTTTGTACAAGCTGAAGAGTTCATCACAGAAATTCTTTGAAGGCGAGATCGCAATATCGTTAAATGACTCCGATCGGATTACTGTGCGATATGTGTTGCCTAGAATGCGGGCTGAAGACGATGTGACTCTCAAGAAACCTTTCAAATCAGTCTCAATCAACAACCGACCTCTCCTGCCAAATCTTTCACTTGGAAAAGCATTGAGAAAGATATTGAACAAAATATACTCTAGAAATATGCTTTTGACACCAACGGTTTGGGTGCTGGATATTCATTGTCCAAAGCACCTTGTCGATGTGAACATAGAGCCGGAGAAGACTGACGTTTTACTGAGCAACTTCGACGAGATACTTCATCGGTTCGAAATTCAAATAGAGGAGTCTGTTCAGAGTCACCATTATATTGTCTCCGGTGAAAATCAGGCAGAGGTATTTGATGTTTCGGAATCGCAGCCAGAGCCAGACCTGCAGCTTGAGACACATATCGAAACTGATGATGTTCCAAACAATTTTTCAGAGATAGAGTCCAGACCAGAAAAAACCCCCGAGGCGATAGAAAGTGACTCTCTTTTAAATATCGCAAATGACAAAACTTCACCATTATTGCAGCCTCAGCCCACTACATCTGGTGATCAATACTTTCTCGTGCAAGAGGCCGACGATGATGTGATAGAACAGTTTGCTGAGCCTATATCTGTCGAAAACACCTCCACTTTCAGCCCTGACACAAATTCGCAACAAGTTTCAATCTCTGAACCCATAACGCGGACTCCTCTGCAACGAACTACCATGAAATTGGTATTAAATGGGGACTCAAATAGACAGCCAGAGAGGAGAGCTACAAACATCAGACTACTCAAACATTTCACAGAGAATACACATCGCGTTGATACCACAATGAATATTATCAACAAATTTAATGACAATCATGCAAGCCAGACAGAGGTCGAGTGGCTTGTTCGAAAAGGCGAGCCCAGTGTCAACGTACTGGAAGGATATCAGAGATTGAGAAGACTCACTTCAGGTGATGGTCTGAACAATACGGACAGTATAGTTGTACTGAAGACCAAAGCTTGGATGAAATTATCCTGATCCAAAAACCATTTCATGCATATACTGTACTAATATAGCAAACGCAAAACTTGGATGAAATTATCGTCATTTATACAGGTTTATGAGTTTTGGCATAATTCCACAACAGAAATAGTATACACATGAGCCTCTAGATCTTGTGGTTTCTTGCAATACAGTAGGAATCTTGCAATTCAATCGCTTCGTAAGTGCCTTCTAGTCTCGTCCAGATACGGTACTCGTAGTCGTAGATATTCTCAACGACTTCGGTCTCCACAACCTTGGTCGAGTCTCCACCGTGATGTTTGGATATTGGCTCTGTTCTGGTATAGGTCAAGGTGAATGGTGGATGGCCGGTGAACGTAAAAACGATTTCCACCACTTCGCCCTCGTGGATGTCCTCTTCTATGTAATCGCCATGGGAAATTTCCACACTAGGGATGTCGTAGATCCGGGCACGAAGATCTGGTCTGGAAGTCAACACCAAGGGATCGCTCTCTGGAAGAGTGAAATTCACCAGGCAGTTGGCAGATGAATCGCCAACAGCAAGAATAGTTAGATCACCTGGCTGGGCTGCACGTCTCTTGAAGAAGTTCGACTCAAGCTCCACCTTCTGCCTTACCTCGTTGAACTGGTAGTATACGGTGAACGGTGGAATTCCAGAGAGTAGATAGGTGACGTGATCGCCAACACAGTAATGTGGAAATCCACCTGCGGAAGCCTGGTCCTCGGCAATACTATCTTCAATGATATTCCTGATTTTGGGCACATCATTAACTGCGATGACAACCTCATCACTGGCACCAAACTCGGTCTGAACACATCCATTGGCATCGCTTACCTCAACCAATCTCAGTACGTTGGTTCCGATCTTCAGATTCTCGTACACAGCATAGTTCTGTACAAAAGTGGACTCAAGCTTGCTAAACTCCAGTATTTCAGAAGTGCCAGTAGCCTCGTGATCCACAGAAACCTTGATATTGAAAGGCGGTTTTCCGCTCAGTGTGATCGGGATAGGTTCAAGAACGTCTTGGTTTTTCAAGCTTCCCAAACACGCCTTGTAGACAGGAGCGTGCGATTTTGCAAATTGAGAGTTTTGTGTGCTTGACCTCAGACTAGATTCCTTCTTAGAGAAAGCAGCACGGGGGGAGGGCGATACAGTGTTGAGTATCTCAATGCTTTCTGATTGGAAAACTCTCTTTGTCGAAAGCTTCTTTAGAGTATCAGGACTGTAGACTGAATCCGCAATGCTACCAATGACGTATTTGTAGACTCCGCTCTCACCTGTCTTCAGCTGGATTGTCAAGTGGTACTTGAAGACCTGCTCGGTCTTAGTCTCAATCTGACCAGATGGAGAAATGACCGAATGTTCCACGATGAAAGGAGGCTTGCCATTCAGCAGAATATCAAAGCTGCCTGAACATGCTTCACAAAGAGACGTCACCTGGTAGGAGTTCTTTCCACTTTTTTCCATACTTGGAGAGGTTTTGACAGATGCATAGGGCTTTGGTTCATATTCAACCACAATCTCAGCTTCGTCCAACACCTTTCCCTTGCAGTCTCCTTCGGTGAACTCCACCAAAGAGTATATTCCAGACTCTTCCAGCGGGAACCCATCAGCTGGACTGAATCTTTTAATGGTCTTGAGCTTCTCGTTTTCTCTAGAAAGATCAGCCTGTTTGTACACAACATCCAGCAGGTTCGAAGATGTGAATGAAAGAGGAATTCTGGCGGTGTTGCCTTGAGTGAGAGTGATGGCCTTTGAACCATCGCTGAATTTGAGAGTTGGTACAAAGCTTTTCACCTTCAGCACCACGTCCTGGCCATTGAAATCAACATCGCAATCAGAACTATCATTGGCATCACGAATGGATACCGTGTAATCACCTCCCAGGATGAAGTTTGGAGTTTCAATCACATAATCAGGGGTATTGATATCGTGCACTTCAAACGAGCTTATTGAGAGGTCTGGTGCTAGAATCTCATAGCGGATGCCGAAAGGCGCTTTCCCTTGAAGTGAGACGGGAACTGAGGCCGATGCTCCATTGCACAAAGCTAATTCGTGCTTCGTGAAGAAAGCCCTGGGACGCTGCTTGAAGAAAGTCTCGTATCTGTGCTCACCGGCATTGAACTTGATGGCATCTCTGTAGTATTTGTCCTTCAAAGACAAAAACTCAACAGCAAACGAACCTTCCGAAGGAGGCCTATACTCATAGGTAAAGACTGCAGATTCAGACGTCAAGGTTCTTACTAAACGGTGATGACTATTCTTGGAATCGAGACCAGTGATCTTGTATGCAATGTCAAAAGGAGCACTTCCAGCAAACTCAAAGCCGAAGTGGTAGCCCATGGTCCCCACACACTTATCCACAACTGGTTCAGCCTTGATGCTCACCTTTGGCTGTTTGGCCTCCAACACGTTCAGCGACGCAGCTCCTATTTTGACGGGACAGTATTTGCTGTTCATACTCTGCAGAGTGTAAACTCCACCCTCAGTGACCGGAACCAAAGCAGGCCTTTTGTAGTCGAACTTCTTGGTCCAGGTTTTGGTGCTGCCATCGGGACTAGTAACAGAGACGTTTGCCAGGTATGGACCTTCACATGAAGGACAGGGCACCTGTGACAACTTGAGTTCAAGATATTTTGTTTTCCCAGAGATCACTGGCAAGTTGTCATCCAGAAGACTTGCAACAGGCACGGGGTGGACGTTAAACTTGTAGAATATGTCAGTAGAAAGCTCATCTGGAACGTAATCCACAGAATTTCCAAATCCATCAATCACTCTGTTGATCGTATAGATAAATTCTCCGGGCTTATCCAGTCTGGAGCTCACCAGTGGAACGACAATGGACGTAGTGTCGGCCCAAGAAATATCCTTTAGGTCCTCTCTGGCAAACACTTTTGGTTGGTTTGCACTGAGGCCGGTATAATAATCCTTCTTTAAAAGAGGAGAACTGAAATCTTCGGGCTGTGCAACCGAGTGTGGCAACTTTGTTAGTTCTCCGTTCACCTCTTCGTTGTAAACCAACGTGAAAGGAGGGACACCAAACACAGATATTGAGAGATTGTCGATGTTTTCACCAACACAATGGTCCTTATTTTCATCTATTCCGCTAAACCTCGCCGATGGGCATATTGGAACAAAAAGATCGCTTTTGTAGGTCTTAATCGTCTTCTGCTTTGAGTCAAACACTTTTCCGAGTCTATAGTAGCCAGGTTGGCTGATAGGCAGTTCAATAAAGGATATTCTGTCATCTGGTATACCTTCATGAAGCAGACCTTCCTGTTTCTGTAAATCCTCGTAATCGCCTCTCAACAGTTTGGAGATCTGTTTCGACGTGAAGTTCAAAACTTTGAACTCGTTGTCAAAACTCGTGTACTCCAGCTCTATGTGATCCACCGTTGACGTGGAGTTAAACTTGACTGGAACCTTCACGTGGCTGTTGTATCCATTTTGTAGGCACCAATTACTATTGAACGGGTTCAATTTTGCTGTAGAATCTGGAAGAATGCGGATCGTTTTTCTTCCTCTAAAATGGGACGTCTGATCCCAAACATCTCCGCCTTTTCCAACAGGTTCGTTCGTGAAACTGAGCTCCTTGTCATGATGGAAAGCCCCTTGAAATCCAGCAAGTACTGCTATCACAGGCGAGATCCAATCCGATGTCGATACGATGGTGATCAACGAAATAACTGCGATCTGTAACGCAGTAGCGAGTGCAGTGTAGTTAAGTCTCGGTATTCTCAACAAGGGTAGTATCCACAAAAACAACCCATCTAGCACCAGATATTTCACCATAAAACTGGTCTCTGGCTTAGCAAACCCAATCCACCAATTGCTCGCTTCAAAAGCAAAGCCTGACTTGATTAGGATCAAATCATAGATCTTCCAGGCCTGCAACAGCCCAAATATGGCAGTGCAAAATGTCCGCTGGGAAACAGGGTCCAACAAGCTGGAGGGTATGAGAGGACCCCTAATCTTCCGATGCTTCGCTTTCTCCATTGAAATGTGAAGATAATCGTCCAGGAAGGTTTCGAGAGTGAGCTGTTGTAGAGGTGTCTCGAATCTCGCTACAGTTCTCGAAAAAACAATAATAAATTGGTTTGGGCATCACACGATTACGGTAGTGTGATGCCTAAATATATCTCTGTATATCAGACCCGGAGATTCATCCATCATGAAATCGGGCGTGTGGCGTAGTTGGTAGCGCGTTCGCTTAGCATGCGAAAGGTCTCCGGTTCGACTCCGGACTCGTCCACTTTCTTTTTTTTGGCAATCAAACGAGACTGATACTTCCGATTTTTTTGCTACTTCTTACGTTGATGGTACTCATTAATGAAAAAGCATCGCAGAAGCGTTGTTTTCTTAATCGCAATGTTGATTGAGATTACTGATGATACATAGCACTCCAAAGGTGGCCGATATCTCACTCTTTTTTAGCGTCGCGCAGCGCGTAAATCTTGGCGGTAAATGGTCTGTAATAATGATGTTAGTAGATAGTCGTGGCATAGATAAGAGATAGTAAGACTTACTCTTCGAACTTGAGAGCAATGCTGTACATAACATGGACGAAAGCACTGGCGAAAATACCTGCTGGCTTTCCGTACCACAAAGCAGTGCCCAAAAAGCATAAGAAGGATCCGTTGTACATGGGATTGTTGGTAACATTGAATGGGAAGTCAGTGACTCTATCGTCCATCAAAATCCCAAAGTAATCACCCAGATAAGTGCCGGTGATACCCAGCTTGTACATCGAGGAGAGCACCAAAATGTTGCCGAACCCGAATGAAAGAGCTCCGAGCGCTTTTGCATATGGAGTCAGCAACAATGTAGACACTGGCTGTTCAGAAAGGGCCTTCTCGTACAAAAAATCACGAAGAAGGCCAATCGAAAAGATGATGATAGCCAATAAATAGCATCCAAGCTTGGGTTTTCCCAAAGCAAGCTTGGTGAGTAAATGCGTCTTGTATTCCACTCTTGCCGCAATGTTCCAAAAAGTAGGATTGAAGGCAATTGAGACGAGTGCAACTTGACACGATTCGGTTAGTGGGTGGGTTTAGACTAGCTGGAAGGATGGCAACTCACTCTGGAAGCTGGTTTTGGAGAAATCAACCTCGCTTGCGAACTGGGAGAACTTATCCATTATTAAACAAATCAATTGAGTGTGAATATTTGACTGATTCAAAGAAAAAAGAACATGAAAAGAATATTCAGAGTTAAGTCGATAAAATTGTTGGAGCCTACTGTGAACCACACAAAATGTTGATTTCGCATGTGATTCTATTATGCCGTCCCAATCGGGTAATAACATCGAAACCACGTCTCTGACGCTGTGAAAGTATCTTTGAAAGAGATACAAGTGCATTGAGGTCCCGGGGTGTAATTTGAAATGGTCTTGCTGATTTCATCCATGGCTATTGAAGAATGGACTCCAAATCGCCACAAATATCCGATTACTCTTTTGATACAGGGAATGGTCTCACAGCGGAGCCTTGCAATTCGGTTAGGCCCATGCGGCTGCATCCTTACATCTTTTTGAGATGGGGGGATTCCAAGGTGGTTCTGCCTGCTATATTCTTCACAGCCACCAGTGCTGCAGTTCCGACCGGTCTCACGATACTATTTGGGCGTATTTTCGACAAGCTCGCCAGATACCAGAAGGGAAGCTATGCTAGCAGTGACGAGTTCGTGAACGATCTTGCCCTAGCATGTTTCAGCATCACTTTAATGGGGGTAGGGGCATCGATTTCCAGCTGGATTCAATTAAGTTGTTGGATGCGTATTGGTGAGCTTCAACAGAGCAGGGCCAGGCAGCTTCTTCTTGATTCGCTGTTGAAGCGACCTATGGCCTTCTTCGAGGAGGGGGACCTCAACGGTGATCTGGTTCAGGTCAACCGTTGCATAGAAGAGTTGCGTAAAGCCACCAGTGAGTGTTCTGCAATAATTCTTCTTTCAATTCTTTCAATTCTCAGTCTCACCGTTACCAGTTTCAGATACTCGTGGTCACTGACTTTGGTGACCTTGTCGTCACTTCCTCTCATTGCAGTATGTGCGGTGGTGTTTGGAAATTTGTATCAAAAGTATTCCCGAATGGAAAATGAGAACTCGGCGCTTGTTTCAAAAATAATTGATTGGTCGGTGGTATCTCCAATTATCCTGAAGAGTTTTAATTCGCAAAATGACGAAATGAAGAAGTTCGATGTTGGTGCTGGTAAATGCAGAGGTGCATTCTTGAAAGCATCCATGTACATGTCAATGAACCTTGCTGTTTTGAGAACCCTTGGGCTGCTTATGTTTGTACAGGCATTCTGGTTTGGATCCACTATGGTCAGAAAGGGCAAAATAAGCTCGGGTTCTGTGATGTCGTGTTTCTATGCATGTGTGTCTATTATAGAGACTCTCCACAGTCTCACCGGCCAATTGGCCGTATTCCAGAAAGCAAGAATCTCTCTAGAAAAAATTGTGGGGTTCATAGGCACCCAAGAAATATTTCCAACAAATTCGCTACCGAGCAATATTGATCTATTGGTTTATCCAGAAATTAAACCCAAGGGTAGAATCATATTCAACAATATCAGCTTTGCATATCCAGCCCGAAGGTCCCTGCAGGTGCTGCATAATATTTCAATTACCATTGCAGAGGGGAAAGTAACCTACATCGTTGGAAAATCAGGCTCTGGAAAATCGACTCTAGGATCGTTACTGCTTGCCCTGTACAAGCCAGATACGGGAAAAATAACTGTTGACGGAACAGATGTATCTGCTGTTGATCCTAGATGGCTCACAGATAATATAACGCTAGTCCAGCAGGATGGAATTCTGTTCAGCGGTAGTATCCGTGAAAACATATTACTTGGTATAAAGGCTAATTACTGGGACAGATCGGAGCCTCTGTTGAATTCGGTCATTGATAGCTGCAGGCTGAAAGAGATGGTTGACGGGCTTCCGGATGCAGTAAACACCAAGATAGGCACTGGAGGTGTCTCTCTGAGCGGTGGTCAAAAGCAGAAAGTTGCCCTAGCAAGAGCAATGCTTCGCGACTCCCCCATTCTAATTTTGGACGAAAGTGTTAGTGCTCTGGATATTTATCAGAGAGAAGCATTGATTCTTGAAGTAAAGCGTTGGAGAGTTGGCAGAACCACAATCATCCTGACCCATGAATATTCCACAATTAGTTGGAGGGACTTTGTCTGTCTTATGGAAAATGGACAAGTACTTGAAATGGGAACCAAGTTCGATCTCATGAGACAACGAGGAAAATTCGCAGAACTTTGCCATAAGCGGTTCCTGTCAACGTCTGCAGACCCCGGATTTGTATTCGTCGATAAGCAATTGATGAAGGAGACTTTTAGTCAGAGACCTCAAAGGCAATTCACAAAATCCCAGAGTCACGTTTCTCGTTTGCTTTTATCCACAGTTGATTTTAATGAGTTTGGAACCTCAATTGGACAAGCAGTTCAGCCCGATGTGGAGGCACAGATTGAGCCTGCGTCCCTTGCTACAAACGATCCTGTTCAGCCATTGGGCCTCTGGAGGATTATAAGAGGGCTCCGGTCTCATTTAACCAGTCCTTTTTCATTGTTCTTTGGTATATTTTGCGCTGTTGTGAACGGTGGAAGCAATCCAGCTTTCTCGTACTGCTTTGCCAGGCTGATCTCAGGAATACTGCCTACAGGAGGTGACGTCGGAAGTTCGTCATTCTTGGTTAAATGGAGTTTAATTGTCTCCGGAATTGCAGTCCTTGATGGTGCCACTACTTTTGGCAAAAGGTATCTCCTGGCTTATTCTTCTGAGGCATGGATAAAGTCGATTCGTTTGGTCTCCTTTGGCAATCTGCTCAAGCAGGAGACTTCGTGGTATGAAAAAGAGACCAACAAGGCGGCCGAGGTGTCAGCTTTACTTATGAATGATTCCCGTGATCTCAGAGTTCTTATTGGAGAATTTCCTGGGATTTTGGCAAGCTTCACCATCATTTTGAGCGTTTCTGTACTGTGGTCCCTAGTCTGTGGTTGGAAGCTCACGTTGGTGGCCATTGCATTCATCCCATTGTTCATTTTGACTGCGGGTTTATACACCATTATGCTTCAAAAATCAGAACAATGTTACAAAAATCAGGTTGTTGAAATTGAGAACCAATTGCACGAGGTTGTGGAAGGAATAGCCACAGTCAAGTGTCTTGATCTGGGCAGCCACTTCTCCAAGACATCTCTTGATGGTATTGCCAAACTTGTCCGTAGGGGAAATATTCGAGCCTTTCAAACAGGTTTTGGAATATCTATATCGGGCTTAACATTATATGCCTCGCACGGGGTTTTGCTATTTTATGGCTTGAAGCTTTTCGTGATTAAACAGTACACCATCCTCCAGACGATGGAGGTCTTCTCGCTCATGATATTTGGACTTGTCACCGCAGTCAGGGCTATTTCTCAGATACCAGATATAAGTCGTGCTAAGAGAGCAGGGACACATCTATTAGCTCTTACACAATTGAAACCGTCGAGAACTGAAGTTTCAGGCTACGCAAAACCGAGTATCGCAGTCAACCAGGGACAGAATCTGATACGGTTTGAAAATTTAACATTTGCTTATCCTACGAGACCAAACATCAAAGCTCTCAAAAATTTGAGTCTATCTATTGATCAAGGTGAAACTGTTGCTATAGTTGGAGCCTCTGGCTCTGGAAAGTCCACAATCGTATCTCTGGTGTCACGGTTATACGAAGCTCCAGACGAGCACTTGCTGTTTTCAGGCTTTGACATCAACGCAATTCAGGTCAAATATCTTCGGGAGTTGATCGCGTTTGTCCCTCAAAAGGCTGTCTTCTTCAACGGGTCAATCAGAGACAATATAGTGTATGGTCTTCCCGAGAGATTGACATGCTACGACTCCGATATCTATGCCGTTCTGGAGGTTGTCGATATGAGGGAGTTTGTGCAATCGCTTCCAGACCGACTGGACACTGCTGTTGGTGATTCGGTACATACGTTGATATCAGGTGGTCAGGCCCAGAGACTCTCTATTGCTAGAGCGTTGCTGAGGAGACCCAGACTGCTGATTATGGATGAGTGCACAGCATCGCTTGATCCTGCGAACACCCAAAGAATCGCACATTTCGTCGAAACGTGTCTCAAAAGACGGGCCGATATCACCACCATAATGGTGACCCATTCAAGAGAAATCATGAAGGTGGCTTCCAGGGTGGTGGTGATCAAGGACGGTCAGATGGTGGAGGAAGGCACCTACGATGGACTGATGAACACTGATGGTGAACTCGACCGAATAGCAAACACAGAGTAAGGCACTCTTTCAAAAACTCATTATGAACTCTTTTCAATCTTATCACAACGTAACACAAATGTATGGAACCTCGACATCCTCTTCGTTTTGGTCTTCAGCGCAAATCTCCAAGATCAACGTCTTCTCGTGAGCAGGCATTGGTTTCTTAGAAACGGTTTCCACTAATTCCGTGATCTTAAGAGGAAGTCTCTCCTTGAGCTTCTTGGGAGGGTGGAAAGAGGCGTACAGCAGGGAAACACCGTACGAAAGCATGGAGATTTCAAGTCCCTCTTCTTCCTTGAACTTATCCAACAATCCTTGGAGAGTGATATCGCCCTTGACATCGAATCTGTCCCAGATCATGTCGAACTTCTTACCGTTGTACTCTCCGTGGGGAGACTCTATAGGCTCCGAAAATCCCATGAATGGCAGCGCCAGGTTCACAAAACCATTCTTGTAGTATTCAACCTTGTCCCTTCCACCAACAACTTTGTAGAGTTCAAGACAGACCAGGCCGGTCACGAGAGCAGTTGTTGTTGCGATGGCAGGAATGATCTTACCGGCAATGAACTTGGTCTTCTGGCGATCCGCAACCTCGATGCCGTAGTTGAGAGCTCTACAGTTGGAAGCGGCAGAAATGAACTCGATGTGATGGTTGGTGTCATCGTCCTTCTCGAACTCAGCAGGGTTCAACCTGTAACCAGCCAATGACGCTGGTGGTGGCAGTGATGAGGCCAAGTTCTCGATAATGTCATTGTCAAGCTGGCCAGCATCGGCGTTTGGATCAGGGTCAGAGTCGTTGACCTGGATCTTCAAATTCGACTTTGGAACAAATGGAGGAACCTCAATGGTATCCAAGACCTTCTGGTACACATCCTTGTCTGGTTCGCCTTGATCGCCCTTTAAGCCATAGATGTAGGCCAGTAAGTTGGCTGCACCAGCAATGAAATGGAAATGGTTTTCATTGTTAATGTCGAAAACTAGAGCATCTGGAGCACGTTTGGGGCCAGACCAGAATGGTGCACCCGTGTTGGTGGTGGCATCCTTTGGGAAGTTGTACAGAAGCTGTTGGATATCGTAGTTGAACTTTTGCTCGAACTGCAATCTTGCCCATTTGATACAATCCTCGAATGTGTATGGTCTTCCCTGAAGATACTCGGAGATTGTCTCCAAGATACCCTTGACATCTCCGCTTTGCTTCAGTGTACTTTCGACAAAATTAGGCTGCGACAGGTACAGATTCACATTCTCTGGGGCATCCGCAAAGTAGCCCTGGAACAACGATTTGGCCCACGCAATTGTGTGGTCAATTTTGTTGGGGAAAGATCTCAATGTACAGAGAGGAATGGACTGTTCTGGAGGATCTTGGGATGATGAATACGACTCAGTAAGTCTTGGAATGATAACCTGGGTATTTCCCTTGGTACCCAATGTTCCAGATTCCAGAAGAGGCTTGCAGAAGAAAACACAGCGGCGATCAACATAGGTACGCGCCTCAACATTGTCCAGAGCATTCGTGACGAAATCAAGCTTATTCCAGAACTCGTTATCAAATATGTGCTCGGTATCAGCACCAACCTTGTCGCTTCTAGCATCAACCTTTCCTGTTAAGTCCGGGTTCATCGTGGCAACGGCTAAGGCCGCACACTCAGACTTGTTCTTGCCCACATCTCTTGGTCTGAACAGAAATTGTCTGTTCAGGTTAGACTTCTCGATGGAATCATTGTCAGTTAGGATGATGCTTCCCTCTGGTCCGGAACCAAGGCCCATCATGGCCCAGTTCTTGAGCATTTCACACCCAATAGCACCCGAGCCGACCAGGAAAACGTTCAAATTGGCAATTTTCTTCTGATATTCCAAACCGAAAACGGCAATCTGGTTGTCGTAACGAGAACCAATCGGTTTGCAGGCATCTTCACTTCTTGGAAAAGTCTCGACAGGAGGCAGAGACTCCAAAGAATCAAAGTACATCCATTGCTTGACGGGGCCGAACTTACCGGAACACGCTTTCAAGACTTCCTGGGCTACAAATCCACCAAAAAGCGCAGTCATTCCGGGAAGTTCACCTCTTGCCTGGTAGGCAAGCTCTTTGATTAATTCAATGTCCACCTGGGTATCTTCACCCAGAATAGAAGGGTTAGCTGCAGCAATCTCAGTGGCTAACTCCACCAACTCTAAAGCATCTTGCTCGTTATAAGGCGCAGGAAGAGCGTCAGAATGAGTACTTCTGAACTGGTCCAAAGCTCTGAATCCCACGTGCAGTTGTGGAGGTCTGTCAAACTTGGCAAAGTCAGAGAAAAGGTACTCTGGGTTGCTCAACTGGGTCGACAGCTTCTCAAATTTAACTTCAGTTGGAACCTTGACTTCGGTATACAAGCCGCCCTTGATATAGGTTCCCCATGAAGGATCTAAATCAATCTGGAAAGCAAATGGACCCAGAACCTTGACCTTGTAGATGCTTCCATCGTTCAATTTTTCAATTCCCTGCACTTCAGAGAACTTCACATAATCTCCATCCTCGAGTCTGTGACGATTGTCATCCATCATAGTGACAGTGCCGTTTTTTTCGATATCAGACACGATGCCCTGGCGTGGTTCCTCGCCCGTGGCGTCGATAACTGTGAAATTGTCACCAAAATCAACAAAAAGTTGACCGAACAGTCCCCTCACATCTGTGGAGATGAATTTAATGTCATTTGTGTGAGCAATTTCGTTGATTTCTAGTTGTTTCGCAAGTGGAGTCTCAGTAGCCACGATGACCTGATATCTCTTGATAATTTCCTCAGAAATTTCATGAACAACCGAGATTGGAACATACGAATTCAGCTCAGCCAGTTTCGGAACAGTTGCTTCGGCTCTAGAAACGCCGATATCGCCTTCGGAAAGAAAGAACTGCGCTGACAGGTCTGCAAGTGAGACGGGTGCGGGATCATAAACAGCTAGCGACTTCACACCAGCCAAAGCGATGTTTTTGGCAATCTCAACACCAAGACCTTTGATTCCAATGATTAACACGTTGGAGTTCTGCATCTTGAGCATTGCCTCTTTTCCAAGGACGTAGAGCTGGCGGGAGTAGAGCCCCTCATCCATCTTGCCGTCTTCGGGCTGGTCGGTTTGTATCATTGAATCCTGAATCGGGGCGTTAGTGAGTGAACAAGTAGGGCTGACAGATTCTGGTAGCTGCACTTACAGACATGACAATTGATTAAACGGTGAGGTGAATTGGACTACAACCAGTAAAGAATTATTAAGCATCTCCAGGTCGCTGCCGCCTTCATTTGGATGGCGAGTGCTGGCTTCTCGGAAATCACGTGAAATGTCTCGGAAATCACGTGATGCCTTACAAATCTCCTGCTAGTTCTCGAACAACTGAGGATAACTAACCGGATCAACTTTTGTGCCACCCGAAGTAAATATACAAACTAACATGTTGACTGCCTTCAGAAGGAACTCAAGGCTATTGCGTGCTGGTTCAAGGGGTTTGGCTTCCGTTGCTCCACATGTGCGGACTTCTGTTCTGCCTAACGGTTTGACGGTGGCCACTGAGAAAATCCCCCAATGCGAAACTGCAACTGTTGGTGTATGGATAGACGCCGGATCGCGTGCCGATGTCTCTGATAGCACAAGTGGAACTGCTCATTTCCTGGAGCATCTTGCTTTTAAGGGAACCAATAGCAGAACTCAGTTCAATCTGGAGCTCGAAGTGGAGAACTGTGGGTCTCACCTTAATGCCTACACTTCCAGGGAAAATACGGTGTACTACGCCAAGTCGCTAAAAGAAGATATCCCAAGAGCTGTTGATATTCTTTCTGATATCCTCACTCGTTCGAAGTTGGAAAGAATTGCCATCGAAAAGGAAAGGCCAGTGATTATCAGAGAGAGTGAAGAGGTTGACAAGATGTATGACGAGGTGGTGTTCGACAGACTTCATGAGGTCACCTTCAAAGGCCAACCTCTAGGAAGAACTATTCTGGGACCAATAGAAAACATCAAGTCTCTGACCAGAGAAGACCTCAAGAACTATATCGAAACCAACTACAAGGGCGACAGGATGGTGTTGGTTGGTGCTGGTGCGGTTGATCACGAACAGCTAGTTGAGCTGGCGCAAAAGAGCTTCGGCCATGTTCCCATTAGTGAGAAGAGCATACCACTGGGATCACCCAGAGGTGACTTGCCGAGGTTTTACGGCGAAGAGGTGAGAGTGGTGGACACTTCTCTGCCAAACACTTATATTGCCCTTGCCGTAGAAGGTGTTTCCTGGAGTGCCCCAGACTATCTCACGGGATTGGTCACGCAGGCTGTTGTTGGAAACTGGGACAGGGCCATGAATTCGGGTTCGCATTCGCCTTCTCCTTTGGCTGTGAAAGTTTCCACTGGGTCAGGAAACGGAGAGCCATTGGCAAACTCATACATGTCCTTCTCTACCTCGTACTCGGACACTGGTCTCTGGGGAATGTACTTGGTACTGGATAAAGATGCCAACATAGAGCCTTTGGTTGAGTGCGTACTTCAAGAGTGGGAAAGACTCAGAAAGGGAGAAATCACCGAACAGGAGGTCGAGACTGCAAAAGCTCAGCTCAAGGGCTCTCTCTTACTCTCTCTTGATGGTACCACGGCCATAGCCGAGGATATCGGGAGACAACTGGTCACCACCGGTCACAGAATGTCACCCCAAGAGGTTTTTGATAGAGTGGATAAGATCACCAGAGACGAAGTTGTCCAATGGGCCAAGTACAGATTGCAGGATAAGCCCATTGCTGTTGCGGCTTTAGGAACTCTCAACACTCTTCCTGCCCACTCGAAGATCGCCCAAGGAATGTCCACGTGATTCAGCTAGCCACATTGTACATATATTCATCATAATTCTCACCCTATAAAGAAATTCTGCAAATTTGAGCCTCACGTACCATGTCCTGGTTTGAGAGTTGTCCATTCAACATTTAAACCAATCGGATAACTAGAACATCTGTAACTTCGGTTTTTGATTCATAGCTTAATAATAGACTGAAACAGAAACGGAAACAGAAACGTACAATAAAACGGTAACGTGATATGCTGTACCCAAAAAAAGAAACAATCATGAGAAGTGAAGATAGGCATCCCATTTCTTTTGAATTCGGGTGTCCAAGGCCTTCTGTTCAGGTGTCTTTTCGCTTTCAAATTTTTGTGCAACCGTGAATCTTCTGTTCAAAAACCTTTTTTCAGACGTGTATTGATCCAGTAGTTTAAGGACAAGATTCTGATCTCTAATTCGAAGACCCACTTTGAATGGTCTCGGCTCGAACGCGATAGCCTCCGGAGATCTGTTCAGCTTTACCGGGTCCCTTTCCATTACCATTTCGGGATCTTCAGGGAGTGTGATCTCGAATGCGATAATAAACTTGCATAACAAGGTATACATTTCCCTGAAGGCTAGATAACTCCCCGTGCACATCCTTGTTCCTGCACCGAAGGAGAAATGAGTGAGACCCTCGCAACTTTCTAGTAGTTGTAGGTCCTCATTCAAAAACCTCTCGGGTATGAACTCGTGTGTGCGTTTGAACACCTTCGGATCATGGTTTCCGGCCCAAGAATTCATAAACATTGTTGTTCCCGCTGGGATGATAGTGCCTCTGTATGATATGTCCTTCGTAGTTTCTCTAGGAAGGGAGACCGGCAAGACTGTATACTGGCGCAAGGTCTCCTTGACAATGGCCTTTATGTAGTCACATTTCATATCATAGGCACAATTATTCCATGCCATCTGTAGGTTGTCGCCATAGCACTTTTTGATCTGTTGAAGTCCTGTGATCTGTATGTTCTTGTCGTGTGAGAGCTGTCCAATACAGTAAGCAAAGTTGAAACCAGTGTTATCAAGACCGGCGCTCAGCATTGTCAAGCACACACTGGTGATCTCGTCCAGATCCAAGTTATTGCTTGCTGGGCCACCTTTGTTAGATCCCAACACCCTCGCAACAAGACAGTCTTGGACAGCCGCACGTTCGTGAATAGAAACGTCAACTAGTTTCTGTCTTGTATACTCATAGAACTTCTGCAAGTATCTGCTTCTTCTCTCTCGCAACTCACTCACTTCCTTGCTTCTCCGTGGCGACAGCCATCTCAAGATAGGAAGATAGTCTTGCCAATTGGAAGTGTGAGCTCTGACTCCGGTGATGGCGTTCTCCACATCAATGATCTCGTCAGCGAGTTTTCTCCCTTCCAGTCTGGTATCCATGAAGTATCCATAAGTGAAGATTAAAGCAGTTCTCAAAGTGAAGTATTGGGAGATTCGCAGAACTTCAAAGTCGTTTGTGCCAGTCTCGAGAGACTGCTCGAAAAGAGGAAAGATCGTATTGCTCGTCTCGATATCAATCACATCACTCCTCTGGTCAATCGACTTCTTATTCAAAGAGTATGACAGAAACTTCTTCTTCCTCAGGTACGTTTCTGAGAATGGCGTGGTCCCAACTGTGTAGACCTTGGACTGAGACAACAGCTCGTGGAACGAGTAAGATTGCGGTCTTGAGTTGTTTGCTCTGCCATTTTTGACCCAGAGCTCTTGGATTGACTGGAAAGAATTGGCAACTATAACTATCTTTGTCCCTAGTCTCATCTGGAAGACCTCGCCGTATTTAGAGGCCCATTCGCAGTACTTCAGAAAGGAGTTTCGTTTCACAAGAGGCAGGCTCCCCAGAATAGGATAAGAGGGAACCAGAGGCAGACCTTTGATATGAGCTGGTGAGGTAATTCCAAGGAGGTCTAGAGCAATCCAAAACATCAGACTGACCAAAAGCAGCCCGACAATGGACAGTATTGTCTTGTCTATGGACTCGTGGACTACCACAAAGTTAGTCATTACCTGTGAGTGAAAAGACATTGTCGTTCATACAATATACCTGAAACCTCATTTGAAGTTGAAATAAGTAGGATTTTAGCCTGTGTATATACCCTCTGATACTCAGTTCTGGGAAGAACAGAAGAAGTAGGAAACTGCATCAAGGCGGGTCGCGTCTACAACACAGAAAGTCGTGGTGGGGTAGACAGAACAAAAAGTCAACAATTACGCATCAGACCATTTTAACCCAAAAAACACCTGTTTATTCCTATTAAAATGACAATATAATGACAAGCCCAGCCAAAAAAAAAAGTACAGGCGGTTTGAATACTGTCAATGACCCATTAATGATAGCCTGTCGAATCCTTGGGCTTATTGACCGAAGTCTTGTTATCCTTATGACTTCCCCTATGATAGTTATGCAAACCCACTTATGAACACCTCTTATGACACTTCGTGCAGCACTTTGTTGAAGATGATGGAGTTGGTGGAAATGGTCAACAATGACGAATTGCAGCTCTTCAAGTCATTATTCCAGAAATTGTCGTTTTGTGGCGAGGCGTGCAGATTGACCGTGGAGGCTGTTGGAGTGGGATCGTCATTGGACATGAGATTGGACGCAATCAGGTTGCGCAGAAAGATGGGCAAATACTTCTCTAATTGACGGTTGCTCATCATGGATTGAACCGGAGACGGAGGACGTGATTGGATGACTTCCTCTCTGTTCAACGCGTTCATGTTTCGCAGGTAGTTGGAGTAATGGCCTGAGAAAGTGGCCTTTCTGTTGGGGGTGTGCTTGTGATCAACAGCCATCACCAAGTCAGTGTCCTTCAACAGACTCCTCGAGAGTCGATGCACCACCTTCTTGATTATCCGTAGGTCCTTGGAACTGTACTTCTGCAGAATGTCACTTCCGTAGTAATTCTTTCTGGAGCTTGTTTCTAAGTCGTTGCGTCTAGAGCCACTCATGGTGGTGGAGTTGGTGATATCAAAGGTCGAGTCATCAATACCCCAACTCTGAATGAGTTCTCTTTTTTCCTGAGAAATAGGCTGCGATCCCCCGGCAACTTGCTTGATGTCTTTCAATATATCTGCGATCTGCTGTTTCCTCCACTTGTCTATCCTGGTGTTGAGATCTTCGCTTTCCAGCTCCAGCGCGGAAACATCGGCGTGGACATCAGACAGGTTTTGCACCAAATCGTCATCGTCTTCCTCACTTTCGCCTTCCTCTTGTAATCTGCGTAACCTGCGGTCCTCCTCGTCAAAAATCAGCTCTCCTGTCTCGCTCAATCTGGAGACATCAACTTCGGACTCTTCTCTATAGCTGCTAGGATCTTCTGTAGAAAGCACGTCACCATACGAGGTTCCCTCTTCCAAAATCTCGCTCTCCCCATCCAAAGAAGCATTTGGAGAAAATAAAATCCATTCAGAGTCAATCAGGTGAGACCCGCGCGACGATGGTGGTGATTGGTGTACTGCCTCTAAATTGGATGGATAACGGTGTAGACCACCATGTTGCTGGTAGTTATGCTGTTGGTTGAAGGCCATTGTGTATAATAGGCCAAATGCTCAGTAATCGACTAAAATAACTGAAATCAATGTGTTGTAGAAATGGAACCCTGACGATTACTCGTTTATATATAAACAAGGGCCTCACCCGGTTTCCGCCTTATGAATTCCCACCTCCCGTTGCGCAATAGGTGCCCTCCCTTGCTGCCGGTTACGCAGCGATAAGCCGCCCTCTCTTTGTAGGCTGCGGGTCCGGGTAACAGGGTGGATCCTGAACCTGAAGTTGCCGTCGGGCTGTGATTGGTCGAGTCCGGCCGAATTAGCGCGTCCGGCATATTGTTCCGGTCTTTGCTATTGCTTACCGGGTCGACGATCTTTGTGGATCCCGCAGGATTAGCGATCTTCGATCGGACCACTGGTTGCGGCAACGTAGACTGGGTAGGCTCCTAATTTAGACAGAAAAGGGCTTGGTCGTGTCGCGGGTCCAAAACCGGATTTTGTTAGTAGTGTTCTAACCAATGGTGGTTGCACGCCCTTTTTGGGAGGCGAACGCGTAAAGTGCTTGTTCAGGCCTTTTAAAATGCATCGTGTTTTTCAATATCTTCTGTCAACACAATCACTCCGATTATCATCATGCTCTCTCGCCAATTCGCCCGTGGATTCAGTTCTACCTCTAAAAATGCCATGGCCAAGATGTCGCTCATCGGCACCATCGGTTCCGACCTGGAGCAAGCCACCACTTCCACCGGTAAGGAATACTTGAAGTACTCTGTTGCTGTCAATGGCGGTTCCAAGGATGCCCCGCAGACAAGTTGGTTCAAGATTGCTGTTTTTAACCCCACTGAAATCAAGTACATGAACCAATACTTGGGAAAGGGTGCTAAGGTGTACCTGGAAGCTGATGTCTCGAACAACTCGTACGAGAAGGCGGACGGAACAAGAGCGACTTCTCTCATGCTTTTCCAGACCAATCTGGAGACCATCAAGTTCCCCAAGCGTGACATTGATGAAGCTGAGAGTGCCACTGCTTAGCAGGTAAGGTGCTGCCATTTGGCTTAGGCTTGTGTTTTGATTCTCGTTGCTGGACGATCGTTTGACAGTCTTTTCATGGTCTGGGTCCCTGATATATTATACCAGTCTGTTAATTCCTGCGCCTTTTTCTTGTCTAGTTAAATATTGTTCTATATATCTGAAACACTGTGTATTTTTAATCTTTTGTTGGAGTAAAGAGGCCGAGTTTGTAGATGGATAGAGAGTCTTTAATGTGCTGAAAAGTTCAATTGAAATCTTGGTAATATTATTGAAGAGAATATTTTGAGTTATTCTTTGATAATGTCTTGCTTGAGACATACTCACAGTTCTTTGATTTATTCAAAGCCCTCTTCTTGAGCATTTTAATGACATTTCTCAACTGAAAAGTTGGACTATGGCCCATAGTTATCAGATAAAAAATCATTTTCATTGGCAATTGAGTGGTAAATAAAAGTCTATTGAAGAATTTTCAAACAAAAATTAATTCTCAATTGCAATCTCAGTTCATTGTCGTTATATAATGCACCGTTTAGACAAAAAGTTAGACAAACGGTCACGATGATACCTAATCTCCAGATCAATATCACCAACTCACAACGCTTCAACAAAAAAATTGTTCATTCTCGTATCAAAAGCTTGAATGTTCACCGTCTGGTCTCGTTTCAAACATTAGCCGAGTAATTGATAGTAGTTCGAAATTCCTCACCCTCAGAATTTGCATCGTTTGCCAGAATCCTCTCAATCAGCTTTCGGTCGCTTTCACTGCCAACCGAATCGTCGCGATATTCTTTTCTTGAGTACAGCATTTCCTCTGCAGAATCGTCATAGTTAACTGTGGAAGGCGAGTCGATGGTCATGTCGTACAATTTCATCTCGAACTCGTCAGACATTGAACCATGCATATGCGCGTCAGGTATTACACGAGTGTGGAGTGCATAACTGGTCTTAGTATCCAAAGAATTGGTCCGGAGTGTTTCGCTCTCGCTAGAACCTCCACTGCGGGGCCCAAAGATTCTGGGTCTCTCCCGATTGGATCTCCATCTCTCCCATCTGGTGAAAAGAAAACCCAAACCCATCTTCACGAGATATTTCTTGTATACGGCCAGAGCATCTGCACCTATTCCAAACAGCAAGAAGGTGAGGAAAGCAACACACAAATATGACCACTTGTCTAACTCTTGAAGAGGATCATAGGGAAGATACAAAATAATTGGCCAGAGCAATTTATCATGTGTTTCTTTCCAGTCGAACTTCGAAGTGGCCGTGGAAATGGTGCGATACAATCTGTAGATGGCCAAGGGAAACAATGCCAGAATTATGAGAAAACAGAATCCCAGCAGCCTTGCAAATTTTCTAACTGATAATCCAGAGTTTGTGCACAGTAGAATGTCGCTGGCATATTTCCGCTTTTTGAAATAAACTATGAGGTTCATAAGAGCCATTACCAGTGCTGCAATGCTCCACAGCTCTACCCAAGTATAGTAGAGGAGAATGTAGACATAGCTTTTGGAGTGGGAAGGCTGGCAGCCTGAATACTGGCATATCAAGTATCTTGTTGGCTCATAAATGTATGAAACAGCAATCACAAAGATGGGAGTCACCAGGCATAGAGCCAATTCGATTGCCAACTTGCGGTATGGTTTTGCGAACCAAGATGCAGTGATTTCGTCTGCACGCAGAATCAAGTACAGGTTCAGGCCAATGGCAAAAATGGAGCATATACAACCAACACTTGCCCCTTGCTGGAGTCTCACCATTATATCGCACCATACTTTGCCATCCCAGGCATTTAGGTAGTCATCAATCCCCCAAACAGACGCATCCACCAATCCTTTGATCAACATAAGTATAATGAATGTCAACAAGGAGATGGCCGCCACGTTTTTCGAGCTGATGTGCCATGCCAGAGTTGGGACCATTAGCACCAAGGCGATGATATGAAGGGCCATTTGTGCCTCTCTGAGACCCATGTTTGTATACGTGATGTGATGAGATACGGTGCTGATAGACTTAGTTCGTGATCAACTCGAAAGAGAGCTTGAATTCTGAAAAAAACTCGAGTTGTTACCGTTTGAAGTGATGGCAAACTCTTGTTTTCTCCTTCTTCTTCTTCACAAGCATTTATCTGCCAAATTTGCGGTTTAAAGGGAGCTCGGTTTCGGCTTGCAACCAGCTACCTCAAAGCCTTCCCTTTGAGAACCTCTTTGGGACATGACACATGCAAAATGGCGCAACTGTACTGGAGCGGGGATCTTTGGGTCCGAATTGAATTTGATTAATCCCCAAACTCAAATAAATCAATCCCACGTTTTTTTGCTGTATTTTTGCTGAGCTTTTGCTGCTTTTGTAGTTCTTGGCCGTAAATCATGGGAGGTGCATACTGGACTGAGTGCGGCTCAAACCCTGCATATTACTCTGACAGGTCCTTGAACTCCAAATATGTAAAAATAATGAAAACAGCCTCAATTGCAAGAGCACAAATGGCCCTCGATCCCCATTTCTGTACTTCCTTCCTGTTTTGCCAGTGACATTCGTACACGGCTTCAATATCCTCCATTTTCGCGGTAAGGCCTGCATCTGCAGAGCAGGGGATGGAGACAGCTGCCAGAACCACCAAAAAAAGCAGGAATGGGAAGAACAAAAAACCCATGAAAAAGATCTGTCCAAGTCAGTATATGGCTTCCAATACATCAATTATATAATATACTCACTTTAATGTAACTGAAGGGGATTTTCCGGTTCGCAATGCACATTAGGCACTGACAGTCATCGCAGCATCTGGGCTCAGAAAGGCCTGCTCTTTCAAGATCAACGTACTCGCTTTCCAGGAAGCACGGTGGTCCCACCTTGAGGTGTAGCATGGCTGATTTCAAGCTATGGAAAAACTGTGACTATTAGGCTCATTCATCATGGTTATTGTTTTGTACTTATATGATTTTGACTCCATAGTTTGTGGTAGCATACTTCATCGGATACTGCTCCACATGATTAAAGATAATTGCCTAAACGGGATGGACCATAGGATTTTTGCTACAAACCACGCTTTACGAATACAACCACATATCTGCTTCTATTATCACTCATTCTTCTTACTGGCTATGAAACGCCTCAAAATAATGCTTCACAAACGCAAGAGGATGGTCCTCGTCCTGAGAACCCATCTTGGCAATGCCCGGAGAGAAACTTGTGATTGGCAGAACCAATACATCCGAAACCAGTTTGGGTACATCCAGCTTCGTGAAATCCTTCCAGGTAACCTTAGAGTAGATTCCACTCAGAACGTAATCGTTGAAATATGTGAATATTGTATCGGTCCACACTCCACCACCCGTCCATTGCATGATGCTAATATCCTTACTCTTGGACTCTGTGTCAAGTCTAAGATTGTCATTCTTTTTCCGCTGATGAGTGTCCTCTGTGATAGTCGCGACTATCTCCCTCAGTATCGGATGGCCTGGCTTGGACTGGATCACCCAGTTGGCAAACTGCAATCTACGTGCGTAGTGCTCTCTCCAGTCTGGAGTGTCTGGGTCTGCCTGGATACCTATTATCATACCGATTTCTGAAGGTGCAACATTCTCAGGAATCCAGTTGGGCACAGGTTGTAATGGGAAGGTGTCCACATCCGCGTAGACTCCTCCTTTGGCCAGCAAGATCAGGTACCTGAAGAAGTCCATCTTCAAAATGACATTGGGCATGAGCTCATAGGCCTCCACAATTTCAGGCAAATGCATGTAGATATGATGAATGATAGCTCCTGCGGTATCATCGTTAAATAGTTCGTGCACAAATCCGGGATTCTTGAGTGCCCATTGCAACTCTCCCTCCTTGAACCGTTCACCAAATCTTTCGTCGTTCAATCCCCACTTCCAGCTCTGCCAGATATACGCAGGGAACTTGCGGTTTTGGTCATAGGGGAAGATGAAGGCCAACTTTTCTCTCAAACTGGCGTCTGAAGGTGGACGTTTCATGTCCATCAGTTGCCTCTCTAGATTAACCCTATCTTGTTCAAGCTTGGTAAGTCTTAGGTCCTGTTGCTTCATCATTTTCTCGGTGATCTCATCAATCTTCTTGGAGAACTCCTCCTGAGTCCTCTTTTCATTATTCACCGGCAATGAGTCCTGAGGTATTATGTTTGCGCTCTGCTTCAGTACCTGTTGCAGATCAGGCGTCTTGCTGGACGTGAACCTGAAAAGAAACAGGAGAAGCGTCACAATTCCAATTGACAGCCAGACTGTCTTCTTGAGAGTGTGCTGTTTCATCATCCTTGTCATCTTGGAAAGATTAGAGGTATGAAACGAGATAGCACTGGAATTCTATGATGTGTTGGCAGTGGTATTGGCCCCATCTCAACTTGGCCAGATCGGGTCCTCGTTTCTGCTAGAAATTGTGCTTCGCACGCAAATTCAGACGATCACCAGTCTCGTGCGGCGCAGGAAGCTGTGCGAGCAAGTTGAAGTTCAAATCATTAATATCATTGTTATTTAATTTTACAGGTGTCATTATTTCTCAGCTATCCAAACAGACTCCAGTCTTCAACATTCAATGTCTCCAGGGTTTTCGAAACCACACCTTTGGCCGTGTCAATTCTCTTCTGGGCTAGATTACCGGACTGCACGTTGTTTTCTATGAGAGCAAAAAGATCTCGTAGCTCATCTTTCGATGAAATTGGAACATTAATGGTCACCAGCAAATCTGTGCTTGTCTTTAAAATCCTCACGATCCCCAGGACCACCACCAGAGTCGGATTGAGATCCTCCCCTCTACCCCATTTTCTAGCCGGTTCCAATGCGACCGCCAAATAAGCATTGTCACTTCTGATAATAGTTAGTAATTGTTGGTGGGCATTTTTTTCTGTACTCTAATCTTCGTATACTCACTGGAATTTCGGCAAATCAACAAAAGTGCTCTCAATAGTGGTCCATTCATTCTGGTCTGCTCCGTTCAAATTGGCAATTTCGGCCAAATGAAGTTCCACGCAGTTTGAATCGTTACCAGTTCCGACGTCAACCCGCTCCATCAAGTCAAAGATGATGGTGTCGTCTTTGTGAAGCTTGTGGTAATCTGTGGTGTTCGTGCTGGGGTTGAGAAACACCTCCTGGGTGTCCGGTATTTGTCTCAAAGTCGAGGCATCCAGCAGCCCCGCAGGTATGCTCGCGGTAATGGCACCTCCGTATAATTCGACCTTTTCAAACTCCATTTCAAATTGTGGCCGGCGATAGACGTGACCCGTTCAATGGCAAATCTGCAGAGCTGATGATGATGTAGAACCGAAAAGACTATACGAGTGTGTGTAGATTAATTCTGCCCCTCTCAATTAATTAGCCCCGACACGACCCGACACCCTCTTTCTCCTCGGGAAGGAAGTCACTTATCGGGCCATACGGCCGTCAATCTGAAATTTCACAAACGATTGCGTTTGAATTTTGAGCTGGGAACGTGATAAGTGTGATCCGCTAATAGAGGCATTGATACTTCCACGTTGATTGACGCGCCAATCAAATATACAAACTCTCCAACATGTCCGAAGACGAACCAAGAGTGATATACTCGTCCTCCCTGTTGTTCTCGAAACCTCCGGTGGAGGCAATGGAGGTGTTGAAGATCCGCCATGCACAATTGAACGAGATAAACAAAAGCATGGCCAGCTTTTTCGCTGATTATGGCAGATTGCGTGTCCAGTATCTAAACGAGCTGGGCAAGGTACTCAAAAGGGGTGAAACCCTGTTTAGCGGGCCGAAATTCCAGAATGACAAGGTGGAAGCTTTGGGTTTGTTGAATCCACTATGGCATTCCGTGTTGAAGCAACTTGTTGATGAATTCGATAGTGTTCAGAAGAACAACGACGTTCTGGCCAGTCAGGTTGTGCATCCACTCAAGGGCTATGCCAAACAATATGACTCCAACCTTGTAGAGATGGACGATTTAACTACTCTGGCCAGTCAGATGAGCACCCTGGAGGCATCTGGATCTCAGGGAACGGAACTCCAGGGTTTGAAGAACGAGTGGGAGAGCCGTGCTCCTTACTTCTTTGAAATCTTTGAAACCTACGATTTCAACCGGATTGTGTTTCTGAAAAATGCGTTGCTCAAGTATCAAACCGACGTGAATGATTCTCTTGACCAGAAGAAAAAGCTGAACGAAACGGCTCTTGAGTTGGTGCTTAATCTGAATCCTGCTGACGAGATTGCGCGCTTTTCCGAGGCTGCCGGTAAGCAAACGTTTGACGTTCCTCAGCCTAAAGAGAGAATTGTTTCAACGTCTTCTGAATCTACAACTCCCGGTCACAAGCATCGTTCTTCGCATATATTCCCACATAGAAAGAACAGAGACTCGGTGGTTGCAACTCCAACCAAACACTCTGCTCCTCCTATAGCGCATACTCCGTCTTCAGCCGCTTCTGCCCGTGATAACCATTCCATCCAAACTGAACGTTCCGATTTGAGTCCCAGCAAACAGAAGACGAAGCTGAGATCGAAGGTGGGATCCATTTTTGGACGGAAGAAGGATAAAAAGCGAGTGACTTCTTCGCTGGAGCCTCTGGGGTCTGAGTCGTCGTCTCTGGTCTCGGGGTCTCGTAACGCTTCAACTTTGAGTTTGGGTCGTTCAGCTGCTGCTCCTCCTGTCCCCTCCAAGGAGACTGAAGCTGCGACTGCTCCACCAGCAATTGCCGCTGATCCGGTTGCACCTGTCAGTTCTGCTGCTCCACAAGCTGTGGCTGAATCAGAACCGGACACTGCCTCCTCGCAGCCTGTATCAACTTTCACACCAATGCAAGTCACCAAACGCGCCAGTTCTGTGAAATCCTCGGAGCTATTAGCGTCTGCCCCAGCTTCTATCCCAGCTCCAGCCTCGGTTGGGGCCCCAACTCCAATCTCAACAACTGGTCACACAGTGGTTGCTCCACCACCACCTGCTGCTCGCAAACATGGTGGTGCTTCCTCGGTTTCAGGCTCCGAGCCTTTCGGTTCGCCTGAGCAAATTCGCACCGTTCCACACGCTGCCACTGCTCCCCCTCCTCCAACTCAGAGACAGAGCATGGTGTTTGCCAATGGGTCAGCCTCGGGATCAGCTTCGGGCCTGACACCTCCATTCAGAGCTGCAAGTGTAGTTTCCCACTCTTACAACGGGGAAGCTGCTCTGACGCCCCAGGGAACGGGTGCAATGAGTATCATGTCCAATCAGACTGGCGGATTACTGAGTAATGGCCAGATCCACCATCCTCAACTCACCTATCCCGGCTTGAATGCCAGTGTGGTGGAACTGTTCAATGCCAGTTATAAAAATGGCGTTCTGCAACGGGCCAACGTGGTTGGAGAAATAGCCTTCAGCTTTATTGTGAGCGAGAACGTGAGTCCTCCGAAGAGCATCCTGCTCCAGCTGGGCTCGCTTTCTGCTGGTGCTCCCAACTCCTTTCTGGTGAATGACACCTTCTTGAAGCAAAATTCTGAGTCCTCCTTCACCATCACCGATCCCAAGCAGATTGTTCTTCGTGCGATTGGGGGTCTGAAATATGTATTGAACACTCCTCAGCCGCCTATCTCCATCCAACAGATCTGGAGATACGAGCCACACCAGGCTTCTGCTGTTATCTTGGTTAAAATCTCGCCAGAGGTCGCAAGCAGAATGGGCCCAGAAGACTCTCTGGTGCTGAGCAACTTCGTTATCGCACTGTCCATTGCCGGGGCACCTGCCAGTTCGGCTGCAACCAAGCCACCAGCCAGTTTCAACAGGGAAAAGGCCAGAGTCACGTGGAACTTGTCTTCCTCTCCGCTGGTTCTTAAGGTTGGTCAGGAGGAGAAATTCACCGTTAGGTTCATGACGGCTGGCCAGGCCCATGAGTCTGACAGCGGATGTCAGGTCCGCTTCACCATCAACAACGACGATGGAGTTCACTTTGTGGACTCCGGGTTCACTATTCAGCAGCAGGCTGTTCTGGATTCCGAGGAGGATCCTTTCAGTTCGACTGAAAACGTTGGTGAATGGACGTACATCCCAACATTGAAGACCGTGGTGGCCGGCGCATACTCTGGTCATAGTTAGACTACCAAAAACTCTTTCTGTATCACGAACATATATCCATATGCTGCAATTCCTTGAATCCCATAAAGTTAACCCAGCACTATAAAAACTAGAATTTCTGCAAAACGGCAGTGGTGTGCCCTTACCTCTCAGTGCCATTCTTCCCAGGTCTTGATTGGGTCTATGGGCTTATCTGGGTCAATGCTGACAACCTTGTTGACCCCTATGGTGCTGTTGCTTCCGGAAAGAGGGAGTCTGTAGGTGAGAACTCCTCTGATAATCAAGTCGAATGGGTGTTTCGAGATGTGCGACCATTTCTTGCGGCCGGGGATATCGTTGATATCGCAACTTTCGGAGCCAAAGGTCTCGTAATATGTACCCTGCATGTCTCTCGAACGGCCATCCGCGTTTTCTCTGCCATCATTCAATCCTGTAAGCACCTTTTCATTCGCCTCGACTGGTGGCTTCCCGTCATTTTGATCTTCTCCATTTTTGTCTTCATCCTTTGAACATGGATCCAGCAGCTTGATCTCGGTCATGCTCTGCGACTTCTGTCTAGTGAAGAATCCTCCCTGGAACACCAAAGGCATCTCGAACGATCTGACTGTTCCTAGCAACACTGTCTCCAAAGCGCCGTTGTCAGCCTCGTCAACCTTTGGAATTGGCACCAATGGCTTGTTTGGATCGGTTTCCTTTGGACAGTCTTTAGCCTTCACTTTAGAAAAGGCTGTCTGTGCAAAAACATCGATTTCCGCCTCGCTTACCACTATGCTCCAGAACCCTGGATTGAAAGCCTGTACGCCCACGTTGAAAACAAGCTCCTCTTGGGAGATAATAATATCCTGAATCTCTGTGATTTTAACATCCTGGAGGTCTTTAGTAGTAGCCAGTAGAAAGCCGGATACAAATCCAACTGAGAGAAGCAGCATGATTAGACCCAGAGTATAGCAAAAGTTCTTGACCTGTCTCCATCTTGCACTTCGAGAACCTGTGAAGTTGTGTGGAGAATAGTACATGCCAGTATTGGCTTTCTTCCGCCTGATCATTCTTCTTGGTTTATCGAGTTTAGTGCCATTTCCATCGCTATCCAGGCTTCCATAACCATTATTTGGATAACTCATGCTGCTCAGATTCCTCCGGAGATCGGCATACCCTCCCTTTCCATAGCTGCCAAACTCAAGCTCGGATTCCTCATCGGGATCAGCCACAAAATCAAAATCATCTTCGTCCAAGTCTTCGTCGTTGAAAGCGTTGAAATCAACGCCCGAATACCTCCTTGGCAGTGTTCCTTTGGAATCAAACAACTTTGAGGTGATTGCGCGAAGCTGTGGAGCCTTAGAGGACTCGTTGCCCTCTCCGACCCGATTTGCAGGGCTATTCGGACTCAGTGAAATCTTATCCGCAACGTTCCCCTTTGAAAACCGCCTGTTGCTTCTGATGGAACCTTGGTTACCCTTCGTAAACGGAGAGATGGCCTCTTTGCCGTCGTTCAACTCGTCCACCTGGTCATCATCGGAGCCCATCGGGCTATCGGCAAAATCCCTCAAGTTTTTGAAGGTCTTCTGCTGTGAGTGCTTCGATCCACTATTTGGCATCTCATTACTGGTAGTGGACCCATACGCCGTGTTACCACTCGGCACAAAGGAATCACTTACACTGTAGATACTCTGCGAATCCACCATGTCCTTCTTACCTAGCAGTTGTTGGCTCCGCTGAGTTGCCGTAACACTCGCCAAGCCAACCACAGAGCCAGTCTTACTGGCAACGCCCGAGTTCGTACCTGTCACATTTGAAGACCCCACCGTGGCAACCCCAGAAACACCCGTCGACCCTGCAATAGACGGTTGTTTGAGATCTCTCGCCGGCATCTGGGCCGATACGTCAGCCGCTGTTCCCTGCTGCGGAGCATTATCGTATACAAAGGTCTCATCGCTATCCGAGCTTTCTCCCTTATCATTCTTGATGGCATCGTGAACCCTGGCCGCAAAGAAATCTACTCGCGTGGCAGATTTGATCGGGTGATTGCTGTTGGTAGAAGTAGATGTCTGTGTCCTCACGGGTCCCATTCCTGTGGCCGCGCTCTTCTTCTGTAGTCTGACTGAATTGGGATTGGAAGCGATCTTTGGGCCAGAAGCTGCTCTATCACCTGTAGAATGGCCATCAATATCTTCATTCCCGTTGAAAAGAGAAGGCTCAATAATGGATCTCTTCGATCTCAGTGTGTTATGAAGATCGGCAGCAGGACCGTTCATAGCTCCGTGTGTAGTGCTGTTATTCGCGGAGCTCATAGATGATGTTGTGTCAAGAGCGGGTGACAGCAACGGCGTAGAATGAGCCTGGGTGCTGGTACCGCTCGGCAAATTTGCGAGTGAGAGATTTTCCGAATTCACCATGCCTTGCTGGTGAGTCAGTGGCAATATGTGAATACCAGCGGTGTCAACAGTCTCAGTCTCCACAGATAGCAATCCGCCCTTGTGTCTCAAATCAGTTGCAGGGTATTTTTGATGTGAGACCTGCCTTTCCGCGGAGTTTTTGGCGGACACCTCAACCGGCTCTTTAGGCTCGTTACTTGACATTCCTATCTTATTATCCCTTGATGTACGGCTAGAAACGGATGGCTAGAAGGCTATAGAGCTAGTTGTCTTGTCTAGACCCCAGCCTTCTGAGGCGTCTTACGCTCAAAAAAATTATAGGTCATAGTAGTGTACTGAACATTTTTGTCGAACCAGTCCTCTAGGCATCCTCGACTGAATAATCTATTGAGAGGTCATATAGTGGTTTCGCTGTGCCTTGTGACTTATACCAAAACTCTTGTTATCATCCATTGGTTTGAATTCTTCTCGAATCCACCAGTTTTTGTTCCGTTTCGGGGTGTCTTAAACATATACGTGTACCAACAGTTAATTGTCGCACGACTCATGAGTCGTGCATGGGTGATTTACAGGCCCAACCACAAACGCGTCTTGTTTACGTTTTTTGCCCTTTTCAAAGCACCAACGAAAGATACCAGCCGCCAGAACTACTGTTGAAAAGCTCGAATCAGCCATGTCTGGGCCCTTCTTTGGTGCTCCGAATACGAGGAAAAGGGCCTTGTATTCACCTTCTAGCAATTCTAAGCAGCAGCTACAGCCTGGCCCGATCGCCCTTTCCGCCTCAACACAGTCGCCAAACATGAAAAAGGCAGCGCTCAGGCGAAGTGCTGGATTCCTGAATCTTTCGATAGAAACGAGTCCCGCAAAGGGAGCTTTGAAGGCGGATACTGGCGAAGTTATGGCTCTTGGAGTCACAAAATCGTTTAACGATCTGAACTTTGATAACGCTACACACACTGATGAAATTGAATCTCAAGAGAACAGAGATCCACGACTATCTAAGGATTCTTTTGTTGATGTGCAGCCGAGAATCTCAAAATCCCACGGAAAAAGCCCGAAGGCTGGCTCAAACATGTGGGCCCTGACTCCAGAATCCATCAAATCGTCTTCTCCGTTTCTGAATCCCAACACTGTGAAGGCGTCCACGAAGCATGGCAACGACTCCAGAAAAATGGTGTCGAATTTCAGACTGCGAAAGATGATTGGTTTTGAAAAGACCAACTTTCCTAGAGAGATGGAGGACCCCTCGTTCAATGAATCGCCCTCCAGACCAGCAAGGCACAAACCCAAATACGATAGAAACGAGCAGCAAACCCCGCTGAACAATGGAGCTGACTCCTTTGCCACGCCGGCCTCATTCAACTCGGTCAAGCCTCTCCAAACGGCGTTTTCTTCCTCTGGTCTTCTAAGCAAAAAGGGTGCTAGTGCTATACCGAAAGCCAAACCCATGCCTGAAACGCCATGTAAGAGGCCACCGCATTCGTCTCATATCGTTGATATCAATGACTCGTTTGGGAGCGCAAACACATCATATGGATCCATGGCTTCAGTCATGACTACAAATCTCCCGGGTAATGCCACCCACTCCACAACAATCGATCAAATTTCGCCTGCTGGGCTACGACGGACTCCAAACTACCGCGCCACTGATGGTAAGACTGCCAGATCGGGGGGAAGTCGCTCTGGAAGCGGTGGAAAGAAACTACCGCGAAGCGAAATGGCCATCAACACCAGCGATCTGCAGAGTTGTATTCTGAGGTTTGCAAACGAATTTGATGATTTTTATGACGATGAGAACGGAAGCAATAGCAGCATTTTCAGAGACGGTGATGTTTCTGGAACAAAAATGGATGTTGATGCGAATCTGGATCTTGAGAATCTTGATAACTTCGAGAGTTTCTCGAACTTGGACAGTTTCGATAACTTTCCCCCAACCCCAACAAGACTTGGAAGTGTCTCTTCAAACAACGAGGTGACTCCTACAAAGCTGTCCAAGGCGACTTATTTTGCAAAGCCGTCTGTTCTTGCTTCAAATCCTCAGATGACCAAAGTGTTGACACACGAGTTTGAGAAACCACCTCCTTCGCCGTTTGGTCTTACTGCAACCACGCCGAGAACACCAATCGAATCTGCGTTTGGTTCAAGCGGTTTTCCTCTTCCTGGTCAAGTAAGTAGAACTGCCTCGAATCTCTCTACAACCTTTGATGGCCAGCCTACGCCTTCGTCTTCCAGTTTTGGAAACACTCTTGGAATTACCAAAACTCTGATGGACGACCATTTGCGGCTTCGGTTTGGAAACACCGTCAAAGTGCTTGGATCCGGGGAGTTTTCTATAGTGTATTCAATCCAGGAGGATGAATCCAAACCCAAGTTTGCGGTGAAAAGAACTAAAACTCCTCTAGGTGGACCAAAGACAAGATTGAGAAAAATGGAAGAAGTTGAGATCTTGAAAATTCTGAAGGACAACTCCGGGAACGACCCAGATGGGTTTGAATACATCATCAACCTGACTAGCTACTGGGAGAACAGCGCCCATCTCTACATCATGACTGAATACTGTGAGAATGGCTCGTTGGACCGTTTTCTAACGGAGAGCGGCAAGGATTCCAAGCTCGAAGAATGGAGAATTTGGAAGATTCTCATAGAAATCCTGATGGGATTGAGGTATATCCACAGTTGTGGAATAATTCATCTTGATCTGAAACCAGCCAACATCTTCATCACCTTTGAGGGTTCCTTGAAGATTGGAGATTTTGGACTGGCTTCTAAGACACCAATTCCTCCTTTCTTTGAACGTGAAGGAGATAGAGAGTATATTGCCCCGGAAATCATCTCCAGAAGAATTTACGACAAACCCGCCGATATCTTCAGTGTTGGGCTGATTATGGTTGAAATTGCAGCCAACATTATTCTGCCTGATAACGGGTTGTCGTGGCAAAAATTGCGCAGTGGAGACTTGAGTGATGCCGGTAGATTAAGCTCCACAGATCTGGCCGAAGTATTGGCCAATGGTGAGTCCCATCTGGAATCGTCTTCGACGTCAACATGTTCCTCAGAGCCGGTGCAGAAGCCAACCACAAACACTTCAGTCAACGCGATACGCCAGAAACTGAAGTTACCACAATGGGCTCCGAGCTTTCTGTTTGACGGTTCAGGTACTCTGGACAGATTGGTGCACTGTATGATCGATCCCAATCCCAACCAAAGGCCTTCGGCTGCGGACATTCTCAACACTTACGAGTGTCAGTTAGTCGAACTTAGACGCAAGTGTGGTGGTGTTGTTTATGAGGGCGATTTCGGCCCGATGCCAGACGAATCTGAGTCTTCATTGGTTGAGGCTCAGCTTTGGGCTCAACTGCCAAAGATATCGGCTCTGTCTTCGGCTCTGGTGTTTGGAAAAGAGTCGAGAAAGGGTTCCATAGAGATGATTTTGGAATAAACGCTGAATGACGTGGAAAAAACGTGCAGACGTGAATAAATGTATACGATATTGTATGTTACGCTGTTTGATTTTTCAAAATGTAAAGGTAGTAGGTGTAGGAACTGTCGTGAAAGCAAAAGTTTCACATATAGGAACCATACAGATTAGGAAATATCGAGATGTCTGAGATTTTCCAGAAATATTCCCAAATCTGATAGCTTTTTGAAAATTTGTTAACTCAGCTGACACAAGCCACCAAACTACTTACATTCGTATTACATTAAACTCAATAATCCAAAGCTTATTCTCAAACACCAAACTGTAAAGATATTGAAATGCTTTCAGACATTGACTTTCCTAATCCAGCCGCACATAAGGCTGGAAAGCGTGCACCAATCAATCCACCCCCTCTTCTTTTTAGCCAATCAACGAGTTCTTTTTTCAATTATGCCATTTTCTGTGTTTTGCACACCCAAACGCTCCATCTGACAATAGCTCAAAAACAACTGGCTCAAATTCTCCATCCGTAATACTTCTTCATCATACTCGTTATCAAACATGCTGGCCAGATCGATCATTCAAAGCATTGGAGTCAGCTCTAGAGCTGCTTATAGACCTTTGGTGGGTGGTGCAGCCCAGAGGCTTTTCCACACCTCCACATTTTTGATGAAGCCTGCTGTTTCCCTCGACCATTCTGCTGCTGGTGCCCAGGAGTCAATCTGGCCCGCAAACTTCAGACTTTCTCGTCCAAAGACATGGGAAGAGAGTGGCGAGTCTGCTTTATCGAAGGCAACCAAATGGTATTTGCTTGCTGAGATGTTTCGTGGTTTGTACATCGTTTTGGAGATGTACTTCCGTGCCCCATATACAATCTACTATCCTTTCGAGAAGGGTCCTATGTCCCCACGTTTCAGAGGTGAGCATGCCTTGAGACGTTATCCTAGTGGCGAAGAAAGGTGTATTGCGTGTAAGCTGTGTGAGGCGATTTGCCCTGCTCAGGCGATCACGATCGAAGCCGAAGAGAGAGTGGACGGATCCAGAAGGACATACAAATATGATATTGACATGACCAAGTGTATTTACTGTGGTTACTGCCAGGAGAGTTGCCCTGTGGACGCGATTGTGGAGACTCCAAACACGGAGTACGCTACAGAGACCAGGGAGGAGTTACTGTACAACAAGGAGAAACTGCTTGAGAATGGTGACAAATGGGAGCTGGAGTTGCAGTATGTGGCCAATGCCGATGCCCCATACAGGTGATTTGAGAGGAGACAAACATAGAGGAGTAGGATTGCATGCAATACACGGTCCACCGGCAATACTGGAGAGGGGGGGCGCTGGAACGAGTGCCAGCACCCTGCCACGTTATTTATCCAAAGACTAAAACAAAAAGAAATCAGTATTAAAGGATTCAAGATCGTAATGTTTGTGTTTGTATTTTTAGAGTTTTCCAAGGGAGGCTGCTAATTTCTTACCGCGTGCATTCACCAAGAAATTTCAGGAATCAAGCTCGTTTAGGGTGACTACAGTAAGAACAGAACAGGAAATGTAATCTGATTCAAACTATTTGGATGCGCAGAAAACAGATAGGGGTCAATATTTGAGTATTTATCGCCACAAAGTCATTTTATTCTTTTATTCTTTCCTCATTTTCCCCTCCCTCAACCTACATTTTCTACCCGATTACAGCCATATTATCGTCGTGCACGCACCTAACCTGCATCCCTGTTAAGAGCCCCGACCAGACCCTGATTTAGAAACACCGCCAAAGGGGAATAATTACAATCCCAAACAGCTTGCAAAGGACCACCCTATTGGCACCAAACTTCGAGCTGTTTAAACAAAAAGCAGAATTGCTTGGAAATTCGATCAGCTTGCTGCATATACCTAGACCAGATAACTTGTTCTGTTGAATCTGGTTAGTAGGGTCAAGGCTCCGGACATTCTATTTTTAAATCACGTTCAGGACAAACAAAACTCCACACCACATCCCTACCACACCGAAGTTTCATGGAATCCGGCATACCTGCCTCTGGCGATCCAGCCAGGCGGGCCAAAAACATGAAGAATTTGCAACTGGACCTGACCGCTAATGGACCCTACGTCAGCAGGGTTCGCTCATCCACCGTTGCTGGTCCTAGTCTTGACAGGAGACAGTTTTCCCCAATAGGACCCAGCATGTTCTCACAGATAGGTGGAAGTGCGGCTATAGTGCCGTCGGTCCCACCCCCATCGTTGCTGAGAACGATGTCTATGAATACACACAAAGAGATGGCCAGACCGTTGCAAAGGCGAAGGACAACAACGCTCTCGCTGGCGATACCCTCCGAATTTCCTCCAACTGGAAACAACGAAGACTCTTCAAGCCCGGCATCGTCTCCTCTCGTGCCTGCGACACCGTCGGAGTTGCAGCAAACGTGGAGTATGAATGTTTCACAGAATCAAGATGACGACATGAGAAGTACGGAGTACGACATACCCGAGGAGTCCAGGAAAGTTAATGCTTATCCAGATGGCCCCGTATGCGTGTTAGACTCGAAGCTGTACCTCTACTCAGAGCCCACTATAGAACAGATTGAAAGTTTTGATATTATCATCAACGTTGCGAAGGAACTGAAGAACTACAGTGATGTGTTAAGCAGCGCTAATAAACCGGAGTACTACTTCGTGCCCTGGACGCATTCTTCAAAGCTTTCACCCGACTTTCCAAAACTTTGTGGAATCATCGACACCGGTCTGCAGATGAACAAAAGGGTTTTAGTGCACTGCCAGTGTGGAGTTTCGAGATCTGCTTCACTGATAGTTGCGTACTTCATGAAGAAACTTTGTTTGGGCTACAACGATGCATACAGTCTTCTCAAAGTAAGAGCACCCTCGATATGTCCCAATCTGTCTTTGATATACGAGCTCATGGAATGGGGCAAGGCACTTGGATACAATATCGTTCCACCTTCGCCGGATAATCCGATTGATAGAGGCGTTGAAAATAGAGATAATGTTGCAGCTGCTGCATACGATGTTGTGAAATCATCCTTAGAAACCCAAACGAGTGCGCTATCGTTGCATTCTGTGCTGTCTTCATCGAAAAGCAGTCTTCTGCTTCCTTCTCCCTCCGAAAACTCATTCTGCTCGACGGGATTAGGAATCCAAAGTTCCGAATGCATCACATCTCCTTAGGTTAGAAAAGAGAGAGTGTTGTATCAACTATACTGGAGTATCATTTTAAGTTTTTATGCTATTTGGTTCGTTTTACAGAGCCTCGGTTTATGGAGGATATCAGTGTACATGTATAAGAATATGTGATATATTCGGATATATAGCGTTAGAAATACATTCGCTATAGATTATTACTATTTAGAATCAACTAGTGAGAATATTCTTATTACCTGCCTGGAAGCTTGCTTGCTGACCAAATATTTCAGTATCGTTCATCCCAGACCGATTTGGTTAGGAGCTCTGCGTCTCAACATCTCCATGCCTGAGCCTCGCCCTTTTTTTGTGAGTGAGTTCATGAAGAGGTATAACTACATCCTCATTTTTGGACAAACATTTCATTTTCCGGAAAAGCAGCTGGATTGGTGGTATTAGTAATACCAGAACGGGATATTTTCCTATATTGTGGTTGGATCTTCAAGATTACAACGATACCCTCTTCTCGAGCTTGGTTCATCCAAACAAGAGTTGTAGTGGTGCCATTTTGAAGTCGCTTGTCGACCATTTTTGTACTGTTCGTTGTTTGTTTTTCATTCATTTGGTCATACAAAGCTTGGACTGTATTAAAAAATGTCTGGAAACGGCGATTCTTCAAGCAAGCATCGCCCGTTTGGAAAGCCAGCTCCATCCAAGACCATAGGAAACGGCTTCAATCACAGTTCAACAAGACCGGGAATGTTTGGTGGTGTGTCCAAATCAACAAGTTCAGTATTTTCCAATTCTAATGGTCACAAAGTTGATAAAACCATCAAAAGACTGCCTGTAGTCTATACTGCTTCCGGGAAACCATCTGTTGTGAGTACGAGCAGTGGGTTGACTTTGAGTGTGCCGAAGAAAAATGTGGATGAGCGTGCCAGTAAGACGGATGTGATAGACACAGAAGAAACCTCACAGCAGAAAGAAGAGAGTAAGGAACCTCTCAAAGAAGAACCCAAGGAAGGTCTCAAGGAAGAACCGAAGGAAGATACCACAGAAGAGCCCACAGAAGAGCACAAAGAAGAGCCCAAAGAAGAGCCCAAAGACCACAAGAGTGAACCTAAGGAGCAAAGCAAGGATGATAAGGAGGCGAAAGGTGATCCAGAACTAGCACCGACCAAACCAAAGGAGACTACAGTGGAGCACAAACCAGATTTGAAGTCAAGTGTGCCGCCTGCGCCTGAGAGATCGTCTTCGCCGGTGAAAACCTCAAGAAAGAGAGCGCCAAAGGTTGAAACCGAGTCAGAAGCCGAAACAGATATTGAAGACGTGATCCCGGTTCCATCCCGTGCAGGACGTCGTCTGGTGAGAAGGCTTGAGGAAGAGCGGAACTCCAGGGCAGATAACTCTGGAAGAGAACTTTCAGAATCTGAGTCAGAAAATGGCCGTTCCAAGTCTATTGATGTGAAAAAGAGAGATCAGAAGATGTCGAGATCTTCATCGCCCAACAGATCCAGGAAGGTTTCAAAGGGAGGAAGAGACTCGGGTGGTCGTTCGAGACTCCAGCGTGCTTGTGAAAAGGGCAAGTATGAGGAAGTGGTCGAGCTCATAGAGGCAGGAGCTGACGTAAATGACAGTGACAATGCAGGAACCACGTGCTTACAAGAGGCTGCTCTCAATGGTCATGTGGAGATTGCCAGGTTGCTGCTCGATAACGGTGCTGATGTGGACAAGCAGAGCGGGCCTTTTGATAAGGACACTGCGCTAATAGATGCTGCTGCCAATAATCACCTAGACATAGTAAAGCTATTGATCGAAAGAGGTGCGGATCCAACCATCACTAATGTGGCGGGCCAAACTGCATTCGATGCAATTGAAGATCCCGAGGATGAAGAATCTGTTCAGATCAGAGACTTCTTGATCGAGTACACCAGAAAGTTTCGTGAAATGAACAGAACCACAGATCACCCCGCTGAAGTTGAAGAAGAGGTTTCTCGCAAGAAGCCCAGTTTTAGAAGGGACCCCTTGCTGGTGGATTTCACCACAAAGGAGGGACGCCAGGAGATCTTCCAGAGGGCAGCAGCAGGTGATGAGGCCTTTGTGGGTAATTATCTTTCCAACGGTGGAAAGCCGCATACGGAAGCTTTGAGTGCAGCAGCTTTACATGGCCACACAGACATTGCAAGTCTTTTGTTAGCCTTTGGTGCCAAGATAGATACACCTAATTCAGATGGTGTTACTCCCCTCATGTTCACCGTGGGTCGTGGTCACCGCAAAACAGCCGAGCTATTACTTTCAAACGGTGCAAATCCAACTATTGTTGATTCAAAAGGACGATCTGTCCTCGATGCTGCAATTCAAGGACCGCTAGCGGACGAAGAAGAGATAAAGGTGATACGTACGAGCATTGAAAATTGGAAGGGACCCAAGGGTAGTGACGCTTCTGTGGATTACAAAGCTAAGAAAAGAAAGTCTTCGATGTCGAAGCCCAAACCAGAGAAAGCTGATATTGAAACTAGGAAGGCTACGAAGGAACCAAAGAAGAAGAAGGTCAAGATTGTCCAGAAATCTGAGGAGCCTGTGGAGCCAGCTCCCAGGGCAAAGTCTCCCGTTAGAACATCCAAAGGTGAGGTTCTAAGAGAAACTACTCCTGTTTCCATGCCTGCCCCAAGTGTCATCCTAGCTCAACCTCCTGCTCCAATTCCAGTTCCAGTGCCAGTAGCTTTGACGCCCGAAGAAGAGGAGGCCAAAAAAGCCAAAGAGAGAGAGCTGCAAAGACAGCGTGAAGCCTATGAGCTACAGAGGCAAGAGAGGATCAAGGCCAAGCAGATGCAAATAATGAGCAGCATCACGCAATCTGAAAGGCGAAGAGAGGAGGAGAAGAAGAAAGCCGAGATCATGGAGCAGCAACGGCTGGAACTACAAAAAGCCGAAGAACAGAAGAAGGCGAGAGAAGCAGAAGAGCAGAAAAAGCATGACGAAATCCGCAAGGAAATGGACAGAAAGAAACAAATCCGATCGCTATATCCAGGTGGTCTTGCTGCTGCTACCTTCCAGACCAGAACTACTCAGGAAGTCCTTCAATATCTGCCTCTCTATATTGTGGAGATGGATGGAAACAGGTGGTGTCTCGATATCCAGGTGAACCTAGTTCTGGGGGTCGAACGTCTCTACAAGAGGTTTCCCTCGTGGGAAAAGGTACCTGTTACTGATGATTACAAGATCAGAATGTGGAGATTTTTATCTCCTATGCTTGGAACCCAGAGTGGAACCAAGTTTGGTGAACAAATCAGAGATTTGCAGACGGTTTATTCCGAAGACGAGAGCAAGTTTCTGATGTTGATGCTGCATTGGGTGAAGTTGGAGGATGTGGCCAAGGCAATTGAGTCTGATTTCCCCGAGGTTGCGAAAGCGTTTGCTCAAGTGGGGACTTGTGAACTTGATATTGGCGTGCACATACCTCCCTCTTCATCTTCGCTAAGCTCTGCCGCTATGCCTTCGCAGGGCAGTGATCTTCTGGTCACCAACCCCTCAGACTACACTAAGATTCCCCGAGCTTTTAGAGGTCGCTCTAAAGCGATGAAATTGCTAGGCAGAAATCAGGATTTTTTCCCAAAGGCCAACGTTGAATAAGCAAAAACCAGGCGAATGGCTAAAAAGCACGATGTACTATATAATTTCTTGATAAATACACGAACGCGACGATAAATTTCACTATAGTAGTCTATTTCCTTGGGAATTTTTCAAGTTTTAGCGGCTGGACTCCCCCGTTTATTCCGATTATATGCCTCAAAATGAGTTCGCTTATGAAGTAAGTAATGACTTGAGTTTATTTGTATATCTTGTTTGTGATGATGTGGGGTACTAATCCGACCAGAATCTCGAGGGCAGACTTGCAAAGCGAGGCCGAAAGCTCAGACGGTGAAGCTATTTATTCAGCACCCATGATGGATTTCGAGTTCGTGGAAGTCAACAGGAAAAATGACACTCAGGATAGTATACAAGAAGATAGTAAAGACTCCAAAATAGAAGCTGAGTTAGAGGAAGAGTTTGACTTCCCAATGTTCTCGATTGCGGCTGATTTCACAACTGACGATAGGACAAAGATCCCACAGGTGATGAGAATCTCTCTTAAAGAGCAAGAGGATGAGCCTGAGGTTATACAAGAAAGGTCCAGGGATTTTTATTTTTGGAGCCCATCTGAAAGCGACAAACACAGTTTCATAGCCTGTGCTGTGGAGGGAGAAGCCATTTTGCAGAATTGCCGAGGATACAAAAACAGTGATTACAATGTGATTGATCTGGCCAAACACAACTATGAGGTCGAAAAGTATATGCTTGGACACAAGAAAAAGGATCTGCGGCGACCAGGAAAGAAAGCTAGAGTTGCCATCATACTCCGTCGCCAAAGGCAGAAACAACTACGAAAAGAAGGACCGTATAAGCCAGAGAAAGGATATCACACCCGAGAGCCTATCAAAATCAAATTTGGCAGTGAAACCAAGAAGAAGACGAGGAGGGGAGGGAAAAGGCACAAGAACGCTGACAGCGAGCATGCCAAAACCGAATGATATGACGATGATGATGCGATGACAAGCAGCCTGTTTAAGGCTTCAAGCGGTCTATTAATGAGGACTATGTACAAATATAATAACCAGATAACTTCTGGATCTTGAAAAGTTTTGGGGGCTCAATTGGTTGAAGAGGGCACAGGCTTAGGCTGGTGTCTCTCTATGTGAAAAAACCCTTTTGGGAGGTCTTTTTTGGTGGAGATTGTAGATTCTTCCGGTTTCGCCTCTGTTACTTTGGCAACCACCAAATCACCGTTTCTATGGTTTTTTCCGTGCTCATCCAGCTTCAACACCGTGGGCTTCATGTCTTCTGGAGGATGATAGTCGTCCAGTTTCATGTTGTATTCTTCCAGCTTCCTCTTGAGATATTCAATCTCGTCTTGGAGAGTAGCGATATCGTCAGCCACACTTTCCCTTCTTGTCAATTCCTTCTTTCTGGATCTATAAGACTCGTACAATATGGCACTACTGGCCACACTGAAAATGAACGCCTCGGACAAAAAGCTGGCTCCGCTTTCTATGGCCTTGTTTTCATTCAGAGGCCGGACAGTCACGTTTTTCTTTCCCAGAAGTTTCATCCGCAGTCTTGTATCTAAGATGTGCATGTTCTGAGCAACGTTCACACACACCTTCTTGAACATGGGATATTGTTTTGCCTCTACTTTTAGAGTAGCCTGATAGACTTGTTAGCATGGGCACACAGCACAAATACCCCAACCGTGACACTTACCGCAATGGGCTTGGCCACCGTTCTCACGAACAGGGTGGCCAGCTTGAATGCTATCGAGCTCATGGAGATGAGACCAAGGCGACACTTGCAACAGCCAGGCTCTATACAAACACCACTGAGGATCACCGAGGGTCACCGATGATTATCCAATATCAGTCACCAATGCCGCAGAATCCACAAATACGGGCCAAGTCTCTTGTAATAACAAGAATTCATCTAGTAAAGTACAGGCACCACCCCGCGAGTTGAGTACTCAATGATGTGCACGGTCCAAAAAACGCCCCCACGTTTGAAAGTGGGAGCCCCCACGAAACTGGGAGGATCTCGGTTTAATCGATTTGTGACAGTTGGCAACTTGTTCCTTTTAATACGTCGTTCAGCCTCCTCAATTGCGATTATTTGCAATGGCCGTCGTGGTAAATCTTCAGGCGAATTTGCAACATTTCCGGATTGCCACCGTGGCAAGTTGGATTCTTGCTGGATTGGCGGTGTACGAGGCATTCAATACTAGGCCCACGGCGCACTCCGCACTGGTTGAGCTGTCCTCTGGCTTCAACGTGGTGGTGATATGTTTCGCAGTGGGATCCACTATCATCGAACTGTGTTCGAGACTCCAGTATTGGCTGTTTGGGGAGTTGAGGTTGATAGAGTTGGAACGCATGCGTGAGCACCTGGGATACGATTTGCTCAACACCACCTTGACCATCGCCATGTTCAGGACACATAGCTTTTTGACCGTGATACCCTTTGCACTTTCGGTGTTGTATTCTAATATTTATCAGAGGATTCTGATGGATAGATTGGACTATACGTTCCAGCATGTGGCTTCCTACAGAGACATTTTCAAGAGCAGGGCAGTGGTGTTCTCAGCGGTGTTCCTGATATGGGACAGAGTGCTGCTCCAGATGGCTTTTGGCAAGAACTGGAGAGTCGAGGCCGATCTTTACACGCTTCTGGGTTTGGAGTTGGTTCTTACGGGTTTGGATTTGGCCGAGACTACGTTCAGACATGTTGCTTCGTTCTCTCCATCCGAGGATGAGGAAGTGGATACCGAGGATATTTTCACCAAAGTGAAAGTTCTGGAAGTGCTGGTGTCTATTTGCCGTCTGATGATTATCGGGTACGTTTTGGTGAAGTTCCTGAGGTTCGGTTCAACTCCTATCTTCTTGTGTCATTCAACCTGGAGAGCTGGTATGAAGCTGAAAAGACAGGTTACGGATTGGTACATGTACATGAAAATCGCCACAACACTGGATTCGAACCTGAAAAATGCCACCGAGTTGGACCTGGAGAAGGACAATATCTGCATCATCTGTCGCGATGAAATGGAGCTGGATCCCACGAATCTACGGAATAAAAGAAACACACCGAAGAAACTCCAGTGTGGCCACATTCTTCACCTGGGATGTCTCAAGAGTTGGATTGAACGGTCTCAGAGCTGTCCGATGTGTCGCGCGCCTGTTTTCAAAAGTGATGCTAAGGCTGAACCCGAGCCGGCTCTTGATATGCCGAATGCACCAGTAGTGAACGAGGATGTGGAAGATGTGAACTTTGATAATGATGGGAATGCTGTGAATGAAAACCCGGAATCAGTTTATTTCGTGCCGATTGAGCCGGTTACCTTAGGACCAGAGTCTAGTGAAGGTGCGTCGTCATCTGCATCTGCAGATGCGTCTGCTTCTGTACCTCCTTCTGCACCCACATCCACATTCACGTCTACATCTGCTCCTATGCAAGGCTCAGAAAGACATACAGAACCAACCAGTCTCGCAACGGAGTCACAGAACTCGTTCTCCCTCGAGCAAATTCCCCGGAACATGGTCCTTCCTCCGGGCTGGATTGCAGTTCCGCTGCGACAGACTAGTGGGGGCTACGAGGCCATCATCAACAGAGACACGAGTATGAGAGTGGTGCAGGTGCCGAGACATGGACCGCATGATGATAGGTGAAGAGCAGATGATTGCTTGGTTGTTGGCGGATTCAATGAATCGATATATGAATAATGGAATCGGGAGGATATGGGATATAATGAAATAAAGACAATTTTCAGTCTAAAGACAGCGTACTAGTAGAGTACTAGTAATCTTCACTACAGCCGTAGCGTATGCTACACAGATCTAGAAATAGCCAGATGTTATACAAAAAGAGTGTCAAAAAGAGCTAAATTAAACGAGGGCCACAAAATACAGCTTGATAATGTACACTTAAGGGGTCCAGAAGAATCTTGGTATCGACAACGACATTGCGAACAGGTTCTTGAGGTTGTTGATAGGCGCGCGACCGCGGGGACTTGTGGTTTAACCATGAAAAAGCCGCTAGTATCCGTGGATGCTTAGTGCTTTTTCTTGTGCTCTACCTTGAGCAACAGAGCCTTGTTGATGTGAGGCAAGACACCACCGTACGCGATAGTGGCCTTAATAAGAGTATCCAACTCCTCATCACCTCTAATCGCAAGTTGCAAGTGTCTTGGTGTGATTCTCTTGAGTTTCAGGTCCTTGGCTGCATTACCAGCGAGTTCCAAGACTTCGGCAGTGAGGTACTCAAGGACGGCAGCGAGGTAGATGGAGGCTAAAGGGGGGAAAGAGTTAGTATTTGAATGGCTTGGTCCTGAGCCTGATTGTAATTAGACTGGACACTGGATCCAACCTAGTTCTTAACCGGATTCATGCAATTTGCTTACCCTTGGAACCAACACGGATTTTGTTCTGTGCGTTTCTCTTCAAGAATCTCTTGATTCTTCCCACGGGAAACTGTAGCCCAGCCCTGGCAGAGTGAGACTGGGACTTGAGGGAGCCGTCTTTGGCTCCAGACTTGCCTTTACCACCGTGTACTTTTCCAGACATGATGATTGACTTTGATGAATTGAAGGGGGAGAAAAGAAAGGGTGGGAGGAAAGAAGATGAGGATTGTAAACAAACATGCTGTAGTTGGTCGTGTATCAAGCAAAAAGTGTAAACAACAACAATTGTGGGACTGGGATATGTCCCTATTTTACGGGTGTGTGTAAACACATGCAGCTCGATATCTCGCAAACTGTGCGCCAACTTTTAAAGTATCGAGTAGATCAGAAAAAACTGTATTAATTTTCTACATGAGCTGAGAAATCGATTACCTTTATGGTTTACACACCAGTGTACTTACCCGAAGTCCCAACAAAGCCGCATCTTGAATTATCGGAATCGGCTTCAATCTCGAACGATCTACATGAGAGACGAAGTGAGCACTTATTCCTACGTGCATTCCTTAATATACATATATGTATATTGAAATTTACCCGCCAAAAATTCCTATCAACGCTGAACGGGGACTTTCGGATATACAGGTTCTATTTAACCGGCAAACTCATACTTACTCACGCCCTTGACTCCAGTCTTGAACTTGAAGAGGTGTCCACCAGCATCTTCGGGTGTTCTATCATCAAACTTGTTGTACGCACTCACCACGTAGATCACGTCCGAGTCCTTGCCTCCCCAGGTGGTGCATGCAAGACACTTTGCATCCAATTTGACTTGTTTGATCAGCTCACCATGGGGGTTGTAAACATTGACAGCGAAACCGTTGTACATGGCGATCCAAAGGTTGCCCTCGACATCCACCACCATTCCATCTGGCTCGCCTATTTTGCCCCTGTTGTCAATGAAAATCTTCTTGTTAGAGATAGAGCCAGTTTCCTGGTCAAAATCGTAGACAAAAGTCAACTGCGAGACGGAGTCATTCAGGTACATCTTGGTGTTGTCTGGGCTCCAGGCCAATCCGTTACCACATACCAAGCCGTCCTCCATTTGGGTAAGTCCTCCATCTGGGTCGTATCTCCAAAGACGTCCCAAAGGAGTTCCGTAATCCGTGGGCAGCTTTCCAACTCCAAAAGCAAGTCCCTTGACGTCTATCTCGGCAGCCCAAAAACGGCCCTTGCAGTCGACAGCCCCATCGTTGAATCTCCTGATATGTCTCTCATCGTTGGGGATAATTTCCTTCAAAACGTCGAGTTTTCCGGTTTCCTCGTCCAGGAAGGCGATACCCTGGTAATAGGCACAAATGTACGACTTTGGGTGATTTTTTCTAAAAAACTGGACGGTAACGCTGTCTTCGAGATCCAGTACCTTGAGGCCAGGAATCGTCTTATTGGCGATTGCGGTTGAGGCCTCAGTAAATTCAACCCCGGGAACAATAGCATCTCCAGTGGCAGGGTCAACGGATAAAATGTGGATCTGAGGAGGGTTGGAAAGACAGTCGTTGTAGTGCAACGTATTATCGCTGTCCCTGAAGATAGGGCCTTCACCCAGAACACAAGGTCTTGGTAGGCAGTAGAAAGGGGCTCCAATTTCAATTATTTCAACCATTGTGGGGAATTGGGATATTAGTTTAGTTCAATTGAGCTCAACAAAAAGAACATCGGGATGAAAACAAATTCCAAATCGTGAAACTCCTTATATGGGATGGGTGAATAAAATGCGACCAATCCTCGAATTTAGAAACTGCCCGATGAGGTTAGGTTGCAGGGGCAAGCTTATCTTTGTCCCCCCACCACCGATAGCCCGTCCCACTTCTTGAAACTGGGAATTTTTTGATGGCGCACAATCAAGTGGGTCCCAGTATCGTTATCTGGTGGGACGAGGCGTCATTACCATGTCAACGATAAGGATGACGCCAGAAAATGGTCGAACAGACTTGATATGCCGAACACCGTTTTGGCAACTTTCTGCGTCTACTGGGCCCTAAGCTCCGGCCCTGAGCACGGGATGAGGGACCATGGACTACTGCCTTTTAAGTGACTTACTCCATCGTGACCTCGCAGGCTCCATAACATGGCTTTACTGAAAAATATGGACGATTTTTAGTTAGCAGTGATATCTCACCCACATTCTCATTCTCGCACTCCTAATGAAATGCTTTATATAGCTCCTCACAACAGTCTGACACCAGCTCCTTACCCCGGTCCAAAACCCCATCCATGGCCATCACCACATGAGGAACACCCTTATACACCTTCACTTTCACAGGCACACCACTTCTTTGCAATTTGGCAGCATAAAACTCGCCCTCAGCACGTAGTACATCAAGCTCAGCAACAGCCACATAGGCGGGGGGACAACTCTTAAATGACCTCTCCGGATAGTACAGAGGAGATGCTCTTGGCTCGCTCCAGGTCTTTTCATCTGGCAGATATTTATATCTGTACCAGAGCATCTTTTCCCGAGGCAAAGCTGCAGTATTTTGGAACTTATCATAAGTCCAATAAATATCACCATCTGCGGTGTTATCGGTAACAGGAACGACTAATAATTGGAAACAGATAGAGGGTAGACTAGGAGTTGAAGACTGTCTCTCGGTAATCATGTGAGTGAGAATAGCAGTAAGATTACCCCCAGCAGAAGAACCGCCAGCGGCCAATTTGGTGAGGTCTCCACCAATCAATGAAGCACCGCCATTGGCCAGCCATAAGTAAGATTCCCAAGCATCTTCAACGGCTGCTGGATATGGGTGTTCCGGAGCTAGACGATAGTCCACCGAAACACACACACATTCAGCTCTCTGAGCCCAATTAGTGCAGTGAACGTTCTCTGTGTTGATATTGCCGAGTACCCAGCCACCTCCATGGAAATACAAGAAGATAGGATATCCAGCCTCGGGTTTGGGAGATGTTGGAGTGAAGACTCTGACCTTGAAAGATTCACCTTTGGTTTCCGTTCTGGTGAGGGTGTAGTCCTCGATTTTGGCAACTTCTAGGGCATCACTAGCACCCGGAATAAGCACCCCGGAAGAACGCGACGCTTCAACAGGTTGATGGTGGACGACTTGTTGGTTAATGATATATTTGTTGTAGAACTCAACGTATTGTGGTTCCAGAAGGTGCTCAACGGAAGGGTCCAGAGGGTATGGTGGTTGTGGGGTAGACATAGTTGATTGGAAATGGAGATTTAGCAAAAAACAACTCAGAGCTCGAGTAACTTCACAAAGCCGAGGAGAGCCATTCTTTATCCTTTAGCCACGAGAATCATAGGCAATTATATTGGCCAGTGTATCTTCCAATGGAATTGATGGAGTGCATACAAGATAGAGAGATCCCTATCAGGCGATATCATAACCCCCCTCTTATCGCGAAAGTGGGACTGCGCCGAAGTGGGATGGCCACGCGATGCAACAGTCTCCCCGCCGATATCTGCTTAGCTGTGACCAGTCCATCAATTATTTGACATCCAATGCCGTTCAAACGATCAAGGGAAATAACTACACTATTCCGGGAGTCAGGCAACCAGAGTAGACTCTAAACCAGGTCCCCCACCATCCCAGTCTTACTCCCCCCATAAACCCTCTTTTGAGTTTAACACTCAGTTCCCTACAATTAAGCACTTGAACGTGAAAAGTTTCAGGAACCAAAGTTTTCACAGTTTTCTTTCTCCAATATCCAACTGGCTGACTCAATCAACATGTCTAAGATTGCAATCACCTCCCCTGATCTGCCCAAGCCCCTTCCTGTCTTCAGTCAAGCCATCGTGCACGGAGACACCATCTACTGCTCTGGTCAGGTCGGTGCTGATGCAGCTACTGGCATTCTTGCCGAGTCCTTTGCTGACCAAACTGTAAGTCGTCTACAATAATGGAACCTTGAATAGATACTGATTATTATTTCAGGTGAACTGCCTCAAAAACCTCGAACATGTACTCAAGGCGGCCGGTTCGTCCATGGAGAAAGTGTTGAAGGTCAACATCTATTTGAAGGACATCAACAGATTTGCAGAATTGAACGAGATCTACATTAACTACTTCGGTGATGTGAAGCCAGCAAGAACGTGAGTCATTTTACAGCTATTCCTCATATGAATCCAGTGACTAACTTTCGCCCAGTTGTCTTGAAGTTGCCAACCTTCCTGTGAAGGCCCAGGTCGAGATTGAATGTGTTGCTTTCAAATAGGCCATAGCCAGTTTCTGAATTTGTAAATCTATAACAAAACATTAGGATTTCGCAATATCGGTGGGGGACTTCTGTCCCACCACCGTCAGCAATTCACCCAAAGAGAAGTAAGCATCACTGAGCATTTCCCACCTGCACCCTTGAAGACTCTCTCTCACAACCTTCACCAAAGACCTGCAATGGCTCAGGTCAAGAGAAAGTTCAGTCTTTTCATTGGGACCAGCCCGAAGTCTTCTGAGTAATGATCTCAGCAGGTCAATCAGGAATTGCTCCGCTGCCGGATAGTGTTGATCAGAGTCCACCACGGCACTCAGTTGTTTCCCATTGGCAAAGAAGCAGTATGACCAAACTACCAGCGTTGAAATGTAAAGACACCATGGTCTAAAAACAATTGCATCTTTGTAAGCTTGGTACTTTCCGTTTGTAGAAGAGGAAGCTGACGCCGCAGAACCTTCTCCAACCAGGGTGATGTGTTGGATCAACAGCAGAGCATGAACTACACACTGAGTAGCTTCAGGCGATTCGGCCCATCTTTCAACTGATACAAATGCCTTGTATCGATCTTTGTTCGCCAACGGACGACCTGTCAGCGAAGGCGATCCACAAAAGGCCAGAATCTCCAAAATCGAAGTTTTAGAGGTGTATAAGGTCAAGTAGGAAATACGGTACAGTGACCGGCATGCCTCAATGGCTTTGGAAGGCATTCTGCTGAGCAGTGAATACGACCATGTCTCTATTGCTCTGGCCAATATCGTCTTCCTTCTCAATTGAACTGAAGCTTTTTGGGCGTATTCCGGGTTCACTATAACAAAAGGTTCTTTTTCCTCCCTCAGTATACTCCAAATAACATTCAGTAAACCGTGAAGTATCACCAATTTAGAGAAACTCGACAATGTCACGGGGAGAGACCGATCGTCCATCAATCCTTTTAAAACATCCAGAAACAAAAGTGGTTTCTTTGTTTCGGCATTTAGGGTGTCTAACCGTTTCTGCCATATAGAAACATCGCTGAGTTCCCACAAGTCTTCTTGACATGGCAATTCCAAACGAATTTCAGAAACAGAAAGTGACGAAACATGGCCAAATAGAACCGAATGTTGAGCATCCATAACGAAAATTAGAAATACTACCCTCTTGATAGACTCCTGTTCAATCCACAGTTCCCATTTCTGCTGAGGCGAAAGGTGGGCTTGTCTTTTGCTCTTCGAACTCCGCATGTTCGTACACGATCCATCTCGTTTCAGAATTGTGATGATGGCACTGTGGAATGTAGCTGAGATCTCGTGTTGATGCCGCGTAGAACCCATCTTAGCAAATGCCTGAATCAGAGCTAGCGTTTGTATGATCCATAGTTTGGACGGTATCAAGTCTGAATGGCTGAAAACCTTCCATATAAGCTCTTCGTGGATTTTAACAGCTGTCTGGTAGTTATCCTCGGTATCTTTAAGCGCACCAAGAGTCAGGACCGCAGTTAACAGCAAAGGAGGGATCGTTTCGGGGGTATTGAAAAAAGTGGGTTTGTGAAGAATAGGGAAATGGTCATGAAAGGTCGTGAAATAAAGGTCAAAATTCTTTCTTATGCTTTCGGGCGAGAAGAACAGTTCCGCTTGTGTCGGTGGTATTCTGTTCAAAGTGGAGGATATCGATTGATGGAGGTTAATGGAGATTCGCGTCCATTTTTGTCGTTCGTTTTGCCAACTAAGTTCTAAAGGGATTTCTGCGTTCACATCGTAGTCAAACTCTAGTGTTCTCGGAACATTCGCAGCCTCAAGAACCGAGTCCACAAAGTTAACAGTGAATGGGGTAAACGGCTTCTTGAAGGTATTGTCGGCCTCGTTATCAGTCTCTAATGAGCCCTGGAGTGGAGCAGCAGAGCTAGGAACAAAAAGCCAACTCAAGTCATTATCCTGGAACATTCCAGTGGCAATCCCTCGAAAGTCTTCAGGGTCTGACAATTGCGAAGGTGAGAAATTGAAACTTTCCTTCCGATCCACATAAACTGCTTCTGGCGGAACTTGCTGGTATTGCAATTGTGGCTTCTCCGATGACTCATCTAACGCTACCATTTCTGACAAATCGCCTTCTTCATTCGATCTGGCTGCATTGGGTGTACTTGGCTCAACAGTTACCAACCCATCTGCATCTCCATCAGAAATATGAACATGGGGATGGACCTTCCTGTAGTGGGTCTTCAAAACGTCGGACCGTTTATAGCCCTTGCCGCATTCCTCGCATAAAAAGGGTCTGACAGCAGTATCTGAAAGAATTAGTAGGCGTTTATCTTGTTTAACCTCAGAAGCACTTACGATTGATGAGATGTCTATTCAGATGGCTCCTGTGGCTGAAAGATTTCTGGCAGCCTGGATGGTCACAGAAATGTCTTTGTACAGTCATTGAGTCAGCTGATATTTGAAGGCTTTGAAGCACTTCTAAATACTTTTAGACGCCTCTTGAACAACACTCCCTTGTTATGTCGCACTTTTAAGATTACCATGCTAGAAGAATACCAAAAGGGCAGTGGGTAGCGTCTGGTGAGCGCACGACGACTCAATCCTTATCTATTGGAGCGATTAGGAGGATGAGATGAGGGAGATAGTTTATGCGTTTGAAAGTTTAGTCAGTTCTGTAGGGATTCCATGAACGAATATGAGAATCATAATTGATGAGACGGGGAGATGATGAAATGGGTTCAAAGCCTTGGTATTTTTTGTTGTTTCAAAAAATACCCCGAGGCGAAACCTGCATAGATCAATTCTACCAAGCGAGATCAGAATAGAGGCAATATACTCGACCCAACGGCAAGAAAAAACAACACAAATACAAAGGTGGGATACAAAAACTAAACCTCAACAACACCAAACGTGGCCCCTTCCTTTTCTTGGGCTTCAATGTCGGACTTTCCACTGGAAAGCGACAAATCCTCAACCGGTTGATGGTTAACGTAAGACTCGAACGGAGCAGACTTGTCCACGTTTGGAAGAGGAAATATCACACACGCAATGAAGTAGGCAACTATTCCGAACAACAGAGACATTAACCAACCCATATCGTTAATGTAGGTGGCAGCAGTCGATACCGAGGTCGTTCCAAAGGTTCCAATGAAACCTGGAAGAGGCACCACGAAGCCCGCGATAAAGGCGAAAAAGGCCCGAATGTTGATCCCGTAGAAGTAATAATAGGAACCAGATCTGCTAGTGCGATAGCAATCGTTAAGATTGATGTTCCCCTTTCTCATGAAATAGTCCACAATCATGACCCCCACCACACTGCCCTGGAAGATACTGTAGCCGCTCATGAACGTCAGAAATCCGTTAGAAGTGGAAACAATTCTCCAGGGAACAATGGCAAATGCAACCACAAGACAAAGAAGCTGACCACGAACAGTATTGATCACCTTAGGAGCAATACACGACATGTCCATGGCAAAAGGCATGATGTTACACGCCAATGATGTCCCCAGTGTTGCAAAGAAAAACGAAAATGCTGCGAAAAAGATACCGGCGCGGGCTTTTGAGTTGTAGTGATGGTCCAGAATGGCATTCAGCAGGTCATATGGGTTCCAGTAGGCAGTTCCCCACATTTCATAAACGGCAGCAGTGCTCAAAATTCCAAAACAACCACAAATGAGTTGTGCCACTGGTAGAGCGAGCATATTTCCATAGATTTGTGCAGAAGGGGTCTTAGAAAATCTGGTCAAATCCGGCGATGTCACCACTAAAGCGGATGTGGCTCCCCAAATGGAGTTGCATTGAGACAACACATAGAAGGCAAAAGCGGTCTGCGACATGGCCGCGGGTTCCACCAAAATGCCAGTATCAACACCTCCGTTGCGAGTGCACGTCCAGATAACCACACCCATTCCGGCCATTGGCATGAGAACACACTTAATGGAGAAAATGTGTTTGAGCTTGTGTGTAGGCAGAGCCGTGAAAGGAATGGTGATCAAAAAAGCAAGGAAGAATGCCACCATTGTCTTGGTGTCGGTGTACTGCGAAGCAGGAATGTGATTGGGCAACGTCCACCAACTGGTGAAGATACATCTGAACATGATGGAGATGAACTGGCCCTCATAATACAATTGTACACCTCCCCAGATGATTCCCAGAATCGATCTTACCACTACCTGAAAGTAGTGGCCATAGATGCCAAACGAAGTCCGAGCCAAGACGGAAAAGCCGATGCCATACATGCTGGCTGCCCTTGCGTTCAAAACGATGAAAAACACCAGGAACACGTTTGCGAAGAAGAATACCAAAATCGACGCTTTGACCGTCATTCCACCGGAAACCATGGAGCTTCCCAAACTCCACGTGGATACGGCCCAGGACTCACTGAACCAATATGCGAAGAAGTTCCACCATGCCCAGGTCCGGTTCTGCTCAGGAACTGGACGCAGGTCTTTGTTGGCGAGCCGGGACGAGTTTTCGAGGATTGCAAACTTCTTGAATCCCGCAATGGATGTGAAAGCTCCCTTGAACTCCTGCCACTCTTGTTTGATAGTCTTGGCCTTAACATTTGCTTCACTGGCCACACTCAAAGTTTCGCTCATTGTTTGCCAGAGTTTTTGTTTTACCGAACCAATTGATCGGCTAAAAGATAATGGGCAGAATGATGGGGTCCGGCTCGGACCATCAGATATATAAGTATCAAGTAATTGATCGTTATCAAGAATAATGCATCGGGGACATTGACGACTCATGGCGACAATTTTCCAAACGATACAATTCTCTAATCTATCGTGGACCCATCCGTCCCACTTTGGTGCAGATGCATCCCACTTTGATAAGATAACGAGTCGGCATGCCCCATTCGTCACCCTTGTTAACAGGATCAAACGATAGAAACAATTTCGTTCTGGTTCAGTATTTTCCACTCTAGTTTACATAAAAACTAATCATATATGTACATGAGTTCAATTAGTTAAGCCTATATAGCTGGTGGGGGGAGTATTTGACCGAGCTTTCAGATTAGAAACCTGGCATACCTCCCATTCCACCCATTCCACCCATACCTCCGGCTGGAGCAGCAGGGGCTGGCTCTGGAGCGTCAACAATGGCGCACTCGGTAGTGGCCAACAGCGACGCAACACCAGAGGCATCAACAAGTCCGTTTCTCACAACCTTGAAAGGATCGATGATACCAGCGGCAATCATGTCGACGTACTCTCCCTTAGCGGAATCGTAGCCGAAGTTGAAGTCGTTTCCAAACTCGTCAAGAATCTTTCCAACGACAACAGAGCCTTCCTGGCCCGCATTTTCGACAATTCTCTTGGCTGGCTTGGTGATGGCAGATCTGATAATGTCAACACCCAGCTTCTGGTCAAAGTTGGCAGTTTTAACCTGGTCCAAAATTCTGGAAGCCTTCACCAAAGCGGTACCTCCACCTGGCAGGATACCCTCTTGGACAGCAGCTCTGGTGGCATTGAGAGCATCGTCATAACGGTCCTTTTTCTCGCCAACTTCAACCTCAGAGGCACCACCAACTCTGATGACAGCAACACCTCCAGAAAGTTTAGCCAAGCGCTCCTGGAGCTTTTCCTTCTCGTATTCAGAAGTAGCAGCATCGTCAACAGAGTTTCTGATCTGTTCACAACGCTGGACGATAGCATCCTTGGTTCCGTCTCCGTTAAGGATGACAGTGTCCTCCTTGGTAATGGTGATAGAACCAGCAGAACCGAGCAACTCAGCAGTAGCGTTTTCAGGCTTCAGGTCTAATTCCTCGGTGAACACGGAACCTCCGGAGAGAACGGCAATGTCTCCAAGAATGTTCTTTCTGTTGTCTCCGAATCCTGGAGCCTTGACACAGGCAACGTGGACTTGGCCTCTCAACTTGTTGAGAATACAAGCGGCCAGTGCCTCGCCATCAATGTCCTCAGCAATGATCAACAATGGTCTTCTCAGCTGGTTGGAGAGCTCCAACGAAGGAAGAACGTCCTGGATGGAAGAGATCTTCTTCTCGGACAACAGCAGCAGTGGGCGCTCGAACTCTACCTTTCCGGACTTGGCGTCAGTGATAAAGTAAGGAGAGATGAAACCACGGTCGAATCTCATACCCTCGGTCACCTCGAGCTCGTCCTCCAATGTCTTACCTTCCTTGACAGTGATAACACCCTCCTTTCCCACCTTCTCCATGGCAGAAGCCAACAGTCCTCCAATGTGAACATCTCCGTTGGCCGAAATGGTTGCAACCTGTGCAATCTCAGCAGAGGTGGTGATCTCCTTCTTGTTCTTCTGCAAGAACTCCACAACGGCCTCAACAGCAGCCTGCGATCCACGTCTCAGGTCCATTGGGTTGCATCCAGCAGCAACGTTCTTCACCGACTCGGTGAAAATCGATCTACCCAAGACGGTAGCAGAAGTGGTTCCATCACCAGCGCTCTCGTTGGTCTTGGACGCCACATCTTGCAACAGCTTGGCACCGAGGTTCTCAAACTTGTCCTTCAAAACCACGGATTTAGCAACAGTCACACCATCCTTGGTGATCTTTGGAGCTCCAAATGGTTGCTCTATTAACACGTTTCTTCCCTTAGGTCCAAGGGTCACGGAAACGGCGTCGGCCAGAGTCTCGACACCTTTCAACAAGGCGGCTCTGCCTTCAACGCCGAACTTGATCTCCTTGTGGGCATATGTACGCGACAACGACACAGCGGTCTTCTTCACTTGTGGGCGGGCAAATCTAAGCATTTTGTTTGAGCAAAATTGGGGTAGCTTTGGTGAAGGAAGAAGGAGAGAAAAGAGAGAAAAGTTATCTCCGGAACAAGTGGAGCTCTTCGTCTGGAAAATTCGACGAAAAAAGGCACGTGACCAATTCTGGGGAACGGAGGAAAATTGTTTGGGCTTTAGGTCTTGAAACGAGGTTTAAAGGGTTTAGATAGCGGTTTTTGTGTGTTGAAATCCTTAATACTTGTTTCTTTTGTTGCATCCTAAAGTTCTCTATTTTTCATCTGGATTTGGTGTATTTGCAAGCCTGATAGACGTTCAACCCGGCAAATTGATTCGTAATGTCCGTTTAAGTGCGCTACCCGATTCCCAAAACGGAACCTTCCTTCATTTTCCACCATTTGGTCCATGGTTAATTCATCACTATCAGTGGACTCAGTTCAAGCTCTTTTTAGCTTCTACCCGTTTCAGGACTGCGAAATAGACTTCCCTTCACTTGTGAATTATTGTTATAGAAAAAAGGAAATGATAATAGGCAACTCATTTCATTTGACCTAACGACGCTGAAGCAGAGATAGAGTGAAAAATCACGTGACTTTGACAAGACGAAATAATAGATTACTAGAAACCACCGACAACCGGCATTGACCTTCGTATGGTCATCGCCCAAAGACTGACAGCATCCTCAGCAATCATCTGCTCTCAATCAGCATCTTTTATACCTGTCGGGTGATGAGATCATTGTGAAGGCCACAGAAGGGCCACGCCGAGCCTCAGTATGGCAAACAAACTTTTTGGGTTTGTTCTGTCCAACCCAGCAGAAAGTCTGGAAACCCGTACAAGCACGTCGGCGGAATAATCTTTGGGGAGCTTTGCAAGTAGCTTTGAGGCGCTGTCACGGCCTTCCCTTGCTTTCTTGCGATCTGCACGTTGAAGCAGCAACGGTAGCTCGCCGATTGTGGGGTCGGAGCAGTAGGCAGGGTTGCCCGGATGTTGACGCCAGGACTCCGATAATGGACCCGCGTCGAAAGCTGTAAATCCCAAATGTTCCACCAGCTCCATGATTTTAGCCTTGTCTCCTGAATTGTCACCAGACACAGGTAGCGCAATGCGATTTGGATCGCCTTTGGGTTTGTGGTTGGTGACCAATCTAGAAGCGATGATGTTATTGAGCGCCTTAACCACGCTAACGCCCAGTATCTGAGAAACCCACTGGGATTCGGTCAGTTCTGCTTCCAAGTCTGGAATTACGCCATCCCTTGCTGGATAGTAATTGTTTGCATCCACCACGATTGCACCCTCTGGCAGCGTTGAGATAACGCTCTTTGGCAAATCTAGAGTGCGAGTCATGGGAACTGCGATGACGAGAACATCCAGTCCAAACGAGATGTCAGCAATTCCAACAGCCTTTGCACCAGTCTTTTGCTCAAACTCTTTTAGAGTGTCCGGACCCCGGGAGTTCGCAACCTTCACTGAGTACCCAAGTTCAACAAGCCTGAGAGCGAGCGCTTCTCCAACAAAGCCTGCTCCAATAATCCCGATGTTCTTCATATTGGTACTAACCTTTGCTAATATTTGTAACCGTGGGTACTATTTGAGATTCAAATGTACTTTGAGTAGTGGGAAGAAGCTGGAATATTTATAATGAATGTGGTAGGGAGCTTTTTTATGCACGCCGCATGGTATTTGTACGCAACTCTTCGGGGTACACCGAAATCCGGGTGCTTTTCTTTTTCCGAATGCCGAACGATTGACCGATTAAAAATGCTTTGGATCTAAAGTAGCACTATTTGGATATAGCAGCAAGACATGTTATCATACCTATCAAAAAGAATGGTCTGGGACGAAAACCCACCGTTTAACAGCCAAGAATCCCGGACATTTGGTTTTCCGGCAATTACGCGTGCGGCGTGCGGCCCTACGGTGTCGGTGTTTACACGCTCGGGGAGTAAATTATCCTCATCTCGGATCTAACGCGCGGCTAATCAAAGGCGTCTACAGAGTTACGGACGAATAAGGCCATACATCCTTCAATTATTACTAATGCTGGTTCCAATGCAATTCAATGCAATGCAACGCGTACACTGTCAACAGCGTTTATAGACTCTACACATGTCTCACAAGAGCTTGACGCTGTTGCTGGAAACCCGCACATACCTACCCGCTGAATAATTCGCGGGTAGCCTAGTATATCTCATTGATGCATCTCCCCATTTTTTTTGTTGTTTTTGTTGATTGTTTTTTGTTGTTTTTCACTTCTTTTTATTAGCTTGTTGGAGCAACAGTGGTATCTCTTCGACTGTTGGATCTGCGCCGCTGACTGGCTGTCCCAACTCCAGGCGCCAGGACTCAGACAATTTACCCGAGTCATAAGCAGTAAAACCCAGCCTCTCCACTATCTCCTGGACTTTAGCAAGTGCGACCGAGTCATCACCAGAAATAGGTAGCGCAACACGGTGTGGGTCGCCCTTTGGTCTCTGATGTGAAACGATTCTGGAAGCAAAGATGGTGTTGAATGCTTTGATCACGCCAACGCCCAATTGCTTCGATACCCATTGAGAAGTGGGAAGACCCGCAACGATCTCAGGAATGTTCCCATCCCTCGAAGGATTGTAGTTATTTGCATCAACTACGACCGCACCCTTAGCGAGTGTCGAAATGACGCTCTTTGGCAAATCTGCAACGCGAGGCAGAGGTAATGCGAGGATGAGAACATCTGCTCCAGACGAAACGTCAGCAATTCCAGCAGCTGATGCACCGGTGATTTGAGCAAACTCTTTAAGAGTGTCTGGACCCCTGGAGTTCGCTACTTTCACTGAGTAGCCTGTCTCAACGAGACGGGTAGATAGTGCCTTACCAATGGGGCCCGCTCCAATAATTGCAATCTTTGACATATGTTCAACTTTAATTTCTGATAGTATCTGTTATCTTTGATACTATTTGAGCTTCACATGGGTTATGACCACTGGGCAGAGGCAAGGGTATTTATATTCGAAGCGGTATAGCCCACTTGGAGAGCATTTTGCGCCATATGATGTGCTGCTAAGCAATTGATTGGTAGTGAATTCCTTTTTTTGTTGCACGGAATTTGAAAGTAGGACAGTATTACTAATGTATGTTGAGCTTGCTGCTTACATATTTTTAAAAGCATCCGCGCAGACGGTGCGGCGCTATATCTTGGTATTTGCACTCTCGGCTATTGAAGTGTTGTCTTCTTGGATCTGACGAGCGGCTATCTCATAGCATCATCGGTAGTTACGAACGAATTGGATGCTCCAAGCTTCAATTATTCCTAATACTATTTCCAATTGCGTCTATAAACTCTATACATGTCTCACAAGAGCTCGACGCTATCGTTGGAAACCCGCACATGCTGGCCCGCTGGATTCTTTTCGGGTAGCCGAGCAAAAATCGTTGGTGCATTATCCCAGTCTTCAATTCATTTCTTTCTTTCAGCGCGTTGAAGCAACAGTGGCAGCTCCTCCAGCGTCACGGTGTTGCCGCAGACCGGCTGCCCAAACTCCAGACGCCAGGACTCCGATAATGGACCCGCGTCGAAAGCTGTAAATCCCAACCGTTCAACGATCTCCATGATTTTAGCACGTCCGACTGTGTCGTCGCCAGCTACAGGAAGGGCAATGCGCTCTGGATCGCCTTTACGTTTGTAGAGCGAAACCAATCTAGAAGCGAATATGGTGTTGAAAGCTTTGACCACGCCGACACCTAATTGCTTTGAAACCCATTGAGATGTAGGAAGGCCAGCGTCTATCTCGGCAATACCCCCATCCCGCGAAGAAGCATAGTTATTTGCATCAACTACGACTGCACCCTTAGGGAGTGTCGAGATGACGCTCTTTGGCAAATCTGCAACGCGATACTCTGGAATTGCGAGGATGAGAACATCTGCTCCAGACGAAATGTCAGCAATTCCAACAGCCTCCGCGCCAGTTGTTCTCGCGAAGTCTTTGAGAGTATCGGGACCCCGAGAGTTTGCAACCTTCACTGAGTAGCCCGTCTCAACGAGACGGCCAGCGAGTGCCTGACCAACACGGCCCGCTCCAATAATTGCAATCTTTGACATGTTCCTAAACTTTAACTTGTGATAGTATCTGAGCTTTACATCAATTTTCACTACTGGGCACAAGGAGGGGGATATATATTAGATCAGTAAAACCCTCTTATAAAGCTTTTCACTCCAAATAATATTTTACTAAGCAATTGATGCGTAATGAATTCTGTTTTGCATGACTAATGCTCTTGGTGCATTATCTGCATGATCAGTGCGGCGCTGCAGCGTTCGGTATTTGCACGCTCAAAGATTAGATTGTTATCTTTTTAGATATGACGCGCGGTTTGCAATGGCGTCACTATCCGCGTCGTATGATTTCCGAGTTCCGAATTCTTTCAATTCTGTGGCCACAAATAAGGCTTGCAAATCGCAGTCGTAGATGTATGTTTCCGCAAAAGAGAGACCCGAGAACAGGCATGGTACCCAACTTGGTATGGGCTATAGGGTGCACCCGCCTAACTTCCAGCTCAGACTAAATATATGCAAGTCTGCTTCTCTTCTTCTTTTGGTTCGCCTTTGACTAATTGGGACCCTTTTAGTCAGATTTGTTTTGGGAGTGGCTCCGCATGCTGGCCACGAAGCCCACGGCTAAACCTCGCCTGATGTGTCCTACCCAAAAACAGCTCAACGTGCTAGATACGCCATTGAGGAAACAAGACATCTATACTGTTCCCACTGCTTTGGAAACTGAGTACCCCTCTTTCTTATGGACGATACCTATGGGTTTGTGCCCATAGTGGCAATGTTTTATGCGGTGTTTCATCCCACCGAAGGCACAAAGGTAGTGCACCAGGTGCCGTCTGGGTCGGTGATAACTCCAGAGAAACAAGACTCGTCCTCATTCCAGACGCCGCTTTTCGATTTCGATAGCATTAAGAATTACGTGATACCGAAGCCGAGCCTTTGTGACACGCTGGTTACCTTCAAAATCAATTCATACCGAATTGTAGGGTTCCCATCGAACATATACTCATCGCAATATGCCAGGAACTCGTTCAGCTTCAACTTCTGTTTCGTGTTTCCCTATGAAAGTGACACCACGCCCTACGAAGGACAGATCAAGAGGATGGGAAAGATGTTTCGAGCCTTGGAGGAACAATTCCAAATTTTGTCCCGCCATTCTGACAAAGATGCAAATGTATTTTTTAAAGCTGAGTCGCAAGCAGATAAGACCGACACCAATCCGCTGCTAGTCAAGAGCAAAGGAATCTCCGAAGACTCGCGCTATTTGAAAATGGTTACTGACGAAGACGATCATGGAATCCATGGAACAATGGATGGAGTGGCTGCAATACCCCCTGGCCAGCTAGAAGCCAACCAGCCTGAACTGTCTTCAATAGAGAGTCTCATTCAACAGATATTCCAGGATCTGAACAACTACTCGGAATGCCAAATTCCGATTGATGCTGCCAATTCTGTTGACATCAAGCTGTTTCCTATAATTCCCCCTCCGCCTGATATCAACTCTTCGGATGTTCCTGTGGTGACGGTGAAACTAGACTCGTTGGTGGATGTGAACTGGGATCCAACTATGCTCAAGATTTTGCCTTATATCGATGGAATCAATTCCATACACAAAATCGCGAAACTTGCAGAGGCTGACTACTTCTTGGCGAAGCAATGTATTCAGCACCTACTCCACTATAGATCGGTTGCTATAGTCGACATATTCCAGTTCTCCAACACATATGCTCCGACGTCGGAGATAATACGCTTTCTAACTGATCCGCAGATGGCAAGTGAATGCCAGGCCTATGTATTTTCAGAGCCAACCTTTGCCAATCTGCCTTTGTATGCCCCCAGGCAATCCGCAGCTTCTTCTGACAATGCAAGTGTGATCAGTGGTGAGGGAAAGGGTCAGTACCATACTCCGGTGGAGTCGGTTTCGCCAAAACAACTTACGTCGCTGAATAGACCTCAGCGAATTGTCAGACCCTCCAAGACTACACTCTTTTCGCTATACCGGTCGCTTCACCAGAGTCAGACTATGAAAGAGTGGTACTTGGAGCACGCCAGTGTCCTGAAAAACATTGATATCAGGAGGTTTGTTTCGTTTGGGGTTTTGCGTGGAATCATTTACAGGGTAAGGTCCTATCCTATCTCAACAAAACTTTTGAATTCACTTGATTCAGGATTCGATGACATGAAAGGTCGCAGTATTTTACCAGTTGAGAAGAAAAAACGGTCACCCACTTTCGTCAGAGGGGCTGTCATGGAAAGGCCTTCTTTCAGTGGTTTTGGTGCGGATGAAGAGGACGCCGTTGTTGATGGGGAAGATGGTGAAGATGCCGATACCGTCATAGATATGTCTGCTGTCGAGCAGGAGAGAATCAAGAGGGCTGAAGAGTCGCATCTGGTGAGGCTTTTGAAGAAGGCCAAGGACTTTGACGCCATTTGCACGGAGATGGGCAAGAGCAAGACTGAGGTTGAACACCTGCTCAATGGTCTTGGGCCTTGGAGTGTTATTAACTCATAGTAATGTATAATAAAAATATTTGACGACAAAGTGGTTACTCTATGATGCAAAGCTTGATCGAGAAAAAATATCGTATACGTAGTGTCCTACACCATTTTCTAACCATATGGCGTGCTTGCGACCAAAATCTGCGTATTTTCGGTCTAGTGGTGTAACGGTTATCACGTCTCGTTTACACCGAGGAGGCTCCGAGTTCGATTCTCGGCTGGATCATAATTTTTTTTGGCTTGACCGATATACTTGCCTTTATTACAGCCCAAGTGTATTTTTTTGAACAATTTCCCTAGTTCAGATTAGATCAATAAATATTTCAATTAGGGCCATATCAGGCTCGAAGATCCCTTCAAAACCCATTTGGTCGAACACTACCCCAAAAGATATCGGGCTTTCAAGGAGTTCCGAGAACTAAATGAATCGTCACTGTTACTGCGAGTTTTCACACAAACAAAAAAGTGTTCTTTGCAAGAGCGGAATGATGTCCGTGCCAGGCTCAAAGATTACTCGAGTGAGAACGGGGTGTTGGACTTGTAAGCAAAGGTATGTATCTTGAGTGATCTGTGCATGGATATGGATATGGATATGGAAATTCGGCTAACACTTAACCTTAGGAGAAGGAAATGTGATGAGGGAAAACCGGAGTGTAAGTTTTACAGAATTGGATCTGTGATGTTTTACGTTGACTAACGCCGATTTAGGCCAGAATTGTGTGACTTCGAATAGAAAGTGTGAAGGCTACGGTGTTAGGCTAACCTTTGATGTTGATGATAGCAGAAAAGGACTAAAAGCTGCGAAAAACTCAAAAGGTCAGGTGAAGCATGGGTTTAGAGGAAGGCCGAGAATATCGGAAGGTGTGAGCGCGGTGAAGCTAGAGAATGAGTCTGCCAATTCAATGTCGAAAAGTTCGACCACTGCTTCATCTGTTAGTTACGACAGTCAAGGATTGAGTGATATAACCGACCCTTTCCAGTTCGAATCTGCTCTTTATGGAGGATTGGATTATTTGTTGAGTGCTGGAGATTTTCTGGGAGTACAGCCTCCTAAGAGAAGAGATAGCATGGATTTGGCTGCAACTCAACGCGACAATCCAGACGCAAAAGAGGATTCTGCTCAAGCAAGCCCAGCCAATGATATAGCCGAATTTTCGCTGACCCCAATAATGCGGCAGCTTGACTTGCCATCTCCTCAATCGACAGAATTAACAGGATCCAAGTTGGCTGAGGAAATCATGACCTTCAACGATAACACCAATCTGTACCCATCGCCAGCTCTTTCATCAAGCCTTTCATACTCTGAAGAGAATATGATGTTGACGCATTTCTTCAACAAACTTTTGCCCTTGCTTGACTCTCATCCTAGTTCGCCGTGGCCAGAATTGGCTCTGAAGTATTGCGATTTTGAGATTGCAAGAAGCTGTTTTATATCGCTTTCGTGCATGCACTTATACGAAAGCCGAGGAGAGAATGAATTCTATAAGAGGGGACTTCTCCATATAAACAAGACGATGGAATACCTGGTAAACTATGTCAAAACCAGCAAAGAGGGTTTCTCAAATGACTCACCAGAGAACGATAAGGTGGTGGAGAGGACCGAGGATCCGGGTATCAATGTTGAGAGTATTGTTGTGAATTTGAAAAATGATGCGGTCAATAAGAAGAGGACGAGTTTTTTCGTGATATTGCTTCTTATCTATGTCCATCTACTGTTTGGAATTTTGGAGAGCGGCAGGTCCGCTCTGTCTAGAGTGTTTCTCAAGTTGTTCGCAAGTATCACCGAGGATGAAACTTTTCAAGTGGTTCTGCAACGAATTGACCAATCGCAAACTCTTATTTGTGTTCTCTCGTGGTTTGACACTATTGCGGCCATTGTCTCGCCAGATTGCCGTTTACCCTATTGTAATCCCCAATGGTACGGCACCAAGACGGACACTATCTCCACCGCAAAAATGAACGGCTGTCCTGGGGAAATTTTCAATTGCATTGCGCAGGTGTGCAAGCTAAGAGCAGACCTAAAAAAGGGCGAAATGCGGCCCGCTGCGATCGTCTCGGAGTTTGAACGGATCAAGAACGAGATCTTGAACTACAGAGATTATGTTCCGTTGAAGCTGCCAGGCGATACAAACGGTGTCACTTTTGAATATGAGGAAAGATTAAGAGGTGCCCAATGCTGGTCTTTGGCCGTTTATATCAAGCTTCTCGAGGTGTGCAAGGTCTCAGATGATTATCTCGATGTGATCCAGCAGGCCACCAGAGAGTTTGTCTTCATATACGACATGCTCAGTCCAGTATCGCCCATTTGCACACAAATGGTTTGGCCCATATTCATTATCGGGTGCCATTGCGAGCGTTTACAGGATAGAAACAAGTTTCGCAAGTATATGGAGACACTTTATCAGACCGTCCAGATGGGAACGGTGATGACAATGCGCAAGATCGTCGAGGAAGTTTGGTCTACGGGTAAGCATTCCGATGATATTTTGATGGGAAAGGAATGGCTTGGGGCTGGCATTGATTATTTGCCGTATTGAAAATTAATAAAGGGTGAGGATGCTGAAATTTCAGTGAATTTAGAGCTTTAGCTGGCTGATTGCCGAACCACGCGATTTGTGGAGGAAGTCAGACTCAAAAGTGACCGGACTAAGGTTAGAGAGAGTAGGCCCTAGAGTGTAAATTCAGGCTAATAATAGAGTCTATGACTATTTGATCACCAAGTTTCCAATGTATAGCCAGACTAGTGCTAGTTGCTTTACCAGACTAATAGTGCTAATAACCAGCCATCCCACATAGAGCTCACTACTAGCCAATAAAGACCCCTAAGCAGACCGAAACTGCGAAGCTTCTAAGTATTTTGAAATGTACTGAGGGTGGGGGCTTATAATAATTAGCCTCTCGGTACAGTTACCCATTAAATTGTACCAGATTAAAATATCCGCCCTGAAAAATACGCCGCATCTCAGAAGCCCGGGGTCCCGTCCGCTGGCCAATCAGACGCATTCACTTAGTAATACTCGTGTCTGGCACAGGAGTCATCCAAAATTAAAAGCTGGCAACTCCGAATCGGCTCTTGGGGGTACAACATTACTATCTTCTTACACATTCTTTCTCAACCCATTAGACATTGTTTATTATTCCATTCTTTTCCTTCCAATTTCATTCAGAAAAGATTATATCATTGCAATGTCCATCAGGCTATTATCAAATGCAAGACTACTGTCTTCTCCTCTGAGCTTGGCACTCAGACGCTGTTGCAAACAAGGCCCCAGCCCTATCCCTGTTAGATTCATACAGACGCTAAACGCCAGAACTCAGGACATAAAGAGAATTTCGGATTTCGACGAGGGCTTTGCCGACAAGGAATGGTCTAAACACAGTCTTCCCACCAAAAACGGTCGGTTTGTGGAAACTGCCCCTGCAGAGAAGACTACGACACAAGAAGAGCCAAAGAAAAGAAGAAGAAAACTACGTCCACGCAAAGCCCTGATAACGCTGTCGCCAAACGCATTGCATCATTTGAGAAAATTGAGCTCGCAGCCCAATCCGAAGATGATCAGAATAGGTGTGCAGAATAGAGGATGCTCCGGGCTTTCATACCATCTGGAATACGTTACCGAGCAGGGGCAATTCGACGAGCTGATTGAACAGGATGGCGTTAAAGTGTTGATAGATTCCAAGGCCCTGTTCAGTATAGTCGGCAGCGAGATGGATTGGATAGATGACAAACTGAGCAGCAAGTTTGTTTTCAAGAACCCGAATTCGAAGGGCACTTGCGGTTGCGGTGAGTCCTTTATGGTTTGAGGTTAAGGGAATATTTATGACATCCATCAATTTATGACATCTATAATGACTTTTATATCAATCATGCATTCATTAAGCGTTGTATGTAGGACCGGGATCACTTAGTATTGAGGACAGTCCCTCTGAGGAACCATATAGAGGCAACTGCCATGAACCCAACAGCACCACCAGCTATCATGAATGGAGTGATAGTTTCGGTCTGAGGCTCAGGCTCAAGACCAGGCGTAGCATTTTTAGGAAAACTGGCAGCCTCCACGAGATGGACAAACAGCTCGTTAAGCGATGAGGACCACGAGGAGGATATGTGCAATGGCGACGGCAAAAAAAGGGACCTGGTATATGGCTCTGGTTGGATATCGGACCTCTGTTGCTGCCGATCTAAATCAGCTTTCAAAGCAACGTATACCACCGGAAGATCGTCCAATAAAGGATACTGCTCGCGTAGGTTCAGCAAGTACTGAAATGACTCTGGATCGGCAGAGTCGTATGTATAGCATATGACATCGCATTGCTCTAGTCTCTTTTGATTTTCCAAAATCGCAGGTTCGAGCTCACCAAGTTCCTCCAGAATCAAGTAGCATTGCTTTCCTCCTTTTATTTCCACGCTGTTCACGACTATGCGTGGTTGTATAGTTGGAGAGTACATCTCGCTGTATGGCCTTCCCAAAAATGCTTCAAGCAACGACGTTTTACCAGAAGCAGGCGCGCCCAGAACGAAACAATTGAACACAGTTCGATCATTAACTGGAGTTCTAAACGTCTTGCCGTTGCGCTTTCTAAATTTCCGGGGCTTCGTGATTTTGAGAGCTGCAGTGGTGGAGCCATTCTTCGCACCACTGTTGAAGCCCAGGTATCCAAGGTATGCCAGCGTAGTTTTATAATCCAGAAACGTCGTCATGCTCCATTGAGCTAGCCATCCCTGTAATGTGACATAACCCTGTTCGTTGCAAACACTTGTTCGTGGGAAATTGGACTCATCCCACATCTTAGGAATGCCCGAGGTTGGATAGAACAACTGCGCCAGTTCAACATCACTCAGTCCTCCATCATTGTCTTTGTCAAACAGCAGAAACAGGTCTACCAAAAACTTATATCCAACAGGAGATAATTCCACACTTGCATGTGCCGGAACGTCAAACCGCGGATGCAGAACCTTGTCGTCTATTGAAAGTGAATCGGTATAGTTGAAGGTTCTTAGTATGCCCCATATTGTCTCGTGCCTGCCCGTGTCGGCGTAAATCTCATTCAACGTAAGAAATCCAGTTTGAGTGATTCCATTTTCCTCTTTAGTCGTTCCAGAAGCGTCCGCGATTGCCTTCTTGAGCATCTCAAGCTCGACTATATCCAAAGACTTGTGGAAACATCGCTGCTGCAAGTCCATGAATTCCTGGTCGCTCAGAAAGCCATCCTGATCTTTATCACATAGGTAAAACACCCTTTTCAAAGCATGAACCGCTAAGGGTTTTAAGCAATTCTCTTTGTAATCAAACAAGGGAGCCACTGGATGCGTGACAGCCCGTTGACAAAGGTAGAATGCCTGGTTCACGTTGTAGTTCTCCTTAGCACTGCAACGAATGCACGACTCGATCTCCTTAAACTCCTTGAGAAGAGGCATTAACTCATCAACAACGGTAATTTCACCTTCTGCCATGGGCACAAGATCAATTTTGTTGTTGCAAAGTACGACAGGTAAATTCACTCCAAGTGCCCTGAACATCATGATCCAGTAGAGCGATATTCTCTCGTAAGTGTAATGGTCCGAATAAACCAGCCATATCACGTCAGCCTGTCTTATCTCTTTTTGCAGAGTCACAATGTCTGAGGGTGAAGTATCTATGAGTATGGTAGATTTGGGAGCATATTCAGAGGATGAGAAGTCTCTTGGTATGGTCATTGGAGGTACAACGTGTTGCAAATTGGGGACAAATTTTTCCTTCACCAATGCGGTGATCAGACTGGACTTGCCAACCCCTTCATCGCCACAAACGACGACACGAATCTCGTCGGCAGACATGGAAAAAGGTGGTTGTGGATATAGTTGTCTTGTTTGGCTATCAGGTTATCTATTTAGGCAGTGCTTAATTGCACGGTCTGAATGGCAGAACATTGTGTCTGGTAGATTGCACGTCTCATAATGGCAGATTGCCTGTCGCTGGCAAGTCGCCACATAAAGGAACAGATGTAACTACACAATAATTCTTTCTAATCATATCCACAATTCTTTCTTTTTTATTGGTTGTTAGACTGAGTATTCGATGGTGAGTCTTTGGTGATACTTGAGTGTAATTTTGCCAATTCCTGATACTAACCGTTTTCGCCACCAGACATCTATTGGTACTGGATACGATCTGTCTAACAGTATCTTCTCGCCAGACGGAAGAAACTTCCAGGTTGAGTATGCTTCCAAGGCTGTTGAGAACGCCGGGACTTCTGTCGGCATCAAGTGCAAGGATGGTATAGTACTCGCTGTGGAGAAGATATTGACATCCAAACTGCACGTTAAAGAGAACTATGAGAGATCCTTGACCATAGATAGACACATTGGTGTGGTTTGGTCGGGTTTGATACCCGATGGTAGACACCTTGTTAACAGAGGAAGAGATGAGGCTCAATCGTACAAGTCGCTGTACAAAGATCCGATCACAGTTCCTGGTCTGGTAGATAGATTGGGCTACTACGTCCAGAATTACACGTGCTATAATTCGGTGAGACCATTTGGAATCAATGCTATTATCGGAGGCAAGGATGCTAGTGGATTCCATTTATACATGATTGAGCCCAGTGGAACATACTGGGGTTACCGTGCCATTGCAGCTGGTAAGGGAAGACAAATAGCAAAGTCCGAGCTGGAGAAGCTAGATTTCGATGACTTGGATGTGGAGACTGGTCTGATAGAAGCTGCTAAGATCATTCATCTTGCCCACGAGGATAACAAGGATAGGGACTACGAAACAGATCTCTTGGTGTGTGATGCATCCGGTTACTTTCACAAGCCCAGCGCGGAACAGCTGGCGAAGGTGTATGAGGCTCTCGACAATCTGAGTGAAGGTGACAGTGACGACAACGAGATGGAAGAGTAAGAGGTTATCCGTCGATTTCAGTGTGATCATCAAGGCAGTGGCTGTAACATCAGTATGACTAGTTAGACCATTCAGTCTCTCTCCTCCATTATTGTTCCTAAAAACCCAATTTCCTGTTACTGAAGATGCCCGATTAAGCAGTATGTACTCGTAAAGATGAATTCTCGCGCTCCAGGTCTTGCAACCTCTTATTGGCCTCGCCGCTCTCGTACAGCCTGGCTTCTCGTTCCGCCTTCCACTTTCTCGTCAATTCGTCAATTCTCAGACGCGCAATCGGCGGAATTGGTCCGTCTTTCGGATCTTGAAATCCCCCTTTCAGAACCTCATTCTCCTTCTGGAGTTGTCGTATCTGGTCCCGCAGATCTGCAATTGTAGCGCTGTCTTCAGCTCCTTTTCGGTCTGAGTTGATACTCATTTCAAGAAAATCTTCGCACAGACTTCGCGTGGCGGATGAATGGTATTGGAAGATGATATCCTGCAACTGGGCGATCGATTCCATATCCAGCCCTAGGTTTTTCCTGTTCGAAAGCCTCTCAACTTGCTGAAAAGCTTGTCTAACAGACTTCAAATCCAGAACTTTGGAGTAGGATTTGATGAGGTTTTTCGACAGCTTGATATACCTTTCGATTAGCAAGTCGCATTCATTGGTCGTAGCAGATATTTGCAGATTCTGTGCTTTAACCTCTGACCTGGTGCGATTGAGCTCGCTCTCAAGACCAGTCCTCTCCTTATTAAGGGTGGCTTCAGCAGTATGTGCTTGTTCCAAATCTTTTCTAAGCTGCTTGATCTGCTGATTGAGCAACTCGATAGCCTGTTTCTCGGATTTGCTAGATTTGTGCTCGCGTTGGCTCGCGGCAAAGAATTCTTCATGCTCGGCTTCTTTCGACGATAGAGTTTCCATTGTCTCTCTGTGTTTGGATGTCAATTCCTCAATTTCACGCACTTTTCCTGTAAGTTCAGCCTCAATTGCAGAGAACCGCGACTTGGTTTTCTCATGCTCCGACTTCAGCTGCTCCATAGCAGCTATCTTCTCCAAAATTTCTTGGGAATCTTTGGAATTTGTTCTTCTCAAAGTTTCCAAAGCTTCTTCCTGCTCTTTTATGATAGCCATTTGGGAACTTATCGTGTTTCTCAGATTCTCATCGGACTTTTTTGATTCATCGATGTCAAGCTCGAGTTTGGCATGTCTTTTGGATAATTCACTAGTGAACTGGCCCAAAAACCTCTCTAATAGTTGCAATTTGTCTGAATCTGGACCTGATATCTCAGGAATTTTAACGCTATGAAATTTGAACTCACGAGACTGGTTTTCCACCAGCTTGAGCACTCTCAAAGTGAACCCTTCCAGGTCATTGCTTGCTTTCTTCGCCTCTTCTTGGAACTGCTGGAAAGAGGTCAACATATCCTCAAGCTCCTGAGTCAAATCCGCCGTTATGCTCTTTTCTGTGTTCAAGGCTTCTCGCAGAATTGCCTCTTTATTCCTGTATTCTGATTCCAGTCTCGTTATGTCCAACATATCTCCTTCGCTCAGGTGTTCTCTCATTATATCGGTCATAAGCTTCAGCTGAATTTGCAGATATACTATTTCTCGTTGCAAGCTCTCAACGTCATGTGCCTGTAGACTCGAGGTTCGTAGGGTCCCTTCCTCGTCATCAAAGAATCTAGACAAGTGCATTGGGTCTTTGAAAGATTCAGCATCCAGAGAATCCTCAAAATTTGAGCTCGTATCGTTCGATTCGTTTAGCTCTGAGTCGCTGTTTACTGGCGAGTTGATTTTCAACTGTTCCAGACGCGAAATGACTCCTGATCTAGGAATCCATTTCGGGGTAAGCTTAGCTGTGGGATCAGGTCCCAAGTCTCCATGTGACGACTTGTTTGAAAGCACCATTGCTCATAAAGCGCAGATGGTTTCAATCACGAAATCTCCGGTTTACCAGCTTTGGAAATTCTCCAGTCCGATTTTAGCCTAGTATAAAACCACAAACGATCTATCTCTTTATCATCAGGGCGTGTGTAATGTCAACAGACAAACGCGTGCCCATCGTTACGCGTGTAGAGTAAATTTGGTCATATGGGCTTGGGAGAAATTTTGAAATATTACAACGCTTCGAAGCCGTGATTTGAACAAGACATCCATTCAACACTACGAGTAAAATGCCTTCTACCGTCGAAGAAGACATCAATATTGATGACATTGACTTCTCGGACCTAGAATCCAAGTATGCTGTCCAGGAGTCGGACAATATCCTGGCGAACTATGTCGTCGTGGACGGTGCTCCGATTGCGCCTGAGGCCAAGGCCGAGATGCTGAAAAAAGTGCTGAACAAGCTTTTTTCAACTATTGGAAAGGTCAAAGACATGCACATGCCTGTTGCAGATGGAAAGACCAAGGGTTTTCTGTTTGTGGAGTATTTCAAGCCTGAATTTGCCGATGCTGCTGTGAAGCAGCTTAACGGTAAGAAGCTGGATGTCAAGCACAGGCTCTTGGTCAACAAGTTGTCTGATATCGAAAAGTATGCCGTTGAGGGCCATGTCACCGATGAGTTCCAAGAACCAGAGATCCCTCCTTTCAAGGAGACTGGATACCTGAGAAGTTGGTTGCAAGACCCTACTGGTCGTGATCAATTTACTCTGCAAATGAACGATGTTGTTGGTGTATACTGGAACAAGGCAAGACAGCCCCCAGAAGCTTGTGTTGAGCCCAGAGCTCACTGGACAAGTGCATTTGTCAAGTATTCCCCCAAGGGAAGCTTCCTCTTCAGTATTCACCCTCAAGGTGTCCAGGCTTGGGGTGGTCCAGACTACGCAAGAATGAAGAGATTCGCTCATCCTGACGTGAGATTGATTGATTTCTCTGCGGACGGAAAGTTTTTAGTGTCTCTATCTCCATCTCCTATAGTTCTTCCTCCTGAAGATAGTCCCGCCAGAGCTTCGTGTCCATTTGGACCTGAAAGCGAGGGCCACAAACTTGTTATCTGGGACTTGGCCACAGGTCTTCCTGCCAGAACCTTCCCCTTGCCACCACAGTTGGAGAAAGAGAAGAAGATGATTTGGCCTCTGGTGAAATGGTCCTACGACGACAAGTACTGTGCCAGAATTGGGCCAGACGCTTTGGCCGTCTACGAAACCGAGACTTTCCAGCTTGTCGACAAGAAGATCATCAAGATTGAAGGTATTATGGACTTTGAGTGGGCTCCAGCCGGTGTCTACTTGGCCAACTCCAAGAAAAACGAACCTGGTGAACACTTGCTAACCTACTGGACTCCAGAGATTAACTCCAATCAGACCGCCAGGGTTGCGGTTATGCAAATCCCTTCCAAGGAAGTGCTCAGAACTGTGAACTTGTTCCAGGTGTCCGATTGTAAGCTCCACTGGCAAGACCAGGGTAAGTTCCTGTGTGTGAAGGTTGACCGTCACACCAAGTCCAAGAAGACTGTGTTCACCAATCTGGAATTCTTCCAACTCGAAGAGAAGGGAATCCCTGTTGAGAAGCTCGAGCTTAAGGATGTTGTGGTTAACTTCGCCTGGGAACCAAAGGGAGAGAGATTCGTTGTTATATGCACCGTTGACATGCCAAACGTGAGTGCAGCCGTTCCAAGAAATGTTGTTGCTTTCTACGGTCCAGAGATCCAAAAGGGTAAGATCAATCCTCAGAAGAAATGGACCGAGTTCAAGTCCTTTGATAAGAAGCGCAGCAACACCATTTTGTGGTCGCCAAAGGGTAGATTCGTTGCTGTGGCCACCGTCCTGGGTGCCCAAAGCAGCAACTCTGAGATCGAGTTCTTTGACGCTGACTACGACGGCGATAAGAAGGACCAGGATGCCAAGATCAATGTGAACGCTAACCTCAAACTGGTGGCTCAGCACGAGTATGCTGGCTTGACCGATCTTGCCTGGGATCCTTCCGGAAGATACTTGGCTGCCTGGTCGTCTGCCTGGAGACACAAGATTGAGAACGGATACAGATTGTACGATCTGGCCGGACATCTCCTGAGAGAAGACCTGATTGACAACTTCAAGGCGTTTGAGTGGAGGCCAAGACCAGCCTCTCTGCTGACTGCTGCCGACAGAAAGAAGGTGAGAAAGAACCTGAAAGAGTACTCTGCCCAATTCGACGAGCTCGATGCCATGGAGGCCGACACTGCTCTCAGAGAGTTGATCCTGCTGCGTCGTAGACTTCTTAAGGAATGGACATCCTGGAGACAGACTGTTGTCGAGAAATTGGCTGAACTTGGCTTGGACCAGAAGGAAGAGACCGACAACGAGGAGATCATCGAAGAGATCAAGGAGGAGATTCTGGAGGAGACCGAGGAAGTCATTGAATAGATTACTTAGACCCCTGAATAAAACCCGAAAAACTGTCTTTTTTGATCATGCCAATGGCCAATATATACAAGAGGTGACAATACTTACGCGGCCTTAGTTCTAAGCTGTAGGCCATGCCATTGCGCGATTTCGTCTTTCAACACCTGGTTGACTAGTCTATGCTGTTTGATCATTGGGATTCCTTTAAATGCTTCGCTTTCAACTTGAATAGCAAACATCGAGCCACAACCTCCTGACACGTCCTTGACCTGCAACACTTTGGGGTGGAACTGCTCATACAGTATGTTGTAGATTTTTCGTTCGTAGTCATCCATGTCTGCAGAGTACCATCTAGCTGTTCTTGTGTTGATGTTGAAAATTTTGGGGAGAGTCGGTATTCTCGAACCGATCACGTTCTGAAGTCCTAGTCTGAGTAGGCTCGACATGTTTTTGCGAATATAATGCAAAGAAACCTTAGATGGCTTGGCCAGTTGAATCTTTGGAATTACAAATTGGTCTCAAGCTTCGGAGTTGGTGACACTTGGGTTTGGCAGATAGGCGGTTACTGACACTTGGGTTTGTGGCAGTGATATCTTAATGGAGATAAGCCAATCTCTGATATGGTCGTACGGGGAGGCAACTCGGTTTTTGTTGCGGATTGGTAGGTTTTATATTTGTTTTGTCATCAAGATCATTACTGTATTATCTGTTGGCTCTGCGCTCTAGGAACCTGTCTCTGGCCTGTTGTATCTGCTCTTCTGTAGTCCTGTGCTTCAGTAGGAACCGTATCACTTTCTCCTCGTGGCTCTCTGGATGCTTTTTGGAGTTCTTATCCAAAACATCTTCTTGCCTGAGCTTCTGAGTAGGCTTTTTCATAATATTTAGGCCGCCAGACAACTTTAACGGCTCCTCTTGCAGCTCCTGTCCTTCGGCAGGATTGACCTCAGTGGCTGCTGGTGTCTCAGAATGCTCTGAAACCTTTCCAGAAGATACATTCGGAGCCGTCACATCACCTCCTCGTTGCATAATTCTCTGCACCAGCTGTCCGACGCCCGAGCGTGTTTCCGCAGCTTCTTGTGCCAATGTTTGCTCCACCTCGTCTTTGTATTTCTTGTACGAAGACGTCAAAAAGGACTCTTTATCGTCAAAAGAGTCACCCTCGGCTTCTCTCTCCTTTGCCACCTTCAAATTCTCCACCGTGAGCCTGTCTCTCTGTCGCTGTTCCTTGGCCTTCAAGAGCTTATCCATGTATATCGCGCCCTTCTCGGCTTTCTTCCGTTGATTTTGGGGGTCGTCCTTCTTTATAGAGTCATACACCTCGTCGTATAAATAAGCCGACGAATCTTCCGCGATATCGGGCTTCTTGGGTGCGGTCACCCTCGGTATCTTGAACTTTGGAGTAACCTTAAGAGCAGGAGGAGCTTCTTCCTCGTCGCTGCTTTCTGCAAAAGCCGCTAGCGGCCTTTTGGCCTTTGCAGTCTGAAGCTTTCTCACGTTCATATCTTGCAGAGCCAAATGCGAATACAACAAGTCTTGAGCTTGGGTATTGAACTTGGTCTCCAGGCCGGCCTCCAAGTCGTCCCTCGCACAGGCCCATCTGGCCTGGGCGGTACACGCCTGCCGGTTGCGAGGAGATCGCCTATAGCAATATATCCCCAAAGAACTTAGCTGGTGAAAAGTGGTCAAAACCTGGTTTTAAACGTTTTGAAAAGCGGTTCAGAGATTTTAGACACTCTTAGCTGGCCTATATTCTAGTCATACCAGAATTGTCTCGCGGGGCTTGATTGTTTTAAAGTGCGTTGACCACGACTTTGAGCAGGATACGATAAGTACCGAGCCACGTTTGAAGTCAGCTAAGTTGCGCCCCGTTGTTAAAAAATATCCCTAAAAGTTTCCAGAATCAAGCCATTTTGCGCAAATGTCAGGTCTCGGTTTTGATTGGTTGAATATACCAGGAATAGAGAGCGAGACCACGGGAACGGCCACCCCCCCTCCTCCTGTGTCGTTCGGGGTATCCCCGACCAGCTCCTCGAGTTCGCTGAACCTGGCTTCGGTTGCAAAGAGCTCACATCACCCTGAATCGCATCTCAAGTTTGATTCGTTGTTTGAGAAACTGAGTACGTCGGTACACCATGACATGAACAGGCGAGTGCAGAGTGCTGATAACATTGACAGGTTGAGGACGCCCGAGGCCCAAAGCACGCCAGAACTGCAGCACAGCGAGAGTATGAACGGAACAAATGATGAGATCGAATTCAAAGATGACCCGTCTATTCCTCTGTCGTTGACCGCTGATCAATTGACCAGCCAAGAGGCAAAGACGTATCTCCGTTGGTACAGCGATATGCTCACCAGGCGAGAGAGCAAAACGGTGAGCCTGGAAGACGTGTTTCAGTTCATGAACAATTTCGGGATTATCCCGAGCTTGAAGAAGCTTTTACAGAGGATTTTTTCCAAGTCCGCACGTTCGCTGAACATTGGTCAGTTCTTTGCATTGCTACGGCTGGTGGCCCATTGTCTCCAGGGCCAGCCTCCGTCCAGGTCGCTGATAAAGGTGCAGGCGCCCGTTCCAAAGCCTATATCCATTCTCTCGAGGAAGAGGATAAAGGAGAGCGAGGAAAGCGGGTCCAATGACGAGGTTGACGACGAGATGGGTGTGGATTCCAAGGAAGATAGCAAGGAGAAGCTGGACATCGATAGCTTCACCGCATTCATGCTGACAGGCAGGCGGCCCGAGGATGAGAGTGGTCCGAAGAAGAAGAAGCGGTCGGGCGGAAAGCAGGTGAAATTTTCAGACCAAATAGTCACCCAGGTTGAAACCGTTGACGATCCACCCACTGCAGGCAGTCTGGACTGGTCTCTTCCGATGGAACAGCTCCTCGGCAAAGTATCGTCTTCTCAGAGAGATGAGAATGAAGAGGAAGAGCTGAGGGACATGCAGGACTCCATTAATCATTTCCAGAACGTGAACATCGATAGTGTGTCTATCCATGGAACTCCTTCCAACATACCGTCTGCATTCTTCGACCAGAACGGCAACTTGTCGCCGGCCCTGGACCAGGGTAACCTCTCGCCTGAGAAAACGCCTGCAAACTCGTATTTCGATTATACGCAGCCTTTGGCGACCCAGTCGACTGGAAGTCTCGTCAATCCGCAGCCCACGCCGGCCGTAGTCACGCAGCTCACTGGAGGTCCGATATCGGCTACTCCACCAATATCGATTCAGGTTACCGGCAGTGCCAACGGGCTGATGCCACCGCCACCTCCACCAAGACACAGAGCTACATCATCACCAGTGCAATTCAGCATATCCTCGAGTCCCGTTGTTTCGTCGCCGCTAGCCCAGAACGGAAGAATGATGTCCCAGACTCCTCCACCTCCTCCACCGCCTCCACCAAGATCTCGAGCTGCCACCGTTGGGTCCAGGCTGAATCCTCCTCCACCCCCACCCAGGTCGCGGAAAAACTCCAGCCCACCTGTGATGATACCGGGCGGGGCAGATTCGGCTTACGGCTCGGGAAACGGAGAGAACATACTGGGCGACTTGAAAGCCTTGAAGGCTGAAGTGGAGCGAATCAAGGCAATGGGCATACAAAACTAGCAAATTGACATTATCGTTGTGGTCATTATCTTTTCGTTATACAAATGAGCTGGGGTATTGTTGGCAATATTCCGGCACTCAACATACGCCAATAGAACCAAGAGCTCGCGTTTTACTCTTCGAGCACGTCTGGAAACAACTCCCTGAGAAGCTCGTCAAAAATCTCGTACACTAGGTGTACGTTCAATATCTCGTTCTGCAGCATCCTCATGAACAGATTGGAGGCAAGCTTTGAATGCGATAGTCCGAACAGCTTGGAGCAGTTTTCAACTATCATCTGCTCGAGCAAGACCTTGGCTTCCTGTCTCGTCTGGGTTTTTTCAGCCTGGTTCCTGGGAATTCCAGATTGCCTGAAATTACCGTCACCATTGGGCCATAGCTTATCTTTCACTAGAGTTAGACACTCGTTGATGAATACCTTACCCTTTAACAGTCCGATGTAGTCTCGTGCGATCTTTTCGATGGTGGAGCCCAGTAGTTGCTGAAGCACCACCAACACAGCACGCCCGCGCAACCACCCGTTCCTGGCTGCAGGTCCGAACGAGAACACAGCCGTCAGGAAGTCACATATGGGTCTAACGAAAGGCACGGACTCGTTGTCGTTTCCTTCATCGTTATCAAACGATGTCAATTCCTGCCTCATCTCCTTGAACTTTTCGTCGTAGGACTTATCCCCATTTTTGTCATCAGACGATCCACCAAACCCGGACGCAAATGTGGCTGGGAGCATCAGAAGGCCATTAGTAGCAGATATCCTGCTGTAAATTTTGTTTGCAATGTTCTTCCTGTTATTGTTGACCTTTGTCTCGCTTTTCAATGAGGCATTGAGTTCGAGCGAAAACACCTTTGAGGATAAGAACGATCTGAAAAGGCGATCCGAGCAGACGTCCGACATCTGGATCAGCTTCTGTAGATACTGCTCCAGTTGGTTCTTTCTTTCCTCAACCAGTGATTTCTGTTGAAACTTGAGCACCACCTTTCTCGATGGGAAAGGCAGGTCTTTCACTTCTGGATATTTCGATTTCAGATACTCGTTGAGTTTGTAGAATTGACTGAACCTTCTGGCAATTACCCAGCCAGCAGTGACCACGCTGGGATCCTTCGTAGACAGTCTCTGTACCTCAATGATATACAGGATGAACTCCTTGCCCTTATCGTTCTCAACGTCACTGATGAAGCTCTGTATGCTGACCTTTGACTTCCCAAACAGACTGTTATCGTTTTCCTGGACGATGTACTGCTGTCTCTGTAGATCTTTCATCTGAATCTCTCTCTGTAGTCCCAGTTTCGATCTCTTCAGGATCTTCAACTCGGCCTGATTATTCGTCAACATGGCCTTGTTTATCAGAGGTTCCAGAATGGATTCCTGCTGTTCGAGTCTCTCCACGTCTTTGCTCAATTTGGCAATTTCTTCCGATAGGTTCAGATCTCCTGGGGCAGCGACGGTCAGTCCCTGACTCTGCGCCAATGACACAGACCCAACAGATAATCTATCATCCTCATCGTCCTCGTCCTCGTCGTTCTCCGTATCTGAATCAAACAACTTGTCGTTCTCTCCGATCTCAGAGAAAAGCGTAGAGCTGTCCATTCCGAACACCTCTCGCTGTAGATCTGGGGTCAATAACCTTCCATTCTTGGGCAAATCGGCAACAGATGAGCCAGGCGAAGACCCTTCGGAACCAATGGCTGTCATGGGGATCTTCTCGCGTTGAGTCATGATCTCGTTCAATGCTTCCTCCACGGCCTTCAGAACGGTGTCTTCTGTCTGTTTCGTTGGCATAATACTGTCAAGATTGTGTGAACTTGAAGCAAGATCTTCGCTATCCAATCCAGATCTGTCATAATCGTCCGAGGTCTTAAACTCTTCAGTTGCCAGAAGCTTGAGGAAGATCTCGGATTGCTTGAATGCTATCAGGTCAGTTCTATTCATCCTCTTGAACACTTCCTTCTGTAATATAAGTACCGATTTACGAGCCAGCGTAAAAAGGTGGACATCGACTTCGTCTCCATCGCAAGACTTCACAAACTCAGAAACAGTCTCAAAAGTATCCTGGTTAATCTTGAGCAACTTCTCTTGGAAAAACTGGTTGTAAATGGAGATTATGTCTTTGGTCTGACCCAAATGGGCGGTGTCATCTTCAATGGCATCGGTCTTGGGAAATAAAGAGTCTTCTGTGTTGAGTGTATCCAAAGGGTCGTTAATCCCATTCACCGTGAGCCAGAACTGGAGCAGAACGGTTCTATTCCTGCGCTCCATGAACTCCATAAAGAAACTCAGCAGGCTGGGATTGTTCAAAATCTGCAAAAAATCTATCTTCATCTCAAGATAGTTCCGGGGAATCGTGCTGGGATTGAAGTTTGTACTGTCTTCGCTCGATTTGAGCAGATCAGCCTTCTGCGAGAGTTGCGATATGGAGTTATTCGTCTCCTGTTTCAGTATTTGCAGTCGCTTGCTGTAAATTTTCCATAAATCATAGTTGCTGGTTTGACGAGTCTCCAGCTCCCTTATAGATTTGTTGATCTCGAGTGAAAGGTAATATCTGTACTGCTTCAGCTCGAATATCGACTTGCAGTGCTTCACGTCTTTGATGATCTCTTTGAATTCAACGTTGTCGGTGGATAAAGCCAATCTCTTCAACGTCAGGGTATCCACGGGCCGATTTTTGGAGTGTTTGTCTAGCACTGTCATAAATTGCTTCACCTGATCTTGGTCTCTCACGACTTTACCAGCAGATGAAACAATGGTTTGGTTCCAAAAATCAGGCTCAGAGAGCAAGGATAAACACGGATGCAACACGCAGCATGTGAGAATCTCCCTCAACAGCACGAACACCGGAGGGGACGAAATCTCCTGGTTTGAGAACAATACAGGCAGCAGTCTGCCAACTTTGGCAGATATATATTCCTTCCTGAGACTGTCGAGATCGACATTCTTCAGCTTTATGACGGGATGCAGCTTTCCCTTGTTATAGTTTGATGCCACTACGTAGTCCAAATCCGAAGAGCTGGTCAGGGATCTGTTCAGAATGACGTTTTGCCTATTCATCACTATCTCTTCGGCCTTCTGAAAGTTCACAAAGTGCTCTGTCACCAGTGGCAGCACTCTCAAGACGACAAACTCAGCCAAGTCCAAATCATCCAGTCGTTGGGCCAATAATCTAATCGTGATTCGCAGCTGATGCTGCAGCTCCAGAGGGAAGCTGCGATCAGACGTAATGTGGGTGAACCACGAATCGATGAAAGACGTGGTTACAGACTCCAGGATTTTCTCTAAAGTCCCAGAAATGGCAGCGCTTGATGAAAAGAGTAGCTCCTCTGAATCTTTGGTGCTCGATTTGCTCAGTTTGCGAATCTCGTTGGACCAGGCGGACTCTGAGGTGAACGCCAGTCGTGGAAATCGTGAGCTCAAGTCTTTTTTTGGCTTCACTTTAGGTCTATGTGAAACCACATAGGTCACAAGACAAATTCCTGTCAAGGAACCAAGGAATATATGGATTGTGTAGAGCCACACCTGGCTCAGTGCGAGACCAACAATGCCTATCAACACCAAGGCATGCCAACTGGCGCGTAACTGACCGTCAGAGTTGGTATCAAGCCACATAACCAATACACCTTAAGACTGAATGCAGGAATAACGGGCTGTTTCAGCTGCGGAAAGGTAACAGTCACTGGACTTACAGATATGGGAATGTCAATATGTAACAAGGATAGCGTGCGGTGCATCGGCTACAAGAACTCTGGTAGTGCACCCAGGCCAAAAAACCCAAGGGCGTGCCCCCACCATTACGGATAAATAACGTTTCAGCGGGCTAAAGGTGGGGGAACATTTAAGCTTTCCTGTCCAAAAGGGGAAATGAGTCGCACGGTTGTGTGGTGCACGCTATTTTTAGACCCTGGAGCAGCAGGACTCGGCTGGAGTAACCAGAGCCGGTTTGGCACGTTGATGGGTAGGGTTAGGGTAGATTTTTTTAGGACCAGGCATAGAATATGCGAGTTGGCCTGTGTGGGTCGGATTCATGTTCCATGAGTCAAAAAGCGCACGAATGGAAGTCCTGGAAAGCAGACGACTAATTTTACCCGCCGTTTAAGACGTCATGATGCATGTCTATATACACTTGGCAGCGAAGTGGGGCAGCAGTCTCAACGCACGAGCCTAAGCCTAAAATATATATGCAGTATTGCTCAATGCTGATGCGTTTCTGTGAGACTTTCGGTCGGTTTACATGGCCGATAGCTAAGTGGGGATGCGTCTAGGAGACTCTTGGAAGAGCTTGGTTGGAGTTTCCAGACGTTGCGCGCTTTATAGTGAACCCTAAATGTTCAGCCCGTCAGCATACGGTATGGGGGAGTTCCTAATCTGTGCTCAAAGCTATCTGGGAGATTCTTGTGATAGTGTCGGAGATCAGTGATAAAAGACTGGGTGTGGGGTAATGGAGCTTCACGAGTTACGGGAATAGGACTAGAGTACAATTTTGTCATCGCGATGGTCTGTTAGTTTCAGTCTATAGTTTTGGGGCTTTTCGTGGGCATTTTCCCCGCTGGAATTAGCAATTAAAGTGAGCCCATTCATATGGTACCCAACGGTGTTCTGTGGCAGCCGATGCAATCTTCCAGGCTACTCCTGGTATATGCCAAAAAAGTAACGCATAGAGTAATAGATGGTCTCAAATCTAGATTCTTGTTTATACTTAGAAGCAACAGCACGTCGGGATCACTGTAATCGCGGCTAAATAGAGAGAACTTGAAGGAAAAAAAGAACGGAAGGATCTCGCGAAAAGATGCCGACACCTTGATGAAAAAAGCGATCGTACTTTAATAGAGATTTCATTTCACCTGAAATCTCAGATGCTTAAAAGTGTCTTGGAAAAGACAATCAAGGAAGAGCCCCAGAAGCTTCATCACCATCCAGTGTACATGTGCTTCAATGGTTGTGAAGCTGCCAAGATTAGGGTCATAGATATGCCAAGACTTCCCCGTTTTATTCCACCCGACGGTTCAAATGGTTAAACTGTTTTGGTGGCTGGAGAGCTTCTGGAAACCGACAAACAATCAAAAAATTATGGAAGAGCCCAGTTTCAAGTGCACGGTGGGCAAAACTAAGACCAAAGCGTCATGCTAGGGCCAAAGAACAAAAGGCTTAAATGGGGACAAACAAAGGGACGGTTTTGCACGTTTAAATGACGTACGATACGTGAAATACTCCGATTTTCCGAAATCCCTGCGCTGCTCGTACAATTCTTAATTTGTCGATATTTCGGTACTGCTGAGATATTGCCCCCACCACATCTGCAAAGCATGTGGAGAACAGGTGGAGGGGAGGAATCCCTTGTATTTGATTTATAGAATTTTAATTGGACTCCACAGATGGCCGTTTCTAAATAAGCATGGGAGGATGGAGTCAAATTTCATTCAGGTACCCTGTTTCAATGGCATTCTACGGCCTATTAGCTCGCGGTTTTTAACGATGAACCACAATGTATTTATATTTACAGTACTTATGCGGGGTGTGTATGGGTGAAGAATCTGAGTCAGTTGGTGGGAAAAGAAATAGCGGCAATCCAAAAGGATGCAGGTAGATCAGAAAAGGTGGGCGGAATAAACAGGGCCATGCATTGTGCCTTAATTCAGTTTGCCGATTGAGATTAACCGACCTTTGCAGTGCTGTGTGCTCCAAACAAGTCCGAGAAGGAAACCAGACTGCATTATACGAAAAGAAGAAAAGAGCCTCAGCCTTTGTGGAGACACGCCCTAAATGGCGGATATAGTTCTGTGGTAAAAGAGTGGAGTTTGAATGTGCAAGGACCGAGCTAACGGTGGAAAAAACGAAAGTGACAACATTGGGCAGGCAGCACGTTTATGCAACTTGCATTTGTCCCGCTGACAATACATGGATTCGCGAAGATCGGAATCGCAATATATGATGCTACATTACTAATTGTGTGTCCTTGGGTCTTGCTGATGTGTGTATTTTTGTTTGTGTGACAATTCCCATATCCGGAAGTTGGGCCGGCTACCTATAATTTACTATCTCTCAGTTTGCGAACGGCGCCACGCATCTGTCTTTCTCCCGAAAGCAAACGCTAACGTACGAGTATAATGTCAAGGTCCTTCGGAAACTTCAGGTGTGGTACGGAAGTGGCGGCCCGATGTGCATATGCAAGATTGTGAGGCTGGTAAACAAGAGTTTCCGGATTTCCTTCACGTGACTCCCAAAAGGCAGGTAAAAAGGACAAAGTACCAACATCAAAGCCGGTAACCCCCTGCATCCATTTCTATCAGCGTACATACAGATTCACCGATAATGAATGCCATGCCTGAGAGCAAATCCATGCTCCCATTTTGGCACACAAGTTTCTATTTAATCTTGTTGCCGTCCACTTTTTCTGACGTACTTGTTTTTTCAACCGTTTTCTCTTGCGATTTTATTTGAAGGTTCGTTAGTGTCACTGGGTCATCATAAACCCACTGTACATCTATCACCGCTTGACCTGACTAGACGTAAACTAGTCTAGCTATTTCTGAACAGAACATATTTGCGACTGGGTTAATATAGTGTCTTCCCGACTTGACATCGTCTCACCATCGCTCTTCCAGCGCACCTATCCATCCAATCCACTTTCACCCCAATGTTACCTTCAAAATCCCCCGTGGTACATTCGCTACCTCCTCTCTCCCAAATGGTGATGATAAGTTCGGGACAACCTCAAATGGAAATCTCGGCCATTTCACCCCCATCTTCAGGATCACCTTCGCCAACTTCAGCGAGCACCCAGCTGCACAAGTTCAACGCCAACAGATCCACCGATCTGGCTCCGGCCATGGACAAGTGCACGTGCAAGGCAGAAGGCAACCACATACCACGTCCACGCAATGCCTTCATTTTGTTCAGGCAAAAGAACCACCAGGCCTTGTTGGAGGAGGGGTCAATAATAAAGACTAATCCAGATGTCTCACGTGAACTCGGTAAGCGCTGGAGAAATCTCTCAGTGGAGGAGAAGTCCTTTTGGAACAAAATGGCTGAGGAGGAGAAGAAGAAACATGCTGAAAAATACCCTGGTTACAAGTACACTCCTAGAAGGGCAGTCAAGAAGAACTGTCCAGCTTGTCGGGCGAGACATGCCATCAAGACCCACAACTTGAATGTGCAGAACTTCCTCGCTCAACAGCAACAGCAACAGCAGCAGCAACAGCAGGAACAGCGGATTCATCAACAGGCTCAACACCAGCAACAGTACTGGAACTACCCAGTTGACCAGCAAGTTTATCAGATGAGATCTTCCTCATCACCTCCTACCTATTTGAACTCTCCTCAACAGTCTGCTAATGGTTCCTCGGTCAGTTCTATTGCCTCTTCGGCGTCGTCGGCCTCATCTACAGGCACGGTATCCAACGCCTATGCCATAAAGAATTACACTACCTCGTTGCCATTTCCGACTTACTCCATCCCTCCCGTTTCCGCGCCAATATCACCACCTTTCTCGTCCTCCAACGTGAACGGCAGCCATCTGCCTCCACCTCCCCAGGTGGTTCTTGCGGGCTTGCCAAGACAACATCAACAACAGTTCCAGCAACATCACCAGGTCCAAGGCCTGTCGCTGCCACCTATCTCCAATTTGTCCCTTCCTCCGTTGCACGTGAATCTCCAGAGGGACGTTCACGGGTCGCGTTAGTGAAGGCAAACAAATTGGAGATTGAGGATTATTACTCTTGGCATCTGTCAAATCGCCAGTCTCCACGTCCCTATTGCCCATCCCTTCCTCCCTACCTTCACTTCGCACTTCATTTCACTACATGTCAGCATTGAACTGTTTATCGGTTCAGACTCATATTTTTTTAGTCGACTCATCTTGGTTCTATTTCACTTTTTGTTGTGGTTCGGTTCAGTGCCTGATGCTCAATTCACGGATTTTTATCATCTATTCGGTTTTTGTCTACTTTCCCATCTGCGTTTATTTTTTTACGAATGTAACTTTAGTTTAGATTTATAGCTTCATTGGACTTCTCGGAAGGATTAGAATTTTATGATTGTAGCTTTTATACAAAGAGTATGGTTGCAAGCAAAGAAAAATGCAATGGGTAAGCGACGTTTGAAGTCAGATGACTTCGAAATATGGGCCAAAAATCGCTCCATGTTTTGCTTAAGGAAGAGACTAACCCTTGTCCTCCTCGGTCTGGATATCAATCTCACCAACCAAGTCCAGCTTGCGGCTGCTGGAGCCGACGTAGATCTTATACGTTCCCTCTTGAATTACCCATTCTTGCGAATGGGTATCCCAGTACGAAAGATCACGATGTAAGATCTCGAAGCAAACGGTTCCGCTAGCTCCTGATTCCAGGAAGATCTTCTCAAACCCACGAAGCTGCTTGGAAGGTGATGCGACAGCAGTGCATGGGAACTCAATGTAGAGTTGTGCGACGAAAGAGCCGCTTAGATCGCCTTTGTTGTAAACCTCAGCGGTGACTTTATAGAGGGTTTCCCACAGCGCAGGGTTACCTCCAAGGCCGCCGCCTGCAATAGGTGGCTCAGAAGGTTGATCTGGGATATAGTTCTTCGGATATTCAAAACTATCAGAAGAATAAATGTCTTGATCAAACAAGTATGGGTAAATAAAACCTGGTACGGCGTTGAAAGACTCGTAAGGAAACAAGGCATCAACAGGGTCACAGATATCGTCACCACACATCTTGACGGGCTCTAGGTAAGGAGCCGGACGCGGAAGATACTCAGATGGACATTTCACCTCGCTAACTTCCAGGTCTCCGAGTTTGAAGCTTGAATAAGATAGACCGAATCCAAACTCGAAGTATGGATTGATGTTGTGCTTGTCGAAGAACTTGTAGTCGAGATAGATATCGTGATCAAAGGTGTCTTGAGGTTCACCATCTTCACCTGGGTCAGTCAATATTGGAACATAATGATCTGTCTTCTTAGCAATTGTGAATGGCAAACGTCCAGATGGGTTCTCTTCTCCAAATATGATAGAGGCGAGTGCTTCACCAACAAACTGCCCAAGAGGTGCCGCCCATAAGACTCCAACAACGTTGTCATGGTTTATCCACTCATCAATATCGACAGGCCCCACAGAGTTAATCACCACAATTGTCCTGCGGCATCTGTCGGCAATCTTGTTGATCAGTTCATCAGCATTATGCCACAGAGAGACGTTTTTGCGATCACCGTAGTTCTCGTCCACTTCTATGAAACCCTCCCCAGAAACTGCTGTAACGAAGACTATTGCAACATCAGCATAATCTGCCTGGTTCTGGACCTCTCTCAGATCATAAGATTCAGAGCTGAAGTCAACTACCATTTTTTGTTTTCTTGCTCTTTGTGCGACTGCTTCATACGGTGTAATGACGTAAGGATTGTTCACTGATCCTGATCCCCAGCCCGAAGTCATTGCTCCATTAACACATCTCTGGTCTTTGCAGTTGAAACCGTTGGGATCTGGCCCAGAAGCAATTCCTGCAATGAGTATACGACGGACTCCGTCTTCATAATTGATAGGCAGATGACTGTCTGTGTTTCGTAACAAGACTATCGATTCTTTGGCAACTTTCAAGGCAGTTTGTTCGGTGAAAGAAGTACGAGCGTCGATATGCCAGTTGACCTGGATAATGGGGCCATAATGCTGATAAATGTACTGTTGGGAGTAAGTATGATAAGTCCAGGAAGAGAAGTTGGGTTCTGAATCCTCGCATGGCAGCTTTCCACCACCAACCATGAAAAATGAAGCCAAAATACGTGTGGCCATATCACTCAACCTTTCTTGTGAAACTGTTTGGTTATAAACAGCTCTGGTAAGCAAAGGTCCCCAGTAAGTTTTCCCAGAGCACCAGTCATTGATGATTTCTCCGGGCATCGACATGTCTAGACCTGCGAGACAAGAATAGACTCCAGTATGTTGGGCGCCCCAGTCCGACATGACCCAGCCTTGAAATCCGAGCTCACTTTTGAGCAGTTTATTCAACAGTGCCGAGTTTTCGCATGCATATGTGTTGTTGACCCTATTATAAGAACACATAACAGATCCAACTCCTGCATGGACACAATCTGCAAATGGCCAAAGGTAGACCTCATGCATTGCACGATCCCCGATGTTCGAGCTGATGGACTCCTTAAGGCATCCGCCCCATTCTGTGTCTTCCCATTCACCGACTTGGCGGAATATCTCCTGTTCATTTCCAATCAAGTGTTTTACAGTGGCTACCAGGCCTTGATCTTGAATTCCTTGTACTGTCAGACTACCGCCAACACCTTGCAAGTACGGATCAGCACCGAACCCTTCCCAGTTTCGACCACCCGCTGCTTTCAGTCCAATTGGACCAACAACTGGCCCAAGCACTACGTTTACTCCCTTTCTCTTGTGCTCCAGAGCGATGGCTTTTCCACGCAGATACATCAACCCTCTGCTGAATGTAGAACCAGCCGCTAGTCCAGATGGGAAGTCTGTGACAAAATCGGTGAACCTTACACCTAAAGGACCATCTTGAAGGCAAAAGGAGGGAATTCCTATGAAAGATGGCATTGTCAGTACAAGTAGCAAAAAAAGCCGCTTCTGTGGCTCAACTCATGGTCATACGAACCTAGACGAGGAACACTGCCCGTGTTTCCAACACAAGGGCCAGAACCCCAACCGGTACCTGTTGTCAGGTTCACTTTTTCCAAAATCGACATTTTTTCAACAAGCGTTCTGGCATCGTTATAGGCGTCCTGCCATACATGCTCGATCCTGCCACCCAGTGCTAAAGAACTTGAATCAGAACATAATTCCGTTGATATGAACAAGGTATCTCACATACGAGAGGGGTAAAAAGGCTTCGAATTAAAACCAGTGGCTTCATCACCGTATTCATCATAGAGTTCGAAGGGAACTGGAGGGTTAGAATGGTCCCTTTTGTCCAGTGTACTCGACAAGTTCTTGTCATAGATGGTGTCTACACCATGGACAAGGTTAACAAGAGTGAAGTGCAAAAGGAATGGGACTAGTTTTGTTTTCATTGCGCGAATTTCAAACTTTTGCAAACTCAAAGACAACCACGCAGTAAAACCAGTTGAATTCCAAGTTTGGAGTTCTTGTGAGTAAAAGAGATTCTCAAGTCTACAGAGACACACAAGCACCCTACAACATGCTAAAGTTGTAGTCAGGAAGCCAAATTCGGTGGTGCACATCTTTTTCAAACGAAAATGGGTGGGGGAACGAAAATGTGCAAACCGGACTTGGCAAGTGCACCGCTCAATCTTCTCCTGAAACCTTGCGGCATCATGCATGATGCGTTGGATCTGAGAGGGTATTATTCCTTCATGAAACTGCCCGATTTTAGGAGGGCGGACTTTGCTTTGTGTAAACTTAAAGCGCCGTGCATGAATACAATATTTGTTGTCAAAAAGGGGAAAGCGATTGTACCTGACGAAATATCTTTTTGGAGATGAAACAATACCCGAAGGTAAACAAGTGTAGGACCTGGCTGGTTTCCTCTTGATTGCTAATCAAGATCTGCAATATTGTTGCGTTTCCTTTGCTTTTGCGTACATTGAACCACAATAATATGCAATGGAAAAAACATCATCCAGCAACAAAGTTTAATCAGGTTGGGGTAGCGTATTTGAAATGAGGTCAACAATCTAAATCTGGTAAACACGCAGTTGCCACGCTTGTAAATCAGACAAATCCGTTTCCAGTACAAAGTGTTTTTTTTTCTAAATTCCATGGCCCAGTACACGGCACGAACACGATTTACCGCAACTCGCTGCAATATTAGACCAATATTAGACCAATATTAGACCAACATTAAGGCATTATCGACAATACCAGCGGAGTTGTTACGATGTAAGATTTTAGATTCCCGATGCGAAGCAACACGAACTAGCAACGAAAATGTGGTAGTAACGGGACCAAAAATACGAATTAGGCAAGATGTGCGCCGGATGCAAACCCCTTCCGCCTCCTATTGTCATTTAGGTGCAGTTGATGAGAATGAGATGAATCACGAAGGTTGAAAAAACCCGCTGGAATTGAATATTTCGGTTTGGCATAATCCAAATAACTGATCCTCCGAAAAATTGAAGAGAAAAATAAGGCTACAATTTGCGCTGGTAACAGCCGAATGGTCAGCCAGAGAGATCGCCGGGTCAATACTCGGCACAAAGCATTTTCATTCTGAATGCATTTCACGAACATTTCCGCTGGCTTTGCTACCACAAATAATAATACGTTTCAGTCTCAACTCGGATTGATGTGCGGTTGCCCCCAGTGGGTGGGACGGATTTGGTAAAATAGACGAGTCATGCATGGCAGTCACCGCAGCCAGAGAAGCAGCATGCCTACCACGGTAAAAAAAAGCAAAGGAAGAACACATGCCAAGGTTAGCCAAGCAAAGATTCAGTGGCCTAATCTGCAACCAGGCGAGTTTGCTACTGATTCGTATCGTGCTGGGAGCAAAGGATCCACGACCCACATAATAGCGTACTCGTGAAGTGCCAATGGTGAATCCGACATGGCCATGTTTACGTCTCCACCAAATCAAAGCCCTACCTGCCGACCTGCTGCGGTCGAAAGTTTGAAAGAGATCTTCCTTTTTTGGTGGACCCAATTTTCTTGTTTTCAAGTTTCCATTATCGACGCACCCAATTATCCGAACAATACTGCACGTGGACGGAAACGTTCTTGGAACGCATCTTTTTGCCTTTTGAGTTGTGTAAAGGAGCTGCTGATCTGCACTTCTGTACGCATTCACGATTCACAACTTGGGGATTCACGCTACCAAGACCCACATTCTGGCATTAGTTAGGGTTTTCAAACATTTTGTGGCCAAAAATATTAGATATATGAGATTTGCTGAGGGGAACGTGATTGTGAGGCTAATTCTAGCTGCCACATGAATCGGCGCATGCAAACACCCAGGCTGATTGACCGCTACCCCTTACGCCTATGATTTTTATTCACCCAACCAACTCAGGGCACTCAAACGTCGTATAATAAGTCCGTGAACAAAGCAACAGTTCAGGTGTGGTTGCTACCAATGCATTACACTCAGTTCACTATGCGAGATGGTATAACCGGCCGTCGTGCAAGGTCGATTTAGAGGCGTGGACTGCGTGGCTATTTGCCGACACTCTTATCCGACAATGCAGAAAAGCGTCTAAATTTTACAACTCCTTCGAATTTATCCCTGTTCATGGGAAGCGCACGTCTGCCTCGCAAGGAACGATTTTCGACTTTGGCGGAATCCTATTCACCCATGTGGCTTTGCCGGTTCTTGCATGCATGTGGTATCCGGTGCAGTTTTATTGTTGGTACCCGCCTACGTTTCAGTCAAAATTGGAGGGCTGCTGCCATAGTTTTGTCAATATTGAATTGTGTGATTTGATGGCCCTATTTCTATATTGCAGTATGTCTGCTCCAAGGACGACGTTCTTGGTATGGACTTGATACTTTCCCTTACTCGTGCACAGCTTCTAGTTGAAAACGCTGCATATCCGAATAGACGAATACTTGAGAAATCGGCAGCTGGATTCCGAAAGAGCAAAAACATCCTTCTTTACGTGGTCTCATGATGATCTTTTCTTAGCCAGATGGCGGTATCAATAGAGACAATACTGAAGTATCTAATAAATTGCTCATTGAAGGGCGGATATTTGTCCGTGCCCCATTTACAATACAATTAGACTATAGCTAAGCAAATGGCTTGCCCTGTTGAGGCATAAGTCTAACCACTGGCCTTGGTCGTTGTGACGATAGTCATACGGAAAGACATTATAACGGACTTGGCTACAGATATTGCTATGGATATTGGGCTGGGATTTTTTTGATTGTAAAATTTGACTTGTGGTTGGCAAATGCCGCATGGAATTAGAATGCATAATATATTCACTCACGCACACTTGGAACCACCAAAGGCGACTGGGTTCAGCCTCTGTAATCGTTGTTTTTTAGTTTCATTATTGTCTTGTAAAAGAATCGTACTATATGCAATTACACTTTAATTTTTTGCAACTCAATTTTTCACTTTGCAACTATCGTCAACCTCGAAGATCAGCTTTTGCACTCCGGCCACACCGCTAACGATGCGCCCCTCAAGATGTAAGTGAAATCCAAATCACCTAGGGTATGCGCCTCCATGTCGGGGTTTCATCACTGGTGTACATTTCGGTGCACGGAAATCAAAGAGGCAGGGGATAACAACGACTTACGCTTATTATTCCGCAAAACCTTAAAAACACTGGAATTCGGTAGATTTGCCGTAATCCAGGTCTCTCTCCCGATTGGCCGCTGTCTGATTTTAGTGCAATATTCTTGTTATTTACCACCCTCTCATTTAAAATCAATTTAGCAGATCTTCCTCTTCTGAGACCCTTCTGCCAAGCCTGGTCTTTGTTTTCGGATCCTATTGTCCATTGTTCCAGGTCATGGCCACTTTGCGCCTACTTGCTTGCAGTCATCGGCTTTGTCTCTGCGTCCAAAGTCATCTCCCGATGGGACATCGATAGAGTTTTAGCTCGCAATCATTTGTGGCCATACTAGTGGGGTAGCCTTTTGATCACAAAAATGCAACCTCGACCTAGGGGTACTTACAGTTAACCAGAATATAGCATAGCAGCCCAAGTTCGGAGCGAGATGTTGCTTATGGTGTGCAAATATGATCCATCGCCGGCTTTGGGAGACAATTGAAGCAAAGCCGCCTTTGCACTTCTGAAGACCCATCTCGTATATTTGGATGCAATCAATGTTACAAGCGAGATGATATTGGACTAAAGTCTCTCGTGTCGACTTACTGCAGAAGAGTCGTAACCGTATGGTGAATGTGGTGGATATTCTCAATTTACAGTGGTCGGTGATAGCCACAAATTGAGGCGTAGCACTTTATAGGCTTTTTGAAGCGGATTTGGTCAAAGCCGAGTGCTGATCGGCGGTACACGCGGCTTTCACTCGCGGCTTTCACTCGAGGGCATTATTTGAGTACTACTCCTAGACAAATAGTACACATACGCCAGGTTCGGTTATAATTAGTCAGTTGCAGGAATTCGCATTCCGTTAAAACAGAAAGGTTAATGATCAACTCCGTATAAAGCCAGAGCCTACGGGAATTAGACCGAAGCCAATGGAATTGGCAGCTTGGCATGTATGTCTTTTAAAGACTCAGTGATACCTCTCGAGTGGTCACAGGACAATATATGATGCAATCAGGTTGCCAAAAAGGTCTTGTTTGACGGGCAGCTACCGGAGTTGATGGTTATGAGGTGAGAGCCAGGTGAGTCCTGGCCTTTTCTCCCTGGCAGTATTCAGTTAGACGGATGTAGGTAATCTTGGATTGGTTGTAGTCTACAATACTAGTCTCAGTTGTGGGGATCCAGCACCGTTCTGAATAGACTATCTGTCTATATATGGTATCTCATGAGACGATACCTGAAGATATACTGAAAGACTCGGTTATCGTACCTGACTTGCATGACAACTAAGTAACACTTGCTTTAGATATCATGAAGATTTGTCATGTCTGGTGATCTTGGGACCAGATCATCTCAAACCTGCAGAGGATCGATGATTAAATTGGTAACTTTCTCGTAAAATCTGAATATATCACTCAAGTTCCGTTATCAGTTTTTGTCGTGTTATTAACACTTCATCTGTATTTTGGTTTGTGCAGCATCCTCATAGTTCAAATTTCCACCCCTTTACACCCACATAACTCTCCCAAATAGGTCCCTAGGTCTGTATAACCTTGCTAACCGACTATTAGAAGCCTAAACACTGATGGTAACGTCTTAAATCACAAGAAAATGACATCTGCAGGTCCGAAATCGCTCCTCTGATCCCCTCAGCATTCTTGATAGAATCATCCCGTACACGACTCTTCCTTCTGCAAAAAAAATTTTGAGATAATTATAAGTGATGTTGTACAATCTTTGAGAAACTGGCTACAACTCATACTCTTCCAAATCACAAACTATGAAGATCAAGACGATATCAAGGTCGTCTGACACTTATGTTCCTGTGCGAAACACGCAGGAGTCTGCACTTCCAAGAAATTTGGATCCAGCACTGCATCCTTTTGAAAGAGCTAGAGAATACACCAAAGCACTCACAGCGACTAAGATGGAGAGAATGTTTGCGCAGCCGTTCATTGGTCAACTAGGTCGTGGCCACAGAGATGGTGTCTATAGCATTGCTAAGAACTACAAGACGTTGAACAAGATAGCCACTGGCTCTGGTGATGGTATAGTAAAGTACTGGGATTTGGCTTCAAGGGAGGAGACGTACAGCTTCAAGGCCCACTACGGAATGTGTACCGGGCTTGTTGTATCACAACCAAACAGTCGTCTTTTGTCCTGTGGTGACGATAAAACAATCAAATTGTGGGATGTGGACAACCAGGATAAGAGCCAGAAGGAGGAGACCGAAGCATCCACGGCTGGACTGGTGAAAACGTGGAGGGCAGAGCATTCTTTCAAGTCCATGGATCACCATTACGAGGACCCTGTGTTTGTGACGGGAGGTGCGACTATAAACCTATGGGATCTAAACCGCAACAACCCAATCAGTGATTTGTCATGGGGAGCAGACAACGTGAATACAGTCAAATTCAACCTAACGGAGACATCGATAATAGCAAGTGCTGGTTCAGACAACTCGATAATATTGTACGACATAAGGACCAACTCGCCTATCCAAAAGATCAAGACTTCGTTGAGGACGAATGCCATTTGCTGGAACCCAATCGAGGCCTTCAACTTTGCATCTGCTTGTGAAGACCACAACGCTTACCTGTGGGATATGAGAAACATGGCCAGATCCTTGAACGTTTACAAGGACCATGTAAGTGCGGTGATGGACGTGGATTTCTCTCCGACTGGACAGGAGTTGACCACGGGTTCATATGATAAGACCATAAGAATTTACGATGTCAAGAAGGGCCACTCCAAGGATATATATCACACCAAGAGAATGCAACATGTTTTCATTGTGAAATACACGATGGACTCAAAATACATTTTGTCGGGGTCAGATGAGGGTAATGTGAGAGTGTGGAGATCAAAGGCTAACGATAGATCCAGTGTCAAGTCCACCAGGGAAAGATCCAAATTGGAGTATGATGAGAAGCTCAAGGAAAGATTTGCCAACATGCCTGAGATTAGAAGAATCGCCAGACACAGACATCTTCCAAAGAGCGTTAAGAAGGCTGGTGAGATCAAACGTGTGGAGATCCAATCTCTGAAGCGTAGAGAGGATAACGAGAGAAAGCACAGTAAGCCGGGTGCTGTGCCCTACAAGAGTGAGAGAGAGAAGCACGTGATGGGCCAGGTTTTCAAAGAGTAAAAGCACACACAATTAGTACATTATCACAAATACGACGTTCTTGTGGAGCCGATAGATAAGTAACTAATCGCGATTACGTGATCCATCAGATATTCGCCGGCGCACTAAAACGGAAGTCAAATTCCGTTGGCTGAGAAGATCCGACGGAATTGAACTTCCGCAGCCATTACGCATGTCGGGCGATAGCGATGAGGGCTGGGGGATAAAGACATTTAAGTAGAGCCTCATTCGCGGAAGCAAATTTATTTTCCGGCCGATTGTTTAGTTCAACGAGATTTTCTTGGACTATAATCGATTGGAGATTATAAGTTGAGACACGTTTACAATGGGCAAGATCCGGATCGCGATAGACGTGAGTAAATATCATAGATAAGCCACACACTTTTCACTTTGCTAACAAGTTTTTAGAGAGGTGGAACCTTCACAGATTGTGTTGGTAACCCCGGAACTGGAGACGCTAAAGACGATGTGATTTTGAAATTGCTATCCGTCGACCCCTCTAATTATCCCGATGCTCCTCTGGAAGGTATAAGGCGTCTATTGGAGAAGTTTTCAGGAAAGCCCATTACTCGTGGAGAGCCATTGGACACTTCCCAGATCGAGTACATCAGAATGGGAACTACGGTGGCCACGAATGCCCTTTTGGAGAGAAAAGGTGAAAGATGTGCACTGATAACTACCAAAGGGTTCAAAGACTGTTTGGTGATCGGAAACCAGTCCAGACCCAGAATTTTTGATCTGTCCATCTCCAAGCCAGATGTTCTCTACGAGACGGTGGTGGAGATCGACGAAAGAGTGACTCTACAAGACTTCAGTGAGGATCCTGCCAAATTCGAGACCGTCGATTTTGAGAGTGATGCTGATCTGGTCAAAGGGCTAAGTGGAGAGGCCGTCAGGATTTTGAAGAAACCAGACGTAGCCAGTATACGGTCCACCTTGGAGCTATTGTATGCAACGGGGTTGAGGTCGGTGGGCATTTGTTTGATGCACTCATACACCTTCCCCGCGCACGAGATATTGGTGGGCGAGATCGCGAAAGAGGTGGGCTTCACCCACGTATCTCTCTCCAGTGATCTTTCGCCTGTCATTAAGTTTGTGCCCCGTGCGAACTCTTCAATTGCCGATGCGTATCTGACCCCAGAGATCAAGCGGTACCTGAGCGGATTTCAGAGTGGGCTCAAAGAGGGTTTGGCCTCGGTGGGCGCCGAGGTGCCCACTGGCGTGAGATGCCAGTTCATGCAATCGGATGGTGGGCTGGTGGATGCCTCCCGGTTCTCCGGGTTGAGGGCTATCTTGTCTGGCCCAGCTGGTGGTGTTGTTGGTTACTCGGCGACTTGTTACAATCCTGAGAACAACATTCCTCTCATCGGATTCGATATGGGTGGAACCTCCACTGATGTTTCCAGATACGGTGATGGCAAGTTTGATCACGTGTTTGAAACCACTACTGCAGGTGTTACGATCCAGTCTCCTCAACTGGACATCAACACCGTGGCAGCCGGTGGCGGATCCATGCTGTTCTTCAGAAACGGGCTTTTCCAGGTCGGACCAGAAAGTGCTTCATCCCAGCCGGGCCCCTCCTGCTACAGAAAGGGCGGTCCTCTGACTGTGACTGATGCCAATCTTGTCTTGGGCAGATTGTTGCCAGAGTACTTCCCCAAGATCTTTGGTAAGGACGAAAACCAGACATTGGACCAGGAAACTCCCGTTCAAAAGTTCATGGAACTAACTAAGGAGATTAACGCTGCTCACCCGGATCTTCCTCCAAAGTCCATCGACGAAATCGCCTACGGTTTCATCAAAATTGCCAACGAGACCATGTCCAGACCTATCAGACAGTTGACAGAGGCCAAGGGTCACGTGATTTCCAATCACAGACTAGTCTCTTTTGGTGGTGCTGGAGGTCAACATGCCGTTGCAGTTGCTGATTCGTTGGGTGTGGATACGGTGTTGATCCACAGATACTCCTCTGTTCTGTCTGCCTACGGAATGGCCCTGGCCAATGTGGTGGAGGAAGTGAGAGAGCCTTGTTCTCTGACCTTGAATGCCACCAACGACACGGTTTTCCAGCAGAGATTCGTGTCGTTGATCTCGAGAGCTACAACAGCTTTAGAGTCGCAGGGGTTCCGGGACTCCGATATCGTGTTTGAGAAGTATCTGAACATGAGATTCGAGGGAACAGAATCCTCCATTATGGTGTCTGGTTCAGGCAGTTACGCTGACTTTGAGGCTCACTTTTTGGAGTTGCACAAGAGAGAATTCGGATTTGTTTTTGAGGGCAAGGACCTGATTGTTGACGATGTTCGTGTGAGAGCTATTGGAAAGGCTCTTGACCGTGCTGAAGAGTCTATCGATAGCCAGATCGAGGCTCTCAACAAGTCTGGTGCTGTGAAGGAGGTTGCTGCTGACGCATTCAAGTTCAAGAAGGAGGTGTATTTTGAAGGTGGGCGTCTTGAGACCTCGGTGTTTCGCTTGGAAGATCTGGAGGTGGGCACCAATGTTCCTGGTCCAGCTATCATTGCTGATGGTACGCAGACCAACGTTATTCCACCCAACTCTTCTGCTCTGGTGCTCAAGAACCATGTAGTTATCACCATCTCCAAGGGCGAATCAGTGGCCGCTAGTGTTGAGTCTGAGACCACCGATATCAAGATTGACCCAGTCTTGCTCTCCATCTTTGGACACAGATTCATGGACATTGCCGAGCAAATGGGAACTTCTCTCCAGAAGACGTCTGTTTCTGTCAACGTGAAGGAGAGACTTGACTTCTCGTGTGCCTTATTTGACCCAGTCGGAAACCTAGTTGCCAATGCTCCTCATTTGCCCGTTCATTTGGGTTCCATGTCCACGTGTATTGCTGCTCAGGCGAAAATATGGAAGGACAGGATCCAGCCTGGTGATGTGATCGTTACCAATCACCCTTCTGCCGGAGGCACCCATTTGCCGGACATTACTGTAGTGACTCCAGCTTTCAAGGATGGTGAGATCATCTTCTACGTGGCTTCAAGAGCCCACCATGCTGACATTGGAGGGCTGTTGCCTGGATCCATGCCTCCCAACAGTAAGCACCTTAGCGACGAGGGTGCAGCCATCTACTCGGAGCTTCTGGTGGAGAAGGGAGTTTTCCAAGAGGCCAAGTTGCGCAAGCTTTTGCTGGAGGATCCAGCAAAACACCCCAATTGCTCTGGTACCAGGAAACTTTCGGACAATATCAGTGACTTGAATGCTCAAATTTCCGCCAACCAGAAGGGTCTTTCGCTGATTGCCCAACTGGTGAAGGAGTTTGGACTGGCCACCATTCACGCCTATATGACTGCTATCCAGGACAACGCTGCCACCACGGTGACCAGAATGCTTGCAGATGTTGCGAAGAGATTTGATGGTGAGAGCTTGAAGGCAGAGGACTACATGGACGATGGCTCCAGAATCAAGCTGGAGGTCAAGACTGACGCCGTCAGAGGCAAGACCGTGTTTGATTTCACTGGCACTTCCAGTCAGGCCTATAATAACTTGAACGCTCCAACAGCCATCACCTACTCTGCAATCATCTACTGTATGAGATGTCTTGTTGATGAGGACATCCCATTGAACCAGGGTTGTTTGCGTCCTATTGAGGTGATCATCCCAGAGGGCTCATTGCTTTCTCCATTGGAGGGATGTGCAGTTGTCGGTGGAAACGTGGAAACTTCCCAGAGAATCACGGATGTCATTCTCAAGGCTTTCCATGTCATGGCAGATTCCCAGGGTGATTGTAACAACTTCACCTTTGGCACTGGCGGAAACAGTTCCGACGGAGACGCATATGTGGAAGGATTTGGCTACTACGAGACCATTGCTGGTGGTCACGGTGCCGGCCCAACCTGGCATGGAGTTAGTGGTGTTCACACTAATATGACCAACACCAGAATCACAGATGCCGAGATCTTCGAGAGAAGGTATCCCGTGATCCTGCGTGACTTTTCTATCAGAAAGGGTTCCGGAGGTCATGGTGAATTCAACGGAGGAGACGGCTGTGTTCGTGACATTGAGTTCAGTGTTCCCGTGACTGCCTCTATTCTGTCGGAGAGAAGAGTCATTGCTCCTCATGGATTCGCAGGTGGTGAGGACGGCCAGAGAGGAGTCAATCTGTACATCAAGACCACACGGAATGAGAACGGTGAGATTGTGGAGCAGAGACAGATCAACATCGGTGGCAGGAATACCGTTGAAGTCAATGCTGGTGACAGGATCATCATTCAGACTCCAGGAGGAGGTGGGTACGGTGTTTCCAAGCAGAACGGCCACTGCAATGGTACGAAGAAAGTGTATCATGCAGATTCATTTTTGGCCGCTGGTTCTTTGGCGCTGCGGTCTGCGGCGCAATTGACGAATTGAGTAGTGAAGTTGAGATTAGCATGGAAACATCAGTCTCTTTAATATAAATTTGAGTAAATATGGATAGTCTGTAATGGCATAACTCATTCAACCGGGCACTAGACGACCCTTTGCTCTCAACCTTTAATTCACTCAAAATGCGCTGCGGACTTTCCAGTAAAAAGTCTCTCTCTTTAAATCCAACCAACCAGTAGGCACAAAATAATCCCTTTTCCCTTAGCTCATAGACTGCTTTAACACTAATAAGTCTCTGGACCTTTAACGGAAATTCAAGTGATTTGTCGGCCAATCATGCACCGAAGCAATCCCTTTGCTCATCACCTGTATGCCACCCAAAAACCAATAAACTCGGCTGTGGCGGCCATAGGACCTCCCCAAGAACCATCACGGCGACTGGACCTTGTTATCTCCAAAATGCCTCGCCGCAGCCAGTGTGCTGCTCTCGTAACTAGGAGGCTCAGCATCCACCTGCTCCTCAATCTCCGGGAAAAGAGGGCTCACAACATGTGGAGAAGGCGAAACAATCCGGGTTTCGTAATTAGTATATTCCAGGCTCTCTGGAACTTGGTTGCCATTCTCGGCATCGAGATTCTGATAGCCCTGGTTGATATGTCTGAATCTGGAGGCTATGCCCTGCGGGGAGCCCGTGAGGACACTGGTGTCAAACACTATGTAGCACGAATAGGCAATTCCCGGCAAGTGAAATATCAAGCTGAGAATCAGGCACAACAAAAACTCCGAAGTCCAAAAGCCCTTTCTGACTAAGACTGGGAAAGGGGGAACAAAGAACGCTATCACGTAGAGCAGAACGTCTGTGGAGCCCATGGTAACTCCGCAGATCTCAAACGTGTCGGGATGATGAGAGTGAGTCATTGCAAACAGTGTGAAGATTTAATACCAACAAAAAGACCTTGTTAAAGACCTGTCAAAGCCTCTTGTTAAAGCCTCTTGTTAGATTCCTCCTTAAACACCTGGCCTAACCGTTTTTGCCCTTCCACGCCGCTGGCTCTTAACCCCGGCTGAGATGAGGCATCGCTGCCATTCTGAATGTTGTTCTCTTTGTTCTCTTTGTTGTAGGTTTCTTCTCTGTTCTTTCTTTCTATATTATTTCTTCTTCTCTTTGTAATTGATGACAATCGAACCGGAAAATCGCAACAGTCCGGCCAGAACGTCCTTTTCCGCCAGAAGGAGCGTGGACGCTGCGGTCACCAGTCAGCCCAGAACTGCGCCTGCGGCAACAACCTCCCACAGACACAGGTCCTCCAGTGAATCGCGCAGTCCAGGCAATAGCCGATTCTCCTGGGTGAGAAGACTCATGAACAACACCAAGACGTCGAGTTCCCCGGTGAATCCACAATTGCGTGCCAATTTGCAGGAGAGTGGCAGCCGCGCCGTTGTTCCCCGGATGCAGCAGCGGCCGGTGCGAACAAGAAGTGTTTCTGCTGGTGGGACTCCATCGAGTGGTCCTTCCAACATTGACGCTATCAGCAATGGAGGGACTTCAAGAACGTCTTCTTTGGCGGCGAGTTCCATTGAGAACGCCAGTACTGCGCCCATGATATCAGTGTCGTCCATGTCCGTGACGTCTGGTGAGGGCGACACAGATTCCAATTCGGTTGGGCTTTCTACCACGGCCACCTCCATTGCCCCCACCACTGCAGGCACTTCAGTGACAAACAACCCGGGGATCATCACGTTCAATAACTATTACGGTTATACTCCAACCCCCAGCATCGCGCCTTCGAACCCTGCTACCCAGGGCACCAACATGGACAACTCCTCTATCGTGACTTTGGCAAGCTCTACGCGAAATAGGAGAAGGCGGAGCATGGACACAAATGCAAGTACATTGGGAATCCCGCCGGCAAGTATCTACGAGAGAATGACCTCCACCACCACTCCGTTGCATGCTCCCAGCATCCATGCTAGCGTGGCAAACCGCGCCACCGCTACGATTGACGATAGTCTAGACCAGGGTACCGGAGATAACAATTCTTCAATACCAAACTCGGATGGCATGTCTAACAACGACATCACGAGTATAAGGTCCCTGAAGTCGTATACGACAACATGGACTGCCAAGACAGGGGAATGATCTCAGGAAAATTAGCCTAATCCAAATAGAGTGACGAACAAATCACTTCTTTTTTTGTGGGGCTAATCAAGGTCAAAAACAAATAACGCAACCTCATTTGAAATTTACTCCATGGTCTGCCTACCAGCCCATCAAACCGCTGAAGTTGTCCAGGTCCTCTCACGCTTCACGAACGAACGATCACAAACACGAAATATCAATAAAACCGCAAACGTCTAAAAATTTTCAATGACTCGTATCTCAATTTCTGAAACAAATAATCAAGTATTCCTCGCATACAAAAGCACCTCGTGGAAGTTTGAGCCGCACAGTTAGTTTTCTCTCAGGTAATTTGTCATCGCACGTCAATTGGGAACAAATGACTCCTTCAACAAAGAAACAAAAACAAACAATTGGGCTTGTGAACAGGACAACATTACGCGAACTCTGGCCTTTGTGCTGAAGGAAATTGGCGAAATCGGAGAAGCTGAATTACAAAAGGACATTTTTTATTGCTGTGTTCAAGCCAATCATATTGCTGCTTTTTGTATTGTGTGTGGCTTCCGGAAACCCCAGGTGAACTTCAGTAGAGGCTTACTGTACGCCGTTCGGTTTTTTTTATATATTTCTCGGGGACAACTTCGAGAGGCTTTCAGAGACTGTCCCATTTGTCATGGCTGCTACCTGTGAGGGTGACGTGTACATTCACAACCTGGCCACGTTCATTAGAAGCCATGAGAGACAATTGGCCAACGCTCTCGTGGCATACAAGAAGCCTGCGAAAGGCTCTTCTGCTAACGGGGCTGCTTCCAAGCCTGTGAGGCTGTCTCTGACGTTACATCATCTCTACTATTTGCTAGAGCGGTTTCATGAGCTTGGTATGTCGGTGGGACCATTGAATATACGTTTGGATAACATCGACAACCCGGATGCACCGATCAACTACGTTTCTTTCCTTTCTGAGTTCCACAGGAACCAGTCCATAGCCTCAGATGCCCAGTCAATTCACTCCATCTCTAGTGTGAAGTCTGTGATGTCCAGCGTGTCTGCTCTGTGGGGAGTGATGGGGTCTTATGGTTCAGGAAAAGGAAAGGACTCCATCACTGCAGATTTGAAATACCTATACTCGGCTTTTACGAAACTCCCGTGCCTGAGAATTGCCCCTGACTTGAAGGCAAAACTCATAGAAGGACACGAAGAGTACCCTTTCGATACTACCGTGCCCATCAAGATCTTCAAGAAGCTATCTGTACTTGAGATATCAGAGTTGGATCCCAAGGAAGTGTATGGATGGAATGTACTAAGTGAGGTGGTGAAGTTCCTGGTAATCAAAAAGGCAAATATATCCGATCCGGTGGAAATTCTGGTGGAACTGGTTGATGACGATCTCTCAAGAAGAGGGTCTTCCGTTGAAGAGGATGAGGAACAAGCAATCTCAATTTCTTCTCCCCAACTGACCAGCCAGCCTGCTCATCACTATTATCCTCCTGGTCACAGCCATCATCATACCCTATCTCTTAGCACATCTTCACCATCATATTCTCAGCATTTGCATCAACCTCCCGTCGCACCCCACCATGTTCAAGCTTTCCCATCCTCGTTGCCTGACTCCACTTCTTCCTCCTTTCCCCGCTCAAAATCAATGTTGAACGAAGAAACGAGCGACTCAAGACCTCAAAGATCTGGCTCTGCTGGTCGCAGAATGCGTACCAGTCTTTATTATCATTCTTCAACTCGTCGCTTGGCCAGATCTGATTCCACTGTGATATCCTCGACATCCCCGCCTGCTGCTCTCGACCCGATTCATTTGTCGACTGGACAAGCAACGTTCACTACGGAAGAGCCCGAGTCTGCTCAAAAATCCAATTCCAGGTGGAAGGGTTTGAGGCATCTTTCGTTCGCAGAGAACAGAATCTCCCACATAAGCCCGTGGAGTTTTGACAGTCTGGTGAATCTTTCGTCGCTGGATCTTTCGAACAATTTGCTGATAGCTGTTCCTGAGGCCATTGCTAAGCTGGGAAGTCTGAAATCGTTGAACTTGTCCAGTAATCAGCTGACATCCACGAAGGGCTTTCCCAAGGGTCTTTCGAAGCTTGCGGTTCTGAACTTGAGATACAATGCGATCAACAGTCTCGAGTCTCTGGATAACCTCATAGGACTGGAAAAGTTGGACCTGAGGCATAACAAACTGAAGACTATGGTTGAACTGAAGCCATTGCTCACAAGGACCAAGGCCGAGCTACACTTGTCGATGTTGAACTTGGTTGGAAATCCCCTAGTCAACAAGAGAGGTTATAGAGTAGAGTTGTTCAATCTTTTCAATGGAATTGATCCTCTGAATACTATTCACATTGATGGTTCGCGACCCGGTCTCTTTGAGTCTCGGTTGTTGCTAGATCCGAAAGGTGCCCACGCAAATCTTGTGAAGTTCATGGATGGACCAATGATCTCCCAAATTACTGAGGGCATATCGTCCTTGAAACTGGGATCCAGGAAGTTGAGTGAGTCCAAGCCAGCAAATGAGTCGCAGGAGCCGCAATTGTTACCCCCTATCAAGACCGACTCGGAATCTTCTAACTCGGTTCTGCAGGCCAACAAAAACATTGTTAATACCCCCGGTCCTGTGATACCCTCATCTGTCTATACTACCGCGCCCACCAACGAGTTGGCACCAGTGCTGCCTCCAATCAAGACATTCCTGAACAATGGAAACAACACAAATATCTCGATATCTGCACTTTTGAACCCGATGGATCCGGTAGCCGATGATAAGCCGGAGTCGAAAGTCTCTACTTCAGCAGATGAGAACAGGTCACCCACCCTCCTCATGTCCAGGAGTAAGCCGGCTAGTCCCGCTTTCTCAACCCCAAACTCAACTCCCAATATGGTAGTGGGGCAGTCTGTTGGGGCTGATGTGGCTAGCTGAGTAGAGGAGTTGACAATTCATTCAATCTTATGAGAATAACGCGACGAAGGGACAATATTGAAACGACTATACCAGTTATGTTTGTGTTTGAATTACGATCAGGGTTTTTATTATGTTTAATGTTTATTTTGTATACCTAGGGTCATTATGAGAACTAATACACTTCCTCTTCACCAGCTATCGACGAACCTGCATTCGGTTTAAATTATTTGAACAAGGTACACTGTAAGTGCGGCGTGGTTTGATCCGGTACACTATACATGCGATGCGATGCTGAAAAAAAACTGTCTCCAGAGTATTAAGCCTCATTAAGTTCAAGAGTCTCAACACTACGAAACTCCTCAACGTAAGGGTTGGCATGCACAGAAATATCTGGTGCTATGGTTCTGGCTTCCTTGTGAGAGCCGGGAAATGCGTGCCGTGTTCGACGGCTTATAGGATACACGTGCGGCCGAGAAGCACCAGACGTCTCGCAGATATACCAAAACCCAAAGACAAGACAGAAAAGTTCCGAGATTTCGAAGAACCCATCACTCCCGGTGAGCTCATGAGCCTTGAGTCTCTTGGTAAGATTAACAACTTTTATGACAAGCTGGGGAAGCTGATAGAGCCTGACCTGGGTAAAAGCTCAATAGAGTCTGAGGCCGAGGTGAATCGGAATCCTGAACTGGGACTAGAAAGAGACATACTGGAAATATCAGCCGAGATCTCTGATGATAAAGTTTCTGCTGAAGAAAGACGTGCTTTGCCACAGAAACAAGAGGTCGAGCAGAACCCTGTTGACCTGGCCATTGATCGACTAAAAGAGAGGTTGAGTGAAAAGGGCTTACAGGTCAGTGAAGATGCCATCTCGGTGATGAAAAACAAGTTCAAAACCATGCCAAAGGGTGTGGTTCTGAAACTTGGTGGGGCTTTCGTTTATCTGAGAGAATCCAGAGAAGACTGGAAGGGTATACTTACGCACATGCGGGAGAACTCCGACGGATTCAACGGACTTAGTCCAGAGGAAGTGAATTCCCTGTTCATGAGGATACCTGCCAGTCAACGGTCCGAGATACTGCGTCAGTTCGAGAAGATGGTTGATGAAGCTGGCATTGAAAAGGGAGTAAAGCTTTACAACATGTACATCAATTCCTGTGCAGACTCGCACAATCTATCCCGAGATACCAAGCACATGTGGAAACTGATGGACCAAATGAAAGCTTCGGGCATCGCTCCTGATATGTATACATATGGCTCGTTATTGAAGGGCCTGTCAAAAGTCAATGATCTTGACTCAATGGAGATTGTTAGGATGGAAATGAACGCAGGTGGATTGTCTCTGAACAAGGAGATGTACACAACGATATTGCAGACTTGCATCAAGACAAAACACTACGACAAAGCCATTGATATTTTTGACAATATGAGACTTATGGCTGTCAGCACTCAGCCTGATGCCAAGACGTATTCGGCTGTGATCCTAGCACATGTCTTGAAGAGAGATATCGAGAAAGCTTTGGATATCTACGAGGAAATGTCCAAAGGCCCTTTTGCTATTGATCCAGAGCCTGAAAGTTTGTTATTGCTCGCAAGGGGCTGCTCAAGACAATCCAGATATATACTTAAAGGCTGGAGGTTTATATTCCAGTACCATCAATTGCAAGGTGATCTGAACCATAACGTCATAGAGGTGATGATGCATCTAGCAGCCAGGGATGGAGATGTCAACTTCACAAGAGCGCTATACAATTCGTCTTTTCAAGGCAAATTTCTGGGAAAGAAGAATGGCATCGTCTCCAACCCAGGCCCAAGGATGCTGAATTTATATTTCACTGCATGTTCTACTGATAAAGGCGAAGGCCACGTTCCTGTCTCGCAAATCGATGCACAAATCAGGACCGTTAGGCAGAGAGTTATAGATATGTTCGAGTACAGATTGCAAGGCGATTCCTCTTCCAAAGTTCCACCTCCTCCGTTTTTGCCATTGAAAGAACTGCATGGACCCGATCAGATAGTGAACGAGTGTGAAGCATTCCTGAACTACAGCTTCCTTCTCTCGAAACAGTTTGTTAGACAAGAGATCATAGGTAGTTTCTTGAATGTCCTTCTGGCAAGAGAAGACTCAGTGAAACGTTTTGAGGATGCTTATAACCGTCTGACGTTCTTTGATAACCAAGGTGTTTCCGCGGACTCTCAGGGTGTTGAGATAGTTGAGGAGCCGATACAAGCGGCCGTCGAAAGCAAAGGTCAGCTGGATAAAACAAAATCCTTGACAACAGCTGAAATTGAAGCTCGCAAACTTGCGGTTGCTATACCCAGAGATGTCAGTCTGTACTCCATTGGTTTGAAGGCAGCCAGGGTGTTTAAGGACCCAGAGTTTGCTCAGAAAGTGTGGACCGAAAGAGGACTGTACAGAAAGACTAAGAAATTTGCAAATATCCCATACAAGAAGAGAGATGCGCAAGATTTTGAGTTTGCGAGAGGAATGGTTAGTGTCTTCATCGAATGCAATCAGCTGAAAGAAGCACTTGCCATAGTTTTGTCATCCAAACAAAGATTCGATTGGAACTGGTATTACCTCAAGTCATTGTACATGGCAGCAGGACAAATTGGAGACTCCTCCGTACAGAGAGTGGTTCTGGAATTGACTGGTAAGAATCCAAATCGTGTACGATAAGTATAGATAGTGTATGTTAGTGCTTGTATATATATCATGGCAAACTAGTCAGGTAACAGATACAGTAGCACACAAATACGGAAGATGGGCAAGTCCAGATTCAAGGAACCGTGAGGAAGGTGGTATTTTTGCCCTTCGAAATCAAAGCAGCTACATTAGCACCAGCCAGAGCACTTGTCTCCATCGTACTAATGAACTCTTCCATTCCATTCAGATACCAGAGACCGTCCTGATCCAGCTGGAAGTCTGTGAACTGAGTGGTTGGCTTCAAGTAGGGATAAGGTTTCCACGTTTTCCTGTGCACCCAGCTGATAGTAGAGCCTTTCTCGAACAATGTAGTGATAAATTTGTCAGAGAGCTCTGCGGGTGAAAAAATCTTGTAAATAGACTCGGTGGTTTCGGAGATATTCCCCACCTTCGAAATTGAAAAGAAAGGTGTATTCTTTTGTGCACCTTCGCTTGAAGTTATCACCGTTGTGGGAACGTAGTCCGCGTTGAAATAGCTCTTTGACAAGGTTCCAAAAGTGGTGAGAAGAGTAACATGGAGCTCAACATATTGACGATTCTCTACCTCTGACGAGTACCCCGTTGGAAGGTTAATATTAGTCTGGTAATAAGGAGCAGCAATCACCACCTGATCATACTCTTCCGTAAATTCGTACCCCGAACTATCAACGGCAGTAACTTCAAAGTTTGACTGTGCATTCTTTTTGATTGAGGCCACACCGTGTTGCAGCAGCAGATTCGCTTCTGAGACTTTAATGAAGCTATCAAACACTTGCCAGTTCCCTCCTGTGACACTGTAGGCACTGCCGGCAGCCATACACACGGAGGCACCCAGGGCATGGATTTGGTTCACGTTTTGTGCGTAATTGACCCTTGTGACAGCTTCAATAATCTCGTGCAAATACAGACTTCCAATGTTATTCGAAGTGAAAAAAGTTTCCGATGTCTCACCAGTGAGCTCGCTGAATCCAGTCGTCAAACTAAGTTTGGTGAGGCTTGGAAAGGGAAAATAATCGGAGTAATAATAGGTCAAAAATTTGTCAACAATCCCCGAAACCAGGGTCTTCGCTGAAAAATAAGACAAACCATAACGAAGTAGCAGTTTTGTCTGTGAATAGTACGGAATCGAGCTATCTTGGTAGGTGTACAGAGCCTCCTCCCCGTTCCAGATAAGAAACTCGTCTGAAGTGCTGAAATCGTGATGGTCCAGACCAAAAGTTTCAACAGCATTCATCATTATTTCGTTATCGCCAATGAAAATCGATGCACCCAGTTCCACTAAAGTTGAGGAGTTCTTGGCCCTAACGGTGGTGGACCTGCCACCCACGTAGTTGGATCTCTCGAAAACGGTGATATTATACCCGAAGCTCGTGAACTTTTGGAGGTAATAAGCACAACTAGATCCACCTGCACCTGCACCGATGATAGCGATTCTCTCGGCACCAATTGAGTCGGAAGATGGAGGAGAGGCCCCACAGCTATTGCCCCACACAAGGGACAAAGAGTAGGCCAAGAAAACGAGAGGAACGAGTGTCATCACTCCAAAGATGAGAATATACCGATTGGCTTTCTGACCTAACGAAGACATTTTGAACGGTAAGATAGAAGGTTTGCGGTTGTTTATATGTTGGGAAGATAGAAGGAGTAGGTTTATGTTTCATAAACATCACTTTTATTCCCCTTTTGAGCCACACATTATCAAGGCAGTGTTAAGGCGATGGCTCTTTGTGAAAGAGCATGCACTTGGGTTTCATAAACGGGCATATCGGAAAGTCTAATGGAGATTCAAATGGATTCAGGGTTTTTGGGATGTAACCAGAGCAACTCGATACTACTCTTGAAATGAACGTCTTTACTTTCGGCATGTTATTGCCACTCTAAGTTTTTTGTCTATTTGACGAGGCCCATTTTTTGCGGCGGTATATTGGTAATGCCACTACACGGACTATCTCCAAGGTTCGCATGCAAGATCTTTTTGTCTGTAAGCTTCTTCTCTGTGACCCAACAACAAAGCCGTGTTGTATGACGAATTACGGAACGATCGAAAGTCTGCCGCAGAGGTTTGATCATAATGTGGATGGTCAAACTTTGGCCAGCCAGATTGCAAACCTTTCTTCGCGAAAAGACGATATAATATCACAGATACCGACAATAGACGACGATGTGAGACTCACTTTGCGACAACTGGGAGAACCCATAACGTACTTCGGAGAAGACAAGGCGTCCAGGAGAGAACGTTTGATTGATTTGGTAACGAAAAACGAGATAATACGAGAAAAGTTCACCCAGGCGTTGTCGCCGTACACCGGCTCTGATATGGATGAAGAAGAGCTCGAAGAAGACGAGGAATTCTACACTCCCGGCTCTGAGGAGCTGCTACAGGCAAGAGTGGATATAACGGGAAGTTCTTTAGTACGAGCTCGTGACAGGTTGACTCGTATGAGGAGTCTTGCCAGAGTGGACGAGCTAACGGTCTTGCAAGCCAGGCGACAAATCAATGAAAGACTCAAGAAGCTAGATCTGTATGGAACCCAAGTAATCTCAAACCGATACACCTCGATGGTTCGTGTGTCCCGACTAACTGGCAAGATTGCAGCTGGTTCCTGGGATGGTCAAACGTACATTCTGGACCAGGAGACGCTGGGCACAGAACGCATATTGAAAGGGCACGATGAAAAAGTTGGTGGAATAGACTGGCACCCTACCTCGAACACCCTTATAACGAGTGGTTCAGAAGGCAACATCAACTTTTATGACTTGGAGTCCTCGTCTGAAAAGGAGCTGTATCCTGTGTATTCGTTTACTGGTCACCAGGGCCGTGTCTGCAGAGTCGAGTTCCACCCTTCAGGCAATTACTTTGCCTCGGCCTCCTTTGACATGACATGGAGATACTGGGATCTCGTGAAGCAACAGCAACTATACTATCAGGAAGGTCACTCCAAGGAAGTTTTCGCAGTGTCTCACAACCCTGATGGGTCTCTGTTGGCATCTGCTGGAATGGATGCCATTTGCCGTATATGGGACCTGAGATCAGGAAAGTCGATCATGGTCCTTGAAGGACATGCCAAAGGAATATATGCTCTCGATTGGCACCGTGGGAATGGGTTCGAGCTTCTTACTGGTGGTGCAGATTCTTCGATCAAGGTGTGGGACATTAGGTCAAGTACCAGGGAGAAGACCACAGTGGCTGCGCATAAGAATCTTGTATCTGATATCCGATTCTCTAATGATAATGATGTTATTCCCGGTGGAGCATTCCCCAGCAGAGGAACTTATTTCGCTACCAGTTCTTACGATGGAACCATTGGGGTCTTCTCAGCAGACAACTGGCTCAAAGTCAAGTCTCTCAAAGTCAGCAATGAAAAGGTAATGTCCTGTGACATCATTGGTGACAAAGTCATCAGCGGAGGCTGGGATAAGAGTGTAAAGCTGTGGGCTGTTTAACTAACTTAAAGTACATATACCGGCATTTTGCTAGCTAAGGCCTCAAAGACCACAAAATTGTTCATGGGATGTTCCCTTCTCCCTAGCATGTTAATCACATCCTGTGCAATGGCTCCTCCAATAACTGCTGAGACAGGCTGAAACTCCGTGTACGCCTGTCTGGCCAATTCGTCTACCACTTCTGGCTTCACTATCTCCTGGGAAATTTGGAAGTGAGCGCATGCCTCCAGGGCCTTCTCCTTGAGACTGTCAGCCTCTATGTGAATATTTTCAAGATCTTTGCCATGCTGGCTGTCAAAGTCAAGCAGACCAAAGATGACTGGCAAAGCAGGGCTTACCAGCTTCTTCAACTTCTTTTCGCTTTTGAAGAACTCCTTGAACTTGTCAGCAGAAACAGAGCCATCCTTGCAAATTTCGTCGAAGCTTCTATAGTTATTCCGTATTGTCACCACTTCGACTCGTTCATCATTCTCAACAATGCCGTCGACCTGAACTATCTGGGAAACGCTGTTTATAGCTCCAACCTTCTTCGCGATCCCTTCCCTCTTGCTCTTGATCTGGGAGTCATGTTGTATAAGATCGACAAACAAATAGCCGTAAAGTCCGTGCGATCCTGATGTGTAAAGGCGGACGCCGTTTTCCCTGGTGATGATGTTCAGCTTGCGTGTTTCTTCTTTGTTAAGCCCAGAGACAACGACGATCTCAAAGTCTTTGAACCAAGAGCTCTCTTTTGTGCTCCACTCTTCTGCAGAATATTTCAACTCTACTCTGGGGTTGAGTTCCTGGATCCTGGCCATGCATACTTCATTCACCTTGCTCTGGCCAACCATGGCAGCATCGATGAAGAAGTTCACGTTCAAGTCCTGCTGCAAAACTTCGGTGGAATCTATAATGGTTAATGAACCCACACCTCCAAGCATTAAATTTTTGACCACTTCCACGTTGATGCTCGAAAGGTTTATCACCAAGATTTTGCTGTTACGTAGCTTCGTTTGGGCTTCGAGTCCCCATAGTCGAATCTGTCTGTCGTACAGAGCGATTTCGTCTAGGAAAAGTTAGCAAAGAGTCCTCAATATGGCACTATTTCTTTGATATACTCACTGGCTGATAACTCCTTATCGTCCGTCATTTTGGTCATGGGAACCACCAAACAATTCTCGTCTTGTTACCAATCGCTCACACTAAAAGCTTCAGGAAGACCGATGATCTGCCAAATGTATCTGTGTCAAAACCACCACATACGCTAACCGATTAAACGTTTACTCCATCCTGACGGAATTCAAGACTAGAACTATCCTATTATCTGGCCAAAATGAACATTTTCCAATTACTGGATACTGCTCCAGAGCCACCAATCATAGACTGGCAACAATTCAACCTTGACTATGATACTTTGTCTGGGGATTACAAGCTGGCCACACCATTAGCCGACTTCCAGAAAGAGCTGACTGACCAGATAGTCAGTCTGCATTACTCTGACATCTTGAAATTTTTTGAAAGGGTCAAAGACGACGACTCAAGTGATCGTAGCACTTCGTTCACACCACAGGAACAGTTGATTGTTGACTCTCTGGAGACACTGTTGATGAACTCACAGCTGGTATGCACTCATCCATACTTACTTATTGACCATTATTTCCCAAAGTCGCTGACTGCAAAGGATGTGCCCAGACGGATAGAGGAGTCCAGTGGGAAGTTCAAAGTCTTGAAGCAACTTTTGGAGGTGATAGAAGGGATCTCGGATTCAATGTTCAACCTCGTGATCCTCTCAAGACCAGGCAAGACTATAGACCTGTTGGACGCTTTCTTGCTCGGCCAAAAATGTGTTATCAAGAGGTATTCGGGGACGAAGCTGAAGGACAACAACAGTTCAAAGGGCAAATCTTCTAAAAACCAGGATCACATAATCGTTCACTTGATTCCTTCAGACCAGCAGTCTTTGGAAGAGCTCTCCACTCAAAAGTCTGACATTTTTAATGGGACTACTAAAGTGGACCTGCTGATATCCTTTGACATTTCCTGCGATACCGATGATCCAGCTGTTTTGTCACTTCGTAAGCAAACAAACAGAGACAATCGCCTGACCCCAATACTGAGACTGGTCCCCATCAACACCATCGAACACATAGCGTTATACTATCGTGACCTGGTAAGCTCGCGAAACTACTCCGAGTACTTGAAGCCCGTTACAGCAGCCTTGGTGGTGATGCGGGACAGAGCTGGGACGTTGACGAGTGCGTTGAGGCCAATATATGCCAAGAAGCTTGCTTATCTTTTGCCCTGGTTGCAGAGTCTCAAGTCAGACACTCTTTCGCGTTGGATGCTGCCAGATCTGGCGCCCATTCCTTACTTCCACACCAGGGATGTCGAGAAGAGCTTGCTCACTGAAGTGAAGTATCAGTATGAAGACGAGTTTGAGCACGAAAGCAATAATCAAACGTTAAACCTGGAACTTCCTGGTTTCGATCAACAACAAGTGTCATTGGACTCGGCCTTAGAAGATGCTGCACAAAAGAATAGCCCTGAGGACGAGCTTTTCCAGGCTCTTCCATCAAGAATAAGGCAAATGCTAAGACAGAAAACAGACTACTACGAAAAAAAGAGGCTGAAGAGGGAATATCTGTCCAACCCTTTGGTGGCCTTGAACTATTCAGATGTTACGGGTATTGCTAAAAACTCAAGGTCCGAGGAACAGAGTCTGCATAACGAGGAAGTATTGACGCATAAGTTGATACAGGGCCTGAGTTCCCGATACAGCGATCTGACGCTCATCAACTTGGAGCTTAAGTCGTTTGATGATATTTACGATACTAGACAAGAGGACAAGGTGGTGGTTCACAAGGCCTTGAGTTCTATCATAGAAGACTTGGACCATGCCAAGACGAGGATTTCTATAAGTTCCAAGAAGGTTGCCAGAAGGGAGCAGGAGATTGGAGAGACTCTGAAGCCTAGCATTCAGTTATTACAAGGGAAAATAGACGATTTTATTTCGGAGAACGTGAAAGCGGACGCCAATGAGGGTGTGAAAAAATATGTCGAAAATGAGGTGACGCTGAACAATCTCAAGGAACAGCTAGAGAGTTTGACCTTGAAATTGGAGAGTCAGAAGAGCGACATTGATTACACCTCCAAGGAGGTCACCAAAGCAGAAGAGTCAATAATAAACTCTCAGGCAGAGGTTACAAAGCTTGAAGAACAGATTTCAGATCTGAAAGGCAAAGTTGCGGTTATGTTTGAAACGCCCGTACTCAGCAACGCAGCATCCGAGTTGGCTAGGTCCAAGGCCAGCTACGAGGCAGAACTGCTCCAAAATAAAGAACTGGTTTCGAGACTTGATGATCTATTCAAATCGTTGAATGAAACCCAGATCCAAAGGGTGAGGCATGGAAATGCGAGGGGGACTACAGTTAAAGGAAGTCCCATGCTCAAGTAATGCACGGCATGGGTATCCAAGTTTCAATGTAATTTACAAACTTCAAACAGAATTTTGGTCTATAGATTAGATTTTTATGTGAAAGATTTCTACGACTCATATAGAGTTCAGTCAAAATTAAAAAGCGTTTACCCCTTCATTTATAAAACTAAAAACTCATATGAACCGTAATCTCAAAAACCTGTTTAGAGACCCAAGACGGCAGCACCGACAATAGCGGCAGCACCAACAACGGCGAAAGAGCCAACGGCAGTAGCACCGGCACCCTCGTAGGTGGTGATCTCTGGAGTGGAGTTGGTGGCGTTCTTAGTCACAGGCACGACGGAGGAAACTGAGACAGACGACGATGAAGAAGCTGGGCAGTTGGTGACCTCTGGACCACACGAGGTGATGGTGTCAGTGACGGTCAACTCAGCGGAAGCGACGGCGGCGAGGACGGAGGCAATGATGAACTTGGTGAATTGCATTATGAAACGAGTGACTATAGTAAGAGTATGAACTAAGATAAAAAAGCCAAGACAAAGAAAAGAGACTAAGCTCTGGCTTTATATATTTGCTTTGTTGATCTAGCGTCCAAACACTGCAGACGCGTCTGCCCAGATCTGGAAGGAAGCTTTCCTATTTGGGACGGGCGTGTCTTGCAGTTGCCCTTTTGGGCGACAACCTTGCCAACCTGATCTAGCCGACTTCCTGATTTGGATTGGCTAGAACACATCGAGACTATATTTGGGTCAGATCACGGCGCGCCCCTCCATATTCCTCGCATAACTTACTCCAAATGAAGTCGCTTAAAAATACAGCCTCAACCGTTGAAAACACCAAACCAATGGCGTAGAAAAAGTTCGAGTTACCGCTGTTGAGCTCCATCCACACATAGTAAAACACTGGAAGCAAGGCCAGAAGAACATATGTCAGCATATAGCTGATTACCGGGTTTATCCTTAGGTTCTTGAATAGTGGCTTCCACTCCAGTACCAAACAATGGAACAGACTCAAGTCGCTTATTGTTGGATACGCCTTGGCAAAATTCACGAATCCAATGCTGACCCATAAAGCGAACATCAAATCTCGCTTGGTCTTGCCAAACCGTAGGGTGAACGGCACAATGAATATGAAAGTGTAGAGGTTGAAGACTCCAACAAAGAAATTGTTAAAGAACTGAAAGATTTCCGTGAAGAAATACCACCATAGGCCCAAATTCGGTGTGATTTTGTGGAACATGACGATGGTCTCGTAGTTGGTGAGAAACTGCCATGAGCCTGTCAGTTGGAAACTAAGATACAGCAACCCAAACAACCCGGATACAAAGAGCCCAACTGCCTTCACCACAATCTTCCAAGGGTGTTCCTCAGGTTTGCTTTTTATAATGTAACAGACAACCGGAAGGATGTAGTACCATGGGTGATACGATAGATAGGTAGCCACTGATAGCGACATCACTGCTACGCTTAATTCCTGGTAGCACAGTGATTTCAGGGTTATCATGATAAACATGTTCGTGAAAACCGTAGTAGACCTGGAGAATATGGAGGTTATTCCCAGTGGATTGAAAAAGTACCAGGCATACACAATCCAATTGGCGAAATATTCTTGTTTTGTCTGTATCTTCTCACCTTTTTCGTTCGAGGCCTCAACTTCCTGCTTCATGAACCATTCATTGATTCGTATCAAGTTCAATGCCGTGACCAAATCCGCCAGGGCATATATTAGATTGGTCACAAGCTCGTTCTCGTTGATGACGGTGAACAGAGAAACCAGAATTGGCGGGTGGTGGATTATCGTACCCGAATATGGATTCAGTCCATTTCGTAACAAAAATATTCCCTCTTTCACTAAAGTTAAAGGTTAGTCTCAACTGGATTACACGTATCTGCTTTTCAAAGTACACATACAGCTTCTGAAAGAGTTGACGGGTGCAGCGAACAGGACAGAGTTATCCAGAATCTTGTGAAGATTGGGGAAAACCGAGGGTACGACCAGTTGTATCACCAGTGCACTGATCACTATACTCAACTCTTTGGAGTCGAATTTCATGATGTTGTTCGTTGTTGGATCTTAGAGGAGAATCTAGAGCTAAAGAGAGACAACTATCGTGTCCTTCAGCCCCACACAAAAATATTTAGTAGCTTGCACGACGATTTTTACATGAAACTTATAATAACCAATATCTAGTTAAACCTGCTTCTTATAAAACTTTTGACCAGAAAAACACACGAGGTCGAGATTTGGAAGAATCCCGAAAATATTGTTGGCGTAGTCCGATAGAAAATGTCCGGCTACTTTGCACAGACTTTCGAAAACGCTTTTGTTGAAATGGCAGTTGTAATCGTCAAAGCACGTTACCGAGAACGGCTTGTGGAAGTCCCAGTAAGCAGATTTGTAAGGGTATTGCAATAGCGAAAACTCGCTCTCGTTTCCATTGATGTCATCTATTGAGAGGACTCTCTCGGCCATGATTGATGAAGCCATTCCGAAGAGTGTGATTGAAAGTACATCTTTGACCACGCCCTCTGACTTGCTGAAGTAACTGTGATTCATAATAAATTCATCGAAAAGAGGGAGAATACTCAGGCAGTACTCACACTCGCAGCCGTTCCATAATAAGTCAGAAGTGAGTACTTCATAGCATGAACATGTTTGCATGAAAGAAGGACTTATAAGTACCTTCAAGCTTCTCAAGGTTGGAAGGACCTTCTCATACAAGTTTCTTCGTCTGATATAGTTTCCCTCGAACCCGTTTATCAAAACTCCATCCAAAGGTGGAGTATGTCTTATAGAGAGATATTGTAGATTCTCCCCAACATCAGGCAAATTTGTTAACAGTCGGCAAATGTTAACATCCAGATTTTCAGAGAAGTTGTGGTCCCTGTTCACCGTCTTCTCGACTATGGCTAGATTTTTCAAGTTTGTGAGATTATTGAATTCATATCCGGCCAGATTATCAACGAATGAGGTAAGGCATCCACATCCCAATTTGTCGCATCCCATTATGAGCTCCAAGGAAGTGAGGCAGGACAACTCGCAATGAAGAAACAAAAACTGGGTCACCATCTTTTGTAGCGATATATTATAGTGATCGAAACCATGATAGAAAATCACTTTTATTCTTTTCAGCTTGAGTCTCAATTTGGGTAATTCAAGCACGATGTCATCCAAAAACCACTTCAGAAAGTCCAAAGAAGACACTTCATCTGAAGATAACTGTATCTCGTCAAGTGCTAGCAACTTCTCTATGCAGTCCTGTTTATTCCGCATATGGTTTTCCTCATCTTTGAAAGACTCCATAAATCCTATAGAAATGCTCGTGATTCCGTTTGGCATATGGCTTATGTCAGTCAAGTGGTTTATCTGACACTTCTTCAGATTTTTCAGGCGTGCGAAATCGGTCGCTCCAAGTCTTAGTGCTTGGCTATCTCCAATAACCTTGAAACTCTCCAAGTTTAAAGCATTTTCCTTAATCCACTGAACCAGTTCAAGCATAGTGTTCTCATTCGAAAAGATCACCACATCCTTGATCAACTTGCCGAGTGCAGCATTCGTCTTCAATGAGTCGAGCAAAAACTCCTGTCTTCGTTTGAAAATCTCAGTGTCAGTGTTGTCCGAGACATACACGTTGTGTTTGGTACCACCAACAACCGACCAGATCAACCCTTGTTCTGATTCCACGCTGGGGTCTATTTTAGCAAGTGGGCGGATCATGATTTTGGAGTATAGCTTGTCGATGCATCGCTGGTACATCTTGGAGTTGCATTGAGCTAGCGATAAAACATCGTCCTGTGGCAAAAATGACACGATGATGTCAACCACATGCTCAGGTAATGAAACAAATAATGACGTGCTGGGCATTTTTTAGATCAAATCTTTATAACATATTCGTCTCGGGGAAACCGGGGTCATGGGCTTGCCCCAACAATTTCCGAAGCGGCTCAACTGATGAGAAAGCTTAGAGGTCGTGTTTGGTACATTTTTTGAGGCCTCTGCAATTCCACGCCCTATTTTGGTGTCATCAATCTGAGACGCGTTGCCAGTTGAAACTTAGTCAAACAAGTTTCTGATCTATTCGTTGACCACTGACTAAATAGCGACAATGGTGACCATCAACAGCTCCTCCGCAGCGGTGAGTAGATTCTGGAGTTCTTTTTTTTCTTTCCACGCATGCCGATACTAATACACGTCCATCTAGCTGAGAAAGAGAAAGACCTTGAAGAAGTCAATCAACTTCACAATAATGGCCGTTGGCCAGTCCGGCTCAGGACGTTCAACCTTCATTAACTCTCTTTGTGACCAAGTCATAGTGGAACCCTCCTCAACAATAATCTCTCCCGATATTGCTGACCAGCCAAACCGTGATTTGGAACTCAGGAAGTCAATAGTTGAATTGGAGGACGAGGAGGGTGTGAGAATAAGTCTCACTATCATTGATACTCCCGGGTTCGGTGATTCCATCGAGAATGAAAGCAGTTTTGGAATCATTTCTGATTACTTGAGACATCAGTTTGACGAGATTTTGACCGAGGAATCTAGACTCAAGAGAAACCCAAGATTCAAAGATGGTAGAGTGCATGCCTGTCTCTATTTCATTGTCCCTACAGGCCATGGTCTGAGAGAATTAGACGTTGAGATAATCAAGGCCTTGGGAAATTTGGTGAACGTTATTCCTGTGATAAGCAAAAGTGACTCTTTGACCACGAAGGAGTTGGCTCTTAACAAGAAGCTCATCAAGGAGGACATTGAGTTTTATCAGTTACCTGTCTTTGACTTCAAAGATGAGTTTTTGGAAAGCTATGGTGATGAGGATAATTTGGAACTCAATGATTATTTGCAAAAGACCTTGCCTTTTGCTGTGATGGGTTCCAATGACGTTGTGGTTGACCCTGAAACCAAGGAAAGAAAGAGAGTAAGGACATACCCATGGGGGTCTGTGAACATCGAGGACAATGAGATAAGTGATTTCCAAACATTGAAGAACACGCTTCTGATTTCCCATCTCAACGACATGAAAGACTTCACCCACGAGGTACTGTATGAGAACTACAGAACCAAGGCTCTGGGCTCTGAAGACGATGATTTGTACTCGGCAGACTATAACCCTTCCGTGCAAGCTCCAAAATCAATCAAGTCTCAAAGCACTGTTCCTCATAGTCCTAACGTTCCAGAGTACATGGAGAGAGAAGAACAGATCAAGTTGGAGGAGGAGAGACTGAAAGCGTTCGAGGAACGTGTTCAACGCGATCTGTTAGCCAAGAGAGAGGAGCTGGAGGCTAGAGAGAGGGAATTGGCTGAAATTGAGCAGAAGCTGGCGCTAGAAGCAAACTAAACTTATATATCCTTTTTGAGACCCTCGTTGTTTTTATAGTTCAAGATGTTTTCTCGATGTTATCGGTGCCAGTAGCGCTCCCTGGAGTCATTTATGATGGTCGCATATATGCAGATCATGAGCTTGTCTCCGTTTCTCGAACGTAAGCTGTCATAACTTGGTCTTTTTTATTCCCCCCTCTTCCTTTTTTTGAGATCGTCACCTGTTTGATCTGCTCCATTCTGTATCTTCCTGCTTCGGCTGAAAGAGCAAACCAAGGCTTTTCGGCCAGGTATCCGTCACATTCTAGTCCCAACCGGACGCATTCAGAACACTCGGGTTTATCTTCTGGACATCTCTTTCTTCTTAGGCGACACGTCCAACAACCATTTTTTGATCTCGGCAAGACAGTTTTCCTGTTGGTCAATTTCGATTCTTCCAATGCTAGCTTCTTTTTCTTTTTCTTCTCTTCGCTCCAGCGTTGTTGCTTTGGATTTCTTTTTGTGTGCCTCCTGTCGCGAGTTTTGACTGACGAACTACTTCTGTTCCTCTTCACGGGTTTGTTTCTCTTCGTGTTTGAAATCTCAAAATCGGGATCCGAGCTCTCTGCCTTCTGTTGTTTGGCAATGTCCAGGACTCCATCTGCTTCATCTGTTGCTGGAGCTGTGATTGTTGCATCGTCATCCATGTCCTGACTCGTAGATAAAATACTTTTTTCAGTGAGTATGACTGGTGCTTTTTCTCCCATGACAGTTCTCCAAAAACTTCTATTTTTTTCACAGACATTGTTACTGGAACGAGACGATGCTGGTGAAGAAGAATCGAGGAAGACCTTTTTGATAGTGTTTCTTGTCTTTTCAGAAAAATCTAGATTTAAGTCCACTGCAAGTTCTTTAGATCTTGGAGTTTGGAGCTCAAAGCAATGGTTAAGAGAAACGGACCTGCCTTGGACATCCTGTCTTGTGCGGTCAAAAGGAGAACAAAACGGGATGGGAAGGTTGCGCGAATTGAGGTTTTCTTGATTCTCAGAGCCAAACTCTGGAAATATAGGCCTTCCAAAGCTCCAGGGTGTTACCACTGGATATAGAGACTTTTTTCCAGAGAGTGGTGATTCAACAGGAGTGGTTTGTGGGGGAGCATAGAGTGGAGATGGCGGTGAGACTCCAACGAATTCGTTCAGGTTTCTAAGTCTTAAAGGAAAGATGCTGTTGATTTGAGGCAATCTAATTGGAGTAGCTGATTCTTCAAAAAAACTGTCTGAATTCATTGTTCTTGCTTAAAAACCATCCATTAATTGTACAATGTTGTTGGAATTCATATTCACCTACAACACGAACATATGTCGCAAGTATGCGCTGGTACACGTCTATGATGGTAGTGTCAACTCCGAGAAAGAAAAAAGTTCAACGAGAAGTATTTCCCTGCTATATCTTCTCCTAATCTTCTTCTTCTTCTTCTTGTTCCCAAGGAACGTTACGTTTGAACGGAGACTGGGAGAGGAATTTGTCTTTTTCATTTATGGCAAGTATGTATCATGTCCTGTTTGCTTTTTGCGGTATGCCTGTTCTTGGATCTTTGATCAAATGATGAACTTTATAGATAGGGACAACTGATTGTAAATGAAGATGTCAACAACCAGATAGTAGAAAAATTCTGAATTTTTCAAATGATCTACAAAGAGAACGGTTTCCAATGCATCCAAAGAGAGAGCTTTAGCTCTGTCTCGAAATGTGAACTATTACTAACCTATCCAGTTATTTGTATACCATCTAATAGCCTCGTAGCTTCCATAGTTCCTTAATAAAACGTTTCACCTTCAAGAGATCTGTAGCAAAAATCAGGCCAAGCAAAGACAGGCCAAATCAGGCATCCCAATTGCAGTTGTAGCAACTGTTATTCAATTGAACTAATTTTGATTTGACAATTATCAACTTTCCTAGAAAAGTTCCAAAAATCAAAACTTTACAAATTTCTAACAAAAATAACTAGAGTCTATGCTAACCTTTTCAGATTTTTTTATCTCAAATTCTTTCAATTTTATGCTTACAGAAGCCAAAATGTGACGATTACCCGTTTGAACCAATAAATCTGCCCTATAAAGTAACTTATTTCACAAAATGTTGGTGGTTTCATGAACCATCAGAGTAAAGAGTGCGGCTGAAAATTCACAGTAATGCACGACTGTTAACCACGAACTCCCGTTTCCATATGCTATGCGGTTCGCGAACATTCAAGAATCCCACATCTTCTTTCTTTACCCATATATCCAATGTCAGCGCCTTTATTACCCAGTACCACAACTGTGGGTAGCTCTGCGAGATATTCTAACCAGAATGAAATAGAAATTTTCCAAAACATCTCGGTATTTGAGAAGGACCTGGCTGGGCTAGTATCTTCGATCTCCAGGTTCCAGCCGTCATCGGAGTTTGCCACAAAATTGGTTCTGGATACGGACAAAATACAGGAAGAGCTTGTCCAATTACAATATATACATGATTTGCGCGTGAATCAGCTCCAAAATCAGACAAGCGTGGACAAGTCTCTTGACGATAGCCTAAAATCAATACTGAAGGAGTTGAACCAGTGCAGGAAAAGCTTGGTGAGTCTACCGCGATTACCACAAGAAGAGAGCGAAAAGCACGAAAATTCGATGGATGAGGACTTTAAGGAAGAACCACCTAATCCCGAGGAGAGTCTTAAGGCCACAGCACAGCTCCTGGACTACGCCATGAAATTGTCTAAATTCTCCAAAATTCCCAGAACGGTGGAGGGATTCCTGCATCCGAACAATTGCATATGGCCAGCCGATGGCAATATGAGAAGGGGAATGCTGGCTATGGCATCGATCTTGGGTGACAAATTGACCAGAATTGGAGACGAAGCCGATGAAGACCAGAACCAAGACCTGGCAGAACCTGAAGAAGGTGTTAACGAAAAGGACCAGGACGATGACAGTGATATGGATGAGAGCATGCCTTATGCTGCATATGAGAGGGATGAACAACAGCAGAAAACTGCGGCGCACGTTGTTTCAGGTCTTGACCTATTCGACTCCGATGAGGAATAAGGATTTGACTACAATGATGAATATAGACGTAAATCCACATAATTAAAGGCGTTAATAAAATAATGGAGTTCTTTGGCTCAGTCCTTTTTTTCTGGCTTGCTGGAAGTGGTATTATGGAGCATACTCCTTGCATCCTCTCTGAGCTCTTCAAAAGCCCGGATCATTGCCTCCTTACTCGAGCCATCTTCGTTAAACCACTCGGGCAGATCCTTCTCAATTCTGAATTCATCAAAGTCCTCTTTGAACTTGTCTAATTCGGGAATACCAAGAGCTGGAACGGCATCGTCGTGAAGCTCCTCCTGGTCATCATAGTCTGGAATGCTACCTTCGTCAGCAGAAACGCTGGCAGAACCGTCCTCAGGCTTTTCCAATCTTGTTACTGGGACTCTGGCAATCTGCTCTACCACAGTAGGCTTGACAGGTATCTCGGGCGTTTCGGGGATCTTGGCTGCGACGTAATGATACTTGGCACAAAGCTCTATGACCTTCTTCTTATATGGCCCATCAAATACCAAAAGTGTTATGATCGAACCAATGTGAATGTAGAAGTAAACCGTTGACCAGGCTTGAAGCGATTTCTTGAACTCCAGGATAACAAACGGTTGAACCGTGTAGCCAAAAGCGAGTTGCGTGACAAGGTAGCAGACGATATCATACAAAGGCTTATAAGGAGACACAATAGACTCATCCGCGGTAATGAACATGGGGCGGAAGTTCCTCCTGTAGATTTTTCCCGTGGCCTGCAACACAGAACCAACAACGAATGTAAGATAGTAACCAGGCATGGTTCCATGCCAAAAAGCAGAGGTCAGGAAGGTGATAAAGGTAGAAATGAATCCAGGACGTAGCTTTCCTGTCTTGGGATCTCTCTTGGTCACCGTTCTCAAATAGACATAGTTCTTGAGCCACTTATTGGTATTCTGGTTCCAAGCTTCAAGGCAAGCGTGACAATTTTGGCCTGTTTCAAAAGCAAAGATGTCAATGTTTTGAACACGATTCCAATAAAACTTGTCCTTTTTCTTGTCGTATCCATTGTATCCGATACCGACCAGGATGCATCCTCCTTCAGCAATAGACCACACTGCATAGTACTTGAGACGGTGAACAAATCCCAAAATCCACAAAAAGAAAATTCTGTAAAGGAAACTATGGTCTGTCACGAACGACTGGGACAACAACATATCCACGTTGAGCCTGGGCTTCAAGACCATCCAAAGGGCTGCCCAGAAGAGACCACCTACTACCTTTTTGGCAGCTATTCTGCCACTTCTTGGTATCTTGCGCTTTCTTCTTCTTCCAGGACGCTTGCTCTGTGGAACGTCCTCGAACAAATCGGTCATGATAAACTTCTCGTAATCTGCATAATCGAACGCTGGTCCGGTTACTAGCGCGGGGAAGAAGAATGCGTAACTCACAAAACTCAAAAACGTGGGATGATTCGTAACAGCACGCGATTTCTGATAAGTGTTCAAGTTGCTGTTGAACTTTTTAGGATCCGATATCAGCAACTGGCCGTCCTGATATGACCATCCGAAAGACGACAGCTTCATCACCAACACCATCTGGGCTCCGGTGATGTCCATTTTAGAAGCATCGAAAACCTCAAAAAATTGAGCTTTGAGGTGATTGAAACACAAAAATCCCATCAAAGCACAAAGATTAACCCAAGGCATGATCGGGGAATGGAAGTATCTTGTTATCAGATAGGTGAAAACCGTGTTCACCAACAGAACCTGAAATCCCGCATAAACGGCCAGGACTCCAAAAATATAAAACGCAGAAATACTGAACGGTCAGAACTCAAGAACTCAAACAGAAACAAATAAAACAAAATCTTAGCTAACTCACCTAATGATATACCACTGCTTGAGTCTCACATAGGAATCTGGAAGCCTTTTGAAGACAGCCGCAAGGGGAAAACTGAGAAACAAACAAGTAAGCACCTTTGCTGACAGCTCGTCTAACCCTGCTTCCAGGCCCCAATGAACCACAAACTGCTCAATGTTGTTGATCATGGTGATTGACAACTGAGATCATGAATGCGCAACAGGGTCAAAGTGTTAATTCCGAAAACGTACCCACCCACTGGGCACAGAGATGAGGACGTGCCCCCGCGAATATGGAGGACTGATAGTTGGAGAAACGTTAGAAAGGCTTCTGGGGACAATATATTGGTGAGTTTCTGGGCAAGGCTAGCGAAATATTGTATTTTTAGAAAAAGGAGAATCTCACAACTGTTAATTTTATGCTATTGAGATGATACGATGTGGACTGTCTTCCAGGGTTCATCTGATCACTCCTATACGAACTTTCGGTGGGATCGCTTCGAGACTGAGGCAGGCCGCCGAAGCCCGTTCTGGAGGAAGCCTGCAGAGCTACCATGTCACCAAAAAGCTTAGCTATCCACAAGAGCTACTTTACGACATCATTTCAGGTGTTGACAAATACCACGAGTTTATACCCTATTGCACCCACAGCTTTGTGAATGCCCGAGATGCAGAGGGAGAACCAATAGAGGCTGGCCTTGACGTTGGATTTTCGGCCTTTCACGAGACTTTTGTATGCAAATTGAGCTGTGAGAGACCCGAAAAAGTCAAAGTAAGTATCGAAATTGCAATGATGAGAAATTGCTAGTACTAACCTAATAGGCCACATCCATCACCGAGTCTCTTTTTGAGTCCCTAGACACGGACTGGACAATCAAGCCATTGTCCGGCCAAGGTGAAAGGGAAGTATGTCAGGTGGATCTAGTACTATCATATGAGTTTAAAGATGAACTTTACAATAAGACGAGTCTGTTTTTCGCCAAAAAGATTACGAAGTTGATGCTCAAAGCTTTGGAACAGAGAGCTTTCAGTATGCAAAAAGAGTTCAAAGAGAGAGCTGCGGCCTCACAATGACCAACCACCAAAACCACTCCATTCTGGAAACCTGTATACTTGAATATAAATTAGAAGTACATATCTTTAATCACAGAAATCTCCATATAGCTCACAAATCGAGGTGTCAGTTTCAGTTATATCTTCTTTCCTATTTAGGCCACATATCACGTGACTTATCTTTTGATCGAATGTGTCCCTTTCCTAAGCAAGTGACATCAAGGCCCACTACCATCAATTCAATTCGTCGACTTATCCTCAAATCGCGCATGTCTGGCAGTATTTTTGGTTCAGCAGAACCTCTTGACGATCCATGGGCGTTGCCAGCGGCAAGGAACTCGGAGTCAGCTTTGATGGATCGCCAGCCCAATGCTTGGGGAGGCTACAACAGTGAGTTTTCTGATCCGCTTACAACCAGTTTCGGAGGACTGGACGTGAATGAAAGGTTTTCAGAAGAGGAAGAAGACGATATTATAGGTGGAGTTATACAGGATCCTTTACTTCCTATAAATCAAGACGAAGGCACGAGCCCTCTTCCCAAACATGTCAAGGCCAAGGCCTCCACCATAGCAGATGTGAGCGAGACTCAAACTAGCGAGGTTTGGACGGACGAACTCACTGACTCGTTTAACCCTTTGAGCTATCACAACAACACGGATAAGACTATAATCAGGGTGAAAGAGATACCTGAGAAGGAGGGCCTGGTGTTCAAGCACATCAACTATCTGATCACCCATAATATTGTTTTCCCTAGAGAATATCAAGTCCAACAAGAAAGAGGAGAACTGAAGATAGTGAGGAGATACAGCGATTTTGCGTGGTTAATCGAGGTTCTGTGGAAGAAGTATCCGTTCAGGATCATTCCCGATCTGCCTCCCAAGAAGTTTACCAGTGAGTTACCCAAGGACAGGTTTTTTGATGCTTTATAGGCCCAAGATACTAACATTACTAGTAGGTACCTCATCGACTGATTCAGTTTTCTTGCAAAGGAGAAGAAGAGGACTGCAACGATTTCTCAATCAGGTCATGAAACATCCTATCTTGAGCAAGGAAAGCCTGGTGGTGATGTTTCTGACTGTGCCTAACGATTTTGCGAATTGGAAAAAGTTCGCCAACATTGACTACTCTGATGAGTTCAATGGGTTGAGGGTAAGTTTACCGCGAAGGTTCAAGCTCAATCTGGAGAAGGTTTTCAAGACACAGGCGGACGATGACGAAGAAGACGACGACGAGGATAAGCCAAGCTCGAACATTGTGATAAACAACATCACGCAAATTTGGTCTGAGAGCCCGCAGAACTTCCGGGATTTGGACTTCATCGAGAGCCTTGGTGCTATCGACAATCAGCTGAACAAGTTTGGTGAATTATGGAGCAAGCTGTGCATCCTCGTGGAGAGGATAGAGAGAAGGGAGATCGCACTATCACAGGACCAACAGAGATTTGGCCATTTTCTCAAGGAATTCTCGGAGATCAATTCCACAATTTATGGAATGTCCAATCTTCTTCCTGTGCAAAAAGGAGGAGCCAGTGTTATTGGTACATCCTCAACAGGCGAGGCTGATGAGAGGCAGAACCTGGGAATCATCAACGCCCTGCTTAGGACGATAGTCTCGTACCTGTTCAATTCCAAGCAGTTGAAGGATCAGGAGTTGGCATCTATGGACAGCGAAACTTTGGAGAATTTCAAGAAGTTTCAGGATTATATTGTTGCACTCAAGCTTATGCTTGAAAGACTTATTGGATTCAAAGCTACAAGTGAAAGAGACCTGCACTTACTCCTCAACAAGATAACCAGGGCAAATGAACGATTAACACAGGTTAAGATCAAAGCCGATGTGAAGGGCTCGGAGATAGACAGACTAATCCAAATACTGCAAGAGTCATCATCAGATCTCTATGCTTTGATCACCAAGATCATTTTGGTCAAAAATTGCGTTGTCAGCGAGTTCAAGATTTTCCAGAAGACCAAGTACCTTCTGTCCGAGGTTTTCCAGGACTGGTTCGTGGAGAAAGTGAAGTACGGAGATCTCGAGCAACAAAGCCTTGCAAGGTGTTTCAACGAGTTACAGGACATGCCATTGAAATGATAAGGCATCATGTTATTTTCCTTTGAAATGACCAGACATTATGCCCCAAGTTTTAAAGTGGATGAAGCCTTTGCGTTATAAATATTATGCTATTTTCTTGGAAGCATTAGTGAAACCAATACCCTTTGCGGTCGCAATCAAAAAGTCCTTTTCGTCGCTATCTCTGAAGTAGAACTCGGTCCCAAAAACCGCTTTGATGTCACGCATTAAACTGATAAGCTTCTCATCAATCTGGTCCTTGTAGATAATCAACCTTCCGATATCTTCTTTTCCAATCACCATGAACACCATGGCCAGCTGCAGTTGAAATGAAGAGACCACCCCACTGCTCTCTATCAACTCAAGCAAACCGAAGGCCACCTTTTGAGCCAAATCCTCCGGGGTCTCTCCAGCTGCTCCGATATCGTCTATACACAACCTCCAACCACTCTTAGTTTCTGTGAACAATGTAATGCCGAATCCTGGAGACTTTCCCGACTTGTCCCCGCGCCAGACGTCGGAGGTGATATTGATCTCAACACCAGTCGGCCTCAGTACGCTCTTGGCAGAGTCTATCATTCTGTTCACTATACTGGGACTCACACGAGTACAGTATGAGATTCCTCTTATGCTTGTGATCTTTGGCAGATCCAGAGCATGCATCGTGACCGGTTGGGGGATCCTGGAGTCGACCATTAGATGGACCTCACCACCTCCATTGGGGAACTCTCCTCTACTCAAAGTGTGCAGAGAGCACTCCCTCACTCCAAACTTCTCCATCACTGGCAAGATTCCCCATCTTATTGAGTCAATTCCAAGATCAGACTTGTGACTGGTAAGACCCTTGAAGATTATGGAAAACTTCTGCTTTGAGAACGGCGCAAGATACAGCATTGGCTCTATGAAATAGGTCACCGACCTAGTGGACGGACACGCATGTGACAGACTGCCCCCTATTATCAAGCCTGGTCTATACACCAACGTCGTACCCGTATAAGATATTTCTATCGAAGACCCGTTCGTGACTGCCTCCAGTAGTCTCAGGAATGAAACCTCATGGTCTCTCAGGCCTGGGTTCAGGTCATTTGAACGTATCTTGTCGATCTTGATTGCCTTCCCCGACAGGGTAGACAATATCAAACGAAGTCTGAAGTTTTCAGCCCCCCTGAAATTCAACAGTCCAGACATATGTTTATTTTGTTGTGCTTAGCAAATAATGAGTCCTCAAGGAAGTGCTCTCAAAATTTTTCAGTTTACTGGGGCTTTAAAAAAATTTAAGCGTGCGCCAACAGATAGAACCGCTCGTTTTCCAAATCGACCACAAGAGCGAACGTGACATGAACCCCTTTGGACCTATTTGAACAAGAACTAAAAACCCGGTAAAAAAGATGTCTGAGAGCGGAAAAAGATCGTCGGATTCTCCGGAAGACCCCTTTGCCAAGAGGATGAAGTTTGATGACTTGGATTTGCGAATTCCTTCTCCAATAATGACTCCATCAGCAGACCCACAAACAATACGGTCAATGGGGTCGGGCGCTTCGACACCAATACCATCCTCGAGGCCGACGCCTATTCCGACTAGTACACATCCATCTGTTTCAGCAGCCGGAACGCCACAGCCGGTAGCGGCGACGATGGCGATTCCACAATCACAACAGCAGACAGGGCTGGCAACACAACAACCACAGACAAGACCAGAAACCAATTCGGACCCAGACAAGCTGTCAGATGCCATTGCAGCTGCTGGTGTTGATCTGAAGGACGAAGAGAACAGGCTTTCATCTACTTTGCAGCATCAGAGGCGGACAAATGTTTCGTCTCTGCTTCACCCCACACATTTGACGATCTTCATGAATAAGGTGCTAGCTCAGCACGGAGTCAGACAACAAGGCCTCGAGTACGATACCGAGTTATTGCAGCTAATGTCAGCTGCCTGTGAGAATTTTGTGAGCAGCATAGTGACCGACTCGATCATTTTGTCGCGCCACAGACGTCGTCCCATTAAGTCCAAGAAGGTCCAGGGCACCGCGCCCAGATCCGATGTTTCGAAGGCATTAAGGGACATGGCAACCAGACAGAAAGATTCAGAAGAAAAGCGTGCTCAGAGGAGGATTGCCCTTGGCGTTGATGCCTCCGGAGAGGACGTTAAGAAGGTGGGGGCTGAGGAAACGCTACACAGAGCTGCCAACGCCACAGCCGCAATGATGACTGCTGGAAAGAAGAAGAAGAAGTACAGTTGGATGAGCGCAGAAGCAGATGCCCCAAAAAGTAATTCCGTCTTGGCAAGAGGAGACAATGGAATCCGATACCGGGAAGCTCGTGAGGAGAAAGAGGTGGTTCTCAGAGACTTATTGGCTGCTATGGAAAGCAGAAGAGTTGGCGTGGATAAGGCATTGGTAAAAGGATATGCTAAGTTGAAGGATTAGCCGTGTCAAACTGAAGGAGCAGCCTTAATAATGGTATACGAAGCTGAAGGATATGACCTTCATAATAATGATGTGCAAGTTTATTAAGCCTACTTAGTAAAAATGCCCCCTTACTTAATTATCGTCGCCAACTTCAAACCTTTTTCTTAATAATGACACCCAGCTTATTTTTCTTGCGAACGGGAAGTTTCACCTTCTGGGCCTGCAAAATCTGCTTCTTTTTGAAACTTTCAAATGCCTCTCTGGCCTCTTTTCCATCATCATCATCTTCTCTTTCTCGTTTGTTCTGAATCAAAGCAGCAGCCTTCAAGACGAGTTTGTTGTCAACTCCATTGGCCTCTTCTCTTCTAGAGTTTTTACTCCTTAGCTCCTCTAGCTCATCTGCTAGTTGCTGCTCCCTCTGTTGCTCTGCTAACCTTCTCTCTAATTGCTCCAGAGCTGTCTCCTCAGTTTCACCAGTTTCTTCGAGCAGTTCCTGCTTCTCCTCTCTCTCAAGTCTCTGAAGAGTTTCGTCAAACGTTTCTATCTTTTGCTCTTGTTTCTTAGGCGCGTAGTTTCGCACTGCCCCACTAACAGTCTCAAAGTCTGCAGTTTTGGGATCGGTTCTAAATACAATTTCGGCAAAACACTGGGGGCATCTGATATGGAAACAAAGCACCTTGACTCCAAAATACGTCTCATCGGTGGTTTCTTTTTTCGCATTGAACTTTTTGGACTTGGATATGTATTCTCCACAGGTTGTACATTTGAGAGAGAATGGGGTCATCAATCTGACCGTAGGCCACGAGGCGGGTCCCGTCTTCTTTGCATTCTTCTTTTTTGGGATTTTTGAGGGATCGTAATCCGGTGGGTAATATTTGTTTATTGCCTTTCTTTCTGACATGGCTTGATAGGTGGATAGGGGAGAGAAGGTCTGCCTTGTTTGGAAGACTTGATAGTCACTGATAGTATCTGAAAATTAATGATTACATAATTGCTATACATCAATTACATAATCGTGCGATGACTTAAAGCACCTCAATGTTTACGTTTTTTCTCCTTTACTATTACTACTCTTTCTCAGTTGTATTCGAGGCGATATCAAAACTATGGATTTCAAACTCTCATCTTGGACAACAAGGTTTCAGGATACGGAAAAGGATTCCTATGACGTCCCTGAAGACGCGTACTCGGATGTGGGCGAGCTGAGTAACGCGCTGAACCAGTCCCCAGAATCCATCGCATCCAGTGATCTATTCGAGACCGCGGCTGCTCTCGTCCACGCGTTTCCAAAGCTGTCATCAGCTTTTAGAGCGAGTCTTATTGACAATATGAATACTATCTTGGTGTACTTTGCCGAGTCTACCGGATCCATTATTGAGGGCGGTGATGTTGAGGCCTTGCCCCAACAGAAGAAGCTTCTGGAGAAGACAGCCTATTTGACCCATGCGATCCTCCATTATATGACTCTTGAAGACTATTCCGCAGCCTTTAGCAGAGATAGCGACAAGACCAAGGTAAATAAGGCCAAAGTGGGGTTGAATACCCACATAGATCGACTTCTGCGCTTTTTGAGCTCCATAACTACCCTGTTCAACGTACAACTGTCAAGGGTGTTCAAGACCACTCCGGAAAGGGACTTGTTTGTGCAGCTATTCACAAAACCTGTGTATGCTCTTATGGAGCAAGACTGGAGAATCAAGAACGACGAATTGAAAAGAGCCATGTATCGAGTATTGTGTCTTTCGATAAAGTTTCACGGCCAATCTTCTGCTGCCGAGAACGCCATAATGCAGCATTTGACATATTTCCAACATCTCCCTCCAATCATGGCTGAGCTTTTGGTCACTCTCTTTACCACATATGACTACGCTGATCTGACAGACGAGGTACTAATGTCTATTTCGAAGAAGACCTTCAACCCCAATGACACAACTGGGCCCAAAGCGGTGTCTGTTTTCATCACCAAGATATCGAAGGATGCTCCAAGATTGGTTTTGAGGCAAATGTCGCTTATAGCTGCTTTGTTGGACAACAGTTCGTTTAACCTGAGACTTGCTGTTGTAGAGACTTTGGGTAACATCGTGGAAGATTTGATTAAGCAGGATGGGTCAATGGAGGAGTACGAAGAACAGATAGAAAGTCTGATTGCTCTACTTGAACAGAGATTAATGGACTCGAGCTCTTTTGTTCGTTCGAAAGATCTTCAAGCTCTGACCAAGTTGGCAGACTTGGAGGGAAAACTGATCCCCAAAAGAGCTATGTTCACGGAGCTGGCTCTTAGATGTACCGAAGACAAGAACTCCCTAGTAAGGCGTAATGCTATCAAACTTCTATGTTCTTTGATTATGCATCATCCTTTTGGCCAGTTGCATGGTTCCAGACTTCAGTTGAGTGTTTGGGAGGATAGAAGAGACAAAATTAAGGAGGAATTGAAGACGTTGGACCCTGAGTTTTTGGCTTCCTATGAGTTGCCGAAATTGGATGTGGTTGATGATGATGCCGGTGAAGACAGTGATGGTGACGCAATGATGGAGGATGCTGAAGACGATGCTGAAGAGGAAGAAGAAGTCAAAGAAGAAGAGGACAATGGCCCTGATGAGCAGGCACAAACAGAAAATCCCCTACCAATTGTTGATGATGCTGAAGCTGAAAACGTTGCAAAACTAAAGCTCACTTACCAATACTACACAGAGGCCATTGAATTCGTCAACTGTGTTCACAGAGGAGTGAAAACAGCAGCCAAATTGCTATATTCTAAGAACAAGCTAGAGGTCATTGATGTAATGTCTTTGATTGTGCTATGCGACGCCTACGGGATTGAGGTGATTGATCTTGCCGTTGAGAGGATGTTGCACCTAGTATGGATGACTGGAAACAACGAAGATGCCGCTAATGTTGTGAGGAAACTCATTGAATCATATAAGACGATATTTTTCAGTGTTCCTGAAGATGCCTCACCCGAGGAGAGAGGAAAGTACGTTGCAACCAACCTGATAAAACAAACCTTATCGGCATCTGCAGCGGACCTGGCCTCGCTGGAGAAACTTTTGTGCATAATATACGCGGAAGGGTTCTTTGATGAGTATGTGATCAAAGTTTTGTGGTCTCACTTTGTGAACAGCAGTATACCGAAGACCCAACGCCATGGTGCTGTGATAATATTGGGAATGTTTGCATCTGCTGACAATGAGGTTGCGCTGAAAGGTTTAGATTGGCTGTTGAACATTGGGCTTTCCGATGAAGATCTTGTTTTGGCGAAATACACTTGTACTGCCCTTCGCCATATAGTCCCTCCAACCAAGGATGGTTCGACGTTCAAAGTTGCGCGCGAAACTGAGATTGTGGAAAAACTGTCTTTCATGACCACCATATATACCGAAGACACTGATTGGTTCAGCGTAGCCGAGCAGGCTCTGGATGCAATCTTCAACATTTCGTATCATCCATCAGATGTGGCCACCGAGATTCTGAGGAAGAAATACGAGAGGAGCTTTTTGCAGAAGGAAGACGGAGAGTCCGAGGTGATCAACTTATCACAGTTGCTGTTTTTAGCAGGTCATATAGGGATAAAGACCATCGTTCATCTTGAGAAGTGCGAAGCAGATTTCAAGAGAAAGAAAGTGCTGGCAGAGACCAACAAGCCAGAGCACGAAGAAGAGTTAGAGATGATTGGCGGAACCACGGAAGACGATTTTGCTGATGCAGTGACAATAATCAGGGAGAAAGAACTGTTGTATGGGGAGCAATCGCTGTTGGCAAGATATGGTGTCATTGCATCCGAAATCAGCTCGAAACCCGAACAGTACAACGATGAAATGTTACAGAGGGCCGCGGTTTTGTGTATGGAGAAACTGATGTGTATTTCTCCCAAATATTGTCATGATAACCTGCACCTCTTGGTCCATATCATGGAAAACTCACCCGATCCCATCATCAGAAGTAACTGTGTTCTTGGTCTGGGAGACATGGCGGTATGTTTCAATAACCTTGTGGACGAAAGTACGGACAACCTCTACAACCGTCTTCAAGATGACAACCTCATGGTTCAAAGAACTTGTTTGATGACAGTCACGTTTCTGATTCTTGCCGGTCAGGTCAAGGTGAAGGGTCAGCTATCGCAAATGGCCAAGTGTCTCGAAAATGATGATAAAGGGATTGCCGATTTGTGCAGACTGTTTTTCATGGAGCTGGCTACAAAGGATAATGCCATCTACAACGGGTTTATTGATATCTTCAGTGGCCTGTCGAACGACGCTACTTTGGACAATGCCGCTATGAAGAGAATTCTCAAGTTCTTGATTGGGTTTTTGGACAAGGAGAAGCAACAGAAGTCCCTTAGTGAGAAGCTGCTACAAAGACTTAACAGAGCTGAAACAGAGGGTCAATGGAAAGACGTTGCTTTTGTCTTGCAAACCATTCCTTCCAAAAGTGAAGCGGTTACAAACGCGCTCAAGGATGGATTCCAAACAGTGGCGGCAAGATAATGTTAGTAATATGTGTATGTATAGGGCATTTTTGGTGTTCACTTTGAAAATTTCATTTCTTCTTGCCAAAAAGTTCATCAGGGTGGTTGAAAATTTCATAGATGGAGCTCTTTCCCAGTGTGTAATCCAACGGCAACTGCTTATTATATCTTTCTCCAGACTGCAAGTGAGTCTTCACCAAGTCAGCCAAACCGTCCAGAAAATCCTCATCACCGTTCAAAGACTCGGCACGAAGCACCTTGCTTGGAAACTTTAGCTCATTCTTCAGTTCGATGTCGATCTCGTGCAGAGTTTCAATATGGTCAGAAGTGAATGCCACTGGCACAATCACAACTCCCGGAATGTCTTCTATTTCATTCAACTTCTGCGTAATCTTGTCAGTTTTTCCTCCCAACCAAGGCTTGGGCCCAACCTGACTTTGCCAGACCAGTCTGTAAGGATTGGAAAATTTCAGCTTCTCCATGATGGCATAGACTGTAGCAGCAACTTCAGCCGGGTAGGAATCTCCTCTGTTCACAATTTCCATTGGCAAGGAATGAGCAGAAAACAAGACCACCACATCCTTCTTTTTGGACTCGTCAACGTTCAACTCGGCAATCGCTTTCGTGATGTGATTGCTAAAAGCCTTCACCAGGCCTGGGTGCTTGGGCCATCTGTCTATGATGCTCCACTCTATCTCAGACTCAGGATCAAGTTCTTTGGACTTTCTGTATAATTCGTTGATGGAAGAGGCTGTTGTCGAGTAGCTGAACTGTGGGTATTGCGAAAAAGCAATGGCCCTTTTGATGCCGTCCTTCTTCATCTGTGTGAGGGTCTCTTCAGTGAGAGGACGGGCGTAGCGGAAAGCAACATAAGGCTTGTGAGGCGCGAATTCAGGGTTGGTCTGATCGAGACGTTCACAAACAGCCTTGCACTGCAACTCACTCCACTTCCTGATTGGAGACCCTCCACCGATTTCCTGGTAGTACGACTCAATCTTCGGGGTTCTGCGCTTGGCAATGAACTTAGCGAGAAGGTTCTGGAATCTTCCAAAAGGAATCAAATCTCCATCGGACTAGAACAAAAGGGCGTTAGTATTTGATATTCCAGCCCAAAACTGAATATTCGCTTCAACTCACAAACAACCTCAACAGGAAGTCGTACGTCTCGGGCACAGTAGACGGTCCGCCCATGTTCATGAACATCACAGCAGTAGCTGGACGCGTTTTCGTAGAGAGAGCCCTCTTAAATACCAGAACAGGCCTCATGATGGTCACACAAAGACTTCTAGAAGTGACTGCTGGAAGAAAGAGAGAAACCAATGTCAGAAACGTTGCTGTGAAAAGGGCGTGGACCGGCTCGAAAAGTTGAGTGCCAATCTAAGCCTGGGTGATGAGGATGGGGAAATAAGAAAGGGCTTCAGCAACAACATTAGATGTCACCCTTTCTTGTTGAGATCCAGTCAAAATGTCTTTTGACATAAATTGGGAGAGTCTCGTTTCTGATGCTGCGGTGAATGAGAAGCTGGCGACTTTTTTGAACGACCAGCTCTCTAGCATCACCCTGCCCGAGTACCTCTCCGGCCTGAAGGTCATCAAGTGTGAGTTGGGAGATAGGGCACCGGAAATCACCGTGCGAAACATTGATGTGCCATTTCCAGAATTCTACAAGGATGTTAGACAGTCCAAGGAAGAGTCAGGTGACGAATACGCGGAGTCTGACACTGTGGTTAGACATGGCACTGTTAGTCCTTGTGGACAGACACCGTCAGATATGGTAACGGGACTGGGAGTCACCATGGAATCGTCCATTTCTTCCCTTGGTGGTCTCCACGATACTTCATCGATGTCCACAACTCCGCTGCAAAGCCCCAGCCATTTGACTCCGTCGGTACTTCCAGGTTTCATGAACCGAGGCCTACTGGTCTCGACTCCTTTAAGCCATCCTGCTTCGGGTTCTTTCAATTATCTCAGTCACCATGGCCACGGAGTGGGTATAAGCGGTTCTTATTTCCCTAGTTTTGCCTCCAGGTCGAATAGTCAGTTTTCGAGCCGACAGGCCAGTCCTCCGCCTCTTCCTCAGCACAGCGAGATGTCTTTTGATTCACCCAAAAGCGATCCGAACTCTCGCAGTAGAACACCCGAGTTCAACGAGAGCTTTACTAATGCAGAAACAAATGAAGGCGTTGAAACCAAGAACCAGGACGTGAAGGACAGGGACTTGCAGGTGATAGCGGAGATCAAGTTCGATGGAGATATATACATAGAGGTCACGGCAAATCTCCTAGTGAATTTTCCAGCGCCTAACTTCATTTCGCTGCCTGTGAGGTTGAAAATTACAGATCTGCAGATCCACTCGATTGCAGTTTTGGCGTACTTAGAGTCCAGATTGTATGTGAGTTTCCTATGTGACGTTGAAGACAACGAAAACGAGGAGACCGGCACTGGTCTGAACGATGCTGGAAGCCAGACTTCAACACGTCATTCGTCGCTAGCTCATATGGAACCAACTCCGACTGTTTTGACCGAAAATGCTACGAACAGAGAACGAATCGACATAATAAAGCAATTGCGCATAGAGGGAGAGCTGGGGTCTTATGCCGAGGGCCAGGATCCCGCCAATGCAGAGCTGGCCTTGCAAAATTCACACAAGGAAGGGTCAATCTTGAGAAACATTGGCAAGATTGAAAAGTTTTTGGTTGCCTCGATCAGAGAGATACTGATCAGAGAACTGGCGTGGCCCAGTTGGATAATGTTTGACTATAATGATGACGACGATGATGATGATGAGGAAGAGAGTGATGAAGGAGAAGAAATCAAAGGCTAGCAAAATGTTTATACAGAAAAAAGCCTGTAAATATTCCACAATCGTGATGTTTGTAACTCAACATTTATATCGGCCGTTTATATCGGCCGTTTAAACACCGTTATCCCCATGACTAGCTCACACGCACTGATCGAATAGATAAGATTTTCACTTGGCGCACGTCATCTCAGGCCGACTGATTACCGTTCTTTTCTCTAGGTCACGCTTCAACGTGTCTTGACTCAGCATTAATTTCACGATTGCGTCCAGGTTTTAAGACCTAAGGAAGTATTCTGGAAAAAGTACCAGATTAGGTATCGATATCTGTGGCAATTTTTTTGTCATTGCCTTTGGAACTGAACTGGAGCATCACGTTGGGAGCAGCATGTTGGTTCTCCACTCCTCCTGCGGCAAATGCTGCTTCGGATTAATCGGCCCCCAGATAGCAAGGTTTTCCACCACGACTCAGAGACTGAGTCCTTTGGGAAGATCCAATGCCAAAGTGAATCACTACGACGTTCTGGGTCTGCCTCTATCTGCCACCGAAAAGGAGATCAAGAGGAAGTTCAGGGAGCTGAGCAAACAGTACCATCCAGATTTACAAAATTCCCGCGACTTGACAGCTTCTGAGAAGGAGGAGAATAAGGAGAAGTTTGTTCAGATTGTGGACAGTTACGAAGTCTTGAGCGACAAAATTGCGAAAAAAGAGTTTGACACCAAGTTCAAGACCGAAGACATGGTGGCCCAGGACATGCAGCAACGACGTGCTCGTTTCAACGAGCAATACTTTGGTTCCTCGACAACATATACTAACAGACCATCTGGGCTGAACACAAGTCGAAATAGAGTCTATTATGGAGAAGGAGTGAAGTACAGAGGGAAGTCGTACTTCGGAGGTCACCATAAGAATACCTCCAACTACGATGTGCCGCATTTCGATTACGACTGGCATTTGGCCAAAAACATCAAGGCAGATCGCAGATTGCAATTATCAAAGGCGTACAATGGTGGCGATCTGAGGGAACATCACCAGGTGACGAGGTCGATCAAGAACGGGATCAAGAGGGACCTTTCTGATTCTGGGCCTCCCACCAGAGCGGAGGCGTACCCTGGCAACAGAAATGAGGACATCCCTTCAGGCAGTAAGATCATCTATCTGGTCTTGGGAGTGGGCATGTTCGTTGGCTCTGCGTCGGTGTTATCTAGACCTTCTCAGAAAGAGGTTCCCAAGATGATCAAGACCAGCTATACACCTCCACCTGTGGTGGCTCCAAAAGGCGAAGCTCAGCAAAACCGAGCTTTTGAGGACAGGAGCCAGAAGTCTGCATCTTCAAAATCCTCGGATATCAGCACATTATTGTTACGGAGTGCAACGCGCGGTACCAGTCGAAGTCAGGACTCGCTCCATCAAGACTAACACTACCCAAACATATTCGAAAATCACAACCAATTATTTCATTAATTTCAAGTCACACACTTGTAGATGGCCTCTCCTATGGCTCCTCCTGTGGTTCCTCGGTGGGATCCGGTATATCTTCCCGGTTGCTACCGCAATACTCTGCACGAGGCATCATTGCAAAGAGTTCGTAGAGCAGCAGGGCCACCAGAACCGCCATGACAAAACCGAACAATTTCGTAATCCCCAGATCTGCAAACGTGATAAATATTATAAGAAGGGCTACCGGAATTCGAGGAAAAATTCGCCAGAATTTGGGGATTGCATGGACCTCGCATGAATCTAGCGACTTATCCGCAATAGCCAATACGAACAAACATATGAGAGCAACACCCAAACCACCAGTGAAAAAGAAGGCCAGAGCTCGTCGACTGGCCTCAGACCCTTCACCAGATTCTTCAGATCGTCTTTCCAAACCCGTCTCCAAATGTCCTTCCCCCGACTCATTCCATGTGCGTTCATCCGTGAACAGACACAGATCACCACTAGCGTCGGCAGCAAGAATTAGACTAGCAATGAGCGGAATATGGGCCCAGATCCACAGCATTGCTGTGTGAGATGATCTTCTGAGAGCATGGACTGCTCTCAGACTTCCCTCACCGTTGAAGTATAACCACAGAAGCACATACGCTATCACCAGAAGCATGATTCCCCTGGCCAATCTGGCTGTGAAGCCCGCACCCAGCGCCCCACCGGTGACAACTTTGTATAAGAACTCGCCAATGGCAATGACATAAAATGCAGAAACCCGCTCCACCTCATGCTCAATATTAACGGCGGTGGAGTATTTTAGCTTGAACAGTCTCCTGGTCCATCCGTGGTAAGCCACGGTGAACCCGATGTGTTCCAGAACCAGGTTCATTAAAGTTAGTCCGATTTTGAGCCTGGTCGAACCAAAAATTACAGGAATCCATAACCAAGTAGTTATCAAAATGGAAGTAGCATGGAATCGCATCTGGAACCGATGTTGCGGTATGAACAATGAGTATATCAATTGGCTGATCGCCAACGAGAACCTGCACAGCATATACGGTACCACGCACATGGCTGTCTCAGCATGGGACTCCAAAACTGTACTCGTATTGTTGGAATATATTGTGAGCAGTATGATGATCCAGAGGATGTACAGTTTCTGGGAGAGATCCTCATTGAAATAGTAGTCCATGAAGTCCTTGATGTCAGCCCATACTTGATAGACCGGCAGAAATAGTAGCAAATACCTCAACAAAGAGGCCCCGCTTGCCTCCTCAGTAGCCTGGGATGCCAAATTACCCACAATTCCCACATAGAGCAAATCTAAGAACAATTCGGTTTTTCCGCTTTCCCCGCGTTCCTGCCTGGTCCTATACAGCGTGCCCTTGTAGAAGAAATTGAGAGCGTAAGGTCGAGTAAAATACCACGTATTTGTATTTTGAGGCTTCTTGATATATTTTACCTTGACATCGCCATATTTCTGGACAAATTCGTCAAAGTCCTCAGGCGAGGCCTCGAACTCTTCTTCCACCCATCTGTAGGACCCTGAACTGGCGATACTTTCTGCAAGGTCTCCAACGGCTGCATCACCGTTGGACTCAGCATTTTGGCTCATCCCTCGCGAAGACTTTGCAGAGTTCATGATATATGTAAAGGTGAAAGCTCCAGATCGTCACCCGTTAAGGATTGAGCAAGAGTGGCCTACTGTGAGGCGGGTTTTCGCGATTGCCATCCTCTAGACCGATGGGGGCATTTTTGTGCATGTCACGTACATTCTGTTAACGCACCTTTATTGGAGCATTTTGGCGTTGTGGAGGCTCATGAGGATATAGTCACATGATTTTGTGAAAGGAGATCTCGGTAGCCAATATTCATATAACATCCGTATATTTTCCATTTTCTGGTTACAATTGTAGAAAAGTTGCGGTTGCATTGACAACTCTGCTAGTCTCTGTCCCTCTTTAAGGGGCTCGAAGCGGAACCGTGTTCCAAGCCTTCTCTCAACTGCACGGCAATTAGAGTAACTCGGAATTCAGGTTACTCCAGTTTGTACCCATATCACCGGTTTGTGCTACTATAGTCAGAATGCATGGTCCAATTCGTCCAACGGTTCGCGATCTGGTTCCTTTTGCGGTACCAATTAGACTCGATCAAGATACATGCGGACGCACCTTCCTAATGCGGCAACTCTCATGCTCGATAAGATGCGAGCTACTTGCAGATCGCCCAAAGTGGCCAGAGAGAAATATGCAAACTGGAGGCTACATCGGTGTAAAGTATCAATTGAAACCGCTCATTAACAAATTTGAAAGCTATCCAAATTATCATAAACGTAACGTTTTGCTGTTTTTTGGTCAAAATGATGGTATCAAAGCGCTGTGAAGCCATGTGATCCCAAAGCTTAATGTGCGGGAAATTGGCCGATAGTGTGTAAATTGGTAAAATATAGCAGGTTAAAAAAAACAAACTTTGCTCATTCCCTACAAGACAAGTATTATTACTCAAGAAATGTTTGAGATCCGCTTAATGAGCCTTCAAACCGTACTTTGCAATAAACCTCCAGTACGACTTGGCTGTGCCCTTTCTCATCTTCTTCCCAAAGACAATGACGGCAAACGAAAGACCCCAGAAGAAGACCCCAAGACATCCAATGGCAATGAACAAGTTCTGAACTCCGACGGCATCCAACCAAGGTGTGACGGCATAAGAGAACCCAAAACCAAGAGAGTTTCTGATGAGAATCATAGTGACCAGACCATCTCCTGACACTTCCTTATAACAGTCAATGATGTAGTTAATGGCAACAGCAGAACCCATTGGGAAAGTAGCACAGACAAATGCTAAGCCAAATGCCAAACCGACCCAATGAATTCCATGGGCAGCACCAATTCCAAAGAGGAAACATCCTAATGGATGGGTCACCATTGGAACGACAGAGAGCCACAGACGTTCTTCTGGTTCTCTGAAACCTCTGGCATTACGAGCCCTCATAGTGGTCCAAGTATCAACTATCTTTCCAGAGAAGAAAGCACCAACAGAAATGCCAATGAAAGGAGCTGCGAAAAACACTCCTATCATGTTTCCAGAGAAGTTATATGGAGGAGCAGCTAAAACCACAGCGATGGTAGCATTCACAACATTAAACCAGGACAATACAGAGCCAACAACCATACCACCAAAGGCAATGGATGGGAATCTGATCAGGGAAAAAGGAATCCACATGGACTGGAAAAAAACGTTTCTTTGCTTAGAATCACGCGCTCCCCAGAACTTGAGTTTCTGCGCGTAGGTCTTCCTTTGGTAGACGAGCGCAGGAGAACGGGTACTATCAACGACTTCGTCCACAGCAACGTCCACATCGGCATTCTTGCCTTTCTCTTCGGTGCTGGACATGTTCTCGTTCTCACTGATGCTGATGACATCGGTACCGTCCAGCTCTAGAGCTGGGTCACGGTAATACATGGTCTCCTCCAAGAAAAAAAACATGAAGATGAGACACGCAGCAGCAATTATGCAGCAGATGTAAGGGATCCATCTCCAGCCCAAGTTCGAAGCAACAAATCCGGCTGGAACACCACAGGCAAATGGAATGCTGAACAAAACCCAGCAGTACCATGCAATGTAGGTTCCACGTTCGTGGGCAAAAAACACGTCTGAGATGCACACCTCAATAAGGGTCTCAATGGGACCGTAAAAGGTACCTGTGAGCAGTCTATTGACATACCATTCACCACTGGACTTGACGTAGGCAGACCAGACTGTGCACAGCAACACTCCCAAACCACCAAGCAACAGGGCTGGACGACGTCCATAGGTCAGGCCAAAAGGCTGCCAGAGTAGGGTAGACCATCCGAAAAACAAATACTGAATACCGACACCCGTGTTAAGGTTTGCCAGAGGAATTCCAGTGTCCGCTTCAATGGTCAACAGGACAGCAGACAATGAGGTACTCAGGATATCCGCCGAGAACACTGCTATCATCAGACTTAATGCCAGAAGCCTCTTTCTGTTCTTGCTCCAGTTAAGAGGATCTTCCGGATCTTCTGTTGGTTGTGGAACGAGCACAATGTCCTTTTCTCCATCGTGTCTGACATCCAGAGTGCCCTCCAAATCAACCAGATGAATAGTGCCAGGAATCTTAATATCTTCTTCGTTCATTGTAAGTGTCAAGAGTTTATTATATTTGAGAGAGATACAAGAGTAAGAGTTTTCTTGCCTTGTTTCAATTTTCATGAGGTGGTGATATCAGCAAGACAAACGCATACTTATGTATTTTCCCCAATAAATGCACTGAAGCCAGAAAGACCTTTTAGGGTATATGACTCCAGGGTTCAAGATAAGAACGGGCGATAAGCTCACGTCATTCACTGGCACTATGAGAGGATGAATCGGGTAAAAGTATGCCTGCACGTAATGAGGTTATCGCGGAGATAAAGATGGCGCACTGTCTCATTGGACATTGCCAGACACTAGCATCGGACACTATCAGCAATCCAAAACTTCGTGTGGAGGAGACTTCGCACTGCTATGACATCTATGACATCTGACATTATTAACCAAGGGGTATATTATCAGAATACGGCAAAACAGACAAAACAGCAAGATAACTGTGCGATTGAGTTGTGGGTAAAACCACGATAGCCCCAGGTTCATCACAATCGTTAGCAACTTATGAGAAGATAAGAGAATTGTTCTTCCATCTCCTAAAGCAGAAACATTAACCCTAGGCCCAGACTACAAAGACGTTAAAAGTCCAAGGCCCCGCCGCTTTCCGATAAATGCATTATGCTGATAATCAGACAAACCGGAGAAAAAAGAGGTTCCATGAGATTTCATTGGACGAGTTCGGTATTCCAGTCTTATCTCTGTGTAGTGATAATCAAATCTTTTTTGGATAATTTTTCCTGAAAGAGCCTCTTGCAGGCAGTAGCATATTTTGTGGCAGTTGACACACACCGAACATGTCATGACCGGTTGGTAGCAGCCAGTGATAGGCGGTGCCGAGTGGATGCTCAAAAGTAATTGGTCAATTGGTTCTTATCTTTGTATGCCCATTAACTGGTACTTTGTCACCCAAAGTTGAGCTTCTACCCTTTGCAGAGAAATGCACATCTACCGGAAACTGATTGGGATATCAAAGACATGCCCAAAGTAGTCCATAGCGGCGGCAGAATTTCCAGTTTCGGTAGTCGGGTAGAGGCAATAGATGAACAGGCCCACAGCAAAATAAAAATCTCGCCATAAACAGTGGGGAACATAGGTCCAGGAAGACTGGTACGAGCGGGCCGAGATGCCCAGGCCGAACCAAAAAGATAGGACTCCAAGTTTCAGTGCCTAATCTAATCTCCAATGCTTAACTCCAATTATCAGAGATCAGCGATCTGAGGACATTATACAGACAACCAAAAATAGAGATAACACCCACAGCAACATGAAATATCATGCACGATGTTCTAACAATTTCGGACAAACAAGATTTTCAAGCCATGTGGGATGGCTTAAGTTCCCCTGAGACCAATGGGAGGCAACCTTCACACAAGATATTAGGTCAGACCACATGTCAAGAACTGTGTCGCCAATAAGAAATTGTTTTGATTCAAACGAGTTGAAAATTCCAGGCCTGTATAAGGATGGTTCCTGCTCAGATGATTGCGAAAAGACCCACTCGATGCGCTACCTATGAGTCAAAAGGGAAATGCTCGTTCCCTTTTCGGTATAGTGGCATCGAAGGGGCACAACCGGGTCCCAATTGGCGACATAACCATCACCCGCCATCGCACTCCAGAGCCGTAAAAGTATAGAACCAGACCCAAACCGGTATTTCCGTATGGGGAAGAGCCACCAAATTCGCATCTCCGACCCTTTGTGAACTCCATCCCATCTCTTTGTAGAGATAAGATAGGGGCAATTTAAAAAATATTTGGGGATGCATGATGCATCATAAATTTGCACGCGCACACCCACATCGAAGATAACGCTGATGTCGTAATTTAGGCATTTAGCATATCAGTGGATGCAGTCCTGGTGTAATCTAGGAACTTCTAGGGGGGTCGGTAGCACCTGCCTGGTTGTTGCCTAGTTCATGAGAACTGTGTCTGCTTTGGGATAAAATCTCCTTTGGGACGGGCTCTTGAGGTTGCAGCAGTCTTCAGAGTTCGTTATCTCGACATCCCAAAGAGGATAAAACTTTGCAAAATTTGAACAAATCCGGTCAGGGTTTGGCACCAGCAGAGATGTGGTGGAGCCAATTTTAGTGAGTTGGCTCAGAGCGGCTCAATCCTTGTTCCCCATACTATATAATGGGGTAATCGCTCCATGCCCAGCGAGTCCAGAAATACCATACTCACCAACCAAAATAACCCAATCATTCCACACAAATATCCAATTGAGATGTCTAAAGTATACATCAACGGTAAGGTATTCACCGTTTCTGCAGCCAACGAATGGGCCGAGGCCTTTGTCGTCACTGAGGACGGCACCTTTGGCGATGTCGGCACCACTGTGGAGATCCTCAATGCATACCCCAACTCCCAAGTGATCGACCTTGAAGGTCAGTTTGTGATGCCAGGCATGCACGATGCCCACTGCCACTTGTTGATGGCTTCTGAAGAGAAGTTGTTCGAGGCCAAGCTTGGATCGGACTCTACCCCGGATGAGATCGTCAAGAAGTTTAAGGAGTACTCCTCTGGTGCCTGTAACCACTTGGACACTGTTTCCAACTGGTTGGTCGGCAACTTCTACCATTATGCTAATTTCAAGGATGAAAAGCCCGATAGACAGTTTTTGGATGACGCTTTTGGTGACCAGCCTGTCGTGATCAGAGAGTACACCACCCACAACATCTTCGCCAACACCGCCGCGTTGATCGCTGCAGGATACGAGGAAAACCCAGTTGACCCATGGGACGGTTACTATGTCCGCAGAGAAGACGGTACCATCACTGGTGAGCTGGTTGAGGGTGCTGCAACCAGAATGTTCTCTTCGTTGCCAAAGGGAAGACCCGAGGACAATATCACCGCTCTAGAGTACGGAGTCAAAATGGCCAACCGGTTTGGTTTCACTGCTGTTCAAGAAGCCTCTGCAAACACTGTTTACCTGGAAGCGGCCAAGGCTTTGGAAGAGAAAGGTGCACTAACAATCAACCTGGACGCACATGTGGTGTTTTATGGAGTTGGTGCTTTTCCCCAGGAAGACGTCGGATCGCTCCACCACACTCTTTGGAATGCCAAACACTACAAGTCCAAGCATTTCAACCCAATGTTCACTAAGTGCTGGATCGACGGTGTTCCATGGCACCCTCACGAGACCCACTGTCCGCTCACCGAGGAGGGAGAGGTAGACTATTCCAGGCTGTTGATCCCACAGGAGACCTTTAAGAAGGCCATCGAGCGGTTCGACTCCGAAGGCAGAACCTGCAAAGTGCACGTTTGTGGCCAGGGCTCCGCTAAGTTCGCACTGGATTGTTTCGAGGAGCTTCGCAAGCGCAGACCCGATGGAGTAAGACACGAACTGGCCCATAACATGAACGTCACAGACGCCGATTGTGCACGTTACAAGAGACTCAACATCACTGCTGAAATGTCACCGGCAATTTGGCACGATTCAGACTTCCAACCAGAGGTCAACCCAGGCTCAGTTTACCCGTTCAACACCTTGCAGGACAACGGCGCTTTGCTCACAATCGGCTCGGACTGGGTGTTTGCACCAGACACTCCCAACATTTTCCCTGGTTTGCAGGCAATTATGGAGAACAAGCACGGCTGGAACATGAAGAGAAAGGACGTGTTGAGGATTGTGACTCTTGACGGAGCCACTGCAGTTGGCCGCGAGAAGAACGAAGGGTCCATCGAGAAGGGCAAGCTTGCCAACTTTATTATCACTGATCGCAACATGGTGGAGGCTCCTTCCATTGCCGATACCATCGTTTTGAAGACCTTCTTTGAAGGTAAGCAGGTGTACGACTATGAGACCGACGAGTTGAAACACTTCCAGGGCAAAGTCTGACTTGTCAAAGAATTAGGAAAATATATTTTAAGGCCATTTTTTGTGTTGTTCAAGCCTTTTCCCTTGTCTAATACCTCGTACCAATGTATTGAGTGTCAGAGATTCCCGAACTTCATGATGTTGGTGGTAGATCTAAATTCCAAATGCAAAAATAAACACAGATTCAGTGATATTAACAGATGAACATGCAGCCAAAAAAATCCACCTACTTCCAAACACTAGCCCCTGAATGTTCAGACCGTCTTCAACCGAGCGGAAGAGTGCTCAGAAGAGTTCCGGTTCCGCTCGAGATTTCCCAAAAGCGTATTAGCTTGCAGCTTTCATTGCACGACAAGCCAGACAGAATTGGGCAGCGCAAGTAAATTTGCGCCAATAACCAAGTTGGGGACCCTGGGTCTAATGGGAAGGTCAATGGATGGTAATGATAGATGTCATGTGCATATTGTCAAATACACGAATTTTAGGATCCATAAAGGGTGGTTTTGATGGAAGAGATATGGTTTTCACAGAAGCTTGATAGGCTTGATAAGCCCCCCCCGATAAGACTTCCTTAGCGTGGCACTATAGTGTCAGCAGACTTGACAAATCTACCGCAAGGTCTAGCATTGGGTTACGTAACTTCTTGGAACAGTTCTCTCAGAACATTCCGGTTTATTATGGGTATTAACGGGTGAAATCAGCAATTGGAGGAAGGTTGAAAGAATAAGTGGTGATGTGATGATCCTTGAAGGTAATCGTCCTCCCAGGCCACCCCGTCGGGTGAAAGAATTACCAAAGCGGGAACATGGCTTCTATCTAGGCTAAAGCATGGCTACCATTATGGGTAGGGTAATGGCTACTATATAGGCCTGGGGTATGTCCAGATCGTTGTATTTAGGAATGGAGCGCCATCGGGGTGGTGATGGTGCGCTGATGAGGGGCCTTTGATAGAAGCCCTTGATAGAATCCGAGATGCAGGATGCATGCACATACAATCTTTCGGTAGAATTCCAGGGTTTGTCCATAAATTTTTTGATAAAAGCCCAGGAGCAAATGTTGGGCCCGGTATTTTAAATTTCTGCAATTCCCGATATTTAAAGGCCCAGTTCCCAACCCTTATCCCTCAACAATGATTATGAGCAAAGAATCTTCTTCCACACCAAGAACTTAATCGAAAGACTAATAAATGACATCCACCACTACATTCAACACAGCCAAACTATCTGACAACACCGAGATCTTCTACATTGAAGCCGGCAATAAGTCCAAGCCCACAATTCTACTTCTGCATGGATTTCCAACCTCTTCAAACATGTTCCGTCACTTGATTCCAATACTGGCTCCACACTTTCACCTAGTGGCCCCGGACATCCCAGGTTTTGGGTACACAAAGTTTCCAGAAAATTACAAGTTTACATTTGACAACCTTGCTGCGTCAATTGGCCTATTTGTTAAGGCAATTGATCTCCGCAAGTTTGCGATGTACATTTTTGATTATGGTGGGCCAGTCGGCTTCCGTCTGGCACTTGAACAGCCAGACAGAATTACGGCATTGATAGTTCAAAACTCCAATGCATACGAGGAGGGTCTGGATGATGCATTCTGGGCACCAATCAAAGCATTCTGGAAAGCCGGAAGGGATGATCCCGAGCTGGTTGCTGGTTTAACGGAGTATCTGGAAACTAGGTCCAACATTGACTACATGTACACTCAGGGAATGTCACACCCAGAGCGTTATGACCCCACCAATTGCTCTCTGGATTTGGCTATGTTGAAACAGCCTGGTCAGACAAACATTCAGCTTGATTTGTTCTTTGACTACCAAGCGAATGTTAAATTATATCCAAAGGTCCACGAGCTGTTCAGAGAGCTGGATGTGCCTGTGTTGATTGCATGGGGCAAGAACGATTACTGTTTCTCGTATGAAGGCGCCGAGGCATACAAAAGAGACAACAAGAAGTTGATCTACCATTATGTTGATTCCGGCCATTTTGCGCTCGAGGACCATGCAACTGAGATTGGCGAGGCGATCATCAAGGAACTGGGGCCGTTGCTGTAGGTCCAAACGAGCTTCGAGAGAACAGAAAAAACCAGTCAAAAAAGCAAATATGAAAAAAATTGGACTTGATAAGCGTTTAATTATGTTTTATGGGCTACTCGTGTAGAAGAGTTATATTGCCTAGCGGAATCTAGACTTGGTTTTCTAGGCAAACTCCCACGAGCCCGGTTTAACCATTCCAACTACAGAAATTGGCACATGCGCACAGCCGATCGTCCAGACCAGAGGCAAGGTTAACTTTTGGAAAAAAACCCATAAAAAATGGAATCTGGCAACGCTGTTGAAGATGATCCCATGTTCTTGACAGACACCGCTAATGTAATAAACTCAAACTCAACATCCGTTGCGGCTCAGTAGCAATGATACAGGACAGCCCACATCTGGACGGTAAAACTTCTCAATATCAGTGATTCCAACCGGAGGAGGCAGGTATAATGGTGGGAACGATATGTCATCATACAAGCCGTGCAAGGATTCGGGAACATGATGGTGGGCCGCATCATAATGGGAAATCAGCTGACCTATAGAGTCAAAAACCACAATTCCGTAACAACCTTCTTCATGACATGCCCATTCCTGTTCTGTGTGTGAATGTGGCGACACAAGTGGAGCTGCTTTAGGTTTGACAAATGAGTCCGAAGAGTCCAAGACTGTAGTTTCCAGAACAGCTGGTGATTCCCTGCTCAAAGAAAAGGTACTGTCAACATTTCCAGAGCTTCCAGAACTATTAGAGCTTCTAGAACTCTCCGGTCCTGGACTGAAAAATAGTCCGGGGCCGACCCCGAACTCGGAGTACGCCTTCATCGCCTCGTCGAAAATGGGGTGGTCTGGAAGACTCATGATGGCGTCAAACTCGGAAAAAAGCGAACTGGAGTACTCATAGTCTCCATATTGAAGCTTTGGATCGTCTAGCGTAAAATTTGGAAACTGGAAACTGGAGTCCGTATTCTTGTGGGTCCTCTGGTGCCGGGTCAATTGCTGGTTGGTGGTGAATCCTTTCTCGCAATACCCGCACGAAAACGGCTTCACCTCGGCATGCGAAACCATGTGAACACGAAGATGGGCATGCCTCCTAAAGCTTTTGTCGCAGCCACCAAAAGTACACTTGAAGGGTCTTTCGTCAAAGTGAGAACGTCTGTGCTGCTCCACCAAGCACGGCCTAGTGTACGCCTTGCCACAGTCTGGAAAGGGGCAAACGTATCTTTTCCGCCGTTCGCTGGGATTGGAATTGACTGCCATGACTGGTGGATAAATTCATAGAAAACAAAGCCAAGGGGTAAGCGTTGGGAATTTATACGGAAGGAATGTAGACACAGCCGTCCACGCAACCGGCGGGAGGCCAATTCGTAATTGCAGAACAAATTCAGATCGTGTAAATCCGAATTATCTCCGCCTTGGTACGGCGGTACGGCAGCACGAAGAGATAATGCATTAAGGTTTGGTGATGATTTTTTAGCAATCGAAAAGAAATTTAATCCCGCGACGACATTATTGGTTGAGAGTTTGCAGGAAGTAAGCTTGTTACTGTTTGGATTGTTCCAGGCCAGAGAGGTCCGGGTAAAGAGTCCAGGCCGGGGCTCTTCGCTGCAACCTTACATGACACTCTTGTCAAATCGCGCATCTCTATCTGGCAGGGGTGGAGTTCAACACAAAGCTCCGGCGCAAAATCCAGAACTTGGATTTCACGCTGGATTTCGCAATGTCAATCCGTCGTTGCTGCCGGATTGAGACGAGCATGTTCCTCTTTCGAGCTATTCCCGCAGGACCACTTATACGGTCAGGCGTTCGGTATACTATCAAATATCATTCTAATCTTTTTCCTATTTAACTGATAGGTAACACTCCCCTTTTTTTTGGCCAAATTTACGAATAAGAATATCAGACATACGAGCTTATACCCAAAGCAGTCATTCCCTTGCACAGAAGCGCTTCTTCTGCCTCTCTTTGGCCAGAAGCAGTTGCGGAAACTGTCGGAAAAAGATCCCCACATCCTGCACCTGCACGCTTTACAGTATTGTCATTGGTTCATGCACCAGAGTTTTGATGGTCCGAAGGTCCGCGATTAGGCCAGCCCTGAGTATAAGTGAGACACATTATTTCTACTCTCATCCTTAACTTATTGTACAATTTTCTATCTTTTCTATAACCCGTTACCCGCAAGAGTATTATTGATGGCCTCCTGAAAACAAAGTCCAAAAGTACAAACAATTAATTTCTATGCCCGCAACCTTTGTTACAACAACATCAGTGCTGTTGTAAACAAGGACTCAACAAGACAAACTCATTCCAATTTTGAATTATTCTTTTGATACCCGCAGCAAAAAATTAGTTAAGTGTTGACAAGGAAGGAATTATCTTTATTTTGGGTCATGCCACCACAGAGTGTTGTATCACGTACGCCTGCTCGGGCATCCCCTGCAGAAGAAAGCAGTGTGTTTGAAGAAGATGTTGAGCATTTTGAAGCAGAAGATTAAGAAGGCGGAGAAGCTTCATCAACTGTTCAAACACTAAGGATTATCAAAGAAATGCAAATGCCTCTGAAAAGACAAGATAAAAAGATCGAGAGCCTGTTTAGAAAGATTTCAGATGAAATACCCCCAGCACTCCATGTACACCAGGAATGGCCAAGGAAATGTTCTCAAACCCCGAAAACGACGCCAGAGAGGATAAAATGGTTACAACAAACTTCTGGGATGCAAATAGAACTCATGAAGTCGTGAATGGAAAGGATTTGCGTGAATTCACAACATACAAGACCTCGGTTCATAACAAAGCGTCTCTAAAAAGTCTGAAACACTTCGAAGCCAGAGCCCATGGTATATGACTCTAATATGACTACTGGCCCGTTTGTTTTAGACAGCTATGTCAAAATCAATTGCGTCATTGACAGTGCCCGGCAAAGTTTTGATGATCATTCCATGAAGACAATCCTAGAAGCACCATGAATGTGTCATGATCCCCCTTGGGATATCATGAGAAAATGGTTTTCACAAAATGGAACTAATCTAGAACATATGCAAGGCCACTTTTGGGTCCATATCGCTCATCCCATCAAGCCAAAACCAGGAGGATACGATGATGAATACCTCATGAGTTTTATCTTGACTATAAACAAACGCCATTTGGATTTTACGACAGTCAAAGACTTCATTAGAGTCATTTCAGCAGCCTCTCAGCCTCCCATATTCAGACGATTCATGGGGCGTTACAAGCATTATCCAAGCATCGACGAAATCTATCACACACATGTCGTGAACGACGGTACCAAACATGTGGCTATTTTCAAGGTACAGGGAAATGTTCAGCAACATAGATGCTTTCCAAAGGAAACCTACATACCAGATCACTGTCAAGTCTGAGAACGCGAAATAATTAGAGGAATCCTCGTCCCAGATTACTGTAATTCAACCATTGCCATATCTAATTGTGTAGTTGTGTAATATTCATATTGTTATTTGGGTATTGTAGATTTCTTGCAATAGACTGCATGCAATTGGGAGCATTTGAATTAGATATTTCAGAAGAATTCTGCACCTATCAAATGCTCAATACTCCAAATATCTGGAGAATCAATAGGTCCACTGGATAACAAAAAATCCATATCTTCGCCGGAGAAGTCATATCTGTTGAAGTTACTTGGATCGCCTTTGTATTCACCACCCGACTTGTCAGCGTTTGGGAAAACGCGAATCTCAACCTCTTCGGAGATCTCAAATTCGGTCAAAGTAGTCTGGGGCTTGACATCATTAGAAAGAAGCTGGGGATACTTCGCTGCGAGAATGTGAAGTTTCAATTCTCCGATCCCCTTGATACACTCCAACAGTTGCGGCCATCGTTTGCTGATATGCGTCAAAACCTGAAGTTGGCTTTCCAGAAGCTTGGCCACTTGAAGCGCTCGAGTTTCCTGTGCTACCACCTCTTGACGGTTCCATAGGAAATCACACAAACAGGCAGCACCCTCAGCAATAAAGTAGGCAGCAAAGAGATTGAACGAGACAGTCCCGTTTTTTATATTCTCAAAGTAATGAACTGTGAAGCCTTCGATGAACCCAATACACATCATCACCATCTCTGGAGGAGGATTTGGGTTTTTGGGCGATCTTCTGGTAAGTCTAGCCTTCTGAAAGTTCGTGACAGCAGTTCGAAAGTTAAGCTGATGCTTAGAGTGGAACTCAAGACTATCCTCGTACCATTGATCTAATAGCCTCATGGTTTCTTCTCTCCACATCTCAATTGAGTCGAAAGTCACAGGATTTGATCCCAGCCACAGGACATCGTAGATCTCGGTTTCAAGGCACCGCAAGCGCCAGAGAGTTATAGAGGCAACTTTAGTGGCTACACCATCCTTTAGAAAGCCCTTCGTTGTAATGTATTGATCACCAAGTACAGATGGGAAGAGAGCACTGACTGTGGCCGTGTCGAAACCCATCTGAACTCCCAAGAGCGAGGTGAATGCGCGCTCAGCACTGAGTGTGACCAGTAGAAGACGTCTCCTGGTATCCTGCTCAACAGTGTCGAGATGACATGTGGATTCCTTGTGAAGGCCCAACACCAAGCATATTCTCACGGCAATCTGCATCACGTAGGCACTATCACAGAAGGCTGGGTTCGCATATCCGTAATAGGCAAACAGCAGCAGAAGAGTCAAAGTCTTACAATTGGGAAGCCATACTATTTGCGTCAAATGAGATACTGCCGTTGCAAAAAGGGCGTTTGACGAGGCAATGGCATTGGATTCGTCCTTCCAATGCAAAGTGTTCGCACTTATAGCCATGACGATGGAAATCAACACCACATCGTGGGGTTCTGCTGGAGACTCAGCCTGACCCAGGACCCTCAGTCTGGACTCTTTAATCTCCCCCTCTGAAACACACGGAAACTGGGGCAATTGCACGCTCACAAACTGGTTCAGTAGATGGTCGAAAATGTCTCTCGGCAACGAAGCGAGATCAACTGGATGTGCACATGGTTCGGGATCCGACAGCGGATGATCACACCTTCTGCAAAATGGAGCAGGAATGCTGGAAGGACGTAAAAGAAACATCAAAATTAGTGCTTTTCGATACTGCAGATTATACTCGGTAATGTCTTGTTCTGAGTTTGGCGTTGTCACATCCACCAAAGGTCTCCCCACAGAAGCCACCATTTTTCGAATATAAGAAGCTGAAATTCCTGTCTCATCCTTATTATTGGCCTGTTCAACTTGTTCTAGACGTTTTTGTAGTTTTCTTTCTGTTTCTCGGAGGAACATTACCACGCTCCTGGGTAATGCTTCTTTGGTGACAGGATGGTATCCAAAACAAGGAGCCCCAACTTTGAGACAAGACAGACAACTTGGAAAACTGTAATCACACTTTTTTCTTCCAAGCTTGCACCTATGGCAAGATCGCCACTGCCTGGAGGGCTTTTCTGAGCCCGAGAACACCAGGTTCTCTATTCTGGAAACAAATATCTCTGTGGATTCGGGTTTCTCCATATTTTGTAGGGGAAGTTGGGAAATCCTTCCCAAATCGTTTTGTGTGGGGTTAGTCTATAGAGACGGTATAAACATTTGAGACTGAATCAAATCTCTGCAGGAATAACAGTCAAGTTACCAACAAACTGAGAAAAATAAAAGGTCAGGATTGCACTACGTAGTTTTATGTTTTATTCAACGCTAGCCCAACAGCCCCCGAACCAGGATTTCAGGATTCGGTCCCCATTAGGCTAAACGACCCTGCGCTAATGCATGCGATGGATCTAGTGAATCAAGAAATGAGCCCGAATTGGGGGAGCTGAGAGTCCGCTTTAACATAATACGATGAGGGAATCACCGAGAGCATTAAGTTTTAGGGACTGGAAATGTTTTTTGAAAATCCTGGCACCACTCCTCGTACTCCGTCTTGGAACTGCGATCTCACGGGCAGATACGCTGTCGCCCAAGTTCCTCTTTAGGCAACTCGGGTTAACGTGCCACCGAGGATGAACAAGTGGGTTGCGCACGCTCGCTTTATCCTAGGAGATTGGTCCGATTGAGCCAGGGGTCAGTAGTACAAAAGACGCTAAACATTGATTGGAGCGGGCCGTTTATTCGCCGCTTTTTATTTTGCTGCAAAAAAGAGTGGGTTGAACGCTGGACTGAACACTACCTGAATTTGAAATGAACACGATCAGGGAAGACCGCTTTTATGATACGGAGGTGCCGTTCATCAAGTGTATCGGGACACCCAGAGAGATCGGATTGGCACATGGGTCAGGGGCGAAAGACCGCATTTCCAAATGTATCGCCATATATACTGAGCTCTACAAGCTCACTGCTGGGATAGACTGGGATGAGGCCAAAGAAAAAGCAGCTAAATTCAAGCCGTACATCCAACAGCACTTCCCCGACTTGATAGAGGAGATGGAGGGGATCGCAGAAGGAGCAAATCGAGATGTTTTGGACATTTTGACGCTTAATTTTCGCTCTGAAATCGTGCTAACAAACTACTCCGACGGTTGTACCTCGATTGCAACCTACAACGAGGAGCTCGACGAGACGTACGTGGGCCAGAACTGGGACTGGATTCCCGAAATGAAAGCCGGATCCGTAGTATTGGACATTCAGAAGAAAAACTGCCCTCGGATAATCCTTTGTACGGAGGCGGGGATCATAGGCAAAAGTGGCTTTAACGGCGACGGAGTAGGACTAGTACTAAATGCACTGAAGTGCGGCAAAATGGCACTGAAATTGCCCATCCACTGTCTTTTAAGACTAGCGTTGGAAAGTTCCTCGGTTGACGAAGTTGAGAAGCTGTTTTTCGAGTATGGTTGTGCAAGTTGCGCTAATGTTATGGTGGCTGATCGGTCGAACTGCTTAAAGTCCTTTGAAATTACCCCATTGGGTGTGGCGGTGATAGAACCCACAGGTGGCGTAGTTCTCCATACAAACCATCTATTTGCAGATGTTCGCTTTGTCCAGGACTTTCCATCCCCAAATTCCTTTTCGAGACTGGAGCGCATACGGGAACTGTCCAAGGATGCTCCTCACACGATCGCTAGCATGAGAGAGCGTTTCTCCGATCTTGACAACGAGCCTTACTCGATTTGCAGGGCGTTCATCCCTGGAGCAGTCGGCGTTGAATCAATGATCACATTGATGACAATTATTATGAACGTCTCAAGAAATGAAGGAGAGGTCAGTTATGGTAGACCTGCGGAAAACCCAAAGGTTTACAGACTATTTTTCGATTGAACGAACGAGCCATTCGACCGGACAGATTAGAGATTTCGCTGTCCGGTAAAATAAAATCCTGGTCGTAGAAGCGCCGAATCCCGATATGAAACCTTAATGTAGAAAGTTACAAGGGGCGTATTAGTTCTGCCGTACCTACCCTTCTTTGCACCTGCGAAAAGAGAAGAGAACAATTCGCAAGACCAATTTGCGAGACCCATTCCAAACTCACTACCATGAAACGGTCTCTTATAGTTCGAGAGCGTTAAGTTCTGCTGAAGACCCAACAGGCCTTCGTTTATGGAGGAGATGTAAGGGTCATTCTTCAATGCTCCGGCGGTGGTGGCGGTGCACGTGCATAATGCCGACATGTCTTGCAAAATCTCGGAGTGTTAACATGACCCCCTCGGTCTATTTTGCCGCGAGTACTTCCTAGATTTGAAGTTTTTTCGAACAACAGGAACTAGAGCGGAAGGACTTGCCTCATATTATACACCTGGGTCTGGAAACAAATTGTTGGTTGTAATCTAGTACCTGCCAAGTTCCCGAATTGGCTGCATCCACACCAAGGACCAATTCCGCCAGTTCGCAACATTTGGACCAGCAGCAGTGGAGGATTGAATAAGCGCCTGGGGTCGGACCAATAGCTGAGACCCGTGTTCAAAATTGTGTATATGTATTCTCACATCCTTTTATAGATATACGCGAATCCTGGCATTCCCCTTTCCCCATTCTGGCTTGGGCATCTCCATCGGTGTATCTCTGGTCCACTTCGGCGTGATGATCTCCACTTGTTTGCGGTGTAAGAAGCGCAGAATAAAGGTACGTAATAAAAGTTGAGAAACAATCGAGAGAGAAAATTCTTTTCTGAACTTCAATTTTTATTCGCTGATCTTGCTAACGCGCTAACAAGTGTGATTTGCAACTACCCGGCTGTAAAAACTGCACTGCCTCGGAAACTGAATGTGTGATATGGGATGAATGTCTAAACGCTAAGGTTTCAAGAGAAGAAATTCACACCAGACTCCAGAGAGTGATTTTGCTTCAGGAACAACTGGAAAAGACGCAACATAGCCCACAAGAAGAAGAGACAGACGAAGTCATTAATCAGGGGCTGATTGGTAAAGCAGGACCTCAGTATCTGGTTCCAAGTCTGAAAAACCAGACGATAGAAGACCTTCTCCCTTTCAGATGGGAGACCGTTAAGAAAGGCTATTGGTACGGCGAAGACAGAGGGCCAGATGCTATTTTTTTCGGGTCTTCGTCGCCAATATCAGTAGCAGTATGGGCCTCGTCTCTGCTGGGTGTTAGAATAGAACCTCCAAAATACGTGAAGGAAGAAGTGGAGGAATTCAGATTGCCTAAGACTCTGATTACGCAGCTGATGATGCGAAAGCTGTTGAAGCATTATGAAGAGAAAATATACCCCGAGTACCCTCTAATTGCGCCCTCTTTCTTCAACATGGATGTGAAGTTAAAGAACCTGCCTCCTAGGCAGCAGATTTTCACGCTTCTGGCCCTGGTGGCTGCATCCACACATCTCTCGAGATCAGAAAAAGACTACCGAGTAATTTCTGCCACTCTGAGAAACTGGCTTAATGATGAGGTTGGAGCATATCTCGAGGAATACACAGATGACACTTTTTTGGTTTTTATGTTCTTGATCTTGATGGAGGAGTTAGATCCACGGAGTCAGAACTTATACGTATTGCTGAGTATGGCGTGTCGTTACGCAGTTATAAGAGGGTTCTACAGAGATACTACGGATGATGTTGAAGAGCGGACTTCGAGGCGGAATTTGTTTCTTGTTCTGTATAAGATGGAGTCTGAAATAGCAGGTTTTCTCGGAAGGCCGATGCTTTTGCCGTGCGAGTCGATCATGTTTGAGGATGCAGACCAGAAAACTGCAACCACACTAAGACTAACGAAGTCCAGAATGGATATCTACAGAATGATCTTTAACGGCCCTGATGACAGTTGCGTTTTCAGCCAGCAGTTGGTGGAAGAGCTTCTGTCTCTTCCTATACTGGCTGCTGCCTCGACCCATTGGTTCCTTGCTTCTCTGCCTTTTGCTATACACCGTTGTCACGAATGCGAGAATTTGCATCTCCCCAAAAGCGAGTTCCGTGAGAGACTCGTCAAATCATTTTTGATCAAACTTGACGACCTTTACAGGCTGTACAAGGAGGACCAGATCATATCATTGTGGATTCACACTCTCTATTGTTTCAGCCTCTCACTTGCTATGATGGTGTATTACAAAATGGGCTATTTATCAAACTATTGGACATCCGCTGATTTCGAGAAGAGTTTTCACAAAATTATTGAAATGATGGGATATTGTCGCCTCGGCTGGGCTCCTGCGGCGTTATATCTGGAAATCATTCTGGAGGTTTACAATAAGAGCCAGGCGCTTGGGTAAATGCGCTACCGGGATCACAAAAAAACAAACAAAAAAACAAAGACTATGGATTGACTATATCGTTTGCAAACACAATTTTTATGCTCTGTGGTAATGGATAATAATTCGCAAACAAGTTTTGGAAACAAATACAGAGCCTCGTGCATGACTGAGCCGCATGAACATGATAAGAGATAACGGAGAGCTGGTGCCGATGCGAATCTGCGTCAAATCTCCCAAATCGCGGCTTATCAGTCCACCTACAGCATTGAAAGTTATTAGTTTCTTGACAACACACTTCCACCACAATATACATACTGAACTATACTAGAATTATCTCATTTTTGAACTCTTTGGTCTGTTCGCGTTGACCTAAAGTGCTTCCCTTATGAAACGTGCGCCAACCGAAAACGATAAGAGGGGCTTCAACAGCTGCACAATCATTCATTTTTCACGAGATTTCAACTCACGCCACAATCAACATTCAGGCTATGTCTTGCGGACACCATGGTGAAGCTCATGTGGGAGGGACTCCACAAGGTAGATTTGCTGACAAAACCAAATACACGTATGCTGGAAAGCTGGTGAGCGAAAGCCAACCTGGACCACCGTTCACGGTCCATACAAGCACTCTGTTCGACCCAATGCGCAAAAAATATCGAGAAAATGTTTCAGTAGAGATAGATCCTTCCTCAGGATTGGTCATTAGATGCTACCAACGGACGTCTGAACCTCAAATTGGCGCCTCAGATGTGGATTTAAGAGGCAAGTTCGTGATCCCAGGTCTGGTGGACGCACACACCCATATCTTTTTGCACGCTTACGACGAAAGAACCAGCGTTGAACAAAAACGTGACGAGTCTGTGGCTGAAAGAATAATCCGTTCCTCCAATCATTGTCGGACAGCTTTGCTAAGCGGATACACGACGTATCGCGATTTGGGTTCCGAAGCCATGTACGATCTAGACGCAAACGTCAGGGATACAATCAATCGGGGAATCATGCCTGGACCAAGACTCTACGTTGCCACAAAAGTGATATCATCATCTTCTGGTTATGCTGCACGCTATGAGAATGCAATGGGCGGAGTTCAGTACCCGTCGTTGGCAGATTATTGTGATGGTGAGACCGAGATCCGCAAGGCAGTACGCAATCGTATTGGGGCTGGAGCAGATGTCATCAAGTTCTATGCGGATTACCGCCGGAGGATCATGAGGTATCCACCGGCGCAGCAGCATCCGTATGTTGGTTCTGTGAGATTTCCTCCAGTCACCGCGAACCCCGAAGTGGTTGCCTTCACCCAGAAGGAAATGGACACCATAGTGGAGGAAGCCAGAATGGCTGGATGCGCAGTAGCAGCCCATTGTGGCAGCAACGAGAGCGCTTCCATGGCAGTCAAAGCTGGGGCAACCTCCATAGAACATGCTTATTGGGCGGATGAAGAGACATTGAACAAAATGGCAGAGTCAAACATAATTTATGTTCCAACACTTTACGCTTGCGAGCTCTTCTTCCAGGATAAGATGGAGTCCATTCTGCAGAAGACACGCAAGGCCTATGATATGGGAGTCACAATGGCCTGTGGAGGTGATACTGGAACGTATCCTCATGGTGATAATGTTCACGAAATGGAGTTGATGGCAGCAGCAGGAGTTCCCACATCGGAGGTTTTGAGGGCTGGAACGTACCATGGATGGCTTGCTTGTGGTGGTGATCTTATTGGAAAGCGGTTTGGCTGGATTGAGGCTGGAACATGCGCGGATATGGTAGCACTTGATCGGGATCCACTGGAGGATATTGGCAATTTGAGGGGACCAAGTTTTGTGATGAAGGATGGTGAAATCTACAAGGTTGACGGTGAACCTGTGATGGACAAGTTCTTCTAATTCCAAGCGTTTGGTATTTCTTCATGCTTAGTAGTGCTCACACTTGAACTCCTGCTAGGATCAACATTCTTATTCGCCCACTTTATAAATCCTTAAATTATTCCTTATTTAATCGAAGCAGATAGGTGATTAGACTTGGTAGTCACGGATCACCCCAACTTCCTCCTGTTTGTCACGCTGGTGCCATCTCTCGTGCAGACGACCGTACAAAAGTACCGACAGAGGCTCGTCACCATCTGTATCATTTACTGCCTTTTGGCCGTACAGTCTTCCCTTGCTGTCATCCCAAGTGAAGAAATCGATCTTCTCCCATTCAGCAGGCTTTGTGAGACCCAATCTGTTGAGCTTGGGGCTGTTCAATGTTTCAGGGTCCACAATCGTGCCAGCCTTTGGCTGCTGGAAGTAGATGAGCACCAGGCGGGTGTAGTCTTTTTGCTCCTCTGGAGGCGCAACAACTCTGTGGATGGAAGACTTGAAATAGGAACCAGTCAGAAATTCAAGAGCATCACCAATGTTCACGACCAGCGAGTTTGGTCTGTGTGCGACGAACTTCCATTCACCCGTGTCGTAATCTCTGATTTGAAGTGACAGAATGGGTTGCGAGGTGATCATGGTGAACGTGGTTGAATCCGAATGACCTCTTAACCAGTTCTTCTGCACTTTAGCCTCATCTTCAGGATCCATCTTGTGGTAGCGCATGAATCTTCCGAAACCTCCTCCAGAGTTCTGCAGATCGTTCTGCTTAACCTCGAACATCTCGTACAATGTTCCCTCTGGAAGCTCCAAGATGATATCGCTGAGCGCACTGATCTTCTTCAAAACATCATAGTGAAGGTGCTGGTAGTATGCCTGAATCTCAGTTACGTATGGCCTCACTATCGCAGGAAGCTTAGAGATTGCCTCAGGACTGAGAAAAATGTCATCGTGAAGCAGATTTCTGAAGTTGTAGTGCTCAATGGCGTCTCTGACACCCTTGGCAAAGCTCCAGTAACCACGTGGCTTGAATCCAGCACCACGCTCGCCACCGAGCGACTTGGTTCTGTCTTCATCATCACTGGTGATTGCACCTGCAAGATACTGCATCTTCTCCTCTTGTGGAATATTCAGCAAATTGATGGCAATCGTCTTCAAACGCTCAATTTTGTCAGCATCGTAGCCAGTATTGATGAGGTTGAAGAAACCTGAAGTGCTGATGGACTCCTCCAGTTGTGCGGCAAGTTTCTGCCTTGCTGGGAGCCCCTCAGGGCCCTCAACGTATTGAGACAGGTCGATAGCATCTAGGTGTACAACTGGATATTTATCGATAGTAGATTGGTCCAGTACGGGGGCCTCATGGAATGGGCTCAGCTCCTCATAAGAGGCAGGCACATATGACAATTCAGAAGGAACAGGCGCCATTTTGTTTTCGTTGTCTCTTCCAGAACAGAAGCGAACAAAGAGATGGGATCAGGCCCCATTCATAAAGTAGTCGCAAGAAAATGATGTGACAAGCAGCAATGCCGAAAGATTCACCGGCCCGATAAAACGCATCAAGCCCGGTATCCACAGCCTATCAGATCAGACCATTCTGTTTATACAGTAGGATTCCCACCTATATTTGAGAGAGATATAGCACTGTGGCAGCATCACGACATGAGAATGTTGTTCCAAAGTAGCCAAGAAATTGCGAAAGACAGATTTTTGGGCTCGCCACACCTCAGCCATATCGCGCAATCGCGGAAAAATGGGCGCACGGTAGGAGCCACATCGCCTCCGTCCTTTCCGGCAATCTTGACAGGTTGATCGCCGATGATTTGACACAGCTGAGACCCCCATTAAGGCAAAAACCGTCTGTAGGATATCTTGTCGTGGTCTGAGGGTAAAAAAACTTTGATGGTTTTTCTTTGTAGACCCAGATGGGTGATCGTGGCGCAAACGAGGATAAGCACCAAGAATTGGTGTGGCTCGCATGACTCAGTACTAAGTCTGTACCAAGACATCTAAACGGTCTGCCTGACGGGCGAGGCGCGGAATTGGACTCCAAAAAACCACCGCCGGCTGTCTTTGAGATAGAGATGCAAGTTAAAAATTTTCATTATGACATGCAAGATAGCCGTACAATGTATCCACAGTAAAGATTCCACCATCTCCAGCTTTTGGCACATCTTTCGTGCGGGTGGTAGGGGACTGACATGTAAGCATAATTATGCCGAACGTTGAGGGTATAAAGAGCGAGACTAATCCCCTATTGATCTACTGATAAACTCAAGCAACCAATCCCCAGACTACCGAAATCGCTGAACCGGCACTCAACAACCCTAATGGAACCAACGCTGTCTCAAGGAGTCGGCTATGGAGTCATAGTCGGACTCGGTGCGTTTTTCGCACTGATGATGAACGTGATCACTATAGTTCAAAACAAGTTCACCAAGTTCAATGCCGGTAAGGTTGATGAGTTCACTGCTGCCAGCAGAAATATTCCTTTCGGTCTGATTATTTGTGGTATCGTGTCCTCGTGGACCTGGTCGCTGACTCTGTTGCAGTCTTCTACCGAGTCGTATTACTTGGGTGTTTCTGGCTCATACTACTACGGTTTGGGTGGTTTGCTGCAAGTGGGAATTTTTTCCGTCATTGCCGCCAAAGTCAAAGTGAACGCCAACTTGGTAACAACATTTGCTGAACTTGGATATTTTCGTTTTGGAACGTGGGGGCATTTGGCTTTTCTGTGGTCCGGAATAATCTGCAATGCGATCGTGTCTGCATGCATCTTGCTTGGTGGGGGTGCGGTTTTTTCCGCGATTACGGGCATCTCTGAGTACGCCGCACTGTTCCTGATTCCTCTCGGAGTAGCAGCATACGTATCTCTGGGTGGTTTAAGAGCCACCTTTATTTCGGATGCAACTCACACCTTCATTCTGCTGATTTTCGTGATCATCTTTGTTTTCACCGTTTACGTTGGAAGCTCCAAGATTGGATCTCCCGGCCGCATGTGGGAGCTGCTCAAAGAGGTTTCGAAGACCACTCCAGTCGACACCAACTACCACGGCGAATATCTGACTTTCAGATCCGCTGATGGTGCTGTGTATGCAGTCAGATCTACCATCACCGGTTTTGGATTGGTTGCTTGTGACCAGGCCTATTGGAGTAGAGCCATTGCCGGTAAGGACAGAGTCATCGGCCCTGCCTACTTTGTCGCTGCCCTCTGTTGGTTTATCATCCCATTCAGTCTGGGAGCATCGCTTGGTCTCAGTGCTAGAGCCCTCAGTGTTTACCCTGACTTTCCAACTCTTTCTAGTGCCGAAGTTGGGGCTGGTCTCTGTTCGGTTGCCAGTGCAGTTTATCTTCTCGGAAAAGCTGGAGCCACCATGATGATGCTGATGGTTTTCCTCAGTGTGACTTCCTCTTTCTCAGGTGAGTTGATTGCAACCTCCACATTGATTTCCTATGACATCTACAAGAAGTATATCCGCAAGAACGCCACTCCTCACGAGGTTGTTCGCGTGGCCAAGATCATGGTTTTCGTGTGGGCTCTCTTCTCTGCTGGTCTCTCCTCTGCCTTTAATGCTGCCGGAATCGGTCTTGGTTGGCTCTTTAATTTCCTCGGAGTAGCCACTGCTTCAGGTGTTTTCCCAATTGCCTTGGCATTCACTTGGTCTGGTCTGACCACTCTTGGAGCCGTTGTTGGGTCTATAGGCTCAATGTGCATTGCTCTTATCGTCTGGCTCGTCACCTGTAAGGCTTACATGGGCACTATCAACGTGGACAATCTTTCTAACGATTGGGTATCTTTTGCAGGAAACTCTGCTGCTATTGTTTGTGGCGGTGTTATTTCTATCGGACTTTCCTTGATCTTCCCAGAGAAGGAAACCTTTGAGTGGGAAGACACCCGTAACAGAACAATTTTGGTGGGCGAATCCAAGGAAGCCCACCGTGAGCACCAAGAGAGACTGGAAAATCTCACCAGTGCTGAGCAACGCGCTGTTGCTCACGAGACCAATGCTGGAGACGATTCGTCCCTGGATATTGAACTGGACCAAGAAATTGACCAGGTCTTCCTCGGAGCTCAATTCAAGAAGTACACCATTCTGTTCGGTATCACGGCCCTTATCTTTGCTTTTGTGATTCCAGTTCCTTTGAGTGCTGCACCATACATCTGGTCCAAAAAGTTTTTGGCTGGTGTAGTGGGTATCATCATTGCCTGGTTATTTGTTTCCTTCAGCGTGGTCATCATCCTCCCCATCTGGGAGTCCAAGGAATACTTGTGGAACTTGTTCCTCGTAATAATTGGAAAACAGACCATTGAACAATTCCACAATTCACAAGAGGGTGGTGATGAGTCCTCTGGTTCTGGTTCTTCCGTGGAAGTTGACGTGAGTCCGATCGTTGAGAAGACTGGTGCTTAAGTGGTGAGGCCTGATGGCTCACTTCGCTGTATTTTTCATTCATTTGAGCTTACTCTTTAGTTGATTTTGTCGAAGCATTTTCATTTAATAAATAGTGATAGAACTTGTTTCTGATTCTCTTATAGACGGAGAAATCCGGCAGATGTTTATGTATAAGAATGGACCCATTGGGATATGGCGAAGGAGCTAAGATGTTCTGATGGTAGCAACGCTGGGCTCCCTCACCTAAACTCTGCAGCCCCGGCTACACTCCTCCTAAACTGCTCCAAACTCGACCGGGAATTCACACTGCGATTAGACGAAGAGGAAGAACGTCTTCTCTGCTTTCTTGCACTAGTGGGATCCACGTGATCTTTTCCAAGAGTTTTTGCCAGAAACGAAAGAATATCAGTAAGGGATACGACACCCACAAGCCGGCCTGGATGACCCGAATCGTCTTTCTGAAAATTACCGATAGGCGAGTTTTGCGAATTGATCGAAGACGCCGAGGAATGGTTGGATTGCGTAAAGTGCATTGACTGCGAAACAGGTTGGGTCTGTTGGACGTTCGACTGGGGTTTTGTGTCTTCACCATATGGCCTGACAATCCACAATCTGTGTGATTGCGTTGCCACGAGCTTGGCTATTGTCCTTGCAAGCGACGAGTTTGTAGTCACGTGGAATATTGGGAACGAGTCCTTTCCGTTTTCAAGACCTCTAGTTCCAAGAATCACCGAAATGAAATGCAAACAACTCTTATACAACAGATCTGACTTAGAGCTCTTGGAAACGTGTTTCACATCTGTTACAGAGATATTGCCCAAAAGGTTGTGATTGCGGTCGATCACCGCCAATGACGAGATCATCAAATCGTGCATCTTCAAGAGAGCTTCCATCAGCAACTGGTCACCGTAGATGGAAACAACAGAGTTTGAGCCTATGTTAAGCGTCTGCAAAGAAGAGTTCAGAACGGGCTCCAGAGAAGGGAATCTTCTGGCGTTTTCCCACAAGTACTTGATCAATCTTCTTTGTGACAAGATACCTGTGATCTTGTTGTTATTAGTGATTGCAACACGGTGAACTCCATTGCCCATAATCTCAACAACTGTGGAAAGTGTGTCTGTTTCGTTTAACTTAATGAATGGGTTCTTATTGGTCAGTTTTATCACAAAGCTAACTGGCACAGACTCTCCTTTCTGAGCACGCATTATGATCAGAGGAATATCAGACTTAGGTTCATAGTCGATGGCAGATATCTTTTCAGCTTTGAGTTTGTTGAGGACTAGCAGCAGATAAGAATTTAGATCTGTGTAGTCAAAGGTGAGACAGTTGAGATCGTTTGCGTATTGCTCAACAGGCACAGATGTCAGATTGTTCCTCACCAAAGTGTCAAATGCCAGTTCCACGGAGACATCACTTCTGATTAAGATGAGCTTATTCTGCTCGACAAGTTCCGACAAAGGCACCTCGTACCAGTCACCACTAGTTTGCAATGCGGAGTGGATGGAGCTGGTATGCGAGGACAAAGAGGTATTCCTAGACAGTTGTCCAGCCGCAACATTCCCATACTGCGGCGATACCGCTGACAAATCGATAGAAGTTATGTTTTCATAGCCAGGGTCGAGCTGCGGAGGGCTGGAGAGCATTTCAACGATGGATGTCTGTCTAGATTTGAGTCCTGGAGAACCAGGGGTCCTGAAGGAGGGTGAATTGGGGTAGTTCGAGCCGCTGGAAGACATCAAGATGCAAAAACTTCAAAAAATATGGCGCAAGTGCAGGGAATGACTCGTTTTAGGAAAGACCTGAAAAGCGGACTAGGTTTTCTTGTTCAAATCTCAAACAAGGCTTTGTAAGAGTCACACAGATGGGATGCGGAGAAGGAAGAGTCAATTGAAGATTGTAGCAGCAAACTGTCGACACCGCAATATATCCAGGAACAATCCACAGAATATTCAACGACAGATATAAAATAACGGAAGGATGCTTTGACAGAGCTTGTTGTACAAAGAACACCCAACCCTTGTGGTCACAAAAAGAGGCGAAACAAAGCAACTGATGATGGGGTTACATGCCCTGGGCAACCATGTTTATTGATGGCACACGAAAAATGACTTCTTACATCAGCATCCATTGTCCCGAAGATAGTGTGCAAATCAATTGAGAAGTAGTGCCCCAACTGGCACAACAATTCAACCCAACAAATTTGGCCCTTTCTAGCAAATTGAAGTGGTGTGGTGTGCTCTTTTTCTTCTTCTCTGTTTCCAAGGCACGTCTTCTCCTGATATAAAACCTGTATCTTGCTTGTTTGTTTCTAGTTCGACCAGTCCGACCAGTCCAAACTGTCTGATCAGTTGCTCGTCTTATTTTCCGCTTCGTCACTCCAGGTATCTGATTGAGCAGAGACCTACAATACTAGCAAAGTTTTAAGCAGTACAACGCCAACATGTCGTCTGTTGATGCGGTGGATATCACTGAGGCAAACTCGGTGGCGGCCGGAACCAACGCTCCCATGAAGAGAATTGTCGCCTCAGGGATTGGTGGAAGGCTTATGGGTTCCAAGTCAATGTACGATGTTACTGCAGACCAGATCGCCAAAGATAATCTGGCCCTTTTGCTCGAAAAGGACAAGAAAGCGAAGGCCAAGTACGCCTCAAACAAACACATCAGCGAACAACCCTGGACGAGGGAGAATTGGGCACAACATATCAACTGGCTGAACTTCGTTCTCGTGTTCGCCATTCCTGTGATGGGTCTTTTGTCTACCTTCTGGGTCACACCCAGAATAGAGACTTTTGCCCTTGCCTTTATTCTGTATGTCTTTTCGGGACTGTCCATTACTGCTGGATATCACAGACTTTGGGCTCATAGAGCATACCAGGCCAGACTGCCAGTTAGGCTGTTCTACGCTTTTTTCGGAGCTGGTTCCGTTGAGGGTTCTATCAAATGGTGGGCCCATTCTCACAGAATCCACCACAGATACACTGACACTGTCAGGGATCCATACGACGCCCGCCAGGGCTTTTGGTACTCCCACATGGGCTGGATGCTTACGGTGCCCAACCCTCGTTACAAGGCTCGTGCGGACATCACAGATTTGTCCGACGACTGGGTCGTCAGGGCTCAGCACAGACACTATCTTATGGTGATGGCTTTTTCTGGATTTTTGCTCCCTTCGTTGATCGCCGGCTACTTCTGGGGTGACTATCTTGGTGGTTTCATCTACGGTGGAATCTTGAAGGTTTTCTTTATCCAGCAAGCCACTTTCTGTGTCAACTCGCTTGCCCATTGGATTGGTGTTCAGCCTTTTGACGATAAGCGCACTCCAAGAGACCATTTCTTGACTGCTTTCGTGACCTTCGGTGAAGGTTACCACAACTTCCACCATGAATTCCCATCTGATTACAGAAATGCCTTGAAATGGTACCAATACGACCCTACAAAGCACGTCATATACCTGACATCAAAGCTGGGTTTGGCTTACAACCTCAAGACTTTTTCTCAGAACGCCATTGAACAAGGCCTTGTTCAGCAACAGCAGAAGAAGCTGGATGCTTTGAGAGCAAACCTCAACTGGGGTATCCCTCTTTCGGACTTGCCTCTCTGGGACAAGACACAATTCTTCGAGAAGTCGAAGGAACAGAAGGGTCTTGTGATCATCTCTGGTATAGTGCACGATGTGTCAGGGTTTTTGACCGAGCACCCAGGTGGACAAGCTCTGATCAAGACCTCCATTGGAAAGGATGCCACTGTTGCCTTCAATGGTGGGGTTTACGCCCACTCTAATGCTGCACACAATGTTTTGGCAACGATGAGAGTCGCTGTCATCAGAGATTCAGGTGCCACGGCAGACACGTACGATCGCCAGCTCGAGATGATCGCTGCAAAGAAGGAAAAGGAAGGGCAAGCTTGATCTGCAATCAGATTGAAGTAAAAAAAAACACACAAACAATGAGATAATGGGTTTTAAAAACGTAAATAACACAAAAAAAAACACTGAACAATCTTGGAGATACTTAGGCATCCGATTAAGTTAATCTTCACCGTTGGTATTTTGTCTTCAACGAGAAAGCTCTGTACTTCAAGGGGGAATTTAATTAACTGTCGGGTAAAAGATATACCGATTCAGTATTTTCTTCACAATTTACGTAACAAGGAAACAAAAAAAAATTGCTCCACGGGAGGCTCGAACTCTCGACCTTCAGATAGCACACGTTGCAAACGATATGAGACTGACGCTCTACCGACTGAGCTAGTGAAGCACTCAAAATTTTTGAAAAATAATGGTCCTTCATGAACAGGCAGGAAACTGGACGGGCTCAAAACCTCTAGAGCTTGACAGTTTTTAGAGAAATCAGGGGTTTGAATAGAAATTAGAAAATCAGAGAATAATTAGCATGTACAAGCTTCAAATACAGATTTGGGTACGTCTAAAATTTGATTTACACGCAGCTGGGAGCGCGTTGTGTCTTGACCGTCAGCCAAGGGGAGAGACGGCAATGTAGTGCAAGCCATTGTGCAGTGTTATGTGCGGATTTAATACAAGATAAGTAATTTTAATTAGTAAACTTCTTGGTGTCTCTTACCGTCTTACGGCTAATAGGTTTTGGTCAAACACGCGGTTCAACACCTAAAAACTCCCGAGATTTGTGAAAGTGCGGTGAAGAAGACGGTTTTGACACGCCAGTTGGATATTGTTCTATCCTGAGAACTAGCAGTCTTCAGCTCCTCACGTTGCAGTTTTACTACTCATTTCAGAAACTACCACAACCTCATTTCCGACTTAACAATGGACATACAACCACGAAATCTGGAAATTCCAGAGGGAAATGCCTCATTGATGCTGGCGTGGCAGGTGAAAGGTGGGTAGAGTCTTCACGGAACTTTTCAAAGCCTGTCAAGAAGGAGAACACTAACCGTCCCAGGTCGTAACGTATTGGTTATTGGAGCGGGTGCAGTTGCCCTCTCGAGAATAAATCATCTTATTCAAGCAGATGCCATCATCACAGTTGTCGCATCGAAAATTACCGAACCCGCTATTTCTCAGTACTATCAACTAGGGATACTCAAAGTCATTCATGAAAGGGAGTACACATCGTCAGATCTCACCATGTACAAACAGAGAGACCTATCGCATCTCAAACAAAAGCCTGAGCTTTCAGAAGAAGATTACGAGCTCATCAGAGATGTCGATCAGAATGAGACGTTTGCTCTCGTTTTGGCAGCCGTAGACTCCCCTACCGTCTCTAGCAAGATATATGCCGATTGCAAACTAAGGGGTCTTTCGGTGAACATAGCCGATAGGCCACCCCAGTGTGACTTCTACTTTGGCTCTGTTTTGCGAAAGGGATCGCTTCAGGTCATGATAAGCACCAATGGAAAATCGCCTAGGTTGGCTAACAGAATCAAAATCACCAAGCTGCAGCCCATGCTTGACCAGATCGATTTTGCGCGGGCAGTCGAGAACCTGGGCTTCTTGAGGGAACAAGTGAAGCAACACAAGATCCAAGGCTCTGATCTGGACACAATCAAGAGAAGAATGGAATGGAACAAGACTGTGACGGATATTTATTCTGTGGAGGAATGGGGCCAATTGACTTCGAATGATGTTGAAAAAGTCCTTGATTACTTCCCTGAATTTCCACCCAGATCAATTGAGGAATTGCGAAATGGGTGAAACTAAGAACTTCTGAAGCTGGTGGAGTCCTTTGAATATTTTCTGGTGGTCTGGGCAAAACAGTCAATCTAGCTGAGTGTCGCTACTAGGCCAATGTACATTATCTACTCATCTATTCAAACCAATAACTTTTGTCACTTTAGATTGAGCACCTCAAACAAAATTGTATCGTATAACATAAAATGGGGTAACGAGGTAAATAAGGTATGGAAAAGATAGATAAAGATCGGAGAGTGGACAAGACAGCAACAATGGCTGACTGCCAGAATAACAACTGACTTTTGAAAGACCAGCCTCAATTTCTTTCTAGAAAAGCCCAAATCAGAAACTTTTGTAAATTTGCCAACACTTGCTGGGTCAGCTGTCATTAATCGTAAGAGGCGAGACAGCTACACTGGATGAGGCCAACCGGAAGACCTAGTAAGCTCATCAACCATTCAGTCATTCAAAGACACCAGATTTAGCCAGTTTAATCCAGCCTTTTCAAACCGTCCAGTTGCCCTTCAGAGTCAGAACCCTTGTGTTCTGAACCCTCTTGGTCCGGAGTCAGTGGTGTTTCCAGGGTCGAACCTGAATTTGGCTGTTCCTTGAATACGGGCACATGTTGGTTCTGGTGAAGGTGGTGAGGTTGTGGCGGGTGAATCTGCGGCTGAATCACCTGTGGAAACATTTGTTGATAAATGTAAGGAGATTGTTGGTCCAGCATTTGCTGGTCCATCATCTGTGGAGCCATCTCCGCTGCATAATAAAACGGCGTGCCGTATTCAGCCACTTGTTGCGGAGCCACAGATTGATACCCATCATAGCTCTTTACCATCATCTGCTGGTTCAAGTTCGAGTTATTGGATCTACCCCAGCTTAGTCTCACGCGTGATCCTCCGATTATGAATCCCTGCATACCGGCAATCGCCTGCTCTGCATCCTGTCTCTTTGAAAACTTCACGAATCCACAACCCTTTCCAGGTGGAATTTTGACCTGAACGATACTGCCAAATGGCTCAAATAGAGTGATTAAAGTCTCTTCTGGAACGCCATTGGCCAATCCACCGACGAAAACAGTCGTATTATTTGGATCGTTAAAAACCTGAGATTGCTGCAGAGATTGAGGAGGAGCGCCGCCATGCTGGCCCATCTGAGGAAGAGGAACACCAGCAGTGGCATAGTAAGGCACAGAAACTTGACCTGGAACATGTGGTGGGGGACCTGTTGCCGTAAGGAACATCCTCTCATCCGATCCGTTGGTCTTTAATCCCAAGTTCTGATGTTTTGGAGTTGCAAGAGCAACTCTGATTGGTCTGTCGCCCAACCAAACACCATTCATCTCGTTCAAGGCCCTTCTGCGGTCTTCTTCGCTGGTGAAACGAACGAAGCCAAAACATCTCGAAGATCCAGTGGTTGGGTCTGTCATCACCCTCACTGTCTTCACAGAGCTGAAGTGGTGCTGAAACAGAGCCAGCAAGTGCGCTTCCGTGGTAGAGGGAGACAAGTCTCCCACAAAAAGAGAAAACTCTGGGGTCTGTGGAATTTGCGCATCCAACGTGGCTCCACTGGCCCAATTGAGTCTGAAGACCTTGCCATTTGAGTTTGGTATGGCAGACCCGTTGAGAGAAAGACCCTCCTTGGCCTCTTCGTAGGTATCAAATTCGACGAAACAGTAGCCAGAATGGTTGAAAAGCGACGTGTGCATGAAATTTTGCTTGGGTTTGATTACCTTGACCAGCACCCGCTTGTTCATGGCCGACCAGATCGAGGTGATATAGTCTTCGTCCCACCACGGCTCTAGATCACCCATCCACAGCGTTTTGGGGGTGACATTGGAGCTTGCGCCCGAAATCTCAGGCGGATTTGGCAAGGGAATGGTGTTGAGGAAGTCGGTAGAGCCTGTTTGCATGGTGTTGAAGTAAACGGCAGAGGATATAAATAGACTGCGAGCTAAACAGATGCGGAAACCCTCAGAGCAAAGATAAAAAAAACAAAACCAAAATATGGCAGCTGAAATGAAGTTAGAAAAAAAATCCAATTGCTTCGTTTGAATTCGTCAACTGCGAGGAGAAAGCTTCAACAGTGGTTAGCAAAATTGGTCTGAGCTGAATATGCGGCCGAACGAGTTTCACGTCAAAAGAACTATCGGCACCACGAAATAATTGTTCCGGGAACAATATCCAATCAAATCAAATCACCAACGATCAAATAGAACAACGAAAGCGGTTTTTCGTTGCTTAGAGTTCAATCTAAACAGGGCTATTCAGTAGGTGGATATCAAACTTGCTGTCTAGTTGGCGTGCCTTCGATGGGTGTGTGACGCAGAGTTCGATCGCTGGATTTTTGTGCAGAAAACCAGGCGTTAAAATGTCAATTCCAACGAGATTGACTTGAATGTCTTGTCCTTGAAAATGTCTCTTGTTGATATTCCGAAATACTCGCGCGAAAGACAACTGTCGCTAAGAGGGGCAGTGGCGAGTATGACAGGGGAAGCGGGTTGAAGCAAGCGCGAACAAGATACTAAAACAAATTGTATCGGTAGGTTTTGGCCAAAGTCCAATTGTCTGACAAGCCTCGGAACAATAAAATGGAAACACTATTGGCTGCGCTATTCACAACACAAAAGGCAAACTTCAGTATGGTGGTTTGAAGTATTATGAAGCCGTAAACGTTGCAAAAGTCAGACTCGGGGATAAAAAAATAAACACGGAAAAGCAAAGCTAAGAAGTCCACGGATCCAATTGAGCCTTTTTCAAGAAGCTGTTTTTGATTGTAGAGCAGTGTCTGATTTATGGCGATACGACAAAGAAAAGAGAGAGGGAAAGGAACTTCGCCCGGAGCAAAGATTAAGTGAGGCGGCCTCCAAATGCGTGCTACATTGACAATGTGATTAAAACGGGACAAAATTAGGATTATGGCTCTAGTGTGCGATTCCAAAACGAAAAAAAGCTGGCACTTCCTCGCTATTTGTCCGCAATCAAGTATACATTGCCGTGCCCCGTTGCCCAACCTCCTGCTAAGCGGACTGTTCAGGGTTCCTGAAAAGAAACCCCGTGCTGTGGGATGAGCGAGGGCGTATGCTGCTATGGCAGGGGGAACTGGAGACTGAACGACTCAGTGTTGGAAACCGAGATTGAAGAATTAGATTTTGCGATGATATTAGGCTCATATGGCAAGTACTTGATGGACTCTTTTTGTATTCCAGGCTGCCTCAATCAGTTTGGAGGTCACCCTTCACTTTCGCGGACCTAATTCTAGCCTCATCGCCCAAAATGTTGGAAAGGGCGTCTGCGTCGAGTCTACTGTTTCCACCGGCTTTGGTTCGGAATTCTGGGGGCCAAGTTTTTTCTCATACGAAGCCCGAAATGAGAACAAGAGCGAGTTCTCGGCGCCTAATCAGGCCTTGCTTCTGAATTTCTGCAGCTCAACTTGACTTTTGCGGTAAATCAGAATAGGGATGATCTGCACTGAACAGTTCCATGGAAAATTCTACACATGAGCACTTGACAGATGATGCCCCCTGATGATGTACACCTGTAGAACCAGTGGGCCTGTTAAGACGGGGTTAACTAGACACACCACTTTTCATTTAACCAGGCCATGAAGCCTCGACTGGACAGAGCTTTTCTGCTGTCTAGTCACTGTCTGCTAAGTGCAAGTTTATTCCGTTGACTAGTGTTTGCTCGTTTTTAAACAGCTTGTCCGCTTTTCCCCTCTCATCTTCTGAGTGCGAGGAAGACTCCCGAGCCTGGTGAATTCCGACAGAGATTCCGCCTTTTCGGAAGTTCAATACTACAGATACAATAAGCATAGCACCCACAAATAGACTCTCCTCTTAAGCTGTTTATTCGTTCCTGAATTCGTGTGGCTTGACGTTTACGGATTTATCCGGATTTGTTGGGGTTCAATCCACCTTATAATCGGGACGCAACCCAGGTCATATGCATGCTCTGCCCGACTCCATAACCGTCAGACATGTGAACCCGTGGATCAAAAGCATTTTACAAGCATTGTTTGTGCGATTGTGCACTGAAATCACACACCGTCTTGGCACGTCCATAAACCCCTTCACCTTTAAATCAGGGACTTTTCGGCTCTGGCCCCCCTGCCTTAGACAGTTTTTCCCCATCTAATCAAAGCAGGTACGGTACAACCTATGATGATTTATCTAGATGTACCTATTTTTTCAACTTACGTCTTTTCCGAGCACAAACTTTAACTCAGTGTTCTTAACCCACAACATGCCAGTGTTGTTTTCTAATCACGCGTCGTCGTATGCTTCGGGATTCACACGGGAATGTCCATCATATCGGGACAAAGAATGTGGATGCCGAATCCTCATAAATAACCCCAAAAGGTGCTGAAAAATGGACACCACTAGGAACCTTAATATAGCTCTAGTCGTGAAAACCACGCTGGCAAAACACTATTGATAGTTGCCGTGGTCTGATGTTACAGTTACTGCATATTCTAGTGAGTAGCGTCACTTTGTTGGTCTAAGCGTTTCAAAAATTCTAAGCTTCTTAAGCTTTTTTCCTAGAATAGTTCTTGTCAATCGCTTCCGAGTCAAAAGAAGGCCCTTGCTCGCAGTCGCGGTCATCCATAAACGGCGCAAAAACCGCCTGGCTGCAGCTGTGTTGAAAAGCACTATGCATTAGGTATGTGCCTGCATTCTAACGGTCACGGTCCAGAACCTGCGGGGACTGAAGTTATTAATGATTTAATGGGCAAAAAAATTACAAATCAAAACAGCCCTCTCAAAACAGGCCACAAGTGGCGTATGGAAAATCTTTTGGGAACGGTTATTTTCACCTCCAAATCATAAACGGCCCGCTGCCGCCTCGGATGGGCGCGTAGTCACCGAAAAACGGATTTTAGAAAGGAAGTGTGCCAACAAGAGATCTAAGCACGCGTACACGTGAAAGAAGACACACCCACTTCACGTCAGAATTTTATTGTTTGGCTGCTGTTCCTATTTGTTCTTTTTTTGGTACGATAAGATGGATTCGAGGTCTACGCAGAGAGAATCTCAGAGAGAAGTGCGGAGAAGAGGTGCCGCAAGCAGACACGTGAGCGCTCCCGACATAAGGATAACTGTGCCATCTGGAGGGACTATCAACAGGCAGAGGAGATTGAGCAAGAGTACGGGAAAATCCCCTGTTGCTGGACTGCGAAGCGTGTTGAACAGAGACCCAAAATCCCCCAAGCGAATTCCTGTACCAGTTCAGTCGTTTAGCCCATCATGGGAAAGTCCCCTTATGACGAGGAAAAGAGTTTCGAAGACGAGGGTTGAGAAACCGAGCTCAAAGAGCCCAGGCAGGGCTAAGAGGAGCAATAAGTTGGAGAAAAGCAAGAAGCCTGGTTTGGGTTTGAAAGCGGGCGCGATAAGTTCTCGAACTCAACAGCCACAGCGGAGAGGAAAGACAAAGAGTCAGCTGCTAAAACCTGCCAGAACCCCCAATGCTAGAGCCCCACGGACCCCACGGACTCCGAAAGCAGTGAAGCAAAAGCCTGTGCGCACTTTTGAGCAAATGGAAAACATTGACCGAGACCCGGAGTCTGAACCTGAAGTCGATTCGGAGTATCATTCGGCTGTAGAGTCCCCTGCTCTGGACATAGACACCAACTCCATGCAGATAAAGTACGAAAGGCTAACCAGGACATCCAAAATCACGACGGTTGATGTTTTGATTGAGATCATCAAGGATTACATCTCTAGGTTCCAGCAGACTACGAGCCACAGCGTGGTTCAGAATAGAATGATCTCCAGGTTTGAGGAGGACGTCGTTGCGCATCTGATGAAGCTAACGGATTTGAGGCTGACCAATGAGAGCTTGAACTCTCAGATTGGCCAGCTCAATAGACAGAAGAACGAGCTCAGAACGCAGATATACGAGGTTCGCGGAAAGCAGTCAGATATCGCAATGGAGTTGAACAAAGAAAGACAGTCATACCATTCTAAGAGACAGCAGAGCTTGATACGAGCCAGAATAGGAAAAGTGTTGTACGAGAAAGACTTCAAAATGGAAGAAATTGGAACGGTGAGGACGAAGCTCAATGATCTGGATACTGTGGTGAATCCTTCATGGGGACTTGTGGAGAAATTGAAGATTACGAACGACAAATTGGACATGCTGAAGCAAATGATAGAATCATAGGCCTCTCGTGTCTTTGTTTGAATACTAGTGTGACTGGTTCAGTTCAAAAAATCAGTAGTATATATTACACCATTACACCCCAAAGTCTAATCCGTCAAACAGGGCTCGTGTCTCAATTACAACCGCGATATCAGTTTCGTGTTCGGGTTACCTTTCTTTGAACTTGGTTTTTCAAAAAGGTGATGTCAAGGCTGTGATCGATACCTGAATTGATATCTTGCTCGACCGGAAATCACCTGGATTTCTGCTCAATCATCTTCGCTCTTCCATTTCTTCAATTTTCTTCATATCCACAATCTTCAGTTGTCATCTGCAATCAAAGCACTGATCATACGGTACAAGTAGTAGAAGAACATCAACAGATGGAAGCCCAGCTTCAAGAAACTCTCTCTCTTGTGCTTCGACAAAGTTCTGAAAATCTCTGTGGCATCCAGGAGATGGTTCTTGTTGTAGATCTTGTTGATGTTGAACGCCAAGACAGGCAGATTCAACAAGAATGCGAACCAGTAACCGTTGATCAAGAAAAGAGTAGATAGAACAGCATGGATCGATGCTTCTGGAATGATGTAGTAGTTCAGCTTGTTGCAAAGCTCGATTGGGTTGATGTAGTCGCATTCCAGGTCACTGTACATGATCGTGAAAAACACCTGCAAGAACAGGTTGATAGCGTTGACGATAACCGCCAGGATAAAGAGCCTGTAGTAGTGGCGGAGGTCACCACAGTGTTAGTACTGGCTCAACGGCCCGATCAGCACGAATCATTTTTGAGTAGACACATACCAGGCTTCTCCAGACATGATAAGCTGCGATTTGATTTGTTGAAAACTTCGGCTTGGAAACGGATGGTTTGGGGATGTGCAAGAGGGTTGGCAATGTGGAATTTGGCGGAAGATCTGAATTTTAGGGGTTCAATGCCGGTGGCTGGAGGTTCGGAGCCTAAGGTAGTGGAAACCAGCGAAAACTGCATCATTAGTGTGCCAACCGTTGGGGCGCCGCACGGGCCGAGGACTGAGTCCACATGACATCCCCGCAATTCGGTGCATTTTGAGAGAGATGGTATATAAACCGATGGCTGGGCAGTTTGCTGTTCATTCCATTTCATTCAACTACTTAGACAGACATTTGCAATGACGTTTTCAGACGAATCCAAAAATATTCTATACGAAGTTCGTGGTAAAATTGCCATCATCCAACTCAACATTCCCAAATCTTTAAACTCGCTGACGGGACCGCAGTATCTCTACCTCGGACAGCTAGTCCAGCGAGCAGATGCCGACCCTAACACACTAATAACTCTTCTTTGTTCTTCGGGACGCTATTTTTCAGCTGGTGCAAACGTCAAGAACGAAGGATTTGAAAATCAAAGTGGAGCCAAGGACGGAGACGAAAACTTCTTGGATACCACGGCGTTGTGGATGTCCAACTTCACTGCGCGCAATGTGTGGCTTACCCAGTTGTTTCTGAACCACTCCAAGATCACTGTTTGTGCGATGAATGGGCCAGCTGTTGGTTTATCTGCCGCCATAGTGGCAATGTGTGATCTAATCTACGGGATGAACGACTCGGTGTTCCTTCTCACTCCGTTTGCCAGTCTTGGGTTGGTTTGTGAGGGAGCCACATCGGTATCGCTATTCCAAAGACTCGGTATCTCCAAAGCGAACGAGGCACTAATATTTAGCAAGCCTGTGCTTTCCAAAGACCTCTACCGTCTGGGGTTCTTGAATGAGCTATACGATTTTAAGGACACCGACCAATTCAACAAGAAGATTGTTGACGACTTGGAAAAGCAAATGGTAAACTTGAATCCAAACTCGATGCTCGAAATTAAGGCTTCAGTGAGAGCAACATACCAGAAGAACTTTGAAGTTGGAAATGTAAGAGAAGCCGTGTTGGGACTACAAAAATGGGTTGCAGGTATTCCGCAAGCCAGGTTCACGGAGTTGTACAAAGGCAGCTTCAAGCATAAGTTATAGACTTGATGGAATCTAGGAAGAAGTGCCCTGGTCAATATTCCGGTTATTTTGATTGTTGTTTTCGTTGCTGTCCATGTTGTTGGAATAGATATTGGACCCATCCACATTGTTTCCGGTATTAGTTTCGTTGAGAATCTCTCTCGCCTTTTCTCTCGCAAGCTCTTCCTCCTCCTCCTTCTCTTCCTTCTCTTCCTTTTCTCCTCTGACAAATCTTGCAAGAGAACCACCACTAACTAAAGAGAACACCATCACGAGGATGGCAAATATACCTGCCATGGTAATGTGCCAACGTAGACTTTCCACATCGGACTTGATCCCACTGATCATCTCACCTGTGATCTTGGAGTTCAAGTCATGGTTTTTCAAGTTCAGCTGCTTGTTGTGTAGGTTATTCTCATGTTTGAATTGGTTGATGTCCATTTTAATCGCGTTCTCGTTCAGATTGTACTGGACTGCTAATTCATCCTCCAGACTGTTGAATAGTCGTTTGAGCTGAATGGACGAATTGGTCAGCTCGTTCATGCTGGAATCTCTGCTCTTTGAAATCTCCACCAAAAGCTCCGATTGTGCGGCATGAAACAGATAGGACTCATTTTCAAGATCAACCTTGGGCGAGAATTTGTTCTCCAGCCACCCCAGTTTCTCCGAAAGTGCTTCGATTAGCATATTCAATATGAGGTCTGCCTGCTCGTCCGAAAAACCACTCTCTTTCAGCTCACTGTATATTTTGTATGTGTCCAAAAGATCATCCTCAATGACCTTTTTTTCAGTTTGAAGATCCGCACTGTATCCATCCAGCTTCTCATTAGTGTCAGTGACCCGGTCTTTGTGCTCCAAGATTGGAATCACTTCGTGGTTGGTGGGCGTATTGGAGAGAGTTTCTAGCAAATCGTGTTCTTTGTTAATCTCTTCTATGGTATTTGAAATATTGTACGATTCCGTCCATGGGGTCTTTGGTGGTGATGTTGAGGAGGATGGGCTGGAAGAACTGTACCTCATCGGTATCGAACGTCGTATTAAGGCATGATGAGGAGCAACGCGTCCTTGTATTAGTCTAGGAGCCAGTCTTCGTAACGAATTTCCTATTATCATTTGTAGTATCTCCCTGATAGGTTCAATATGAGAGCGTTGAATAAACCGCAACTGAACACCAGAGTCCACAAGTCTGGAGCCAACTCCGCTTGATGGCGCTGGTTAGGTAGCGATGTGCTTGACTATCCTCTTCTGAGCTTTTCAAGCCTGAATGCAGCGAGCTATAACCAAACACACTAGACCCATACTCTCCGGTAGAACTCACGATCATGGCGTAAGTATTCGCAATATCTTGTTAGTCATGAATTATGTCGATAGCATTACTAACCTCTTAGCGAACTAATAAACAAAGTCAAGTCTGAGCTCTCACAGACAGAGCTAGAACAGCTCGAGGAGTACGAGTTCAATAACGGACCAATGTCTATCCTGACTACCGCGGTAAAGAATAGATCTACGGTTCTGATAAGTCTTAGGAATAACCACAAGTTGATCGCAAAGGTCAAGGCATTCGACAGGCATTGCAACATGGTGTTGGAGGGAGTGAAGGAGTTCTGGAGCGACTCGGGTGATAATTTGAAGGAGAGGTTTGTGTCAAAGATGTTCTTGAGAGGTGATTCCGTGATTGTGGTATTGAAGCAGGATTGAAAGTTAGGCGAACATCGGTGATGGGAGATCGCATAAAGGAGGCCATGTTGAATTGGAGACCCCGAATTGTAAACTAGCAGCAAAAGGAATAATCTATGTGAGATAGGGAACTGTGGCTCGCATATAAAATGTGTTAGTATCCGTGTATACATGCATTCAGGCTAATATATATATCCATCAAACTTATCCAGTTGTTGTAAATATGATTTGTAACTTGATTTCACATATTTGGCAGTCTCCGCCGCTCCAGCTATCTCTTAAGTATGCTCGAAATTTTTCAGCCTTGGTACACACACCTAGACCAAGCATGCGTCTTAGACTCTCTCGAAAAGTGTACTATATTGAGCACTTATCCAGGGTATCATGCTATCCACATTTTTTTTCAAGCAGCATGGTCTCATACGACAGGGTGCTCGGTCATTTGCGAAGATAACCACGAGATTAGCGGAATATGACGACTCTCTCATAGATAACATCCACAACCCTACACCCTCACTCACACCAGCACAGCTCCAAGAAAAGATCGAGAAAATTCCCATAGAAAACTACAGGAACTTCGTGATTGCTGCACATGTTGACCATGGCAAGTCTACACTTAGTGATCGTCTCATGGAACTCACTGGCGTTGTTGAGCCTGGTGGAGCCAAGAAACAGATCCTGGACAAGCTTGATGTGGAGCGAGAACGCGGGATCACAGTCAAAGCCCAGACGGTCAGCATGATTTATCATTATCTTGGAGAAGACTATTTACTTCATCTTGTTGATTCTCCGGGCCATGTCGATTTTAGAGAAGAAGTGTCCAGATCGTATGCCTCGGCAGACGGAGCCGTATTGCTGGTAGATGCGTGCGAAGGTGTTAAGGCACAAACTATGGCAAATGCAACTCTCGCAAAGACAATGGACTTGACACTGGTACCAGTGTTGAACAAGATCGATTTAGACGGTGCCGATATTCCTAAGGTGCAAGATCAAGTGGCGTCGCTATTTAGTGTCTCAAAAGACGATATGGTCAATGTTTCAGCTAAGACCGGTCTTTACTGCAAACACATCCTCCCCAAGATTGTTGAGATGGTTCCACATCCTTCTGGATGCCTGAATAAGCCGTTAAGAGCACTGCTGGTGGATTCATGGTACGACCCGTACAAGGGTGTCATCCTGCTCATGAACATCGTTGACGGAGAGTTGAAGAAGGGCCAAAAGATTGTGAGTTGTAAGAACGGAAAAAGTTACGAGGTCAAGGAAGTTGGAATAATGTATCCGGACAGAATACCAATGAAGAAATTGAGTGCAGGTCAGGTTGCATATGTTGTTCCTGGAATGAAAAACTCCAGCGAAGCCTTTGCTGGTGATACGTTTTATGCTCTGGGTAAGCGCGTTGAACCTCTTCCTGGATTTGAGCCACCGCAGCCAATGGTATTCGTGGGTGCATTTCCAGCTCAAGGCGAAGACTTCACCACTCTGGACCAGAGTATCCAACATTTGGTCCTAAACGATTGGTCCGTATCTCTCAAACGTGAAACTTCCAATGCCCTCGGCCAAGGCTGGAGATTGGGTTTCTTGGGCTCTCTGCATGCTTCTGTCTTTAGACAGAGACTGGAGAAGGAGTACGGTGCAAAGCTGATTATCACCGCACCAACTGTGCCCTATAAAGTCGTATATAAATCGGGGGAAGAGAAGATCATCTCCAACCCGGATGATTTTCCTGACCTGAAGGAGAAGATGAAGATCGACTATTTGGCCGAGCCATATGTCACAGTCAATATGGTGATGCCCGAGGAGTACATGGATGTTGCCAAGACGCTTTCCACCAAAAATCGAGGTGAGCTGTTGGAGATCAGTCCATCTATGAATTCCCAGGTGAATATGAAATATGATTTACCCTTGTCTCATCTGGTTGATGACTTCTTCGGGAAACTCAAATCTGCAACCAGAGGCTATGCGAACATGGACTATCAGGATGCCGGCTATAAAAGATCTGATATCGTGAAGCTGGAACTTTTGCTAAATGGCAAGGGTGTCGATGCTTTAGCCACTGTGATGCACAAATCACAAGTAGAGAAGAACGCGAGGGAATTTGTGTCGAGATTGAAGGAATACTTGAGAATTCAACAATTCGAGGTGCAAATTCAGGCCAAGGCACAAGGCAGAATTGTTGCCAGAGAAACAATCAAGGCCAGGAAGAAGGATGTGTTGGCCAAACTGCATGCCAGTGATATCACCAGGCGTAAGAAGTTGTTGGAAAAACAAAAGCAGGGAAAGAAAATGCTGAAGGCCACTGGTAGTGTCAGCATATCCAGTGATGCGTACCAGGCCTTCCTGAGACGCAATTGATGATAATACGCACGTTGTGTCCGGGAAGAGGGACCTATTGATACATACAACATAAACCTTGTAATATTGTACATACTGCCAAAACTAACCGGTCATGCAAATCGAAAATTTCATCGTGCGTGACTCAGAGCGATATTGAATGAGTCAACGCTTGACTGAAAGAATATTGTTTTATTTAACTTACTGCTTTTGTTGTTTTAAGTTTTACTTTTAGATAACTTATATTAATTCTCAGATATGGCTGGAAAAGTTATTTTGCATCTGAGAGCTGAAAAAAAGCCCATGGAGGCAAGAGCCGGTCTGACTCCATCCACTGCCAAGGAGCTCCTTGATACCGGTGACTTTGAGATCTTTGTTGAAGAGTCTACTCAGTCCACCTTCAAGTCCTCCGAATACAGTGCAGTTGGATGTACAATTGTTCCAGAGGGTTCGTGGGTCAGCGCTCCAAAGGAGAGAATTATTATTGGATTGAAAGAGCTTCCTGAAGAGTCCTTCCCTCTGGTTCACGAGCACATCCAGTTTGCCCACTGCTACAAGGACCAGGCCGGATGGCAAGATGTTCTTTCAAGATTCCCAGCCGGAAACGGTGTTTTGTATGATCTTGAGTTCCTTGAGAACGACCAGGGAAGAAGAGTTGCTGCCTTTGGTTTCTACGCTGGTTTTGCTGGTGCTGCTCTTGGTCTCCAAGACTGGGCTTTCAAGCAGACCCATTCCGACTCCGAGAACCTTCCAGGTGTAACTGCTTATCCTAATGAGGATGAGCTGATCGCCGATGTCAAGGTTGACCTGGAAAAGGCCTATGCTACCGGTGCTTCCAAGCCAACTGTGTTGGTGATCGGTGCTTTGGGAAGATGTGGCTCTGGTGCCATTGACCTCTTGAAAAAGGCTGGTATTCCGGAGGAGAACATCAAGAAGTGGGATATGAAGGAGACCGCTCCAGGTGGTCCTTTCAAAGAGATTGCCGAGAGTGATATCTTCATCAACTGTATATATCTGTCCACTCCAATCCCTCCTTTCATCAACTACGAGCTGTTGAACTCCGCTGACAGAAAGCTCAGAACCATCGTTGATGTCTCTGCTGACACCACCAACCCACACAACCCAATCCCCGTTTACACCATTGCCACTGTTTTCAGTGATCCAACTGTGTTGGTCCCAACCACTGCTGGTCCCAAGCTGTCTGTTGTCTCCATTGATCACTTGCCTTCGTTGCTCCCAAGAGAGGCCTCCGAGTTCTTCGTGACTGATCTGTTGCCATACTTGAAGCAATTGCCTCAGAGAGATAGCTCTCCTGTCTGGGTCAGAGCCAAGAAATTGTTTGAGAAACATGTTGGACGTTTGAGTGCCCAAAGCTCTCATATTTAATTCTCTTTAGAGACTGTTAATTGTATGTTTTGAATATACTATTCGTTTTTTCGCAAAAATGTAGAATATACGAAATGCCGAGACATTTTTAAAGAGGGGGAAACATGAGCTTCCAATTGAATAATAAAATCAAAATAGACCACAGATTTACTGAATATAACATATAATATCTGTAATTTCTCTAAGAAATCCCTTAAAACACCAATCGCTTTGTATAATTACAAATTCAATTTGATGCCCCAAACGGGTCAACTAAGTGATGAGCCTGTCCCAAAAAAAATTGAAAAACTTGTGACACTCACACATAGAGTTATAGGGCCAAGTATACTAGCTCCATATAGACTCCACAATTTCTCTGACTATTTTTCTTTGGATAACATGAGTGAATGGGAAAGAATGAGATATTTAGCCGAGCCTGGTGAGCCGGCTCTTCCTCCACAGCTATCGCAGTATGCAGACAAGTCTACTGAAGAGGTCCTGGGAGAGCTCAACAGATTGCCTCTGTTCATGAACGAGCTGGACCCTGCCAACGGCGATGAAGGGGCCAACACGCAGTTAGAGGCTTTAAAGGCTCTAGCTTATGAGGGTGAACCTCACGAAGTAGCAGGAAATTTCAAAAACCAAGGGAATGACTGTTTCAAGGCCAAAAGGTACCAGGATGCCATTGATTACTACAAAAGGGCTCTTGATGTTGGATGTGAAGACCCCGTTTTGAACTCTTCTTTGCATGCGAACACAGCAGCGTGCAATCTTGCACTCAAAAATTACAGAAGATGCATCAACGATTGCAAGGAGTGTTTGAAATATGACTCCAAGAACATAAAGGCACTGTATAGGTCAGCTCAAGCCTACTTTCTCATCCAGCATCTAGATGAGGCTGAGGCGGTGTTGAGCTATGGTTTATCGCTTGAGCCCGATAATCCGTCACTCGTGAGTCTCCAGGAACAGATAACAACGAAAAGGGTGCGCCAGAGAGAGTTAGCGTTAAAGAAGGAAAAGGAATTGAAGGAGAAACAACTGGTAGCAGAGACTCTTCAGCGGGCTTTGACCTTGAGAGGTATACTCATGCTCAATTATGCAGAACCACTCGAGCACATGAAGGAGACTACTATTAAGCTGGAAGATGCGCATGATGTTGAAAGCCAGCTGATATTCTCAGTATTGGTACTATATCCTACCACCACCGAATTTGATCTGGTTGATCAGATAAGTGAACTGACCACTCCCAAGCAGATCATGGAAATGGTGACAAATCGTGATCCTGAATATTACAAAGACCCTCAGCATCAGGAGTTCACAACCAAAAAACTCGAGGCCTATATGGAAACGGAATCTGGAGGAGTTGTGAAAGTTGGTAAGAACGTTGATCTCAGCAAGGTGCTCATGACCCCCAGCCCGAAGATTCCTATGTTTGACAACTATCTGAAGCTGTATCTCGTGCCAAAATCTGCTGCTCCTGATTGGCTGCAAAAATGGGATAAGGATGTTCAATTGAAGAGACGTATAAAGAAATAATAAGAATGTCAATAGTTGTCCGGTTTGAAGTTGGATGTTTGAAATTTCATCAAAGCCGCACATACAGAAGTATATATGTAGTGTACCTACCGTATGGAGTTTTTTTTCGGCCTACGCATAGGTACAACATTGATCTTGCATTACAAATCTTTGATTATTCCGGTTTTTCAACAAGTAAAGCTAGTGAAAATGGAGGGAGCAGTTGCAAAGAGAAAGGTTCTATCAAGTGGACTAACTGTGTCTCAAAAGGTCTTTGTGAGGTCTCGGAATGGAAACGCATCTAAGATTGTGAGGGAACATTACCTGAGGGACGACATACCTTGTTTCTCCCAAGCCTGTACACAATGTTCTGAGCTCTACCAATCAGACAATGGGACAGTGATATCTGCAGTCTTGAGTGAATCACCTTCTTCCTTGCAGTCCTCGAATATTGGTCGTCACTATGTTTTGCTCGATACAAACGTGGTTCTTGGAGCCATAGACCTATTGGAAAGTGATTCTGTGTTTTTCGATGTGGTGATTCCTCAGACTGTTTTGAACGAGGTCAGAAACAAAAGTTTGCCAATATACACCAGGCTGAGAGCTTTGTGCAAGTCTGACGACAAAAGGATAGCCGTGTTCCACAACGAGTTCAGTTCTTCTACCTTCGTCAGCAGAAGGTCTGCAGAGACTATTAACGATTATAATGATAGGCTTATCCGAACAACGGCATCATTTTACTCCGATCACCTTAAGTCTACTGGTATCAAGATGATATACATCACAAACGACAAGAATAATCTGGAGTTGGCTCTCGCAGAATCATTGGATGCCATGTCACTGGAAGCTTATATCGGTCTTCTCCCAAACTCACAGGAACTGTTAGATCTGTTGCCAACTCTCAGAACCGACTTCTCACGATCTGGCACGAAACTGAAGTTTCCAGATTACTACAGCACATCGAGACTTCTGGGAGGTATTAAGAATGGCACTTTGTACCAAGGTATCATCAACATCTCCTCTTACAACTCGCTGGAGGGTTCCATTTCCGTGTCTTCTCTTCCAAAGCCATTGCTGATTCTTGGTAGCGAGAATCTTAATAGAAGTTTCAGCGGTGACACCGTCGTTATTGAGATGCTGCCCAGAGATAAATGGAAAAAGCCTTCCAACGATATTGTGGATGAAGAGACACTGGGGTCAAGCGAAAATGCAGACAACGATGATCCGGAATCTGTGATATCCGACAGAGAGCGCAGATTGCTCACCCAAGAGGCTGTCAAAGCCCAAACTTCAGGTAATGACGACGATCGCGTATTCCCAACGGGTAAGGTTGTCGGTATATCCAAAAGATCCTGGAGATCGTATGTTGGTCAAATATCTGCCAGATCAGTCGACAAAACTCAGTCCAGCAATGCCACCAGATCTGTGTTTGTTATCTTGATGGACAGATCGCTACCCAAAGTGAGGATTAGAACGGGTAGGGCCAAAGATTTGGTTGGAAAGAGAATCGTTGTGTCTGTGGACTCCTGGCCTGCGAACATGTCTCATCCGGAAGGCCACTATGTCAGAACCCTTGGTGATGTTGAGGATAAGGACGCTGAACAAGAAGCTTTATTGCTTGAACATGATGTGGAATATAGACCATTTTCGAAAAACGTTCTTGAGTGTCTTCCAAAAGAGGGACATGATTGGAAGGTTCCAGAAGACCTAAACAATGGAGACCCTCAGTTGGCCAAGAGAAAGGACTTGAGACATAAGCTTATTTGTTCCATCGATCCTCCTGGATGTGTTGACATTGACGACGCTTTGCATGCTGAGAAACTCCCCAACGGAAATTTCGAGGTCGGCGTTCATATAGCTGATGTTTCTCACTTTGTAAAGGCCAACACAGCTATTGATCAGGAGGGTGCTTCCAGAGGTACCTCTGTGTATTTGGTGGATAAGCGAATTGATATGTTGCCTATGCTGTTGGGAACGGATCTTTGTTCGCTGAAACCCTACGTTGATAGATTTGCCTTTTCGGTACTCTGGGAACTAGATCAAGATGCCAACATTGTGAATGTCTCTTTCACCAAGTCGATCATAAAATCCAGAGAGGCATTTGCCTATGAACAGGCTCAAAACAGAATTGATGACGAGTCTCAGAAGGACGATTTGACCAAGGGAATGCGTTACCTGCTTGCGCTATCCAAGAAGCTCAAGCAAAAGAGAATGGATGCAGGTGCTCTCAACTTGTCGTCTCCTGAAGTCAAAGTTCATATGGACAGTGAGACCTCAGACCCAGGTGAGGTCGAGATCAAGAAATTGCTTGACACGAATTCTCTTGTCGAGGAATTCATGCTTCTTGCCAACATCTCTGTGGCTAGAAAGATCTTCGATGCGTTTCCTCAAGTCGCCATGTTACGTCGCCATGCCAGTCCTCCACAGGCCAATTTCGAACAACTGAACGAGATGCTTCGTGTCAGAAAGAATATGGCTGTTTCCCTTGAAAGTTCCAAGGCTTTGGCGGATTCTTTGGACCGTTGCGTCGACCCCAATGATGCTTATTTCAACACGTTGATTAGAATCATGGCCACACGTTGCATGATGTCTGCTGAATATTTTGCTTCTGGAAACTACAGTTACAACGATTTCAGGCATTATGGTCTCGCGGTTGACATTTACACCCATTTCACTTCGCCAATTCGTCGTTACTGTGATGTGGTTGCTCATAGGCAATTGGCAGCTGCCATCAACTACGAGCCGCTTAGCATCATCCATCGCGACAAGACGAAGATGGATTTGGTAGTGAAGAATATCAACAAGCGTCACAGAAATGCTCAGTTTGCTGGTAGAGCATCTATTGAGTACTACGTGGGTCAGGTGATGAAAAATGCCGAATCGCTAGAGGAAGGCTATGTCATTAAGGTGTTTTCTAACGGGTTCGTGGTATTGGTTCCGAAATTTGGCGTTGAGAGTTTGATAAAGCTGAATACTCTGACTCAATCTGGAGCTGCCAAGTTTGATGAAGAAAATTTCAAGTTAACATTTACCACTGAGGCCGGTGAAGAACGTGAAATAGCTGTTTTCGACCGGATCAAGGTGCAAGTCAAGTCGGTACTCGATGAAATGACAAGCAAGAGGAAAACTCAACTCGTGCTGGTCTAAACTGCCGGAGTTTCATTCATAGACATGTAGTTTATTTAATGTCATTTGATTATTCGAGCGTAATATATGAAGCAGACTGAGTCCGTGCGGATATATATTTGCTTGCACACGTAAAGTCTATCTGGGAAAATAAAATAGTTGTGCACTACACATCCCATCCCAATTTATAACAAACGTAAACACAGCATTGATCCGTTATCGCTTCTTCCAGAGGGAACCCTGTCAATTACAGCTGGCGTGAAGATGGAAAGTTTTTGGGGAGCAAAGGCTGTGCCTCAGAACTCAACCAAGAGGTACTTGATTGGGTCATCCAAATGGGTGGCATGCGAGCTACTCAAAACCAGTGAGAGGCTGGAGATGTACTATAGCTCAACTGCCGAATTGGTTGGCCAGGAGCTTGAGTGGATCAATGACATACTCGGGACTGATGGGGGTATTTCTGAGATGTCAGTGAAACTTCAGGCCTGTGTTAGTGTTGCGTGTGACATTACTGATACCGCAAACATGTCAAACACAGCAGCCACTGTTGCTAGCGAATCGACCTCACGGAAGAGAGAGATTTCGCTGTTGGAGGCATCCCCACTTAAAATTGAGCCCAAGAAATCCAGGCATTCGATGGGAGCTGAAATGGCTGAGTTGTCGAAAAAATCGTTCCCAGAGATTAAGGTTCAAGCTATAGAGACAGGCCATATAGAAAAGATGGAGGTCGACGTCACGAATTCTGTCGAGCAAGCAACTTCTGGCGTTACCGAGGTTATAAGTGAATTGGAAATCGATAAATCTGTCTTACCAGAATCAACAGAGATCCAGGTGTCGGGCGATGTGAAGGATGTCACTAGTAGGGCTGAGCAGTACTTGGTGCATGAAATGCCACAGCAGCCCGAACCAAGCTCTACTGTTGGAAAAATCGAGCCTGAAGTTGTCACTGTTGCATTGCCACAACATCAGGACTCGGATCTACCTACAAATAATGCTGCAGATGCTCAAAAGGCTACGATAGCAACCGATCAAGGTTCTCCAAAAAGAAAAACACTCACTCGCAAAACTCCAACTGCTCAGAAAGCCGCATTTGCTTTTGCGACGCTTCCCTCAAGAGGTCCTTTGACTTCAAAATCAGCCAAGTCACAGGATACGAGAAGTGAGCCCAGCAAAGTGGCCTTGATGAATAAGAACAAACAAGGTGTTAGATTGCTTTCTGCTGCATTGAATACTGACGTGAAGACTGACCTGAAGAGCGATGTGAAAACAGACGCCAAGACTGACTCGAAGATCAAGTCTTCAGACACGACAAAACCAACTAGAGACAGCTTCTACACCCAATTGACTGTTTCGCCTACTCCCAAACCGCTGGCGCAGCACAGTGTGAGAGATGCTGATTGGTTGGCAAAGAATATGATGATGAAGAAGAACCCACAAGAGGACTCGCCGTTTATAGAAACAAAGGCAGTGATTCCGCCTCTCAAAACTGGCTGGCTTACTGTCCCCCCACTGGGACAGCCTTCACTCTCATCGCCAATCAACAACGGTGGATCGCCTATCAAACAACCAAGCACGAAGTCCTTCACAAAGACATCAAAAATCGAACGTACCAGTCTACTAGGCTCATTTGCTCGGAGAGTGATGTCACCCATAAAGACTGCACTATCTCCAAAACAATCGAAGGTGACTGCCGAAGTGGTTCAAAAACCTATCCTACAGCCTTCAAACTCCCAGAGAAAGTCCCCTGCTCGCCCAGACGTTTCCCATTTCATGCAGCCAACTCAAGCAAGTGTTGCGAGAATGACTGCAGAGCAAAGGATAAAGGTCTCCAGAGAGTCGCCAACTCGTTTTGAGAGAAACGCAATTGATCGGTCAAAAGATACTACCGAGACCGATTTAATATCCTCCAAAAGGTCAGTGTTATCTCCTGTTTCACGTATCGAGTTCAGAGGTACTTTTGCTAAGTCAGAAGCCAAAAGCAGAATACACAAGCCAGAGTTTTCGCTACTTAAGCATCCTCTTGGTATCAGACGTGAGGCAGATGCCAGGCTTGAGGCCAGTAAGTCTCGCGGGACTTTGAACATTGCACAGCCTGCTCCGTCTGTTATTGCCAGAAAAGCAGCTTCTAATGAGAAAACAAAGCCGTTGCACAGAGTGGTTTCCACTAATGAGAAGACGAAACCATTCGAGAAGGCAGTTCCTAATGAGAAGAATACAATTGACAGAACAGCATTGACCAAGCCGGTTCCTCTTACAACATTGTCGCTATCCACACATCCTTCGAAGGTTTTACCAGTGAAAGCAATGATGAAGCCAGATTCCGATTTGGCTAAACAACGTCAAAGTGCTTCGCGAGAGGGACTGAATAGAACATCTCGGTCTTATGCCAGAACCACCATGCGAACATCCCAATCTTCCAGAAACGCTGTCACGGGCAAAAAGCTCTCTGTTGGCTTGAATTTGGTGAATAGCGAGGAGCATGACCTAGTGGTACCAAAAGAGACGAGGCAAGAGTTTATTCAGAGACTATCGTCGAACCTTAAGTCGTCTGCTTCTTCCAAGGTGTTGAAAGAAAAGCATCTAAACGAAAAGAAATCTTTCGGAACAAAGAATTCTCGCGTTTTGCAGACCACAAGGGATACCATCAGAGACGTCTCGGCGAAGAAACATCCGATCAAGTCCCTCTCAAAGGAACCGGTACCCTTCAACGAGACTTTGCCTGAGATATTCTCTGATGATGACCAAGACAGTGCACCTTTCAAGGATTGGGCAAAATCGCCGAATCTTGCAGGAATCTTACTCTCTCAACAGCGCATTGACCCAAGCACCATCTTTGGCCAGATACCCAAGGTCACGGACGATGTGTTCAAGACCTACGATAAAAGACGGCCACGCACATCCTCAGCCCAATGGAATCCAAATGATATGGTGACTGAAGAGGAGAAGGAGAATTACAAGTTGAAAATGGGGTTTCAGTCTTCCCGTATTGTATAATTAATAGCACCTGTTTTGGCCGTGTTCAATAATATAATGAGATATTGAGGTAGTGCGTTATTACTAAGACTTCGCCGCATTCTTGTTTTGTCACGTGATAGATTGTGAATCCAGCCAATGGAAGCGCAGAGAAAACGGGGAGTAAGAAGAACGATTTTTCGTTAGGTACACGTCGGAACAACCAGTAACACCATTGGTGCAAACTCTCGAATGAATTGAATTCAGACTGTGATCCAGTACACTTCAGGCTGGCGTAATAGATACAGTGCGTTTTTCGAACAATGTTGTCCAACCTTGCATTCAAGCAGATCTCTAAGAGAGGTTTGGGATTGAAGTCTATTGGTATGTTATTGTCGGGTGACGTTTACCGACTCGGCAGATTTGACAAACTTGTAGGAGACCGTTGAAAAGGTTTTTCTCCAACGTCGACCAAATCTAGAGTCAAGGACTTAATCTGTGATGGATTCAAGCTTGATAATGAGGATGATTTGCTTGGCAATTGTCCCTTTTGAAGTTCTACTCAGATTGCCCTTCCGTCCATTCTTTCCGAACCACTTGTTTTGTACTAACAATCTACACAGCTTCAGCACCTAGATTTCTTTCTTCCACCTCCACCGCTTTGAAGTCCACTTATGACTCTCCAGACTTCTCGAACTACCTGAACAGCAACAAGGGCTCCTCTGACAAGAGCAGAGACTTCACATACTTCATGGTTGGTTCTTTCGGTGTGCTAGGTGCAGCTTCTGCCAAGTCGACCGTTGAGTCTTTCCTCTCTACCATGTCTGCTTCTGCTGATATCTTGGCCATGGCCAAGGTTGAAGTCAAGCTTTCTGCCATCCCAGAAGGTAAGAACGTCATTGTCAAATGGCAAGGTAAGCCTGTTTTCATCAGACATAGAACCTCTGGTGAGATCGAGGAGGCAAATGAAGTTGATATCTCTACCCTTAGAGACCCACAGAACGATGCTGACCGTGTCAAGAACCCAGAGTGGTTGATCATGTTGGGTATTTGCACCCATTTGGGTTGTGTCCCAATTGGTGAGGCTGGTGATTTCGGTGGTTGGTTCTGTCCATGTCACGGTTCCCATTACGATATCTCCGGAAGAATTAGAAGAGGCCCAGCTCCATTGAACTTGGAGATCCCAGAGTATGAGTTCAGTGATCCAGACACCCTGGTTGTTGGTTAAGGAGGTAACGCAGACGAATTGAATGAATTCACAAAACATGTAAAGAAGCAGACGAATTAATGCTAATAAAGCATTTCAGCAAACGAAATCTATTTGAAATATCAGCCCTTAAATATCGGGGTATAATTGTAGCCACTTAGCAAGATCGTCTGGAATGTCGGACCAGCTCTGAGAGACTGAAGGTTTGTCAGAAGGCTGAAGTTCAAGGTTAAGACGTTCCCATTCTTCCTCGATCTCTTTTGGAAGATTATCGGGACCTTCGTAATCCGAAACATAATGCCGTCTCCAGTAGAAACTCCAGTGCGCTTGTGCACCTTGCGGGATGAGTCTTCTTCTCCCCAAATTGGGTACATACACTCTTCGCCATTTCTGGCTCTCGTCCTCAATAAACACACCAATTGGAATTATTTCCAGAAGCCACCAAAATAATGATCTCAAAAACGAGTCATCTCCTCTGCTATCAAAGTTTTTGATTGGCTCGGCTGGGGGCCCGTCAAGTGTTTTTGATGAGGGAAAAGCTGCCGTATGCTTCTGGTCATCTTCACTTGTTGGCACAAAATGTCTATGATGGTGAGGCGTCATCCAGGGATCAGCATCCGGATGATTCATCGGAACATTTCGAAATGTCCATAGTGGATCATGGTGACATGAAAGGAGTGAATCCAATGAAGGATGTTGGTCTGCAAATTCGTGAATTGCGTTTTTCTTGAATATAACCCCAAACTCAATTGCAGATGCAAGCATCCATCTCAGAGCCACATTTGCCATGTTTTGGCCATTGAAATCCTCAGGCCATGCTCCTCCAATGTCTCCATGACATCCTGGAAACCAGAGTTCAACCAGGTCGGTACTGATATGATCAGCATCGGTAACGGCCATGCTATGTTCCGAGCCCGATAGGTCTCTTCCAAAAAGTTTTTGGAAAAATGACTGAGAACGCTTTCGTGGACATGTTATTACCTTCTGCTTACATGTCAAAGGGTACAATGGTTGAGTGTACGATATAGGAACGAACAGATTCTGCTTGAACTTGCCTCTCCTTTCGTCCATGCTGACTGCATGACGAACATGCTTCACAGTATCGCTCCAGGAAGAATATGGGAATAAGCGATCCCTCACAATACCAACAGAGTTGATGGAGTCCCACAAACCCATGAAGTGGATACACACATTTGGTCTGGAGAACGTTGTTTTAAACTCGTTAGCAACTTCGTCAGAACCGTAATTCTCATCTGGTTGCCCGTCATGTTCCCAAGTCCTGTGGACCTTCCAAGCAGTGGATACCATATTCTCAAGCCCGGAATTTAGAAGTCCAACCCTTTCAATCATTCCTGCAAGAACACGTGCAGTGAATGCTCCTCGACTAGACTATTGGTTAGTACAAGCAAAAAGAGAAAATGTAAGGGACTCATAACCTACCTGAAACCAAACATGTAGATTTTATCCCCTTCCTTGTAGAACTTCATGAGCCAGGTATAAGCATCAATTATGTGTGCATCCAATGAGTAAGCAATTAGAGTATCGATATATTCCATTCCAGTAGCGTATGCCTTTGTAAGATATGCCCCTTCGGTGAGCCTTCCAAATTCGGCCGTCATTGCAGCACCAATTCCAGCTATTGATTATTAGAAACTGAGAAAAGTAGTTGATATGATGGTTTGCATACGTTGGTAGTAACATATTTGATTGTCATTGTCCTTTTCTAACATTCGAAAGAGCTTCAAAACGTTTGTAAATGGCAAGGATTCAAACTGATTATGAGTTCCATCGAAGCAAAGAATGAGGTTCCTGCTAACAGCAGGATACTGTGTCATGTTGATGACGCAAATGTTCGATTTTCAACTTGATACACAGTTTGTTAGTTGCTGATTAGTCTTGCTGGAAAGCAATTCTCTTGTCAATTCAAGAGGCGATGTGGTCCTATGTCGCGAAGGAGGCGGTTTAACTTTTGAGACATACAACGGATAGCCTGTTGTAGGTAACGCACTACCTCACGTGACCAGAAATTTTTTTTCATGTAGAAGAGCTCTATACATTTTGTGTCTGAAGTACAACAGCTTCATGCTTTACTGATAACACAAGCGCAATTTGCCGGAATGTCTGCTAATTTTTCAGATAACTTCATAATCGCATCTTTGCCACGTCAGGCCCTGCTGGCCGACAGCAGTGCCTCCAAGTTCTGCGTGGCCTCCCCTCTGGCAAACGAGGCCTACGGCAAGATAGACCTAGCCATATCTGGATCATTTATCGCAACATATATACAGAGACCCACTCCAAGAATGGTGTGGTCTGAGGCTATTGCACCTCAGGCGAAGGTTACATCTATTGCAGTGTACAACAAAGATTTTTCTGACGAACAAGTTAACTTCGCTGTGGGTATAACCGAGAGGAAGAAATCATGTGTGAGGCTGATAACAAGACGCAAAGCAAGCTCCGAAGACTTAGACTCAGCATCTGGAGATCAAAAGTCTTTTGTTATACCGACTGAAAAACCTGCTGTGGAGCTGAGGTTCTCCAAGGACGGAGAAGTTGTTTTCTGTCTATTTCAGGACTCTACTACTGCTGTCATACCCTTTGGAACTGATATCATGCCTGAGTTGGAATACTCAGGAGATCTGTTGAAACAATCATATTTTCATTCGTTTCTCGACGCACGTTTGGTGGGAGGTATAAACAGCGATACGAGCGCTGAGGGCTTCTTTCTGTATGTTGGAAAAAATAGCCGAGGCTCTTCCTTTGATGTCAAGTTGTATGCTCTGGTTGACAGAGAGTGCCTTGAGATTCTGTCAACGGATCTGCAAATTGAAATTGCGAAGCCGAAATTCTTGTTCAATGCTCCTGGCACGCTGATAGCACTGGACGAGGAAGGGAAAACCATGCAGACATACACGTTTCCGTCTTTGAAGCCCAGGAAATCTATTGATTTGAGGGGAATTATAGCCAAAAATGGCGAAGTATCTGTTGTTTCTGTCGCACCAAACAGAATTGCAATTTCCTCCGGAAGTTCTGTATTTTTAGTTGATGTCCTTCATGAAGCCGTGATGGCTTCTTACGAGATGGTCTCGCCAGCCAAGGCAGAATTCACTACTGTCGAACTCATTGAATCCGCCTTTGTCAAGGGAAACTCACAAAGCTCGAAAAATACATTTTTACTTGTGGTGGTGAAAAATTCCAGAGATAACACCGCTACCTTGCAGAACCTCAAGGTTGATGTTGGACTGGGAAGACTCAGAGATGTTTTGGGAAACAGTACTCTCAAGTTCAATAGAGAGAGGTCGCTGAAGTCGCAGTTGAATGGAATTCCTCGAGTTATGGATGTCATAAAATCGAATTCATTTGAGTCAGAGGAAGCCGTCAACAAGAGCGAGCTTTTGGGCCTTTTGGAGTATCTGAGCAAGACCTACAAAGAGGGCAATTATGAGTCATTTGACTCGGCATTTGTTTCTTTCATGAAGGGAGAATCTCTCGCAACTGTCTCTCAAAATGGAAATGCCAAAAAAGTGAAAAAAGTCAACAACTTCTCCAGGGTGTATGAGATTGATCATGACCGTGTTGTAGATCATACCTTTGTCCATTTGGTGGTGGACATGTTGCTCGGATCCCCTACAAGCGAAGCCCTTGAAGCAGAGTCTGTTCCCATTGAGTCTCTCACTTATCTGTTAACCCATCCCCTATTTCCAACAGACTATGCCAAGGTTGTGCTGAAAAAGCTGGCCGCATATCCAATCCTCACCAGACAGGCGGTTGTCACATGTCCGAACATTCCATGCATTGATCTCATTCACGAGCTGAGTGTGATCGACAACGACGACATTTTCAAAGATGTCTTGATTAGGCTGGTAGAGGAGTTCTCCAGCGATAGAATCACTCAGGAAACCATACGGCTTTCCAACACCGCATCCGAAACTGGTGGGCCTTCGTTCGACCTGGACAAAATCATAAGAAAAATCATCAAGTTGAATTTCGGCTTCGAAATATTGAACTCTTTTATCGACTCGAATGGTCTTATTCTGAGTTTGCAGTATTCTTCGGACGCTGACCGTTTGTCCAAGCTGCTATCCAGAGTGGACAAGCAGGTTGACTCTTTGGTCTCTGACTCCCAGTTGTTGACCATCGTGAATAAGTGCATACACGCAGTATCATTGGAGGCTAAGAAGTCCAGAAAGAAGAAGAATGGCTTACCTGTTGAGGAGGATAACATTTCAGCAGTGTTGGACCAGGCTAAGATCAGAGTAGACTCGATGTTGCCTATCACCGAGGCTTCTGCTGGCCGTGGAAGAGATGACGAACTCTTGAAAAAAGTTCCGGTTTATTCTTTAGAAAGACTTACCTTGTAATATAATTGGGTCTATTTCATTCATCATAATCGTTTCGTTAGTTTGCGTTGCTCAGACGTAGGTATCTTTGTGCAGGCAGTTTCTCTAAGATCCTTGCTTTGAGCTGGGAGACATGTTCACCAATAAGGCAAATGATATCCCATACTTTATCGTCCAGGCTCTGACCTTGTAACGACTCGCTTTCGCCATGTGAACCATGATGCAAGTCATGTAAATAAAGCTCATACTTCACTATGTCTTTCCTTGTGATCAGACCACTCAGTTGTCCCGAATCTTCCACGAACACGACTCTGGGTCCCAGCTTGTGAAAAATATTCAGTAGAACCTCCAAAGGTGTAGATGATGGAACTGTCAATGGAGCCAAGTTTACGTATTTTTCGAAAGAAATCACCGCACCATCACTCTCGAGTTCAAACGAGTCCTTCTTCGGTAAAGTTTGAGTCTCAGAAGTCAATGATTGCTGTTTTCCCTCGGACACAAATACACATTCCACATGGGTGTCAATCACCACACCCGATGCTTTTTCCTCGTTGATACATTTGATGATATCAGCCCTATTTATAAAGCCCAGTTGGGAAGGGTTGAGCTCAGAGACAACAATAGGAAATGAGACATATGTGGTATCCATCAGCAATGCCTCTAAGTCCTTATATTTCAGCCCGCGAGCAGGAATAGCCACTACAGCATTTGACATTGCCTGAGAAACGGATGTGTTGAATTCGTGCTCCTCCTTTGCATCAATGAACGGAAGACCGTTGAACCTGATCATTTGGTCTGCAATACCTCCATGCCCCCATCTGTCGCCGATAGTCTTAGTAACACCAACGACTATCATGGTGGGTAGAATGTAACGAACTGCACCAGTCAGTTCAAACATCACCACGACCACTGTTGCATGCAAATTTGTGATACCGCTCAAAGCAGCAGCAGCACCCAGGAACGCATAGGTTCCCGAAATTACACACGTGGACGACCCTTCGGCCTTGCAAACATCAAAAAGTCCCATTTCGGGATAATGAGACTCCAAAGACTCAACAATTAGCCCCAAAGCCCTCCCAAAAGTAGCACCTGCTGCCATTGAAGGCACAAAAATTCCAGCAGGGACTTTACAGCCATAGGATATTATCACCAACACCATGCGCATTACCGTAGCAAAGGCCAATGAGAAGAAGAACTTCACATTATTCTTATCTTTGGAGCAAAGATCATGATCCCAGTCGGCACCGCATTCGTGAAACAAGATTTCCATTCCCTTGGTCATATCGAGCCTCAGAAATTCGTTGAAATAACCAATCATAGCCGTAAGCGTTGCCAAGATCACCACCTCCCTGATGGCATGGTTTTTCAGGAATTTCTGTCTAAAAGCAACAACCCTGACATTTAACTTAGAAACAACAATGCCATATACACCACCGAAGATTCCCAAGATGATGAAGAACGGAACCTCAAACAAGTGCCAGTTCTGGTCATAAGTTACCTCGAAGATGACTATTTGTCCTGTTCGGAAGGGATTCATTGCTGCCATGACTCCTGTTGCAATCAATGCACAAAAATACGATTTCCACATAGAAGACAATTGAAAAACGCTCGAGATTTCCTCGATGGAGAACAAAACTCCGCCCATGGGCGATGCAAAAGCTACAGCAACACCCGCAGCAGACGCAGCTGTCAGGTATTGACGCGAACTAGATGCAGACCTCCGGAATCTTGTGAATAGGCTCGGAACACAATTCCCAACACATGCAGCGTAATGAACACTGGGTCCTTCTTTACCCACACTCAACCCCGAAGAGATTGCTAAAGGAAGAGCAATGCTTTTCACCAATAAGGTCCACCAGCCCAGAAAGTTCTCCATGACAAATCCCGAGACAATGCACTTAATCTCGGATATCCCAGAGCCAGCGGCCGAGGGAGCATAATGCTTGACCAGAATGGCAGCAGTCAATGCCAGTGCGATGGATATCAAGACAAAGATCACATAGTTGAAAAATCCAAACGATGACCAAGGCACCCAATCTTTACAACTTGCTTCTTCTCCTTCACCCCAGCAGCAAAATGATCTGTTTAAGTAAAAATGCGAAGAGCACCTTCCAGTCTTAATGTCTCCCATAAATTCGGTAATGATGCTCAAAGAGGCAGCTATGAAGCCGATCATCACTCCCATCAGCGTTAAAACGATCCACGACTCGCATGATCTCAGCAGCTTGTCCAAAAACGGATTTATGCGCGTGGTATTGCTGCTAGTCAATCCCTGCTCTGTTAAATGTTTGTCCTCATGGAATTGGGCCTTGTTGGTCTTTAGTGTGTCTTGTACCCAGTCCACGGTGACAAATTCATCGAACCTCTGAATAGGCTTTCTATGAGCAGCCGACTGGTCAAAATAACCGTGCCAATCGGTTTCCGTACTATCCAGATGATCCATAGGAGCCGTGGTTTTTTCTAATATGAGCTGGGTCGACCAATTCGTTCGGTATGTAGATCCATGCATTATATCTCTTGTTTGAAGATTACGTATGAAAAGGGCGTGAAAGGGCCAAGAAACCGGAAAGTCGGTACTTCCGAGGGTCGGAACTTTCGATAAGCCTGCATCATACAAATCAAGATCGGGACTCCAGGCTCGAAGATGACTCCACTTTGCTTAGCAAGGATAACTTATTTGATTTTGTCTTGGAGGAAATGACTAGAATCGTTGTCATTGGGTAAGTTCATCGAAAGATATTTCCCGATAATCATTGTATTGACATATTTTTCAGCGCCGGTGTTGTTGGCTTGACCACCGCTTATCTGCTGTCAGAAAAAGGCTACGACGTTACCATCATCGCTAAACATCTTCCTGGCGACTTGTCTATAGAGTACACATCGCCGTGGGCAGGTGCTAACTGGTCCAGTTTTGCGACTAAGGACAATGTTGTAGTGCAAAACCTCGACAAAGCGGCCTATCTCAAGTTCCTCCATCTGGCTGAGAGAGTTCCCGAATCAGGCATAATCGTGAGAGAATGCATGAACTACGACAGCGTTGCCAAAATACAAGGGAAAACAAAAGATCAATACACGCCCTGGTACTCTTCTTTTGTGGAAGATTTCAAGGAATTGCCTCTTGAAGATTTGCCCGAGGAAGTGGGCTATGCCTATTCGTTCAAGACCGTGGTCATCAGCACCTCCATTTATCTGAACTATCTTTTGAACAAATGCGTGCAAAACGGGGTCGTTCTGAAGAGAAAAGTGCTTAATCATATTGACGAATCATTTTCTCTGCATTCTACTGGTTTAAGAGTTGAAGTCGTGGTGAACTGCTCTGGCCTCCTCTCTGCAAAGCTTGGTGGGGTCAAGGACCCCAATGTGTTCCCTATCAGAGGCCAAACCATGCTGGTTGAAAACGTGATGGACAGACAATTTTCGTACGATTACAGAGATCCTGAACACCCGGAGGATATTTTCTATGTCATGCCTAGAAGAGAGGGAGGCTCGATTGTTGGTGGCTGTTTCATCCCCAACAGTGACTCTGACGAGATTGATCATGAACAGGCCAATAGAATGAAGGCGATGGCTATGAGGTGGTGTCCCGACCTGGTTGACCAGAAGAAGGGAAACCCCCCAAACTTGAACGTTTTGAAATATCAAGTTGGCCTGAGACCCGGTAGGAAGGGAGGCTACAGAATAGAAGCAGAAGGTAATGTGGTTCATAATTACGGTCATGGAGGTGCTGGGTACCAGTCGAGTTACGGGTCTGCTGAAAAAGCCATTCAATTGATTGAACAGATTCTAAACAGGCCAAAATTGTGAATGAGGTGAAATTCCTCTACGAAAAGACCAGATTTTTCATATCATTGATTAGGCCGTCTTAACTAGTCAAAAACCTCTGTAGTCCCTTGATCATCAACTTTCCTGCTTGCTTTGCAAACTTCTTCTTATGTTCATCATCAGTATTTTTCTTCACAAAATCTGACATATAAGTTGCAGAGCTGGCTTGTCCGTCGTATCCGCCGTTTTTATCATATGGAACAGGATCTCCTTTGAACGATTGTGTCTTATTGTGCGGCTCCAGACTGTGCCCGTACTGAATCGGTTTTGCACTGGTATCTTTCGGGTATGGAGGTGGTACGTAGCTAAATGCCATGATGACATGAGCTGGAGATCATAAAAAACAAGGAATATCCAGGGCTATCACAATACGCTCCAGAATTTCACCTTATCACCACATCTCTATGGGGCTCCCCCAGAGCCATTTCCGAGTTCTTTAATGGTAGTGTATCTCTCAATTTGGTTTGTACACGTAATTTTCCATGGACGTTTTCGAAAGGTGAAAAGGTCTTGTTCGAAATCTTCAAACAGTTTCACACACCAGGCTTACACCAAACGCTCGTTTCTATCAATAATGAGAGCTACCCAGGTTACCTATTTTCAGGAGACGGTGTCCGCCTTGCTGAGAAGACCATGGCAAACGTGGAGAGACGGTGCTCCTTTCTACGGCACAGACAGGTCAGGTAACAAGAGATTGCCCATGACCACAAAGTCCGGTAACAAGAATTTTTACAAGGGTACGAGATCTTCTGGTATTGGTAAACATACCAAACAGGGTGGATATCTGATCAACTATGACAGGGTGCGTCATTTTGTTGCTCCCGCTGGTTTGGAGCAGACCAACCTCAAGCCATATGTGAGTTCCAACAGTCCTTCTATAAGGCATACATTTGAAGGCTACACCAAAGGTGCAGTTGATCCGGAACTGTATTTAGAGAAGGTGAAGGAGTATGTTGAGACTGGAAAGGTTGAATATCCGATGCTTCCAAACTGGTTAGAGAGGGGTTAGAGGGGACTACGGATCAACTTGTGGATCGTCTTTCTGTATATAGATTATGAATAATTACGCATCAATCATGACCACATCTGTAGATTCGTCGGCATTTCCAGGCTGTTCGGATTCGGCTTGTTGCTCAGTTTCCTCTTCATCTGGTATTATCTCTGTTTCCTGGTCGGCTTCTCCGCTGGCCTCGTCGTTGTTCATAAAATTGGTCAAAGGCACCTTCTTGTAGGGATTTTCCACCTTCTGGAATCCCAAGACCTGTTGGCCCTTGCTCAGTTCTTTGACAGGGGCTTGGGGCTCAGCTTCAGCGATAACAGTCTCTGGCTCCACAGGCAGGTCATCTTTCTTGGCCCTGTATCTGATCTTTTTCGTCTCCACAAGGTTCTTGAGCGAATACACCGGAGGCGCTATATCACCCAAAAAGTTGAGATTCTCCTTGTTGCTGATGGCAGAGTGGAAGTCCTTGTAGGTCACCTTCTTCCTTTGGTTTGCTTTGGCAACAAAGGCTGCTTGTTCTGCCAAATATAGAATGAACAGTTCAGTAGCAACACCCACAAGATATACTGCACCTTCTGTCGATGTTACATGATCAGGATCAAGTTTCATGATCTTCTTGATCCTCGATATTGGCAGAGTCAGTGTGGACTCTGGGACAGTCTGGTCGTCCTCCAGTGCTATTGATTCTTCTTGTGACATTGGAAAAGGTGCGCACAATATTTGTAGAGCAGTCAATAAATGTATATATATATATATATATATATATATTTCAATGAATTAACCGACTTCTCCAAAGATTAATGTGAGAAGTATACAATCGGTTGAGGATCATTGTAGAGTGTAGTGTAAGGGCCCTGGACGCGATCGCAGAAATCGTGTGGGACGCGTCTTTTTCAATCTCTGAACACACAAAGTCGCGATCTTTTTTGTTAGGAACCATCAAAGTTGGCCATCAATTGCAAAATGCTGAAAACTTCCGAGAGGCTTGAGCGTATGCCATGGGTTGAGAAATAGTAAGCAATTTCTTTTATTTTGGGTTATAATGATTAACCATTAGGGATCCATAGACGTGGTCCAATACTAACACCCACCAAGTCGCCCTCAATCTCTGGATCAGGTCACCAGTCAGGAGAACACGATCAAAATCCTGGAAAGAAACCTTCAAACGGCAAATTTGCCTCACATGTTGTTCTATGGACCTCCAGGAACCGGTAAAACCTCCACGATATTGGCTCTGTCAAAGCAGCTCTATGGGCCTACCCTTTTCAAGAGCAGAGTGCTGGAACTGAATGCCTCAGACGAAAGAGGCATTTCCATTGTTAGAGAAAAAATCAAGAACTTTGCTCGTCTTTCTGTTTCAAATGCTTCCAAAGAGGACCAGGAAAAGTACCCATGTCCACCATATAAACTCATCATATTGGATGAAGCAGATTCTATGACATCTGATGCCCAGTCAGCTCTGAGAAGAACCATGGAGACTTACTCCAACGTGACGAGATTTTGTTTGATTTGCAATTACATCACGAGAATCATTGATCCGCTTGCCTCCAGATGCTCCAAGTTCAGATTCAAACCACTTGGTGACAATTCTTCTCTGGCAAGATTGCAGTACATCGTGAGCTCCGAGAAGATAAAGCTCGAGGACGAGACTAAAATCCTGAAGGAAATATTGAAATTGTCCGAGGGAGACTTGAGAAAAGCCATCACCTTTCTTCAGAGTGCGTGTAAGCTGTTTTCCTTCGGAACAGATGGTGATAAAGCTGAGGCACCAGACGCAGATTCTATGAATATTGATGATCCAGTGGTTGTGCCTACGTTCTCCATCACCGATATCCAGGAGATTGCCGGTGTCATACCCAACAGCGAGACAAACAAGCTGATTCAGCGACTGGTTGCCAAGAACTTCAACGACATATTTGACTACCTGAGAGAGGATGTCTTCAAGGCAGGCTATAACGGGTCCAACATTATCAACTCCTTACATGATTCGCTGGTGCTCGGTGGAGACGATGATGACGACGATGTTGACCTGGCCCTCAGTTTGAATCATGATCAGAAGAACAAGATCTCTGAAATCATATTTGCTGCCGACTCTAAGCTGACTAACGGATGTAATGAGCAGATTCAGGTTTTAGATGCGTGTTTGAAGATAGCTGTGCTTCTATGAGACTCTTGACGGTTCTACTTAATTACGAAAAAAGAAGGATTTTCTTAAATATGCTGTAGTTAAGGACTCTTTTAAGCATCGGTTACTCATTGACGACGTTGCATCTGCATCAGGATGTGTTGAGGCACCTGCGATTGCATCTGTTGAACAGACCCCTGTGGAAGCTGTTGCTGGGGCTGGCCCGGTTGGGCCTGTTGCATATGAGGAACTTGGCCTTGCATCTGGTGAGGAGGAGGGTACTGCGGGAAACCCTGCTGAGGAAGACCTTGCTGAGGTATGCCTTGTTGAGGTAGGCCCTGTTGTGGTAGGCCCTGTTGGGGTAAGCCCTGTTGGGGATTGTACATTCCTGGAGGCTGAAATCCCATCGAGTATGGCAGACCAGGCATTCCTTGGGGAGGAGGCATCATTCTTGGGTTCATCATCCAAGGTGGCAGTCCCATTGGGATCTGCTGGTTTGTGTTCCCGTTAGAAACAGGCGCAACATGTTGGTTGGGGTGCACATTCAGGTTTGGATTGGCATTGGCAGAGTTCATGTTCAGCATCAGTCCCGGTGGTGGAAGCGACTGGTGCGACTGTTTTTCACCAGGGAAGAAGTTGGATGAGTGTTCCGGTTGCTGCTCCTTGGACTTTGATAACAACGACATAAAAAAGTCATCCTTCGCGCTCTGTGGAGGCTGTGAGAGCATGGACATTAGCTGGTCTGCACCGTTTTGGCTGTGAGATTGTGGGGGTGCCAATCCTGGAGGACGAATGGGGGCATTGGCCTGGACTGGAGCTGCTTGAGCCGCCGATGAAGCGCTGCCGGAGGAGTTCAGCCCTGGTGGTTGTTTCAAACCTGGTGGACTAACACTTGCGGGCGCAGTCTTTGGAGTTGATTCAGGCTCGGGCTTGAAGAAAGAGCTGAATCTCGAGCTCTTCTCTTGAGAATTGGATCCTTCCACAGATTTGGGCTTGTATGCATCAAATGCAAACATATTATCAACGGGGTTGAAGACACCTCCAGCAGATGCTTCAGCCTGGGGCTGTTTTTTGCCACTGATTATATCATTGTAGTGGGCCTGTTCTTGCTCCGATATGGCCTCACCGTTCTGTTTCTTTTCCTCGACCTTGACTCTGAACTTCCAGTTCTCGAAATCTTGTGCTGATTTGGGTTGTGAATCATCATCATCGTCTTCTCCCATCCATTCAAGTGAGTCTTGCTTCTTCTTGTATGGGTCCTTCTTCTTTCTGTCTCTTTCACGTTCTTTACGACCTCTGCGACGGTCCAGCTGTGGATTCTTAATATGGAAACTGCCCATTTCACCTGTAGATCCAAACGACTTATCATTCTTCAATCTCCAAAATTCTGAGTTTGAGATTTCGGATTCATCAGCTGCCCCGATGTTCTTATAATTTTGCACTCGCTCATCGCTGTATACCTCACGCTTACCCCTTTTCTGCACCTGGGGAACTGTCAACCGCCAGAACTTGGCATCCGGTAGAGATATCTCCTTTACCACCTCCTGTATTAGTGGCGAGAGTTTCAGAGCGTACAATTCTTCCTCTGTAAATACCCTTTTCGAAGACTTGTTCGGTGTCTTCGCCTCAACCACTGGCGGCGGTGTCGTGGTCTCTTTGGCAGCCGCGGCTGCTGCGCTCTCCAAGAACTTTGTGATGGCGTTCAATTCTTGTTCCATTGCGAATGAAAATTTCGCTTTGAACTTTGCGCTTTGTTTGGCTGATAGAAATCGGAGTCTTGTTGGCCAAGTGGAACCAGGAGAAAACCAAATGATGGAGGCATCTCGCTTGGACGTCCAAACTAGTCGTGTGTGGGTCAAACGGGTTAAGCCTGGATTCTAGAGAGTTTAATGATAGGGCCACCAAGTTGATATTGGTGTCGTTCAGATTTTCAACGGTGGTATTAAACTAGGAAATACCAGTCATGGTCAAATACAGCAAAGAAGATGGGTTGTCCACGGAAAAATTGGTGAAGTCCGTGATAGTCACGGCACTGGCAGTGTTCTTCTTGTTCTCCATTCCATATCACTTCTACGGCATCTTCTTCGACCTTAGCCTTTTCAATTTTGTGTTGGTTATGGTGCATATAATCATTGGCTATAACGTTGTTTGGTATGCAAATAGTGTTTTATTAGAAGAGACGGACGACGAGTTAGAATTGAAGAAATACCAGTAAGAGACAGAACGAAAAGGGTGTCATCGAGCTGCTGATGACACATTCGATGAAGCAGAACAACAGGAATGAGGGTTATTGCATTGTCAACAATTCTTCCTCTTCAGAGCTGTTTGCTATCTCTTCGCTTTCTTTGAAGTTCCAGTGGGAAGATGCTGTTGTGTCCAAGTGCTCTTGAAGCCAGAGCTCGCATAGAACGTTTTCTTCGCCAGAACTGTTCTCTATCTCCATCTCAGCGGCCCGGTACCGAGCTTCAATGGCTTTCTGTTTCTTGTTCGGCCAAACTTCCAAAAGAAGCTCCTCCCCCTCGTCTGCTGAACTGTTCTCAATTTCCAATTTATCATCAGCTTCAATATTGTTAGCCTCCAAACTCTGAGGAAAGCTCTGGTTCATACTGCTTTCATCATCATATGCATAAACATCACTCTGCTGCTGCAGCTTTGCGTTTTTTTTAACCCTCCTTTCCGTAGTGGAATCGTACAATGTCTCCAGATCTTGATCCTTCAGATCGGGTGACGTTCCAGCCTTACCCCATATGCTTTCGTTCAAATCAGCCTCGCCCTTCTGATCAAACGCTCGGATCTTTGGCTTTGGGACACAAGGAGGAATCAGTTTCACGTATCTGTGTGTCCAGCTTTCAGAATCGTAGAGGATGCCTCTGCTTGCTTTAGAGTCTACTATCTTGAAACGGTCAGAGCGCATCTCGAAAAGCGACTTTTTATGTCTCGCACTGAACTTGGTCCGAACATGTGATGAGATTGACTTCGGTCGCCTCTGCTTGACTCTATGTGTGCTCTTTGTTCGCGTTTTGGCTGAGTTTGCTGGATTGTCTATAAGGCTCACATGGGAAAACTGTCTGAGATCCTCTGATACAGCTAGTTGGTGGTTGAACTCTTCAGCGCGGCTCTGTATCTGAGTAGATACAAATTGCACCTCATCCGTCATATCATCATCAAACTTCTGGAATAAAATCGCCCAACAACTATCATATGTGAAATGTGCGGCGTTAACCAGATATGTGTACTCCGGAAACAAAATGAGAATCTCAGGGGAAATCGAATCACGTCCCCGGATTGGTGGTACACTACCCTATATCCAACCGTTCGGATCGCGACGCGTCGTTACGAAACCGTGCCATTAGCCTTTAACCATATACCACAACGCAATCAAAACTCACTCAGTTTGACGAGATGTCTGAGAGCATATCACCGGTAGAGGTGTTAAAGCGGCCCCTTGAAGAAGAGTCTCAGGATGAAACCGCTTTGAAAAAGATGAAGATAGAGGCTGAAAAGCAGGAGAGGCTTGATAAGAAGCTTCAGCTCGAGAAGGAGAGGCTGGAAAAAAGAGAACTTCTCGAGAAAGAGCGACTAGCCAAAAAAGAGCTTCTAGAACGCGAAAAACAAGAAAGATTGGAGAAAAAATTACAGCTGGATCTGGAAAGACAGCAGAAAAAAGAACAGATCGAGCGAGAGAAACAACAGAAAAGAGAGCAGCTGGAGCTTGAAAGATTGCAGAAAAAGGAGCAATTAGAATTGGAGAAGACTTTGAAGCGCCAAAAGTTAGAAAAGGAGAAACAGGAACGTGAAGAGAGGAAGCTTGAAGAAAAGAGACTGAAGGACATCAAGAGAGAAGAAGAGAAATTGGAACGCGAGAAGAAGAAGGAAGAAGAAAGACTCGCAAAGGAGGCCAAAGAAGCCAAAAAACGTGAAGAAGAGGAGAAAAAGAAGAGAGCACAACTGAGTATTGGATCCTTTTTCAAACCAATATCTTCATCTCCATTAGCCAGTCCCATCCGAAAGCAAGAGGTGAAGACTCAGGAAGCCTCCTCTAGCGATTACGAAAAGCACTTCCTCAAGTTCTACGTGAAGGAAAATTGTCAATTATGTGGCCCTGTGAATCTGGATGCAGACACTAGACGTGATCAGTTTTCGCTATCGGCTGTTTCGGGAGATTCCAACATCCCCAGGTTTTTCAAAGGGTGTCAGAGGAGGAAACGGGGAGCTTATGAACAGTCATCCCGGTCGATTATGCAGCAGCTGAACGTTGACCAGGAAAACGAATCTCTGTGTGAACAGTTCTTCAAAGACGTGCCGATCAGATTCCTACAGTTCTACGAGAATGCAAGGCCTCCGTACTTCGGAACGTACTCTCCTTCTAATGCTGAAGGGGTTGAAAAATTGGCTTTGAATCCCTTTTTAAAAATTGAAGGCACAAACTACCAGTTCGATTCCGATTTGGAGAGCGATGACGAAGATGACGAAGGAGAAGATGTTGAAGACGAAAACGACGAGGACGATGATGATGAGAGTGCTGCAGATTCAGACGAGTTAGATGAGTTTGTTGACGATGACGATGAGAATTCCACAAAGCAGAAACGCAAATTGCTAGGGCCTCTCATTCCCGTGGTGAAATGGCTGGGAGACGCTCAGGACGATGAAATCTACAACTCCAAGGAGTGGGAACGATTGTCGTACGATATCGAGTTTCCCATCGATCCTTTCAAGGACTATTGGACCCCGTCTTTGGCTGTTCCCTCTTTGGCTGCCATAGGTTCGACGACAGCTGCTTCACTCCTAGCAGCAAGCCAGGACAGTCCACCCAAGAAGGCTTTGAAGGTGATTGATAAGGCAAATGACATCGAGAACTTGTCAAATTTCATTCTGGAAAACCCCAGGTTCACTATTGGCACGCTAACGGAGTTGTGCCAGGTGAATGTCTTCAAGGACCAGCGTTACTCCAAGACTGTGGTCAGGAACAGTATCCAGAACATTGCTTCTTTTGACAGCAAGAAGAAGCTGTGGATTTTGAAGGATTCAACTAACACAGCTGTGAACTCTATATAGGGCAGAAGCTCTGTATATTATAGAGACCAACCAGCACTCTCAGCTCTATAGGATAGAGTGTATAATGAAATTCAAGACTATTACATACAAAGCAAAAGCATTCCTGGTGAAATGAATAGGATTTACAAATAATTATATCAGGGACCAATGGCCAACAAATCAGATCTATGGACGCACGCCATGAAATCAAGCTAACATAAAATACTTTCACGAAATAGCACTTCTAGCCTTGCACCTTCCTAAAGATCAAAGTCCATCTCATCCTTGAATGCCTTGCTGTGCTCTTCTTCATCGTCGTCAATTATGGCATCTTCGTCGCCAGCAGCTACATCCGTCAAGGTGTCGTTATCCTCGTCCTCGTTTTCAAAGTCAACGTCAAAGAAATCATCGTCAGAACCGACGATCTTCTCGTATAACAATTTGGCCTCGGTAACAACTCCATCGTATGAAATTTCAGTGGATGGCATATTCGAGTATATGACTGTGGAGTCTGGAATCACTCCGGAGCCATCTGTGGTTGGTTTTTCAGCACTCGTGTCGAACAGAGACGAGGAAACAACGCCAAATGGAGGCACAGCGGTGTGTTGAGTGAAGCACAATTTGAACAGGTACTGCAATTTCTCCTTTGGAACGAAATCCTTGAATGACTTGCCCAGTTTGACCGAATTGATGACGGTGGCTCCATCCGGCTTCACAATAATGTCTTCTGGGTCTAGCGAAACGTCAAAGCCGTCTTCTGACTCTCTGAGTATGCTGTCTTCCAGCTTGAGCAGGGCTGCCTCCAAGTCTTTTCTGGCAACTTCACCCTTCTGGATCGTAGAAAGATACCATACACATTGGTTGACCGGACAGGTACCGGTACCTGCCCCCATGATCAACACTTGGACAGGGTACTTGTTGTTCGTGGACAACGACGCCGTTGGAAATACCACAATCGCAGCGGTCTCATTTTCTGCCATCCATTCTCTGCAAGACTTTTTCACCACGGTGATCAATCTGGTGATCTCGTACTTCATCTCAGGGACGTATGAGGCATGTGGGGGTGCCTGCGATGGAGAGCACACAACCTTCTCGGTGACATGGGCACTTGTCCCATCAGAAAATTTTGCCAGTTTCGTCTTGGGGTCAAACGACTGGAGAGCACAGTTGAGCTTGTACGTCGATCCAGCAACCGCAGCAGATCTACAGAAGCCCTGGGAAACTTCACCCGGGCCACCGTACTTGGAGAACAGAACAGGGAACTGGCCCAAGACATTGAACGAAACGAGATAGCGTCTTATTCTCGACAATCCTTCAGGAATTGAAATATCAGGAGAGGCAGACAATCCCAGCGAGTATACCAACTCGTTGATTTGGGGGCCATCCAGCTTGAATCTGTCCTGCAGGAAATCCTGGATGGATTTGTCTTTGTAAGACTCAACCAACGCCAGGTTGTCCAACGAGTCATACTCAAAGATGAACTTCAGGAACTTCATCAGATGGCGCTTGGTGGCCAGTGACAAAGACTGGTCCGTGAAGATGTCTTCTTTGGAGGTTTGCAGTTTGCCGAACGAGTCATTCTCGAAAGTGTGGAAGTTCGACAGAGACTGGAACTCCAAGTACATGTGAACTCTTGACTTGGTCAACAACGACATGAGGTCTGAGCGTGCGAAAACAACCCGTGGAGTAAGGTCTATACCGTAATCTCTGGAAACGAGGTCCTGAGGCCTGGGGATGTAAAGAAGTGCCTTGGAAAAGCCCTGGAATCCCGGGGTGTGCTGGTTAACACTGTGGACCCAGTCCTTCAGCTGGTCAATAGTAAGCGTCGCACAAGTATCACCATAATACGGGTTTGAGTCAACGTGCAACACGTTCGAGCCCTGCCATGCCAATGCGGCTGCCAGGATACTCTCCACTAAACCGGTTCCACATATCAACACATCGCAGGTCTCCGGGGTCTGTGGGCTTATCGGTTTCTCTATTCCCGCTAGTTGCGGAATTACCGATGGCTTTCTTCCGTTGGCCATCGACGGTCTTCTTTCCGCCATTGAGGGGCGGCGGTCAACCATCGATGGCCTTCTTGGTTCTGTGACGTAGCTCATGGGGCAAAGCGGAGAAACGAGCTGTACAGTGGGGCACTAAGTTGTATCGCGCTTATTTCTCGAGACTTTGTTGCAAATCAACAATCGTATACAAAGATCCAAAATCAAAGCCTTTTCACGCCGGTCTGCAGAAGTTCGCAGAAACAAACGTTGAAAGAATCTTCCTTACTCCCTTGGTCTTGGGATGTGCGTGAGTCTCTTCTGAGCTATTTTGGGCCTTTCTCACAGTTCACGACTGGCAAACTGAAAGAGCTCGTAAAAGTGGGAATTGAATTGAGTTTCTCGATTGAAAGACAGCGTTGAATACAGAAAACTTCAAAAGGACAGGAGTGCTGTCTATGCGCCGTCGAAGCCATAGCCAGCTCGGCTCATGGAGGAGGGCCGGCCATTACGTAATCGGTTGCACGACCTTTGGTTGGTAAACGACTTGGTAGTGCGCCGCATGTTTTTTCAAAAGAGCCAATCAAGACGACTTTGAATTTGATTATCACTTAAAGGACCACCATAGTTTCATCCACGCTACGCCCTCCACATTTTCTACACACGAACACCACTGAAAATGTCTGTGCTGGCAAGATCCTGTATTATGAGACCAGGGTTGAGGTTTGCCTCCCCAAGATACGCGGTTTCGAACCTGAGACTGCTTAACACCCAGCCTTCCACAATGCCAACCGACCAGCCAGTGTTGTCGGAGAGACCATTGACGAACGTCCTGGACTACGCTTTCACCACAATGGACAAGGTCAAGAACTGGGCTAGAAAGTCGTCTTTCTGGCCCGCCACTTTTGGTCTGGCTTGCTGTGCCGTCGAGATGATGCACGTTTCCGCCCCAAGATACGACCAGGATAGATTGGGAATTATCTTCAGAGCCTCTCCAAGACAGTCGGATATCATGATCGTGGCAGGAACAGTGACGAACAAGATGGCACCAGCCTTGAGACAGGTTTACGACCAAATGCCATACCCAAGATGGGTTATATCGATGGGTTCGTGTGCTAATGGTGGTGGATACTACCATTACTCGTACTCCGTGGTAAGAGGTGTTGACAGAGTTGTTCCTGTTGATGTCTACGTGCCAGGATGCCCACCCACTTCCGAGGCGCTTATGTACGGTATCTTCCAGCTCCAGAAGAAGATGATGGACCATCAGACCCATAGAATGTGGTACAGAGCCTACTGAGCTATCGATGCGGAAAGGAGCGAGAGATGGAACAAGATACTCAAATCGATAACAATATCATCACCTATTTATAATCACAGCATTTGTTAGTCGATTTGTGATTTCATGGATGGTTTGCTGGATCGGTGTGCATCTGGTGGACATTGTCTGGATGATTGAGCTGAGCTGAGGGTCAGCGGGCGGTCCCGTTGGTTCGAATATTTCAATTTTAGACAGACAAAATCAAAATCAAATCAATAGTCAACAAAAAGCGAGTAGGGAAGTAGTTCTATGAACGAAGGCGATATGTGAACCGGGAGATACACACTTCAAGCAATGATTCATAATCTCAGAAAAAACGTTTATTCCTTACATATTCTTCAAATTCTGCCTTATGGCATCCTTCATCGAAGCAAACGTACCATTTGCAAATCCCTGAGTTTTCAAAGCGTTCTGGAACCTTCCTCTTTCAAATGCTTCGATCTTAGCAGCACCTCTCTGAGACGAGTGTGCATTTGGAGTGTGGTTGATCTTAGGCTTGTTTGCCACAAAACTGATAGAATCCTCAGGATTTTCGGGTAACTCTTCTGGCAATGCCACGAGTAAGTCGTCCAGCTTGGACCCAGCTAATTGGGCTTTCTCCTTTCTCTTTCTCCTTCGTATAGCACTTTTCGATATAGAGTCGTTATGTTCGTGTCCCTTCAAACTCGCAAGTCTTTCCTTCAAAGAAACTGATTTCGTTGATGCCTTGCTTCCCTTTTTCTCAGCCTTTTCTTTCTCCAATCCTTCCTGTATCAGTTCCTGTATCTGCTCTGATTTGGAGGCGGTTGCCGCAGAGGATGGTTTGAGGGTCTTCTGAGCTCTGGTTGATTTAGCTCTTAGCGTGGTTCTTTTCTTAACAGCCTGGAAGAAATGTTAGTAAGAATCCAAAAGCTATGGTTATTCAACCAAAACTTTGTCCAATGACATACCATCTTGCCTAATTTCCTACGAACCTCAGTCCTCTACTTACCCTCCAGTCTTTAGACCATCTCTCTAAAAGTGTCTAAAATTTAATCCATCAAAGGCGTGCGCCAACTGAAAAAAATTGAAATTCTCCAATCCTGCAATTATTGAACTGTCCCTCATCAACCCGAAATAATTCCTTTGGACATTTCTTGACGCTTTTCACATTATCGTTACCAAAAGTCCAGCATGTCTAGAGTTGCCACTTTTTCTGCTATCGCCGCCACGGCTGTGTTGGGATACTGTGCCTATTTCGATTACAAGAGAAGGACCGACAAGGAGTTCAGAAAGTCTCTGAAGAAGAGAGAGCTCAGGGCCGAAAAGAAGGCCAAAGAGCAAGCATTGGAAGAAAAGAAGAAGATCCTTGTTGAGCTCCAACTGAAGTACAAGGAATCCGAAGCCAGTGACCCTATTCCACGTGACCCTGCCGGGCTCCAGGAATATTTCCTCAAGGTTGTCAGTGAGGCCGAGAAGCTGGCCGCCGTACCTGGCATGGAGGTGGACTCCGCCATCCTCTTTTACAAGGCTTTGAAGGCTTACCCCAACCCCAACGATATCCTGGCAGTTTACGAGAAGACAGTTCCTCCTCACATCTTGGAATTGGTCTTGGTCCTTGCTGCTGTTGAGCAAGGTGCTGCTGCCGCTGCCGCCGCTGCTCAGACCAACATTGATTAGATGTGGAAGAGCGCTCAAAAGAGCCTGTTTAAAATTCAAGGTCAAACTCAATTATAACTCGCACTCTCTAAGTCTGAGATGATCCGGACCATCTATCGGACCAATGGGATATAAAGGAAATGCTTTGATGTGAAAAGTACAATATTCATGTGGTCTGCCACCTTTATGTTCCCTCTCTACCCTTTTTGTACATATCGTCGTAACGAAACAGAAATGCAAGATTCGTGTAAGAATTCGTGAATATGTAAACATGCAAAAGACAACATCCTCGAGATAAATAGTGGTGATCATTTCAATAGCTATTCATCAGAATTTGGGGATCTCCCTAATAACCTTTTCAACCATCTCGCTAAACATATCACTGAGCTTCAATATCTCAGAGTTATCATAAACGTCCTCAAACTCCTCAGATTTGATATAAGACTTGTTGGCCTCTTCGCTCTTGGTCTTGGCTCCTATGACTTTCAAAAACTGCTCACTGGGTAGCTGAACAGCAATACTGTCCTCCTTCTCCCTCTCTGCATCCTCTAAAAATTCCATGTTCAACTCGTCCAAGTCGCTACCCACCAGGCCGGTCATCTTCATAGCCTCGCCACCTTCACCTTCGAAGATGCTATTGAAATTCTGATTGATCTTTTGCCAATTTTGGGTGACCACTTTTTTCCTATCTGCAGCAAAAATGTCCTTTTCATTCAACTGCCCATCTCCATTAGACTGCTCCTCCAACACTTTGTCGTAGGCCTTGCGCTTTAATTGGACATCACTGATGATCTTGATAATCTGGTCTATCAACTTGTCCTTATCTATTTTGCGTGGGTCTCCCTCAGGCAAGTTCTTTTGCGATCTCAGAAGATCATTGACTTTTTTGGTCAGGTCCATCTTCAGTTCCGGCTTTTGCTTTTTGACGAAGTTGAGCAAGAGAACAAATTTGTTAAACCATTCAATCAAACCCTGAAAAACTTGTCCATCTGGATTCGCCAAATCTGAAATGTAGAGGTGGTGAATAAATCTATAGAGATGGTCCTGGTATTTGGTCAGTAAAGACATGAACTGCATCACCACATTGTTGCCCTTACCCATCAGCGAGTTGTAGTCGTTATGATAGTTGTCAATCAGTTTGATCAACTCGCTGTTGAACTCGCGTACTATGGGTATATAGAGATATAGTTGGGCTTTTGTAAAGATTTTGATCAACGGTTCGAAAAATATGGAGATCAGCTCTTTAACAAGCCTTACGAGTTCGGGTTCCTCCCATAACTCCCTCATCCCATCCTTATCACGCTTCCTTAAACAACTCTTAAAATAAGCTTTAATGTTGACATAGAGATCAGCCGACTTTGATAATTTGTCAAACACCGCAGAGTCAGTATTGTCGTCATAATCTGTATGTGACTCGTTCAGTCTCACGAAGACCACCCAGCTCTTGTACGATTCCACAACTGCAATTAACACATTCTGGTTGATCTTTGTCTCAAGACCATTGTTATTCATCAAAATACCCAAAGGAAGATCAAGGTTATGCTCTCTGCAGGTTTCTTTGATATCAATAACGATCTCATCCTTGGCCGAAAGATACTCGTTGATCTTTTCTATAATGAGAGCATAGCTGTTTGTGCCGAGCTTCAAAGGCTTTCCCTTTTTATCGTACGAGCTGACCTTCTCTGTGATCAGATCAATCTCCTTCTCCAACTTTTTCAAATCATCGTTTAATATTCCGGTGAACATCATCTGCAACAACGACATTCCAGAACCAAAACCAAGAGTCAGGGGAGACTGAAGAGTGAAGAGATCAATCAGTTTTTTGGCTATTTGCATGGGATTGGTGAACCTCAGAATTGTCGCAACGAACCTGTAAGGAAAGAACATATGTAGTCTCTTGAAGATGTGAAGATTGGCCATCGAGTTGTCATTGGCAATCAGAATCTCGTAGATGGTGGAAGCAACTTCTATCTTGGCAACATCTATGAAGGCCCTCAAGTAGGGCGATAGTTTATCAATCGTGTCTGCAGTTCCAATTTCCCGGAAAACAGCTATCAGTCCAGACCCAGTGTCCAAATCTTCAATGCTTGTATTCTCGGATCCGTTCAATACTTTGTCTTTCAACGAGTTCATCGTAAGCTGCAGTTCACCAATGAAACGAACCGTTTCCTGCTGAAACTTAACTTGTTGGATTACAATGAGATCATCGAGCTTTTGCCTTTGTTCTATATCCATCAGCTCTTCTTCGGTGGGAAGACTGAACTTTTCAGCACTCACAAACTCCACAAATAAGGGTGAATTTCTCACAGCAGATACGCGCAAGAGCTGGGAAATGTAACCCCTCAAAGCAACCCGAAGCTTCTCCCTGGGTAATTTTGTAACAGAGACTTCTCTAAAGCTTTCTGTTGTACTAGATTGTCCGGTGGAGATTTCAGGACCCTCCATCTTCACAGATTCGGCAGCTTTCTTCTCCAAACCCAAAATTTCTTCAAGGGACTGATCCGGTATGATCTCTGAGTCATTATCACTTAGTTGGAAATCGTTATCATCCACCCCAGCCACCTCAATTTCGGTTGAAATCTTGAGTTTTGACGGAAGAACAGGCAAATCTTGACCAGGAAACTGTCTTCCCAGCTGATGATCGAACTTGACAAAATCAGAATATCTTCGCCTCACATAGAAAGTCTCGTCGTGGCTCTTGTTGCTTTTTATTTGGATAATGAACTGGTAGAAAGTGGACATTTTAGGAGTGGTGGATCGACTCCAGAACCCGGTGATCTTCTTGATCTTGGTCTCTTCGCGACCCTGGCTAACACCGCAAACGTTCACTGCCAAGCCATTGATGAAATGGTCCTCCTGTCTCAACACCTCCTTGAGGTCAAGCTCCAGAGGCATTACCTTGCCCAGCTTCCTGTAGCTGTTCCTGGTGGCATCCTTGTTGAAATAGATGTCGTCTCCAAGGGTGACCAGCGACGAGTTGTAGAGCATGAGCATGAACGAGATGAACTTTTGGAGCACAAGCTTTCTCTTGGAGAGTTCTCCACGGTCGTTGCTGTTGCTTATCTGCTTGGATTTCCAAATCTCAAAGAACTTCTGGAACTTATCCACCCACAAGCCATCTCCGTGAGCGCGCGTATAGTGTTCTATGAAAGGGAATGTCATCACAAACTCCGTAAAGAAATGTCTCAGCATGGGGAATTGAGCATCGTAATAATCAACCAAATCGGCCGACGCTTTGATAGCATCGTCCTTGTTTGCAGGCGGTTTCTTGGGATCGAACGGCCAGAACGGAGGGCCAAATCTGCGCAGCCCCGTGATATCATGGTACGTTGGTGATATCTTGTTGAATTCCCTATGCAATTGAATGTTCAGTAACTCCTTCTTGAGATAATGTTCCTGGTCCGGAGTGAGAGGAAGCTCATAGTCGGAAAGTGTGGACATTGCGGTTGCCCCAGTGATGATCTCGAATGGCCAGACAAAGCGGATAAAGGGTTTTAATAGAGTCCAGACTTTATCAGACTATAGGACCCTTTGATATAACACCGGGAATTTCGCAATCTCGCACAATTGTCTTTTACAGCCAGTATCGTGGGAAGAAGGCAAAGTTAAAAGAGGGCCACGTCTAGTCGTGTCTTGTCTTGTCTTGTCTTGTCTTGTTTTGTCTTGAGGCTCAAGATCGTGCGCTTCCGATAAGCCTTTTGAAGATGAGCTGGGGTGATAGTGCCACGGATGGGGCCCAGAACTCGTGTCTTATCCTGGACAAGAACTAAGACATAACACGTGTCAATAGTACACTTGATTGAACCTTTAACGTGTGCCAATTGACTCGGTTGTATGGATATATTTGCATATAATCGCAAGCACAGTTGAGTTGTTTCCAGGTGAGACGGATATAGATGGACAGCCTAGCTAACTTTGCCTCAAGAGATAGAAAAGATGCGAAGACGAAGGCCACAAAGAAACGCCAGACGGTCAATCGCACTCAGACGGCCCCTGTTTCCAGAATATTGCCCAAAAGGGTTTCTCTGTTTGCTTTGAACAGGAGCTCGTCTTCTGTGGATGCTAGTTCTGCGCCTGGGCTTACCTCTCATGACGTTCTGACCATCCCTCGCATTTACGAGCAGTTAGACGACTCCACAACGGAACAAGACAAGGACGAACCATCAGCATTTCAAAAGGCTCACCGGAAATTTTCTTCCACGTCTTTGAGCAGCATTTTTTTGCCGTTGGGCGCGTTGACCAAAAGATCGCCTACGGTGTCTTCGAATTCCAGCTCGGTGGAACTGCCTTCGCCGTCGGAGGATGAATTTGGCGACGGAGCTTTGGAAATTCCTCGGTCAGAAACGGCTTTATTGCCAGATGTGCTCCTCGTTCCGAACAACCGACCTGTTTCGTTCCAATCTGTTGACGGCAGAGACAAGGATGGGGTCGTGGATTCTGATAGGGTATCCCGGCAGAGGAGCAAGACTCTGGATGAAACAACCGTCCCCCAGGCCGTTAGATCTTCAGTACAAGAGCAAAGTGGAAATGGCAGAGTTATGAACTCTCTGGCTTCTTTTGGCAAGAAAATAGGGGTTGGTGGGACAGGCACTTGCTCCAGTCATGAGGTTGACGGTCTACGAGCAATGAGCAGTAACGAGGAGGTCAATGTGGCTCCTTCCGGCTTGCAACTCGAGGAAACTATTCTTGAGCCTCATGAGGATGAGTCTGTGGAAGATTACGTGGAAAGGATTTTGGAAGAGTATCCTTTCAGAAAGGTGGTTGCGACGCTTTCATTACATGATGATGAGTTCAAGCTCAAGTCGTTATCGAGTTTTCTAGAGACTTACTTCGATTTTTCAGAAGAACCCTTAGATCTGGCACTCAGGAAGTTTCTTGCGTTTAACGAGCTTCCCACAGAAACTCAACAAATCGATCGTGTGGTGCAAGTATTCAGTGAAAGGTACTGGAGATGCAACGAGCAAGCATGTCCTTCGCCAGACCATTGCTATGTCTTGACGTTCTCAATGATCATGCTTCACACAGACAAGTTCAATCGTAACAGCAAGAGAAAGATGACCAAAATTCAGTTCAAGAACAACACTTTCCGGACTCTGGAAGAGGTGAATCACAAATGGTTCGATTATTCAAATGACGATTTCTGCAAACTGGTCACGAAGGACATCCTGGACTATTTCTACGACAATATCACACATACACCTTTCATTAAGTATGATGGAGATTTGAGTGAGAGCTCGTTGAGCATTTTGCAAAAAAATACTGGTTCCCCAAAGGAGCCACCATCCTTACCCTCACCTTCCGCAGTCATGAACACGTCTTTGCCTATGAGACGCAAAAGTGGAACGCTGCTATGGACCAGCGAGGTGATTGACCCATATGAGTATATCATGGAGAACAAGATCAACGAATTGAAGCTAAGTGATCAACCCACGAATTGCAATCCTTTCCTTTCGCAATCAGAGTCTGTTGGACGGTGCAATGGTACCAAGGCTTGGGTGATGGATAACTTGTCGAGATACCCAGATACGTTGGATATACCAAGTCTCAGTGATATTCATCATAACCTAACACAACCACGCTGTTCAATTGTTTTGAAGCTGTATAAAGCTAGAGCTACTTGGTTGCTCAGCAAAGATAAGATCGCAGCCTCTGTGGATTCAAGTTCTGCTTCGTTCCTTCTGGTGAGGGTGTTCAAAATTGGATTCGTGAGCAGGTCAGAATCAAAGCTCATGGGCACCGGGAAGCAGCAAAGGCAATATTTTTGCCTTCTAACCTCTGTTGGACTCCTATTCTACAGAGACCGCGGGGCATTCAAGTTCGACCTGGAGAATATAAAGAAGGACGACGGCGAGATGGTGATTATCGAGGAAAAAATCCAAACGCGTGCTATAAATGGCCCTTCGGGGACGATGTTTGAGACTTCTGAACCGGCGTTCTTTATTTCTCTGTCAGATCTCTTTGCTTCGCGCATGAGATGCACCGCTCAGGAGATGCAGCTGACACTTTTCATTTTCTCCAACGGAACTAAGACTGCTTATTTGGTGGAAGACGAAAAAGAACTGACTTCTTGGATCACCACCATTAATGCTGTCTCTGCTGTTTCTTCGTGCGATAATGCACTTGTCGCGCTTACTTTGACAGATGAAGAGAATGCAAATGGCTCCATGGTGGAAGCTCTTTTCATGAAAAGCGGCGGATCTATCAGCAGTATTATTGGATCGCTAGAGACTTCGCTAGAGGAATCTGTATCTCATATACTCGTTTTGAGTACATTATCCGAGGCTTTTGCTAACTTGACCCCATTCGGGGTGAAAACCAGAGAGATGTTGGCGTTGTCTACGAAGCTGTTGAACGCCAAACTGGAGTGGATGTGGTACGAAGCACAACGAGACTATTTGTTCCGGCAAATTCTGAAAACCGTCGAGCAATCCGTTCAGAATGACTTCATTTTGTCTCGCGAACTAGAAAAACTGGATTTGGACCAGAAAACATGATAACGAATTGCGTTAAGCCAAACTCCGGGACCACAATGAGGAGGACTCCCCCACACATATATCCACGCTATTCACACGAACCCACACCCCACGCAAAAAATGTATATATAGTTACAAATTAGGCACGAAACATTGCCAAAATATAAATACCCAAATTTTTCACGTCTTCTGGACGTCTTTGTAGCGGGGACTCACTGCCTATTAGATAAGCCGAAATCTTTTTCCGGATACCCTTTAAATAGAACAAAGGGTCGTCTCAAACACATTTGAATTTGCCTAGTCCACGGTGGATGGTTTGTGCCGAGTTAGCACCCCAGTTTAGTACCTCAAGAATACCATTTTTTCCGCAAGTTGCTAGAATTGCTTTATGTATAGAATCTGAATATTCCTATACTCATGAGTGAAGAATATCAGAAGTTTCGGTAAGTTTGTTTGGCTTGAGATGGAGTCAAAGGCAGAGGCGCATGCTAACACGTTCTCATAGCGTCTTCCAACAAGACTTTATCGTCGACAAACGCGTTCAATTGATCAAGGGAATAGGCCAGGGTGCCTATGGGATCGTTTGTTCCGCTAAATATACAGATAGTGATCATCCGGTCGCCATCAAGAAGGTGACAAATGTGTTCAGCAAGAAGATACTGTGCAAGCGGGCACTGAGAGAGTTAAAACTACTTCGTCATTTCCGAGGCCACAAGAATATCACATTTTTATACGACATGGATATCATTCCTGATATTCATGGCAATTTCCACGAGATATATCTTTATGAAGAACTCATGGAGTGTGACATGCACCAGATCATCAGGTCCAACCAGCCTCTCACAGATGCCCATTACCAGAGCTTCATCTACCAGATATTGTGTGGTCTGAAATATATACATTCTGCTGATGTTCTTCATCGAGATCTGAAGCCTGGGAATTTGCTGGTGAATGCGGACTGTGAGTTGAAGATCTGCGATTTTGGCCTGGCTAGAGGTTACAGCAGTGATCCTGAGAAGAATCACGGGTTTTTGACGGAGTACGTGGCTACGAGGTGGTACAGAGCTCCAGAGATCATTCTGAGTTTCCAGGGCTATACGAAGGCCATTGACATCTGGTCTGTGGGATGCGTTCTGGCGGAGCTGCTCGGAGGAAAGACTCTTTTCAAAGGCAAGGATTACGTGGATCAGCTGAACCAGACTCTGCGCGTGCTAGGTACTCCTAGCGAAGAAACCTTGAACTCTATTCCCTCAGAAAGAGCGCGGGATTACGTTCGTACTCTGCCTTTTACGGAAAGGATACCATTTTCCTCCATATATCCAAACGCGACGCCGTTGTCCATCGATCTACTAGAGAGGATGCTCACCATGGACCCAACCGAAAGAATAACCACAGAAGATGCCTTGGAGCACCCTTACCTTTCAATTTGGCATGACTCATCGGACGAGCCTGTCTGTGCTGCGAAGTTTGATTTTTCGTTCGAAGCGGTGGACGATATGGCCCAGATGAAACAGATGATCATCGACGAGGTGTCTTCCTTCAGGTCTTTTGTGAGGCCGTCAGAAGCCGAAAATACCCAGGACTTCAAGGGTCAACAAATAGACGATCAGCAGTACCAGCAGTACCAGCAGTACCAGCAATACCAACAGTACAGCTCCGACGGCAGTGCAGTTGTGCAGCCGGCATTGCAGACCCCAAGCAGGGAATTCTTCAATGATGAAGACATGCCACCGAAGCCACAGGAGAACCCGGGAATGGCCTATGGTGGTGAGATGGATTTGGAGCTGGAGTTGGAGTATGGATTGGATGCAATGGGCTTGAAATAGACGATATAGGGGGATTACGCCTCGCATATTGGAAGCCTCAATGGATCGGCTACTAAAACTACAACGCGTGTCCGAATGATAAGTAAGCATTTGAGCTTTATTAAAGCCTCATGAGACTAAATAGTATTACAATGAGTAAATAAATGTTCAATGATCGAGCGAGACTACCCATACAGGTTGATCTCGGCATCAAAAGGTCCAAAGGTGATCACGTCGTCATAATCTCCCTCGAACGCTTGCTTGATCCACAGGAACAGTTTGTCATACACAATCACATGAGCGTTGTGATAACTGATGCTATGGTCTGAGTCCGGAAACACATGAACATCATAGTTCTCTATACTGGCCTGGTCCAGTAGATCAAGGAACTTGAGCGAGTTTTGGAAGTGAACATTATCGTCTCCGGATCCGTGCATCAGCAGGAATCTCTTGGATTTTGCGATATTTTTCACGTTAACCACAGAGGAAGTAGAGTAGTTTGGGTTCTGTTGGGGAGTGTGCATGTATCTTTCTGTGTAGATGGAATCGTAGAATCTCCAGTCCGTGACTGGCGCAACTGACATTCCGTACTTGAAGGTTTCTCCAGCATCCCTCTCCAGAGTCTTCAAGGTCATGAACCCACCGTATGACCAGCCCCATATGGCAACACGAGAGGGATCGATGTACGACTTTTGCTTCCAGATTTTGGCAGCTGCGATCTGGTCAATGGTCTCGTAATGGCCCAGTTGGTCGCGCACAACGCTTCTATACTTGCTTCCCTTGAAGCCCGTTCCTCTTCCGTCGACAGTGACCACCACGGCACCGATCTCGGCTGCAATTGAGGCCGAAAATGAGATTCCAAACTGTTTCTGAACCAATTGACTTCCCGGGCCTCCATAGACGAAAAACAGCACTGGGTACTCCTTGGTTTCGTCAAAATTCAGTGGCAGTGTCTCGACATAATTGGCCAGGATGGGATCCTCGTCTTCGGAACTGAGATCCACGGTGCCGTATCTAACAGTAGGAACATCGTACAATGTCAAGGTGTTCGCCAGTTTCTGGTTAGACTCCAAAAGCTGTTCTGAACCTGTCTTGAGGTCAAGCAGCTTTTGGTGAGGGATCTCGGGACCCTCGTAATTCAGCAGAACGAATCTCGAACCTGACGAGAACGAAACGTCGTACCAACCTTCCCGAGACACATCTGTAAGATTCTCAAATTTTTCACCGTGTAAATCGACAGAATACAAATGGCGTTCCACAGACGACTTCTTGGTCGCGATGAAAAAGACCGTGTTGGTCAAGTGGTCAAACGATGAAGGAGCACTAACGACTTCCCACTCTCCCGAGGTCAAAATCGTAGGCTTCGTTGCTGTAGCTGGAGAATAATAAGCCAAATGGTCATATCCGTCAACGTCTATCGTGTCGATGTATCCGTCGTATGGTCTTCCATGTTCCTCGTTCGCGGGGACATACAGAGTTGAATGGGTAATTTCAAACCAGCTTCCATTGCTTTTCTCGGAACGTGTGAGTTTACTCACCATTTTCTCTGCATTCACAATGAAAATTTTCAACAGGTCGCTCTCTCTATTCGTGACACGCGCAAGAAACTTGTCATCGCCAACCCACATGATCTCCGTGATAAGTCTATCGTCATTGGAAACCTCGGGGTCGTTGTAAAAGGCATCTGAGCCATCCAGTTTTCTCACCTGGCCCTCAGCAAAGTCATAAACAATCACATCTACTTTGGGGTTGGGGAAACCTGCCTTGGGATACTTGATCTCTCTCAAATCGGGGTAGGCCTGGTCCTCCGATTGAACAAAATACGGAATCGGGAAAACTGGCACTTCCGTATCGTTTGATCTCAGGATAGCCAGGTATGAGCCATTGGGCGACCACCACATGGCAGAATCACTTTCAAACACCTCTTCCTCGTACACCCAGTCTGGTTTTCCGTAAAATATCTGTGCACCACCATCAAAAGTGACCTGGGTCAGCTTGGGATGGTAAAAATCGGAGACGTCCTTGAAATAAACATTGTTTTCCAGGACGAAAGCAACCTTGTCCGAGTTGGGAGCCCACGAAGCTAGGGCAATCTTGGAATTCAATTCTGGAGATGGGTCGTAAAGCGGCTGAACCGAGCGATCCTCCACGTTGTAAATCCAGTAGTTGGCAAAAAAAGAGTGTCTCCAATTGTGCTTTTTATCAGAAACAATCAGGGCAAACTTCAAATTGTCACTCGCAATAATGTCCTCTATCTTGTACTGCTCGTTATTGTAGGTGACATGAGATCCCTCAAAAATCGTCTGAGAATATGAAGGGTCCGAGATCGATTTCACCACATAACTGGAAGTGTCACTAACAACAAACGTGCCCGAGTCGTTCGTCAGACTGTCCGGAGACTGGATCCACTGGATTGTACGGCTCACTGGCGAAAACGTCCCGTTTCTGGCCGCATTGAAAGTGAGCGGAATTTTGCCATTTCCACCCAAAAACTGAACAGGAGTAATGGCTTGTTGGCCACGTATATTTGATGTATCAAATGCAGGCAAATGCTGGAATGTCTTAAGGTCTCTATGGGTCTTCAACAGAGCGTCTACTGAAGACACCAGTAGGGCGGATCCATACACCAGTGCTACCAGGACCAAGGAGACTAACTTCCAGCCGTGGAAGCCAGTCCTTGTGTGCAGCTCCAGTTCCGGAGAGCCCATGGTTGTTTGTATGGTTTTGGCCTTTGTTGGAGAAGAGAAGAAAGATGGTAGATCTAAACCTTCTCCAGTTCCAACTCAAGACAAGCCACTTCCTATTCGGACTAATTGACGTGCCTCCTCAGAAAAAAAGAAACGAGACCAAGAGCCGCGGCTATAAATGGAACTCTGCGGTGCACGACTCACGCGCATGCAGGTATCAGGTTACCCTCTCGTAGTGACCGGCCAAAAGTCTTCTGGCCAATCACAGTCCTGTATTGCGGGAAAAATTCGATCAGAACACCTCCCCCCCTTGTCCTTGCCACTTCAACACCTCCATTCCTTAGAATCGATCCACGACAATTAAACAGGACACTTCCTTGAACGTGTATCTATCAAGACCCGATTTGTTTTGATATTTTGAACAATAACACATTTCCAACTGTCGAATTAACAATTGTTGAGGCCCTGTTATTGCAAACTATTTGGATTTACTAAGAGATCCTAAACAACAACAACAAAGCTCAAAAACAAAAACAATGAGTTCCCACCAAGACATGAACATCGATGTTGAGATCATCAACCAGGGCAAGTTCGATGATAGTGCCGAGTCCAAGATTCAGCAGATCATTCCCAAGTACACTTCTGGCAATCCTGGTGACCTGTCGCACTTGAACATTCCCAATTTCAAGTCTGATGAGGTTGCTGCTGCTGCCCAGGCTTTGGGCCACCAAGGGCTGGACCATGATTCCGAGCTCTTCGTGACTCCCCAGATGCCTGAGCAGACCTTTGAGGACGTGGTTGAGTTGAAGGAATGGGTCAAGGCTTTTGCCAAGAAAAACGAGTTTGGTATTGCCATTGCCCACTCCAACAACAAGGCAATTTATTTCACTTGCGAGTTGGGTGGTGTCTACAGAGAGAAAAGGTCCAAGAAGTCTGACAACGAGGAGGACTTGTCTGCGGCTCAGCAGCAGAAGAAGATTGGATCCAAGAAGATCAGTTGTCAATTTTCCATGGTTGCCAACTTTTCGAAGAAGACAAACAACTGGACTTTGAAGATGACTGAGAACAACCACAACCACCCCAAGCTGGATCCTTTGACCAACTTCCCAATGCTCCGCAAGCGCACTCCTCAGGTCAACAACACCATCAAGGAGTTGTACTCCCAGGGAGACAAGCCTTCCATTATCCACGCCAAGTTGACATCTGCCTTCCCAGACCTAATGATCAAGAGAGAGGACATCTACAACGAAATCAGAATCCTGAAGAAGAGAAGAATGGTGCCAACAAACAATGAGATCAAGAAGCTCAAGATGAACGACTATGGAACCAACAACAACATGGAGACTCTTAGCCACCACATGTCTCACCAAGAACAGCTCTGGTCTGGTGACCACGTGAAGCTTACCGAGTTTGCCAACGTTACTGTCCAGGAGCAACAGAAGAAGGACGAGGCCGAAGCCGCTGCCGCTGCTGTTGCTGCAGCTGCCTCCAACCTGATGAAGGATGATGACAAGATTGACGAGAATCTCATGAACATCGACTCTCGTCTGGTTGACAACTAAGTTTGTCAAAGTCCTGATGGCTTCCCCTGTATAGGGCGTGTGTATTAGTTTCCAGAAGGATAGAGAGGTTTGCCGCGTTTTATTTTATTTTGTTGTGATGGTGTATCGGTGGCTGGATGGTTGTCTCTTGTCCCAGATCGCTTGCTATAAATGAATGGCTACGAACACATGCTGCTCTTATCTGTCGCCTTGTTCTCCTCCTTTTTCTTCCTTGTCTCCTTTTAGTGTAAATTATCTCGAAAATTAAGAGTCTTTTTATCTTTTTGTAGAATCACCAAGTCAGACTTAGTCAGTTATGAGGGAGTGTGCCACCCAATCGTCCCAGACACGATGTCGATTTGGGAAGTACTCCACGGACGCTGACAAGCTGTTCAGTTGTTGATAACGTTCTCTTTCTTAGAACACCACCCTTAGATATTTGTGTTTTGGCTTCAGTTAAAACAACGGTCTGGAATCGAATCGCTAATCACCCAATTGGATCCATCAGATCGCCATACACAAAGCCATGGCACCAGCGTCTAAGGAACCCGACGCCACCAAACCGCAGGCACAGCCTGAATCTGGAGATAAGTCCAAGAAACAGCTCAAAGCCGGTAAAGACGGCAAGGTCGAAGAAGAGGAGCTTTCTGAAGAAGATGCTCAACTGAAATCCGAGCTCGAGATGCTGGTTGAGCGTTTAAGCGAGCCTAAAGAAAGTCTTTATCAACCCTCTTTGAACGAATTGAAGAGATTCATCAAAGAATCCACTTCTTCCATGACTGCGGTTCCAAAACCCTTGAAGTTTTTGCGTCCTCATTACCCCCAACTGACTAAGCTCCATTCTGCGTGGACAGATTTGCAATTGAAGTCAAGTTTGGCTGATGTGTTATCTGTGCTTGGTATGACATACTCGTCTGATGATCCAAGTGGATTGTACAAGAGAGAGTGTCTGAAATACCGTATGCTTTCCAATGTGGATGAAGGAATTGCTGGGTGGGGCCACGAGTATTTGCGCCATTTAGCCTTGGAGATTGGTGAAGAATACGATGAGTTCTTGGATGATGGTAAGCCCACGGATCAGAACGGCAAACTTCTCAAACTGGCTTTGGAGATCGTTCCATACTTCCTGAAGCACAACGCCGAGGCTGAAGCTGTTGACTTGCTGTTGGAGATTGAAGCCATTGATAAGTTACCGCAGTTCGTGGATAAAGATACCTTTGGTAGAGTTTGTCTCTACATGGTTGGATGTGTCCCACTGTTGGCACCCCCAGACGATCTGGCATTTTTGCACACCGCGTTCTCAATTTATCTTTCCAACGATCAATTGACACAGGCATTAGCGTTGGCCATCAGACTGGATGATGAATCTTTGATCAAGTCTGTGTTTGAAGCCACCACCGATACTCATATCCACCAACAGCTCGGTTTCATACTGGGCCGTCAAAACTCATGCTTCAAGTGGGAGGACCCTACCGTTCAGGAATGTATTTCCAACGTGAGAATCTCGGAGTTTTTCAACTACTTGGTAAAGGAATTGAACTTGCTGCAGCCAAAACTCCCCGAGGATATCTACAAATCGCATCTGGAAAACTCCACTTTGGCTGCCCCTCGTCTTGAGAGCGCAAAACAGAATCTGGCCTCTGCTTTCGTCAATGCCTTTGCCAATGCCGGTTACCGCAATGAGAAATTGGTCAATGATGAACATTGGGTCTCCAAGACCAAGGGCGAAGGCCGGTTGTCCACCGCGGCGTCTCTTGGTCTTGTCCACCTGTGGGATAACGACGGTTTGCAACAGTTGGACAAGTTTTTGTACACAGAACAGGTAGATGTTACTGCAGGTGCTTTGCTGGGTATGGGTGTATCTTCTACCAGTGTTCACGATGAGGTTGATGCTGCTTTGTTGATGTTGAGAGACTATATCACCGGCGAAAGTCCCCAGCCTTCGAAGGTTGTTGCTGCCGCAATCACCGGTCTCGGTATTGCATTTGCTGGAAGCGAAAATGAAGAGGCTTTGAGTCTCTTGCTTCCTCTGGTCACAGACCAAGAGCATTCTTTGGAGATCAACTCCCTGGCTGCTCTTGCCCTTGGCCACATCTTTGTGGGGACCTGTAATGGTGACATAACCTCAACTATTCTACAGACATTGTTGGAGAGAGACTTTTCGGACTTGGGCTCCAAATGGGTAAGATTCATGTCTTTGGGTCTCGGTTTGTTGTACATGGGTAAGTACGAGCAGGTCGAAGATGTCTTGGATACCATCGATGCGATTGAACATCCAATTGCCAAGACCTTGAAGGTTGTTGTTGGAATCTGTTCTTATTCTGGAACTGGTAATGTGCTGCAAATACAGGCCCTGCTGCAGATGTGTACTGCCAAGCCCAAAGACGAGGACGAAGAAAAGGATGACGGAGATGACAATGCCGCAGACGAAGATACTGTGGAAGCTGAGATCAAGACTGAGGACAAGGAGAAAGCCGAGAACTCGGAGAGCGATAGCAACAAGGAGTCTACTCCAGAGGATGAGTCTTTCCAGGGATATGCCGTTTTAGGTCTTGCTCTGATTGCAATGGGAGAAGAAATTGGCCAGGACATGTCTCTGCGTCATTTTGGTCATTTGATGCATTATGGTAACCCTCTCATACGCCGTGCTGTTCCACTGGCCATGGGACTGGTGAGTGCCGCTAATCCACAAATGAAGGTTTTCGACACTTTGTCGAGATACTCGCACGATTCTGACTTGGATGTTGCCTACAACGCGATCTTCTCTATGGGTATCGTTGGTGCTGGTACCAACAATGCTAGACTTGCACAGTTGCTTAGACAATTGGCATCCTACTATGTGAACGATCCAGATGCTATGTTCATGGTTCGTATTGCCCAAGGTCTGATTCACTTGGGTAAGGGTACTTTGACGGTGACTCCATTCAACAGTGACAGACAAATTTTGTCGAAGGTTTCTCTGGCTTCTTTGCTGACTGTTGCTGTCACCCTTTTGGATCCTGGCGCATTCATCCTTGACCAGCACTCTGCTCTGCTATACTACCTTACGCCAGCTATACACCCAAGAATGCTCGTGACTGTTGACGAAGACTTGAACCCAATCAAGGTCAACGTCAGAGTGGGTCAAGCTGTTGACGTGGTCGGTCAGGCGGGTAAGCCAAAGACCATTACTGGCTGGGTCACTCATTCTACTCCAGTCCTTCTTGGTCATGGCGAACGCGCTGAGTTAGAAAATGACGAGTATTTGAGTTTGGCCAGTTCCCTGGAAGGTGTGGTGATCTTGAAGAAAAACCCTGATTGGATGGATGTTGACGCATAGAAAGTTGATAAATTTCCATTTAAGTCTAAAATATCTACGTGTAGAGCGACATGCTCAGTTGTAATTGAGTCAGAAATGACTATGAATTTTTGAGTGTCTTCTGTATTACTTGGAGATCCTCTTCAATGTGGTTTTTGCGCGTGTTTCTATTCCTATTGCCTCGTTCATGAGAACTCCTCTGCCTTTGTGGCCATCAAAAGACCCACAATCAGCCCAAACAGACCCAGAACCGATCCGAAGATTTCAACCACCAGGATCTTCACGAAAAGCGACGAATCAGCAGCATCAGAAATCGCAGCAGTAGAGCCCGTGATTCCGACGGCAACACCACAGATCAGATTGCTGAGTCCCACGGTCAAGCCTGCCCAGAACAAAGAGTAGCCAGTGTACAGGTTCTCCCTGGTGTATAGCGAAGAGCTTGGGACAGACGTCAGCTTCGCACTGAACACAATGGCCATGATCAATCCATAAATCGCCACAACTTCACAGAAAATGATGGAAATCAAGTTTTTCGTCGTTATACGAGGTGCCTTGACACCAGCACCGATGATGGATGAACCAGTAACGAAGATACCCCAAGCAGCACCAACCACCGACATACCGATGCACGACACTATACCGAGATTGGCCCACATATAAGGCGATGTAGTTTCCAGAAACTGGCCAACGTTAAAGTCCTCACCGTTTCCGTTGAAGAGCATATCTAAAGGGTTGAACTCAGTTAGTATTGTGTCACTAAGCACATCTGGCACTTCTTGCAACAAGGCACCTTTAACAGTGTAACTTACATCCGCCCACCACGGTCAGTGCCGAAAGTGTCAGTATTCCCGAGAGTCCCATAATCAGTTTGAATAGTGTGAGCAATGAATTGGTCGATTAAATAACAATTGGGTCTGGGGGGAGAGGAATGTAGATTCTCTATCTGGATGGAAAGGGCTGTCTGATCGGTGCAGCAGTCTGGTGACACTTGGGAAATTGGCAGAGATGAAGTTCGGGTATTTAACGGGTAAATTAAATGACTATGTTGAAATATACATCCAGCTTTGTACCATGTCTATTTTCATTTAAACAGTTTTCTAATCGTCTATTTCTCAGTAACAATGGCTCCCTCATAGGCAGGGTCCAGCAGTTTCCACTGGCACGTGACGTTCTCTTTGGCGAACCTCTTGATGATCTCAGATGCAATAGCATCAAAGTTTTCCGTGGCCAACGCCAAAATAGTAGGACCTGCTCCCGAAAGACAAATTCCCAATAGCCCCTTGTGGGTCTGAGGCGTTACGGAGGCCAGAATCTCCGGAAGACCGGGGATCAGTGTTTTGCGGTAAGGCTGGTGCACCTTGTCTTGCATGGCAGCGTAGATCAACTCTGGGTCTGGTGGTGATCTGGTCAATGCCGTGGTCAAAACAGCAAGTCTCTGTAGGTTGAAGATCATATCTTTAGCAGTGAAAGCACTGGGCAGCACTCCTCTGGATTCCGCAGTGGAGACCTCAAAGTTGGGTATGATCGCAATGCAATGTATGTCTTTGCACCAGTCGTACTTGATATGGCGACCAATGTCGACTGGAGGCTCTGGTGGAACCAAACCAGTGTCAACACCTCCAGCTGGCTCTGGAAGAACCTCACTAAGAGGAATCTCCTTTCTCTCAGTTTCTAGGGCGGAAAGCTCTCTAAGGTAGGAGCCCACAAATCCACCCATCATTGCCGCAGTGATATTGTCAGGATGACGTTCGATCATCAAACAATAGTCCAGCATTCTTTGCTTGGAGAACCCAAATCCTCCAATCTTGTCACCCAACATAACACCGGCCACAACAGCAGCACCGGAAGAGCCAAGGCCTCTGCCTAGCGGGATGGGATTGTTAACATGAACCTGGGTGCCCTCTGGAAAGACCCTCACTCCGTTACAACGCAAGACATAAAGAGCTGTTCTTGTGATCAAGTTGTGTTCGGAGTTCAAAGGAACTTCATCTGCGCCTTCTCCCTCATACGAAAGGATGCAGTTGGTTGGGTCTTGTTTCGATGTCTCAGCTAATGCCGGATCGATATTGACGGAAATCTCTAGATACAGGTTGAGACCTATACCCAAAACGTCAAATCCGGGACCGATGTTTGCCGAAGAGGCAGGAACCTTTATCACAAACTCTCTAGGCATTTCTGTGGTTTTTTTGAGTATCACCGCTCCGACATCAAAAGTCCGTGATGAATGAATGACTCAAACATAGCCGTCGAAATCTGGCGGTGAAGGTCGTGGCAAAGCTAATAAAAATTCCAGCCTCCAGATCGGGCCGCTTCTTGAACAATAGCATTTGTAACCTGGAGCACCACCAGACTGAGCTTTTGCATAGCAGAAAAAGCCATGTTGTCAAGGAAATTGAGTGTGCCTAGTGGCCGAGCCTCTTTAGCACGTTTGGTTAGCAAAAGGGCCCTGAGCGATTCAACTGAGGTATGTTACTGTTATAGTGGCACTCGCTTCTTTTTGTCTTGTTGTACTAACTCTCCAAACCCCAGCCGCCTGCCAAAATTCTCACCACTTCTAACGGCATTAGACTTATCGTGGACGATTCGCCGAGTTATTTCTCGGCTCTTGGATTGTATGTGGATGCAGGCTCAAGATTCGAGTCGTATTATAACCTGACTGGTTCTTCCCACCTTACGGATAGACTGGCATTCAAGTCCACGCAGAATATCACCGGGAAAGCCATGCTCGAGAATTTGAATCTTCTCGGTGGAAATTTCATGTGTGCATCTTCAAGAGAGTCCATGATGTACCAGGCCTCGGTTTTCAACAAAGATGTGGAGAAGATGTTTCACTTGCTTTCGGAAACAGTGTCTAAGCCATTGCTCACTGAGGAAGAAGTCCAGGACCAGGTCCTCACAGCTGAATATGAGCTCGGTGAAATAAACCTCCAGCCGGATTTGATACTCCCGGAACTTTTGCAGCAGGTTGCGTACGATTCAAAGAATCTGGGCAGTCCTCTATTATGTCCTGCTGAGGCTCTACCCCATATCAGCAGACAGAGGCTGCTGGACTATCGTCAGAAGTTCTACAGACCTGAGAACCTGGTAGTGGCTATGACTGGAGTCCCAGAAGACAAAGCGGCCAGTTTGGTGGATCAGTATTTAGGAGACTTTGTGGGATCCCCATTAGCAGCTCCTCTCGTGAAAGAACCAGCTGTTTACACAGGGGGCGAGCTCTCTCTTCCACCTGCCCCTGTCATGGGTAACTTGCCAGAATTCCATCATATTTATGTTGGATTTGAGGGTGTTCCAATAACCTCCAAGGACGTCTATGCTCTGGCCACTTTGCAGATGCTTATTGGAGGAGGTGGTTCTTTCAGCGCTGGTGGCCCTGGTAAGGGTATGTATGCTAGAGCTTACACCAGAATCTTGAACCAGTACGGCTTTGTGGAGAGTTGCAAATCGTTCATTCATAATTTCACAGACTCTGGGCTGTTTGGTCTCTCTATATCGTGTATTCCACAGGCCAACAGAGTGGCTGCTGATCTGATAGGACAGGAATTGGCTTTGCTGTTCCAAGAAAGTGGGAAGGGCTCGTTAACCGAGGCAGAAGTCTCCAGGGCCAAAAGCCAATTGAAATCGTCGTTGATGATGAATTTGGAAAGCAAGATGGTTCAGCTGGAAGACATGGGCAGACAGGTTCAGGTCTACGGAAAGAGAACCAGCGTTTCTGAGATGTGTCGCAAGATTGACGTTCTTACCAGAGCAGACCTCATAGACATAGCACAGAAGGTGTTGACGTCCAGTGTTCCAACCGTTGTTATACAGGGCGATAGGTCTTCTTTTGGAGACGTTGTTGGAACTCTCAACAAGTATGGCGTAGGAGCCAAACCCAAGAGCACTGCACGTTGGTTTTGATTTGGACAGAGTCATCCTTTGTACATAGGACTAGAATTTGGTGCGAGCCATGATATTCAAAAGCGTTATAAATCAGTATACAGCTGCGGACTTGCTCTTCCAGTCCAGTAACTCTTTCTCTAGCATGAGCGATTGCTCTCTGTAATCTTCCTTCTCCCTTTCAGCCCTTCTTGCAGCCAGCTTAGCTTCAGACTCCTGTTGCTGCAAAGTGTCGATTGTGTTATCCAATCTTTTGATCGTTTCCTCGAGAGATTTCCTTTCATTTTCGAGCCTCTGGATGGTCTGAGACTGGAGCTCGTGCCTGTGTTGCACATCCTTGATGGTTCTCTGGAGATCGTAGAGTTTCTGATCGTCATCTCTTTGACTGGAACTGGCAGCAAAGATCTTGTCCTCCAGCTCTATCACTCTGTTGTTCCAATAAGATGTCTGAGACTGTTTCTCAGCGGCAAATTTCGTTTCCATCTCACCCATCTTGGATTTCAGTTGACGGTTGAACTTGGTCAAGGCCTTGTTTTCTTCCACCACCAACATGTTCTCTTTATTAATCGAAGCCAAAGCCGTCTGGTTCTCTTTGAGAGACCTCTCCAGCGACTGTAGTTGGTATCTGAGAGTTTCCACGTTCTTTCTCTCATCTGACAATGATTGAGTTAGTCTCGTAACAGCAGTACTATTGGAGGCATCCTCTTTGGCCTTGGCCAGATGAGCATCAAACTCCTTGGAGATCTCTTCGACCTTTCTTTCCAGTACACGTTTCGACTCAAGAAGTTGGTTTCTCTCCGTTTCGAGATCTTCATTTGCAGCCTCAAGAGCCTTCACCTTGGCAGAGAAGGCCTCGATTCTGATCAATCCTTCTTGCTTCTCGGTATTGAGCTCGTGGTTCTTGTCATTGGTCTGAACCAACAGCTTCTCAAGGGCTGTCTTCTCAAGCGTGAGCTGACTGCTCTTCGCCTTCAAAGACATGTTCTCTTTCTGGGAAGCATCAAGTTGCGTTGACATACTCCTAATTCTCTTACTGAGGTCAGTCTCCTTGTTCATGTAGGTTAAGAGCTCAGAATTGAGCATGTCCAGTTCCTTCTGCTGTGCTGTTGATGTGTTAGAGTTGACCGAAGATCTGAACTCTTCCTCCTTCTCGCACTTTTCCTTCAACGAGTCGTACTGTTCTTGCACCTTCTTTAGCTGGAACACAGTATCAGAGAGTTCCCTTTCAACCTCACGCATAGCCGAATGAAGCTTTGCAACCGAAATATCGGAGTTTCTAAACTCCTCTTGACAATCCTTGAGTCTCAACTTGGTTTCTCTGAGCTCGTTCTTGACCATCTCCTCGGCTCTCTTAGCCGTCTGAACGGTGACATCTGCAGCTTCTAACTTGGAGTAGTAGCTCTCAGCTCTTGACTTGTACAACTCCAAAGACTCAAGCAAGTCCTTGTTCTTGAGATCTGTGACATCCAGCTTCGTTTTCAACTGTGCCAGTTGTTCTTGCTGGACAAAGGTGGCATCGCAAGTTAGCTGTAAGCGCTTGAGCTTGGTAGTAGTCTCGTTGAGCATGGAATTGAGTCGCAAGTTCTCCTGTCTTGCATTTTGCACCTCTGCTAGGCCCTTAGCGGACTTAGCATCTGAGTCAAGCGTGTTCAGACGGTTGCTGCTTTCAGATAGAGGATTGAGGGATCTGTACGAACTGGCCTCGTTGAAGTCCATACCCCTCATATTAGCAGAGGCACTCTTCCTGGTTGAAGCAAGCTCTTTTTGAAGCTCGATATTCATCTTTTCTAGACGTTTGTTTGCGGCTCTCTCTCTTTCCACAGCAGCGTCATTTCCAGACGACTTCATAGGGCTCGAAATCATGGAAACTTGGTTAGCCTCAATTCCAGCATTCTTCAAGCATGCTCTCAGCTGACGGTTATCATATGACTCAGCAGCAAGTTTGTTTTGAGTGAAACGAAGCTCCTGTCTCAGAGAGTTGAGGTCGTGATCATGTGTCAAAGGTTGGGCCTTGCTCAATTGAAGCTTAGTCTCTGCCAGTTTCACATCATAGCTCTTCTTTGCCTTGGAAAGACGATCATTCTCAGCTTTTATTTCTCTCACTGACAATGACATCTTGGCACTTGAAGATCTCTCAATCTCAAGCTCTGTCTTCAGCCCTTGAATGATACCCTGGAGTTTCTTGAGGTCTTCATCGTACTTCTGTCTTCCTCTCTCGAACCTGACCTCATCAGCAATCTTAGCTTCCAGCAAGGTCTTTGCTTCCTTTGATTCATGCTTGAGTTGAATGTGTTGAGCGGTTAGCCTTTCAAACTTCTCCTGCAACTCATTTGTTGACTCTTGTTTCCCCACAGCCAAATTGGCCCGGGCACACGCCCTTTCCAATTTACTTTCTGTGGAGCTCAAGACACGTTCCTTGTTCTTCAAATCTTCTTCTAGATCACTCACTTTCTTCTGCAAAGCAGAGAGTTTTCCGACATCGGCATCGTGAGCCTCGAGCTTCTCCTCGAGCTCCACAATGCTCTTCTCAAGCTTCTCTTTGTTGGAAAGGTCCTTTGAGTACTTGTCGTTGATAGCCTCTAATTGATCCTTGAGGGACTTGACTTCCTTCATGTTTCTCTCCAGAAGAGTCTTCAAACTCAAGATTTTGCTGTTTGCATCTTGAAGCTGGTGTTCTTTTTGGTCAAGCAATCCTTTGTCTGCACTTAGGTCTTGTTTGGAGGACTTTACCTTCTCATTTGCTACATCAAGCTCACTTTTAATTTTCTTGTTTTCGGCATCTAAGAGCTTGATGCGCTTCTCGAACTTGAGCTTGTCCTTCTGTGGAACATCCTCAGTACTCGTGTTTCCAATGACTGGTTTCAGCTGTACAAACAATTTGAACCATGCACTCTTGTTCAGCTCGTGGTATGTTCCCAAACTCTCCAGAATCAGGTCCGCAGCCCTTATCTTCTGCAGCCTGGCATGAGCTCTCTTTCTTGTGATATTTCCCCGGGCTACGGCTTGCAATCCGGAGAAGATAGCAGAAAGCTTTGCACTTCTCTGCTTCTCCAAGTTAGCCAAAACACTGTTGCGGAAGAAGATTTTGGTCAGACCAACTTTGTAGCTATCAGATTTGAGCTCTAGCTCGGCGAGGATAAGCTCACACAACTGCTTCACAGAACGATGGCCATTCTTTGTCAACCTCGATTTAGACAGGATTGCGTACTCGTCGAAGAACGCCTCAAAGGTCACTCTGTTGGGGTATCCAGATCTGGCGATTCTGATTCCTTCCAGAACACCATTGCAACGGAGTTGATCGAGAACCAGTTTGTCGCTCAATTTCCCAGGAACTTTCTCGGTATTTGGAAGAATACAACGAACAAAGTGAGGTTCCGTACTTTCCAGTTCTTTCATCAAGTTGTTAAGCTGTTCCTTGTGTTTCTGGGCAACGGTCCTGAACATTCCACCCTTTTTGCCAGGGGTTCTGCTCACAGTCTCGTTCGCAAGCAATTGAGCATCACCTTCGAACATGTCTTGGAAATACATGTCGGATGAGCCTGACATCAAGCTGACGATGTCATCACTAAGAGGATCCTTGTTCTTCTGCAGCCACGAACTGATGTTGTAGTCAACTTCACCAGCATAGTGCTTGATAATGAAGCCGTTGCGGATCTTGTTTGGAAGATACTTGATCTTATCTTTGTCGGCCTTTTTATCCTTTGTCTCGAGGTTATCGTGGAGTTTTTCCAGAAACGAACTGTCTGATCCCTTTGGAACGACACATTCTTCGTCCAGGATGGGGAAGATTCCCAGCTTCTTTGCCCCACTGCCTTCAATGAGCTCAATTGTGGGCTTCAAGTCGTTTCCAAAGTCGATGAACTCCCAGCTGATATTCTCCTTGATATACTCGCTTTGCTCCAGCACGAACATGTGATGGTTGAAGAAGTACTGCAGTTTCTCGTTCGTCAGATTGATGCACAATTGCTCGAAGGAATTCTTCTCGAAAATTTCAAACCCGGCTATATCCAAAATGCCAATGAAGTTGCTTTCCTCAAATGGAGATCCGTGATTGGTGAAGCTTTGGTTGACCTTGTCCACAATATATTTGAACAGCTTTTCATAAAGGCTTTTGGCAAAAGCGTCTATGGCAAACTTGGCCTGTTGAGAGGTTCTCTTCTGGGTGATCTTCTCCTTTCCTGCCTTTACCTTGAGCGACAAGAAGCATTGCTTAAGTTTCTCGCTTTTCACACCCAGCAGCTCTGCGATCTGCGAAATGGGTGAACTCTGAGATAACATTGCTTGCTTGTCACTCTTTGGATTGGTGAAGCTGACATTTCCAAGCAACAGAATAGCTGCGATTACCTTAAATAGATTCTTCTTTTCAGAGGCGGAGAATCCGATTATCTTGAGTGCCTTTTCCAAAGCTTGGAACTCAGCTCTGTCATCGATTCCGACAACAGAGTGATTGGCAATCTTGAGATAGCCGTACTCTTTGACCGACCTCGTGAGACCAAGATCTTCCATTTCTTTATCAGAAAGTCCTTTCAGCATCTGGTAGAAAATATGGTAGTTTCTTTCTTTTTCATTCTGCAAAACTACTCTGGACTTCTCCAACAAATACCATTCTATATGACCGCTCACCAGTCTCTTAGTGGAAGGGTCAATAGATATTTTCACGAACTTGCCAAACCTGGAGGAGTTATTATTTTTAACGGTCTGCGCATTTCCAAAGGACTCCAATATTGGATTTGCCTGAATAATTTGCTGTTCAAAGTTGTTCTTTCCGTCAGAGGAGGAGGCTACCGAAGTGATGTATTGAATGACCTTCTTGGTGTTTTCAGTCTTGCCAGCACCACTTTCACCAGTAACCAATATACTCTGGTTCTTCTTGCCTTGCAGAAGTTTCTGAAATGCTTCTTCAGCAGTCGCAAATATGTGAGGCTTCAGAGCGTCCGGCCGGGTATATCTTTGCGAGCTCTCTGACCAAGCAGAATCTTCCTGCTTCTTCTGGAGCGTTGAACCTCGGTACATCTGAATGAAATCGTCATTGTAGATATTCAGAGATTTGTAGGGATTAATAGCAACAAGGAAAAGTCCCGAGTATGTGTATATCAGATCGTTGGAGTATCTTGTCTTCAAGTTGTGCACCACAGAGGGTTCGTTAAGGTATGTTAAAGCAGCCATATCGTCGCACTTGTCGAACCGAGGAGGATTGACCCTTTGCAAAGACTCTAGTTTGATAGTCTGTTCTGAGCCGTCCTCGAGTCTGACCTGACAGTCCCCATGATCTTTATTCTGTCTGACAATTTCCCCTTTGGCAAAGCTACCAGAATCGGTGGGCAACCACACCCAGTTGTCGAATGAGGTCTCTCCCATTATAGCAGATATGATTATTGGTAATTGATAGCTGGGGTTTTGGAGAGTTCTGGTGCCGATCACGGTTAGCTACGATGAATATAGGCAATGTGATTGAATCGCAGGAATGTGTTTACTATTCTCGATGGGGCAAAAGGTAAATAGTCGTGTGTGGGATGAAAAGTTGGGAAGTCTTCGTCGTGTGATGATTAATGATTTGGGAGGTTTCGGAGTTTCTCAGCCTAAGGACTGAAGGTTGTATGGCCGGAGAGCCCCATATATCTGAGGTTTAATTTAATTTGAGAAATGAGTTGCTTGGCCTGAATGGAAATGATGAAGGTGATATACTTCAATCTAAATTCTCATCAAATTCTGTAGTTGCCCCAAATAAGTAGCTGTTCTCAATAAAGTCAGCTGAGGGGGGGTCAATCTCTCAGAGACCCCGTAGTGATCGTGGAGTAGGCAAATCTTAACCAGAAATCCCCAGAAAAAGTTTCATAGGCACAATCTTGCTAAAAGTATTGATCTATTGACGTAAAACAGACCAAATTAAGGTGTGATGCGACGCTGAAGGTATCGATACGGATTACTTAAGTAGGGGTGTCCATTGATAAGAGCAGCCTAGACGGAGTTTTTAGCCCCAGTCGCACTCTCAACTCCACGCTTAGTCAACCAACCTTCCTCGTGCCTCTACTTCGCTTTCTGATGCATTAAATATGTTTGATCTTGATACTTTTCTAACTAGTCTTGATGAATCGCGACAAAGCGTCTGTCCTTAGACGTCTGGAAACAGCTCCTCTCTCAAATCAATACCTAATTCTTCTCTAACGTCCTTCAACTCCTCAAGGTAAGCTTCGTACTGCTGGCTGTTCTCGACCTTGTGCTTCAGGCCCTCAAAGACTCTGACGGCAGTGGCGTAGTCGTTGACTCTTCTGCAGGCTCTCAAAGCCTTCTCGATCACAGCTGGAGCTGGGACCAAATCGTACGAGAAACAGTTGTTGAGAACACGCTGAAAAAAATCGGTTAGTATTGGGCTAATAAGATAATGACCGGGATCCCTTGTTATTGGCAATGGGCCTGGTCCAAAATTTTCATCTTCACTTACTTGAACTTCAAACAGATCGTAGGCTTCGTCAAACTCCTTCTCGTATCTGGTGGTAAACTCCTCGAAGGTCTCCTCGTGGTGGGCAGAATAATTTCTCTTGATCAGAGACAGTTGCAAGGGCTGTGGTCTCACGTTGTTGTAGACAGCTCTGCTCACCAGAGGGCGAGAAGAAACAACGGAGGTTCTAAGAACGGAGCGAATTGAGTGGGCAAACATCTTTGATATGGAATAATGAGTGCTGCAGCTTTCAACTATTCTGGTCCGAGAGTCAAAGCGAATCAAGAGTTCTATTGAGCGTTGGTAGAACGAAGAAACCGTTTTCCAGGCAAAAGTCAGCTGAGTCTACCGGTTTGAGTTGGTGTCTATTGGATGGAGGAGCCTTTGGGGCCACGGGCTACTAACCTTTTGTATCTTCGGGACCATTTGTATGGCAAAAATTTGTCGGATACGAGGCTAACGGAAGCAGTACATATTCAGCCTCTACATCTACGGGTTTCCAGAACTATCTTGCAAATTCAGCTTGAATCGCCATACAAAAATCGAGCAATCTAACTACATGCCTGCAAAATCAGTTCATCTTCTCACCCAGCCAATCACATGTCAGCAATTGCAAGATCTTGGGTAGTGCGCTTACAAATGTCTGATTATGGTTTGTATCTATGATAATGATCGTTAATATTAGTCGTATGAAAAGTTGCACTTGAACGACTCAAGTGTGTTCGTAAATGGGTTCGGTGCGTTGCTCGTGTCTCGATGGTTGTGTCTGAGACCAAAAACCCTTTCTTTGCCTCCTGAGTTCCTCTAGTATTGTAAACCATTTGGCAAACTGCTCCTCATTCACCTTCTCGCTTCTGCAAATCTCCAGCGCCCACATAAGTCTATCGGAAGAGCCTTTGTCTCTCTTGATGGCATCTGTAATGACGGCGTTCACAAGCGCGATAGCAGTCTGCTTGCCCGTGTAGCCTGTAGCCCTAGCACGAATCCTGGAGCTGATATGGTTAAAGATCCTGGCCTTGACACTTACACCCACTTCCGAGTCTGACTCCAGGATTCCAGTAATGAAAGCCCTCAGTAAGGGCTTGGGAACATCTGTCTTCAAACTGTATGCCTTGATGAACTGGTTGGCCGTCAAAGGCTCAACTCGAGACAACCGCTTGATCAGGAAGGCCCTTGCGGTGATCGTCAACTGGTAGTTGATTTTATGTAGCTGCACAGCAGTCACAGTTCCCGGAACCAGCCAGGCCTCTTCAATAGCAATATTGCTCACATATCCGTATGTCTTGTCTATAAGGGCACTCACAGACAAGGCTTTGTCGCTAGAGCTCGGCATCCGCAGTCTGAGCCTCGTGAGATACTTGATGGCTGTAGCCATGGTATAGTGTTCATTCTTAATGTCAGCACCATATCTCTTGCACCATTCTTTCAACCACGCTTTCAACAAAGAATTGTATGCTTCGGGTGTATACCAGGACAGACCATGAGCAATAGATGTGAGGTGATCGATCGTGACCAACTTTCTTGGCTGTCCAAATTCAAGATCGTGGTTTTCTTGGTCCAAGGCAAAATTGATCTTTTCAATAAAAGTTCTTGAAAATTCGGGTTTAAGGGATTTTTCAGAAACAGTGGCATCTATGAAATACTCGGCTGTAATCTGTCCAACCCTTGAACGAATCCATCTGGAGTCACCGGGTAAGCTTTTCGATATCGTCAAAGCCCAACGAAGGGCTTTCATGGAGACCATTCCACGGGTCACCATGCCAATATTCTTATTTTTCAGCAAGGTTTCAAAACCGCTAAGATACTGATGTTTTGAAATATTTTGCTGGTTTGTGTGGGCTTTGGAGAAAGAGTCCTCTACCAATGCTTGTGAGAATGGCTCCGAAAGTGTTGAAACATCTTCATGCTGTGTCAGTGAGTCCAGCAAAGTACACACGTGAGGGAAAGACAAGCCTTTCGGACTTGCAAGAAGAAGCCTCTGGAACTCAGCAAGACTCTGGCTCAACATTTCTGGGTTTTGGACAGATCTCCATATAGTAGATAATCTGCAGAGTTTGGAGTGCGAAGGGTTTTTCTGTTGAAACTTCGAAAACTCAAATTCCATCCATTCAGCCACCATTTTCGGATCACATTTCTGCCAGAACTCAGAAAATATGGCTGAAAACGTTTCTTTGGAATGGGGAAGGGTTTGGAGGTGGGATAGGGTCGCATGTAAGACCTCACGCTGTGGATTGTTCTCACAACCCACACAATAAAGATTCCAAAACCTCTTGATGTAGCCAGCCTTAATTGATGAAGACATGTCCAGCTTCAAAAATGCAATCATATCGTCTAATCCTATAGTGACGTTGTTTTTTTCCACTCTTTCGCACAAAACATTTGCGAAATTGTCGTTTCTGAGAGCCGAGGCTGACTCCTCTCCAAAAATTGAAATGGCCTTACCCATCAGGCCTGGCAAATGCAAAAAATCATGTCCTCTCTTAAACTCTGTGGCAAGGGCACGAGCCACTGTCTTTGCAGGTGGTGCTGAAAAATGTTTGAATCTCACCAGGAACATATATGCTAGAACAGGTGGAGGCATGTTCTGAGAGCCCAAGTACCTTTTCACATGACCGAGCATGTCAGTTTGTAGCATTTCCCAGGACAAATTCTTTTCTTCAATTTTGCTACCCTTATCTTTCCATGGCTCTCCCAGATACTTGGATTCCAAAAGATTTGTGAACTGCAATGCACGGACGGTGTCTGCTATGCTCTGTGGGTCAGCTGAAGCAGTAAGCAGGAACTCCTGGATCATCTGCTTTATCAGCGGCAAGTTGCTGGAAGTTCTGAGATAAGCACGTAGGAAGTCCCAGGTTCCCAGGCCAGCATGATTAGTCTTCAATACAGGAACCACATGTTCCTCCATGAGATCAAAAAGGGCCATCACGTTTAGACGAGACTCTTCAATGACAGCTGAAGCATTCGCATACCACGAATGGCTGACTAAAATTCTGACAAGAGCACACAAAGTGGGATAAGAAATGGTACTTTTGGCATCTATCTGTAGGTATAGTTTGAGATAATGGAGTGGTGATAATCGTGTATCCAAGTTCTGTCCTAGTAGTCGTTCCAGATGCAATAGTGGGTTGTCTGAGTCTTCCGAAAAGGGATATAAGAGGTCCGTTCTCAGAAGTTCAAGACGATGTTCAGGAAGCTGGATGTTCAGCTTTTCAGTCTGAGTCCACCTTTCAAGACTCAACTCTTGTATTTGACGTTTTTCAGTTGATATTTCACTCATGGCTATTCGCTCGGAGTCGTAACGCTCGGGGTCCAGCTCTCTATATACAAGTTGTTCAATGCTGTTCAAAGCCGAGTCGATGAGCTCTTTGGCCAACGAGGGTCTGGGGATATGTCCCTTGGAACGGAATTGCCGCGTTAACAATGCCTCTGTGCAGGGCCATGGTCTTGGCCTCGGTCTGGTCGGTCGCACAGACCACACCTCTCGTCGTATAAATTGCCGTAGCATTCCAACGGAGAATGTGTGTGCTGTGTTGCCTCAGGACTGGTGATTGGTTCTTCCAATAACGTTTTCGGAGTGTTCTGGCCTGGTATCGTGACTCAGAAAGCTCGATGTCTTGTTCCCGTACATATTGTGCTACGAGGAGTGAAAAAAAAGGTCGTGCGTGAATGCAAAAAAATTGTAATTTTCGCCGCATGCAAGGAACTGGCGATAATTAATTGATAAGACTATAAGAAATTAAAGCCGTAGACGCAGTAGCTTTTGGGAATGAATATTAACTCTTTCTTCAAAACATTACAAAATAACCTTCTTCATCTTCTCAACATCTTCCCTGAGAGCAACTTCATTTTTCTCCAGCCAGTTGAGACTCTCCAGATGCGAGTTTAACAGCCTCAACACATCCTCAAGAGAATTCTCTTCCGAATTTGCGCTCTTGGCACCTGACCCATTCGCAGAAGGACCCAGAAGCGTCTTGTTGAACGTAGCACTCACATCGTTGATCTCATCAATCAACGAGGAGAAGTTGGTACCCAAAGACTCAATTCTATCCTCCAGTATTTCTGCTGTGCGGTATGCCTTTTCTCTTATCTGGTCATTGCTCAAAGCAACTCCGTTGCTCGACTTGAAACTTCCGTTGGAAGTCGACATCGTCGACAACAAGTTTTCGGCTTCTCTTTCGTATCCGTCCAAAAGCTGTTCCAGCTCATCCTGCTGCTTTTCAATATACACCAAGTTCTGGTCAATCTTCTGCTGTGTTCTTTCTGCTAAAACAGAGTCTGAATAAAGGGTGGAAATCTTTTCTCCACTCGAAACCAGCACTCTGTCCCATTGGTTGATCTTGTCGCTATAGGTCTCGAATATCTTCGTTGCTGACGAGAGCTGATTCGTCCATTTGGTGATCAGATCTTCCAGTGTTCTGTTCTTCAATGAGACACTTTGCGGCTGCACATCTTCTGGTTTGACACCTGTGGTTGTCTTTGAATCTGTCTCGAAACTCACCTTTTTATCTGTTTTCTGGGCATCTGCTTTCTTGTCCTCAGTGCCCGATGGGCTATCTTTCTTCTCTGTAGACACAGCTGGGGCTGCACTTCCAAAACTGAAACCCGGTGCACCATCTTTTTTCTCTGCTGGCTTAGCAGCTCCAAAGCTGAAGCCTGGTTTATCGTCTTTTTTCTCTGAGGTTGCAGCTGGGGCGGCACCACCCAAACTAAACCCAGGTTTGGCATCAGTCTTCTTCTCTTCGGGCTTCGCAGCACCAAAAGAGAAGCCAGCAGGTTCGGCCTTCTTCTCTGTGGTTGAAGAAGCACCACCAAAGCTGAAGCCCGGAGCAGCTTTTGTCCCCTCTGGGTTCGAAGCAACAGCAGCAGCAGGTGCCCCAAACGAGAACGATGGTTTGCTAGCATCAGCTGGCTTATTTGTTTCAGCTGGCTTTGCACCAAAGCTGAAACTTGGTTTATCTTCTGCTTTCTTCTCTTCTGGCTTGGCAGCACCAAACGAGAATCCAGGCTTGGGTGCATCATTTTTAGCAGGTGCAGCCGCTCCAAAGCTGAATCCAGAGGCTGCAGGCGCAGCAGAGGTCGGAGCACCAGCAATAGTGGAAGCAGCAGGAGCAGCAGGAGTAGTGGTAGCAGCAGAAGCACCAAAAGATGAGCCAAAACTCAGTCCTGAACCGGCTGGTTTTTCCTCTGGCTTAGCGCCAAAGCTGAAAGGCTTTGCGGCCTCCTTGTTTTCTGCTGGTTTGGCTCCAAAACTGAAGGGTTTGGGAGCTTCACTGGCCTCTGCTGGTTTGGCACCAAACGAAAATCCAGAACCAGCAGGTGGTGGTGCCGTTCCGGTAGCTGCACCGGCACCAAAACCAAAAGCAGGCTTGTTCTCGGCTGGCTTTGTACCCAAAGTCGACGTAGCTGGAGCAGCACCAAAACTGAAGGTGCTAGCTGGCTTCGCAGCATTGGTCTGTTCAGCCGGTTTGCTCCCAAAAGAAAATCCACCTGAAGAACCACCAAAAGCATTCGTGCTCGCTGCTGCTGTTGGGGCCGCTGAAGCACCTCCAAAGCTAAATGAGGGCTTGGCAGCATCTGTCGAACTCGCTCCAAACGAAAACGTAGATGGTGCCGGTTTGGACTCACCCGGTTGAGAGAAACTGAAGCCTCCAGCTGCTGGAGCTGCTGGAGCTGCTCCAGATGAGAAAAGCCCACCTGGCTTGGCTCCTGTGTTTGCCGACTGGCCAAACAACGAGTTGGACTGTTGGCCCGTACCGCTGGAAGAACTCCCAAACATGTTGTTAGAGTTGAACCCAGACACTGGAAAGGTTAGCGAATCAAAAAATTCAATTGGATCACAATCGATTATATACACACTTGTGGATTTTTCACTTTGATTCACGCTTTTGGTGACAGGGCCGTGAACAGGAAGTACTGGTGGAAGAACTAGAATTCGTCCTAAAGATGTTTACAGGAACTTGTTTTCGGGTTTGTTTGTTAGTACACTACTGTTCACTATAGTGAACCAGGGCCTTCAATTTTGAAATGAAATAGGTTGGATTGTGGGGGGAAAAGAGATGAATATAATATGTTTCATGTTTTCTGAAAATATTATTTCTTCCATAGAAATTGTGTAGTTTTGAATAAAATAATACGCTACTAGTGCTGCTTTTGTGGTAAGTATACTAGTTATTTTGAGTAGAAATTTGAAAAATATGAGATATTCAGAAAAGGAGATAAATCAGTATAAGCGGTTTGCTCATAATGGAGTGAATTTGAATGATTTTTGTTCTCAGCCTTTTATAAATGCATTTCTCGCAATAAACCTAACTTTCTCTTACTTCAAATAAAAGTTCAGCCCAATTGATCTGATATTGACACAAAGGCCATATTTTAGTATGCGGCAACACAATGGTTAACACACACAAAACGCCACACAGGTTGAAAATTGCCCGGAGACTCTACCAACCTCTGAAGTCCTTTCCAGCACCGTTTAACAATGGACAGAATAAGAAAGGTGGTATGTGAAACCTCTCAGAATGCGAATATGATAACTGAGAACTAACTTTTTTGCAGGAGGAGAACAGACGAAAAGCGCTGGAGAAGCTGAGACAGCGCAAGCTAGAGAAGCAGCTTGGAGAGCCCGGGTCTGCAGATGTGATAGCAAGACCACGGTTGCAACTGACTCCGGAGCAAAAAGCTATAGTGGAAAGAAATAGGCAAAGGGCACTGGAAAAGCAGCGGATTCTCGCTGAAAAGGCGGGATCATCAGTAAGAGATGCTTCTGAGAAGAAAGCGGAGACACCACAGATACGTCCTAGCGTCAAGAAATCTGACTACATTGACTACGATTTTTCGGTGATGCAAGATTCTTTTGGTGGTTTCATTAGTGAGGACATTGTGGGTGCAAATGGCAAGAAAACTCTTGAGGAATGGCAGCTCGAACAGGCCCAGAAGGTAGTTCATGAGCCAGCTCCACCAATAGATCCGAGTTCTGCTCCGAAGTGCTTTGAGTGCGGTTCGGTAGAGATTGACCGTAAGGTTTTTGACGTATTTGGAACACGAGTTTGCAAACGGTGCAAGGAGTTAAAGCCTGAAAAATATTCGCTTCTCACGAAGACCGAATGTCGCGAAGACTATTTTCTGACAGACCCCGAATTGAAAGACGAGTCACTTCTCAAGAGAATCGAGAAGGCAAATCCATATTCAGGAACGTACTCGAGAATGTTGCTGTTTATGAGATATCAGGTGGAAGAGTTTGCGTTCAAGAAGTGGGGAGGAGAAGAGGGCCTCGACGCTGAATGGGAGAGGCGTGAGAAGCTCAGGATCAAGCGCAGAGACACAAAGTTTGAGAAAAATCTCAGAGAGATCAGAAGGAAGACGAGAGCTGAGCAGATCACCAGACGGCACAGAGAAAGGAACGGTGGTCTACGACATGAGCATGAATGGTCCCAGCCACTAGAGAGTGGAACCGAGGGAATGATCAAACGAAGGTGTACAGACTGCGGCATGGAGACCGAGGAGTTTCTGTTATGAGTGAATGAATCATTAGTAAACGTTATATAGATGAGTCGGAAGATGGGTTTTGAGTGCTTTGGGAACATTGTTTGGGAGAATATTTCAGCCTGATGACATTGTTTCTCGGTTTGAATGATCATTTCATGAACCATAGACCGTAAAGCAGCTGCTTTTTGAGCTCTTGAAGCTACTTTCAAGCTTCTTGCCTCGCACTTCGCACCTTCAATCACCTTTGTCATAAGTTCATACCAGGCGAGTGAGTAGAATCCCCGAGACCGTTCACTGCCATCAGTGACGTCGTTATGCTGGAAGGTTGATTGCTTGTAGATAGTGCAAACAAATGTTCCTCGTGCCAGCTTTGGTGTTTGAAGAACCTGGAGCTGAGCCTCATGAGGTGAAGCAGGTTTCGTATTATGGCCCAAACAGGTACTTTCATGGTGGTAGGAGTAACAGAGCGGCAGAAAGACCGAGGATTTTTCTCGTCTTCATCCAAAGAAACAGCAAAACACACAAGAAAAGGAAACAGAAAACGCGACAAGACAAGTCTGCATTCGATTATAATTTTAACGCCTCTGGCACATGGGCCCTGTTCGATTGGTCATTTTTCGTGCACCAACCATTTAGCAAAAGGGTCGTTCCAGAACGAAATGAGGCTCACGCCGCACATAGCGCCGCATGAATTGGGAGGCTGGGATGGTTTTGTGGCTGGAAAGAAACCACCAACATCTCCACAATTCTGGAGCTGGAGCTGAAGATGGTGCTGGTGAGCCAGATGTGTGGTACCAACTGGGATGTTGGTTGTGGTGGGGTCTGCACTAAGCGTTCCACAGACAGCCCCCAGAAAAGACACCACCAGAACACAGGAGCTACTCGCTGTTCCTATGTTCTGGTGTGGGAAAGTATATAATGAGTGGTGCATCTGTGAAAAAGACAGGAAAACTAAAGGAACCAACTATTCTTGCATTTTGAGGTACAAGAGAATAACCAACTCTGATCTCGCAAGCAAGTTTTTTCAGAATTGCAAACTATCACTATGAAGCTACTCTCGATTCTTCTCTGCCTGGATCTGGTGGCCTCGTTAAACATCCTTATCACCAACGAGCAGGCCATCGATACACCCATCGTCAGAAAACTGCACAGAGTTCTTTCCAAGTCACACAAGGTTGTTTCTGTTGTGCCCAAGAGAAAGATCACTCCGGGAAACTCCATCTACATCAACGGTTCGCCGTTTTTGAGTCCAACGGACACAATAGCGTCAGAAAGCATACCCGACTTTCCCGAGTACGAGGAAGTGGAAAGAGACGTGTGGTCTCTTGATGCCAATGTGCTCGGGTCTGTTTTGTTTGGGTTGGACTTCATTCTGCCAACAAAATATCCTGGACTTGAGATTGACCTAATTATTGCTGGTCCCAGAACGGAACCTTCGGCAGGGCCATTTGCCAACTTGCTCTCAGGTGTGTTTTCGGTGATGCGTTTCGGGATGTTACGTAACATTCCTACAGTTGCTATAAGCTCGATTCCAGATCTTTATGCAGATGACCCGAAGGTAGACGATCTCTACGTGGAATACTGCTCTAGTTTCATCAACGCCTTACACGAAATGGCCTCAGTCGGAAACGACAGAATTCTTCCCAAGTTCTCTGGGTTGAACATCAACTTCCCGTTGATAGGAATGGACAGATACGGTTGTGATAGACCTTTGTGGCAAGAAACGAAGGAAGTGGGTGGATACGCGCAATCACCATCCATCATAGAGGTAGATGGAAAGTATAGAATCGTCAACGCCTACAGCATTCGCGACCAAAAGGACAAGAACTCGCTGTTCAGTGAGTTATCATCATTAGACACATGCCATGTTGGTGTGACATTCTACAGCGACTACGAAGACTCTTGGTCCGAACTCAGTCGTCTTTTGTCGCAAATGAACAGAGACTTCAAACGCAGAAAGACTCTTCTGACGCAGTCTGCCGAGTTGAAGCTGGTCAACCAGATACATGCCTGAAATATTGGCTGACTCATTATTTTGTAGTAATTCAGCATAAAGACAATTAAAATAGACCAAAAAAGTGATACCAAATTGATTACAGACGTAGATATCAATCTCGAAAATAGACTTTATACTTTTGATGCACGATGCATGTACAAATTTGGGTGCGGCGACAAATTGGCTGCCCAACTACTCAAGATAAATCCATCCCCAGCCTTAGGCCTCCTTATCCTTATCCTTTATTAGCAACCCGCGCAAAATAGCTATTCCCAACCCAATCGACTCGTTCAAAAAATGGTTTTGGTAGCTGTAGGTCAGATGTGCTCCTCATCATCTCTGGTGGAGAATGCAGTGTCCGCAGTTCGGCTGATCACACGTGCAGTATCGCTTAACTGCAAGGTGTTGTTCCTACCAGAGGCGGCTGACTATATTGCACGAAACGCGGCGCATTCGAAGGAGATTGTGAAGCCAGTGACTGAATCTCCATTCATAATTGAGATCCAGAAGACACTGAAGAAGTTTCATGCTGAAGGAAAGTCGATATTCGTTAGTGTGGGGGTTCATGAGCCCTCTGAGACCTCCGACAGGGTCAAGAATACACTGTTGTGGATTTCGGACAAAGGCAAAATCGAGCAGAGATATCAAAAGGTTCACCTTTTTGATGTTGAAATCAAGAATGGTCCCATTTTGAAGGAAAGTGCCTCTGTGGAGCCGGGTAATGAGGTATTGAAGCCATTTGAAACTCCAGCTGGAAAGCTGGGGAGTGCAATTTGTTATGATATCCGATTTCCAGAGATAGCCCTCAGATTAAGGACTCTGGGGGCTGAGATCATTCAATTTCCTTCTGCTTTTACCATGAGAACCGGGGTTGCGCATTGGGCACTCCTAGGCCGTGCAAGAGCAGTTGATACTCAATGTTATGTGGTGATGGCAGCTCAATCCGGATCCCACAATACCAGCGCTGATAAGCCTCTGGCAGAAGGCGAGACTGCCACCAAACGGGAATCTTACGGTCACTCGATGATCATCGACCCTTGGGGAACCGTTCTGGCTGAGTGTTCGGACATTTTGCCTGGAAAGGAAGACATTTGCCTTGCGGATATTGATCTTGAGAGATTGGAATCTTTTAGACAAAATATTCCGTTGTGGACGCAGAGGCGTCCTGATGTTTTTGGCTACGACGTATAGACCAACAGGTGAGGTAGACTGAAAATGAGGCTCTATATCTCTCAGAATTCCCTCCGCGTTGACTACTTTTCAATTGATAAGATAATAGCTTCTGTTTATTACACACGCTATACACAATCGTCTATATTCTAAAATTTTCCTGCAATCAGATTTCTGATCATGTCCCTGGCGGTCAGATAAACGGTCTTTCCGAAAGTCACAAAGTCCAGGGTCGAAGAACAAGTGTCAAGGAACCCGAATGGAAGCATGGCAGGGATCCAGCCTTGGGCCAGTTCCAAGGCCCAACTTTCACCAGGCATTCCATACTGCTTGATATAGCCCTTGGGAAGATGGTGTTGATCACCCGGCTTGTAGATCTCTGGCTCCAAGCTGGAGGCAAAAGCGGCATGCTGTTCACCTGCGAGAATTGTGAAATAATCGTCTGCAAAATGAGCACCAGTGTGACCCTCAGTTCCAACGGCTGTTCCAAAGAAGATCACGTACTCGGAGATCGAGGCATGCAGAATGAACATTGAGCCCATGGCACCACCGGCATTGTTGTAGACCCAATCTTCGAAATTCAAGTCATTGATCAAGCTGCCATACTCGTTCTTGAGTGAAACAGCTAAGTCCTCGAGGAGAGCCGTCACGTTTCCATCCGGATGTCTGCTGATAGCATCGACAGAAAGCGAATGCAACACCTCTTTGTCAAAAATATAGTTTCTAGGCAACCATGCGTAGAACAGATAGTTGAAGACCTGGTAAATACCCACCAGGAGTGCTAAAGCCTTCAAGAGATTCATGTTACACGGTTAAAAAGTGGTGTGAAAAGATCGAAGAACGTTAACGGGCGCGATAAATAGTCTAAATCGGCTCTCGCATAGGTCGTTCCCCAGTTGGGGTCGTGTGCTAGGGAGAAAGCTGAGGAACGAAACAAAGAGAGGGAACGCAGTAAATTGGTATAGAATTTTTGGGACAAGGGTGATATCGAGCTTTTGAGGATTGTAGTCATGAAAATTTGAGGAGGGGTTGTAAGCATTACTGGTTGGGTGACCAGTTGAGTGAACTGGATAGCCGGTCCGTTAGTAGGACCGAGCCTAGGTGAGCACATTGGCCTGGCAAGCCGACGTCGAGAAATTATTGCATGATGAAGAAACTGATGCTAGAACATTTGAATTCTCACAACTCCAGCCCCTTCCGTGTGGTTTTGCTAACTACATTATTTGCTGGATCTTGGGTTGAAACTATCCAGGTTCAGTGTCGGTTGTGCAATCCCGGCCAACGGCCGTGCTTTCTGCGGCGCCGCCTGCCCTGGTGAATTTTGCTTGACGCACGCCCAACCTCATCTTAGTATCTCACTTCCCCAAGCCCTTGTCTTGTTATCGCGAATGAAGCTAGTTCTCATTACTTGTTCTGGAAACAAAAATGAAGGACACGAGAACAGTAACAGAACTAATAGCTCACTATGATGGCGAATCAGAGGAATGGTTACTAAATTCGCTAGAGGATGTGGCTTCTCAGCAGTCTACAGAGGACCTGTTTGCAAGACAGATAGTATACATTAGGAAGACGAGGGAGATGTCGCACTCGGTACCAATTTCGGTCAAGAACTCATTGATTTCGAGATTTGGTATTGTTTACGAGATTGCACCGGTGCTTTTGTATTTCGCTGCTCTAGATATTGAGCAATTGAACGATGTTCGTTCGCAGTACGAGATGCTAATTAAGCTCGAGACAAGGGTGCTGAAAAGGGTCTCGGTGCCAACGGCTGCCGAGTGCCTGCTGTTGAAATCAAAATGCTGTTTGTATTTGAATGAAATCACACGTGCTGAGGCGTTTTTGAACGAGAGCATTTCGTTGAGTGATGATGAAACGCCGCTCGAGGCGTATGACCTTCAAGCTGATATCTTTTTTGTCAATTCAAAAGTCCAAGACTCGGCAAGGATACGACTTCAGATGTTTCAAACGATGCATGAACCAATTTTTGACTCTGTCTTGTCCAAGACTGTACTGACGCTGGTATTGCTGCCCCTTTCGCCCATCAAGGCTGCCATCATGAAAGACTTCTATGAAAGACAAAAAACGCAAAATGGATTGACAGACACAGAGAGAACAGTTTTGCGAGCTATTGTTGAAGGAAGACTGATTCCTGGTTCGATATTGGAAGCATATCTTGGCGAAGGGTTCCAGCGAGGACTTCCGCGGTACTATCTGGCGACGGGAGCACCCACAACCGCGATTATACAACGTTTGCGCGAATCCGTGTTTGAAGGGAACATATCGTGTGTGGCTTCCTCTTGCTTGAACATAACTGTGAAGCAGTTGGCTGAAGTGTTGGGAGTGACACCCGAGAGACAGGCGTTTGTGGAGGATTATGTCTGTGGGATGATATTGGATAAGAAGCTGGATGCTACTATTGATGGCATAACTGGGAGAATCCATTTTAATACTAGACGTATTGACGCTGTTGCAAGCGATATTTCGCATGTTACAGAGTTTTTTGCGAGAAAAATGAAGAGTGAAAATTGACACTATAATGAAGGCGGAATCGCAAAACTACCCGTTGAATGAAATGACAACATATCTACATGACATAATTTATTCAGTTATGAAAAATTCCAAAGACGGATCTGAGTAAGTTTGACACTTTTGGCCTACCTCCACGTTCACTCAAGCCGCTTTGCTCCTACCCACCAACATATCTCCAATCTCCCTCACTTCGTCCCAGAAGATCTTCTTCCTCACCCTCTTGCCTTGGTTAGATTCAAAATCATACAACCTCCTCACTGGAGTGAACCTCAGATGCGAGCGCTCAACTCCAAGGACAGCAGCTGTGGCTGTCACTTCTGGACGAGACAGAGTCTCAACAGGCTCCCATGTATCGCGAATTCCACTCATAAGCTCTGTATTATCCTCGATAAACTGAACAGCCCTAACTGCAAATCTGGCAGCTCTGGTACGATCAATAGGCGAAGGAAGACCTCCCTGCTGAACATGACCTGGAACAGCAGTCTTAGCATCGAAACGCTTGCGAGACTCCTGGTTGATGATGTCTGCAATCACCTGAGTAGTCAAAACCTTGGAGGAATTGGCAGACTTCAGAATGAGACGACCTGACTTGGTCTTTCCGTTGTCATTGGCAAAGGACTCACGCAGAGATGCGATATCGTGTTCTAACTGGGTCAAAGAAATACCCTCTTCAGGGACATATGAAGCAGTTGCTCCAGAAGCTAACTGAGCAAAAGAAGCGATATAACCAGAGTTTCCTCCCTGCACTTCAACCACAAACACGCGGTTTCTGGTGGCTGCAGCAGATTGCTTGATCACATCACAGTAATCAACCAGCGAGTTCAAGCAGGTGTCGGAGCCAAGAGAATATTCGGTTCCCGGAACGTTGTTGGAAATGGTGGCTGGAATGAGCACCATTGGAATCCGGAAAGCTGGATATGCTGCTCTGGCATGTTCTAGTTGACTTAGAGACACAAACGCTTCGAAACCACCAACCAAAATCAGCCCATCAAAACGGTATTTTTCCAGATAGTAGGCCACCATACCGATATCAGTGTCTTCTGGAACACACCTATTGGTACCGATCTCGGAACCACCAAGAGAGTTCCAGCCTTCAATGTCAAGCCACGAAATCGACCGCACACTCTCGTGACGAGCCAGACCTGAAAACCCATTGTGGATGGCATATGGTGTGTGGCCTCTGGACATACAATAGCACGCCATAGCGTGAACCGCACTGTTCATACCACCAGCTGGAGCTCCTACGTTGACAATTGCTATCCTTTTGCGCTTCTCAACAGGCAGAGTAGGTTCTCCGTGGTCGGCCGAGTTGATGGCCATGAAGTTGTGGAGATGCTCGTTGAACTCAGCATCACGAAGAGAGATTGCTTTGGCAAAGTCACGGTTCTCTATGGCCTCCGCAACTTGCTTCGTCAGTCTTACGGCATCGACCAAAGGTCTAGAAACGATTTTGTTTTCAGCCACGGCGATCATTGGCGAAGGAGTATCGGCGTTTCCTGCCAAAACGGCATCAACTGCCGCAACACCTTGTCTGGTGGCCAGAATACGGTCGTAAGCAACTGCTGTTCCTCCACGTTGGACGTGGCCCAAGGTTGTGATCCTAGTGTCCAGACCGAGTCTGTCAACCAAAACCTTTAGCACATCCTTGCATGTGATTGGTTTAAGATCGTTTGAAATAGCACCCTCAGCAACAATAACGATGGTCTTCCGCTTGCCGCGCTTTCTGTGTTTTCCAACGATACCGCACATGTGGTCTTCCCAGTCCTTCTTGGAGGCTGGCTTCTCGGGGATGAAAATGTAGTCTGCGTTCGTAGCAATACCAGCCATCAACGCCAACCAACCACAGTGACGACCCATCACTTCCACCACAAACGCTCTTTGATGAGAATTGGCAGTAGCATCAATGTAGTCGATTGCCTGACAGATACGTGCCAGAGACGAATAGGCTCCGATGGTGGCATCTGTAGACGCCATATCGTTATCAATCGAGCCGACTGTTCCGCAAATGTTCAGAGTAGCATATTGTGTGGCCTGATCAGCTGAAATCTTGCCGGAACTGGCTAATTCCTCTACTAAAGAAGGCCATTCGGCCCGGAACAGGTCTGCACCTGTCAAAGAGCCATCTCCTCCACAAACGACCAAGGCATCAATTCCAGCGGAAATCAGATTAAAACAGGCCTGAAGTCTGCCCGCCCGTTCACGAAACTCCTTGCAACGTGCAGTTCCGATATTGGTACCTCCTTCGGCGAGCCAGCCACGAACATCGTGCCAATGCATCTCACGGATGTACTCCGGACCACCACGAACAAGTCCCGTGTAGCCTTCGTAAATGGCAAAAGCCCTGCTACCCCTGAAGATGGCCGTGCGGATTACAGCGCGCACGTTGGCATTCATTCCGGGCGCATCACCACCGGAGGTCATCACGGCAATGTTGCGTTGGATACCGGCTCTCGAAACGGAGTCCACCACTCTGGCAGGAGTGGCAGCCCCTGGAGTTCCCAATGGTGTGGACACCTCCACAGGCTTCTGTCCAGGCGGCTTGGCAACTCCGAAAGGGTTCTGCAAGGCCGAAAAGCCCACTAGAGTGCCCAGTGGATCCACAGTGTAGAGCTCGAACGGGTCAAGGTCATCCGGCTTGAGTTGCACCAGACATCCAGCAGCTGAAAGAGAGTCAGTCAAACCACGTATATCATTCGTCTTAAAGGATACGTTGCCCAACAAAGTACGCCAATCACGAGAAACGGCGTGCCTCGCAAAGTTGTCGATGTTGTCGCTAATCTGGCTTGGGGATTCTGCTTTGGCGGTGTCCAGCGTCACTACCACGGCACTGGATTCCAGACCATGGTTAACCGCCAGACACGTAGATTGCGAATCCTCTGATACCACAGAAAACCCGAGGATATCCCTGTAAAAGTTCACTGTGTCCTTGAACAGCGGACCAGTAGCTGCGTACAGCGCAACGCACGAGGTTCCGTTGAACAGCGGTTCTTGGGTCATTGGCTGTGTTTTGTAATGAATATAGACTGTGTGGCTATGTAGATAAGCAAACCAGCTATTGGAGGGGAAAAAAACGAGGAAAAAAGAACAACTGGAGGATGAGAACAAGACTTTATGGCGTCAGATGTTCTTTGGGCGGCTCTGCAGCTTTCGGGCCCCTGTCTCTCTGGCTGGTCATCGCCTTCCGGTTTGGGTGTGGAATGGGGCTTTAATTGGGTCACACACACAAATATCACGGAAGACGTTTGGGCGATAATTTGCGCGTGTGCGGCGCAACCGTAAGGTTAGTATGGTGAAGTGGTGTGACTGAAGCGACTACGATGATAATAGTGAATTATGGTATAGATTAGATCATGGAAGATAGTGAGATGTTGTGAGAATCTTTATCGTGACACTCCGGTTTGTTAGGGGCTAGTAAGGGCTAGCAGGGGCTGGTCCTACTTCAGATAGTGCTCCTCTACAGTATTGCTACTACTAGCAAGCATTAATTCGGCTGTACGATTGTCGAACTCGGCAATATCTGCTATGAAAATTGGGGTATATATTCAATAAATAACCATACTAAACCATTTGATTGAACTCTTAGGTCTCATAAAGTACTATACGTTATATGCTTCGGGGTAATTGGATATACTTTCACGTACCTTGGTGTGTGCCTTGATAAACCTTAATGCACTTGAAAATCTTCCACACACCTTCCTCTAACCTACAAACATAACATACCATTTTGAAACACAAAGATAGATTATTCCAAAATACATCTCGGCCATAGTGAGGCCACAGTAGTAGACACAGTACAATTTCATATATTATATATGGACTACCTTAGATACCTTAATGTGCCAGACATTTGGGTTTGGAATACACCTAAATTTGACCCGAAATTGTCAGGCCAGACGTTTTGGTTTGGGATTATACCTGCACGATTTCTTGTGCTCCTTTTCTTCGCTCGGCTCAATTATCACATCCCCGTTGTTCTTTTACCTGACTATAGGATCGGTAAACCGCATAGCACAGGTAGGTCTCCGATGGTGATGTCTTTGACACATCTCTGAGTCTCGCGGCGTAGACTCACAGGAGTGAGACGAGTGGATACATGAGAACCAGGCATCATTGCTTGTAGAGGCAGAATTGGGACATGTGGAGCAAGCTTGATACTCAGATGTGGGACTCTCACTAGAGGGATTGTCTCCAACAGATTTGGAACGAGATTTGAAAAAGGGGTCAACATCAAGTTCAGTTCTCTTAGAATTTGATCCGCAAATATCTTTGGAACTGCCTGGTTCCACCGTTCTCAAACTTGAATCCGTTTCGGAACCCGGTTCCGACTCAAACACCAAACTGCCCACTAGAGGAGCGCGACCATCATCCACACTGTGACTCCTTTCTTTATCCACCACTAGCGAGAATCTTCTTCTATGAAGACTCTGGTCAGTTTCCATAATGTACGATAATTTTTCAATCAGGAACGAAGCAGTTGCGGAGCAATTCGGGATATTTAAATGGAAATCCGGGGGAGCCCCAATCGGTGGTGTGATGGGCCCAGAAGCGGCTTAGAGGTATTTCCAGTCGCGCCAGTGGGACTAACCTCGGATGAAGTCGGCAAATAATAAATAATAGAAGTAATGAAGAGGATGATATGCGGTGTATAAGGGTTAAATCCTGAATGATTGAGGACATATAACGTGTGATTCTTACATGATATGGAGTTACGTGGCACAAGAACGATTGGAATCTGTGGGATTGTGGGAGAGTAGAGTAGAATGAAGGAAAATAAACCAAGAACAACCTCAGTTAAACGGTTTTTCGGCCTGTCAATAGATGATGGCCACCAATCATTGAACGTCATAGGACGGAAATTGCAGAAAAAATAACACCCACTACAAGGCTGGAGTCCGATCAAAAGATTTCCCCACAATTCAAGTGCATGCGTCCCCACAAGCAGCACTCTCAGTGGAGAATAATAGACCTGGCATATACATATATATATATATAAATGTATACATTTAGATATTTATATAAATATTCAAGTATCACCGTTTTTGAAAACACCTTGAAACCCTATAATACGTTTCTACGTAAGCTGATTTCAAGTCGGCATGTTCTGATATCGCTGCGGTACACCTATATGCATGTATGTATGTACGTATGTGCGTTATAGGATGGCAGAAAGAAACAAAGAGGGTATAATCGCAGATGAATGGCGAAATTGTCGATGATATCGGAAATATAGCGGTGAAAGGGTCATATTGTTTTATGGCAAGCACGCTCAAATTCATTCATTTGCAAACTGATACCGACATTATACCTCTTCTCAATCATGTATGCTTTTATCACGCAGAATCGTATAGGCCGCAGGCCTATTAAGCCCAAAACAAGGTCATACGAAACACGGAGTTAGGCTTGCATGCACCCTCTAGTATTTTCGCACATACAAAGATCTCAGTTTTTTGCGTCAAAATACTAATTCCACAAATCCTATCCGAAATCTGTACTCTCCATATTTTTGCGTAGATATTCCTCTCCTCTCTGCTCTTTTCCCTTTGGTTAAGTGCCCCGCTCAATTCATCTCCACTGCAGCCTGGCTCGAGCTAAACATCTCTTGAACTTGCAAGGACAGTTTATTTCCACCATCTCCTCACCATTTTCCACCATTCGCAACTCATTAGAGCTAATCGAGCTCTCAGAACTCAGGATGAAGTTCTCGCACTCGCTGCAGTTTAATGCCGTGCCCGAATGGTCCTCAAAATACATCGCCTACTCAACGCTAAAGAAGCTAATCTATCAGCTCCAGCGCGAGAATGCATCGGCGTACGCGTTCGGAACGGACTACAGCTCGGAGCAGCAGCCACTGACATTAAATTCACCGCATGATTCGTCTGGCCCGGTTCCGGTGTTTGAGAAAGCGCTAGATAAAGAACTTGCCAAGGTGGAAGCATTCTACAGAAGTAAGGAGGCCGAGGTATATGCGGAGTTTGATACCCTAGTTGGGTCGGTGGACGAATTCGAAAAGCATTTTGAAGGAGATGGAGGGGCTCTTGAAATTCATGGAAGGAAACTGGTGAGAGATATCCTGGATCGTGTGAAATCGAGGTCAACCCAAGTAACAGATACCGCTGAAGTCATTGCTGCGCCGGCCACAGTTGCCCCAGACTCAGAAATAGAGGCTGTTTTGTCGAACGACGCATTTTCAAGCTCGCAGCCTAATGGAAACGGTAATACGCTCTCTCCACGTCAAAGACTGAGCTCTAAACAGTCGTTCACGCTGTTCGATGACGAGGACTTCGACCTCGATTTCATCTCTCAGTTCTCCATCTCCATCAAGAAACGACTAACAGACACGTTTGTGCGACTCTCAGAACTCAAGTCATACGTGGAACTGAACAGAATTGGATTTGCTAAAGCCTTGAAGAAGTTCGACAAATCGCTGCTAGCCTCTGCCAAGGACTCGTATCTCGAGCGACTAGACACCACATCCTACACCTTTAGCGCGGCAACGATGCGTGTTTTGGACGGGAAAATTCATTGCATATTGGAGCTTTATGCTCTTGGAAAGGATGGAGATCTGGCGTATGCCAAAGCAGAATTGAAGTCACATCTCAGAGACCACATTGTCTGGGAACGGAACACAGTTTGGCGTGACATGTTGGGCATGGAAAGAAAGTCCCAGGCGGCTCACACTGGCAAAGTTGCTGAAGATACGGTAGAGGAAGAACTGCAGGCCCCAGTGACCGCTATACTTCTCTCCAACAAGGCTTACAAGCTATATGCGATCATCCTGATCACCACGATCCTTCTAAACGTGCACATCTTTGCGGATAATCAGCAGAAGAACTGTTTTGCGTTACTGGTATGTTCTTCACTTTTGTGGGCTACTGAAGCCATACCTCTGTTCACCACCTCGTTAGCAGTTCCTCTGCTAATCGTTCTTTTGCGTGTGCTCAAAGATCCGGCCACGGGAAGACCTCTGGATGCCCCGGAGGCCTCCAAGTTTATCTTCGGAACAATGTGGTCTTCCATCATCATGCTGCTTCTTGGTGGCTTCACTTTGGCTGCTGCTCTCTCAAAATACCACGTGGATCGTCTGGCATCCACCTGGATTCTCAGTAGGGCAGGCACGAACCCGCGTGTGGTTTTGCTCGTGATCATGGGAGTCTCGCTATTTGCTTCCATGTGGGTCAGCAACGTCGCTGCGCCTGTTTTGATGTACTCTATTATTCAGCCCGTCTTGCGGACGACTCCAAAAGACTCTGATTTTGGCCGTGCTCTCATCATTGGTATTGCACTGGCAGCCAACGTGGGCGGCATGGGATCGCCAATTGCATCCCCACAGAATATCGTTGCCATTGAGGGAATGGACCCACCTCCTTCGTGGGGCCAATGGTTCGTGATTGCATTACCGGTGTGTGCTTTTGCCCTGGTAGCCATATGGCTCTTCCTACTGCTCACCTTTGACATTGGGTCTTTTCATCTTGTTCCCATCAGAACCATTGATGCTCGTTTCACCAGGGTTCAATGGTATGTGACTGGTGTGTCTATGGGAACTATTGTTCTATGGTGTCTTTCGTCACGTTTGGACATGGTTTTCGGCGAAATGGGAATCATCGCCATCATACCCATGGTTGCGTTTTACGGCACTGGCTTGCTCGGGGCCGAGGATATCAACAACTATCCTTGGAATATCGTTCTCCTTGCAATGGGTGGGATTGCTCTTGGAAAAGCAGTTACTTCGTCGCATTTACTGGCCACAATTGCGCTTGAAATTCAGGCCCATGTTGGCGGATTGAGTCTTTGGTCAATCATCCTGGTCTTTGGAATTCTTGTTTTGACCATGGCCACTTTTGTCTCTCACACTGTTGCTGCTCTCATTGTCGTTCCGCTGGTTGCTGAGATTGGTGCTTCATTACCAGACCCTCATCCACGCATCATCGTCATGGCCACGGCTCTGCTGTGTTCGTCAGCCATGGGACTGCCCACTTCTGGTTTCCCCAACGTCACAGCAATCTGTATGCTCGACGACGTGGGAAAGCCGTATCTCACAGTCAATACTTTCATCACGCGCGGCGTTCCGTCGTCGTTTGTGTGCTACTTCATCATTGTTACGCTGGGATACTTCATCATGAGAGTGATCGATTTCTGAGGCGATACCTCAATGGTACGGATATAGACGTTGTTCAGAGGAGTTTTGAGGAGAGAATTAGGGCTTCAATTAGGGCTTCTACAATCATTAACTTTTCAAAATTTGTAGTTGTTGGTCTCAAATGAGTGTGACCTACTGAGGTGATGATGCTGTATTATAGTGTCTTATAACATGGGATATGGCGATACTATCGTCTATTATTCCAACATATTCGAGCATGGTATTGTGAGGACCTCTATTGTAATCTATGATATTATATGGTACGTCATGGTTCGTCCCGGTGCGTGCTTCCCATAACATAGCATTCCATTGGGCGATCCCCTACTCCATTGAGTGCCCTTAAACTCCATCGAGCAACATCCCCACACAAATAACACTCAAATCCGTTCAAAAATCATGCCGACTTTCTCAGTGGCTAACTAGTCCCAAAATACTGCGCATCAATGAACCTGCTTTTGAAAAAAGACGAGCCCTGCTCGTCACTTTGCTGCTTCCCGATTACAATTGCAATGCCGCCAAATGCGCGCAAAATCCGTTTAATGCCCACCTTAGTCGCCAGATAGCACACCAGCACAATATCAGCTTCAGCAACTCCGTGATCAACCAGAACCTGAACCGCCATGATCGCCGCAGAACCAGAGACGATTTGCGCATCCAGCAAAAACACTTTTCTTCCAGCAATGTCTGGAAGGCGTTCAGTGTGAAGACGTGGTTCACCAGTGTGAGTATCCTGCTGAATCAGCAACTTTCCAACGGTTAGCTCAGGAAAGGTCTTCTTGAGTGAGTCCATGAAACAGTCTCCAGACCGTATGATGCTGACTGCGACAACCGCATGCAATTGCTCCATAAAGCGATAAGCATGGTTTCCCGGAGTATACCGGATTTCAGATTCACGACAGTCCAGAAATTCGAGCCCTGCATTGATCAACAAAATGGCGATTCGGTCAAAGAAGAATATGAACTCGGTTCGATCACACTCACGATCGAAAAGTGTGGTATTAATCACCTTTAATTGGTTCGTCTCCTCCAAAATGGTTACATTCTCATAGTTCAAAGCTTCAGTTGACTGACTGAGCATTTCAAGATGACTCAGGTGCTCCCGCGACTTGATATCCAGCTGCTTGTTAATGTGTTTCGTGAGCATGTCTATTCCAACAGTATTGTCTGCTCCACGCGGAATAACCACATCCGCAGAACTTATTGTTGGAATCACAAATCTCTCTGAGTTCGGCTTCACGAACCGATGCCATTGTTTCAAAATCCCCTCCAAATCCCGACCACGGTGGACTATATCTCGGTTCAGTCTCCGAGCAAGACATATGTCCAGATCGGTATCGACATACACTTTGGTATCCATCAATTCCAGCAAGTCCGGGTTGTAAAGAGCATATATACCTTCTATAATAATCACATTAGCTCCATATATTGTGGTAGTGCGCTCAGTCCTCTGGTGATGGGCAAACGAGTAGACTGGGATCTCTGCCTTGCGACCATTGCGAAGCTCTTGGACACATTTGAACAGCAGGTCTAGATCAAGCGCATCTGGCTTATCAAAGTCGTAGTCATTAGCAAAGGCTTTAGCACTCATCTCAGGGCTTAAACTCTTGTAAAAATTGTCCAGCGATAACAACACAGTCCAGGGCTGGTTGATCTCTTCAATGATCATCTGGGCCACACTGGTCTTACCGGACCCCGAACAACCTGCCACACCAATAATGTAAGGTTGGGTCCATGGCGGTATATAGCGAGAGCTACTGCAATGGGAGTCGCCTGACATCGGAGCGAAAGAGGCAATGGAATCACGACCTGGGTGTTACGCAAGAGGCTAGAAGACCAACATGCTTGAGACGCTCTCTGCATCAAAAATATCGTGCACAGCCCATTACAATAGCTACTGGTAGACTCAAAAAAAAAGACTGCAGAAATAGCCGTCCTAGTATAGTGGTGAGTACACTTCGTTGTGGCCGAAGAAACCCAAGTTCGATTCCTGGGGACGGCAATTTTTTTTTGCAAAACAAAATGGCTTGGACTATTTTAAGGTGGAGAGACATCTAAACACAGCTGGTAGCGTGAAAGTGATAGGTCTTTCGTTTTCAGAAGGTGACAGATTGATCTAATAACCTTGTCGTTCAGTTCTGAAGACCGTTTGGTGAAGCCATAGTGAAGCCATAGTGAAGCCATAATCAAGTCATAATCAAGCCATAAGTGTCATCTGTAGTGCAAGCTTGACGTGACCAGCCATCAGCCTGGGAGGCTACTCCCCAAAATGTGTTTGATTTTCACAATCAGAGTAATCATAAGCCCTCAAAAATAATCATGTCTACTATACTCTTCAGTCCTTTCCCTACTTCAAATCTATACTGCCCAGTGACAAAACCAAATCTCCATAAGCCCAGAAACGCGTAACTTCACGCGACGCCAAACTTTGGTCTGCACACGCACTTTGGATTTTCCGCTCCGTTATCTATTCGATGAAACTCGCGAGAAACAAGAAGAAAAGAGGTTGGTTTACCGTTCGAATCAGAAGAATCGGAAAGTCGCCCTCCAATTGTGTCAATACCAGCGAGTGATCAGATAATCTTCTTGCCAACTAGAAACTGATCTTGGTATCTGAATCGCGTTCCCGTTCAGTTGACCCATTGGATTTGCGTTCTATTTTAGTCAACCAGCATTCGGAGTAGACCACGGCCAAATTTTGCATTGTTTTTGGTGAGACTAAATTTCAAAGTCACAAATGGCCATCATGAGCAATCATCCATATAGACAGCAATTTTATTCGGGGCAGGAAGTGTTTCTGCCCTCGAACCCTATGAGCCAGAGCCAGAGCCAAAATCTGAGCCAACAGGGCCAACAGAGCCAGAATCCGGCCAAGCTTCAAAGTTCAAAGTCTTCTCCGTTGATTTCGAAACCTACGGAACCTGCCTATATTCCCGGCCAGTTTGACTTCAAACTAAGCGGCGAAAGAGTTCACAGACCACCTCACTTCTCATCAGCGGTGATTCAGCCGATACCTTCACCAAAAGTTGAACGTGCCCCTCAGCATATTGAGCCCTCGAGGCCGAAATCTTCGTATAAGGTTGAAATTGCTCAGCCCAAAGAAGTGTTTAAGAGTGTTTCCCCCGATTCAATAGAGAGGACTGAGAGGGCTTCTCCACCAAAGGCGGCCTCTCCGCCAAAGGCAGTCTCTCCACCAAAGGCAGCCACTCCAGTGGACTCTCCAGTGGTATCCAGGGTTAACACTGCAGTCATGTCACCCACATTTGGCACAAATGTGGCCAAAGGCTCAGAGCTGTCGGTGGACTCTTTGAACCAGGCCACTAGCGTGTCATCGCCGCGGAATATTTCACTTTCTCCTAATTTCACGGGCAGTTCTACAGAGTTGCGGTCTCAAACCTCGGGATTGAGAGCTCAGTTACCTAATGGAGCCACAGTTGAGTCTTACAGAAAGAACGCGAAGAAATCCAACGATCCTGCGGTGCTTTTCGACTATGCTAAGTACATGCTCGGCCTCGGACTGTCGGTCGACGAAAGTGCATTTGTCAGTTCCGCTCCCGAGTCTAGGAATACACATTCCAAGAGCGCATCTAGAACATCGCTTCTTGGTCTGGGGAACTCGTCTTCATTAAGCCATAACAGTGCGGACTTTCAGAGCTGCGAGAGCGGCGCCGAGCTCAGCAAAGCATACCTCAAGGAAAGTCGCTATTACCTCAAAAAGCTGAGTGATAAGGGATACATGGAAGCACAGTACATTCTTGGAGATGCATACACAAGTGGAATTTTTGGAAAAGTAGAAAACAAACTTGCGTTCGTGCTGTTTCAGAGCGCTGCCAAGCACGGCCACATAGAGAGCTCATACCGCACTTCAGTGTGCTACAGAGAGGGTCTTGGGACCAATCGCGATGCAAGACGTGCGGTCGAATTCCTCAAGATTGCCGCAAGTAGAAATCACTCTGTGGCCATGATGGAACTGGGGATATACTGCTTTTACTCCAAGATGGGCCTGCCGGATGACGTGAATACCAAGAAGCAGGGCATCAAGTGGCTGACTCGGGCAACCGATAACGCCAGCGAATTGAGCTGTGCTGCTCCATATGAGCTTGCTAATATTCTTTGGAACGGGTTCAGAGATATTGTCATTGCAGACCAGCAGTACGCCATAAAGCTGTATTTTAGAGCGGCCGAATTGGGCCACATCCGATCGAACTACCTCTTGGGAAGTTTCTACGAAACGGGAAAGATAGTGGAGCCCAATGCGGACCTGTCAATTTACTACTACAATGTTGCAGCAATCAACGGAGACGTTGACGCAATGGTGTCGCTGTGCTCGTGGTATCTGGTAGGCTCCGATAACCTGCCTCGTGACGAAGATGAGGCGTTTTCGTGGGCTCTAAGGGCAGCAGAGTGTGGAATGGGAAAAGCACAGTTTATCGTGTGCAAATTCTACTACAAAGGCATTGGCTGTGACAAGGACCTGAACCAGAGCTACGAATGGCTAACGAAAAGTGCCAATGGCGGGTTCGAGATGGCCGTAAAGAAGAAGAAAGAACTCGACTCCAAAAGGGGAGAGAATAAAGATTGCATTATTGTCTAGCGACACGAAACTAACGAGGAATGGGAGCCCAAGCCGGGACCATTACGTCTGAGATGCAAGATTTAGAAATCTGTCGGCCAAGTTGAACCAGTTTTTACCCAAGTTCGTGCCAGTTCTTCCAAATTCGGGGAAGCCCCATCTCCATCGTACAACGATGATAACGATGTAGACTTCACCGCCGTAGTCTGGTTAGGGTTCTTGCACAGAGCACATTGTGCGAGGCAATGCACTGATGATGGACTACAGCACAACTCATAGTATCAGGCACCTGGTACATTCCAATACAGATGTTAGTATCGCCATCTCCAGTTCCGACCACTTGCATATTTGCTGGTGGACTGAGATTGAAAAACAGTCCCTTTTCGGCCAAAAATCAACACCTTTGGCGACCTTTCAAGCCCTCGAGCTTCCCTTTTGGGAACCTTCACCTCCAACCTGGTGATCAGGTCGCTGGTTTTGCTGAGATTACGGAATTTGAGGATCTCTATGACGCTCAGGTTGCGCAATCCAAGATTTGTCTTAAGGGCATGCGAAGTGATATGAGAAAGATGGCACATGGAATGACATGGCATAGCATGGCATAGCATGACAGTGCTGTCACCGGAGTTAGCGATAATCGAGTTGAGGTCCCCTGGTCCCTATGTGTCCAATTTCATGAATTTTCTTGACTAAGTGGGATAAAACTAAACAAAATGGGGTGGCTTCTGGACGTGTTAAGGTTTTGTGATTATGGTACCTTTGCCAAAGTCACACACTTGACGACCCACAAAATGCAATGTTATTCCGGTGTTCTCGACTAAGTCACGTTTTCGAAAGTCTGGTGCGGTCCATAAGATCTTACGGGAAAAGACAAGGGGCAAGATGAATGCTGGCGACTAGGCCCGTTTTTGTGGATTAGGTCTAGATCCGTAACTTGATAGCCTGATAGGCTGCAGACGAGATGCTGTCAAAACCACACATTTTTTGGTCATTAATTATTCGGGAAAATTTAGTCATTCTATCTGGAATCTAAAATGGTAAACTAGTTTTCGCTAGTCATAATACGAGTTCGAGGTCAAGCAAAAACAAAAGCACTTGGGGGGCCGCATCTTCTGGATCACTTGTTTAATGAACTATAGCGCGTGAAAGCGTCAAGTGCTTTCATGTGACTCGTTAATCGGCTAGGACGCGACTGTTTTACTCTTATTTGGGCAAATGTGTTTTGGTTTCCACAAAACATCAGGGAGAAACCCGCAACCCTAGGAAATGCTACCTGCGGTGTGCACGCGCATGCGGAAACACGTACGAGGAGCCAGCTGTCGATAGCCACCCACTTATATTTCTAGTTAGTTAGATTATCAGATAATCCGGGATGGGAATTCCGATTTGCACATGGTGCACTCAAATTAGCTAATCATTCACCATGACAGCTTAGATCCATTGAGCAAGGGCGAGTGCTGGTAGGCCAGATCTAAAGAAGTCAAAATAAGTCATTTCAACTCAATCTTTCTATTGCTTTGTTCCGAGCTTTTACAGCTCCTATTTGGGTGTGTTTGGTTTCAGTTGTCAGTAAATTGGAGGGACCAAAAAGTGAAGATGGTTGTTTCCTTTTCTGGTGAAGACGCGGAGGGCTGTTTTGGTGTTTTTTGAGAGGTGTAACAATGCCCATTGAAATATCGGCCATGCTAGCCTGATAAAAGGACAAATTTGATTTTACCGAGGAGTCCTTTCAGATATGGTCTTCTAATCTCTCTCTGTGCGTATTGAATTCAGCTCGAGCATCGCTGATGCACGACGATGTCCTGCATGTACCTCATGCTCTCTGCAATGCAAGATTACACACTGAAAAAGAAAATCAGTGGCACTTGAAAAGGTTCTTTTGCTGACTGCCTCTTTGTAAAACAGGGGGTGGGCTTTTTTCGACGGGAAACTATTAACGGATAATCTGTTAATCTTCTAATCATGGAGATTCACTCTGTACAAATGACATAGCCTCTATCGAGATAGGGGGCTCAAAAGCGTGACAGTTTTTGGGTTTACACACAGTTCAGCCACACGGAATATAGAAGCGTTATAAAATATCAACAAAAATGGAGGATTGAAAAAATGCCTTGTGCCGGAAATTTCATCAGTGAAAGCGTGGCAGAGTTCATGGATATGACTAAACCCTGGACTCAAAATCCGACATCAGGCGATGAAGTCCTGCCTGACAGACTGTAGTTAGACACACCTAAGAGAATCAGTCAAATTGCCTGTCTCATATTGCCGTATTTGGTTTGCAGTCATCAAGAGGCAGTTGCTCCAAATGGGCGAAAAACGCGACAGACGCGTCTTCAAGTCACTTTTTCAGAAAAGCAGTCAAGAAATCACGGTGCCAGGGCTGGTCAGCTCCGTGCGCCAAAACATCTCTTAAGATATGGTAGCAGAAACAGCATTTGAAAGTGAATATGAATTAGACACATAGATCAATACATCTTTATACATCTTTAATACCAAAAGTATTATTTATGGCCATCACGCTCTGTAGCACCTCCATCTATTTTACTACCATTTCCTCACTATTCCAGGCTCCGTCACCTACTAATGACTTCACCCCGTCAAAAAAAAGCCGAGATTGACAAGAATTTGGTACCTAGATACACATTATCTGAGACAGGGCATATATACATCAGACATATCGATGTAGTTATCGCATATCCCGAGAACAGATGCAAGATACACCTTTCATTGACCTTTTCTTTGCAGATCCGAACCAGCCACCAAATACGCGACAGGGAGCTCAAACCGTGCAGATAATGTGCAGTCCTGAAGGATTTAGATCGCGGTAGTGGGGTGCAGTTTATAGACATATGTATTTAATTCCAAACACATGGGTTTAAATTACTCGCCTTAATTATTTGATTGCCGCACATAATCCTTTCCCCCTCTCCCCGGCTGGTACCTTTTGAAGAAGCCGTATGTTAATGACCCACCTGGGCAAATGAAACGGAGATCTCGAAGGCATCGCAAAGATCACAAAGCCACCTTAGTCGTACACGGTTCCCTACCTCACTATTGCGAATTGGTCCGAGCGTAATGTACTGCACAATTTCCGAAGTATCACACTCACTTCTTTACAAGTATCGAGACGTGTAAAGCGTGTCACCCGAAACTGTGGAGCCTTTCGATCGTGTATTGTGTGCCTGAGTTGTCGTTTATGGTCAGGGTTGTCCCGATGTTCAAATGTGTTTGTTGATGTTTCTTAACATTTAGTACCCCACCCCTGGACTTTTTGGCCCTTAACCAGACGTAAATGTGTCTTTCTCCTGCACTCTGCACGACGGGCCTAACTCTTAGCTTCCCCTTTAGGCCCAATTTGCGTACCGATCCGAGCGTCCAGCAGGACCGGGTATACTTTTCTTCATGAAGGTCTTTCAGCTGCATGAGGTCGATGGCCGGCCGTATTGCATCGTATCAAATGCTGCATTCGTTTCTTTTTCTTCACAGTGACGAGATGCAGGTGGGAGCAAGAAGCAGATGCATATGCATTATTACGGTTTTATCCATTAGAGCTAGTCCCTCTCAGCAATGCCGCTGCTGCAACTGACCGTTTTGAGAGTAGTGGGGGCGTCACTTCGTAGAATTAGTCTGTCAGCACATAGAGTTAATGCTATGTACAACCTTGTATCTATGCGTAACACAACGTTCAAACTGTGTTGTTGTACAGTTTTTCTTTGTCTCTTGGTCTCTACCAGCTTCTTTCCAGCATTCTTTCTTCGGCAGTACAGTATCTTGCCTCTTTCCTTTTTTATTTATCTGCCGGCGCCATCTTGCTTCATTCTGGGTTGTGATTGTTCCATTCTCGTTTTCAATATATATACGTCTGTGTTATCTCCCTTCTCTTTTCCCCCTTTTTTGCGTCTTACGCTTTTGACGATACCAATTGGGTTTTATTTAATTCACATCTGTCCTCGATTTCTTCGTGACTGGTTGAATAAATCTTTACTCCTTTGAAAGCAAAGCTCGACCCCTCGGAAATCCTCTTCCTTCCGTGTCTCTTCCCCTCCGCTGAGACCGAAAGTTTGTTTCCATACTAGTCCGCGACTACTACAAGACCCTCGGTACAATCAAAATACCCATTACGATAAATTGAATTTTTCAGTTGAAATTCAGTGATTTATTGTTTACTTTTGAACTTGACAAGTTAACAGATTTTTTCCACCGAAAATGAACCAGCTGTGGTTTAGCCATGAGTCTCCCCCGGATTTGACTTCGGATACGGACACCCTAAACATCTCGTCCATCTCTCCACTGTCAGACTCGATGTTCGACTTTCCCGACGGCTCACTGAATCCTAGTCTGTCAAACCGTTTGGTTGGCTATTCCGATGCCTATGCTGTTACGCAGCCACCTAGATGCTTTCTGGCCATTTTAGAGGAAAACAAGCTCACCAACTTCAACTTTGATATGGACTATGTGCCAACCACCGGTGGTGCATACACCACAGGAAATGGCTCGTCATCCTCCACAACGGGAATGAACAGTATGAGCTACATCAATATGAACACATTCGACAACCTTGGATTTCCCTCCGCATCGTCAGCATCGGCCCCGTTATCTGGGACTGCGACAAACTTCTATGACTTGGAGGAGCTGGAACAACCCGTCAAGTTGGATCAGGACTCCAATTTGTACAAGCTCCGTTCCTCCAACAAATGGCTGAAGATTCTCCAGAAATCAAAAAAGGGCATGTATCGTTGCACGCACTGCTCGAATTCCTTCCACAACCTGGAAACCTTTGCTATTCATCTTGACCAGTACAAGGTGGAGAGGAGGCACAAGTGCCCTATTGACGATTGCATCTTTAGCGTTATTGGACTTTCCAGGAGGGCTGAACTCAAGAGACATTGTCTGACGCAACACTACAAGAATCTGGAAGATTTCCCAGACAGTGATATTTTGGATGCTTCTCCTACGAGTTCATCGATGGTGCTTTCATCGTCTTCCAGGTTCCCAACAACCTTGCGCAACTTTTCCACGTCGTCGACGGGCTCGACGAACTCGAATACATCCATTGGTTCAATGAACTCTTCCGTCTCATCCATTTCTTCTGTTTCGTCTGCTTCTGCTTCCTCTGCGGGAGTTAACAAGCAGTTCCAATGTAAAAGAGAAAGATGCGGAAAAAGCTTCTGTCGGTCTGACTCTCTGAAAAGACACATCAAATTGGTACATCTCAACGAAAACAGCAGGTTCAACAAGAAGCTGCTCAAGATGATGGAGAAGTCAGCTGGTAGCCATCACATGGAAGCCGTCTAGATGCAAACCCATTACCAATTGAAAAATAATCAGAGCAAGGAATACCACCTGGAAACCAATGAGAAGACCAATACGAGGCAACTGTTTCTCCTAGTAGTTTACGAATTCGTTATGCACCGGACCTACAATTTTTTTATTCGCACTGACAGGATCACTACGGAAGTGCTAAATTTCTAGCCATTCCGTCTACCCTTACGCCTTCAACGTTTCACTTCATCAACTCTTTCTTTTCGCATGTCCAAATGGACCATGTGCGTGTGCCTTTATGTCTAATCAATTTTTCAACTTGTATTGTATTTTAATTTTTTATGTACTCCGCTTAAATTTCAGGCCTTATCACCTGAACCCAGTGCTGGCGAAATGCAAGATGCTCCAAGTCTTGCTGCATGCTCTAATAATATTGAGGGTTTTGGTGTGGGGGGCACGGATAGATCTGTGTAGAAGCTTTCCAGGGTTTTACCTCTGGTATCTACCCTCAGAAACTTTTCTACAGACTCCAACTCACTAATTACGAGAATTAAATAATCAGCCATGTTCAGCCACTTAGCGCGAGCAGCTTGAAAACGGGAGAGTGGATGATTTTGAGGCCTGCAAGTCCAAGCCGAGGCAATATGATTATGGTAATGCAGGTGAATGAGGACTCCAATTTTCGTATACCATGACATACAACAGTAGAATAGCGTTTGACAAAGACTAGACTTTCCGTTCTTTGGATGTCCGAGCCTATGCTGCACTCCGGCACCCAGATATTTTATGCGTTCCTTCCACAGGCTTACATTTACTGACTGTTTTTATGCAGCCGTCATTTTCAGCTCGATAGGAGGTTGCTATCCCCTAGACAGAGGCATTAAATAACGTCATAGCCTGACGAGAATAGTGCAGTATAACCTATTATTGAGTTTGGTCCGCGTCCGCTGAATTTGGTCCGGCCAGAACGACTCCTCGGTGACTTTTGCACGCTTCAGTCGTGTATATGTGCGTCTAATGCTAACGTCTGACATGGGCGGTTAATTCTGGCGTCTAATAATACTTTCTTTGGATTATGTTAATTGTTGCACCATCGAACCAAAATTTGAGATTACAGGCGAGAACGTCAAGCAAAAGTTCAATTTTCATGCTTAAAACAAAAAAAACCAAACCAAACCAAACCAAACCGAGCCAAACCAAAAAAGGTCTTCGGATTTGTCTCCTTGCGCCTTAGGTCCGTAAGCGCCAGTATACTTCGTCCCTTGCGGGAATCACATGGGTGTCCTAATACGCTCACAGCTTTCGACTGAGAATAAAATAGAGCTACGCAAATTGAGGGCTTCACCAGAGACGAAATTAAACGAGAAAAACTTCGGAAAAACGAACCGATAACAGAAAAACAGGCTCACGCTTGGAACCAAGCGCAAAGTGTAAGGCGAAAACGCGGAGACAGTTCTACAATCGACAGCAAACACATCTGAAGTAAGTAACTATCAACACAGTACACAGCTCCTTAAACATCAAGAGGAGTCAAACGAAGGTATGGCTTAATGACTCTGAACTTAGGGAACAGGGTCTTGGCCTCATCGTTGGAAACACTGGGGTGGACAATGACATCGTCACCAGGAACCCAGTTGATAGGGGTGGTCACTCTGTGCTTGTCACCGGTCTGCAACGAGTCAATGACTCTCAAAACTTCGGCAGTGTTACGACCAGTGGAAGCTGGGTAGGTCAGGATCAGTCTGATCTTCTTCTTAGGGTCAATAATGAAAACAGAACGGATAGTGAACTGAACTCCCTTGTCGTCCACGTTGGAAGCATCCTGGAAATCGATCATATCGTACAAAAGTGCGACCTTGCGCTGTGGGTCGGCAATGATTGGGAAAGTCAAATGGGATCCCGTGATCTCATCAATGTCCTTGATCCAAGCTTTGTGGGACTCGGTCTCGTTGGCAGAGAGACCAATAAGCTTGACCCCACGTTTGGCAAACTCTGGCTCAAGCTTGGCAAAAGCTCCCAGCTCAGTGGTGCACACTGGGGTGAAATCATCAGGGTGCGAGAACAAGACAGTCCAGGAATCACCGATGAACTCGTGGAAAGAAATTGGACCGTTCGAGGTTTCCGACTGGAAGTCGGGGGCAGTGGAACCCAATCTGAGGGCGTTGCTTGGCTTAGGAATTGACATTGGAAAAAAGGCGACAGTTAAGCAATACAGACTCGATACTCGAAACAAGAGCTTGGTTAGAACGGAAACAAGTTAAATCGTCGATTGGGGTTTCGGGGGCTATTTGAACTGCCAAATTTCAAACCCCACAGCGACAAGATGGACGCTGTACTTGCGCCTTTTCGATTTTTCAGTCAGAATGCTCTGAAAACACGTGACATGATGCAATGTGCGTACTTTTTCACGAGTCACGTGATGTCGAGGCCAGTGAAAAAGACTGGTTCTTGATAATGGGGTAAACTCCAAAGACAATAGTATTGTAGAATGGGTCATTTTTATTGTTTGGACCTTAGATGTTCAATGTTCAGTGATATAATCATATGTGCAACCGGCGTGGACTGGACTGGTTGAGTGAATAGACCTTCAAAATACGTGATCTCTGCATACGAAGAACCACACTGGCTATGACACCAACCTTTCACCTTGAAGATTCCGATATATGTCGCAGATAAATAGTAATTGCTCATTTTGATTTCGCTATTCTATTTTGCAACCAGCCACTTGTTGAGCAGAACTTTTTTCAAAATTTTTTCGACTGGGGTACGGCCCCAATATGTCGCTGCATCACTGACATACGCAGGTGTCAAGCCTGCGAGTGAATCACTGATAACGAAACAGGCAGAGGTAGATTAGATTAACGAGGCATGCAAATGGCATGGAGATGTCACAAAAATGTCATGGAAATGGCATTGAACGCATAAAAAAAATAAAATACCCATTGAAAAATCAGAAATCATCCACAGATTCCCCACATTTCATCCCACACCCTTCTACTCACTTTTTCAAATTATTTTTCATAATTCCCCTATTTATTCAATTAAATAATAGAAACTCGTTCGTGAACCCAAAGTACTGTTTTTGGTTGTTTTATGCAGTTTGGCAGGTTTGCGGTAGCCAAAGGTGTATTTAGGGCCTCAAGTCATTCCCCTGACCATTTGAGGCCCTTCGTAGTTGTGAGAAAAACTAAATTTAGTTGTTCTCTGGACGGAGTTTTCTGACCTCCTTACCAACTTGCCAGATCTCCATGTTTCTGATGGTCTGGAGCTCGGCCTCGAGCTTCTCACGGTAGTCTGGCTGGGAGTTGAAGTCCAAAGATCTCTGGGTCTCGGCACCGGTCTTGACACTGTTGTACAAGTCGTTGAAGACTGGCTTCAACGCATCCTTGAAGATTGGGTACCAGTCAAGAGCACCACGTCTAGCAGTGGTGGAGCAGGCATCGTACATGTAGTCCATACCGTATTTGCCGACAAGAGGGTAAAGAGACTGGGTGGCCTCCTCGACAGTCTCGTTGAAGGCCTCCGATGGGGTGTGACCGTTCTCTCTGAGAACCTCGTATTGAGCGAGGAACATACCGTGGATACCTCCCATGAGACAACCACGCTCACCGTAGAGGTCAGAGTTGACTTCTCTCTCGAAGGTGGTCTGGTAGACGTAACCGGAACCAATGGCAACAGCCAAGGCGATGGCCTTCTCCTCGGCCTTACCAGTAACGTCGTTCCAGACGGCGTAGGAAGAGTTGATACCACGGCCCTCCTTGAAGAGAGATCTCACGGTTCTTCCAGATCCCTTTGGAGCGGCAAGGATGACATCGATGTCAGTTGGTGGCTCAACGTGGGTGAGCTCCTTGAACACAGGCGAGAAACCGTGCGAGAAGTAGAGGGTCTTCTCCTTGGTCAAGAGAGGCTTGAGAGCATTCCAGGTCTCAGACTGGGCAGCATCTGAAAGCAAGTTCATGACGATGGTTCCCTTCTGGACGGCTTCGCTGACGTCGAACAAGTTCTGGCCTGGAACCCATCCGTCCTCGATGGCAGCCTTCCAAGAGGCACCGTTCTTACGGACACCAATGATCACGTTAAGACCGTTGTCTCTGAGGTTAAGACCCTGGCCGTAACCTTGGGAACCGTAACCGATCAGAGCAAGAGTGTCGTTCTTGAAGTACTCAAGGAGTCTCTCCTGGGGCCAGTCGGCACGCTCGTGGACAACCTCCTCAACACCACCGAAGTTGATCTTCTTGATACCTCTGGTGGCAGTGAGTGGGGCGACGGATCTTCTGGCAGCAGTGGCCAAGGCTGGGCGAGCAGCGCTCTTAGCAATACGGGCGATGTAAGACATGTTTCTTTTGGGGAAGTGAAGAGAGAAGAGGAAGGAAAGAAGAGATGTTGAAACTTTTTGATGGACGGTGAAAAACTCTTTCCCCACCGGGCCGGATGCGGGACTGAGTGTGAATCATACGTGCATATGTGGTACCGGGAGGGGAGTTACCCCGGTGCCGGGCGGGGGTGGAAAGGAATGAAAAAAAAAACGATATTCGAATGAGAGGATTGAGTAGTGGATATCTGGCGAATATTTGATCCTGCTTGGGTACTAATGGCGTTGTAGGCATGATTAGGGTGGTAGGTGTAGAACAGTGGTTGAGTAGAGTGTAACGCTTTACAGATGTAGACCTCTTCGATGGGGCTGGACGAGGCTATGAAATGGTAAAACGTTGGAGCTTCCGATTTTCATTTCTGAATATTAGTTAGCCAAGCTGACAGGACGATCTAGAGATATTCTGCTGTGAGCCTGGCGCTAGTCAGTGACCAGGCACTTTACGGCGAGAAATTTGAGATTAGAACCCGATTGGGACATATTCGATGGGCCTTTTGAATAGGCACTTGGACTGCAAGTGAATATACGAGCACACAAAAAAACTGCAGCGGATAACGAGTTTATTTGAGCGTGCCTGAATGAGCAGCAACCTTTATCAAACTTTAAGATATTTCAACTAATGCGCTACTGATCTGTCTCTTTATGCATCCTTATCGCACGGAGAAGATCCCCTAAGTGTTAGGATCAACGGAATCTAATATTTTTGGGGCGCTTGTTGAGGTAGTTTGATACAGGTGTTATTAAACGGCTAACATCAGTCTGTGATATTGCCCACCAGCATTCGTCACTTTGTTCGGTAATTGCAATATTTCACTCCACCAAATCACCTCTACAAAGCCACGTTTTCACAAGACTTCTATCTTCCGCACTCTCGTACCACAGTCGCAAATTTAACCTTAAATCTAATATCATTATCACCCCCAGTACCATTTGAAAACAATCATTTTATCATCTTCCCAAATTTGACGCTCAACTGTTTTCGAAGACTGCATCCAAACTTCACATGCTTATGCAGTTCGACTGGAAAGACACCTCTGTCTCCCTGTCAACTGCAAGACAAGACTGCGTTACATGAAGCCCACGGGCACCGCAGGAGCAGAAGTTAGCCTTCGTTTTTTCCACAGCCGGAAAAAGGCTTGCAAAAAAACCAGACGCGTCGCGGGGTTACCGAATCTGTCGATCCCTTGGATCATACACACTTCTTGACTTGACCAAAAAGACCGCTGATTGTAGCCCCTGCAACCCCACAAATCACCAAATATTTGGCTGGCATCTCCGAAATTAAACTAGATGTAAAGCCATGTACGCTTGAGTCAGGGAGGCGCAAGGTTGGAGCATTGCCTAAATTGCATGCTGCTTTGTCTATGCCTAGTTTTTATATCCCGATGTAGACACATTGCCCGAAAAGTCTGGTTAAGCGCTTCCGAGGGAAGTCGGCAGTTCGGACAGAAGTGGCAGTTCCGAAAGAAGTCGGCAGTTTTCAAAAAGGCTCTTCATTTAGCCAAACGTCTGTATTAATTCGGATTACATTAAAGCACGGGGTAATAATCCCCTGGTGACAAGGCGTTGATGTAGTTTCGTGACTCACGCCCTACATCGTCACCACGGCAGATTTAGATATGCTATCAGTCTCAGCAACCAGGTTAAATCTGAGCCTCATAAACTCGTTTAATTTAATACATATTTGGTCCGCTTCGAAGTCTAACTTGAATCAAACCGTTACATTATACGATAGTTCAGGGGTCGATCTGATCTGAAGCACCCGGGCTATTTTTGTCCCATCCCTGGGATATCTCCATATTCCGGAGCCAATGCGTGCGGCTTTGTCCAGACGTATGTGCCACTTTCCCTTTACGGCCTAATTGCACTTTAGAGGGTCCTCATGCTCACAAACGGGCTCTATTAGCAAGTTGAGAAAACTGGTCTCGGAAGTCTCTCCCGATGGCTGCACTTTGGACCTGGATATTTAAAAATCGAAACTTTTCTGCATGGAGACGAATAATAGGCTCGAGGCCGAGGATTAGACCAAGAAACCACGCTCCACACCAGGTACCGCACCAGGTACAGCATCACAACCTAGAGATTCGTAAAAAATTCGCAAGAGCTGCTGCTGATAAGTCCACACATATTTCGAACAAACGCATTTTTTTACTTCCCTCTTGACACGTTCTGGTTTGGTTTGCGATTCGCGATCAGACCTCTCATTTAAGGTTTTCCGCAACCCTGTGCTTGAAACTTCGACCACCACGACACGTCCAGCGTCTCACGGCCCACATTTACATTGCATAGCGTGCACGCCTGAGAGGTGTCGATTGCATCTGAATTTGGATTTTAGCCCAAGTTGGTTTATTGAACTATTCTTCAGCTCTCTAATGAAGTTCAAGCGACCCAGCATCTTCCGTTGCCCAAACCCTGCTCAGACCCCACAGACCAAACTAAAACATGCTCTTATGCGAGTAGCTTACGACATACAGCAGACGCAAGATCTAGTGGATGATTATGGTTTTCAGGTCCTGGAATCAGGCAGCCACTGTGGGCTGCGGTTTTTTAGGGTTGACAAAAATACAACCACCCACGTCCCAGACTTGTTTTTACAAACCAAACTCAAATGAATTCCATGGGACCGGATTTTGCGTAAAAAAAAGGCTGTTTGGTTTTGGTGTGCTTGGAAAATGATTGAGACCTCTCTATTATGGCTTGTAGATAAAGAATATCACGTGATCACAATAAAGAAGAACAAATAGATTGTGTGATATCATGATGAGCACTTTGATGCCACACGATTTCAATCAAAGAGGCAGGAAATTGGGGAAATTTTGGTATGAATGGATAGCCAACACCTAGAAGAAGTCTATCCAAAAAAAAGATATATAATTTATTCAACTAATACCCAGAAACCCCAAACATTTGGATAATCGCGTAATCTGAAAGTTGGTTATCGCACACATATCAAGCGTTTCTGGTTGCCACCTTGGGGGCAAATATTTATGAGCCTCTTAATCGATTCGCTCGGTCCAGCGTCAGTTCTCCACCCCTCCATAATGAAGTGTCTTACCGCGATCAAATTAGTGGCCATCACATCTCTGGGAATCTCCACTGGTGGCTTGGCATTCTCCTCGTATTCGCTCTTCAAGTTGTCCACTGACATCAAGACTCAGTCTTCACAGGCGCTTTCAAATGCGCTGAATCTCACCATTAAATTGGCAGCGTTTGCCTCGATTCCTTTGGCCTGGTTTGCTGCCACAGCGTTTTCTGTCGCGTTCACATATGCTCCATTGCGTGCGAGACATCCGTATCTCGTATACGCCGCGGTGGGCTCTCTCCTCTCAACTGGAGCCCTTGCTCACCTTGTTCGTCCAGCCTTGAACGCGATCTCGAAGGACCCACCTCGTTTGAAGCGCTCCAAAAAGCTAGCAAGTCCAAAAAGGAAGGAAGAAGTCTCATCTCTGGACGATTCCATCTATGTCGATCTCAAGGAGTCAGTCTCCCCCGAGGCAACGACTGGCGTTGAAGCTGACAGTGATGATGATGACGCCTCCCTCGAATTCAAGATTAAAGACTCAATTTATAAAGATGATACCATCAAGACTGTTAAGGTTCTGAAGAGAGGTTTCGCCTATTCGTCCTCCGTGGGACTCGTGACGATTCTTCTGGCCACAATTGGCCTTGCAGGCGATAGAAGCTGAACCTTTTGGCCCTCCTTGATTCTAGCAGAGGCGTTCTTTGGTTTTGGTCTGCTTATGGATTTTTGTCTAGTTTCTCCAGTTCTCTTCAATGGACTACATCTTTCTTAGCCATTTTATCTGTAGACCCGTAAGATGATAGATCATCAGTACGTGCGGCTGATTTTTTTGGGCAGGACGCGACGCGTAAAGTTGAGCTACCACTCAAAGAAATAACGGTTGAGCGCCATTGCTCGTGCCCATTTTGTTGATCAAGAAAGAGACCAGATGTCTGAAGACGTATTTCAGTCGTTGGATTCTTTCGACTCATTCGATGATGATGATCTCTTGGAAATCACGCCGCTGGCGTCCAACGTGGAACAAATGTACGAAGACCAAGAGCGTCTGATTGTCTCCAAAAAACCTGGGAGATCACAGATGACTCTCGATGGCAGTGTTATAACCCAGGAGGAGGAGGAATACGTATACAAAGAGATCTCAAAACCCATTACTTTTAAGAACCATCACAACCTGGACCTGCAAGCTCTAAAGACGTTTGTATACCCTACGAACTTGGAATTCAGAGACTACCAATTTGATATCGTCACCAAATCACTGACCCAAAATGTTCTCTGCACGTTACCAACGGGACTTGGTAAGACATTTATTGCAAGTACCGTGATGCTCAACTTTTATCGGTGGACAACCGATTCAAAAATCATCTTCATGGCGCCCACACGGCCCTTGGTGGCACAACAGGTCAAGGCGTGTTTTGGAATCACGGGTATACCGCGTCACGACACGGCCATTTTGCTGGATAAAGTAAAGAAGAATCGGGCTGAAATCTGGGCTGAAAAGCGGGTATTTTTCACGACACCGCAGGTAGTCGAAAACGATCTCAGCTCCGGGTTTGTGGATCCCAAGAAGATCGTTTGCATAGTCGTTGATGAGGCGCATAGGGCAAAAGGCAACTATTCATATGTCAACGTGGTAAAATTTATCCGGAGATTTAGCAACAGCTTTCGCGTTCTGGCATTGACTGCAACACCCTCCGCCGATGTTGAGGGCGTCCAGCAAATCATAGACAATCTGATGATATCGAAAGTTGCCGTGCGGACCGAAAAAAGTATCGACATAGTCAAATATATGAAACGCCGCAAAGTTGAGAAAATACAGTGTGATCCGACGCCGGACATGGTGCAAATTCTCGAGTTAGTGGCTGAGGCCGCATCTCCGATCCTAAAGAAAGCCAACGACGCTCACATCTATGAGGCTCGTGATCCGGTCAAGATCAATGCATTCCAAGCAATGGAAGCCAGTCAGAAAGTGATCAAGAATCCTGCTCTTCCAGAGGGATTGAAATGGACATATTATTTCCTGCTCCAGCTGCTAACGACAGTGGGACAGTGTTTCAGGAGGCTAAACATCTATGGCATAAACTCGTTTTACTCATACTTTCATGAAAAACATGACGAGTTCACTACCAAGTACGAGAACAAAAAGTCCACCAACAAGATTGCAGCATCCTTTTATTACCACCACCTGATCAAGTCGATGGTGAAGTTCTGTGACGAGGTGATCGCCAGGGACGAGGAAGAGGCCAGAAATGGCAAAGTCCTGAAAGGTGTGTTCAGTCACCCAAAGTTTGAAAGGATGGTAGAAGAAATTCTGTTCTTCTTTGAAAGCAATCCCGAAAACAAGAATTCTAAAATCATCGTCTTCACAGAGTTTCGCGAATCTGCTTTGGAAATTGTGACTGTTCTCGAGAACGCAAATACCTCGAAAGAGCGGGCTGTAATGAGACCTCATATTTTCATTGGACAGTCCAGGGAGAAAGAGAAATTTGACCAGACAAAGTTTTTGAACAAAAACAAGAAGAAAAAGTCGAAGAAAAAGAAGATGGGCGATGCCTCTGATGAGGAAGAGTCTTCATTGCCCACCTCTGCAGGATCCACTCGCTCTTCTGGACGTCTAGGGAGCTCAGAAGATGCCCAACAGAAGGGAATGAACCAGAAACAACAGAAAGACCTTATCAAGAAGTTCAAGGATGGAACTTACAACATTCTGGTGGCGACTTCCATTGGAGAAGAAGGTCTGGACATTGGTGAAGTGGACATGATTGTCTGCTTCGATTCGACGAGTAGTCCGATCAAAAATATACAGCGCATGGGACGTACCGGTCGTAAAAGAGACGGAAAGGTCTTGTTGTTGTACTCGAGCAACGAGAGGGTCAAATTCGAAAAAGCCATGGACAATTACGAATGGATACAGAATAAGATCCAAAAAGGAGATGGCATTAATCTGGTTGCCAGCGATAGAATCATCCCGGCTGATATCACACCCGTGGCTGACCAAAGAGTCATCAACATACCAGACGAGAACAACGAACTGGTAAACGAGGCCAGCGACGTGGATGATGATGAATTTCTCAAACTAGCCACACAAGCACCCAAAAAGGCAACCAAAACTGCAAAGGGAAATAAAACTTCAAAGGCAAGAGTGGACACATCCGCAGCTTCAAAGCCTGTGAAACGGACTAAACAGTTCTTCATGCCAGACGATGTTGAAACAGGGTTCCAAAATGCTTCTGCTCTGGTTAAGCGGGTGAAACTGAATGAGGAAGAGAATGCCGACACGCCGACACACGAGAAGAGTTTCCTGGACAGTCTCGTGGAATCCGAAGGTGACGCCCCACAGGATTCTGATGAGGATATTCTTGAATTTCTTCGAAAGGACTTCTTTGACCCAATCCAGTCGCCCAAATCAGAAGCCTCTGATGTCCAGCCCGAAGTTGAGGTGCAGTTTGAATCGAAGTCTGAGCCAGAATCAGAACCAGAGTCTGCAAACGGTTGCTTGAACCAGTCGCAAACGAAAGCTTTTAAAGCTTTGTCCTCTTTAGAAGACGACCCCGAGTTTCAATCCCGGTTTGAAGCAACAGAAGGGTTTCTCACCAAAGAACAGCTTCATGAATTCTATCAAAATCATTACCGATCCAGCCAGAAGGGCTCACAGCCAATTCTGGACCCGAACCCATGTCTCAGCGAGGCATTCGCACATGGTCAGATCCCCCACAGCGAGCGTACAAAAAGGTTTGTCAAAACGGTGTATGCGATATTCAACATGGACTCTCAGGCTGCCCTAAAACTGAAAGCTGCAGCAGGGAATTTGTCACCGTCAAGAGAAGCAAGCTGTATGGTCGATGACTAGGAGGCTTCGCACGAGGGGGTTTGTATATACATAGACTAAAGACCATATAATGGGACATAGTAAACCACCTGACTAGAGCACAAGAAATTGAATGAAGCCATAAGTATAACCTCTTTTCGTGAAGAAGTTGAAATAGAAGACCAGCACAACACACGATGCGTTGTGTCTCGTGTCCCTCCCAAAAACTGACCATCGCTTCATAACCAAAAGAACGTTGCCTCTAAAATCTTCGCCGTCCCCCTCGATGCTCCTAGCCACTTGTTTACTTCCTTCTTTATCCTTATGCAAGGGCATTACGTGTATCAGTGAGGATTCGTCCGAGATCATGTTTTTGCTGGTTGAAAACTTTAACCATGACCGCTCTCTATCGTTATAGCAGCATTGTCCGCAAAACTTTAGAGGAATTTTTGGAACTCGTTCAAACATTCTCTGCACAGCTTAGCTGTGTGTGAGTCGGATGCGCTGCATGTGCAACTGTGATTACCACCTTTAGTCTTCAATCGGTACCAACCAGTCCCAATGAGACCATTGACTTGATTTCTGTTCGAGCTTACTGTTTTGGCTGGATGGTCGTAGGTGACGATCCTCTTCGGCAGAAGCCGTTCTGGAAGAGAGGTTGAACCTGTAGAGTTAAATGTAGTGGTCTGGCTAGTGATCCAATCTATCAGACGACAGTAAAACAGCCTATTCCCCTAAGTCTTTCGATTCTTCAAGCCAAGCCCTCAACTTGAAGTTCGAAAACCCCTATGAAAAATGGAAGAGTCGTGCCGCAACATATAAATTTGGCAAACCCCAATGTCTCACCCGAAAGGTCTCGATCAAACAAGACATTTTCTTTAGGATCAGATTGCCCCCAACCCGCAAAATGTTCAAGAAATTCACGAAAGACGACGTTCACACGAAGAGTAACGTAAAATCTTCGGTTCAGAGAGGTTTGAAGGTCAAGCTGGTTGCGCAGTTCCCCAAACTCGAGCCAGTGATTGATGAGTTAATACCGAAAAAGTCGTCGTTGGTACTGTTCAAGTGCGAGGACAAAATCCAACTATATTTGATAGACAACGAAGTGGTGTTTTTCCAGCAGTTTGATGAGTTAATTCCGTCGCTTAAAGTTGTTCATAAGTACCCCAGTTGCTTCCCCCATGTGCAGGTTGACAGAGGTGCCATCAAGTTTGTGCTTTCAGGAGCAAACATCATGTGTCCGGGTCTTACATCTGCCGGTGGCTGGTTGCCGGAGGAAACTATTCCTGAGGGAAGCATTGTCATAGTAAAAGCGGAAGGAAAAGAGACTGCATTGGCAGTTGGCAAACTGTTGATGAGTTCTGATGAGATCAAAGCCCAGAATAAGGGAATGGGTATTGAGTTACAGCACTATCTGGGTGATGGGTTGTGGAAGTTTTCTCCGGAATAAATGATGCCGAAAATGCTATTAAAAGAGGCAAAGAGGTATTGAGGATTATGTATGAATGCACTTTTTCACTTTTTCACTTTTTTACGTTTCACGTCTCACGCCCACCTTTGACTGCACTATGATCCGAGTCCCGTCTTCCATATTGTAAAATCCCAGTTGTTTCATGTCATTCGTCATAGTTTCTTTGATTCCAGCTGGTTGGTTGTCGTAGACAATCTCAAAGTCCAGGACGCACTGCTTGAGATCTCTGCTGATATTTCCCTTCAGTTTGCCAACAGTGCATTCTGGAAGAACAAACTTTCTTAACAGCTTTGCTCCGACTTCGACACTTAGAAATATCCCTCCAAACAATTTCTCGTTGTTATCGGGTTTGCGAGACCTTCTAGCATCTTTATCAATGCCATACTGCTTTTCTAACCAATGCCATCTGCCGAGACTTACGTCGTAGGGTATCTCGCCTTTTATCACTTTCGCGATAAAATATAGCTCGCAACTTTCTCGTAAACTTGCTAAAATCTCCGAGCCATCCAAAATCTCCAAACCGCTGTTAAACCTCGATACGAGCTGGACCAACAGTTCGTCTTCCCATTCTTTACCCTCACCTCTTTCGCAATACGGATTGTTGTTGACTCGTATTTTCTTCAACTGGGGGAACAACAAGTTTATATTGTCAACAGCATTCCAGTCTGCAATATTATTGGCTGAGATGTCCAGCTCTCGTATTTTCTCCAATGACACTCTCAAGGGAACCCTAAAATCTAGCCTATTTCCGCACATGTTGAGAGCTTCTAAAGCGACAAGTGATTTCAAAGTCTCAAAGTCAAAATCTTCAAGTTCGTTAAAAGAAGCGTCCAAAAAGTGGAGATTTGGGAGCCGTGCCAGCGCAGTCAGACATTTAGTCCAGTTTCGCACGTCGTTCGTAGAGAGACTCAAACGGCGTAGATTGGGGAAAACAGATACCAAAGATTCTAAATTGGTCTCATCAAGATGACAACTAGCAAGGGAAAGTGTGTGGATATTTTTCAGAGGTGCCAGGTTTCGACCAAACGCACTAAACACGTTTCCGTTCAGATTCAACTCAGACAGACTATTGAGCTGCAACACAATTGAATGCACAACTGAAAAGTCGTCAATAAGATTGAATCCCAGGTTCAATACCCGGACATCAGGCAATATTTTATTCAGTTCAAGGGTTTGGTTGCCGTATTTTTCATCTTCATTAGTGTAAATACATTCGTGGTCCAGCGAGATGTGTGTCAAATTCTCAAAATTTGCTGTGATTCGACTCAAATTGCGAAACCCGAGTACCTTCCAATCTCGCGAACCGATTTCAAGCCCTTGGTACTCAGCCATGTCGTCGCGGAGCTTTATATCTTCCCGCGGCACGACTGAGTCTTGAACCATTCTGGATACCGAATTGGCATCGCCATATTTCTCCACCAAAGCCTCCAAAAAGCTCTTTCTTCTGTCTTTAGCCTTAGAGGCTTTCACAAAAGATCCCGATTTGTCTCCAAAAGTGGTTTGGAAATACCGAACTCCACCAAGTTTTCCATCGTTCTTCCCCCTTCCGGGGCTGTCCCACTCCACTCCAAGAGCGGTCTCATTAGGCCAGTTGGGTATGCTTCCAACAAACCGCACAGTCGCAATCTCTCCATCAAACGACACCCTATCACCCACCATTAAAGTCATTAAAGTCATCGAGTCTGGAGCGAAAAAATCCGGCTTTCACAGGTTCAATCTCGACGTCAGACACCAAAATTGAGATAGCATCTTTATTACGCGCCATCTTTTTCTGGCGCTTAGCTCATCGCCGCACCGAACTCTTCAGGCGATTTATTTGGGGGCAAGAACGACCTTTTTCTTGGTGTTATTGGCTTATACTTGCTGGTTTTGTTCGGAGACGAGCAAGAATACTAGGCCAAAAATCAAAGGCTTTTCAAAAATGAAGTAAGCAGACGAAGAACATTGGAATGTTTTGCTTTCAACATCAATACTAACCTTAGTAGTGTTATCAAACAGATACAGCGACTGAACCAACAGGAGCTGGAAAACAATGTGCCATACGAGGCATCGTGGCACCAGGAATATGCCGATTCCGCGTATATATGTGAGTTTAGAAGTTTTCTCCTCAGTTGAAAGAGTTGATGTGATATTAACCGTGACTTAGTTATTGGTGGGCTGCCGTTCGATCTCACAGAGGGAGACGTGCTCATCATATTCTCACAATACGGTGTGCCGGTATTTGTCAAGTTGATGAGGGACAGCGAAACGGGAGCATCGAAAGGATTTGCATTTTTGAAATATGAGGATGTGCGATCTACTGTTCTGGCGGTGGACAATCTGAATGGAGCCAAGGTATTGGGTAGAGTACTAAGGGTGGATCATACCCGTTTTGATCCAAACAAACACGACAATGAGCGCGAAGATGTGAGCAGAATGTGGGATGAAGCTATTGCAAAAGACATGGCTGAAAACGACTTTGCAAGCGCAAAGGAGAGGAAGGAGGAGGAGGAGGAAAGGTTACAGCTGGAGAATCCTGAGGATGACGTTTTTGCTGATCCCATGAAAAACTTTGAAAAGAAGTCATCAGAACACAAAGATGATGACCCAGGACATTCACACAGACCGCATAGATCGCACAAATCTCACAAATCGCACTCATCTCACAGAACGCACTCCCATTCCAGAGGAGAAGACCAATAAGGGTCCATACACTTCGGTTTGCCCTACTATGCGAATAGCACTTGAGCTGACTTCGATAACTCTTGGAAACCACCAAACATCCGGATACCCTCGAACATAATCGTAAATCGTCGTTTGCTAACATCCAATGCCAAACTGTTTATGCGGCGTAAAAATGGCTCATACACTACATTAAATCTGGCCACCTCCACACCTAAAGCAGGTTTTGATCATCTGTTGTAAACGTTTACACTTGCGAAAGAACACTATTCCTTTGTTATTCTTTTGGCATCTGGAGGGTGTTGGTGGAAGTTTTAATGATACAGACCGACAATATAGACGATAGATACGGGATCGTGATAGACTCGGGGTCTTCAGGTTCAAGAATCCAGATCTACACGTGGAAAGACCCAGCCTCGCTACAGAAGGGCTCTTCTGATGACCAGATTCTCAACTCGGTGCCGAAAATCATTCAAAATGAGTCATGGTCATACAAAATCACACCTGGGCTTTCGAGTTACGCAGATAAACCTTCAAAGGTCTGGGATTCGCATTTCAAGCATCTCATCAAACACGCTGAAGAAATCATCCCGGAGTCACACCACGCGCAAACACCGATTTTTGTCCAGGCAACAGCGGGAATGAGGCTCTTGCCTGAGAAGAAGCGAGAAAAGGTTTTGGAGGCAACGTGCAAGAGTATCAAAGGCCATAGCAAGTTCCAAATCGAAGATTGTGCCAGTCACGTTCAGGTGATAGACGGAGAAACCGAAGGATTGTATGGTTGGATCGGCTTAAACTACCTCAAAGGCACTTTAAATGATTATGACGCCACCAAGTCGGTCGTTGATCATTCCTCGTTTGGTTTCATGGATATGGGAGGAGCTTCCACACAGATCGCGTTCGTGCCGTCCAGTCTGGAAGAGCTCAAAAAGCACGAGGATGACGTGTACAACGTTTATTTGAGGAATATAGATGGAAACGCCCAGAGATGGTCGGTTTTCGTATCTACATGGCTTGGATTTGGTGCCAATGAGGCCAGGAGAAGACATTTAAAATCCCTCATTTCGTCTTTGCCTGAGGGAATCTCTTATGATCTGGATGGTGACGGTTACAACGATATAATCGACCCGTGTTCGCCCAAGGACATGAAGATTAAGCAGGAGTATGGAGATCACAAGTACGATATCACGGGTAGTGGAGATTACGAGATGTGTTTGAAGCTGTTATATCCTCTTCTTCTAAAGAACTTGCCCTGCAAAGACTATCCGTGCTTGTTCAATGGTGTTCATGCTCCGCCAATCGATTTTGAGAAAGACAAGTTCATTGGAGTTTCTGAGTACTGGTATACGGCCAATGATGTGTTCCACATGGGTGGTGAGTACAATTTCATGAAGTACAACGAGAAGCTGAAGGAGTTCTGCGAGAGTCCCTGGGAAGATATCCAGGCCAATTTTGACAAGGGGTTCTACGGAGATCAGATTAACCTTCCTTTATTAAGAGACTCGTGTTTCAAAGCTTCCTGGGTAGTCAGCGTTCTTCATGAAGGATTTGGACTGCCTAGAATCGGACTAGACACTGACTACCTGGACGAGTCCAAGATCAAGGAGATCAACAAAGAAGCTGAGCATGTGCCTTTTGCTAGTGCAAATCTGATCGATGGAGCTGAACTATCGTGGACTCTGGGAAAAATCCTTCTTTATGCGGCAGGGCAGGTACCTGCTGCTGGAACGGCACACTTCGTTGGAATTGAGTCTAGTTCCGCACTTCCAGCCGCTGCTTCTACTCGATTTGCAAGGGAATCTGATTCTCTTTTTGGTGGTATGTTCTACCTGCTAATACTGGTAGCTGTTATTGGTTATGCCATCCATGCCGGATTTGTGAAGAAGCTCAATCCAGCAGGAAAGTTTGCCATGTCAAAAATTGCAGATTCGCCAACTGCACTTGCCATCATAGACGACTCGAACCGGGTCTACCAAAAACTAAAGCAAAAAACTATTGCTTTCTACTACTCCAAACTGGCGCCACAAGAGTCACAGGATGTCTACAAAGGGTCCCAAGAGTCTGCGAAAATGGAAGAAGGTCTTGCTTCAAGTCAGCTGAAAGGATACATGCCGTCAGTCGGGAATCTCAGTGGAAATCTCCGGACGCGATCGTCAATGATGAATCTCCAACAGGGCAGCGAAGGTGACGACACTGCTCACAGATCACATCCCAGCTCTACATCTCTCTATGGCAACTTTATCCAGACCCAAAGACACGGCAGCAGCTCCAGTATCCCGAGTCTGAACCGTAATTCGAGTTACGGAAACCCACCGTCGGATTTCATGGGCAAGAAGTACAATCAGTATCTTGCAGGGTCTAATCATAATGTTGGAAGCAGCAGTGGTTCACACTTGGATCTGAAGACTTTACGGAAGGATAAGACTGTTGTTGATTGAAAAACAGACCATTAAACAATAAATGAAATCATGAACAAACGATTATTGGTTGAGGTTTCGCAAGACACCGTCATCTTGGTATCATGGTGCTCATCATGAACACCAATATTCTAAGCCATGGACGCTGTAAATCGTTAAATATTAATCAAGTTTCATTAGATTGGTATACACTGATCTGAAATAGAACATCCCCATCCGACTCTTTCGAGCCTTCATAAATATTTTCAAACCCATCCGAAAGCACCTTTCAAGCCTTTGGAATCTTGTCAAAATAAACACTCCCAGACTCAATCCAATATGGATCTACCAGATCCTCCTTCTTCGCATAAAGTAGCTTATATGACGTTTTGATAGTACCGTCGCTAACACCCGTCTTCCGTGAAGGCAGAAGCGACCGGCCTAAAATCTGAGCTGTAATATACACCACGGCAGCAGCAATTGTGGTTGGCGATCTACTCGCCAAAATACCCGCCTCACGAGTCCTTCCTGCGATAAACTCAGCAGCACTCGACATCTGAGGAGACAGACCAAGATGCGAACAGAATCTGCCCACCAAGTCCTCGGCATTCATCTGTCTCACAGCAAACGAATCATTCTGAAAAACCAAACTGGCATCACTCTGAGTGCTCTTCTCTTGCAAAAATTTGGCGATTATGTTAAACATCTTGCCAGTCTCCTTGCGAGGAGCATTGGTCAAAGCCCAAATCTTCTTGAAAGACCGAGCCACCTTGGCGTTTCTATACCCGATGGTAATCGAGACCGCAATAATACTGATCTGAGATTTACCCTTGAGAACCCTCTCCTCATAGACAAGTTTTCAAACCTCCTTGGGCCATCCTTGATCACTTTTGGAAGCTGGTATGCATCACACATGTAGGTGATCTTGGAATAAGCATCCTGCAAGGCATTCTCCTTCCTGTCCCCGAGACTCTTACTCTGAGCCCGATTCAGTTATCTTCCAGTACGACCAGCCTCAGGAAAACTCGAAATAACCGTAGAGATTTGGTCGCTGTACAGAAGGGAACTAGAAGCCTCACCAACACGCGAAGGGTCGTCTCCGTTCTGGTCATCGTTGCTGAACGTTCTCCATTCGGACCTCGTATCGACCACTCGGTCACTTAGAACAAGCCCACATAACGCGCACACAACATCACCTTCACTGAACCGCTCTATCAACTCCGGAGGATAAACCTTACACTGCGGACAAACGAGCGTGATGTTGAGATTCACACCGTTGAACCGCCTCCTGTCATCAGTCAATCATTAAAACAAATACGCAGAGAAGAGCCCAAAACAGGATACCAAATACTTCAAGGAAAAGATCAGGGGTCGGCTGAGAGGAAGAGAAAGACGTGAAAGGAGGCAAGAGGCTAACAAACTTATCTTCAAGAGGACGTGAGGCTAAATTTAGGTGTAATGCACGACTTCTGGCATATTGGCGTTGATCGGCTAAATATTGAGTCAAAATGAGGGGAATGTGGTAGTTTTTCAAGCATCCAAAACATCAGGTTGAAATATTTTGGTAAATCTCCGATTTGCTGAACCATTCGTGATCAAATCACTCAAATAACTATGCGAAAGAGATCATTCCCTACAAATTGTGAGCCCCGTTCCAAAGTTGGGGCACGACAGGCCTCATCTCATCACGTGACCATCATAAATTTTATTTTTTCCTCTGAAAATTAAATTTTCAGATCTCTGTACACTGAAGCGTCAGAACCCTTTCTTCTTAAAGGCCAACACAAGAAAAATGAGAGTAAGAAAGCCGACATCTAAGAGAACGTCTACGCGTATGAAGGAGGGTATCAAGAAGAAGGCCGCTGCTCAGAACAGGAAGAACAAAAAGCTGGCTAAGAAGGACCCTACATGGAGGTCCAAGAACAAGAAGGATCCCGGTATTCCCGCTAGTTTCCCCTACAAGGACAGGCTGATTGCCGAGATCGAGGAGAAGAAGCGCGAAGAAAAGGCGCTTAAAGACAGAAGAAAGGCCGAGAGGCGTGCCCTGCAAGCTGGTGGTGCAGTTTCTGAAGAGATAGAAGCCTCTGATGACGACGACATGGAGGAAGAAGGAAACGGATTGGAAGCCCTGATGGCTTCAGCACAAAGGGCTGCCGCAGCCTACGAGAATGGAAGTGACGAAGATGAAGATATGTCGGGCGACGACATGGAGGAAGACACAGAGGTGGTGGAGTATCCTATTGAGTACTCAGACAACGAGGACTCCTCCGAGATTGAAAAGTCTAGAAAGGCCTATGACAAGATCTTCAAGGCAGTAGTGGATGCTTCAGATGTTGTACTTTATGTTTTGGATGCGAGAGACCCAGATTCTACCAGATCCAAAAGGGTTGAAGAGGCAGTGTTGCAGTCGCAGGGAAAGAGACTGATCCTGATCCTGAATAAAATTGACTTGATTCCAGAAGACGTGTTGAAACAATGGCTGGATTTCCTCAAGTCATCCTTCCCAACCATTCCGCTCAAGGCCTCTTCATCCGTGAGCAGTGCCAAGTCGTTCAACAAGAAGATGTCGCAGTCGGTCACTGCCAACGCTTTGCTCGCCGCTCTCAAATCATACGCCAACAAGTCTAATCTCAAGAGATCGCTGATTGTAGGTGTCATTGGTTATCCAAATGTTGGAAAGTCATCGCTGATCAATGCTCTCACCTCGAGACATGGAGGCTCCTCCAAAGCTTGTCCCGTGGGAAACCAGGCTGGTGTCACCACCTCTTTGAGGGAAGTTAAACTCGACAACAAGCTCAAGATCATTGACTCTCCTGGAATTGTATTTCCAGATTCGAAGAAACTGAACAAAAAACAACAGGAGGCACAATTGGCTCTCTTGAACGCGATACCACCAAAGCAGATCACCGACCCTACGCCTGCGGTGTCTTTGATGCTCAAAAGGCTTGCGAAATCGCCAGAAATGACCGAAAGGTTCAAAGAACATTACCAATTGCCCCCAATGGCCAGTCACGATCTGAACGATTTTACCAACAGTGTGCTCATTCACGTCGCACGCAAGATGGGTCGTCTCGGGAAGGGTGGAATCCCCAACCTCACCAGTGCTGGACTTGCAATTTTGTCTGACTGGCATGATGGAAAGTTTGCAGGCTGGGTTCTGCCCAATTCTTCAAAGCAACAGGCATCAGAGTCGGCCATTGCCAGAGGAACCAACGAGCCAGCCAAGGTTGAACAGACTACTGTCGTGAATCAGTGGGCCAAGGAGTTTGATCTTGATGGTCTACTGAACGGAGCATTTGACGCATAACTTTAAGCCAATGTAATTTAATTGAAATCATCAGCAAACTCACAAGTAGGATAGACTGTACAGGGAGAGAAGGTGGTGAAAGCAAAGGTGACGTTACAGTTGTGAAAAACTGTGATTGGCAGAGAAATACCTCTCAATTATTATGAAAATGCTTTAAGATTGACAAATAGCATAAATGCTGCAAAAATCAGCAGCAAATAGACAAAATAGGAGCATTACGCATCTATCTATATTGACAGAAGAGGTTGTCAGGCACCAATTACAGAGGGTCATGCTTCAAGACCACAACGAATTATCCAAAACCACCAAATTTTTACCTGTAAAATCCTAGTATTGTTATAATTACCCAGGTAACATAATCACCCCAAAAATACCAAAAAATGGCCAATTTTTCACCCATAACTATAGATCATCTCGACTTTACCATAGAAGAGGCCTGCTCACCACAATTTACCACTACAACACCCTTTTGAAAAACTCAAAAAACACATCCATTGTCTCACATTTATCCTACTCTAAAATCGACCAATTCCTCTTCTTCAATCCTTTTCTCAACTCTAAAACCACCCGTTTTACTCCACAACTCCATCCAAGTTGAGCATCACGTGACCACAGATAAGGCATCACCCGGCCTCATCTCATCTCCCAAAAAATTTTCTTTTTATTTTAGGGTGAAATTTTTTTTCTCATACAAAAAACTCTTGTTCTCTCTTGTTCTCTCTTCTTTGCTACATCCCCCCATACCACACTCAATCACAGAAGAATATCTATACAATGGGAAAACCAAAGGTGTCATCCAAGAAGGATTCCAAGAAGGAGTCCAAGAAGTCTGTTGTTGCTGCCACCGACAAGGTGTCCAAGGCTAGCAAGAAGGACGATAAGAAGAAGATCAAGGCTGCTGCCATCAAGGCTGCTGAGCAGGCCAAGAAGGAGGAATCTAGCGACTCGTCTTCTGAGTCTGACTCTTCCTCCGACTCTGACTCTTCCGAGTCTTCATCTGACTCCGAGTCCGATACCGAGAGCCAAGTTGAAGAGGACAAGAAAGACTCTTCTGACTCGTCTGACTCTTCTGATTCTTCCGATTCCGACTCTTCTGATGATGAGGAATCAAAGGATGTTGAGATGAAGGATGTGAAGGCTGCCAGTGACTCTGATTCTTCCGACTCTTCTGATTCTGACTCTGACTCTTCTGATGAGGAGGAGACCAAGGAGGAAGAGAAGAAGGCTAAGAGCGACTCTGACTCCTCTGATTCATCCGACTCGTCAGACTCCGACTCATCTGACTCTGACAGTGATTCTGACTCCGAGGAGGAGAAGAAGGACACCAAGAAGGAGAGCAAGAAGGACTCGTCTGATTCCGATTCCTCTTCCGACTCTGACTCGGACTCTTCCGACTCTGATTCTGACTCGGATTCCGATTCCTCGTCTGACTCTGAGGCCCCCAAGAAGCGCAAGGCTGAGGACTCCGAGGAGGCTGAGACCCCAAAGAAGGCCAAGGCCGGTGAGCCAGCTACCCTGTTTGTTGGAAGACTGGCATGGGCCGTTGACGATGAATGGCTCAAGAGCGAGTTCGAGACAATTGGAGGTGTCGTTGGAGCTCGTGTCATTTTCGACAGAGCCAGTGGAAAGTCCCGTGGATACGGATATGTTGACTTCGAGGACAAGTCCTACGCCGAAAAGGCCCTTAAGGAGTTCCAAGGAAAGGAGATCGATGGAAGACCAATTAACTTGGACCTTTCCACCAGCAAACCACAGGCCGCCTCAGCCCAGAACAGGTCTCAGGACAGAGCTAAACAGTATGGCGATGCCCCTTCTGCTCCTTCCGACACTCTTTTCTTGGGTAACTTGTCATTCCAGGCCAACAGAGATAGCATCTGGGAGTTGTTTGCTGCCCACGGAAACGTTGTGAGCGTGAGATTGCCTACCCACCCAGAAACCGAACAGCCCAAGGGATTTGGTTATGTCCAATATGGATCCATTGACGAAGCCACTGCCGCTTTCACCGCTCTGCAAGGCGAGTACATCGAGGGCAGACCTGTCAGACTTGACTACTCTGCTCCAAGAGATAACAATGGTGGAAGTCGTCAAGGGACTCCAAGACCTGGTAACAACAGAGGGTCTCCAGCTCCAAGAGGAGGATTCAGAGGTGGTAATGGTGGTAACGGTGGCTTCAGACAGCAAGGAACCGGTGCCAACAGCTCTCCATTGACGCTCAACGCTGCATTCCAGGGAACCAAGAAAACTTTTGATTAATCGCCTGTATAGTACTAAGTTCATAACCGAGACTCATTTTTGATTTTAGAGGAAAGTAGATGTTTAGTGGGAAATGGCTGAAATTATTGCAGTATTGAACAGTAAAATAATGTTAAAATACTGCGAATAACTAGAGTACAAAGTTCTTGAAGTGAGATGCACCTAGTTCCAGAGAAGTGTAAGAGGCCAGTACATCATGAGGCTAATCTAAAGAGCCTGAAAAATTATGATCCCACAATTGAAAACACAACTAAAAAGTTTTCAAAAGAGAGAATAAGGGCGAAAAATGTCAATTCGAAATTTAAAGCGTGTTTCCTCGGCAAATGTACCGTGAAGCATCGAAGACGCTGACACTGTGAGCCTGTCCGAGGCAGATATACCGAACAGTGAAGTGAAGCTGTGTTTTCAGTCAAGCGCACAGGATTAGTTGGAATGAAAATAAAATGGAACATGGTACGATAAAATAGTTTGAAACGAATTTAATATGAGCATTCATCTATATTAGTCTTGAGAAAATTCAATAAAACACAGAAAAGCCAATAAGAATCTCATCAAATACATCGAAATTCAATAAAATTCAAAAAAGTCTGAGAGAGACCAAATCTAATTATCATTTGGTAAGAAATACCTGGAATCAGAATATTTAATGAAACAAGGAGGATCTAGTTTGAACCCAATCATAATATTATCCCTCACAATTCTGAGAATCAGTCGCTCTCTCAGCTTGTCTAGAACTCCCTCACAACCGTTATCTTGAGCCGCACGAGCCGCATACCAGTGTTGGAACTCACAAAGAAGCCACCCATATACCTCCTTCCAAATCACACAAAACCGAGATTTTACTTCTCCGAGTAGAATGAATCACGAATTGCAACTAAATCCACTAAATGTTGTCCTGAATGCCCACATGGAAACTTCTCACACATATCCCCTGCCTTAACCCCAGATTTCCAAGAAGCAATCATCTTCCTCAGCTGAAGAACGTTTTGCTTCTGAATTTTCCTAAATATTAAACTCGATTCCCTTAAAACGTTGGTAAATGATTATCCAAAGAATTTTACCCTTATTATACCCATTTTATTCTGTTTCTCAGGTCCATATCTCATGTCCATTTTTTCCTTCGGAATCTTCCGCGATGCGGACGGCCCGGACTCCTCAGCCACACCTAGCCACTCCATCATCGCCTTCGCCTCGCGCGCGGTCCTCTCTAATTAGCTGTGCCAAACATTACTCAACAAGACCTAACACTATCCCAGCGTTTATAAGCGGATTATAACCGCTGGAAATACTTAATACTTCCCCAGTCAGTGCGGTTTAATCGCCCACTTTTCCCTTCGAGAATCCTTGAATCCCACGCACAGCCGCCCAATGAGGCGAGCGGTGACAAATCTAATCCCTCTGAACAAAACAAGGATCCTGAAGACGCTGAAATTGGATGTTTCGTCAGTGGATGACTTTTATATCGAGCTCGATGATGCACATAAGACATATTTGCCTGGAGAGGAGGTGAAGGGCCAGGCCATTCTTCAGCTAAAGAAGAACCTGATCAACGTGGCCGTGACACTTTCGCTTTTGGGAGCAGTGAAGCTCAAGAATCTGTCACCAAGCTCATCGTGGCGTAGTTCGCGAAAGAAGGTCCTTTTCAGCCATACAATCATGATATATGGGGGCGACGATGCCGATACCGGAGTTGAGCCTGGTGCGGAGGCCGTTAACGGCCTGACAAGAGGGGAGCACCGTTTTCCATTCATAGTAAAGCTTCCCAAGAAAAAGGTTTTTACCAGCATTTCATTTGAAAAGGGATCAATTCGTTATTCACTCAAAGCGTCTCTTTGTGACCTCAAGGACAAGCAAATGGTGTTGGACCTGGACGAAGAGGTTTCTAAGAAGACCCAGAACAACTCCTCATTTCTGACATGCGAGAAATACCTCAACATTGTCAAACCTATCAACGTGGCTCTTTTCCCCTCGCCAAAACCAAAAGTGTTGGTATTGAAATACCCTACGAAGAAGCTGAGGCGAACACAGTCGTCCTCTTCAACTATCAACTCACAGACATCCACTAACTCTCAAGAGACACCACAGCACCAGCTTCAGACACCGCATTCTCAAGAAGCTGACCCGGGGGCTTTCGGATCCCAAATCAAACTCACTGTCACATTGCAAGCCATGGGGTATCTCCGGGGCGAGATTATCCCCGTGCGGATAAACCTGCAGCACTTCAAGCAGACCCGAAACATCAACGGGATTGTGGTCACATTGATCCGGATTTGTCGCATGGATATGGGCGAGGACTCTGCTATTCAAAGTTTTAGAAAAGACCTGGCTCAATCTATACTACCACTGTACCTAGACCCACAGACTCATCGATGCGAATTGAACACCTCGCTGCGAGTCCCTACCGACGCCTTTCCCACGATAGTTGGTTGTGAAATGGTGAGCTTCCAGTATTTTGTGGAAGTCTTGGTGAATTTGTCCAACTCGAAGAGCTCCACGAATGCGATGGCGACGCCCTCCAGATTAGATGCTGGTCTCGACGAGGAGAACATAGAGGACGTTACGACGAGCTCTTTCCGCCGACAATCGATCGACAATTCGCCGTCTCCCGGCGGAAGTGTCGGGTGGAGCTCCGAGACTAATCCGACGCCAAACATCTTCAACGTGGATAAGCTCAAGCGGATGAAGAACGTGATCACCACCAGTTCGGAGGTGATTGTAGGTACCGAGAGGAAGATCTCGAAGAGAAAGAAGGCGCAAAGAGATTTTTACACCGAGAGTTCGGCGGCAGTTTCCCCACCAGCTTCAGCGGTGGGCTCAAGTACTACATCGCCAGGTGCTTCGTCGGTTTCACCACAGAATCTGACTGATGAAACCAGCCGAGTGGTTTCTCCGGGCTATGCCTATACGCAGCCTCCGCCTTTCCAAGGCGGATTATCGCCTTCGGATATACCGACATCACCTGAGGTTGCAGAGAAAGAGGCTTTGCGTTTGAGAGAACGAGCTCTGATGCCTTCTGAACCTGACTGGAGCGGGGATCCAGAAGGGACAACAGCGCCTGATCTGCCTCACAATTCACATTTACTGGAGTATGCGATTCCTGCCGAAGCAGGCTCAGACGCAGGTTATGACGAGGAATATACAGACTATGTTCCCATGTATGTGCGAGAAGAGGAGTCTTTGGACACCATTCACGAGGATAGTGCGGGCTCAGACTAACGACAGAAGAAGGACGATAGTTAAGGATTTACGGGAAACGGAAAAGGTCTCACAAACTTCAAGGCAACCACCAATTCCCTTCACATAACGTTGAAGCATTTTATTTAATTTATGGGTGTTTAAGTCGAATGACTCACTGCCTGCTGAAATACCAGGTTCAATGAAGATAGTCTAGAAGCTCATTTTTCAGCATCACGATCCAAAAGGCTACTAACTTACCAGAAGAATACTTGGAGCGATACAAAAGGCTACCAACCCGAATGACGGTTCCTGGTGGTTATTGTAAAGTCTTTTATTGAATTTTTGGTTCTTTACCTTCGTCTTTTATAAGGCATACTTCTTCAGATGATCCGGCAGCGCAGAATACAACCCTTTGGTCTCAAGCCACTCTTTGTTGAAGATCCGATCAGCATATTTATGAGCCGAATCTGCCAGGATAGTCACCACATTGGAATTCTCAGGTAAGGTCTGGGCCACTTTCACGGCAGCCACAACGTTCAGAGCTCCAGTTCCTCCAACATAGATTCCTTCTTCATCAAGAAGCCTGTAAACCATAGCGATAGACTCCTCATCCGGAATTCGAACCGCGTCATCAACGAGATCGATATCAGCAGCTACATTAGCCGTAATTCGTCCCTGACCAATTCCCTCCGTGAAAGAACCACCCTCTCTGGCAAGACTCTTTCCACCAGACTTGACATAAGAGTACACACACGATCCAGGAGGGTCTGCAACCACAGCCCGCACCTTCCCTCCAGAGATATCCTTCAGATACCTGGTGATACCCGCAAATGTCCCACCTGTTCCCGTAGAACAAGTGAACGCATCAACCTCTCCGTTCAGCTGGGCCCATATCTCTGGTCCCGTAGCTTCTATGTGGGCCTGACGATTGGCCAGATTATCGAACTGGTTTGTCCAAACCGCATTGGGGAGTCCCTCAGCATGGCGTCTAGCCTGGTGGTTGAAGTTCAGAGGATCGTCAAACGGAACCACAGGAACCGGATGAACCTCTGCACCGAGCAATCGCAAAGTGTTCATCTTGGCTGGCGACTGCGTGTTAGGCATGTAGATCACACACTTGTAGCCTTTGGCCCTGCAAACATGGGCCAGACCAATCCCGGTATTCCCTGCAGTACCTTCGGTCACTGTTCCACCAGGCTGCAGTAATCCGGCGCGTTCGGCCTGTTCCACCATGAAGAGCGCAGCGCGGTCCTTGACTGATCCACCAGGGTTCATCCATTCGGCCTTCGCGTAGATGTTCCTGCCAACGTCAGCGGAAATCCGTGGCAATCTAATCAAAGGGGTATTTCCTACAGCACCTGAAAAGCCTGATTCTGAGGTCAAAGGAACAAACGGCGTACCGAAGCGGAAGTCTGTGGAGATGCTGCGACTTGTTGCCTGACGCTCCATGTGGAAGGCTGCGCGTTTGGCATGACTTGCCCACCTGCCATGCATTATCAATAAATATTTGCGAGTCGGGCCTATTTTATGTGCACAAAATGCTTAAGCGAAGAAGCTACTTTATGTTGCACTGGAAAGCTTCGGCGGAATCTTCCACTTTAACAGAATCTGGAACCGTGGAGTCAAAGGCCGGCCAAGCCATTGAACAATAAAAGGGTTGAGGCACGACACCCGGATGGTTATCACACACCAATTAGTAGTTGAGTTTCACACCTCAGATCACTGCAAGTATTACAAACAGATAGCTAGTGTCAAACCAGCATGAAATTGCATGCTTTTTAGGATCTTGTATGTAAATAGACTACAAAGGTTCCGATATTCCTCTGCTTTGCCTTCGTGATCTCTCTTTTTGCGAGATTCTATGGAAGTTACTCAGAGTTTTTCAGCATTGCTCCTGACAGGTAGTGCACCAACAGAATCATTGCGAACCCTTTAGCGAGAAACGCGACTCTCTTCTTTATTCCCCTTCTGGCCGAGGCTTTTTTCCAAGCAAATCCCGTGCGGTTGAAGAATCAAAATACAAGAGTTTGACCATTTTCAAAGTTTACATATTCAATGGCTTCCATCTACAGGCAGAGTAGCGACAACAGACGGTACTCTGTCAACAACCCGTTCCTCAGCTCTATGGGTGAAAGGATTGGGTCTACGGACGAACTCGACATCGTCGATGCCTCCCGTTTCAACTCATCCGAATCACTGTGAGTATCTTTCTCTATACACTTTCGCCATTCAGTTCTTGCCAAATTTCACCAAAATCTTTCCACACAAAGCGATCTGTGACCTCCAACCAACCGACGACGAACTAAAAACAAAGGGCCCCGAAAACAGGTTATTACCGCATTGGGAAAGTTAGTTGACACACGTCATTCTACTGTGCCGCGACACAGCCTGGACCCAGGGCTCCGCAACTGTTGCCAGCATCTAGAACTCCCCCCTCTTGCTCCACACATTGCGACATGTCTTCTGTTTTAGGTTGCGAGTCTTCTATAAAACGGCATTTTTCTGTCTGGACACCGTGTTTCAGCTTAAAATTATCAGATAACTAACCTATACAGAATGTCTGTACCGGAAGGAAGATATTCCAACAACCCGTTCGCGGATGCCTTGACCCCCACGTCCACTGGATCGCGTGCGTCGGGCTCGAATCCCAGCCACCAGAGGCCACGAGTGGCACCTCCTTCTCAGCAAGCACCTGTTCAGCAACAAAGGCCTCGTCGCTCCAAGGACGAGAGTGCTATGCCTCCTCCCTCATACGAAGAAGCCGCTGGCCGCCGTGCAGCTAGGAGTGAATATCCACGTGAAAAGCAACCACAACAGTCTTCCGAAGCGAGAAGACATGAACATAGCTCTAGTCGGACGAGAGAGCATCGCTCTCGTAGCGAAGGTGAAGTGAATGGGGAGCATCGCCATCGTTCTCACCGCCATCGCGAGCGTGGGGAACGCAGCGAGTCTTCACGTCACCACAAAGATTCGTCTCCAAAGCGTTCAAGCAGGCATCGTTCTTCCAGGTCAAAAAAGCAGACTGAAATTGAAAAGCCGGAAAACCTGGACACGATAGACAAACTTGATGTCACCGGTTTTTTTGGTGGTGGAGCCTTCCATCACGATGGACCCTTTGACGCTTGTACTCCACACCGCAATAAGAACACCAAGGCTGCACCGGTAATGGCATTTCCAGTTGATGGTCCAAACAGCACAATTCGCGGAATGGGCCCTCTTCACACCAAAGAACAGCAAATCGATATTCTATTTGGAAATGCTGATAAGGCCGACGAGATGTACGCTTCCACTGCACCGATCGCAAGAACTAGATCCGTTCCTCAGCAGGCGACCTCAGCACCAACACAACAATATACCACCCTTCAGGCCTCACAATCGCAGAAGAGAACGATACCCCCATCGTCTCAAGCACTGGATCCCAACAGTTATTCTCACGGTGCTCTTGTGGACGATTCACGTGCTCCTCCAGTCACAAACTCTGTTGAGGTTTTGAAACATGATCCTTCGGTGGTTGCGTTTGATGCCAATGCGAAGGCTACACCAGTTCATGGAACTACCACACTTGGACTGGGCAGTTCTACATTTTTGGACGGAGCTCCAGCCACAAAAGCGGCCATCCATGAGGCCTCAACCAAGTCAGAGCTGTCGCGTAACCGCTCACTTGTCAACCGTATGCGCAAGAAGAGCTCCGATCTCCCGGGTAATGAAGCCCATTATGAGGAATCGGCTCCTTCTGGAAACAGTTTGTTGAGAAGGGTGAAGAGTTTGAAGGTGAGCAGAAAGTGAGGGACCTGCCGAATTACTAGACCAGTGGATTTTGCAATCCTTTGATGTCTGCATTCGAAAGGTTGAAAAGAGCATGACTAGACTGAAGGGCTGAAAGTGCATGACAATACGCTTTCAGTCTTCGATATCCTCAACATTATCCACTCCTCCACTTCTTTCTGTCCGTGATTTTTATCGGATTTTTATACCGGCACGCACACTCATTGCGCGTCTCAGATTCCCTCGTTTAGTTAACTCGTTTTTTTATTGATGGACAAAAATGACTTTCATTCTAGAGCTATGTACAGGGCCAAACGTAGGGCTATGGGCTATTGCCCACTTCAGTCTATCACTTGAAGCTTCGGTGGGAAAGGCATGAGTCAGCTCTTAAATCCCCGTGATTCTGAAGCAAATAGCAGCAGAAATAACGTATAATCCAACCAGTAGGTCTTCCAGAGCTGCAAGCCCAACTTTCAGTTACTGGCCATCAGCGAGTCAGCAAGGTTGTCAGCTGCCAACCACCAATACCGGCATGTAAATGGGGCTTTCCAGTTGACAATGTTCTTCTCTTCTCTATTTTTTCTGAATCCTCTCCCTAGAAACAAAATCAACCGGGAGTCTGCTCTCCACTACAGACCAATCGATGCAATCCCACACATTATCAAGATACTTTCCTTTTCCATAAACACCGTAATCTGGCAGGAAAGCACTTGGAGATGCATTAATCGACAATAGGGGCTTGAAAGCGAGATTTTTCGAAGTTAGAAGCTCTTGTGCCTCGGCTGGAGTAGGAAAAGCTGGAGCAGCAGCAAAACCGTTATCGACTCCGTCCTCGAGTCTGGATTCAGTGAACTTCCTCAAAGTGGCCACCTGACCTCCACGAACAACGTTATCTGGAACTCCCGAGTTATATGTGTTAACGATGAACAATGGGTCAAAAGAACGACCATGACCGTTGCTCCGGTCAGGCACCGAAGACACCAACCACGAGTAGCCATCTCCGTTAATAGCGGCTGCCGATTGAAGCAACAAAGTGCGAAACTCCACCAGAGATCCAAAGGAGTCCTCAATGGCGTGCTTGAGTCTTTCGGGGATCATTGTGTCTATTTGGGTAGCCAATGAAGGAGTCTCAAATAGCACACTCTGATCTGGCTTGCCAACACTGGTAGCAGAAGCACGCATGTTGGGCACAAGTGACGAAACAAAGTAGTAAGCTCCATACACGGAACCAGCGGCTTGGTAGACAAGACTGTCATCAGCCCTTTTGGCAGTCTCAGAAAGAACCGCGTGGAACTTGGAGATCGAGGTTTGTCTTCCACTGAACTCGAATTGCACATTGCTTGTAGCTGGTGCGGTTTCCTCCACAAAACAACGCTCAAGAGTGGAACGCTGGGTCGAAATGCTGATACCATATTCGAGGTCCTTTACTTTCGATTCCACCTTGGAGTACCAGACAGCGTCCAGTCCGGATGGAGAATACAAACCCAGCACTCCGTTCTCTTTTAAGGCGTCGATGTGCCTTATACGAGGGGCCTGGATAAGCGATTTGGCAGCCTCAACACATCGCCTTGTAGAGCTCGAAAAGTTTCTCAGCGGTATCCTGCTCATTGTGCCGGTAGCGGTGTGGTTGTGATCTTGTCAGAGTATTGTCAGCTCTGTCTTTCGACATTTTTCGGTTGTCAGTGGAGGTCGTGAGTTAGCAGATTTATGTTGAATGGTTGAGGCACGACAACGTGCTTGAGTTTACTCAGCATGGTCGCGTCATTGCGGGCAAACCGTGTCCATATTTACACATACAAGAATGTACGCCAAATTCGCCAATTTTTTCCCCATTTTTTTCTTGAGCTGAGCATGATATGCAAGTTACGCGTAAATATATTATTAACGGTGAGGATTTCACCGCAGGCGTGGATCATATGGTGTTTGATCAGAGCCCCGGAGCCGTACGTTATGCGGCGGCGGCAGCCTAGGATGAGTCACCTGTTAGGAGCAGCTATAAAAAGACTGCCTCAGCACTGATCGCACTTCAAAAGAAAAACTTTCTACCAACAGTTTTAAGTTTCTGACTTATTCAGAAAAAAATTGTAGAAGAGTTCTTCATAAGAAATCAACCTGGATAAAGCAACCTTTCAGTTTGCCTCGTCCCTTGCTTCCTTTGATTGCTCACGTGATCCGATATCCCCATCTCTTTTCTTGGTTACCCGGACTGCCAGTTTTTTCCGCCACCAGAAACAACAACCCCCCTTTCCCCCTCCAAATTTTGAGAGCATCAGGAATCCCTTCCTGCTGCAACCAAACAAGCGTTTCTCCTTGGATTTGTACTACATTGTATAATTCTAGAATTTATATTCCAGACTAGTCCTTCAAGTCTATTTCGCACAGTTCACGTTTGCAAGTCGCTTGTTTTCCTGTTGGCGTCCCTTGTTGCCCGAAAACACGTCAGTTGCACCCTTCGTCAGACTTTCTCCGGACTACGTTTTTGAACCATCCCAGGCGAGGCATAGGGATTTTACACGTCATTTGATTGATATTGACCCGAAGTTTGTTCCGGATACGTTTTTTTTGTGAGAAATCGCAAGGATCAACACGTCTACACATCTACACAACACACCATGGCTGAACAACAAG